TATGATGATAGAACGTCTGCCAGCAACAAAATGGTAAAATTGTCATTTTAGCATGAAAAAAAGTTAAAATATAGATGCAACCCCACACGAAATATATTAAAAGAGTTTTAAAAAAATTTGAATATTCAGAACATGAAAGAATTATTAAATCTGTTTTTTTTCTTAAGCAATTTATACATAAAACACTTTTTAAGTACTGAATTTTAAAATTTAATTAAGATTGTTGTTTTCGTTATAAGCAATGCAACAATGTAAAGTGAAATTTATAAAATTTGTACCTAAATGTTTCGTTAGATATATAGAACAAGTATATATATTAAATGATGTTGCTTCTTTATTAAAAAAAAGGAACAAAAGTAGTGGACGAAATAAAAATTTTAATAAAGAAAGGAACAATATTTTTTAGTTTTATGTCCTTCACAAATAATGAGAAAAATGCAACACTTTTCAACATGTTCGTTATATGTGCCATTTCAACATAAACAAACATTTGTAATTTTGTACATTCCTATAATTATAAAACAAAAATAGTAATTTGAAAAAATCATTTTTAGAACAAAAGAAAACCCAGAAACATTCAAAAGCATACAAAATTCAGAATTGAGTATTTTTTTCATCAATTTTAAGGACGCAAAATTTTACACCTTTTTTTCTTCCTCTAAAATTTAACAAATTGTGAAGAGCAAAAACAATGTGAAATAGAAGCAAAGATAATGGTAAATACTTCGATAGTTATGTGATTCTCTTACCTGTGCATACAGCACTTTTTGTGCCTTTATATATACATATACATTGTACTTTTTTTTGACAATGATGTTTCATTATTTAAAAAAATTATAACATTTGCTTGTGTTTTTATCATCATAAATCTAAACGTCTGTCACAATTGTTTTTCTATGTTTACATTTTTGTACTATGAATAGGAGACATTGTGCATTCTATTTGTGCTTTTTTTGATATGTATTTTTAAAGGAATAAAAGAGCATTAGCAAAAAAAGAAAAAAGTAAAGCTAATAAAAAATAATAATTAAAATGTGCAAATTCAGACATCGTTTTAGTGAATTCATTACTTTTCAATGACATTATCATTTTGTGCGTTGCTTCCATTAAGAACCCCCTTGTGCAACATTTCTTTTATAATAGTAAAATAAATTAAATAATTTTCTTACTGTTTTCATGCAAAAGAAAAATTTGCAATCTATTTATTAAATAATGTCTATTTGTTTATTTAATTTTCATTATTGTTACACATGGCATTCTTTGATACTTTAACATTTTCCTTGGCATGAGTGTAACTTTATTTTAAAAACGATAACAAATATGTATAATTTTAATTAGATCTTGGTGAAGCACGTATCTATGAATTGTAGGAAACACACACCATGCCACTTATTACTACACAAAACACGTCTACGGCTATTTTGACGATAATTCAAAAATAGAGAAATACATGTATTCGAAGTAATTCCAATTTTCTGAAGTGCATTATGGGAGATTTGCTAATTGTGAGTTATAATGAAGAATCAGGGATTCATAATTAAAATATCAGTATATAGTAAAATACACCTTTATGTTTGTTTTTACATTAATCCCATTCATAATGTTGTGTTTGAATACCCCTCTTATTTGGATAGCACAGATAACAAGAATCCATTAAGACAGCTAAGAGCTCAATTACGTTTTGAACAATTCATGTTTTTTCTTTTTCTGTTGAAGGATTTTCTATAAATTTAGTATTTTTGTTTTAAAAATTTATAAATTTGTTGATTATTTATTTATTTATTTTTTTTTTTTCTTTTAGAGCAATGCTAAAATGCACTACAAAAGAAAAGTTCTAATAAATTTCTTTTGGTGCAAAGAACCACACATTTTGCCATCTGTAACACCCAAACTACTTAACATAATAAGCAGCTGGTTTAAGGGTGCACAAATTTTAATATTTTAAAATTGTGATACCATTTTTTTGCATTACTTTTTGTACAAACAGATAAATACTAAATTAATTGAAAACTTCTGTATAATCGCAGTATTAAGAGTTAGTATTAAATTGGTCGGATTTTTACATAAAAAATGGTGAACTGTCTAAAATATTAAAAGGATTAAGTTAATAACGTCTTTCTTTTGCAGTGCAATCGAAGAGAACATTTCAAAGAATACTCGTAAAACACATATGATAGCACATGCGTAAAAATTATATATTATAAGTTAAAAGTACTAAACACGTAACATATTTACCTTTTAGAATAAAAAGGAGAATGCATGAAATTGCAAATTTTTTTACACGGAAAAAATGACATAATGTATTGGGATTTATGAGGAGAAAATAAGGATTATCAATGAAAGTTTAGAAAAAAATAGTAAATTGAATCTTCACACTTTTATTACGGAAAATATGTAATAACTACACAAATGTATTCTAATAAACATGTGTTATAGAAAAATACTTATAAAGTATAGCTCTAGTATGAATTCTCTTTAGCTTTCTTTTTTTTTTTTTTTTTTGCCAATATATATGTATCATTTTATGTGTAAGCGTGAAACAAATTTACTGGGAGCAGAGCTCTCCTATCCTACCACTTCTGTTAAAAATAGATATAAAACATGTGAAAGGTTTGATTCCCCCCTTTTTTATGTTACATATATTTCTCTCATAAAAGTAGCACTAAAATGTAATAATAAGTTGATGAAGAAAAGGTAAAAAAAAAAAAATCTTGTGCTTTAAAAAACTGCAAACATGTTAAAAAGCTGGGCACAACATTTTAAAACAAAACCAATTCAATAGACATTTTGTTTGTGCTACTCGCGTTGGTACTGTTTCAATAAAAAATATGTATAATAAATAAAAGACAAATAATTCATATGCTTTTTTATAAACACTGTGAAGATTAAAAAGAATGTTTTCACCTTATGCTTCATTTCAAGGGAAAGCAAAATGCATTTCCATGTCTACATATAGTGAACATTGCTCATTAAAAAAATTTATAACAAAATTTCACACTTTTAAAAGAGTAATAACAAAAGCTGTGATAATCTTTAGAAGAAATGTGTTCATTTAAAAAGTAAAAAAATGACGATATATGAAAAAACATCTCGTAAGGGCATTTTCAATGCATAACGTCTTTTGGGTATAAAGCGGTTACTTCTATTTTAAAAGAAATTAACGTTCAAATGGGTATTTTATTTTTGCAATAATTGTACTATATATGCAAGTAATAATTTTAATGTGGTAGAAAAAGTGTAAGCACAAAATGAAAAAGTGCTTTTTAGAAACATGTGATTTTTTTTTTTTTTTCCCCATTTTTCTTGAATTTCTGTGCAAGGGAAAAATAGGAATATGGAAATAAATAAAATATTTATAGATATATAGGCATATATTTATATGCTTGTAAATTTTATTGTATTTACTGAAAGAGAAATACGTACAAGTTTAATTTTAAAAACATTTAGACGAAACATCAAGAGCGTTAATATCTATATAAGGAGAATTACTAATTATAGAGCATAGAACATTGTTTTATTAAAATATTTTTTCATATCACATGAAAGTATTGAAGATAAATATTTTGATACTAGTTTCCTTTCTAAAAAATAAGTGCACACTGTAAAAGTAATATGTGCCCTAAAGGAGTTATATCATTATATAAAAATATGTATATATACATGCACTTATATATATACTGGAAATGACTTGTTGTACACACGCAAGGACAAGGAAAAAAAAAAAAAAAAAGTACATGTACTATTAAAGCTATTATTTTATTTTTTTTTTTATTTTGAAAATCTGAGCAAATTAAAATGTCTCAATTGTGCCAATTTCTCTGAATTGTGCTGTACTTATTTTTTAATTACGTTACCAGGTGTACCAAAACATCCTTTGTGAGCTCTAAAATTGTAAATTAGCGAGGAAATTTTTTTATTTTTAAAGACGTCCACTCAACATTTTTTCTTTTTTTTTTTTTTTTTTTAAACCTTTAATTAAAACTTTTATTAGGGAAATTATTTTAAAAGATATAAAAAACAAAATTATTTTAAATGTGCAAAGTTACAGAAGACGAGTTTTTTTTAATAGTCGTCTTAAAAGTAAAGCGTAATTTTCATTTTTAATAATGTTTAACTTTTTTAAAGTATAAAGATACCATAAAATAATTCATATTCAATTATATGTATTTTTTAACACATCACATGGAATTGTTTTTAAATGATTTAACTTGTTATACACATGTGTTAATGTGTTAGTGCATATACATATAAATATATGCATACACAGCACACGCAATTATACCTTAGTAAATCTTGTAAGCAAATAAAAAAATATTATATATTTATGCACATCTTTATGTATGCATATGTGTATATATGTATACACGAATGCATGTGTGCTCATGTCACTGAGAAAACGAAGCGGTTTTAGGTATTCTCTTGGAAAGTGTACTTAGTGAAAAATGCGTGTGTTACACATGCATTTTAATAACCTATGTTGTTTTGAAAATATTGTCCCCTATGATCCCTTCTGCATTTTTTTTGCATTGAGCAATAATCCGATATACTTGTGAATACACATCTTCAAATGAAAAGAACAAAATAGCATAAAAAATATATAAAAAAGAAAAGAAAAAAAAAAGTATATATTTTTCTTTAATTTACTACATGATAACTAAGCGTTTGTATTACCAAAAAGGTGTCATAGGCCAAATATAAGAGGAGAAAACAAAAGATATAAACAATTAAAAACGAATAATAAACGTTTAACACGTAAAAAAAAATAAAAAATAAAAAATAAAATATGCGAAACGATAATAAACACAGAGGACAGGAAGTTCCCCCCTATTTTTAAATACAGTGGGAGTGTCCACAAAATCTGATGCTTTTTGAAGTCTTTTTCCTTTTTCAAATAGTTTCCACTGTTGATACTAAATGTGTTTATTTGTAAGACTCTTTGCCTTTTGCATAAATTAATATACACAAGTTGGATGTTTTAATGATGTCCTCCTGGCGTCAAAATGGAAAGAGACACAAGTGATGAAAATAAAGAAGACAATATGAAAGATAATAGTAACAACAGTAATAACGGAAGCAACAGAAGCAGTGGTAACGACAACACTAAAAGTAATAATAGCGAAAGCAGAAAAAGCAGTAGTAACGAAAACAGTAAAAGCAGTAGTAGCGGAAGAAGCAAAAGCAGTAGTAACGGAAGCAGCAATAGTTGTAGTAACGGAAGCAGTAAAAACAGCAGTAACGACAAAATAGACGGAAATTATTTCTGTGATAGATCCCCCTCAAATTGCAATGAGGGGGATGTTTTAGATTCAAGAAACGAGTTCAATATAAACAATGCAGACCCAGGAAATTGCGAAAAAATACAAAGAGACAATATAAAGTGCACATACGCAAATAATCCACAATGGAGCTACGATAACAAGGTATTTAGACAAAACTATGACGTTATTTCATCTAATGAAATTAACGCGAATAATGTGAACATGTGTTTCCCCAATAATGGCATTATGAATTATCAACATAAAATGAACGATGGTAATAACAATTTAATAATACAAAGCCATATGGGTTACTTAGATTCGAATACACCAAATTCTAACAATGTCTATAATCTAAGTAAAGTTTATAATGAGCTTAATTCATTCGCTATCAGGACAAGCACAACAGATAACAATTTACTAAACATGAATTCCACTTATTTTAATAATGCAATGAAGTGCTCAGATTATAACAATTATAACAATTGCATATATCACAGTGGCATGCTAAATACTAGTGCATCAGAAAATCAGAAAAATAATTCGAACAATTCAAGTCCATATAAAAGTGATTATTTGAAATTTAATTTGAATTCTCTAAATTCTATATATAATAATCTGAATTTTTCTAATATATCTAACTCCAATAACGTAAATTACAATATATTTAATAGTAATGTAACAACACCAGTCTTGGATCCAATGAATTATAACATGGTAAACAACTCGTGCAATGTAAAATACACATCTAATATGTTCGATTTTACACCAACAGAAAATGTCAACTCATTAAAAGCAAAGGATTTTAATATTAACCATTCCAATAAGGCGTTTTTTCAGGAATCTGATTTATCCAATTATTCCTACAGAAATTTAAAAAATGGAAACTTATTATCAAACTATCCAACTCCCGTATATAATGTAGTCTCAAACAATGTTGATCCTGGTAGATACATTTCTTCCAATAATAGCAAATATTCAAATAAAAACAATTTAAACATTAATGTTTTAAATTGCAAGGATTCTAATTTACCTAAAGAACAAATGAATGCGTTAGTTTTATCTGATCCTGGCATCTTTTGCAAATATAAGGCGGAAATGTTAGCTAGGGGAAATGCAAATTATGAAGAAGGGATGACGAGGAAAAGAGTGGACAAATCGAATAGAGAGGGGACATTTGTTAGAGATGAAAAATTGGAGCAAATCGAAAAATCAGAACGAGAACAGGAAAGAGAAAATGACTTAAACATAAGGAAAGATGAACGGAGGGATAAAAAAAAGAAAATTGCACATTTAATGAGAAATCATTCTAGTACTCAAAAAAAAAAGCATAAAAGCAAAGGAAATTCACTGAATAGAGACACAGAATGTGTAAATTCAAAAGAAGTGTTTTTTCATCAAAACAAAGAGGATTGTTATGGTGGGGACAAATTAAGAGAAAATTACCATATAAGTGGAAGGAAAAAAGACTCAAAGAAGGACAATTTCGGCGTGCTTATAACAAAAAATCACAATAGTAGAAAAAGCCTAACAAATGAAAATCAGCTATTGATGGGTAAAGAACAGAAATTCGATTTTAAGAAAGATAAAAACGAATGCAGTTACAAAAAAGTTGAGAAGGAAATATCGTCAAAAAATAGCAGTAAAAACCAAATAGTTGTGAACAAAAGAAATAGTCAAGTTTTGACAAATATAATGAATTTCCAAGGTCCAGAAAAATATATAGAAGATGATATGGATCCCCATAAAAAGAAAAATAGCGCAAAGTACATAAAAGATGATAAAAATCCCGACATAACTAAATCAAACACGATAAAAGATAGATTGAGATCACGCACAGGAAAAGAACATATAGAAAAAAATAAATTATTACACGAGAATTTAAATGGGAAAAATCTGTCGAAATATGATTTCCTCATGAGCCGAAATATCCATATTAATAATGTTACTATAGAAAATAAAAAAGAGGGGAAAAAAAAAGTAACACTCATGAAAAACTGTGAAGAAAAGAATCACAATTCTACACAAATCCAGAACAATAATTTAACTGAAAAAAAAAGAAAGCATAAAGACATAAACCAAAACAAAAACACTGTAAAAGATGATCAAATTGCAATAGTGCTTCGAAAAAGTGAGAAAAAAATGAAAAAATTTGAGGACACCCCAAAATTGGATAATAACAGAATGTTAAATATTGTCGAGAATGGCGCCAAGAAGGGTGATTATAAAAGCAAAAAAAATGAAAAACTTAGGGAAAATGAAGCACAGGTTGATAAAGAAAAAACAGGGGAAAACAGAAATTGCACCAAATCACTAAAAAGGGAACAAGAAAATGTTAGCAATCAAGTAAAAGGAGAAGTAGAAAAAGAAGTGGATCACGTTGGAAAGAGAGAATATGACAAAAAAAACGAAACAGATGTGCTAAAAATGGAAAATCACAAACAGGATGATAAGAATACTGAACAGATGAAAATAAATGAAAAAGAGAAAAAGATTAGGAAGGAGAAAAACGACACACATGTTCCTGAACAGAAAAATTCATTATTTCATAAAATGAAAAAAAAGAACAGTGTAGAAGGAACAGACAAAACAAAAGAGGGAGAAAGTATAGGAAGTAATTTGGATAAGGAAGATAAAAATAAAGAGTTCTTGCAAGGAAATTTCTCAGAAAAACAGACAACTGATGCAGAAGAAATTATTCCCATTAAAGAGATCAATACAACGATTAGCAGTAGTGAAGGTGCTCATGAACAAAAGGAGGATCCTCTTCAAGCAAATTTTCCACAGAAGGAAATTTCCATACTGAAAGAATCTAACAACGAAACAGATAAACCAGTTAACCACACAAGGCACGAAAATAAAATAATTATCCAAATGAAAGAGTCAAGTAAGGGTGAAGACGAAATGATTGCAAATGATAAGAAAATGCTCACGAAAGAAGGAGATGCCTTTTTAGGAAGTGCAGAAGAAGATATTTTTCTAGATGTACTCGAAGAGAATAGCACAAAGGAGGATATAATAATAAAAAAAAAAGAGGAATTAAATGATAATAAACCATGTGACATAAAAAAAAGTTTCATCGATGAAGAGAAGAAAAAAAGAGTAAAGGACATTATGAATTTAAGACTAAATGCATATGCTAGTGATGAAAATCCTGTAAACAATGTGGCAGAATATGTAGAGATACAGAATAATGAGGATGCAGATATAAAAAAAAAAATTAGTGATGAGAAAACAAATATAATGGATGAAAAGGAGGATGCCATTGATAAAGACAGCTATAAAATTACTAAATCAGTGATTTATCCAAATGATACTAGTAATGCACATGTAAATTATAAAAAAAAAAACAGTGTGAAAGATGTAGCAATAGATTTAAATTCATCGTCAGCAGAAAAGGATTATTTAATAAATAATGAGAAAAAAAAACTGTGGTCAAACTTAGGATACATTAGCTATGTAGATAATTTTGTCGGGAAGGGTTCCTATGGAAGCGTAAGAAAGGCTTTGTATAATGTTGACCATAACAGTAAGGATTTAAAATTTTACATTGACAAAATAAATAGTTTAGAATTTGTGAATCTATTAATACAGTGCACTGCCAACGGTAGTAGTACTACTAGTGGTAGCAGTAGTAGTAGTAATAGCACCACTGGTAGCAAGCTGAAAAATTTTTTAGAACAACACAAGGAAAAAGGAACAACTAACTTGGACCCAAAAGAGGCATATAATAACTCTCACAATATGAAAAAACTGAGACCAATTTCTTTCTCCATAAAAAATGCAAGCTCTTCCATCAACGGTGTAAAAGAAGAAAAAAGTAGTGCTCAAATTGATAACAATAATTTTACAATGAACGGGAAAGAACAATTGACAAATAATTCAGAACACACATTAGTGGGAAATAATAAAAAAGAAGGCCAATGTTTTTGTTGCAACCATAAAGGCCATTTCGAATTAGCCATAAAAGAAATTGATGTCAATCGAAAAGGGAATGAATTTCAATTTGTAAGGGAACAGGAATTGCTATGTCATTTTAATAGCAATGTTATTAAACCTATAAGCACAAAGGATGGAAATTTAAAAGAAAAACGAAATTATGAAATATTAATGCATTGCGCTAATGGTGATTTAAGAAAATTACTTCAAAATTTAATATTTCATAGAAAAAAGGAATATGAAAAAAGAAAAAGAGTTAACAAAATTTTAAAACTAATACATATAATTTTTGGGAAAAAATACAAATGTTACAAAAATGAAGATGAACACACTTGTGTAGGTTTATGTCATCAAAAATTAAAAAAAATAAAAATGAAATTAAATAATAATGTAGTTGAAATAGAACACCCCACCTTTGATTTTATATATGATAACATAAAAGTATATAATTGTGGACTGACCGAATCAGAATGTAAATTCCTCTTCTTCCAAATAGTAAATGGAATTAGCTTCCTACAGACATGTTATCAATCTAACATGATACGTTTGACAGATATTAAATTGCAAAATATTTTGGTGTATACAAATGTACATAATATATATAATCCTTTGAAGTGGCATTTGTGTATATCGGACTTTGGCTGTTCAGCAATGGAATATGCAACTTTTCATTTAGAAAATTCTAAACATTCTACAGAAAATTATAAAAACATACTAAATCAATGGAAACATCAGTTTATTAATCAGTTGTCTTCTTACTTTCAAGGAACGGTATATACCATGGCACCGGAGGGATTATGTTATGACTACAAGGGAAATTTTAGACAATCAAAATATAATAAGCTGGTTCATTTTTATGAACAAAATTTTGGCAATATTGATGACAGATTTCAGGAACTTCAAAAGTCTTCAGTATGTGTTAAGAACTCATTAAATAATTTTAATATTGTAAATATAAACTCATCCACAAATTTCTGTTTTCTGAGCAAAGAGGGAGAAGAAGAACAAGAAGAAGAAGATGAACAACAACAGGAACAACAACAAAAACAAGAAGGAAAAGGTAATAGTATTAACGATTCTAAAAAAGAAAAGGAGAAAAAGAATGGCCAGAATAAGAAAGATATTTCAAAAAGAAAAAATTTAAATCATCAAAGAACCAATGTGAAAAACAAAAACAACGATGGAGTTAGTAACGAGAAATATGTGAATAACGAAAGAAACAAATCAAATGGGAAAATAAACTCTAATGAAAACAACAAAAAGACAAATAACAATTCAACAGAATATCTTCCTTTCGATGTAAGATGTGACAGCTGGTCTTTAGGTATCATTCTAGCGGATTTAGGGAAATGTGGGATCGGCTCTTATGAATATATTATATCAGAAAAATCGAGCGAAAATTGTATTAACAATGTGTGGAAAAACCAAAATGTAGACTTGAATAGCATAATACTGGCTGATTTGAATTTATCAAAAGGTGAAGAAGTTTTTTATTTAAAGTGCATAATGAATTACTATGACATTGTCACTTTGGAATGGGATAACGAATGCTTGGAGAATGAGAATTTAAAAAAGAATGGAGAAACAAAGGACACAGGAAATAGTTCGAAGGGTGAGGATGCAAATAACGAGATGAGTGATGATGCAGATGTTAATGTGAATGATCAGCACAATGATTTCAAGAGTGACAACATAAATGAAAATACAAACATTTGCAATAATAACAAATGTACGGATAAAGGACAAATAAAAAAAATAAGCACCTCCAAACAGTCGGGTGGTAGAGATATCGGCTCGAGACGCTGTTCTAAGGACCTGAAAGAAAAGGAAACATTACATGCAGACAATTCTAATGATTCAGGGAAGCAAAATAATAGAGGAAATAATTCATCAAGAAAAAATCATCATAATAAGGACGAAGAAAAGAATCATATGGAGAGTAACAACCGTGGATATGGGAAGAAAAATAAAAGAAATGACAATAATTTTAATAACCTAGAATTGTTTACATCCCATTATAAGTTATTCATTTTAAAATTCAAAGACTACATAAAAATTGACAAAGTTGCATATATAAAAAATGAGTTTGTGAAGTATTATAAAATGAATAAACACTTGATGAATAAAAAAAATATAGAAAAAAAAATTTTGTTTTTGTTTTTAATAATTAATAACAACTTGACATACAATTTTTACTATGAACTTCAGTCTTTTTTTAGAATTGAATTAACAGTAAAGAACATTGGTTCGGGTATATTCAAATTTAGAAATAAAAAAGAAAAGGAAAAATATTTACAGGACTTTAAATTAAATATACAAAAAGAACATATGAATGGAAATAAGGAATATTGGCATAGCAGATTAACAAATAAATATTTGGCTATTATTTTAAAAGATGTATGCCATGAAAATTTTTCTAATAGAAAAAAAAATATAAAAAAGTGTTATAATAAATTTGAATATCCCCTAAATTATAGTGATGATTACTGGAACTTATTGACAGATCTTTTGAATTATGTTCCATATGAAAGACTATTAGCCTGTGAAATTATTGGCCATGACTTTTTTTCAGAACCAAATGAAAAAATTAAAAATATCCCAATTGCTGAAAATGCCGAAGATTATGTGGACCTGCTTGACAAAAAGGAGTTTATGAGTACCATATGGAAGAATTATATACGAGAAAGGAAGGAGAAGAAATATATCTGCAACCCCTTCCACGAAGAATTCGAAACAGAAAAGGAAATTGAAGCAGGCATAGACTCCTCTGATAAGGAAACGAAATTGTATGAATTGGGTGGAGATAAAATGAACTCGCGCAATTGTGTAGCAAATGGAGGAGAAAAACGAGGTAGTACAGAAAAAGGAAAAGAAAAAGACATGTCAAAAACAAATAGAATGTCAGCAAATGAAAAAAATTTCAATCAACAAAAGAGATTTATAATGACCCTATATGATATTATCCTTAAAAATGTGAAAAATAGGTGCGATTTTTGCGATAGCATAAGTGACTGTTTAAATTATAAAAACATTTTAAAGAAGATCGACAAACTGGAAAGTTGCGTTTTAAATGTTAAAGACAAATGTGAGAAAAATATAAAAAATGGACTTATAAAAAAGGATGATATAAAAAAAAAAAAATTTCTGTATCCAAGTAACGTTTGTAATAACGTGTATTATTTTCTAAATGAAGCTTCCATTTTTCTTGAGTTCACAAATTTAGATGTATTTATGAACATGCATTTACCATTTGAGCATTTGTACCTACCACTATGTGATGAAAAAACAGATAAAAACAAATTCCAAGTAAACTTTTTTTTCAAGCCAATATACTTTTATTCATTCCCATATAAAATTATACATGCATGGTATACAGGCCCATTGCATATCTATTTGAAACACCCGAGTATTCCTGATTACATAAATCGTATATGTTTAAGGGAATCAAATATTTTAAGAAGAAAAGAAATTATCTTTTGGTTTTGTGAAGACATTATTCTGAAAAGTGTATCAAAAATTAAAAAACTTTTAAATTGTTCCAATGATTTTTTATGCACACCATATGTGTCACATATAATAGGAAAGCAGTTAATAATTAGAAAGCAATACCTTTTAAAATTACTTAATGGGAAAAGTGCTATTTAATTTTTTTCTTTTTAATTCAAGCTATTTAATAGTAAAATTTTTTACGTAACCCTAATGTTTCTGATTCAGTCTTTTTTTTTTTTTTTTTTCTTTTTTTTTCTTTTGAATTTAAACATTTTTGAAGTTATGAAGTTTTGAATATTTGCCTTTTTATTTAATGAACATTGTGCATCATATATTTATGTTTTAAAAAAAAGGATATATATATATATATATATATATATATATATTTTTGCGTAAAGTGCATATACATACATACACACACAATAAAACACACATATGCATGCATACATATGTGATATGGTGTCATCGTTTTGTGTATTTTTTAGTTTTTCCTCATATGTAGTCCCCTTTTATGTATGTTTTTCATTTTTTTTGATTTTTTTTAAAATGACATCATTGTGTAGATATACATAAAAGGCATTTTTAATTATCCTATGGGTATGCTTACTAACCGTAGTATATATATTCGTGAAGTGCATATTTAATGCATACATATGCGCACAATACACACCTTTTTAATTAAGTAGTTTCCGTAGTTTAACTATTCTTAATTTCATGAACAGCATTTATTTCCTTTTTTTTCTTTTTTTTGTTCACAATGTGTACATTTTTATGCAATTTTCTTTATGATACCCAAAGTAGTCATTAAAATGTTTTTCTTTAAAACTATGAAAAGTTAAAATTTCTTAACAAAAAGTATTGCTGCAATAATAAGGGGAAAAAAACAAAAAAAAAACAAAAACAAATGGGGAAGGAGCAAAAAATCATATTTATTGTTTAGTAAAATAACATCATATAAAGACCTAAAATTTTTATTTAAAATTGTGCGTTTTGAAAAATGAAAATTATAGACTTAATTTTTGAGTTCATTTTTTTTCTCCATTAAGTGTTAAAACTGCAATATTACTCCATATAAAATGTCCAAATGTCAAAGTTACGAAATAAATGTCACTGTCCCTAGCATGACTAAGCTATTTTTCCCATAAGCAGGTGTATATATATTTTTAAGCTTGTCACAAGCCATAAAAGAGATATGCGAGGAATATACACTTGTCTTAGCATTTTTTATTTAAAACAAATCCGCATTTTTGAAAAGAAGGGGATATATAAAGAAATGCTTGGAGGGGCATATCATTCTTTCCTCTATTTTCCATTTTGTTATTTAGTCATTTCTCTACCTAGCTATATATTATATATATATATATATATATATAAATATATATAATTATATTTTATTATTACCTTAATTGTTCAGGCAAAAAATTGCCCTTTTAACAGACCACGAGTTCTGCTGAAAGAAATGCTTCAAAAGGGAGGGGGAAAAAAAAAAAAAAAAGGTTTATATAGAAAAAAATTTACACACTTTTTATTTTACAATTGTGGTATATAATTTCTCCTTTTCTTTCCAAGTCTAAATTAAGACAAAATCTGCTTAAAAATGAGAAAAAAATGAATGCAAAAAATATTGAGATTAAGCAAAATGTTTTCTTATCGGACATTTTTTGCGACTCGGATAATTTAAAAGTAACTAAAAGAGGGTATATATGTACATGCACATATATAAAACACATATATATACAACATTTTTCATAAAATACAAATGCCGGAAAGAAAGAGCAAAGAGCGCTATAAGTACTGCAATTAGAAATACTTACATTGGGAATGTTTGTATTCATGCTTTGTTCTTTTTTTCTCCCTGTTCCATTTCCTATGAGATTTTTACATAAGTGTCAAAACATGAAAATGAAACTGAAACTTCTCACCCACAAATGCAGAATTTAATAAGAGTAAACCCTAAAAAAAGGGTACGGGAAAAAAACAAAGAAAAGAATTACTTGCCGGCCCAGCATTTTTCCTACGACAAAGAGGGTGATGATGGTGAGGGGAAAAAAGAAGGAAAAGTAGATAAATACATAGATAGACAAATATGTAGCTAAATAGGTGCCTAAATAGATATCTAAATAGGTGTCTAAATAGATAGCTAAAGAGATAGAGAGACAAGTAGGCAATGCAAAGCAGTAGATAATGAAACAGGTATATATCGCCGATAGCGGATAAGACCATTTTGCAATCACTCTTGTTTGCGCATCTCACTGAAAATAATACGCCATTTGTAAACTGTGCGAATGCAGACATTTTTAAAATAGAAGAAAATTACGATAGGGACTTTTCATCAAAGGAAAAAAAATGCAAGCTGTTCGTGCCATTCAAAAATAAAAGGGAAAGAGAACCTAGATTTATTACCATAGAAAAGGTAAAAAAGAAATACAAAAGTATCAATATATACGATGTATTGAATGATAAAATCAGCTGTCTCCATTCGGATGAAGTTAATTACAAGTGGGAAGACATAATAAACTACGAGGATTCTTCTTTTGATATATTCACAATTGACGAAATAGTAAAAGAATTGAAAGAAGAAGAGAATTCAGAGGAAGAAATAAGCGAAAAAGGTGAAGAAATAGAAAAAGACAAAGCGTCAAAAGAAGTAGATAATGATAATATAAAAAAAAAAAAAAGTATAATTCCATTTAAGGCAAAAGGAGTAATTTCACAAGAAATGAAAATTTTCCAAAGTGTTTTTGATGACATATATATATATGACTATGATTATGATTCGAATTTATTTACGGTAAAAAAGAAAACATCTAATGAATTTTTTGAAATTCATAGAATGCAATTTTTTTTTACAAGCGAAAACCCAATATTATATGTAGAAAAAATATTTAATGCTATTAAGAATAGATCTGCTAATTTGAAGAGAAAGGCGTACTATGCAGAAATTGATAACAAGTTTACAAACTTCAATTGCATAATGAATGATGTCCATGAAATTACAGAAAACAATTTAATCATAAAAAATTCAAATGATATTCAAAATATTGCAAACAATTTAAATAATTTCTGTAATATATGGCTAGGAAGAAGAATTTGCAATAATAAAATTTTTCAGTTTTCCGACAAATTAAACAAAAGGGGAAAAAAGGACATAAAATATTACAATTACGATTTTGAGAATAAAAAGAATATTATTAAGCAGTGTGTTCTCCTGGAAAACAAAAAAGTCATTAAAACCTTTTTGGATATAATAAAGAAATGTGCCTTGATTAAAATTCCTATATTTGACACTACTATTTCCAGTCCCTTCGAGATTAACGACTTTTTCCAAGCACAAAATACATCCGTTTTGAAGGTACATTTGGAGAAAAGAGCAAAAAATGAAAAAACAAAAAAAAAAAAAAAAAAAAATGAAGCAAAATTTAGATGAAGTAACTTTTGCAGTGAGATTCTAAGGGAGATGGGATTGTACTACACCACCAACATACCCCTACCCCAAATCACTAGTATCCTTTTATCTCACGTTTATAAACTCCCCATATATCCATCTTCTCACCCTCTTCGCTACCACCTCATAGTCCTTCGAGCAGGTTAACAACACCTGGATGGATGACATAAAATCGATCATAGAAGAGAACCTAAAAAATTGCACAAAAGGGAACTACAACTTGAAGGATATATCTGTAGAGACATTCAAATACACAAAAATAAGAATTTTTTTCAACATATTAAAATTAATTATTGAAAAAAAAATAAATGAAATACTGATTAGCAACGTGGACGAATTTGTAAATATATTTGTGCAAAATATCACAAGTTATAAGAACAACAAGAATTACATACCAATATTCGTAATTAATGTAACAAAAAAATTTGATTACTCCAGATTTATATTAGATAACAGTCCTATTTCTTTTTTTGAAAAAATTGAAGATCTCCTATTTTCAACATTGATAAAATATCAACAAATAGAAAAAATTGAAAAGTTAGTAATACCACAAGTATTTAAAAATGACAAATTTATTTTTTATAAATCCATGAAGGAGAGTGATAAATTCATATGTGAAAAGTTATTGCAAATAAAGCATATTTTTGACGAATCTAAAAACATCATAGATAATTATTTATCCAAAATTAACAAGCATTCAGACATTTTAAATTTTAATGTTAATGAAGCTATTAAAAACATTGACATAAATACAAGTGTTGAGCATATTCAAAATATTATAAACAAAAATGTAGACAAGATACAGAACATCAATGAGACCATTGAGGATAACATCAATTTGGGTATCTTCCGTGTTAAATGTAAAGATATTAAGCTTTTTATTATAAGTGAAATTAATAATTACATTAAGGCCTTGATCAATATTATTGTTCAGAGGTAATGTTCACGCAAAGTAATCTAAGTAAATGGGATTGAAGCGGGATGCCCATTAGAATACATTTCCTTTTGAAATATACTTCCTTTCAACGTTTACATAAAGGGGTAGTATATTCTATAAATACAGGTGGAGGGGGAAGGGATAGAGAACAAAAAAAAAAAAAAAAAAAAAAAAAAAAAAAAAAAAAAAAAAAAAAAAAAAAAAAAAAAAAAAAAAAAAATTTAAAAAAAAACTTATTTTAAAATTTAAAAAAAAGGGGGAGAAAATTCAAAAAAAAAAGGGGGGGGGGGAAGGGAAAAAAAAAAAAAAAAAAAAAAAAAAAAAAAAAAAAAAAAAAAAAAAGAAAAAAAAAACTAATTTATAATGCATATCCTAGTTTTCCTACCTATGCAATCTTTCCTCTTCACCATTATTTGTACTATTATCCCACTCCTGCAGATACAAAGAAAAATATACTTCAAATCTAATGTTTTACAATTCTATCATTGTGAGACTAAAAAAAAAGACAAACATAATTCAAGACATATACGAAAAAGAGGAGTATATAAAAGACATGAAAAAAAGTCTTGATTTTGTTTCACATGACATTAAAGAAATAAACATACTCTTTAACTGTTTGGATAAATTAAATTACAAATTTTCAAGCGATGATTATTTGTCCTATTGGAAGATAATAAACAGACCCAGCAAAATAGAAAAGATGGTGAAAGAAGTTAATGAACATATAATTAAACAAAAAAATGTTTTATTAGAAGAACTAATAAATGACGAATCGAAATTTCAGAGCAGCATTGTTGACATGAAAGAAAATGTACAATCCATTAAAAGTTTCAACGATGAAACTAACTATTTAAGTATTAATAAATTTATCTTGACAGTACAGAATCAGCTAGCTGTTTTGATAAAAGAGTCCAAGGAAATTAATTATCGAGAAAAACTCTTCAATATAGAAATATCCGATTTTTCGATACTTCTAAGAATTCAAAATGTAAGGGAGAGAATGGAAAGGGGGAGGGAGAGAAGGAGAGAGAAATCAACGCACGTTATTTTGTGTGTGTACAGTAAAAACTTTTGTGCATACCGAGGGATGACGAGTCAAATAAAGTCAGGTGATCACACATATCCCTAACAGTTCAACGACTGTCGATTCTGTTACCATAGTAGTTCACCTAGATTAAAGAACGAAACATAATAAAAAAAAAATAAAAACCACAAATACACACTCATCATAAGCCGCAAACACACACCCATCATAAACCACAAACACACACCCATCATACCATAAAATTTCTCTCCTTTCCCAGGAATTAAACCTATACTACACCTTTTGGCTGGTATACAAAAGCATAAAATCTATGGATGAACGATTTGACAAAAAAATAAATTCCTTGAATCATAAAAAAATAGAAGATGATTTTAACTTGATTCTTAAAAATATGAACAAAATTAACAAGCATGCCAATGAATATTATAAAAACAAAAACAGTTTAATAAAAAAAATGAACGAGAAATTAACATTCTTTAATTCATACGTTTCGCTGTTAATTTCTTTGAGAAATCCAAGTATAAAAGACAGACACAAAGATCAGGTAAGCCATTGAACAAGTTAAAGCTGACTTTTTTTTTTTTTTTTTTTTTTTTTTTTTTTTTATGCACAGTTCATGTAAATATACAGGAACAATGAACATAACCAGAAAAGTGTATATAATGAAGACTAATGAACACATATACATTCATTATACCCCTATTTCCATTTTCAGATAGCTCAAATTATTGATGAAAAAAACAGCATTGATTTCAACACGATAACATTTAACGAATTGTTGAAGTTGAATATAAAGAACAAAATAACTAGTATTATTAATATTTGCGAAAAGGCAAACAAAGAAAATTCTATTGAGAAGGTAAAACAAACAATAAACATTTATAGAGGAATTTGACAAAGGGGGATAAATATTTCTCATCTCGCGTCTAACCATAGAAAGAGAATATTCTTTCTCTCCATTTCCATTACATATAAACATATCTGTGGCTTTTTTTTTTTTTTTTTTTTTCTCAGTTTTTGGGGAAAATAAAAAACAATTTCAACAAAATTGAGTTTCAAATGAAACAGGAAGAAAACAACAAGATATACATAATATCCAACATGAATGAAATATTAACAAAAATAGAGGAAAATCTGGTCTTAAATCAGAATCTTCTCATAATAAACATTTACGAGATTTATCACATCGACATAATTAATAACCAAAACATGATGATAAATGCAAACAATATTATAAACACACTGAAGAAAAGCCAGAACCTGTTTTTGTATCTCAGCAGAATTTTTGTACTGACAGACATATCAAAACAACTGGCAAATGAATCCAAAAAGTGAGAACATCTAAATTGTGCTTATCGATTGTGTTGCCCGAAGATAATATGTGGCACCATCTTGATATGCAATTTTTTTTTTTTTTTTTTTTTTAATTCCATATTGAACGTGTAATCTAACTAGAGTTTGTTTTTTTTTTTTTTTTTTTTTTCCCCCTCTCCCCGCACAAAACGGTCTCTCCCTCAGGTACAAGCTAATTTACAGCAATTTTCTTAACTTGTACAAATTAATCGAAGAAGACAAAAAGTTAGAGAAATTTTGCGCAAGAAAAGATACGAAAGAAAAGCTAGCTGAGTTATATAACAATTTAAACCTACTTCTAAAGAGTATAAATGAGTATCTAGACCTGAAAAGGGAAATTTTTAACAGATTCTATTTCCTAAGCACAGATGACTTAATCAATTTGATATCATCAAATATAAATGATCAAATTAATACTTACCTATTTAAAATATTTAACAGTATATACAAACTCGTAATCATAAATGGACACATCGTAGCTTTTCAATCACAGAGAGGTGAACAGCTGAACCTATGTAATGAAATTCAAATAGAAAAAAAAGAGATTACACAAATATTGGTGCAAGTGGAGAAAGAAATGTTTTTTAGTGTGAAAAAACAAATATATGATAGTATATTAGAATATAAAAATTTGATAGACATAAAGGAAGATGATTTTTTAAAGAGTAATAATGAAATTAAGAATTACGCAAAATGTAATTCAGATGATTACAATTCTGCTGATTCTTCCAGTACCTTTTCCTCTTGTGACAGTTTGTTGAATGAAGCTTCCTTTACTTGGGGGGAGGATGCACGAATGCACCCCAATATAGAGAGAGGAACCATCCATGATAGGAACGAGACACATAATCGAAATGCATCATGTGAGAAAGCTACAGAACATAATAAGACAAACACGGAAAGGAGACAAGCCCTAGCACATTCATATGAACACGTGAATCCCCAAATTATGTTTTCTCTTAACAAGAATAGTCAATTCGTACTGATAATAAAAAACTTGTTTTGGTCTAACTTAGTAGAAATGTTCTTAAAATATAATAACTTAGGAAAATATAAAAAGATCTTGAATGAAGAACTGTATGAATATATAAATATAATAAACAAAGTAGACAAAAAAAAAAGTGTTCTCCTCCACACGTTAATTATATCATTAGTCCACAATAGAGATATATTAGAAGAATTAATTAAAAAAAGAGTAACAGATGTTAATAACTTTAATTGGTTAATTCAATTGAAATATTTTTATTATAATAAAAATTTATATATAAAATATTTAAACGAGTCCTACATTTATGGATATGAATATATTCATAATGATAATAAAATCATCTTGACAAATTTAATAAATAAGTACTTTATTTCTATATTACATTCGTATAGCTCCAAATTGGGAATATGTTCTGTAGGATTAGCAGGAACTGGGAAAACAGAGACCACCAAATATTTTTCAAAATTTGTAGGGAAATTTTACTTTGTATATAACTGTAGTTGTAATATAAATTTTGATTTTTTGAAAAATTTATTTTTTGGAATTGCAACAAATGGAATATTCTTCTGCTTCGATGAATTTAACAGAATATCCATTGAGGCACTCAGTGTCCTCGCTCAGCAGTTATGTAATTTGTTCAGTGCCAAATCTAAGAAGTTTGTTATGAACAGCTTTACGAGGGGGGCACAGAGCGGAAGCTTTGGACAGGATCTCGAACAGATTGGAAATTCTGAAAACACCGTGGGTGTTAATAATAACAATGATGATGCCGATGATGACGATGCTGATGATGATGATGTCGATGATGACGATGATGACGATGATGACGATGACGATGTCGATGTCGATGATGACGATGCTGATGCTGATGTGGATGAGAATAACCATAGTAACAATGAAAACAGTGAGTTTGGAGAACAAGGAAAAATACCTAAAACACACAATTTAAAAAAAAAAAAACAAGAAGATACTGAACCCAGGAAGATGTTGTCCCATCGAACAGGAGGAAGAAAGTACGCCAAAAAAAACTTGCTTTTTTTTGAAGGCAAATATATAAAAGTTAACGAAGAATTTAACATTTTTATTATAATAAATCCTTTTTATAAAGGTAGAAGTGCACTGCCAAACAATATCAAAGCCTTGTTTCGATTTTTTAATTTTATTAAACCAGACTTTTTTACTATTGTAGAAGTTATGTTATACTCCAAAGGGTATAAATATAGTAAAATATTGTCCAAAAAAATTATCCTATTATTTGAATTTTGTGAACATAATTTAAGCTATCAAAAACATTATAAATACGACTTGAGAACTGTTAAAAAAATTACCTATGTTATGGGGAAAATTATTGTAGATAAAGACAACAATAATCACAATAAAAACATTTTCTATGAATATAAATTTTTATTCATTGCTATTATTGAATGCATAATGCCTTCTATAGTAAAAAATGACATTTATATTTTCCTTACTATACTCAAAAATATTTTCTATGAATTGTATGCCTACAATCAGTCTCTCAACCCATCGAAAAAGATTCACACTCCTATTGATTTAAAGCATATCTTGTCTAGTAAGAGAAACAATGATAACAGTATTCTCATGTATTTGAAAAGCTTTTACTGTAATATGACGAATGATCAAAGGGAAGTTACAAATAAATCTAACAGGGGAATCAATGGAAACGAGAATGGAGAAGCAAAGTTCACACAATACAATGATGGTGATGCAATGGAAGAATGTCAGACTATGCAAAATAGAAGAGATGATGTAAATGGATTCGGGATGGAAATATCAAATGAAGTGTCCATCTATACTGAGAAGGGAGAAAATGAAAATGATTGTAATAACAAAAATAGGATAGCAAAAACAGCTCTTGAAGATAATGATCGTAAAAGCGAAAGGACCCTTTTGGGAAACACAAGGAAGGAAGAAAATTACAAATTGAGCAAATCATTTTTAAGCAAAAAAGAAATAGTTGAAGATTACTTAAAGAGAATGATAAAAAAGAAAATGTTAGAACTGAATTATGTATGCACAGATAGATATGTAAGTAAACTAATTCAGCTATATAATATGATAAAATTTCATACAGGGATATTATTTCTTTCATATCCCTTATCCAAGACAACATCGTATAAAATTTTAAAGAGAACAATAAATACCATCAACGATAGAGAAATAATAAAAAGGAAAATGCATGACTATGTTATAAATGCAAATGTTATGCGAGAAATGGACATGCTTGGATTTTATGAAGAAGTTTCAAATAAATGGGTTCATGGAATTTTAACAAAAAAAATATTAGAAATAAATTCAGAATATGATAGTAACGATTATCTTAACATTATATATTTTGATTGTTATTTACATTCCCTATGGATAGAAAATTTAAATTCTGTATTAGATGAATCAAAAATTTTATGCTTGTCCAAATGTGATATTATCCCCATTTATGAGCATACCAGGTTTATAATGGAAACATATGATTTGAAAGACATAACAATGGCGACAATAAGTAGATGTGGTTTAATAATTTTAAATAATTATGATTTGAATATTGCTTCGTATATCTGTTCATATATAAATTCGTTAACAAACAACTTTGATGTCATTCATAAGCATATTTTATTAAATTTGTTTATAGTATTTTTTTACAAGGCTTTACTATTCATAAGTATTAATAATTTGTTTATTTACACATTTAATGAATACTATTATTGTATTTCTTTCATCAAATGTATCGACAGTTTGTTTTCCTATTGTTCATTTGAAATTAACGATTCAAGTAGGAATGAGAGCTTTCAAAAGTACATCACATCTATTTTTATATATTCTCTTATTTGGAGCGTGGGTTCTAATACCTACAAAAGAGGCAGAAAAATTTTTAATGAATTTTTGTGCAAACATATTTTAAGACATAATTTGAAACTAACTTTCGAAACACTGGAGGGAAAACTTATACATATTCGCGAATTCAATGAAAGCAATAGTATCAACTCACCGCATTCATCTCAGAACACCAAAACAGCTCAGTCTTATCTGAATAATACCTTGTCTACATCTATCAAAGAAGCAGGAAATACCAAAGCTATGAATGGGGAAAATTCCAAATTTCTCAAATTTATCGAGACTAATGGTGCAGATGGTGGAGGAATCACGGGTACTATAAAAACAAATACCATCAAGAGTGATGTCACAAATGAAAGGGGACAAGACGAGACTCACAATTTACATGCACATGAGAACGATGGTAGTAGAATTGGAAATTGCAGCATAAATGATAGTAGTGATAGCAATAGTGATAATGAATCTGATATAGACATATACAACGAGAAGAATGAATGCGTGGACAAATACTATGAAAATATCAATAACATATATGACTACTACCTACGAACTTATAGAAAATGCAGGAACTTGTTTAAGAACTATGATTTACGTATAGAAGGGGAAAATGATTATATGTTTTCCAAGTGTTATGGAAATTGCAGCTCAGATTCTAACTCAAGCAACGATGAGAGATACATGAAAAGGAAGAGAAAGAAAAAGAGAAAAACTTGCAATAACGAACATGCCTCAGGAAATGTGGATGACATAATGAACAATGTAAGTTACTACAATGATGTGTACAGATTAACAGAAACAGTAAGTGAGAGTAGAAGTGGATATATTTGCGAATCTCCAAGTGGGAATAGAGAAGCGAAACTAGGATTGAACTTATTTGATTTTTACTTCAAATATGAAAAGAACGTCTTGAGTCATCTGAACAGCAAGGAAAATAAATTTACCATGATAGAGGAATACATGAATAACACAGAGATAATGATCAAACAGAAGAAACACATGTCGATGCTGTACAATATTGATATATTCATGAAAAACAAGAAGAATGTTATAATATCTGGTTGTAGCAATATCGGGAAATCTCTAACTGTGGATTATTACCTAAATAAGGTAATGCAAAAAGATAGGTTTTTTACTGTTGATTTTTATTTTTCCAATAGCACCACGAGTAAACATGTGAGAAATTATATCGAATCAAAATTGACAAAGAGAAGAAGTAATTTCTACGGAACGACCAATAACAGAATTTGTGTTTTTTACATTGATGATATAAATATCGAAACAGAAGTAGGATCTATAGAGAGAAGTCATTATTTATCTTCTCATGAATTTTTAAGAATGTTATTTAATTATAAATTTTTCATTGATCAAAATTTGAACGTAAAATATGTAGAAGATTTAACATGTCTAGCTACTATGAATAATGCATACACAAATACCACCCCCAGTAGTAGACTGTATAACAACTTTAATATTATTTACTATAATAATTATAATTATAAAGAAATATATCACATATTTTTTAGTTATTTGAATAGCTTATTTAGCGCATACGACATTAGCATTAAAAGTTTAGCGAACCATTTAATAGGAATGCAAATAGATATTTATAAACTTGTGAAAGACATGAAATATAATTATTACTACTACAATGTGGAAGAAAATAATGGAAAAGAAATTTTTTTACATTCTTTTAGTATAAATAATATTAAAAATATTTTCAAATACATTAACTATTTATCTAAAAATATAAATACACGAAAAGAACAAATGTTACTTTATTTTCTGTATGAAAATAAATCTCTTTACGTGGAAAGTTTTAAGTCCAAAAATGCTAAAAAAAAATGTGAAGAAATTATTAAAACAATTTTTAAAAAATATTTTTATGAAGATGAATATGAAAATTTATTTAAAGAGTATGATAATAATCTCCTTTTTTGTAATTTTCTCAATCTATACCAAAGTGTGTATGAACAAGTGTACGATTTAAATGATCTTTACAACTGTGTGCATTCTTATATATCTGAATATGGCAATAGTGAAAAAATAAACCTCATTCTATTCGATAATATACTCACATACATATGCAAAATCACCAAAACATTTATGACAGAAAATTCGCATATACTATCCATTGGTATAAATGACTCTATTAAAAAAAGTGTGAACAAAATTTGTGCCTTCATAATTAATAAAACGTTGGTCTTGTCAGAGTTAAATAAAACTAGTAAATCTGTAGCGTTTATAGAAGAAATTAAAAGATGCTTATTCGATTGTGGTATTTATGAAAAGCAATGTATTTACTACCTGAGCGATGAAAATAGTATCCTAAATTTCATGTTAGAAAATTTGAACAATATTTACAATTATGGAGATAGCTACCTCCTATACAATGAAGACAATTTAAAAAAAATTTACAGTGAATGTAAAAACAAATGTGAAGAAGAACACCTCGTTAGAAACTTAACAAATATTTATAGCATTTACAAAAAAAAAATTCGAAAATGTTTTCACGTAAGCTTAAATATTTCCACCAATAGCTCAGATCAAATTCTCAAGTACCCCTACATTCTCAAAAATTCTAGTATCATTTATTTTGAGGAAGATAACAATGAAGGGCTACACATTATTACAAAAAATTTCTTCAAAAATGCTGAGGAGGTGAAGAAGGGCCAATTGCAAAATGAAGATAAGCCCATGGAGAGGGTGGAGAAAGAAGCAGTGGTGGAGTGTGAGGAGGGAACTGATAGAACAGACCCAACTGATGGAATGCACAAATCAATTGGCGAGGGGAGAATCGAGGCGTGTGAGAAACATCGCCTTGAGGGTTGTAATAGGGATTCAGGAAGCAACATGCTGCAAGAAATCGATCTGGAAATGGTTAACCACGACAAAGAACTCAAGTGTGTCGAAGGAATAATAGAGAGTAAAGTATTTATCCGAATCCATAAGGAAATAATTAATTTGGCAAAGAAATATGAGGAGGAAAAGAAAGTACGAATGTGCATAAATTCGAACAAGTATGTTCATTTTTTGCACTACTTTGACTATTTCTATAATTTAAAGAAAATGGAATTCGATAAGAATATTGACCTGTACAGTAAGGCATTAAAAAAACTACACAAGTGCGAGCAAGATATAAAGACAATGAAAAATTATTTATTAAACATGCAACCTGTGTTGAATAGCACAAATATCGAAATGAAAAAAAAGGTAAACGAAATAGAAAGAAAATCAAAGGATGCATATATAAAACAAACAGAAATTAAAAAGAAAGAAAATGAAATGAAAACAAAAATAATAAGTATTACAGACTTAAAAAATGAAGTAAATGAAGAAATATCAAAAAGTTTTGCCTTGCTAAATGATTCATTAAACAATTTAAATAAATTAAAAGTTGAACATTTAAGAGAGTTGAAAGCATTTGTTAATCCACCTGCAATTGTCGTTATGGTCATACAATGCATTTTAACATTCCTAAAAGAAGATGAAAAATATTTACAAGGAAAATTAATCAGACCTAAGACACTAAACTATTGGGTTCTAGCACAAAAAACTATTTTCAGAGATTCTAAAGTTTTCCTAGATAATCTGAAACATTACGACAAAAATTTAATCGAAGAAGAAATGATAACCAAGATTTCTCCACTAATTAAAAATAAAAACTTTAATCCCAAGTTTGTACGAAAGGCATCAAAAGCCTGTGAAACGATGTGTCAATGGATTTTGGCCATCTATCATTATTTTATTATTAATAAAGATTTACAACCAAAGAAAGATGAAGTTGTTACATTAGAAAAAGAAATAAATAAGGAACTAAACTACCTAGAAATTTGTAAAGAGGAACTGAGCATTGTCAACAACAATTTAAATATTATCGAAAAAGAGAAAGAAGAAATTATGATAAAACAAAATGAATTAGTAAATAAGATAGAAAATATAAAACAGAAAATTACAAGATCAAAAATTATTCTCTCTTACCTTCTAGAACAAGAAATAAAATGGAATAATAAAAAAAAAAATTTCATAAAAAAAAGGGATCTACTTGTTGGAGATTGCATAATTGTATCGTCTCTCATCAATTACATGTCTTATTTTTCTTATGAATACAGAGCAATTATTAAATTAAAAGTTCAAAAAGTTCTAAACATGCATAACGTTGAATATACAAAAGGAATTTCCATTTACAAATTTCTAGAATCCAAAATTAATATAGAAAAATGGATATCTTATGGATTAACTAATAGCAAGTTTTATTTCGAAAATATTGTCATAATGAATAATAGTATCAAGTACAATTTGTTAATAGATCCACATTTCATAGTTACCAATTTTTTAAAAAAATTTTATTATAAAAAAAAAGATGTACAAATTTTGAGAAATAATAGTTCTAATTTTATTGAAAAAATAGAAAGATGCATGCAGTTCGGGAATATCATCCTTTTTACACATTACGACGATGACTCCAGCGTTCTCTTTAGTTCCCTCTTTAATTACAAAATTAACAAAAGTTTAAAATGTTTTCAAAGCGAGAGCAATGGAGGAGAAGGAAGGGGAGACGAAAAGTACTTAGGCAAGCGTACCACTTTTGTCAGTTCTCTCCAACCAAATGTGATGAGAGCAGAATGTTTAGACACATCAAACGGAAAAATCAATAATGCAGAGGTTGTAGGATGCACAAACGAGACAGTTGAACCGCACATGAACCTCACTAACAAATCTCCACCAGAGAAGAACAAGGAAAAAAGGAACAAGAGTGCAAAAGACAATTGCATAAATTTTAACAATAAAATAATAACAGTAGATAGCTCCTTTAACATTTATTTTATCGTTTATGGAAACAGCTGTTTTGATGAAAACACACAGAATCATTTAAACATAATCGATTTTAACATTAACTTAAGAATATTAGAAGAATATTTCTTGGAAAATTTAATAGAGAAATTATTTAAAAGTTCCAATGAAAATAAAAGTGCATTAATTCATCAGATTCATGATTTAAATAATGAAATGATAAATAAAGAAAACGAAATTTTACACATTTTAAATTATAAAGAAGACATCCTAAGTGACGATGATATTGTCATTAGTTTCGAAAATGCAAATAAAATATTCCATGAAAATGAAAAAAAAATTAAAGAGTATAAAATCAACAAGAAGGAAATTATGAAAATAAGAAAAAATTACATTAGTATATCAGAACATATATCTGTCATATATCATTGTATAAACAATTTAGTTACACTAAATACTTTATACAATTTTTCAATTATAACCTTTGTGGAATTACTAAACATTTGTATTGACAAATCGGAAGAAAACAAACTCCTCGATAAGAGAAAAAAAGACATATTAAACATTTTTACGAAAAAAATACATTATGAAATTTCTAGAACCTTATCTGAAAAGCATCAGCAAATTTTCTTTTTCTACCTCGTGTGCATGATAAACATATATAAGGGAGAAATCGAGTATGATGATTATTTTTTCTTTGTGTATGATGATTATCCACAAGAGTCTGGTGTCAGAAATGAGGTAGTCCTAATGGTGCAAACAAAATGGAATGAAAAATGTAAGGGAAAAAATGATTTAGGAAATACAGCTGTAGTGGATCCTTCCATTTTGAAGGATCCATGTGATAGTACTATTAGAGGGGAAGAAGAACCCAGCTCTGACGAAGATATGGAATCAATGAGTGAAAATGAAAATGATATTCTGCTGGACAATGTGTCTATACATAGTCTCGAGTCCAATGTATACAATTTTGAGGAGGAGGAGGAGGAAAAATTGAAAAAATGCAAAACAGGAATCGGATACAAGAGTAAAAGGAAAATAATAACAGAGATGAATCCTGGTGATCTCAAAAATAGTGTCATGGAGGAGTACCTTTTACTTCCGAAGAAAAATTCAAAAGATGATTTCCTAAACTTGTGCGAAGATAATATATTACTTGAGAAAGGAGCAAATGTACACAATAATGAATCAGATGAACGGTTTGAGGGAAGATTAGATGCTGAGGGAGGAGAGGTAGCAAAATTTACTTTCAATTTCGAAACGAAAAATTTGTCTTGGTTAAATGCGAAAGAATATATGAGCGTGAAGAAATTAATAAAAAAGGAAAAATATTTTTTATTTTTTAAAAAGGTTTTTAACGAATATGAACATATTTTTAGAAATATCAAAACAGATCACACAATATTGCAACACAAGGATATCAAAAATTTACTAACAAATTTCGAAAAACTAATTATTTATAAAATTTTTCGCTTTGATATACTCAAACTGAATATGAATAATTATGTAGACACATGTTTGAACATAGGTTCACAAAGTAATCCAAAAGATTTGTACAAATGCTATGAACATTCATCTAAAAATAAATTAATTTTAATTTTGTCTGAACATCGTTTAAACACAGCTAGCGAAGTTATGCTACTAAGTGAAAAAATTACTGGAAAGAATAACCTAATAATTTATAACAAAAATGACAAAAATTATTTGCTTCAGATATTAAACGATGCTATTAAAAATGGATTCTGGGTTCTAATCGAAAATGCACATCTGAACATTCACCTCATATTAGAAATTGAAAAATATATAGAAGTATGCAACATTCAGTATTCCAACCCAGACTTTAGGATATGGATAAGTACTAGCTCTGTCAAACATTTCCCAGATTATCTGCTCAAGCTATGTGTAAAAGTTACCTTTGAAAATGTGCACAATTTAAAGTCCGGTTTGTTGAATATTTACACGAACGTGGCGCAAGAGCTAGAGATGGACGATGAGGTGGAGGAAGAAGAAGAAGAAGAAGAGGAAGAGAGAGAAGTTGAAAACGAGCAGAATGATGAGGAGTATCATGGAGAGGAGAAAAACTATATACAAGAGGATCAGTTAGAGGTAGAACGGTGCGATGGGGAATCTTCGCAAAGTAATAACGACAACGAAAATAATGTTAATGTGGAAACATCGTGGAAGAAAAAAGATGAAAGAGAAAAATTCGTAAACCATGGAGGAAGGAAAAAGGAAAAAGGGGTAGTTCCTAGAAGAAAAATCAAAAGGAACACAAAAAGAAGCGAAAATGAAAACATCTTGATGAATAAGCTAAATTTCAGTTTGTGTTTTTTCCACGCATTAATACAAGAAAGGAGTAAATTTAAAAGCAAAGGATTCAACAATTGTTACGAATTTACAGACATAGAATTAAAATTATCTAAAGAAAATATAAGCAAATTTTTTAATAATAAAAACCTAGACATAAATCTGTTAATATATTTAATTGGAAATATTATTTATGGTGGAATAATAATAGATGTAACAGATCAAAGATGTTTTAATATTATTTTGAAAAAATATATAAATGAAAAAGTTATATATTCAAATAATGAATATAAATACAATAACTACTACTACTGTCCTCACAGTTCAAACAAAAGTATTTTTTTAAGGTATATAAAGTCATTAAATTTTATCACTGATTTTTCTATTTTTAATTTACATTCATCTCTAAACTCTTTATATTTACAAAATTATAATTTAAAAATCCTAAAAAATCTAGAAAAATTAGAATATAATGTAACAAAGGAGAAAACAGATATCCATATATTTTCCATTATTGATGTGTTAAGACAGATTCTACCTCCTTTCATAGATTCGAATACATTAAATGATTCTTTCTTAAACAATTTAAATTGTTCTATTATTACATTTTTAAAAATGGAAACAGATAAATATAACAGTTTACTCAGAATAATTTACGATGATTTGACTAGTATAATTAATTTTGTAAAAGGAAAAATTAATTTCAAAAACATTTCTCACACGTACAATTCTATATCCAATTTGTGCGTACCTAAGAGATGGATTGATAGTTCCTTTTTTACCAACCTGCAGTTATTTCATTACGCAAAATTGATTAGACAGAAAGTTTCCTACGTAAGCAGATACATAAGCAACTTGGACAACCGGATCTTTAACTTGGCTGCCTTCATGTCCCCTAGGGTGAGCACAGCGATAGATTTAGCAATAGGTGTAGCGACCCGTTTAGCAATAGGTGTAGCGACCCGTTTAGCAATAGGTGTAGCGACCCGTTTAGCAATAGGTGCAGTTACCCGTTTAGCAATAGGTGCAGTTACCCGTTTAGCAATAGGTGCAGCTACCCGTTTAGCAATAGGTGTAGAGACCCGTTTAGCAATAGGTGTAGCGACCCGTTTAGCAATGCGTTAATAAACGTGTTTCACGTGTTCAGCAATATACTTTCTCGTGTGGAGGGTTGACAACCTCGTCGAGGTCTTGCATGCCCCTCTCTCTTAACGCTGGTGTAACGGATATGTAACAAGTGTGCACACGAGGCCGTATACATGCTAAATTACACACTCTGTTACACACCATTTCACTTTAGAGCCTAATGCTAGCCATTCGACAAAAAATTTGCAATGAAATAAAGATGGATGCAAATAAAGTAAAACTAAAGTACGAAATTTCTTCATACTACAACGAGGAAGATATAAAGGAGGAAGGGTATTTTGTTGGTGGATTATTCATAGAAGGAGCAATGTTTGATGTCACTAATATGATCATTAAAGAGTCTACAAACAAACACCTCTACTGTCCCATGCCTTATATCAAAATATATTTCCTCACGAGAAAGTCGTCTATCCTTATGCCTGTCACCAGGTACATTCACAAGCCTGCCGCGAAGTCTGCTAATAAACTTTGTGTTAAAAACAGAAACCACAGTTCCAATTTCCACATTTTCAAGTGCCCCATATATAAGAATATACATAAAACGGGTAAGTAAAAGCTCATTGCATGTTCGTCTTCTCTCTCTCTCGTTCCATCCCCACCATTATCTCCAACTATTTATTAATGTTAAAAAATGGGTGTTTTATTACTACATATCCACAAATGCTTATATATACGTGTGTACTTTACAGATATATACTACACCCCCTTTGCCTTACTCTTCAGACAATCACCTAAATAACAGCGACCCTGTATTCTACTTAAAATTAAATTCGAAGGAGAGAAAGGAAAAATGGATCGAACGAAATGTATCCGGTGTTTTAATATTAAAATGAGAGATGTGCTGAAAAAAAGAAAAAAAAAAAAAAAACACATGTGGAGATAGGTAGATTTAATAATGTGACAATTCTAAATATCAAGTAATGTGGATCATTTTGCATTGTGTCCCAGTTATTTTCCTCGTCTTGTAAACCTTGCGGGTGCCGCAATGCAGTTATGTAGTGGTGTAGTAACTATTTTTTTTTTTTTTTTTTTCCATTTCTCCACCCTCCATTATGTATCCCACAGTATGAACTTAACCCTTCTCCATGAAATATAAGTATAAATTTTATTCACGAATGTGTATCTTTCTGTATTTTCGAGATATTGGAAAAAAAGGGGAATTTTTCTTCACTGTTGTGCCTTTAAAAAACATATGCACTGATTTTACAAATTCTCGTTACAATGATTAAATATACACTTATTGGACTAGTGACACAAAAATGGTCAATTCTCCAACTATACAATCGAAATAAACTTTCTTAATTTATATCTCTTCACTTTTTGGAAAGCATAACAAATTGTGTAAATCATTACAACACAGCGCTTCACGTTTTATGCAAAGTAAAAAGACCTACAACGGTGATACCATTTGATAATTTCATCAAAATATTGACTACTATTAAAAAATTTCCAAAAATGAAACAAAATTGCAGAAATATTCACATGCACTGGTTTTGAAAAGTACCTTTTTGTAGGACTTATCACCCGTTGGGTTTTTCAAGCGCTAAACCCTGAAAGAGGAAAACAAAAAAAAAAAAAAAATATATGTAAATGAAAGCCTCAGCAGGTGGCACAAATAAATCCTAGTAAATTACGAACCAAAATAGGTAAAAAAAAAAAAAAAAAAAAAATTCATACATGTTGATATGCATTATCCCGTAGCAAGAATACTCGAATTGGAATAATATACCCATGCTTAAGTGTAAAAAAATTTCCTTTTTCTTTTTTATTCTTCACAAAAAAAAAAAAAAAAAAAAAAAAAAAAAAAAGCAAAAAAAAACTTGGATTGACGAATTTAGCAAAATTACCAGGTCTCATATTATACCAAAATAACACCACGAATGGAAAACAAATTTTATGCAATGACATTGTGATATCGTGAAAATGTTTTCCCTTTAAGAATTAACCATATGTTATTTACTTAACTGCACAGAATTTTACCGAAATATACAATGTATATGAACAGTAGATGCATAGCACGTAGGCCACATGTAGGTCCCAAATACATGTACGAAAGAGGTAGAGCACCCTTAGTTACACTACAACTTTCCTTACAGAGCAAAGAAATGAATAAAATACCTAAGCTGAACAAGGGAAAACTTACATTGGTTAATAGTAAAAGAGAGTTATCCCATTTTAACAGTGTGCTTGAAATAGGTGGTTGCTATTATTATGACCCCTTTACCAAATATAGCAAAAATGAACAAATAAAATGTTACAAAAATATAAAGAGAAATATAGGAAGTTGTGTAGAGCATCAGAACAATATTTTATCAAATAAAAGGAAAAAATATATATACCTTTATGCCTTAATTTTTACTGGTATGTTTGGATATGCTACCCTAAAATGGAACGAAAAAAGAGACATTAAATATTTCCTGAACGAAATGAAAGAAATATCAGATGACATTTTTGATAAACTAGATAACATTGTGTTATTCGTGTTAGATAAAAATAAATTAGCTGAAGAAAAAAAAAAAATTCAAGAAATTAAAACTGAAATTGAAAAACTAAACATTAAAAATATTAATTTCCTCTACACACATCATGAGGAAAGCAAAGATTATGCATGCTATTTGTACAAAGGAAGACGCAGGAGAAACATAACTAAGGACGAGTTTAGTGTCACCTCCATTAAGGACATTGTTGAGCCCTTTTTTACACCACTTAGTGAAGACTACGAAAAGGTGAATGAGGGAAACAATGACAATTTTCCAGTATGCGTAACACATGATACGTTTGAAAAGGAGGTAGGTAGAGAAGAAGCACTTGAACTTGGAAAGAACCATTTAAAAAGGAAAAAAACAATGTCAAGTGGGGGAATTACGTTTTATGCGCTATCCCTTCCCTCGTATCTTTAACTTTGCACATGTATAGATATATTTAAATTGTTCTTTCCACCCCGCAGATCATTGAAGACTCGAAGAAAAATGAAATACTTCTGGTTATGTTTGAAAATACCTGCTTCTTATGCTTTCTATACAAGCCATTTATAAATACTCTACACAAATTGTTTAAGGAGAACAATGTAAAGTTTTTTTATGATTAAATGTTTTTTTCGGAGTTCTGTTTTTTCCCCAATTATGAAACATTTTATTTTTTTTTTCCATTATTTTATTATTATTTTTTTCTTTTTCCTTTTTTTTATTTTATTTTATTTTTTCTTTTTTTTTACTTGGCTGTTTGTAGATTGAGCTAAAGCTGAAGAAGTATAATATAGAGAAGAATGATTATGCGCCCAATATGATAATCTGTAGGGGGACTCCAACGTTTTTGCATTATCACAAGTATTAAGCTTTACCATTAATCCATCTTCACGTTATGCTCACCAGCTTGCACAATGCACGTATTTATGCAAGTGTGCATATGCATATTCATATGTATTGCACGCACAATTGTTTATTTGCGTGCCCCATTGCTTAACTCGTTTTCATTACACCTACTCTGCAGCGGAAAGGGGAAAAAATTGGATGAGTACAAACCAAATGATTTAATCAACAAAATAGACCAAGTAAGTTCTCCCGTCTTCGCATACACTTTTCTTTTACGTATACAAATTGAATTACGTTATTTTAAACTTATATCCATTATTTGCAGATTATTAAATCCCCACAAAACATTAAAGAACAAATGATTGCGAAGGCAGAGTTAATACATGCAAGGATGCATCAGTTTGGTTATCTAACTATGTGGTATGTTTTTGTCACAACGTAGTTATTAACTTTTTTCTTTAAAAGTAGCACACACATGTTCAGTGCGTATATTTATATACATTCATACATGTTCAACGTCTTTTTTTTTTTTTTTTTTTTTCCCATCTTTTTGATAGGATGACCGAGTCGAAAATTATAGAAAATATGCTTATAAGAAGACACATAAAGGATATGCCAAATGTATAAACTATCTCTAATAGAGAACATGCATATACCATGTATTTCTATATATATATGTGTGTATATGCTCATTTGGAAGGTGGTGTCCCATTGGGGAGGTCGCGCAGCACGAATTTATATTCATTAAGTTAGCGAAAAAACATAATCTCATGCGTTACAAGCATTACATAGTTGTGAAATTTTCTTTTCTCTCGCAGAACAATGATGATGATATCGTTTACAATGAAATACTAACGGCCCTTATAGAAGAAGATATACAAAGAAATGATTTAATTGAAGATAGCTTGGATTATACCAAGGAGAAAATAAAAGCAGCTGAGAAAAGTTGCTTTGTAGCAGCTATGGTAAGTTTTGTTAGCACGCTTCATATGTGATTGAACTTATATGTATACAGATAGGGTGCATATACACATAAGTATACTTATATAAATCTGTGCAACTGATGAGGTCACAAATAAACAATGTACATGTATATGATAATTAATACACTTGTATGGGGACAATTTTTTTAATTTTTATTTTAGATGATGGCCAATGAATTAATTGATGAAGAAAAAAAGAATTATAATGTGAATTAAATGGTTTTATCTGTTCAGAATTTTTTTTTTTTTTTTTAACAGAAATTATGCACAAAAAAAAAAAAAAAAAAAGATAGGTAATAATAAAAAATGATCACAAAAAATAGAACATTAACACTCGAAATAGTGCCCCCCCCCAAATTAAATGTACCAGTTACAACTATAGATTTGGCATTTTTTTTTTTTCTTTGTTAATTCAGTAGCAAGGCTACACACATTTAAAAATATAAAAAAAAAAAAAAAAAAAAAAAGGATAAAATGCATGTACATTCAGAAGGTTATTTAAATATTAAATAGCTATTTTGCTATATTTAAAATTTTTTAAAGTGTGTAAAAAAAAAAAAAAAAAAAAAAAAAAAAAGCAGCTTAATTAGCTTGTTTTGTAGAGTGTAAATATAGAACAAGTTTGAAGTCTTAGATCAAATAGTTTGCGTTAGTTCCAAGTATGTTTGTCAAGAAGCAAAAGGTCTTATTATTGCTTGCATGTATACAGACACATGTGGAACCTATGAGGGGGTTATTTTTAGAATTTTGAACAAGATATATGTATGTATATATATACATGTTTATATTTTACTCATCCACCAATTTTAAATTCCCGTTTTGCTTTTCTAACAACGTAGCATTTATTCGTTATTTAGACAGAGGTGGGGAAAAAGGAAAATATATATTTTCATGTTTAAAATTTTTTTTTGCGTTTTTTATTTTTTGAGTAGATTTAAATTTAGTATACTTTGTTCCCCTTTTCAGTCTCTATGTTTTAAACGTAGTTTTTTTTTTTTTTTTTTTTCTTTTTTTTTGTTGTTTTAGTTTTTAGTTTTATATCAATTTTTCCTTTTATTATTGTCCCCATATTTTTATATTTTTATGCCTTTTATTATTTCGTTTTCATCGTGCTATGGTGCGCAGATGCTTTGCATTTACCACCTTTTGAATTTTACACGTAGATATAGCTAAACAAACGTTTAAATTTCTTTTGTCATTTTGAAGCCGGACATATTCCTGTACGAACCTTTGTTTTACAACGCTCTTAACTGCCAATGCAAATGAGAAACGTTTGATATTTTTCTTCTTTTTAATTACATAACTGATTTTGTTTAATTAAGAGGTGTTTTTCTTTTTTTATTAACGCAAATCCATGTTTTATTGGTGATGTTCCAGAAGATTTTTGATCGAATGAATTACTTTTGGGCATACCATAGTTGGAGTTAAACTGGACAATCAATGATGTTACATGCGCAATGCGTGAATATATATGCATAGCACACACATGTATGCACAGTACACACATATACATAGTACTCCAACACACATTCACAAAAGCACTCCAACACATATTCACAAAGCGCGCACGCGTACTCCCAGAGCTATTGAGACCATCTACAAAATGGGGAAGTCCAAAAAACTAAAGGACCTAGTAAAGAATGTTCAGTTTTTCGTCAAAAAATGCAGAGAAAAAAATAAGAAATTGCTATCCATGAGTAGTCTGGATGAAAAAGATGAAGAACAAAATTCTGGAATTTTTACGGATGACAAAGCAAATGCTAATAAAAGTTATAGGGAAAATTCAACTGAAAATATTTCCAAAGGATCAAGCGAATCGAAGTTTGATATGCACACAAAATTAGGCAGTTTGTATAGCAGGGACTTGAGAAGAACACAGACACAAGGCAATTTTCATAGCTTATTTGACTATTTAGACAAAACAAATTGTAATAAAATCATCAAGTTGAAAGCAGATGGAGGAAAAAATGGAGTCGAAAAAAGTGAAGAGAATGTTTTTAAAGGTTTACCAACCAAAGATGAAGAACAATTACAGGGGGAAAAAAGTGATATCAGCAGCGTAGAAAGTAAAAAAGAAAAATCAAAAGACAAAAAAATGGAAGATGTAAAAAATGAAATCATGGAATATGATTTACACCTTTTGAATATATACAAAAAGTTAGAAAGGGGGTCGAAAAATGGAAAACTATTTGGAAAAAACGGAACAAAGAAATCAAAAAAGAATACGAAAATGAAGACGAAAATAAAAACAAAAACGAAGAAGAAAACGAAAACAAAAACACTGAGGACCTACGATTCGGAAATTTTGAATATAAAGAATGAATTTAATTTGACAAGGGGCACGTCCCATGGGAAGGGGAAAACGATGAAACTGGCTAGTGGAGGGAATGAAGATCAAGATATGGACAAGGAAGAGATGGCCCGTAAGAGCATAACCCTAAACGGACGAAAAAGCAGAGGTTTGAAAAAAAAAAGTCACGAACAACTAATTGAAATAAAGAACAGTTTCTCAGGAAATAGCGTAAAATTCGACTCTAGATGCTCCTCTTTAGCACATGGAGAAGAAACCTTTTCCAAATATCTTCAGATAGGTTCTTCCAAAAAAGCGTCCGATGATTTTTATTTTTTTCAAGGATTATCAAACAGATTAAACAAAAGGAGTAATACGTCCTCGTATGATATTGGGTGTATGTATATGAACAATGCTGCAAGTACAAAAAGTTCTAAAGAGTTGGGTAAAAAAAGACATCCTAGAGAAGTTACTACATTGCTGAATAGCTCGAAAAGTCTTCATCGTTTTAAATTTTTAAATGATAATAAAAAGAACATTGAATATTATAAAAAGATGATCGATAGTTTAGAAGGAACAGTTGCGAAATCGAAGAAGAGAAGTAAGAATAAAATCAATAGTGCTACCACTAGTGGTACCAGTTCCATAGACAGCATTATTAAAATAATAAATTGTTTGCTTCATGATTATGTACCAAAACTGATTGATAGGTATGAATACTATATGAATACCCTGGATGACAGAAATAAATTATTGAAACAGAAAATTAAAGAATCCTTAGATTTTGGGGATATTCAATATGAAGAAATTCGAGAGTTAAAATCTCAAGTAATGCAAAAAAATCATGAAAATAAAAAATTAAGTGATAAAGTGGAATTATTAAAAGATAAATTGACATACATTAACGAACTGGAATTAAAAAATGCAGAATACCTCGACGAAATTGTGCTCATGAGGAATAGAGTAACCTATTTGGAAAAATTAATAGAAGAAAATGATCAGTCAAAGGAGTCACATGAACTTCGAAAGATGCGTCGTAATTTAAAAAATATATATGATAGAATGAGGACCGAAATGAGACACATGCATACATTAAAATCGAAATATTTTAAGAGGTACAAGAGGAGGAAATTTTCTATTAATAAGTGGATGCGCTTGAAGGCAAAAATAAGCAAACAGGATTTGTGTTTCTTCACGAGTGATGAAGGGGTTAATTCAACCATTACTATCCTTACATCGAAGGAGGGTGAGAAGTGTACCACTTCTGAACTTGTTGAAAAGGATACTCATACTGAGGGGGAAGAGGAGAAGAAGAAGAAGGACGACGAATCATCAGAAAAAAAGAAAGACACTCAAAAACAGTACGCAGATAAAAATGTAGACACCAGTGATATGCAGAACATAGTTACTTCGACAGATGGAGTAAACTGCAATGTGCTATGTATGCATACCCAAGAGGCAATAAAACTTAAGAAAAGCAAAGTCAAAACAAAGAATAAGAAAATAAACACCATTTTAAGCAACTACACATTTATGGAATTACTAATGAGGGAAAAAAAAATGGAAGCGGAGAAAAGAAATAATAGAAGTAATAATATTTACACCTTAATACCAAGTGAAAGTTATCCTTACTATCATTACTTCTACAGCAACGTTTTATCTGCTTCGAAGGTTAGCGGTAATGCTGATAAATATATCAAAATGTTCCCTAGTTATGATGAAAAAAGATTCAAGTTTGTTTCTCCTGATAGGGTGACACTTTCACAGGAAAATTATTTGTCCCTTTGTGATAAATTGAAAGAGTGTTTCTATGAGACATATTTTCATCAGTGTACCAATGAACCATGTAATAGTGGAAATATTAATAGTGTACTACTGAACGAGGATGATCCGGACATTTTTGAGAAGAGCCTCCTCCATTCATGCGATGTTTCACCTGACCAGGAAAGGGAAAATAGAAAAAAGGAGAAACCAGGAAATGATTACTACGTTGGAGATCAAAGTCAAATGATGATGAGGCCAAACAAATGGAGAAGCCTTTTCTGGAGTGAAGGGGTAAGTAAAAGCGATGATAGTTCCATATACTCAAGGAGGAACATAGGGAAGAATAAATGTTATAAACTACCTTTCGATTGTTGTGTCAGATTGAATAAAATGTTGATAAGGAAAATGAAATGCTCCCCTTGGGGATATAACAATTTAACGGAAAATGAACGTAGTAACAGTTCAAATAAAAAACATAGTGCTAGGAAAAAATCGAACATATCAAATAATTCCTCCTCAGAAAAAAATGATAAATTTAAAATGACAAAAATTGTAAGAAAAAACAATTTATTCTTACATAAAGATAGTAAGTTTAGATCCAAGAATAAATATTATTATTCCCAGATTGGTAGTATGAATGGTGGTGTAATAGGAAAGATTATACAAAGTGTTAAAGGTGGCAACGGTAATCATAGAACTGAGAAAGAGAATGAAAAATTTTGCTGGAAATTATGTAAAAACGGGGAGTTTCCCACTGACGAGATGCATCTTGTATGCGATAATCATATTGACAATGGACAGGAACACACTAATGCAGAATCTGTCAAGGAAGGAAATACAAATAATTTATACATACCTAAGGAGTACATTATGGAGAAATGCAACAGAAATGTTGAAGTGGAGAGAAAAAACATTATAAAAGACAAATTGTGTCGGAATATATATGAAAAAGAAAGGATAGATAATTTTAAAAGATTCTTAAATATTTACAATTTACACTTTGAACGAGATAAGGACAAACAACTAGTTGAAAAATTTGAAAATGAACAAAATTATTCCACGTCTAACATAGTTAAGTACGAGAAAAAACTGTTTGCATGTGTAGGGGGAGAAGGTACTGATAAAAAATATACAGAGGGTAATAAATGCAATGACAACACTGCGTCGTGTAAAAACGAGCAATGGTTAACAAATGATAACCCTAATGGAGCGAACAAGGAGAATAGCAACCATAGCAACCATAGCAGCGTCTATCAAATTAACAACTATTACAACTACTGCAGTGTGAGTCCTCATTACAGGGTATGTCGTTCGAATGAAGTTTATAATGCGAGTAACAATTTAGTAATCGATGTGCGGGGTAAAAGGACGCGTGCCGGTAGCACTTGCAATGGCATCAACGTCGGTACTAATGGTATGAACTTTGGCACTAATGGAGTGAACTCTGGTACTAAATGCAACAACTTCGACACTCGTGGCAACAACTGTGTTGTAAAAAATACAGAACAAGCGGATTCATGTAATATTCCGAATTGTAATAAACGTGTAAGGATTGTCAGCAAAATGTCTCAAAATAAAAATATCTCCCCCGAGCAGTGGAATCCGCATCTTCATAGAGTCCAGGAAGATTTTTCATATACCCACCATGACGATTTTTTTCAAAATAAAATTATAGCCAAAGATAGCGAAACACTTAGATATAAAAATTCATTCAATCAATGTTTTGACATAAATACGAAGAATTTTGAAACCATTAATAAATACCTGCATGGTCATGTTTTATACACATGGGACGTATAAACGGAAAAAAACAGGGAATGAAGCGAGCGTGTGTGTGTGTGTGTATGTCTTGGTATATCTTAGTCCCCTGAGGAAGAAAGAAAAGTAGGAAACAGTGCATCCAAAAAGGGTGTGCATATGTAAATATGTACACATACGCATGCATGAATATACATATACATACACATATACATGTATACACCTTCTTAGCTGCCGTTTTACAGTAGCACCTTGGCTATGATACATGTTCGGGGAATTGTACCACGTATATATTAAGGGGAACATGACACAGCGACGTGACTATTTTTCTTCTTCGATTGGGGTAATGGTGATGACGGCATGGTTAGTGAGCGATGCGAATCACACAAATGTTCGAGTTATATGATTGTCTATTTTGTAAATTTCGGATTTTCTTCCTTTTCCTAATTGCAATGTGCTTCGTGAAAAGGGTGCGATCGATGATGGGTGATGGTGGTGAAACCTTGGAGGATACACAACCACAAACGGAGTTCTCTATGTTCAGTTGCAGTACTTATGTAAAACTGGCAAAACTAGTGAAGTAATAGAAGCAGTGACGTAATAGAACTAGTGACGTAATAAAACCGGTGAAGCCAATAAACTGGTGGAACTTCTTTTGGCTTTGCATATACTTCAAATGGATCAGTTTATGCATTCATTTCGCATCACATGGAACCTGAACACATTTTTTCCGAGTTACCCACTTGAGCAATTCTAACTGAGTATGCTATATATGTTTTATCGTTTATGTACTCTATCCTGCTTAATATGTAGAGGGGTGTAAAATCGATATGAGCTTCTAGCAGTGGTATATTTCTCTTTGAATACACTTTTTTTTTTTTTTTTTTTTTTGTTTTATTAACAATTCCATATGTTCTTACAGTTAAGAAACATCTGTCTCATACATTTCGAATGAGCTTTAATATTAAATAAAAAGATCATTTGTTTATGCCTTACATAAATGCGAAGCATTTAAAAAGTCTTTCGCCTCAGTTTATCAAAATTTATAAATTCTTCTTGAGGAAGTGGTAAGAATGTTAATTTCGTGTGTAACGGAGAAGGAGCTAAGGAGAAAAATGGGAAAAACTAAAGATTTTTTTTTTTTTATTTTATAAGTGTAACATCATACAAACAAGTACAGATTTGTGCACCAAAGACAAAAGTGGGGGAAAAAGGAAGGGACGTTGTGTATAACAAGGGCACACATAACAGTTTAGGCAGGAATGTTCAACACAACTATATAAGAATTTCGCAAAATATAAGAAAAGAATTCGTTTTGCTTGAAGATCATAGTGACAACGTTTTTTCAGATAGTCTGACGTGCGAACAGAGATTATACACTAATGATGAACTCAAAGGTTTATCCCATTTCCTCCCCACCCCCCTCCCTTTCCATGTTCCTTTTATATTTTGAGTCAAGTATTTTTTTTTTATTTTCATTTTTTCTATTAGGGGAGAATCGTCACGACATATATGCGGCCTGTGTGAAGATAATGCTTTTTTCTCTTAACTCAAAAATGTATGTTTTTCTGAATAGACCCAAAAAAATGATTTAGAGGGATCCTTGTTTTTAATTTTTTTGAGCCATCAATTTGTTAACATGTGCACAAGCACATGGGTTGTCACTCGACCCAAGATATCACACATACAGGTTATTTATACAGCATATATATGTACACATGCGTATTAACGCATGAAAAGGGGAAGACGATTATTATTTTTTCAATTGTGCATGGATAATTTCCCGGTGCCCTTATGAAGTACAGGGTTACCCACACCAATTGGGGGAATTAAAAAAAAAAAAAAAAAAAAAAATAAGTGAATCATCTATTTTTATATTTAACTACTTAGCAGCTTTTAGAAGTAGTTGTATGAAACAGTTAGAAGGAGAAAATATTTGGGCACTTTCTTCTCACGTTTTATTTTGTGTTTATTTTTATTTATTTATTATTTTTTTTTTTTTTGCATTTATTTTGAATAAAGTATAAGAGGGGAAGAAAAGAAGGCAAAACAAAAATAATATTGAATACAAAAAAAAAAAAAAAAAAAAAAAAAAAAAAATTAATAAATAAATTCTTTCCGTGAAGGGTTCATTTTGAAGTATCCTAGTTTTGAAAAACGAGATTCTACTCGATTAAGAAGTTCATTAGATTTTTTTTTTTTTTTCCATTTTCGAAAAGGAAAAGAAATCGTAAGAGAGGTTGGAGAAAGTACTTACATGTACATGCATACGTGCATACATACACCAGGTAGGAATATACATAAAACATTGATAGCACATTGTATATCTGTCAGTAAATCAAGAGGCGTGTACTGGAGCAGACGAGAAATGGTGCTTGATATAAACCTGTTTAGAAAGGAGAAAGGGGGAAACCCTGAAAAAATAAAGGAATCAGAAAGGAAGAGGTTCCATGATGAAACAATCGTAGACAAAGTGATCGAATATGATGAGAAGTGGAGGAAATGCATATTCAGGTTGGAAGAATTGAAAAAAAACATAAATATAGTGAATAAAGAAATAGGGAATAGAAAAAAAGTAGATAAAAATGCAAATGTTGATGATTTAAAAAAAAAATCCTTAACAATGAAGGAAGAAATACCTCATTTACAGAATGAGGAGAGAAATATGTTAAGGCAGAGAAATATATATTTGAATAAGGTGGGAAATCTAGTTAATAAAAATGTGGTTACTTCAAATGATGAAGAGAACAACAAGGTTATAACCACATGGGGTGTGTGTAAAAGGCTTGAAGTAACTACGGATGACGTGATTGAATGTGATAAAAATAGTAGTACTTTTCTTAACAAGAATGATGGAAAGCAAAAGAGAGAAGTGGAAACCGACAATGTGAACAACTCTGATGGAATAACCAGCGGAGATACTGGAACTCTTCCCAATGAACCCAAAAAGATAAGCAATAGTAACAGCAGCAATGGAAAAAAGAAATATTATTATCACTTCGATTTGCTAAGAAAAATTGGAGGAGCTAATTTCAAAAAGGGAATCCAAGTGGCCGGCCATAGAGGGTATTACCTGACGAGTGCAGGGTTTTTATTGCACAATGCAATTTTACAATATGCCATAAACTTTTTAGTGGGAAAAAATTATACTCCTGTATATCCACCACTTTTTATGAAGAAAAGCATAATGGAAGAATGTGCTGAATTGGATGATTTTCAAGAAACATTATACAAAATTGCTTCATCTGGAAGTGCAGGTGCTGAAGTGGGAACAGGTGCTGAAGTGGGAACAGGTGCTGGAGTGGGAACAGGTGCTGGAGTGGGAACAGGTGCTGGAGTGGGAACAGGTGCTGGAGTGGGAACAGGTGCTGGAGTGGCAACTGCTACCGCTGTAAGTGTTCATACGAGAGAAAACAAATCAGACAAAACAAACCCCATCTCCCATGATCAACTTAACAGGGATGATTTGTTTCTCATTGCTACATCTGAGCAGCCATTGTGTGCTTTGCACAAAGATGAAACTATAGAATCGAAACATCTTCCATTGAAGTATGCAGGAGTTTCTTCTTGTTTTAGAAAAGAAGCAGGAGCACATGGAAAAGACATCAGAGGAATATTACGAGTTCATCAATTTGATAAAATTGAACAGTTTTGTGTGGCCCTACCACATAAAAGTAGTGAAGTTCATAAAGAAATGATAAAAACATGTGAAGAATTTTATCAATCATTAAATATACCATACAGAATTGTAAGCATAGTGTCGGGTGCACTTAACAATGCTGCCTCTATCAAGTACGATTTGGAAGGGTATTTTCCCTCAAGTAATCAATACAGAGAATTGGTATCCTGTAGTAATTGCACAGATTACCAGAGTATAAATTTAAATGTGAAGTATGTAGATTCAAGTGTCAAAATGACTGAAATAAAACAAGATGGAAAGAAAAATATAAATAATCAAGATGATGAAATTGGAAGTGATTATGAACAATTTTTACAAGACTTTCAAACAGAAAATAGAAATCATGTTCATTTGCTTAATGGCACTATGGTTGCTGCTCAACGATTTTTGTGTTGCCTTCTGGAAAATTACCAAAATGGATATGGTATTGTCGTTCCAGAGAAGCTTCGCCCTTATATGAACAATACTGAGTTCATCCCATTCATTGAATGAGCAAGTGGAAGTTGCATATGGTGGTATATTAACCGTATTGTTTATAGGTTTGTTTCACATGCACGTCACTATCGCACGTTGACACACTTGCATGATCACCCATACTCGTATTATTATGGAACTTCATTTTCGATATGTCTATTTTATTACGTCTTATATAGCATTGTGTATGCACACGGTGAGCACGTGGGTGGGGAATATTTTTAAACGAGAAAGCCTTTTTCATAAAAGAAGCAAAAAGAAGCAAAAAAAAAAAAAAAAAAAGTGATCTGTATAACGGTTACATATACGCACTTATATGTACATATATATATTCATGTTCGTTCTTTATTTCCCATGTTAATATTTTCCATGTCAGTAGTTCCCATGTCAGTAGTTCCCATGTCAGTAGTTCCCATCGTCAAAGTACCCATCGTCAAAGTACCCATCGTCAAAGTACCCATCTTATGGCATCAGCCTTGAAAAAAAGAGGCCCTTACCTGAAGCATATGTGTGTGTCCCCTATCTAAGTTTTAGGCTATCCTCAGAAAAAAAAAAAAAAAAAACACACACACACACGTGCATATATGGATGTTAATGCACATAAAGACAATCACATTCATAATTCCAATCAGAAGGAATATATATTTGTGCATATGTAAGAAGGGGCATAGACAGTTAGGCTTATATATAACGCCATTATTTCATGATAGCGCAGCAGATTACATTTTTGCAAATATATGTATATTATTCCCTACTGTGGTTATATGTGGGTGTAAAAGGGAGGGTGTAAACTTTGGCTTTTTTACTCGTTCCCACATTTTCCCATACCTGATTTATTCTCGTACCTACGTATGTAGCTTTCCATTTAGATGTCTGTTTATCTATCCATGTTGCTATTCATTACTGTTGTCATTTTTTGGGCCCCTAGAAAAGGGTAGAAAAGAACATGAACTGATAAACCTAACAAGTTAAAAAACAACAACAAAAAAAAAAAAAAAAAAAAAAAATTGTGGCATAAGTTTTATTATAGAAATTTACCAATAAAAAAACCAAAAAAAAAAAAAAAAAAAAACGGCATGTTTAATTCAATCCATAGAATACAGAAAATAAATGTGTGTAATAGCATACCTTTTATGCAAAATAAATAGATGGAAATGATTGTTCCTTCCATTTAACCATTTGAGTACCTGTTCATGCATCCTTGTTGATACACACATATGCGCAAGTATGTACCATTTTGTGTCATTCTGTTAATATATACAATACATATATCCGTGCATGTGTTTACTTGGTTGTGCAGTGTTGGCTTGGGGTAGCATACATGGTACATATGCACACGCACACTATTTATTTATTTAATTATTTAATTATTTATTTATTTAATTATTTATTTATTTATTTAATTAATTATTTATTTATTTTATTTTTATTTTATTTTTTTCTTGCGCGCACTTGTGTTAACAGGAAGAGAAGTAACCAAGGCACTTCATTTATTTGCGTTCTTGAGGGGTTGAAACATTTCCGTTTTTGTGTATTTTCTTGGGGGTGATCATAATTACAACTAATAGTGTCGCATGATTGTAGCAGGTGATTATATAACATAATTGTAACGCATGGTTGTAATGCATGATTGTAACGCATGGTTGTAACGCATGATTGTAACTCATAATTGTTGCACATAATTGTTGCACATAATTGTTGCACATAATTGTTGCACATAATTGTTGCACATAATTGTTGCACATAATTGTCACATTGAATTGCCACATGGAATTGCCACATGGAATCGCTACACAGAGTTGCCACGCCGAATTGTCCTCAAAACTGGTCATGGCCATCTCAATTTTAACTGTAAAAATTAAAACATTTTTTAAAAATTGAAAAAAAAAAAAAAAATTTCTAGCCTGACGTTTTTTCACGTGATTATTTTTTTTTTTTTTTTTTTTTCACACTTTTTTTAAAAAGAGCAAGAACAGAAGAAATACATTTCTCATTGTTTGTGAAGTGGATTTTTTTTTTTTTTTTTTTTTTTTTTTTTTTTTTTTTTTTTTTTTTTTTTTTTTTTTTTTTTTGTTTTTTTTTTTTTTTTTTTTTTTTTTTTTTTTCTGCTTCATCTCCTTAAGGGTCTACTTTTCGTATGAACATGATATAAGCACACACACTCACAAACCTCCCCTCTTGTGTATGCTGTTTATATATCTTGCATACTCTGTTAAAGTTCTTGTTTCCATGTATGTGTATGTCGTAAAAGTCAAAAATCGGTACGCACCCACCTTCACACATACACACAGGTATATATATATACATATGTATACATATATATATGTATATATAATGGGGTAGATGCCTTTGTAGATATCTCCTATTTGTGCCATTACATGTGCTTTCCACACCTCCTTAGGCATATTTTCCAGTTACCTTCCACACATGTCACCTCGCCCATTTTCTCTCATTTCTTTATTTGCTCACGTTTCTCCATTTGTGGAGTATCCAAATTCCCGAATTACACAGTTCTATCTTTGACTTCCAAATTCTCGTGCCCATATCCACTTTGTTAACAATTCCCTTTTACGCTACTAACATATATGCTTGGAACTAACTCATTCATACATCTTACAAAACTTACAAAAAAAAAAAAAAAAAAAAAAAAAAACATGTGCTCGCAGTGTTAGGGATGTAAAAATGATCAATTCAAGTGAGTGCAACAAGTGCACCAAAATTTCCGAGTATAAAGGTACGAAAGGAAGAAAGGGAAGTAAATATTCCAATTTGGAGTCGAAGTTGGAGTCGAAGTTGGAGCCAAAACTGAAGTTCAAAGTGGAGCCTCAACTGGAGCCGAAGTCGAAGCCCAAATCCAAGGGGCGTGTAAACACCGGTCAAAATGACCATTATGAAAATAAAACACAAGTGATAAAATTAAAAGAAAGAAAAAGTTCTACAAATAAGGGAGTTATGATACTACCCAGCGAAACCAAGGAAGAAAAAAACAATTCCTTCATAACACATATAAAAAGTAATTCAACAAATAAGAATAATATTTTTATGAACAATGAAAATGGGAAAAAAGATATACAAAATTGTGAAAATCATAATTTGAAAAAAATGTTTAATGGTATTATAGGTAACCAAATGAAACATGCAAAAAATGTCATCGAAGGAATGAAAGAACATTTAAAATGTACAGCAAAAGAAGCTACGAAAAATATGAATTATCCATTTTGCAAAGCTCCATGTAACATTGACAATTTTAAAAATACCATTTATATAAATGAAGGAGAAATAGTTATTAACAAAAAGTTTTATGAAAATCTATTTAATAACAAAAAGGGTAATGACAATGATGATAAGACTATGGATAAAGCGAAAAATTCAAATCAAGACATTTTTACATGCAACACAAATGATATAATTATTAAGGGAAATTACAACTTTGGATTTCACGTGCAAATTATTTATGAAAATGAAGAAAATAAAATTATTGCTTATGCTTATGACAAAGAGACCAAAAAAAAAATACCCTGTATATACCGTTGGAAGCGTGTCTATTCTGATAAGCGCTGTGATTTGGTTGATAGAGATTTTGGGGCTGAATACACGGTTGGTACCGGTGCTAATATTGATAACATTGGGAATTATAGACGAAACTACACTAAGAGATCCAAGTATGGCAGTGAGTATGAGCTGACATGTGATGATATAGGACTTAAAATTTGTGTAGAATGCTCCTATCTCAGTGAGGAACAGTTGACAGAGGAGCGAACTGTGTCTTCTTATCCCTGGAACGATTCACAAACCTCTGAGGGTAGCCTCCCCCAGAACAGCGAAGGAAGTGACGCAATCGTGGAAGGAAATGTTCTTGGAGGTAGAAGTGATAATCGGTCTGACAAATATGGTGATAATCGGTCTGACAAATATGGTGATAATCGGTCTGACAAATATGGTGATAATCGGTTAGACAAATATGGTGATAATCGATCTGACAAATATGGTGATAACTGCATCGATAACCACTTCTACAACGATGCTTCATCCTTTAAGAGTATCTTCACAGAAAATAACCACAGAGGCACATCGAGACTGAACCCATTTCCCCAAAATAAATTCAGATATGATGAAGTATCTAATGTTCCATCAAGAACATCAAGCCGCTTCCGCTTAAGAAGTAATCATCACCATGTCGAAGAAAAAGAAAAAGAAAATCATTACAATGACAAGAAGGAATATTTAATTTCAAATTCATGTGAAATGTCTAATAATAAGAATAATTCAGTAGATACCACTGAAATGAGAGGTCATATCGAAAGCAGCTACAGCGTTAAGACATATAATACAAATGAAAAATATCATGGGGTGGCAGAAGCAGAAATAGGTCCGTTCTTCCTAAATGAAAAAACGAAAAAGATGCTACAAGTAATTATACATAATGATATTATTAGATATCCCATATACATTTTGAAGAAAAGAAATCGAAAAGAAAGCAACACCATGCACGATTATGCAATGAATGAAGGTAACACCATACCTCATCCTTTTGAAAATAGAAAAACTAACCTCTTTGATTCAGATGAAGATGATGATTATAATAGTTTAGATAACAATAAGGCTAATTTGAACATGGATAATGAACACACTGATCATATTTATATGTTATATATACATAAAAATGAAATAAATATTGTGAATCAAAATAATGTAGACAAGCAAATGTGGAACCACAAGTTCAATGACATTTACCCCTATGTCGAATTTCTGCATCCAAAGGGGTGTGATAAAAACCTCTCCATTTGGAAAGGTCCACGGAGGAGTTGCAGTAATAGCAGTATAAGTGGAAGAAGTGTCATCAATTCAAATTCTGATAGTAGGAATCCCAATATAAGAACTGAAAAAGAAAGTGGAAGCACAAATGATGATACAATAGGAAAGGGGTTCTTGTTACACACGAAAGATTCTGAATATTACGTCTGTAAATGCATATACAAAAGACACCGTGATTTAATTACCATCATTTTAAGATATATGCATGCGAATTTACACATTCTTAACGATTATATTTTTAATAACATTAATGAAAACTTCCAGAACACACGTGCTAAAAATATATTTGATAATGTAGATGTTAATTCTATCTTGGAGAATGTCAACAAAGAGCTGCTTATGAATAGGAAACTTAATCAGAAGTATATTCACAAAATAAATAAATTGCGTGGTGAGAAAAATATGCTGGAGGAGGACCTCAAGAATACTATAGAGGCTTTTCAGGAACAGCTAGGTAATAACAACTGCATTCTTTTTTTTTTTTTTTTTTTTTTTTCTTTCCCTTTTTAAATCATTTCTAACGGTATACTTTTGCTACACATGCTACTTTTTTTTTCTCACGATTTGATATTCTTATTCAACACATGCAACAGACACAGTGAAAAGGTTTAAAGATGAAAATGAATTAATCAGAACAAACGAAAATCTGATGAAAGAAATAAAAATTCTTCAAGATAAATATAAGAATGTCGACTTGTTTTTTAAAAATAAGGTAAAAAAAAAAAACGAATATAAAAATGGAAATAAAAATGAAGACGAAAATGAAAATAAAAATAAGATGGATTTTCCCTTCCTGGGCCACCATCATTTGTGCACATTTCGACGTTTGCTTATTCGACCTTTTCCACACGATTTCTCTTATTTTATTCATTTGCTTATATATATTCATTTATTTTTATGTGTGCACTTGCTCATATATGTGCATTTATTTGTATGTGTGCATTTTCTCATATATGTGCATTTATTTTTTTTATTCTTATTTTTTCGCCCTTGTCTTACGCACTTTATAGTATAAGCTCCTCCTGAATGACATCCAGCGGTACAAGAAGTTGGTGGAAGAGTGTAACCCAAGGGTAATCCTAAACCATTCTCGCTTCAATTTATCATATTCATTTGACCCTTGCAGTTTATGATTGTTATATGTATCTATACTACACATCGTTATGCTTTCATTGTGACAATAATTCTCACATTGATTTGCATGCTCATTCGTAGGTCAATTCAAAAGAAGCAGAACAGTTACGTGAGAAGTTACAGATCATAGAGCAGGAAAAGGTAAGATGAAAAATCACTGAAACCATGCATGTTCCACACACACCCACACCCACATACAAAAAAAAAAAAAAAAAAAAAAAAAAAAAAAAACTCCATATCGAAATGGCATAATTAACATACATTTACACATTACAGAAGGATCTTCTAAACAAGAACATCAAAATGAATAACATTTATAATGAGGAGAAAAAAAGCAAAACTGAGTTGGAAAAACAACTAATGGGCTTGAGTTTGAAGATGGAGAATCTTAATAAATCTCTGGAGGTACAACAAAAAAGCATGAGTGTGTTAGAGATTTGTTCAAAAGTATTTTATTTTTTTTTTTATTTTTTTTTTATTTTTCTGTTCTCGAAATGTTCATTGAGGACACAGCTGGAACACTGCGACACGATGTGTACACTGTCGATCGTTTTATTACTTTTCAAACTTTTACAAATTCCAACAGGAAGAAAAAAGCAAAGGGAAAAGAAACTCTAGATACTTGAAAGAAATAGAAGAACTGAAAAAGAATAACATTATCATGCAACAGAAAAATGCAACAATGTCGGATCAGGTAAATATTTTGGTAACGGAAAAAAACAGACTCACCAAGTTGGTTGACTCACTAACGAAAGGTAAAGATGGATGAGGAAAATAAGAGGGAAATGAGGAGCAGTAAGAAGTAACATGACATGAAAAAAAAATCTTCAAACTTTTCATCAGATTGGAAAAGCATATCCAATGGTCAGACATTAATGTGCCTAATTTTTACTCTCTGGCCTCATTCCACTCTCATTCGCACGTTTTTTTTTTTTTTTTTTTTTTTCTTTTCTCAGATATTGAAAAGGCCAAAACTAGTGGAAATATAAGGAGCGCGGAGAATCAAAAGTACGAATCAAAGAAAGAAAAAAAAAAAAAAACGACATAGTGTGGTACAAAATGACATTACACAAAGATAGAAACTAGTTTAACCGATATGCGTTAATTTCCATGTATAAGTTAGAAAGGACATTTTAAATGCCATTTGTTATTTTATCACGTTGCCCACTTGTTATTTTATTGCTTTCTCCATCTTGTTTTCAGAAAATTCCCCAAACCCCAGGCAAGTAATAATCTGGGTGAAAGGTAATTAAAAAAAAAAAAAAAAAAAGAGCACTTTATTTCTTTTTTTTTTTTTTTTTTTTTTTTTTGCATATATTTTTTTACCCATACCCTAGCAAGTCAAATTTTTGTTATTTTCCATCCCACAGTATATAGTTCTTTTGTATATATAATTTCCTTTTTCCCATGACACTTTTTTTTTAGCGATGAGAACGAGAGGAAACTACTCAAAGAAATAGCATCCTTAAGGGATGAAAACGAACTTTTAAAAAAAAGAATAAAAAAATTTGCAAAATATAATGCTGTGCCATAGTTATCCAATTGTTTGTTCAATTGTCTGTCCTATTGTCTGTCCTTTTGTGCATCTGTTTTCTTGTTATTCTATTAGTAAATATAAAAACACGTGCAAATGCGACAAATTCAAGCGCAGAACGTGTATACATAAGCAAATCATATGTGCAGAAAAAAAATATAAAAATACACAAGTATAAAAAAAAGGGGAGAAAGGATAGAAGCGTAACATTAGAATTATACTATATATCTGTTTTAATGTTTTTCACGACGTAACAATTGATTATTTTTTTGTTTTTGTTTATTTATTACGTTGTCTTATTTATTTATTTATTTATTTATTATTTTACTTTCTTTTTCTTTTTTTTTTTTTTTTTTTTTTTTTTTGTGTTTGTTTTCCTAATACCACTTGTGTGTTACATGTCCCTATATTATCACTAAATTGAAGAAGTTTGTGCACCCTTTTGAAAAAAGTAGGTATGCTAGAGTTAGACATGTGAACGAGAGAAAATTTTGTCATAACTACAGCAGCTACTTTACTTCCAAAGACTATTCATTATATTTTTATCTGCTTTTTTTTTTTTTTTTTTTTTTTTTTTTTATTTTCAATTTTCAAACTTGTTTGTTTGTTCATCATTATATATAAACGTTTGTTATATGTATTTTGTTTGAAGAACGGAACTAGAGAAAAAAAAAAAAAAAAAAAAAAAAAAAAAATTGCAAATATGAAAAATGGGAAAGCCATGAATGGTTACATTTTTATGCATGTAATATCAAATCGGCAAGCGTAAACAGAATACTCAAAAGTGAGAAAAAAAATATGACTACGAAATATAATGAGGTAGTCGATACTACAATATCTCACTTGTGTTCTACTATCTCTTTATAAATGCCATATTAAAGCAAAAAAAAATTTTTTTTTCTCTTTTTATTAATATTATGAATAGGACATAAAATAGCACATGAATATGTGTGTATATGTCGCAGGGGTATATGCTCAATAATTTACATTTAAAATAGGAAGGAAAAAAAAAAAAAAAAAAAAGAGTAAATGAGAAAGAGTAAATAAGAAAGATTAAATAAGGAGTAAATAAGAAGGAGTATATAAGGAGTAAATAAGAAGGAGTAAATAAGAAGGAGCAAATAAAAAATAAAATAAACGGAAGCGAGTCGATATCATGCATGTCACTCCACCCACCGTTATGGCGTTGGATATGGGGTACATGTCTATCCTTACATAATGATCGAACTAATATAAGGTTCATTTTTGCATGATCTTGTATTTTTTTTTCCTTTTTTATGGATATCTCTACTCTAAAGTTAATTGGTTAATTGAAAAACTTTTATTAAGACGGTTATCCACTTCATTAGCAAATTCGTCATCTCGTAACTTCTTATCTCCTAATAATTGCACATCTTGACGAGCATATCACGGAACTCCTTAAAATCGATCTCACCATCGTTATTCTGATCAACTTCCTTAAGCACCGTCTTCCAACAATCAGAACCAACATCACTTAAACCAAATAACTGCGCTAATTCATTGGCTGATATTTTTCCTGAACCATCTTTGTCAAAGAGCTTAAATGCTTTCTCCAATCTCTCAGTGGAGAGAAGTAACTTTCTATCAATAGCAACAGTTAAAAATTCAGAGTATTCAATGTAACCATTTTGATCTAAATCTATGGAACTTAGAATTTGATCTACTTCATATTCTATAGCTGCATTATCCAAATCACTCGTGTCTTCTCCTTTTAATTTTAGTAACTCTTTATATCCAATTATTAATTCATTTCTATCTAATTGTCCATCTCCATTTTTATCCATTCGTTTAAATATTTTTGTCAATTCTTTTGTTTCATCTATGGTTGTTAGTTTTGATCCCATATATAGTAGGGCCGCTTGTGCTAACTTCTGAGTGCTTTGAAATTGTCTTATGTTTGTAATACTTAGTTCTAGGGAAGGAATATCAATATTTACATTATCCTTGCTGGTCATAAGTTTAATCCATTCATGTTCCAATGCATCACGTGCTGATATCCTCACTGCACTAGTGTACATGAGCATCTTCCTGATAAGGTCCTTTGCTTTGTCACTTATTTTTTTGAATTGGGGAAGGTCAAAGGTGTACTTTCCCGTTTCTACTTTTTTCAAAATGTCGTATTCGTTCGATCCGTTAAAAGGGGGGCACCCTGTGATGTGTGAAGCGGCGGACGAAGTATAAAATTAAGTGACGAGCAAAGTATAAAATTAAGTGACGAGCAAAGTATAAAATTAAGTGACGAGCAAAGTATAAAATTAAGTGACGAGCAAAGTATAAAATTAAGTGACGAGCAAAAGTATAAAATTATGTGACGAGCAAAAGTATAAAATTATGTGACGAGTAAAGTATAAAATCAAGTGACGAGTAAAGTATAAAATCAAGTGACGATTAAAGTATAAAATCAAGTGACGAGTAAAGTATAAAATCAAGTGACGAGTAAAGTATAAAATCAAGTGACGATTAAAGTATAAAATCAAGTGACGAGTAAAGTATAAAATCAAGTGACGAGTAAAGTGTAGAATCATGAATGAGCAAGACGAGGTGCAGACATTAGGGCTGGCTAGCCAAATGGAGTCCTTACCTGAAAGCAAAATGTAAAGAATAACTCCACAAGACCAAATGTCGCACTTCTCATCATAGGTACCGTGTAAAACGTCTGGGGCAATATAATAAGCTGTGCCTATTTTGTCCTTCATCTTTTTGCTATATTCAAAGTGAGTGGACAAGCCAAAATCGATAATTTTTATAATCATATCCTCTTTATTTTTGGTTTCTAGAAGAATATTTTCCGGTTTCAAATCTCTATGGACGACATTATTTTTATGCATATATGTTATACCACTCAGGATCTGTTTAATTATTCTTGCTGCATCTACTTCATAGAATCTCTTCCTGCTAATAATTTCATCGAATAATTCTCCCCCAGAATATACATCAGATACTAAGTAGTAATAATTATTATCTTCAAAAAATTCATATAATTTCATAATGTTTATGTGGTCTAACATCTTTAGCAATTCTACTTCTCTCAGGAGGCTTTGCTTATCTGTCTTTCTTTTTACATGTTTCTTACTTATTACTTTAATTGCATATTCATGTCCTGTATGTTTATCCCTACTTAGTATAACTTCTCCAAATGATCCTTTCCCTAAAATTTTGATTCCTTTATACTGTTCATTAAACACTACGTTACTATTTTGTATAAACATGCCAGGTCTTAATTTGCTATTGTTAAAACTGTTTTGTACAATTTTTTTGGACATTTGCAAATTGTTTTCTTTTGGGTCTCCTTTCCCATTATTTCCTTTTAAGTTCTTTTTGTTGACTCCCTTGATATCTTCATTTTTTGTGTCGTTTGGAGTGGAGATTTCTTGCCCCATCGTTTCGTTAAAAATGGTGGTAACTTCGTAACTCCTCCAGACGAGGCAGGTTAGAGGATAATAAATGTTTGTTCTAACTTAAGCGGAGTGAATCAGTAGAATAAAAATGGCATTAGAAGGAGTAAATGAAAAAAGTAAGAAAGGAAGAGATATTGGGTGGAGGATGGAGGGGGAATTGAATAGCTTTTCTCCCTTTCTCTCTCCGCACTTGGTATTTTCATTACTTTTCCTTTCCTTTCTTTTCTTTTTTTTTTTTTTTTTTTTTTTTTTTTTTTTTTTTTTTTTTTTTTTTTTTTTTTTTTTTTTTTTTTGTTATTCTTCTGCTGCTATCGTGTAAATGTACACACAAATACTTATGTGTATAATTTTTTTATGAACTGGTCAGAAAAAAAAAAAGGCAAAAAATGGTAAAAAAGGCACAAAAGAAGAAAAATTTCATGTAACTTCACAACAACTTTGCAAGAGTGATGTTCTTATGCCTACTTAAATGGGGCATGAACAAAACAAGAGCAAGCACATGCGCGCTTAAATATTTCGTATATATATATATATATATACATCAATTTGTGCCATACGTGAATGTATATGTTACACAGGTAAATATGTGCAGTTTACTATTTTCCCTCGGACACGTGAACATGCATGGTGTTTAAATTTCCTTTCTCTATATTTTATGCCTTAAATTGTCCATAGGACATAATGTGCCTATCTCGTTTTCACACTCCCCCTCTAACTCTTCTCACTTAGTGAAGCTTTTTTTTGTAACCATTTTGTAATAATTTCGTAATAATTTTGTAACAGTTTCGTAATAATTTCGTAATAATTTTGTAGCAGTTTCGTAATAATTTCGTAATAATTTCGTAATAATTTTGTAATAATTTCGTAATAATTTTGTAATAATTTCATAATCATTTCGAAATCATTTGTAATCACTTTGGCAACTTTTTCAGTTTTAGCCGTTTTAGCAGTTTTAACAATTTTAGCAACTTTTGCAGTTTTAGCAATTTTAGTAATTTTTTTCAATTTTAGCCGTTCTCATCACTTTAAGGCTTTACCCATTTTGGCTAGTTTTTTTTTTTTTTTTTTTTTTACCTTGTGTGCATGTCCCAAAAAAGGGAAAGGAAAACATGCACAGGTAAGGTATTTTTATGGTTACATACAATTAATAAAATATCATGTAAAAAAAATGTGCCACACAAATACTTGTATATGTTTAAGCTCATTTAAGCACATTTTCATCCTTGTTTAGAGAAACTATCATTGTGGATAATGTGGACGGGAAAATGGTACATAGTACGTTTTCTCATAATTTTATTTCCCATTTCGTGTTATATTTGGTACATTTTTTTTTTTTTTTTTTTTTCAGGAAGCAAGTATTTCTGTTATAGAATGTTTTGGTTACCTTGTGTAACAACTCTCTGTGAGGTTATTATTGTCTTTTATATGTTCTTTCCTTTATCTATTTAGTGTTCAAATGGAAACCTGATATAAAATATCGTCTTAAAATGATAAGAAGTGTGAAAAATGTAATTTTTTTTTTTATAAAATTATAGGCAAAAGTTATGAACAAACCTACCAAGTGTGAAAAAAAAAAAAAAAAAAAAAAAAAAAACTTGGAGGTAGCAGTACTTCAAAATGGAGCTACTCTTCAGTTTAGGATTTTGAAAGGAGTGGGAAAAAAAGAAAAAGTACCTTTCTCATTTGCATACTTGACCTCGATCGTCGTTCTTTAACTGCTTTTTGTTAAATATTAATTTTCACATATATATAATCTTGATAGGAGAAAAGTTATATGTGGAGTTAAACTTTACTCTTTAATATATCTTGTGGAGGATTAACTTTGCTTTGTTTCACAATGCTCTGCTTCATTTTTCTCTTCTTCACTGTGAAATTTTATTTATTTTTTTCATTTTTCTGCACCCCCTCAATGATACGTTTCTCATTGTGCACTGCGTTAGACAGCGTTTATTGGTAAAATGCAAAAAAAAAAAAAAAAAAAAAAAAAAAAAAATTAACCAAACTCTAAAATGAGCATATATCATTTCACAAAAATGTTATTCAAACTTTTGCATAATTTTACCATTACTTCAAAATGTGAGGGATATAGCTAAGTTCCTTTAGCAGTGTGTGGGAAGGAGTGTAAATTCTTCATGAACATCATGATTTCTATATCCCCTACACACACAAGCCCTTTTTTTTGTGCATTTTGTGTGTGTCTTTTATGGAAAATAAAATATATCAACATATTTTCTTAAAACCAATTTACAGTTCCTTTTGGGGGAGAAGCGCGAGAAGTGAGAGGAGGTTTCAATTCAAGTGTTAAATGATTAAGGGAAGTGTGTATTTTGCCCCTTCCCTCAGGATTGTAGAAATCGATGAGGAGAGCTACACAAATTGAAACCTTTTTTTTTTTTTTTCTTTTATTTTCTTTTCCAGCATCTTTGCTTCTTCCTTTCTCTTTGGTATCACACCTTTTGGATAACTTGCCAAAAGTTTTACACAAAACTTCGTTCACTCATTTTAGCATTTCTATTTTTCTATGAAAAGTTAAAGTGAAAGCAAAAAAATAAACTAGTTTACCAGGGGAGAGGGGGAATATAATAACAAAATGGGATTCATTCAAATGATTCCATTTTTTGTATACCACAATGAGAAGTAACGAAAGTGTATGATGAGAAAGGGTATATCTTATTTTTGTTTTCTTTTATATATGAATGCACAATTTATGAGGAAAGTGCTATTTTTTTTTTTTTTTTTTTTTTAAAGCATGAGCTGTATTTCTGCATATTCTAGCGCTTCTAAAGCCCAATAAGGTAATTTATCCCTTAATTCTTTTATCATTTCTTCCTTTTGACAATCGGTTAAGGTATTACAAGTAGGGGAATTTTGTCTTGGTTGAGTATGGTCATTTGTGCAGGTTTCATCATCATTAGTCAGTTTGCAATTCGCTAATTGTATTTTATGTGCATCATCTATGGGTTCATCTTGAATGTTTTTCATTTGTGTCTGGTTTGTCCCGTTGGATAGGGAATCCTCATTTGGAATGATGTTTTCATTTTTAGTTTCTGCATGAGGCGATCGTCCACCTCTCCCTATCGCATCTTTATCATTGTCTGGTACCTCATCACTCTCTGAAACCTTACCATTGTCTGGTACCTCATCACTGTCTGATACCTTATCATTATCTGGTACCTTATAATTTCCATTCCTACTTCCAATAACAAAGTTGTTGTAGAGGAAAGTCGTTGCGAATTGATCAATTTTATTGGAAAATATAGAAACTCGTAATAAGTAGCAAAAGTGCAAGGTGAAATAAATGTTATGAATGGTCAGCAGAATATTTGCAATTGGGTTCTTTTTTGATATAAGTAAATGTAAAGCTGATTTTGAAAATTTTGTGCAAACATAGCAATGGCAATTCTTTACGAGTGGGGAAAAGTCATACAGATATTTAGCTTGTTTCAATTTTAAAGTTCCGTCATAACTTAAGGCAGTATTAAATCTAGCTGTTCTAGATGCATATACACAATCGTACATATCATAACCCAGAAGGGAACAAAAAAGAATATCCATCAGATATCCTATCCCCATAATATATCTACACTTATTAATTGGTAAATAATTCCATTTTTTATTTTTTTCATTGGAACAATGATGAACTATGTTAATAAAATTTTTTTTTTTTTCACCTCCGCAAAGTCCTCCTATGGCATATCCATTCAGTTTTTGTTTCAATATAAATTCCATTGATTCATTTCTTAAATTTATGTGAAGTCCTCCTTGAATTATTCCGAACAAACTCTGTTCATATTTTCTACTGTGAGATTTTATGCACCTCTCCAACCATCTATTAGTTCTATGTGTTGCTTCTTCAATTTTTGTTACATCTGTTTCTGTTGCTGATCGTACATCATCCAAGGCCATTATAATATCGCTTCCAATTTCGTTCTGTAGTTTTATAGAAGTTTCAGGAGTGAGTAAAATCTCTTGACAGGATGTATTTGCATCATTTTCTGTTGCATTAGATTGGTGAGTTCCATTTGCTTTTTCCACCTCTTTGATACACACTGTATGAATATTTTTTCGAATCACTGTATTGTCATATATGTTATCAAAGAGAATTCCTTCCTCTAATATAGTTATGCGTTTGCTTAAGGAAACCATCTGAAAACCACCTGAATCTGTCAGCATTGAATTTGGAAATCTAATAAAGTTGTTAATATCTTTATTCCTTTGAAAAGTAGAAATGTCATAAATGTTCGACAAATGATATGTATTGCTCAGTATTATGTATTTGCATAAATTCTTCACCTCTTCTTGTACCAATCCTTTAATGCAACTTTTTGTTCCAACAGGCATAAATATTGGGGATATAATTACAGTGTTTTTCTTCTGCTGAATATTTTCATCATTTTTATTTACCGTATTCATTTTATTCTCCATTTCTTCTATGTACTTTTTCTTAATTACTATAAGATTGATTCTAGCCCTTTTGTTCTTTTTTATATTTATAAGCTTTAAATTTTTTCTGTATATTCCTTTTTTCTTGAGTTGGGAAGAATGATCTTTTTCTAGATCAAGGCTATGTTCATCACAATTTTCATTTTCTTCATCACTTGAACTGCTGATAACATTGGACAAGTAAGAATTCCCTAATTTATCTCCACTTTTCAGTTTTCGAATTTGGATATTTACATCTTCCATGTCGATATATGAAAAATTCATTTCACAAAAATTTACAAACTTGTCATACTTTCTATATTCTTCATTTGTTATGAAATCAAACGGTAGAGGTTCTTTATAGCTCTTGATACTATTGTGAGTGTTCTCTGTTGTTACCATTTCATTTTCCTTACTGTTTCCTTCGTTTATTATTTTTATTTTTTTTCTCTTTCTCCTTTCATATTCGCTCATTGGAGTTGCATTCTCTGGGAATAAGTCCTTTTTTTTCTTTTTGTTCGGTTTGTTTTTAGATTCCATTGGAAACAAAATATGGATTTGTACAATGGGGTAAATGATTATAATAACTGCTTGGTTCACCTCTATGAAGATACACAAAAAATGTGAGACTCAGCAGGTGAGTTTTATTGGCAAGAGGGAGAGAAAATAAAATAAAAAAATAAAAATAAAAAAATAAAAAATAAAATGATACAGCTTCGTTTCTTCTCTGAGTTCTCCTTCTATGCCATAACAGAGTAGTGATTAGTTAGGTCGGTTAAATTTTCCCGGAGCTTTTATCTTCACATAATTTGCGCTTGTTCTTTGTTGCATAAATTAAGTTCATACAATGTTCAAATTAATCACCATTGCGTTTGAGGTGTACAAGACGAAGGCGAGAAAAAAAAAAAAAAAAAAAAAAAAAAAAATACACAGTTTACGGGTGGCGTTATACCACCTCCTTCATTTCACTCCCTCCTTTGTTATTTTCAAAAATTGATTAATTGTTGTAACCAGTTGGGAGGAAGAAAAAAAAAAAAAAAAAAAAAAAAAAAGAGCTAGCCGATCTGATCTACCGATTATAGATGCAATTTTATTGCATTATTTTATTTTTTTCTACAAAATTTTTTTTTTTTTTTTTTTTTTTTTTTTTTTTGCGATACAGGGAGTAATGCTTAAAAAATACTTATCACACATACACAACACCTATGATACAATTGTAAATTTAGGCATATTTACATAACTTAAATTCATGAAAAAAATATTCTCGAAAATGGTATCAAGGAATTATACCACTTTTTCTCCTTAATTGAAAAAAAATTTAATTGGGATAACAAATTCCTCATTCGATGAATGTTTATACTTCACCTGTTTCTATCACCTATCTGTTATGCAAAAAGTAATAAATGTATACAAGGAAAAAAAAATATATACTTTTTTTTTTATTATATGAAGAACTACTAAAAAAATGGGGCGAAAAAAAAATATCCCCCTCTACACACAAACACACACACATATATATATATATGTATATGCATATAAAAAAGGAGCCTGCTTATGCATGCAACCTTGGAGGGAATGTTCATATAACACATGAATAGGTCGTGTATATAAATACGTATTCATTTAAAATTTATCCGCTGGGCTGATTTTCCCACGAAAACTAGAAAAAGAGTGGTTCATTCTTTACATCCTAATTTCCATTACTGTAATGAGGTACTCATAGATTTCTTTTCTTATCCAAGGGGTGGAGACAAATGGATCATAATTTTCTTAATTCCTAATATGTTTATCGATTTGTAATATACCACTTCAGGTATGCACCTTCATCGGTGTTACAACTGTTAAGGTTATCACAGGTATTTTGTCATTCTCCATTTCTCAAGTAGGAACATTCATTTGAAGTAGAAGTAGGGATCAATAGAGCCTCTTTAAGTTATAACACGACTTTAACGGATTCCCAACTGCAATTTTAAATAAGGTCTAGGTATTCATCTTGCAATTCGACAAATCGCTCGAACTCGTTCTGTGTCATATCTTGTTGTAGTTTTTGGGCCTCTACAAAAAAAAAAAAAAAAAAAAAAAAAACATTGTGGAAAAAAAATAAAATAGCGTTGTTTTATGAATGATAAGGAAAAAAAAATAAATAATAAAATATATATATATATATATATATATATATATATATATATATATATATGTATATGTATATATGTGTATAATTAAATGGGGAATTAAAGCAGTGATAATGAGACAAGACATGGTAAAAAGTGGAAAATTTCTCTCATAAAAATGCCCAACTAGATCACCATAATCATAAACACGTAACCCTAAACACATAACCATAAACACGTAACCACAATATTATCAACACCACCACACACAGCCACGGTTGAAGCAGGACGTGGTGAAACAGTTCCAGCTCGTTTACATACCCATGAGAGAAAATTCCTTGTTAAACTTCTCTATGAAAAATAAAGGCATCTCGGGTACATCAATCTTTGGTGAGTCAATCAATCCTTTATCATCTACTGCTATCTCTTTGGAGGATTTATCTACTTGATCCACATGGTCACTTTTATTATTATTTTTTTCTTTACTATTCATAATAATCACGCTATTGTCATTTTCCTCATCGTTCATTCGATTAACCGTTCTTGTTGTCACAATGGAATTATTGCCCATTTTTTTGTTTGCACTATTTTTGCCTTTCATGTTCATGCAAATTTTTATTTTTTTATCTGTTCGTATTACACTGCTGCACGCATCTGCTGTAGTTTCTTCATTATTCGATTTCTTATGTTCAACGGATTTCCTTGAATTCTCTGCACAAAGTGAGGGTGGGGGGAAGGATGGAGAGTAAGTTGATGGAAGTCACAAGCTTAGGCGCGTAAGCAAAAGTGCCTTGGTAAGGAAGTTACAAATCGGTTAGGAAGCAGTTACAAATCGGTTAGGAAGCAGTTACAAATAGGTTAGGAAGCAGTTACAAATCGGTTAGGAAGCAGTTACAAATCGGTTAGGAAGCAGTTACAAATCGGTTAGGAATCAGTTACAAATCCGTTAGGAAGCAGTTAGAAACCAGTTTGGAAGAAGCTACATATCAGTGGGGTGCACCAATCTGTTATGGTTTTCTTCTCTTTTGATGCATTCCCAAATTGAGAAAGAGACAAATGCTCTCAGAGTGTGTCTGCACTCGTATATGGCTTACTCTGCGAGACCAAGGAAGAATTATTCGTGAGAGATAACTCAGAAGAATTGTTTGTTACGGATCCCTCAGATGAGTTATCTGCTGCAATCGAATTCAAAGAATTCGGTGTCATTTTACTGAATTTCTCTGTGTACAAAGGGATAAAGTAATTCTTCAGTTTCTCCGTATGCTCCTTCAGAATGTTTAGATATTTTGTATACCTATTGTATATGCGATCGTTGCTACTTTCATCCTTATCCTGAAAATGAATGTAGTGTTGTTCAAAGTTACATCAGCGCTAAGACGTCACATCGAATGAGCAGCGTCACCTTAACCACGAGACCCCACATCAATGGTGAAACGTAGTTTCCGCAGACGCTGGGTTGTTCACAGTATACAGACACCTTTGCATGCATCTCTTTGAAATATATATATATTCCTCGCTTACTCTTAAATGTGTTTTCACTTACAATTAGTTCAATTTTATTATTGCAGAAGCAAAGAAAATGAGCATCATATGAATCCAAGGGGAGTAGCTGCGCATCTAGCTGTGAGTATGTTACATTACAGAAATTGCAAATATAGACATCGTCATCACTTCTTTTTTTTTGTAATTGTAATTCCATCTGTTTGATTCTGAAGTCAATCACATATACAATATAATTGTTCAGGCAGTAGTACATCTGGTAGCTAGAACCCCTTTCATTGCTTTTATATTTCTGAACCTGAATTATAAATTTCTCCTTTAATAGTTTTGACAATATACTTCTTATTTTCTGTTCATTCATATTTATGCTGTTAATTATATCTCTTTCTAAATACAGACATTCGTTATGAACGAATAAATCAAATATTACTATTTCTTCATCATTCATGAAAAACCTACTTACATATATCATAAGGTGTTGAAAAAACCTTTTTTCCTTATCATAGAATATTTCTTTTGCCTTTTCCATTTTCAACTCACCCGAATACGCGCATGCGTGTATACATGTGCCTGTACATGCATATGTGAATGTGCCAACAAGTGAGTGAGTCAATATGTGCATATATTTACATATTTATATGTACCTACGCACCTATGCACGTATATATATATATTGTCTCTCTGGGTGGGGGTAAAATGGAAAGATCTGGTGCTGTGTACAAATTTTTGAAGGCACCAATTGTTGGTTAAGCTTTTAATATGGGGAAAAAAGGAGGTGGGACGAATCATTTAATATAATCATATTTTCTAGATCCATGTTGTGTGATATTTTTTTTTTTTTTTACATCCAATGCCCATCAGCATTTGCTTCTCCTCATCTATGAAAGTTTGTAGATCTACATATGTATTTTCATAATATATCTGTCTCATCGAAAGCGCACCTACAGGAAATTATCTCTAAAATCATATTCCACTTGTGACTCTTTCATATATGCGATATCCCAATGCCCATATGAGATTCCCACTCTTTTTTTTTTTTTTTTTTTAAGTTCATCCGAGCGTATCCATGTACCGTTATGTGTATACGTACATTTGTTTATATATATATATATATATATATATATATATATACTCCTGTTTCACTTCTACAAAGGGGTCCTTTCCTTCTTCTCTTCTCTAGTTCTTATTTTTCCTTTCTTCTTCTACTGCACTCTTTGGTTCGAAGAAAATTGTATGCCGTTTTCTTCAGAATGTGTTGAAAATGAAAAACAATGGATGCAGAAATTAAAGCACATAAAAAAAAACTGTCATATGGAGCGGCCGTTAGATTTGCAAATAAATTATGTATCGTCGTTGCGAAAATCACTACATGGTTAATATGGTAAAAACAGATAAACCATAGTTTGTTATTTGTTGTGCTTGACGGAGAGAGGGGGAACATATACTGCAGAAATGATTGGGAGAAACGAAAAAAAAAAAAAAAAAAAAAAAAACAAGCAAACAAACAAGCAAACAAAGAAACAAACAAATGAGCAAGAAAATGAAATAAAAAAAAAAAAAAAAAAAAATTCCTTGGCACATTTTACCCTTTGGATGAACTTTAAAAAACACCACTGTTCATGTGCGCGCCTCTAGTACCGTGATACATGCAATTGCCACACGCATGTGAAACTTGTTTTTTTTTTTTTTTTTTTTTTTTCTCAGGTTGTCTCATTTTGCATGAAGAACAGCGGGGTTCCAATAGAGAAGCACTTGAAAGGTTGACATGTTGGAAATTTTAGTATTTTTTTTTTTTTTTTTTTTATTGCATTATAATATATCTGTGCTTGTTTTATTTTACCACCAAAAGATAAGAAAATAGTTTGTTATTTAGAGGAGGTTTTTTTTTTTCTTTTTTTTCAAGTGTTGAAAATTTCTCCTTTTTCATGGTACTGGATTTCCTTCCGTTTGTCTTTCCCACTTTTCAATTTTTTTTTTTTTTTTTTTTTTTTTTTTTCATTCATGCAACAGATGGCAGTACTTGTAATGCTGCTACTTTGTCACAATTTAATTGGGTCAGAAAATTATTGAGACAAAAAATGATTGGGACAAAAAATAAATTGGTGAAAAAATGATTGAATGTGGTATAAAAAGTGCCAAGAAATGGGGGTGGTAGCAAAAACTAGGAGTCAATTTATTCATGCACATTTTTTTTAAGCATATCTAGAGGGAGGAAATTTTTTTTCCCCTTTTCCATATCCATGTTTTATTGAAAAAACATACTAATCTTAATTCGTTATGTGCACCGATTACAACTTAATCTATCACAACTTTATAGTTTTCCTATCTTTTTTTTTTTTTTATCACTCCCACAACCACCTCCAAATTGGTAACCCCTGGTGATACGACAAAAAAGGAGCAAAAAAAGAACAAAAAAAGGGAAAAAAGAGCAAAAACAGAGCAAAAACAGAGCAAACACAGAGCAAAAACAGAACAAAAAAAGGGAAAAAACAGCAAAAACAGAGCAAAGGCAGAGCAAAAACAGAGATGATGAGGGACCCTACCCCAACCAAATGTACTTCCAAATTTACCGAGCACAATTTAGTTGCATTTCCATGAGTTTGCGATGGTCCAGGTAGAGCATCCCCTATGTGTTCTTTCACACTCAAGTTCTCCCAATCATCTAATTGTGACGTCTTCAACCTTTCTGTTGATTTTTTTTTTTTTTTTTTTTTCTCCCCATTTTCCCCAAATTAATGGAGTACACACACTCAGGGGAAAAAAAATTCACCTTTTTGCTGTTTTTTTTTTTTTTTTTTTTTTTTTTTCAAAATTTCAGAGAAGTGAAAACGATGTGATGCCTACTTTTCCGCTTCGATTACCTTCTCATTCATGAAATCTAATAAGTCAATCAAATAACCTTCTAGTTAGGTTAAAATTCCCCCATCACTTTTTATACACCTTACTGTGGCACAAAAGTTGCCTGAACGGTTAAGGCAGTGTGGGAAAAAAAAAAAAAAAAAAAAAAAAAAAAAAAAAAACCACGGGCCATTTCTTCAAGGGGTAGCAATAGATCGATTTGCACACAAAACTGGGACGGAGATATACACATATATATATATATATATATATATATATATATATATATATATATATGTGTATATGTGTGTGTGTGCGAAACGCACTCCTTACGGTACGAATGACACACACGATTCTATCGAAAATATCGCAACAATTTGCAGAATATCGAAGCAATAGCTTACGGACGTCTAAGCAGTGATATATCCCCGTGAAAGAGCAGAAAATGAAAAAGGAAGGGGACGATAGGAAATTGGAGAAGGAAAGGGAAATCATACTACTCGGAATTTTGAACATTGAAAATGTGTACGGGAAAGAGTGGATAGAAAAAAAAAAAGAAATAAAAAAAGATATCGAATGTAAAGCTACAAAATTAAATCAAGCCTTTCAGTACCCTTGGATATTTCACGAACATTTTGAATTCCTTTCGATAGACGATTACAATCGTGTAAAGAATAATTATATCTACAGTGCTATACTTATATTTAACCCCAATTTAACAGGGAACCATGAAAATCAGAATAACACAAAGGACAATAATATCTCCAAAAGTCATTACCTTATTGAGGAACAGTGGAAAAAAAAAAAAAAAAATACCACATGTGTAACAAACTGTGAAAAACATGATGTTGTAAAAAACACAGATGATATGAATATGGAAAGATTGACTAAAAAAAAAGAAAATGATAAAATGAACTGCGAGAATTATGCACAAGAAAGAGTAGAAATGAAGAATGAAAAAATAAAACTCGATAATACACATATATATGGACATAAGTCATCGTCTGATAATAACATTTCGAGGGATGAACAAAAAGTTATGGATGTCAAAACAGAAACGAAAAAAGAAGGTATAGGTGTTTTAGTAGTTACATGTAAAAAAATAGAAAATATAAAAATCAAGCATATCTTAGTAAAGATGCTAAAGAAAGAAATAAGAGTCGAATCAACTCTCCTTAAGTGCAAAGATGGAAAATTTTCCACTTTTTCACACATTCCCCATGAGGAAAAAGAATCAAGTGCTAAATTAACCGAAGTTAAGTATTTAGACAAACCTTCAGATTCCTCAGATGTGAGCCCTTCCTTTGTAAACATAACGAAGCCGTTTAATGTACAAAGGAATAATTTTTTCAACACAACGGCTTATTTATATGGTAAGAAGAAAAAAAAAAAAAAAAAAAAAAAAAAAAAAAACATTGCCTACCATTTCTTTCTTCCGTGGGTAGTGTCCTACGTCTAATACATACCTGATAACACTCCCCTGTGCACGAGATCATTTCGACTAATTTGAATCTCATTGGGGAAGATTATTCCTACCAATTTGACGATCCAATTTCATGACCCAATTTTGTTTCCACTTTAGGGTCTTCCAACATTTTGACGAATACCAGTTTGATACAACGAGAATATGGAGACGAGGAATGGGCTGAGAGACTCAGACGGATGAAGAAGGTAAAGGAGAAGGCGGTTGGGGTTCCGTGTACTGAGGGACGTGATAACATTAAGTCGACAGAAAACGGATTCATCAAGACTTTCACAGCGTTGTTTAAGAAATGATCCCGTGGGCGCGAAGTAATCATGTCAAGCCAAATAACCCTGTCACAAAGAATTATGAACAGAAAAAAAAAAAAAAAAGAAAACCTATCAAATTGCATCAAATGTTTCTAACTGTGACAAATGCTTCTAACCGTGTCAAATGCTTCTAACCGTGTCAAATGCTTCTAACTGTGACAAATGCTTCTAACCGTGTCAAATGCTTCTAACCGTGACAAATGCTTCTAACCGTGTCAAATGCTTCTAATCGTTCTTCATTTCTTCAAGACTTTTTTGACGTCAAAATATTTCGACATTTCCTATAAGTGGGAGATAAAAGGGAAGATTGTACAAAAATGGGTACATAATTTGGTTCCACGGAAAATGGAATTTGTTAGAGTTCGTCTAATGCAATTGACATAGATAAGTATGAATATCGGATTGCTTGTCTCAGTGCTCCATGTGATTACACCCCATGTGATTGCACTCCATGTGATTACACCCCATGTGATTGCACTCCATGTGATTACACTCCAAGTGACTTCACACCAAGTAGCGTCGAACCAAGTGGTGTCGAACCAAGTAACTGCACCCCATGTGAACTCACCGTAACATCGTTCAGGTAAATTATATTCTCGTATATACTCGAAGGGATAAACGGGTAGAGGATATAAATGAAGAGCTTGAAGGCTAGAGAATAATTGAAGAAATATATAATTTTCAGATTTTTGAGAAATTTTTGAATGACTTGGAAAATATCCTTGAAAAGCGACAAAACATTTGTAATTTGTGTGGAAATATTTTCAGAAAATATGAATAGAAGAACAAAATGATTCCTCATAAATGTGTTGAAGTAAAATAATAAATAAAAAAATAACAAGTGATAATTATAGTTCACAGGAAAATTAAAGAAATTGATAACAACTGTATTTCTGCCTAGTTCATCGGATCCATATTCATACATAAAAAGACCATTTTTGAATTCGTTAAATTTTTTCTTCTTATCATACATGTAACTCAAGCGGAGGCACCATTCCAGATTCATCATCATGTTCTCTTCATTCTTATTTATCTCACGCAAACAGTACAATTTTTTATGGCTTTCACTTTCCGTTTTTAAGTTTAAGAACTCCCTGTCTGCTTCTTTGAATATGTCAGATGATGATGACGATGATGATGGCGATGACAGCGGTGAGGATGATGGGGACGGTGGGGATGATCTCTGCACGTGTAAATTTCTCGCTTCCTCAAGGGACGAGGACACTAAATCCACTGGGTATTCACACATCGCAGGACGTATGCACATTTCATCCGATCCATATTCCATAGTTTCACCTTTTCTCCCACGCAATGATTTTTCATGGTAACTGTTATCCCTGGTTTTAGTGGTTCTACCAATGCAACTTTTCTCGTCCGTTCTGTCTGCATGATTAGGACGTGTACTTGTATCGTCATTTATTTGTTTTTCCAGTTCATCATTCGTCACATTGTTCTTTGGTCTGCCCTTCATGCGACCTCTGGATTTGTTTGAATTTCTTTTTCGTTCAACCCTTGCACCACGTCCCACACGACGCAGAGTCTTGAAAATCCGAATCCCTCTGTTTTGCACATCTATGGATCCATATTTATTTCCTAATATGGCTATATTGGCAGAAAGGTACATTTCCTCATTACATCGTGGAAAAAATATAGAAACATATTTCAAAAGTAACATGTATAAATGATTGGTGTTGGTAACAAGAATAACTGATCGGATGTTGTTATAAAATTGAGGTAGTAGTAGAAGGGAACGTAGGCTCTTTAAAAATGTAATTAGAAATATATTTATTGGAAAGAATAAATTAAATGATATTATAGGGACAGAAATCGAATGAATTTTTTTGTCAAAACATGTGTATAAAATTTCTTGAACACATAAATTCATTGTATTGTGAGTAGCTAAAATATACTTACTATTATATTTGGGCAACATCACATGCAATATATATTTATGTATGTTATCATAGCTATTTGTCAGATATACTTCCCCACTCTTCTTAGATTTTATTTCTAGTCGGTCTTCTTCTTCCAACTTCATCAGCGTCGAGGAATATAAATCATCACATACATTTTTAGAATATTTATAATTGTGATTTGCAAATAGCACGATCGCGTGACTATCCACTTGTGATATGTCTCCATTGTAAACTTTAATTTTTTCATTCACCTTTTCGTGGATCATGTACACTTTATGTCTCAGGGAGAAGGCGTACGCCTCGTTCAGGTTCCCATCTGTGTTCTTCTTCACCCCTCGCCTCTCCACCCCTTGCCTCTCCACCTCTTGCTTCTCCACCTCTTGCTTCTCCACCTCTTGCCTCTCCTCACGAGTGGATCCAAAATTGAAGAGCGCTTCTCCCTCTTGATCAACGTACCGATTTATGCTCGATACCTTTGTATACACTCTGCTCAAGGCTTCATATGCCTCTTCACTTATTTGAAAATTTTGTTTGTATTGCTGATCATCACTATAGACATAGACTATATCTGTTGTATCAGTTTCCAGGCTGCTTAAACTGCTAGCTCGATCGCGATTGGAATATTTTATACTGTTGTGAGAATTCTGGACATATGGAACAGTTATATATGGTTCCACGGTTTTATCACATGTTCCACCAGAGATGAAATAAAGAAGAAAGTTAAAATAAGCAACGTCAATTGCATATATCAATGGATGGAACGTCAAACTAGGAGTGAATTTCCTTTTAACATAAAAATTTTCTGCGTCAAAATTAAAAAAAAACTCATCATCTTCGATAAGCAACTTTTCATGAATTTTATTGTACATACGTATATAATGGAAAACAGAATAATTCAAGTCATTCCATCCTATCAATTTGTTACTGTCAATATGTTCTTTTATTTTGTGATACCCTCCCCCCTCTTTATCTTCTCCATTCAGATCCAATTTTTCTGTCCCATTTATGCTTCTTATCGTATTGTTCATCTTTGTACATATTTCACTCACGTTTAATTCACTTTTATCAAGTTCTAAATCATTTATTAATCCATCGAATTCTTCCTTTAACCAGCAGAAAGCTTCATTTAGTTTATCTCCAACAGACATGTTGGAAAAAAAAAAAAAAAAAAAAAAAAAAGTATTGGATGATAGGTAGAGCTATTCGGATGGCCACACAAATTCTAACGATAAAAAAAAAAAAAAGTATTCTCTTCCTAACCTCACTCTTTTTCACGCTCGAACATGCATTATGCAGATTCACATTTCCTTTTAAAATGGTCAAGTTTTGACTAGACCATCCCTTATTTATTATTCCTCAGCGAAGCAACACATCTGTGTGTCATAAAGAAGAGTGTATTTCATAAAGGAGGGGAAAAAAAGGGGAAAAAAAGGGGAAAAAAAGGGGAAAAAAAGGGGAAAAAAAGGGGAAAAAAAAACGGAAAAAAAGGGGAAAAAAAAACGGAAAAAAAGGGGAAAAAAAAACGGAAAAAAAGGGGAAAAAAAAACGGAAAAAAAGGGGAAAAAAAAACGGAAAAAAAAACGGAAAAAAAAAAAAAACCTTTATTTTAAAATCATATGTATTACCGTGCTTGTATACATTCATAAACGTATCAACAATCTCTCCTCCATCCCAAAATCCCTGTTTAATGGGCCCTCTTTCAAAAACATTTCAGGAAAACATATTCACTAATCTGTTTCTCCCCCTTGCTTGTAAGCGTAAAATCCTTCGAAATCGAGGGGGAACGTAAAAAAAAAAAAAAAAAAATAAAAAAAGGATATGGGGCAATGTCAATCGTACAAAATCAGCAGCACAAGGTCAGGAAAACGCCGGTGGAAATCCAAAAGAGTAGTGGGGGTGGGACGACCGTCCGTCCATTTCTACAAAAATTGAATTTTTTTTTTTTTTTTTTTTTTTACAAAAGATATTTTCGCACCCCCTGAATATAAATACGCCACAATCATTTTGAAAAAAAAAAAAAAAAATAAAATAAAAATAGGGGTATTATTTCTGGGCCAAGAAAATGTTAACCATTTTAAAACATATTTAAGGAAAATGTTCTTATTAGAAATAGCAGAGTGTTTCAGATTAACATAATACAATGTAAGGTTTCGGTTAATCAGGGTTTCGCAAAAAAAAAAAAAAATTTTTTTTTTTTTTTTTTTTTTTTAAACATGATTTTATATGCGTTTGTAGGTTAGGTCTAAGCAAAAAACATTTATACTGTTCATCACAGACTAGGATAATTTTCCAGGAGTTTTGCTACTCGAGTGGAGGGAAGATAAGTACATGTGCATGATTCTGCTTCCTATCTGTTTTAGTAGTAGAGGAGATGGGGTAAAAAAATGGAATGTGTAAATATACAAAATTGTTCAGGTGTATGTTACACACATGTTTGATATATCACGACGTAGATATTTCACACCAATGCTAGTGTATATATATGTATATATATATATATATATATATATATATATATATATATATATATATATATATATATATGTATAAATATTCTGCACATGGGAAAAAGTGGATAAAAACAGATATGCAAGGCAAGTTTACTACGGAAAAAGCCAATTGGGTTAAAAAAAAGTTAACATTACCGATTCGTGAAGAAATTCCATTTTTTGTAGATTCAATTCAGAGTAGATAAAAATGACCTGACAAAGGATGGAAATGAAAAAAAAAAAAAAAAAAAAAAAAAAAATATTGCTCATTTATGCATGCTGCATATGAGACATAGGCGCGTTTATACATAATGTATGCATGTATGTCTAAGCTTATTCTGTATTTATATTTATTTGCACCACTGATATGGTTGAATTCTACTGATTCGGTAGACCATTATGAACTATAAAAGGACTTACAGAGGATACTAGCATAAGGAAGGAGAGCAGCTGTAAGTTTATAAGGTTCAAATTCTGAATAAAAAAAAGAGAAGAAAATGGAAGAAAATAGAATAAAATGGAAGAAAATGGAAGAAAATGGAATAAAATAGAATAAAATGGAATAAAATAGAATAAAATGGAATAAAATAGAATAAAATGGAATAAAATAGAATAAAATGGAATAAAATAGAATAAAATGGAAGAAAAAAAAAAACAGGGATATAAATATACACAAGCGTTCTTACACCCCATGTGTGTGCCACACACATATACACGCAGGTGCAAATCAGTATGGTTTTAAACCTTTCTCGCCGATGCACTAAAAGCAACACGTGTGCTACTCTTTTCGTTCTTTATGCGAATATGTATCCCTTCAAATTTAAACACTTTATTGTATATTTACCTTTAGCAGAAGAGAGGAAAATGCCGAAGCGCACGAGTACATGAGCATTTTGACATAATCCCCTTCTGAATCTCGATAAAATAACTTGTTCTGTTTATGCCTTTGGATTAGGTAAACCAGGTAGATCCCTGACTAGAAGGGGGTGGTGAAAGGTGTGTTCAGGGTTCAGTATTATATCAACATACGCAATTTGTATGTGCGTTCAGCGTATGTATTTCATCCATGTGCATTTGTACAGATTCCGTTCGTGCGTTTTTTTTTTTTTTTTTTTTCATTTACACTTAACAGGGATGGTAAGAAGATGTTATTCTCCTGAAAAATGGGTGTACAGGTAATAGGTTATATATGCAATGTAAAATGTTGGGAATTGTTCAAACTGTGTGGGATAGCAAGTGGTTAAAAAAGAAGCTTGTCTATTCATACTACTGGGTGTAAGCCTTTCTAACCTTATATATAAAAAGTGCCAATGTGCCTATTCCGTTGGCTCCATGAAGGAAGGCACTCTGCGGGATGCGAAAAAAAAAAAAAAATAAATAACATAAATAAATGAATAAATAAATAAATGAATACATAAATAAATGAATAAATGAATAAATAAATGAATAAAAAAAAATGAAACAATAAAAAATGAAATAAAAAAGGGTGCGTCATCGTGTGGTACGCGAATGGTTCTATTCTACACGATGGTCGTTCGCCTTAGTGCGTTGTCACACCTACGCACGCAACCAGTATTACCATCGAATTTTCATATTTGAAAAGGGTCCCATATAATATGTAGCAAAAAAAAAAAAAGAAAAAAATGATCACCGATTCAAGGGGTATCTACAAAGGGGGTATATATAGTTTGTCGTTAAAAAAGAAGACATAGCACTTTGTTGTCTTATTACCGAGTGGAAGGAAAAAAATAAAATAAAAATAAAATTTCACGCAGGGATATACGTACCGAAATACTATCATCCGCCTGTACGTTCAGGTAAACTAAGAGGTATCCAGAGTACAACAGCTAGCCAAATGGAAAAAAAAAAAAAAAAAAAAAGATAAGACAAGACAAGACAATATAAGATGAGATGAGAAAAGCTTATATAGAGCACAATTTACAAAACACAATACACAACTGAAGCGTGTGTAATCGACGAGGCTATACTCAGATACGTTCCTCAAACGTTCTAGTGCCATCGAGTTTGAGATTGTCTTACATTTATCAAAAAAAAACTGCACAAGGAGAAGAAAATTCTGCATGTTTTTGGAAATGAGAAGAAAAGAAAAAAAAAAAAAAAAAATAAATAAAAGTTAATGTTCAAAAGTTAAAAGTTTAAGGTTAAGGTTAAAAAATTGCATAGAACAAAGTCATTTTTTTACACACTCCAAAAAAAAAAAACAAAAAAAAAAAAAAAAATACATAACTGAAGCGTGGCCGTAACATGTGCGTTATCATCTTACTGGGGTATTATTTCGTTTAGTATGGATGGGTTTACTTCTTCATCTGCAAGAGGGAGGAGAAAAAAGAAAAGTCACTCGGAAAAATAAATGATTAGATATGTAAATGCTTACATAACGGAATTTTAACTCAGTTCATTTCTACGAAGTTTGTCCAGAAAATTGTAACTCAACTAAAGAACATTTCAACCTCGCACGTGTATGTGAATTGGACTAAAAAAAAATACAAGTCGCACATTACACATAGGAATACATGTAAATATAGCTGAGGGGCATACCTATGAGTTCCTCGTTGGTGACACTTCTAATATATAGGTAGCAGCTGTACCTGCGTGGAGAATGCAAAACATGTATAATGGTTTCATCCATTACAACGACGATGGCCAACATAGGGATCGATCAACACCTGCATAAATAACACCATTGGAGTAATCGGCATGACCACACGCCCCAGTCCTAACATTCTCATCTAAATACCAAACACACGTGATAAACTTTATCATTTTGCTTCCTTACCAGCTCATGAAAAAGAAAAACAAAATAATAAAAAAACCAAGGAAAAAAATCTGAGGGGGAAAAAATATGCATATACACATGTAGACCAATTTAAGCATCATTCTGTTTCTCCTTTTCAATGAGGCATCTGCACGTAGCGGATCAAGAAGCTACGAGTTACCACTTCCATTTGTGGGAGATGGAGCTTTGTACATAGCTGTGCATAAACTGATACACAGATTAGATGTATAATGGTTCTGCAGTTACTACGCGTTGTGATGTTGACTCACCAAGAATGCCACATCGGATGATAGATGAAATAAATTCCGAATGCTAAGGAAGAAAAAGAAACACACGTGCGAAAGTTTGAGAATCCAAATGGCATAGTTATTGAATATGAAAATGTTTATCCCATCTTTCTTCGTTCTCTCTTCTATTAGATTTTCTCGCAGCTGTGTAGTGTGGAATGAGTGAAGCGTGTTCGTGCATAAAGGAGTGTGTCTACAAGATTAATGAGTTAATTTTCAGGCTTATGAGAAACCCATGAAATGTTGACAACACGAGGCATGCAAGAGTTCTCTCTTTCGGAGTGTGTTCCTCCCGTTAATTTTCAAAAAAATAATAAAATAATGGCAATAATAGCAATAATAAAGTAATAGCAATAATAAAATAATAGCAATAATAAAATAATAGCAATAATAAAATAATAGCAATAATAAAATAATAGCAATAATAAAATAATAGCAGTAATAATAATAAATGAAGTAAAAGCAGTGTTCTTCCCCGATCGATACAGATGAGACGTATCAATAATTTTTTTTTTTTCCTAATTTTTTCTAGTATATCCACTCCAATGTGATTAATCAAAGAAATGCATAATTAGAGTTGTGCAGTTGTGGTAATATTTTTGAGGAGAGGTGAAAAAAGGAGAGAAGATTTGGTCATCTAATAATGATGAACCAGTTGTCAAGGACACGCAAGATGAACATGGTAAGAGGAATTTTTTTTTTTTTTTTTTTTTTTTTTACCATTTTATTTAATTTCGGTTTGGGTGATGATTCTGGGAAGGGGATGATGAAATGAAGAGTGGTATGTTGTAGGTTTCAGGTCCCAGTTTCAGGTCCCAGTTTCAGGTCCCAGTTTCAGGTCTCAGTTTCAGGTCCCAGTTTTAACTCTCGTTTTTAGGGTTCAGGTTTCATTATACATAGGATCTTGTTTTTTTCTCGCAAGTACTACATAATGTGTATTTTTATTACGTACATATACATACTTTGGGTCTACACATTCTGCAGTTTCTGGTTTTCATCAGCCCCCCTTGAAATGGCTTAGAAATGAGCTCTTATGCTTTTTTTTTTTTTTTTTTTTCTTTTTCTCTGTGTGATAACTTTTTCCTGGATCCTTCTAATGGGCTTTCACGTTCCAATAAGGGGAAAGGAAAAAAAAAAAAAAAAAAAAAAGCAAAAACATGCAAAGCATAAAACTCCAAAATGCTGTTGGCATAAAATCAATTTAGGTGTAATAATCCATCCTTTAACCAATTCATAAATTGGTATAAATCCACCAATCAGCGCGTGCAAAGGTGTGACTTGTCGACCTCAAACTGTCCTTCCATGAAGTGCCACAAGAGAATAATATAAGCACAAGGGAGGGAGATGGAAGAAAAAAAAAAAAAAAAAAAAAAAAAAAAAATTGGTCACGTGGTGCAAACCATTGTGAATGGTTAAATCGACACTCTGCTGAATATAAACTTTTTACTTTTAAAACTGCCTATGGGAAACTTTTATAAAAGCGATGCTGCAGACACAGAATGGAGACTGATCCACAAGCAAAAATACCATTGCAAAATTAATAACATGTTGATGATGGAACCAAATAATGATGTCAAGGGGATTGTGTATGAGGGGAATGTACTATTGTCATTTTTGATAATATTACAAGAGTGGTAAAGTATGGAAAAGCATCGCAAAGTATCGCAATGTGCCGTAAAGTATCCAAAAATGTGTTCACTATTTTCCAAAAGGAGGAAAAAAAAAAAAAAAAAAAATTCAACTATAGTTGCGAGGAGCTATGGGTTATATGCTCGCGCAAAACAACATAAGGGAAAAATTTGCATGTTCATAAAAGTTCCATTTTGCCTATGTCGCTGCCAATCCAAGTGAACAATGCACATCTTCATATACATATTCACATTTATATTTATATTTATATTTACGTGTGCTATATATCTAGGGCTAGATTTAGCGAAAGGGTTTTATTCTTACGGAAGGCACAGAATAGAGCCTACATGGCAAAAAATATAATTGCCCACAGAGAGTTTAACCCCCAACCCCAAAAGGACATGTTCCCTCACGTGTTGTCAGATTCTTTGAAGAAGAATTGCCTTTGACATAGAGAATAACGTCTACATATGTGTGGTGGGTGTGCAAAAAGACATGATGCATATTTATTTCTTTAAAAAAAAAAAGTTTTACAACAAATCCTTTAAAAAAAAAGGTTACAAATTGCAGGTTGGTATTAAGTGCATATAAAATTATCAACAGGTGGGTGGACAAAGGTGTGGAATATTCTTCACACCTGTCATACGTATATATAACACATATACATAGGTATATACATATATATATATATATATGTATGTGTGTGGAGGGGTGAGATCAGTAAGGTACATACAACTTGATTCTTACATGAAACATATAACACTTTTTAAAAAGGGATTCCAAATGGGCACAAAAGTGAAGAAGCATAACAAAGAAGCATGGCAAAGAAAGGTAAAAAAGGAATTTAAAACAAAAAGGTCTTACAAAAATGCTAAAAAAAAATTGCTTATACAATTATATAAAAACAAAATATATATAAATATAAATAGCACGTATATGTGTACTTGCACATATATGTACACTTAAGCAATGGCGTATTTTCACAAGCAAGCAGGCACATGAACATATGAACATATGAACATATGAACGCATGAACACATGAACATATGAACATACGAACACATGAACGCATGAACACATGACCCATGTGGGGACGCAGCCCAACCTACACAATCACCTTAGGCCGCCTAAGGAGGTAAATTTTCTCCATCAGAATTAACAAAAATTCGTTGTAGGAATATATGAGAACTCCAAGGATACAAAAAAAAACTGAAAGGGAGGAGTGGAAATTCAGACACTGCTTGGAATCATATTTACAAAAAAAAATATGACTGAAAATAAAAATAATAGCGACTTTAAGACCTTTTAATATTCCAACAGTGAGAGATCCACTAATTTTCATAATATACCAAAGGGTGGAAGATGTTACAAAATTAAATAAAAAAAGCCCCAAAAAGCTTAGCCAAATTATTTTAATATTCCCTTGTTTTTTTTTTATGTTTTCCATAATGAGATGATCAAAATTTGGTAAGGTCCATATGATTGTCCATAAAAAAACAAAACAGAAACTGAATATCCCCATTAAACACACAATATTTTGCCCTTCCATTTCGCCCATATATTTTTCATTTAATACAAATGTTAACCCCATTAATATATTGCTAAGAATAATTAAAATAACACCAATAATTTCTTCTTTATTTATTTCAAATTTTAAATTATTTGATTTAATAGCTATGCCAAATGTTATTAACAAAATACCCAACAACTGAAATTTATTCACTGTTTTATTTAGCAACAATTTTCTCCACATTGCTGTAAATATTAATGTGCAACTGTCTATAATTATGTACAAAGCTGAACCTGCATATATTAACCCTATTTTTTTCAACACTTGATTTACTAAATCTAATAACGACACAAAAAATATTTTCATCCATTTACATTCATTTAATTTCTGCTTTTTTGGTAAAAACCCCACAATTATCATGGAAAAATAATGTGGAAGCAAAAATATAAACGTACTTGAGTTTCCACATCCATTGTATTTTATTATATCAATTAATAAAGGTTGGAAGCAGTAGCTAAAGAGGAACAGAATAAATGTAGTTCCATATAAAAGTTCATTTTTCATTTTTTTTTTTTTTTTTCACGATACTTAAAAAGCCTCGACGTTAAAGTATAATGCATTTATGGGGTTCTCTATTCTTCCGGGGAAATATTAACCTTTTTTGGGATCGAGTGAGGGGGTAAATGATTGGTAAAATAAACCATACAAATGATGTGAAATATATTTTTTTTTTTTTTTTTGTCTAACTCTAAACTTGGATAATAATCGATCGATATGTTCTCCTGTGCCGGTACCCTCGAATGTGAAGAAGCTTATGGATACAGTCTTGTGCATAAAATTGGTTATACATGTTCTTATACATGGAAATATATATGAACAGAACCATATATATATATCTTGGAGGAATAAATAAATTTATTTTTAATGCACCTTTTTTGGTGTTCCCTTGGTCGCATATACATGGGTAGATGGGTGTACTGTGATAGGATCTTCTCACGCGAAAAGATATATATATATATATAATGCTTCTTTTGGAAGAGTCTATTCCAATGTTCCAGATTGGTCGTTGGTTGCTCTTAATGGTGCTACTCTATATCTTGCTTTTACTATCTAACTTGATACTGTTTCAACAAGTATGTTGTTTTTCTCGAAATGTAAGTAATTGATCTACTCCTCCTTCATGTAAAAACTTTAAATGAGCTTTTCATCTAAATAACTCATACGTACATACAAGCACATGCTTATTCACTTGAAATTTTTTACTTTAATATTTTATGCGAAAAAAAAAAAAAAAAAAAAAGGGAACACAATAGATATGTCGTATATCAAATATGACAATTTGTCAACATGCATACGTTCAATCTATTATTTTTTTTTTTTTTTTGTACCATTGCTTATGGTCAGAAGTGATAAATGTTTAACTTAACAGCACAGTGGGTATGAGGCAATATACATGCATATATATATATATAATTAAGATAGACAAATTTTTTTAAAAAAATGAAAGAAGACTATAAGATTTAATAATAATATCATTAACAAATTTGTGAAACATTCAAAATACATTCCAGTTGGAGGTAAATAAATGGGGAATAAAATACGTGAAAACGTGTATATTCAAAAAAAAAAAAAAAAAAAAAAAAGGGGGAAAAAAATGAGAGAAAGAAATGTACTAAATGTTTTTAGATCATATGACAAATTTTCATACACAAATTTGGTACAGGTTCGATTGTTAATAAGGGAATGTACAAATTTTGTAAACGTATAAACAACAAATGTGAATGAATACTTTCTTTTTGTAATCTGCTAATCAAGTATTTATTTAAAAATTACGCTTTAGTTAAACATACAAAATAACTCTGGTAGGGTATTATTTGGGTGGTGGAATCAAAAAAAAAAAAAAAAAAAAAAAATTTACAGCATAGATAGATGATTAAATAAATAGATAAATAAATAATTAATTAAATAGCTAAATGGCTAAATAAGAATACGTAAAAATAAACAAATTGGCTAGTCTGTGTTCATCAAGAATGACTAAAATGGAAATTAAAAAATTGAAAAAAAAAAAAAAAAAAAAAATCTTGTTACTAAGTGGCTTATGTGCCTATGCAACAAAAAGAGATGATATAAAACCGATGGTGTTAAAAAAACTGATACAAATGGAAATTATGTAATGAATTAGTGATATGTAGACAACGTGATATGATTGGGGAGCACCACAAGAAGCAAATAATTGTAGTGCGTATTATACATTCAAGCGTTTGTGTATCATGTGTATAGGTATGCAGAATGATGTAAAGTTATGTGGAGTTAACGTACACTGATGTATGATTTATGTATATTTATGTAAATTTATGTATAATTATGGATAATTACGTAAATTTATGTACATTTATGTATATTCATATGTACCTTGGGGGCAGGTGACTCTGGGGTTTATTAAAACTATGCATACATATGGTAATGCGCATAGGCAACTGAATTATGTTCATGTACAAACTGTAAACAGGGAGACACAAACAGAATAAAGGATTTTCTATCTTTAAATGAAAAAAAAAAAAAAAAAAATTGACATTTACTACTAAATATGTATATTCTCATATTATATATTTTGCATATTCTCACATGTATATATATATATATATATACATATACATATATTCTCATATATATATATATATATTCTTTTTTTAAAAAATCAAATATTTTCTTATAAAAATTTTGTTATTTTTTAATATGTCACTATAGTTCTCTCTCCTCTAGCCCCCTACAATATATTTTTAGGATATTTTATATATAAAATATATATATTTACAAATATGTAGTGGATTCAATTTAATATATATATATATTTTTTCCCTTTTTTGAACTCTCTTTCAATGCAATAATAAAATGTATTTTTTTTTTTTTTTTTTTTTCCATAATAGCAAATCGTATTTTTTATGCGGCATTAAAATGAAAAAAAAAAAATAGAAGTTGGTGGGTGGTATATGGATATATCATCAATCTGGTTCGTAACAAAAAAAAAAAAAAAAAAAAATATACATATATATATATATATTTTTTTATTTTTTCTTACCTATTATTACATTACAATATTGGTATTTTTTATCGACACTGAAGAGAGAGATTCATCGAGGCTTATATAACCACGGTCGTGATTACCTTATCCCCAGGGCGGGGAATCAATTCGGTTCGAGCATGTATATATAAGTATATATTCCCATCCCTCCCATGCTCATATATACATTTATGAACAATTATTGCTACCTTTTTGAAATGTTATGAGTAGTATATAATTTTATATATAGACCTAAAACACTCACAGGATATCACAAGCAAAAAAATAAAATAATAAAATAATTTCATATAAAATAATATAAAATAAATAATTAATTAATTAAACGACCTAAACAAAATTAAAACCACAATTAAAAGACCGCCCAAATGAGAAGCAACACATAAAAATACTGTTCATATTTTTTTTTTTTTTTTTTTTTTTTTTTTTATTTATCCCCTACATCCCTTTGAGGTCGTTAGGAAAAGCTACCTGTAAGGGTCGATGGGCACAATGACCAGGGGATGAAATGGGTGGAAACATGACCCCTAGAGGGGTAGATATATATGCCCTAGCCATAAATATACGTTTATATATTTTACACGTGTAAAACATTATACATGTGCTATATACATATAATACATATATGCTATACATTTATATAAATAGCATAGTACTATATGTGGTGCATCCGAGGGTTACAAGTAGGGGAAAAATCACACAAAAATTATTTAAACGAAAAAAAAAAAAAAAAAAAAAAAAAAACACTTAAAACAAGGCGAAATAAGAGAAAAAAAAAAAACAAAAACCCAAAACTGCAAATAGGAGAGAGGAAAAAGCAGTGAAGCAAAAAAAAAAAAAAAAAAAAAAAAAAAAAAAAAAACAAAATAAAATAAAATAACAGTAGTAGTAGTAATAATAATAAAAATAAAGTAAATAAATAAAACACAGCCCCAAGATTCCCGAGCGGAATTGTATAGATATAAAATACGTAGAAAACTTTTGAAAAAGAACAAATTTACAGAACGTAAAATCTACTTGGGACATGCGTGAGCCAACAGGTCCTTTTTTTTTTTTTTTTTTTTTTTTTTTTTTTTTTGTAAAAAAGAAATTCCCTCACCAGTGATTGTTCATCTGGATTACACTCGATCGTACCTCAGAAATCTCCAATTGGCGTGAAGGTACGTACTTTTATATTGTAGCCCTACCACACTGCATGTGTTCATTCGTTTTCATGCCTGATTTGGGTGTTCGGCTTTCCCCCTGAGCGTTATTTTTCCACTCACCCTCTTTTTACTCCCATCATATGATACATCCATAGGTATAGAGAAAATGACACAAACGATCAAGTGGAAAAATTAATTGGATAATTTATTAATCATACAGATATAATAAGAATAAGTAAACGAAAGATAAGCATACTCCGTTTATTGAAACAGGGGAAAAAAAAAAAAAAAGAAAAAAAAAAAGAGATAGATAGATAGATAGATAGATAGATAAATAGATAGATAAATAGATAGATGGATAGATAGAGAAAGAGTCAAAGTTTGGAGAGACTGTTAAATCAGCAAAAGTGTGTGAAAATATAGCTAACTGTCAATCTTACTATAATTGTTCTGTATATTTGTCAGAATACACGCATATACTGTAACAATTAACACAAAGTAATATCACGAACACTCTTTCATACAAACAAAGGAGTTAATGAGCTTCAGGAAGTGTAATAAAAGTAAATACCCTGAAACAGAAAATAAAAATTTCATTTTATTTCAAAAAAAAAAAAAAAAAAAAAAAAAATATAATTTTTAACCATGAAGAGAAAATATTTATGTGGACATAACCGTCCACTGACACATGTAAATACAAATTACGATGGGGATTTACTTTTCACAACAGGAAGGGTTAGTTTAAGTCAAGGAAAGCGAGAGGAAAAAGATAAAGAGGGAATAATGGGTAGTTCCCCAACAATCACAAAATTTATGAAAGAGAGAGAATACATATAATTACATCATGTTTTCTTGTTCATATATGAGATAGTCAAAAATGAGTGGCACACTTTTTTTTTTTTTTTTTTTTTGCAATTCTAACTGATTCTCCAGATGAAATCTTCATTTCTTCACGAATCATTTTTCCTTCTATACATATTTATCTGTGCCTCGAACAGTTGCATGCCTCTACATCTGTGCGTACGTTTTACCGTCCGCAGTACTTAGTAAAAACTGTAGACATATTCATATATAAATATATGAGAATTATGTACGGACAATATGCACATGTCTCTTTTGTTTTCCCCATTTCCCCTCATAAGGATAAAAAATTCATCTTGTGGAGACTAGCCGATGGAAATCAAATAGGTAATAATAAATAAATGTTTTATGAAAATATTTCCTGTTTTGCTTACTTTTTTTTTGGAAAAAAAAAAAAAAAAAAAAAGATCATGCATTTAATTTCTCGCCCTTTTTTTTTTTTTTATTTTTCTCCTTTCATAGGATTGTATGAATGTAGTGGGGCTGTATACAATTCCGACGTGACATACGATAGCAAACGAATCGCATGTTCATCAGCAGCAAACAAGGTGTACATATTTGATGTTTACACTGGAGATACCTTAAGTGTAATGGAAGAAAATGGACCCGTAAGATTTGTGGAATTTAATAAAAACCCATTAGATCAAAGCAGAATAATTGTAGCAACTGATAGACTAAAGGCAGAACATAAACGATTCATTAAACTTTATGATTTGAAAAGTAACACAGTGATATGGAAACAAGAACATGAAAGTAGATGTACACAAGTTAGATGGTGTTTTTTTGACAAATTAATTTTATCTGCACATGAAAATGGAGAAATAGTCATATGGAATGCTGAAGATGGACATCAGATTAGAAAAATACAGGCACATACAAAGGAAGTTACAAATTTGGCATTTGACAAAGATAGAATGATTATGTTAAGCTCATCTTCAGATGGAAATGCAACATTAAGAGATGCAATTAATTTTGATATTATAAATGAGTATAAGGCTGATAGGCCATTAAACACTTGTGATATTTCTCCCCTTTTTAAAAATGAAAGTAATCCAAAAAATCATATAATCTTAGCTGGTGGCCAAGCAGCAGAACATGTTACAACTACTGCCACAGGAGAAGGGAAATTTCAAACGCTTCTTTATGATATTATACATGCGAACGAATTAGGTAGTATTAAAGGTCATTTTGGTACCGTACATTCTATAAAATTTTTGCCTCATGGAGATGGTTTTGTCTCTGGTGGAGAGGATGGATTCGCAAGAATTTACCATTTCGACAAGGACTACTTTATTGGAAAATACGACTAGTTCTGCTGTGGAGAAAGTGAGGATCAATTATTGTGAAAATTTGAGAAAATACTACCCCTCCCCTCATGGATTAACATATACATAGTACCAATTTCCCCCAGTGAATCCAATTCAGGAAGTGTTCTAGTGCTCAGCCAATTCGATGGTATGACTAACTTGGTGATTTGCCTAACTTGGTGATTTGCCTAACTTGGTGGTTTGTCTAACTTGGTGGTTTGTCTAACTTGGTGGTTTGTCTAACTTGGTGGTTTGTCTAACTTGATGGTTTGTCTAACTTGATGGTTTGTCTAACTCGGTGATTTGTCTCAGTGCGGGCGTTACATTTTTTTTTGCCTCCCTTTTTGCACCGATATTACGTTCTCCTCAGTGCAATACTAAAAAAAAATGCGGAGCAAACGTGACACAACATTTACAGTCCATGTCGATGGTAGCGTTTGTTTTTGCCAACAATTCATTCATTGTAAAAATGTATAGCTTTTTTTTTTTTTTTTTTTTTTTCGAGAACGAACATGTTTTTATAAACATTTTATCATCACGCCCAGGAGTTTCCCTCATTGAATTGTTTTTTTTTTTTTTCGCCTGATTTGATTCTATATGAGACCGTGAGGGTTCAGAAAATCTGATAAACTGAAAGAACCCTGCACTATATATTACTTCTATAGCTTGTTCATGGAGATCCATCCATTTGACCATAGATTGACAAGGAACCCAAGATATCGTCTCCTCTTTTACAATTTTGAAAATACTTAGCTGGTCTCCCATTTGGTATATCTGTCCGAACGACAATACTCTTCTTGTGCTTATAATCGTTAAGTAAATAATTTCTACTTGCATTAAATAATTGGTGTTTATCAACACTTATACTCTTCTTCACTATATCATGCTTCTCCAGCTTTTTCACTTTATTAAGGATTCTCTGATAACAGTACTGGAGCTTGCAAAGATTCATTCGGATGGGTTCTTTCGTTATTGGGTTGTCACAAAGATGTACAAAATAGCTAGTTCCTTTCTTGGTTGCCATTTTTGCCGAAAGTAGTTCTATGAACCGCTTCATTTTACGCACCATGTGGGGACTGAAGAGGTAGAACCGCATATCTGCATCTGCATAATATGTGTTCATGACGATTAGGAAACCTAGAAGTTTTCTTCCCGGCCTAATTGGGTATGCAATCCACAGGTGTAAGAACATCTTTAGCAGTTCTCTCTTGAATTGTTTTTCGCTCAAAATCAAAAGTTCATTGTGAAGGAACACCTGGGATGGGGAATTTTCTCCTACAACTTTCATCTGGATTTTTCCACCTCGGCATGGTTCGCCATTCTTATGAAAGTCCGTTCTACCTTGTCCTTCCCCAGGAAAAAGCCGACATATCAAAAGCTTATAATAGTTCCGTTCTGTTTTTTTAAAATATATTAAAAGGAAATCGTACAAAGTTCGTTCCTCCAATGTGGTAAAGATATTTCTAAAAACAAAGTTGAAGTATGGAACCCATGAGAAGACGGTCCTATTATTAGCTCTCCTTCCTCCTACTCCTTCTCGATAAAGAGTTAATAAATAAAGTGTATAATGATGTCTCCGTTTTTGCCATAACTTGTCTTCTTTCTTTTTTAAAATCATTTTGATTAAATGATGAATCAAATTATTGTCTACACAATTTTTATCTTTATATATAGCCATAGTAATTAAAAATATGTAGTCTATATACACATGTGGAAAATGTTCAATTGAGAGTATCTTTTTGTACATCTCATCACATATTAGCTTGCTTATCAATTTGTGTGTGTCTGTATTATCTACTTTGTTCCTATCGAATATTCCTAATAAGAAAAGTATTTCTCTGTATGAAAGTTGAGTAAAGACTTCATGGCAAGTGGGGACCAATGCAGATAGGAGGCATATAATTGTATTTTCTACACCAGTGTAAACGTGGCTAGCTATATTATCAGTATATACATAAGTAAGAGAATCCGTTTTTTTTTTGCATACACCATTTGAGTGTGCCTTTTTTGAGATATCATTTTTTTTCACGATATAATGTGATTTTCCTCCACATGGCCACACATAGTGCGTTTCACAATTGTATTCATAACTTTTTAGAAGAAGTTTTATCAACTTTATTGCATTTTCATTGAAAATTTTGTGTACATTGTTTGCATAAATTTTGAGAAATGGAACATAATGAAAAATTTCAAAACATAGTTGTGATATTGTTAAGAGGCATTTCATATCGTGATGAGTTAAAAATGCATTTTCAAATTGTGCTTCATATATACCGATTCTCTCCTTCAGGTGCATCTTATTCTTGTCTAATTGATCTAAACAATTGAAAAGGTGGAAAATTTCTGAACATTCATGCAAAGTTGTGTCAAATGACATTTTAAAAAAAATTAAACTTATTTTATTTCCTAAAAGGGTAATCTGTGGGTGCGTGTCCTTGTACAGGGCAATGTACTTAAGAAGACTTAGCACATTTCTCCCGCTCAGTTCTGCATACTTTTCACACAGTTGGTAGCGTTCGTGATTTTTGTGATTTTCCCGACATTCATTGTTTTTGTGATTTTCCTGACATTCATAGTTTTGGTGACTTGCACCACCACCCCTCTTCCTCCTCCTTTGAATTCGCCTTTTCCCGAAAAATTCTGAACGTTCATATTTTTTCACATAATTACTGCGCCTGCTTAAAAACGGGGGGTCCTCCCCATTTGTCCCCTCACAAATGAGCTTCTTATCACCTTCGCCCACCCTTCCTGGAGACACTTCAAAAATGTAAAAAAGAAAATCATTCCAAAAGTGGACGAATGGGTTATCTTTCAGTGAAAAAAAACAAAGTGATTCACAAGTAATGCCAATATCGTTTAGAGAAAAAAAATTGACATTTTCTGAACAGTGCAGGGCTAAGAGGTTCAGAAGGTTTTTCTCTGATTGGATTATTTTTTCCTTGTAGGGATGTTGCTGAACTAGCGAAGTTTTGGCGCGCCCATGATGGTCATTGTGTTTATAGAAAATGCTGTCATAATTTTTGGCAAAAACTTGGTCATAATTTTTGGCAAAAACTTGGTCATAATTTTGGGCAAAAACTTGGTCATAATTTTGGGCAAAAACTTGGTCATAATTTTGGGCAAAAACCTGGTCATAATTTTGGACAAAAACTTGGTCATAATTTTGGGCAAAAACTTGGTCATAATTTTGGGCAAAAACTTGGTCATAATTTTGGGCAAAAACCTGGTCATAATTTTCGAATGAGGTTCTTTCTTTTTTCTTCTCCATCTCTTCTCCCATGCATGAAGTCCCTTTTGCAATTTTTCTCCACCCTCGATCAAACTTATCACATCTTGATGGAGATGGGAAATGCTCCGTTACTTCCAAATGGCGGAAAGTATTTTTGGTCAGGATATGGAATATTTCGAGAAAATGTCTAGGTTCCATATTTTTGTAATACTGTCTTAAGTATGAGAAAATAAAACTGAACAGAATGGCATTTCTTTTGTTTAACTTTTGCATAGCTATGGCCAAAAGATACACATTCACGTGGTCAAAGTATTGGTTATATGGGGTGCAGCTGTCTTTGCTTTCTTTGTTTGTGATCAGTTGTTTGGCTTGTCGATTTTGCGGGTTCTGAAGTGAATCTTGATTTATACCTTGCTTCGTTTCCTGTTGTGGTGGGTTCTGAAGTGGAGCAGTGGCACCCTTTTCCCCCTCGTTGACGAACCTCAAGTTGAAACTGAAAAGTATCCGCTGTATATCATCCCAAACACAGTCATTTTTAATTTTTTTTTTTATCACTTTTTTTAAAATTTTACTAATATCCTTTTCGTGTAACAAGTATTCCTTTTTTTTAAAAAGCAAATTACGCAATTCTCTATTATCTTTACTTACTTCATTTTCTGTCACTTTGAATAACTTTTTGTTTTTTTCGTATACTTTTTTCCTTTTCCAAGCCAACCCATTGTTGTTACTAATCTTTTTGGGGAGATTCCCTTTATGTGAAATTTGTAGTGCCCTGACACTGCCTCGAGCGATGTCCGTGATGTGTTTACATCGTTCAGATAGTCGTGACATGGGAGAGGAGGGGAGGAGGGCTTGGAGTAGATATGAGAAAGAGCAGAAAAAAAAACACTGTCCAAGCCACTTACTGATGGGGAAAAAGTACTAATATGACAAACCACTGATATGGAAAAAAATGCTGACACGGGGAAAAAGAACAAAACACAGTTACGACTATCCCGTTTCTACTTTTCATGTTCCGTCTGGAGGAATCCATTCAGGAAACCCTCAAGTGGAGTTGCCCATCCATGAGCTCTACAGTTGAGATTCTCGTGTAAATCACAGCAGGAGTAGATGCAGTAGAAGTAGGAGAAGCAATAGCTATAGTAGCCATAATATGACAGAGCCGAAGGAGAGATGCAAAAATATTCTACTTGAGGGTGCAAATTTATCGGACGAAAAGTGCCATAAAAACGGAAAAAAAAAAAAAAAAAAATTGTAAAGTTTTATACTGCAAAGTGTGAGTCATTTTAAACAAAATAGCATAGTGCAAAACCCCACGTTTGTGAAAGAAAAAAAAAAAAAAAAAAAAAAAAAAAAAAATGTTCAGCACTTTTTCAAAGAAAGGAACATATTTTAAACTGCATTTTTGCTTGAAAGGAGTGATGTTTGTGAATCACTTGCGAGAGAAAAGTTTGAGCATTCCGAGTGGGACCACTCTAATGGAGTATATGTATATGCATGAACAAATCTAGGCATGCAGATATTGTAACACAAAGGCATAATGCAAAAGCATAATGCAAGGGTATAACGTAAAGGCATAACGTAAAGGCATAACGCAAAGGCATAATGCAAAGGTAGGGAAAAATGCAGAGACCGCAATGATGAGGGTAGATTAGCCAAATGAGAACGGATGAATGAAACAAGAACTAACGTATAGTTAGTCGTCCTCCACAAGGATGTGGCATGTGAGAGAGAAAATAAAGAGTTAGAATATTTCACGTGGTTGTGTGTGTTTTCCCTCCTTGATCCGGTATAACATTCGCGAAACGGATGCAATTTGTGTAGCCAAGTAATGGATTTCCTCTGGTGTATTATAAAAAAAGATTGAAATGCGTGCACAGTTTGATATATGCAAAAATTCCTTAAGGAGTAAAGAAGCACAGTGATGACCTGACCTTATACATACATTTTTGAAATCAAGAAATGTTACTAAATCGAAGGAAGTAAATTTGTTAGACCATAGTGGAACTATTGGCACTTTCTTTTGTCCAACTTTTCTACTATTATGAACGTAAATTTTGAATTCACTAGGTTCTTCATGGTTTGTCCTTTCCTCATTTTCACTAAGCTGTTTGTCCAAAGGGTTGTTGGTATGGGGTAACTGAACCAAGTTTTGTTGCAAATTTTCATGCAGATAATAAATGAACAAATCGTAGAGATACATCTCGTAAAGGTAGACAAATTTAGGGTTCAGGTTTTGTAAAAACTGAATGGCTACTCCCATAGATATAATACCAGCAATATTTTGCGTTCCTGATTCAAATAGGTGAGGAGAAGAGACAAATTCAGATTTATATTTATCGACATTTGTTATGATATTACTTCCATAGAAAAGTGGCCTAAATTTGTATCTACGTGTTAAGGTTCTTTTTATGTAAATAAAGCCAGAACCCAAAGGTGCACAGAATTTATGACCAGAAGCAATTAAAATATCTGGGGACGAATTATTTTCTTCCATCTTTTTTATATTATATTTTATATGTGGAAAACTTTGAGCTGCATCTATGATTATAATTATGTCTTGATTTATTTCTCTGACTGTTTTAATAATTATATCCAATTTTTGAATATTTCCCAAAACGTTAGAGGCATGGCTTATTGAAATTATTTTCGAATTTTTGTTAATACTTTTTTTTAATTTTTTTATATTTATGTAACCGCTTCTCCTAAGTGGTATATATTTTATTTTTCCTTTTTTTTTCTTATGTATTCCTTCTTGCCAAGGAATTATATTGGAATGGTGTTCTAAGTAAGTCAAATGAATTTCATCTTCCTTTTTTTTTATAACCTTATCCATCATCATGTTGCATATTAAATTCAGGCCATGCGTTGTTCCACTTGTGAATATAATTTCTTCTTCATTTTCACAGTTTATGTAATTCTTCACAACACTTCTCACGTTCTCGTAGTTCTTTGTTGCATCTAAGCTCATCTTATAAATACCCCGATGGATGTTGGCATTTTCCTTCGTGTAAAAATCGTTCAGTTTCTGGGAAGAGGAGGAGTGGTGGCGATCAAAATGGAAATCACAGTAGCACTCGTAATGGCAACTGTTGTGATGGAAGGACACAACTTTTCATGGTATTGGGAACGCCTCCGAGGCAAAGGACTGAACAACTGGAGAGGGAGAAAAACCAATTTCTGCCTCAATTAACCAGATGTGTTCTAGCGACAAGAGAGTGCAAGAAAAGTAATTCCCAAGAAATGTCCTCGCTGGAGTGATTCCCCATGTTCAGTAGCTACGAGTAGTTGGGGGTCATCAACATTGACGTACATCTACATGTACGCACTCGCATGTTCGCACACACATGTACACATTGCACAGCACGTACATCAGGTGTATTTCATACGACACACAATTTCATGCACAGTAATTCTCACCCGAATAACACAAGAAGGTTTTTGTGTAGTTGCTGCATTGTCGAAGTATATTGGACAATTTTCTTTCTTGAAAAAGGGGAAATTTTCTCGAATATTTTTAAAATAATTTACTATATCGGTATCAATTGGGGGCTTTTTATTTTCATAATTTAACTTTGTTATTCTATTAGAGACCTTAGGTATGAATAAATCTCTTCTACTGTTATGGTACGTGTATCCTGTGGATGTTTCAATTAATATTATCAGGGAGAAGCAAACGGTGCAAGTATGCCGCATGGTTGTAGAGGCTTGTGGTTCCCTTGCTTATTTTGGCTACTTTGCTTATTTTGGCTATTTTGCTTATTTTGCTTATTTTGGCTATTTTGCCTGTTTTGGCTATTTTGCCTGTTTTGGCTATTTTGCCTATTTTGACTTTTTTTTTTTTTTTCTTTTTTTTACTGCAAATTTTATCAAATGAACCCATTTGCCACATACTGAAAAAAATTTACAAAAGTGAAAGGTCTTTGGCAATTGCACAGAAAAGAAACTTTCGATGAACGGTTAAAATAGAATGCATAATTTCTTTATAGTCAATGTTAAAAAAAAAAAAAATAAAAAAAAATTCCAATGGAAATGAAAAAAAAAAAAAGGGGTGTGGGGTGGAGGTAATATGAAGAGCGGTGTAAGATAGGGTTAAACATATAATCAAACAAATTCTCGAATAAAATGACGTGCCAAAAGAAGAGGTGATGTTGATTGGTTGAAAATGAAAAGTTTGTAAATGACAACGTTGGCTGGAATGGGTGGTGGGGAGAGGAATACATTTTTATCCTTCCACAAGGGGAGAAAAAAAAAAAAAAAAAAAAAAAAAAAAAATACATCCATGAATACTACTTTATATGTTTATGTATGCACACAGGATGGAAGTTTTATTATTATTATTATTATTTCACTTCATTTTTTCCCCTTTTTTTATGGGCAACTACACCGCTTCGCTAAATTCCTTGGCCTCTCTGAGGCAGAATTCCAAGTTCCTGAAAAAGTAGAATGTCCAAAAGATCTTTACCCTTGTGCATTTTCTGTTAATTATTTTCTTGTATTTTTTTTCGTGATATTTATTAATGGGAAAGATGTTGTGGACATTGCTGATGAGCTGCGAAGGAGAAAGACCAGAGGGGGTGTATGTCAACTGGTGAAATTCACATATTGCATGATTCGAAACGGAGAACAGGTACAACAAGGGGAGTTGTAGAAAAAGAAAAAAAAAAAAAAAGAAACACAGTCATATCAAGAAAAGTGTGGAAGAAGGAGAAGATCATATTTTTTTCGCATATTATTTTCGCATATTATTTTCGCATATTATTTTCGCATATTATTTTCGCATATTTTTTTCGCATATTATTTTCGCATATTTTTTTCGCATATTTTTTCCCCATTTTTTTCATTACCAAATCAGGATTTTCTTGCACACCTAGAACACTACGAAGGAACCATTTTATTTCTTCGACGGATTTCTGTTCGTCCCTTTCCTTACTCATAAATCGAAGGCTTAAAAAAAAAAAAAAAAAAAATGCTTAGATGATGTGCATCATTCGGGAATAAAGCACATACACATATCGCAGTTGCACATATCCCAGTTGCACATATCGCGAATTTGTCACTCCCGAAGGGGGCTGGGGATGAGAGAAAAATTTCTATGAGTCGGTGCAAATGAAGAACACAGTTAATTATTACCTGGTCTCGTAGAAATCCTCTTCAGGCGTGGATTTCTCTGAACCCTTTTCTCCAAATGCATTCAACAAATCACACCGGGTGAATATGTTACGATCATACAACAAGGAGATTAGATTATTCTGTTTGTTCCGTTTGAATAAGAGGAGGGATTCCTGCGATGAGGGAAGTGCCGTGTGCAAGTGGTGGAAGTGGGAGGGGGACAGAAGGAACATGTAAAGGCGGATAATACCCCTATAAGGTGGAAAATTGAACTTACGAGCGAATGAGAAAAAGGTAACACATTTTTTGAAAAACAAACATTGGAAATTCTAAGTGTGTGAGAATGGAAATTGCACAAATATTTTCTAACGAACATGTCTTTTTTGTTGCCTTCGAATTTGACATTCTTCAAAAATTTTCTTAGTTCCATTGGGTTCAAACAGAATATGATTTCGTTACATTTGATGATCTTCCTTCCAAGAGTCACCTATAAAATTGTTAATGAGAAGTTTGCAATTTGGATCAGGACATAAGGTTGGGAAATAATGGTTTATTCGTTATTCTAGATATATGTCTGAATTACCACATAGAAACGGGGGGGAGGAAAAAAAAAAAAGCCAACTCAAATGTTGAGGCAAAGGATATATATATATATATATATATATATATATATATATATATATATATATACATGTGTGTGTGTTAAGATACCTTCACTCCACGGCGCATGCATCTAATCCGTAAATTCCCTGTCTTAGATATCACACTGATATTGTTGCATAATTCTAAGTGATCCTCAAGTTTTCTAAAACAGTGTGAAGGAAAAAAAAAAGAAAAAAAAAAAAAAACAATATCTCGTATATGTAATTTTTTGAACACATACTCTCATTTTCTTAGATGTAAACATCAAAATTTTGTAGAAACGCTAGATTTTGTCTCATTTTACAATCATCTTTTTTATTAATATTTTTTTTTTTTTTTTTTTTTTTTTTTTTTTGATGCTCCATGGATAGTCGAAATTACTTTAATAATGTCACGTTTCCTTTTCGAAATTTCACAATCTTTTTATTTTTAGTAAAAACAGGGTTATTTTTTTGGTTTACTGATCGGAGTGCGCTGATGAGAGAATTTCCTTTTTTCATTTTTTCCATGAAGTTTGGAAAGTGGGAACTGTACAAAAAGATTGTAACATGTGGCACGTGCAGCAACTGTTGCGGCTGTTGTTTGGGTAAAAGGTATCCAAGTGAGGAATAATGCATCGAAACTGGCAAAAAAAAGAGCCAACTCAGTTGCAAACGTGGCAGATGTGGTAGACGTGGCAAGCATGGCAATCCTTGCAAACGTGTCAAACTACCTGCACCTTACCTCATCAACACATCCTTAGGAGGGTATCCAAAGTAATGGTAGCAGTACGGGTGAATTACATCTTCGCATATTTTAGAATCCAAACGTTTTGATAAAAATGAGTCCAATCGTTCATCCTTAGGATTTGGGAAAGAATGAAGTGAGTGACACGACATGCTGTGCAAATGAATGGGAGGCAATAAACGGTGACAGTTACAATGTAACACGATTACCATTGCACCGACAAGAAAAAAGAGAAAAAAGGTTTTCCCTGACACTCGCATTTCTCACCTTTGAGATGGGGACAGATGAACCCCAAAAATGATCTTTCAAAAGGTTGAATATAATTCTAACCAAAAATTTGTTAATTCGATACATGCTTCCACATTCGTCCATGTAGGAAATATTGTTTGTGTACTTGTTGCTTTGAATAACTGGCATAATGGTAGACGACGTGAAAAAAAAAAAAAAAAAAAAAAAAAATTTTGACATAATTTTATGTGTTTTCTCAACTGCTAGGAGAGAGTAGTATACCCACATTGGGAGTAATCCCAGTTGTGTGTTCTAATTGGCACACAAAAAAGCATGTGAAAAGAGAGACACACACACATTTCCTGCTCGAGTAGGGTCATAAATATGCATATGTGCATATATACTTCTATAAACACGTGAAGATATACCGACATGTCAGAGTTTTCATTCAATGCAACAATTAGTACGCACTTTACCTTCGTCCTGTGCATCTATGGATCGAAGCAGCTCCTGGAAAAGAGGAGACGTGTCGCTCCAAGCAAATGAGTAATAACTTCCATTTTCACAGATGTTGCCATAAGAATAAGACGTGTTAATGAGATTACATTTTTTCTTAATCTTTAATAAGTTGATGATCCTATGCTTGTTTTTCGATAAGTAAAAACTTAAGCACATGGAATCGATACCGCCACCTACTATGCTAATTACATGGTGTGGGTATTTAATAAGGGAATGAAAAAATGTTCATATGGATTTGGCACAGATTTTGCACGGATTTGGCACGGATGTGCATTAGAGTGTGTCATAATATACACGTAACGTTGCACTGGGATGAATTCACTCCCTATATGTGTAGACAAAACATAGGTCGCTGCCATCTAACATCATGATTGACATGACTCATATATTCATTATGAACATGCCTTCTGTCACTACATGACTGATTATATTTTATCTTATTCTGCTTTATTATGTTAATTGTACACACAACAAAACTCGTTAACTCATCTGTGACTCGAAATGAGGAAATGGGTTTTATAAGTATCTACACAAATACCACTTTTTTTTTTTTTTTCTTTTTCTTTTTTCGAACCATATGTTTTTAGTAGCCTTAGCCATTAGCCGTTGAGAACTAGGGGGAGGGCGGCGCGAATTCGGTAAATTTGCCAGGGGTGTGCAAGAAAAGAAGAAAAGAAGAAAAGAAGAAAAGAAGCGATGAAACGGTGAAGCGATGAAGAAATGAAGAAATGAAGCAATGAAGAAATGAAACAATGAAGAAATAAAGCAATGAAGAAATGAAACAATGAAGTGAGGGTAACACGAACGGAAGTATGCAGATATGGCTGAAACAAAAAGATGTAATGAAAAGCGAGCTGAAGATTCTATAACTTCGAAAAAATTTCTACTTTAGGTGTGCGTGTTCCTAACAAGTGTTGAATACACAGTGGGCTAAGCTAGAAAAAAAAAAAAAAAGAATCATCCAAGAGAATTTTTTTTGATGTTCAATTTTCATGAAGTTAATTTTCTTCTCCATTTTTCCCACTTGAAACTTCCTACTACTGACATTCCCACTTCTCAGCACCACTTCGCAGTACCACTTCTCAGCACCACTTCTCTGCACCACTTCCCAGTACCACTTCTCATTCCGACCTGGTGCAAAGAATGGGCAGGGCTAAAATTCCAGTTCGCCCTGCAGGCTGCGGAAGAACATCTCTTTTCCATCTACCTGTGAAAATGATGCACATTTTAAAACAACCATGAAAAAGTAGAGAGTAAAAAAAAAAAAAAAAAAAAAAAAAAAAATTTAGGAGATATATCATGAATTTTTTGTGCATTTCTACAATTCAATACTAATTCGAATGTAGCAAACCTTCATTAGTCCACCCTTCAGTTTTATTTTCCAATTGCTACTTGCATTTCTGCGCCCACAAGGCTTCGTTATCTTCCACGATGGGGTGGGGAAAAATGGCCGTAAAATTGAGCAGTAAAATAGAGCAGTAAAATTGAGCAGTAAAACAAAGTAGTAGAACAAAATAGAATTAACAAGCTCATAATACCCAAGACAAAAAGTGGCTCTCTCAATTTTTGATTAGTCAGCAGATTCGCATGAACATTGTGTACATATATACATATACATACAAATACGCTCCTGCAGATGTGCACACGCAGGACCAACCTTGTCACAGATTCCAACAACAACGTTTGATGTGGGGGGATCTACGTCACTTAGGTCACTTATGGTGATGTTATCCAGTTCGCTCAGCTCGTCTTAACAGGGAGAAAATTTTGGCACCACGATTTGCAGAATGATTGCAGACAAAAAAATAAAATAAAATGACACAAGCATATCGGATTCATAAATTTTTCAAATGGGAGAGATGGAAGGGTATGTGAAATGCACTACCTGCTTCGTCATCCCGGATATGCTCTTCGAATTCCACTATTTCCTTTTCCTCAACTTCAGCATCTTCGAATTCATCTTCATCAAAGTCGTCTGCAATTTGGGAGAAAAAAAAAAAAAAAAAAAAAAAAAAAGTTGTGCGGGGGAGGGTTCGTTTTTTTCTCTTGTATATAAAATGGGAGACATGTTGTGTTATGTAATGTATATATATCTTGACAGTTTTTTTTTTTTTTTTTTTGCACTTCCAAGATATTCCCTCTAAGTGTGACATGAGGATATTAATCCAAGGGAGGTATATACACATCCATGGAATGCTTATTTTCAGTTCTCACCATTTATGTTAATCTGTTCCTGATCATGTTCTACTTTGGACTGTACATGACCCAGTTCCTTTAACTTGAGTTTCTGTTCATATATTTTCATCCATCTTATTTTAATCGCTTCTAAAATACGAGTATTATAAAACTGCCCACACTTTTCAATTGTGGTGTCAATTATATGTTTGTGCACTTGTTCTAAATCGGAATCTTTTAGTAAAGACATTTTTTTTTTTTTTTTTTTTTTTTTTCCCCCCTCCTTTCTTCGAGGTTGAATTGTTCAGAGAGGTTAAAAGTTTGACGTGTCTCGTTCCTCTACCACCAATTTTCGTCCTATAGGGTGTGTACTAATTGTGTGTTAATTTATGCTTATATATGGTTTTTCATATGCCACCTAAATCTGTTTTGAATCTGCTTCTATTCTTCTGCTACACTTACGTTCACAACTTCCCCTTTGGATATTTTTTTTTTTTTTTTTTTTTCCTGTCTCGCGATGAGCAAATGGGAGAAGTGAGAAATGTATGGATGATACACTGGCGAATTTGTATCCAAAAGATCACAGTAACACATATCACTTTGTTTCTCTAAGCTTTTTCATAATCAGAAAAAAAAAAAAAAAAAATATTATGTTTTAAATAATACTAATGTTTAATGTTCATCCCCTGTTAAGGCTTTCTCAAATAAACGTGAAAAATGTAACTATAACATGTGAACCACTACTTCTCAAAAATGATATTTTTGAATCACAGAATTAAAAGGGGGAAAGTTATTCAGTAAACTGGGCTGTGCAAACATGACACGATTTTTTTTTTTTTTTTTTTTTTTTTTTTTTTTTTTTTGTCACGTATCTAAATTTGAAAATATGGTGGACGTGAACGATGGCTTTGTTATGATCGCGTCGGTATTTTGAAAAGGAAGTACTGAAACAAAAAATGAAGAAAAATGAAGCAAAATAAAGAAGGGAAAAAAAAAAAAAAAAAAAAAAACGTCGATAGAATAAAACCCAAACCTGCAGGGCATCACTTATTTCATTCACATAAATACACCCCCTCACCATAACAATATATCTTTCCCGTGGAAAAAAAAAAGAAAAAAAAAAAAAAAAAATTCCCCTTAAGAACGTAAAGAAAAACACAAATTTCCTAAAATTTCCCAGGAGAGCTTAAAATATGCACGAAAGCGTGATTATCTTTAATGACTAATCTAATTTAAAGGGCTTGACATTCTGAAATCTGTAAAGATATGAGGGTTGCCATTTTCAAGAGGAGATAATAAATGGACATGTAAGTTAATCTGACTTGTGAGTGGGTTACAAAATCTTTTTTTTTTTTTTTTTTTTTTTTTTAAAAAAATTATTAATATAATACAAAGTTGATAATTTAAAGTTTTTTTTTTTTTTTTTTTTTTGGGAATAAATATGGGTGGGGTATAAGAAGACAAAAATGAAAGTAATACATAAATGCATCTTTTGCAATGTGTGTAAAAAAAAAAAAAAAAAAATAATAAAATAAAAGTAAATGTAAAAGTAATACATAAATGCACCTTTTGCAATGTGTGTTAAAAAAGAAATATACATATAAAATTGTACAATATGCATACAAAAGAAATGAATTCGTATGCCTGTATTCATTATTGCCACTGGTGAAATGAAATATATATGTTTGTATTTCAACCACGTGTGTTATAAATGAGATATGCTGACGTGTTTCTCTGTGGGTGATCACCCAACTGGGTTTCCACATGAACAAATATCCAATCAGCTAGCTAAACAACTCATCCAACCAGTTTTTGCGTGCCTGCAACAGGTGAATGAACGCATATAACAAGTGCTGGAGAAAAAAAAAAAAAAAAAAAAAAAAAAAAGTAGACACCTTCGTATCGATGACTAATTGCATATTTTCACATGTTCACATTATCACATTTTCAAACTGTCGCACTTCCCGAGTGACCATACTTTTCAGAATCTGAAAAAAAGAATGAATATCTTGATGCTTGCAAATGTAAAGTGTATCGTCCAGGAGATTCAGCTTCCAACCGTGACATGGAGAATGGACACACTGATGATATGGGTTGTGTGGTTAAGATTTCTTCCCTGTTGTGTTTCTCGTTCTTATGAAAAAATTTCTTCATAATTTGTGTTGTCTACTACATTGGTCAGAAACGAATAAGTGATTGTGTCGCAGATGAAGTTGTTGTTGTTGCTGTTACGTAGCATCTGGAACATCTGTCTGTTTATGATTTCATTCCTGAAAAGGTAGCAAGAGAAGAGGGGAAGGGAAATAAAATCGTGAAAACAGAAAAAATGGGAGAAGGGGAGGGGGTATATACATGCACATATCACCACAGCTGCATTCACACATCACCACAGCTGCAGAAACATATCACCACAGCTGCAGAAACATATCACCACAGCTGCATTCACATATGAGCAGCGCTTTGCAGGCTCAGAATACACTATGGAGTAACTCACTTCAACAAATCCTTGGATATAGACAGGAGAGAGGACTTTGGCTGTAAGGCACAATTGTTATTCTTCAAAAACAACATGTAATTGTAATCCAAGAAGCACGTGTCCTTGTTGTCTATATTGACAAAAGTACACTTCTTATAACTGTTACATTTGTTTTCATCATTTGAAAAGTTGTAACATTCAACTTTGTCTTCACTATTCATCTTAATATCATCAAATATTTTCTTTGATAGTTCTTCTTCACTCATGGTAAAAATGTTTTCATCTATGTTGTTCATTTCGTTCGATGAATTATTTGATTCTGCAAAATTGGAATAATCTTTGGTAAGGTCATGTTGACGAATTCCCTTTTCTGAACCCATTTGGATGTTATTTACCTCACCTGTTGCACTGTCAACATTTTCATCTGAAGTGTTCAAAATGGATTCTAATAAATCTTTATTCTTCTCATCAACTTCACCTTTAGATTCATTTGGTACATGCATTTTTATTTCTTGAAATGAGCTCTGTTTATTTAAATCTTCATCGTTCAGTAAATCATTTCCTTGACTTATTTCTTCCAATACATATACATTATCCCCATCTGTTAAAATAATTTTCTGCTTCTCTTCATTTCCATCGATAGTATGTGAAAAAATTCCTTCTATGTCATTTTGGTTGTTTGCACCTTCCATTACATTATCTAAATTTTGCACAACATCTTCACTTACATTTCCTATCCCATCATGCATCTTGATATTCTTTTCTGAACTTGCATTGTTCTTAGATTGCTTGTCCGTTTCGATACTTTGGTTAGTCTCGGTTCCAGCAGTGCTTATGTCACTTGGTTTGACAAATGCCTCAACCTCCTTAGCCTTCATGACCTTTTCGCAAAAAAATGGAGAACAACTTTCCTCAAGCTCAATCTGAAATTCATTCTTATCTGTCTTCTCAGAATTTAAATTTTCCAGAAAGCTCAAAGTGCTGTTATTAACCACATCTACAATGAATTTGCTGTAAAGATCAGATAAAATTTGTTTCTTTATAAATTCCTTATTTTCTTCTAAAAATTTTTCTCCCATGAAATTTTCTCCTTTAAGGTTCTCACTTCCGCTTGTTTCATCACCACCATTCCCACTTTTTAAGAAAGTCTTTAGTGATTCATTAAATTGTGTATCCGTATCGAATATGTTATTCGGTATACTTTTCGAACCTAAGTTCATCCCTGTATTTGTTGCAAATGATGAGACAGGAGAAGAATTGGGATTACCTCCTTTTACCATATCAATAGGTTTTACATCGCTGGCATATAACTGCAATGTTAAAACTTTATTTTTCAGCAGAAAAAGGGAAAGAACTACAGAAAGCAGTGTATGCGTTGATCTGGTCTTCATTTTCATCCTTTCTGCTTCGCACGTTTTATTATTTCTACTTGGCTTGTTTTATATATTTTTTTTTTTTTTTCTCAGTTTTGTATTCCTCTGATCTATTAGGTTCGTGCTTTGAGTACTATACACAGCTTTTCCTTTCGACACGTGTGTTCCAATGTATTCTCTGTTGTGTTATCTGTATGTAAACTTTGGCACTCGGTGTGTATGTTCACTTGGTGTATTCCCGACGATGGGACATGCATAAGCATGTATATGCGTGTACATATATATACATATATATATATATATATATATATATATATATATATATATATAAATATGTGTGGTTCACACCAGGTGAATAGAAATAACAAAGCCACTTGGGTTCCCCTTCTGGGAATTTAAAAACAAGTGCACTTTTACTTTTCAAAATGCTGACGAAACCACAAGCTTTTCACACAACTCAGCAAGTTAAGGTCAAAGGTATACAATTTTCTCTATTTTCGCTTTGTTTTTCTTTGCTTTTTTTTTCTTTATTTAGAAAATGGGAAATAAAGCGCGTAAATGAATAAAATATGTAAAAGTAAAAATGAAGAGGTGAAAAAGAAATAAAAAAAAAAAAAAAAAAAAATTTAAATTAAAAAAATAAATGATGTTATTAACGATGAGAAAATGGAAAAAGGAAAAACTGTTCACAATGTGTTCATAAATATGTACGCATTTAAAAAAAAAACAAAAAAAATGCACATGTAAACTTTTGAATGCACAACAGGAAGGGGAAGTAATGATGATGGGATATATATATATATATATATATTTTACTTTAGATAATTTCGAATTTTTTCACTTTTTTTGTTTGTTTTTTTTTTTTTTTTTTTTTTTTTCTCTTTTTTTTGAAATCTGAGTGTGAGAACCACCCTAGGAATGTACCATTTAAGGTTTGTTTTTTATTTTTACCTACTTATTTATTTTTTCTTCTTCTCTGGTTATTCTTGTAATTGCATATATGTTATGCACGCACGGACGCTTGTATGCTGTTAATATAAGCACAGGGGCGTGACGTTTAAGAGGATACACATGCAAGTATAAGAACGTAAGAATGAAGTTTAACTTGTAAAAAAGTACAAGTGCATTTACATTTATGTGCTTTTCACACATGTGCATACAGTTGGTGATTTTTTTTTTTTTTTTTTTTTTTTGCCTCGAGAAATTTCTAATCCACACAAATGTTTTTTTAATATGAAACATAAACACAAAAAGTGAGAAAAAAATGAAATGACAAAGTGGTGCGTCCCAACAAATGAGAATAAGCCTCAAGGAAAGGAACAAAAAAAAAAAAAAAAAAAAAAACATTCGTTCATACTTGTAAATGCTTTTTTATCTGACAATAGATATGAAATATAGTTAAATTTGCTTTTCATTTTTTTCATTTTTTTTTTTTTTTTTTTATTTCCAAACGGGGTTTTCTTTTCTACACGCGACCGTTCTCTGTGGAAGAGAGAGGATTCCCCAGGTGTGCAAAACTGTAAAGTCAAAAAAAAAAAAGAAGAAAAGAAAACATACATGCATGCATACCACATACATATATGTATACATGTATAGATTTTTTTTTTTTTTTTTTCTTATTCTCGCCATTTTCCCCATTCGATCGAGGCGCATTTCCACTTGTTTATGGTCCCGTTTTGTAACATTTTCCCACCACCTGTTATTTTTCTTCTTAGCCCTATTTTTGTCGCATGAGATAATTGTAAAACTTAAAAATACCACCCCGTCAACATTTGTTCAACACAAAAATAAAGGAACAACATAAGTACGATTATTGTTCTTGTACTTTTTTTTCTGCTGAACATTGGAATCGGGCCATTTGTATAAAGTGAAGTGTGACAAATTTGTTGAATGCATGAGAATAACCACGTAAACGTTTAGGTTAGTGTTAAGATCAGTAACATCTTTTCTTAATCGGAAGACTTGGAGGGAAAAAAAAAAAAAAAAAAAAAAAAAAAAAAAAAAAAATAAAAAAAAAAAAAAAAAAAAAAAAAAAAAAAAAAAAAAAAAAAAAAAAAAAAAAAAAAAAAAAAAAAAAAAAAAAAAAAAAAAAAAAAAAAAAAAAAAAAAAAAAAAAAAAAAAAAAAAAAAAAAAAAAAAAAAAAAAAAAAAAACCACACTTGGGTTGCATGAATGATGCACAAATAAATGTGAATAAAAAAAAAAAAAAAAATTCAAAATAAAAGTTTTAAAAAAAAATTCAAAAAAAAAATTCAAAAAAAAAATTCAAAAAAAATCAAAAAAAAAATTCAAAAAAAATCAAAAAAAATCAAAAAAAAAATTCAAAACAGAAATTGAAAAAAGGAACAGATTCAGGAAACGCACATGTGGCTCCTCTTTGCCCAAGCTGCATTTACCACGGCTCGAAATTTTGTTTTCGGTTCATGATAAACCTATCAATTTCATGCGCAACCATACGTTCTACCTTATTGCCCTGCATTTCATTATGTTATCTTATCTTATCTCATCTTATGTTTTTTTTTCTCCTTTTTATTTTGCAGTTTTTGAATATATATGCACAACCTCCTGATACCAAAAGTCTTGCAGACACCAACTTATTACTCGGCCTGCACAGATGCATACTCCTGGATGTACCTACTCGTGGTCACTCCCCTCATTTGTCTCTCGCGAACATTATTTATATCGTACATGTCGCAATTGTTTTCACAAGTATACACAGCAATGTATGAAAATTTCAAATTCGAAATGAGATTTTGATCTGCGTGTAAATTTTTTTTTATTCTTAAGAAATTAATAACAGTTGACAATACTTGGAATTCGAAAACTTTTGCTTTTTTGCATATGTGACAGTGTGGAGGTAATGTTCCTTTACAGCATTCAATAGGGGTGTTGGTAATGGATGAGACGTTAGAAGAGGAGCTGGTTTTTCTTTGCCCATCATCAGAATTACAATCATTATCCCGTTCATATATATTATTCCTGTTGCAATTTTGAATTATGTTTGATGAGAGCAACACTTGCCCCTTGTATGAATACCGAATAAACTGATTAGGAAATCTCTGTATTTTTGTCAAATATCTTAAAAATATTTTGTCAATTTTTCTGATCGACAGCACATCCTTTTGAATTTCTTCGAATGCTTTCATTTCACTGTCGTCTAGCTCATCTTCTTTTACATCTCCAACAACCTCATCCCTAACATTCTCTTTATTATGATTTAACTTTATCTCAATTGTATGTTTTTCTCCCATAGTATCACACGACTCGTGGTTTTCCCTGTTTTCTATGTCCTCATCAGATGAGCTTCTCGAACCGACACTGCTTTCCTCACAGTCCTCTTCGTCACTTATATATATTTTTTTCTCTTGAAATATGGCATGTTTTTTTTGTATGCATTTCTTATGCTTTCCACTTTTGTCTTCGCATGGTATACCACAGAATTTACAACAAAACAAGTATTCCATCTCGGGGTCGAATTTATTTTTATCTTCTTGTATTAACAGGGTCAGGTAGTTTGCGTTCTTTTTCGTTACCATTTTGTCAAGCAGTCTTGTCGCATCTTCTGTGCTACTAGATTCAATCTTTTGGTTGTTACATTCTTCTGCACCGTTTCCTGGAGCGAGAAAACCTCCGGCAGTTGAGTCATTCGGTTCGTGAGCGATGGTAATGCCATTCGATTGGTATGGAGTGCCATCCCCATTCGATTCATATGCGGTGGTAGCCCCATTCGATTGATTCAGGATGTTCATCTCTTTGGTTTTGCAAAGCATCACATTGATCTCAGTAGAAAAATTCTCCGAATGAAGATGGACACTTGAATGAGTTAAGTTTCCTTCCATCGAATATCCTTCAGTTGTTTTGTCATCATCATTAGTTTGGCTCATAGGTTCTAAGTCTTCCCCAGATGTGTACTCAGAAGTGGGTTCAGATTTATGTTCAGATGTATTTTGCGGTGACGTGCCCTTCACGGGTAAGTCCCCATCTGAAGAACTCGTCTCCTCCGCACCTTCAAGATTGTAGTTATAAAATGGATTGTTTCTAGGTAGCTGGGTTCTAAAACATTTAATCTGATTACCACAAGGCAAACAAATAAACAGGTATATGCATCTATGAAAGCAGTTCCCCACATTTTCAATGGGTGCATATATTTGTAGCAAAAAGGACATTAAATTGTTGCAAATTACGCAATGAAAATCTTTTTCTGGATGTACATTGACCCTGTCTAGCCAAAAAGGTTTTCCACCAACTTTAGAAATAAATTTTTTATTTATTTTTTCTTTGTTATGCAGTTCATTTTTTTCACCCTTCTCTTTTATGTATCCGAGCAAAACGTGAACCATTTTTTCAGGTACCAGTAGTTATTCTGACGTCCTGATGGACGTATCTAGAGGGCAGGAAGTAACAAAGAAAAGGAAAAAAAATCTTCAGCTTCGGGCTTCAACTTCGACTTAACTTCAGCTTCAACTTTTTTTTGTTTTAAAAGCACTATAAAAAGAATTTCAAGTTCTTCTGAAATGTCGCGACGGACATACAGATTTATCTAAGATCACAACCAGGTCTATGTGATATCAGGACCAGGTTCATAAAGTTTGGCAACTATTTGATTTCGATAACAAAAAAAAAAAAAAAAAAAAAAAAAAAAAAAAAAAAAAAAAAAAAAAAAAAAAAAAAAAAAAAAAAAAAAAAAAAAAAAAAAAAAAAAAAAAAAAAAAAAAAAGGTCCTCAACTTGGAGTACACAAATTAGAAGGAAAAGAAAGAGCACATTAAGAGATCCGAAAATTTTTAAGCCATTTATGAGGTTCTTCTTCTTCTCCTTTCTCATCANTAAAAAAAAAAAAAAAAAAAAAAAAAAAAAAAAAAAAAAAAAAAATAATAATAATAATAATAATAATAATAATAATAATAATAATAATAATAATAATAAGGTGAATGAATGCGTAGACAAATGAATTGGTGAAATGTAATATGACGAGCAATCTGGAAATGTGGGAATCACGAAGTACTGAGAAATGCAGAGATAGGGACGAGATTTCTCCTCCCTATGGTATGTAAAAATGAAAAAGGAGATTGTTAAAATTTTATCATCCGTTGCTGTGTTCAGTTCTTGTTCACTTTTGCAGATGTAGATGCATGTGTATGTACATTCCTTGTTAGGAAGCACTGGAGTTACTCTTCAACTTAGATGTGCATATGTCAGAAGCAGACCGAAAAGGTTCCACGAGTTGCGGTAGTTTATCACGGGGAAAACAAAGCAAGCTAAATATTGCAGCAAAGGGACTAAGCATAATAAAAAAAACACTTAAAATTCCTCCAAAAACTTTTAAAACCGTCCCAAAAACACTTAAAATAACTCTATACAGACTTGAAATTATACCAAGCATGATGGGCACAACTGGGAGCAAATTCAAAGCAACGTCAAAGAGAGGGGACATGAAATACAGCAAAAAATGGAGTAAAATAAAAGCGTAGAAAATAAATGTAACAATATGCACAATAATATACGTAATAATATACCCAAAAGTGTGCCCAAAAATAAATGCAAAAAAAAGAAAATATAATAAAAAATAACAAGGGAATAAAATGGGATGACGCTTAAAAATGAAACAATTTTTCTTTTCTTTTATTTTATTTTCAGTCCTTTTCTTTTTCTATCTAATTAAGCGATAAAATGGCAGCGTATTGTCATTCATTTTATTTAGCATTAAGCTTATGTTTGTATTTACATACATGTATATTTTTTTTTTTTTTTTTTTACCAAAATGTACAAGCCCTCAAGGTTGATAATTTTCCCATTTGTGTATAAATTTCTTTTTATTTTATTTTATTTTATTTTATTTTATTGTTTTTTTTTTTTTTTTTTTTTTTTTTTTTTTTTTTTTTTTTTTTTTTTTTTTTTTTTTTTTTTTTTTTTTTTTTTCCTGTTACGCAAGGTATAGGATTATAATGGAACGTGGTTCATGCCATTTTATGCTTAATGAATTTTTTCATATCTTTTATAAAAATGGGAAAACATAGAATATTAATAATTTAGAAAATTAAATAGAGGAAAAGGTTCATGCATGAAAAATAATATCTCTCCTTCTTCGGGGTAGATGAGATGGATATATATAAATATATACATATATATACATATGTATAAAATATATTTGAACAAATCCAAGCTCAAGTGAAAAATGGTGGAGAGTTTGAAAAAAATAAAAAATACAAATATAAAAAATGCAAATATAAAAAATACAAATAAAAAATTTGAGAAAATTCCAATACAAGAAAAAAGGAAAAATCAAAAAATGATCTTTTGAAAAAAAATAAAAAGGAAGTGAGAAAGAGGAGCAAGCAATTGAAAGTAATATACATGCAAAGTCCCAACAGACGTCTACGACAAATGGTTCAATCGTTGGTTGCTAATAAAGGAAAAAGCATACCACGAGTGAATGAAAGAAAAGAAAAAAAAAAATAAACACGCATGTGTACGTACATACATGTATATAAAACACGTACATCTAAGCCTTTTGACCTACGCGGGACATATGCATACTTGTTTGCAAAAACGAACACAAAAATACCAACCCCATAGTGAATTCATTTTGAAAAACTAGAGAATTTCTACATCTATACTCCTTGCTTGTTACCAATAAAAGGAGAGAAAAATCTGTGGATATAAATTCATTTCCACACCCCTTGAAGGAAAAAAGGAGAAAACAAAAAAAAAAAAAAAAAAAAAAAAAAAAAAGAACTCTTAAATGCTTCTCATCATTCAGGGTTAGAATGGGTGAAGAAATTGTCAAAAGATGTTTACAACCACACATTGGAAAATTTACCTAGCTTACCAGTCTCCCCCACACACATTTCACCCCTGATATGGTTAATCAAATTGGTGGATATTAATTTTACCTGCATGTTCATAATTTTTTTGACACTTTTTTGTAAACTTTTTCAATAAAGCAAACATGGAGGCTAAGCTGAAAAAAAAAAAATTTCTGAACAACCTTCAGCACAATATTTGTAAAAATTACAAACTCTACCATAACGACTTCTACGAACAGTTCGACAAATTCCTTTTCAATTACAGTGTGGTTTTGTTGAATCCTTTTAAGAAGAATGATTTGTTTTGCCACCAGCTTTCATTCTTAAGCTACACAGTCCGATTTTTCTGCCCCAGCAAGGAGACAGGTGGAGGTTATGCCGATGGAATAGAAGATGATAATGTCAGTGAAGAGGAAGATGGAATAGAAGCTAGTGGCAGTGAAGAGGAAGATGGAACAGAAATTAGTAACAGTGAGGAGGAAGAACTACTGAGCTTGAATCTTGCGGAGAAGAGAAAAGAAATATGGGAAAAGATGAAAAGGAAAGAAGGAACAGAAAGAGACCCCAGAGGTATTAAAAGGGAGGAGAAGCAGAAGATGAACCCGTTAATTCCTCACGAGGATCTAAACGAATACCTAAATGGATTAATGATAACGAGAAAAGAAGAAATAAATTATGCAGAGGAGCTATTTTTCCTAATTAGTCAGCTAATAGTGCTTCACAAACATAATTTATACGTCTCAGTTTTGTTAAGCATACTGAAAACAATTAGACAAATAAAAAGGTACATAGATGTGATGAGTTACTTACAGGTTCTGATATTTTTAAGTGATGTGAAACTGAGCAGAGTAAAGATTATACTCTTCAAAAATGTTATTGAGATAGTCACATACATAAACAGAGGTCCTAAGAAGGGAGAAAAAAAACTCCCTAGTGAAACGTTGGGAGATCTAAAACTGAAAGATGAAATTTTACATCTTTTGCATGAAGCATTTATAGAAAATAGCCAAAAAAAGCGGATTCAAAAAAAGTACTCGAGTGGCATTATGGCAAGAAAATATTACCTAACCAATGTACAGTTAACAGAGAGTTTCAACAATTTTGCATGCAGTGTACTAATTGAACTAATTAAAAAAAATATTTACGTAACAAAAAAAAATATAAACTTCATATGTGAAGGGGTATTTTATAAAAATGCCAAAATTGTGAAATGTGTTTGTTTTGCCTTACTAGGAAAATTAGACAATAAAGATTTTGTGGTTAAAATGGCCAAAGAAAAAATAGATGCAAATAAACAAATCGATAATTTAAAAAACATAAGTAATCAAACTCACCAAAAATTAACGAAATCCAAGATTAAGAAGTTACATTTGAAAAAAGAAAAAATTATGAACCAGATTTATAATAATAACCACAAAGGGGAAAATTCATCTGACGATGATCAAGGAGAATGTAATAATGGGAAAATAAATAAAATTTCAAAAAACGCCAATTATACCTTTATCGATTTTTTATTTGATGCGCACACATTTGCCTCTAACATATTCAATTTAATTTGTTCAAAATATCGATTCAATCATGGATCAGTTAAATTGCTACTTCTGAATATTTTATGTAGAATTTACCAGAGGAATAATATTATTGAAGAAAACTTTTTTCTTTATTATGAACATGTACTATTCAATTTAAAAAATAAAAATATATTGCCAAAATATTTATCCATATTTATTCAGTGTATTCATGATTGCATTCACCCACATTACATACAACGAATTGTTAATGTGCTGATTAAAAAATTTTTATGCGAAAATTTATCAGAAGAGTTTGTTTATCTAATTATTAACACCATTATAGAAATTGTTATCAAATCCCCAGGATGTCTAAATGAAGAAATATTTGAATCCGTTATTGTTTTTAAAGACTACAAAAATAAAAATATATCTATTCTCATTAAACGATTCATTAATCTTTGCAAAAATATCAATCCGGACGTTTTGAATAAAAAATTTCTCGATAAAAAAACTGCCTTGCTTATGCAGAGGAGAAAAATTCTTAGCTCATCAGGCCATGGCACAACAGTACCGGATGCTGGTTCGATCTTGCAATATTCATATCTCCTGCATGCGGCGCGAGAGGCCACAGATGTGGAAGAGGTGGATGAAGCTGCAGGAGCAGAAGTTGAATCGGCAGAAGAAGCTGGATCAGCAGAAGAAGCTGAATCAGTAGAAGAAGCTGAATCAGTAGAAGAAGCTGAATCAGTAGATGAAACTGGATCCGCAGAAGAAGCTGGATCAGTAGATGAAACTGGATCAGTAGATGAAACTGGATCAGCAGAAGAAGCTGGATCAGTAGATGAAGCTGGATCAGTAGATGAAGCTGGATCAGCAGAAGAAGCTGAATCAGTAGAAGAAGCTGAATCAGCAGATGAAGCTGGATTAGTAGATGAGGACAAATCAGGAGCTGCACCAATGAATGAATCAAAGACCACCTTACAGGGCGCTGTGAATTCGCAGGGGAGGGGCAGAAGCAGCAAAGAGGATAGAAAAACGAAAGGGAAAGACACAAAAATAAAAAGAGAACTTTTCATCATGGAAAAGAACGAACAAGTATTGAGTGAGCGAATTTTAACAGATGAAGATTTTAAGAAATTAAAACGGATGCGTGATTATATTACAAACAATAAGAATGTACACATGTCCGATTTGCAGGATATATGTAACGCAGAGTATAGCAATGAAGAATCGGATAGCAGTAATGAAGGAGAGGGAAGAGAAAAGATTATAACAGATCAAGATCTAGTGCTTAAAAAAAAACTAAAAAAACATGAATTGATGAAAATGAAAGTAAAAAAAAAGGGAGAAAATGATAATCGTTATAAAACGAATAAGGAAAAGGAAAAGAAAAAATCAGTTATGATGTTGATGCAGAAATTAAAGAGGAAGAAAAAAAACACAGTTACTCAGTATGGGAAACTTAAGAAGAAACTCAAGGGAAAACTTGCGGCTAGAGCAAAGAAGAGGGGAATTTTACAAAAGCGAATTGCTAAGAAGTTGAGTAGGAGGCGTCGTTGATACGGAGTGGAGAGAACATAAAAGCATGAACCAAAAAAAAAATGGAAAAAAAAAAAAAAAAGTGTGCCATCCCGACCCATTGGAACGTGCTATAAAAATAAAGAGGTAAATAATGCGAGAGGAAAACAGACATTGAATTTTTTTCAAATGGTAGGAAGGTAGGAAGAAGATCCATCCAAAAAGTATAAGCCTATGAACTTGTTCTAGAATGGAAAAAAAAAAAATAAAGGTGAAAATAAAAACTTTTATTGTGTTTACAATTTTTCACGTTTTTTCACGCTTTCAATTTTTACTCTTCGCCTCCCCATCCCCTGCGCGTTTCGTCGTCTGCTGGAGGTAGTATAGCCGAAGAGGACAACATTTGTAGTGAAAAATAATTAACTTTCACAAAATTGCATGCGATCCATACATACACATAAATCTGAGTGACAACGAGGGAAATAACTTTCTGCAGAACTCCACTTGTTTATCTTAATTTTTTTTTTTTTTTTTTTTTTTTTTTGAAACTTTTATGAATCTTTCTAAAAAGGAGAAAAAATATAATTTAAAGATGTTTGTGTTTTGTATGTGTACAATAAGGACATTTGCTTGAGGGAAAAAGGGAAAAAAAAAAAAAAAAAAGGGAGAAAATATGAACAAGCGGCAATGGAATAACACAAGGGCGAAAAGGATGCGGGAAAAATAATAAAAACAAAATAATAATAGGAGCTATAATGGTAGTAGTAATAATAATAGTGGTCGTGCGGTTCCTACTTAACGGAAAAGCGAGGTGAATGAAAAGGGAGTGGTGTCATGTCATATGTCTTTTTTCAGTGTAGTGAACATGAGGGTTACACATTTTTTTTCTTTTCTTCTTTTTTCATTTCATTTTTTTTTTTTTTTTTTTTTTTTTTTTTTTTTCTTCGTCTCTCCCCTCCCCCCTCTTTTACCCTTTGACAGGGTGGATAAATTCAAATTTTGCACGATTTCCCTAACGTTTTTTTTTTTTTTTTTTTTTTTTTTTTTTTTTTTTTTTTTTTTTTTTTTTTTTTTTTTTTTTGTTTGCTTCGTCTCTCCCATCCCGCCTCTGTTACACTGTGACAGGATGGATAAATTCAAATTGTGCACGATTTCACTAACGTTTTTGTTTCTATTCTATTTTGTTTTATTTATACTTCTGCACGAGTGGGTGATTCCTATCCATATTCTCATCTAAATGACACACTCAAAGGGGGCGCGCCTCTCTCCCTCTCTTCTATTCCTCTTCGGAGCAATCAGAGTAGGTAAAATTTCCCATCTTTAAATTCAAATTAAAGAGTGACGAATGGCTTTTCTTGAAGTTGTACTTGACATGCTTAAAATTTTTCATGAGAAATTTTTTTTCACTATAATAATTTGCCTCGATTATACTTGCACCAAATTTGCGTCCGCTTAATTCCTTCCTTGCTTTTGTCGCTCCCTCAATGTTTTCGAAATAGATGAATGCACACCCGATCGATGTCAGATCATAGTTCAGATGTGCTAGGTCGTCTTCCACTGGTTTCTCATCGCGCCTATCACTCCTTTCGTCACACGTGCCTTCAAATGCGTCTGCTTCTGCTTCCACATCTGCTTTTACATCTGCTTCCACATCTGCTTCCACATCTGCTTTTACATCTGCTGTCACATCTGCTTTTACATCTGCTGTCACATCTGCTTTTACATCTGCTTCCACCTCTGCTGCCACATCTGCTACCACCTCTGCTGTCACCTCTGCTGGCACCTCTGCTGGCACATCTGCTGTCACCTCTGCTGGCACCTCCGTCTGAATCGCCTTACGCATTAAATAATCAAAAGTTTCTTTAGAAAATACAGGCAAATCAACCTCAACAATGGATCCGAATTTCTGACACTCAGCTTTTATATCCTCAAGGATGTCCCTATATTCAGTAGGATCTGAAAGTTCATCAAAGGTGGCGATTTTGCTAAGAACGACAACCCTTGTTGGGATTTGTTGTGACATTATAGAATTCTCAGATTTCATGTATTTCTTCTTAATCAAACTATTGATAAGAGGATCATTTACAATTTCATACTCAAACTGAATTTTGTAACTAGTATTTTGATTTAAAATTTTATGAGCTTGTATAGCATTTTCAGGTGTAGCATATTCTACGAGAGAAATATAAGTATCTGAATTCTCATCTCCTTCGAAACATTCAAAATTTTTAAGTTCACCAAATGCTTCCAATAATTCTTTGATTTTACTTGTTTCGTTATTTTTGGCTATATTAGACACACACAATTTTTGTAATTTTATCATATTCATTGGTAAGTAAGCATTTTTCATTTTTTCTTCATTTTGACAAAATATAGAAAAAGCTTTTAGTCCTATCAAACCTTGAGACAAATAGTAGTTATCTATCGTAGGAATTGTTGCAGGTGGTATAAGACTTGTCAGTTCAACGGGGAAAGTTTTGGGTCTACCTATTCTTAAATTGTTACCATAAAAATTTATTCCATTTAAAAGCATACAATTAGATGTATCTTGTAAATTTCGAAATTCTACAAATGCATAATGAGTATCTCCTCTGATACATGCCTTCAGACATATATTTTCATTTTCATTCTCATTCTCTTTATTATACAAAATCAGTAGGCACATATTTAAAAATTTTACAATCTCCTGAACATCTATATGTTGAGGGATATTTCCTACATATAATTCTCTAGCCGTTTTTTCCGCCGTTGCATCTAAGGATGACAAGCACAATTCGTTTATTCCAACTGCATTTTTACACAGCTCCTGCAAGGATTGGCTGCTTAATTTTAGCTGTCCGTTCAGAAGCATATTCAGATGCGACTGATTCAGACCCAACCCTGCCAATCCTCCTACTATTTCTACATTCACTCCTGATGTTCCTGTTCCTTCCCCACCGTTCAACTCTTTGTTCTTCTCTTCTTGGGTTCCAATATTTATTTCGACCTTTGAAGGATCACTTAAGAGTACACCTGTGCTCAAGTTGCTACTTAAAGTGTTCAAGAGATTGCTACTTGGTGTAGATGTTTTACTGCTCCCCACGTTTATGCTGCTATTCAAGGTTTGAATCAAATTATCAATATTGCTGGAATTGGAGCTCTGGTTCCTGGCAAAATCGGTTTTCGTCTGCGGAGTTCCTCCATTACAGATTCTATTATTAATGTTGCTGTTGTTACAGTTGTCATTACTGATGTGGTTACTACCGACGTGGTTACTACCGATGTGGTTACTACCGATGTGGTTACTACTGATGTAATCATTACTGTTGATATCATTGCTACTATCATTATTAGCTTTAGTAGTAGCATTATTATTCGTATTATTATTATTACTAGTACCCTCGTTGTTACCACCTCTGTTAGCACTACATAACTGTTCTTCACCACCAGTTCCCACTTGCATATTTTGAACGCTTGACGAAAAGTTATTTTTTGCCTTTTTTTTTCTCTCTCCTTCATCAGCAGACTCCGGTGGTGAATCAAATTTGTATGTTTTGTGACGATCTCGTTCTCTCCTCCTTGAGCTACTTCTCCCTCTCCTTGATCTACTTCTCCCTCTCCTTGATCTACTTCTCCCTCTCCTTGATCTACTTCTTCCTCTCCTTGATCTACTTCTTCCTCTCCTTGATCTACTTCTCCCTCTCCTTGATCTGCTTCTTCCTCTCCTTGATCTACTTCTCCCCATCCTCCTCCTCCTCCTCAGCTCGATTTGTCTTCTCTCACTGCTCCTTCTCCTATCTCTTCTAATATGTCCTTCGAAGACACTTCTCTTATCCAAGATGCTTCTCCTTTCCTCACGTCTCCTATGCATGCTTTTACTTCGCCCTCTATGCTCCCTATATCTTCTCCGTACAGTATCATTTCTGCTACTACTGCTGTTGCTCCTACTACTACTATTGCTTCTACTACTGATATTGCTCCTATTACTACTATTGCTCCTATTACTACTATTACTGCTGTTGTTGCTATTACCTCTTCTATTGCCGCTACTGTTTTGTTCATCCTCTTCTGATTCATCGTATTCCCTTTCCTCCTCCTCATCCCTCTTCAACATCCTTCTCCTCCTCCTCCTCCTCTTTTCAATTTGTTTCTCTCTTTGATCACTTTCCTCTTCAACACTTCTTTCTGGACTCTTATATCTATTTCTGCTTCTCATACGTATTTCTACATTTCTATATGATATACCCTTAAGTTTGTATTCGTCTCTAACTATATCACGTTTTGATTTTAAAATTTCTGGACTTTCTCCTCTACTTCTTTTTCTCCTTCTACTTCTTCTTCTTCTTCTCCTCTCTTTGTCATGGTTCCCATTATCATCACTACTACTGTTGGAATATCTCTCACCATGATCATCTGGTTTGATTATTCTCTTTTTGTGTTTCATCCTTTTTTCACGCTTCTCCCGATTGTGGTGTACACTACTACTACTTCTTCGGCTGTTGCCACTATCACTGCTATCATCGCTTTCACTTTCCTCCTCCTCGTCCTCTTCATCATCATCATCGTCCTCTTCATCATCATCGTCCTCTTCCTCTTCATCATCCTCTTCATCATCCTCTTCTTCTCCCTCTTCTTCCTCCTCGCTGCTATCCACCATTCTTCTTTTCCTCCTTCTCTTCTCACTTTCGACACTTTCTTCTTGTCTTCTTCTCCTTCTTCTTCTACTGATCACATTTTCAACATCGTGCCTATGTTCCTTCATCATATATCTTCTCCTTTCACTCAACTTCTTCCTCTTTACCATTTCATCATCGGAGGAACTATTCTCCTCTCGATTGGATTGTTCGCTTGAGCTATGATACTTCTTCTTTTTATCATATGTTCCCATTTTTCGTGTAGTGGCGGGTTCTGATTGGCAGATTCGTAAATTTATTTACTTTTTTTTTTTTTTTTTTTTTTCCAGTAAAAATTGGCTAGCTACGATTTTCTTTACCATAGATAGAATGCATAATTTTTTCTCAACTTTGTAACTTCTCATAGTATTTAATGGCCCATTATTTTTTTTTTCTTTTTTTTTTTTTCTTTTTCTTTTTCTTTTTTTTTTTTTTTTTTTTTTTTTTTTTTTATTCTCTTTCTTTGTCGTCCTATTCTTCCTCCTCACAAGTTACTCATTAATTGAATATAAAATTTAAAAAAAAAAAAAAAAAAATGTGAGGGGATAAAAACACGGGAAGAAATTGAAAGAGGAAGAATAATTGTTCCTATGTATAGTCATAATATATATAATAACATAATGTGCATATTTTATATATGTGTGAAAATATATATATATAAGCATTTTTTTTTTTTTTTTTTTTTTTTTTTTCTATCACCTGATATATATATATAATATATACAACGACAATGCATGTATATATAATTTGTGGGTTCCGAATCTATGCAATTGTTGGGCACTGCCACATTATTTATTTTTTATTTACTTATTTTACTCTTTTCTTGATTGAATTTGATTACTACTGAATTTTTCTTCTCATCCTTCCCTCTATGGATGAAATTGGGAGGGGGAAGTTTCAATATTTTGAGTGTCATGTCACCTGCGTACTGAGTAGATATATATTTGCAAGTATTTCTGCAGGTGTTTTTGCAAATATATTTCTTCTAGTATTTCTGCACGTATTTTTGTGCGTATTTAATCTCAGTATATAATTCAAGTACATTTATACTCCTATGCCTTGTGCTTGGAAATGAAAATGCTCGTTTTAATTTTTATCTATTTTTTTTATTTCGCCTTATTTTATTTCGCCTTATTTTATTTCGCCTTATTTTATTTCGTCTTATTTATATCGCTTTGTTTATCTCGCTTTGTTTATTTCGCTTTGTTTATTTCGCTTTGTTTATTTCGCTTTGTTTATTTCGCTTTGTTTATTTCGCTTTGTTTATTTCGCTTTGTTTATTTCGCTTTGTTTTATTTTATTTTTATTTTTTCCCCCTTTGGCTGGGTAAACAAATCGTGTTATCTCACGAGATCGTCTGGTGAACTAATGACTTGTCATACAAAAAACACGACATAACAGTAACTAATTTAACCATGTTAAGCGTTCTTAGAAAAAAAAAAATATTTTTTTTTTTAAATTCATCACTGTAGTAAGGATAAAAGAAGAAAAAAGTGTTTCCCATTCGGTCCTACATTCATATCGTTCTTCCGCTATTCCGCTATTCCGCTATTCTCTTATTCATTTCAGGATTTGTTCGCTTCTTCATTTTGTGATTTCTTCCGCTTCATTTCATTTAGTTTTTTTTTATTTGATTTTATTTTTTTTCTAAACCCCCTCCCCAGACACCGGCTAACTCCGTTACTCCTGAATAATCATATTCCACAAGAATAAATATGAAATTTATTTGCAAAATTAATACTAAAGATATAATATGTATACATAACGCATATATACAATGGAATGAAGAAGGGGAGTGGTGGTGGAGAAAAATACACTTTTTCTAACGATAACCTATGCTTATTTATTATTTATTTATTTTTTTTTTTTTTTCCATTACACATATTCTATATCTTACTATGTTTTTATCCATTCTTTTTTTTTCAATTTAAGAACAAAATGGGAAAAGGAGAAATTGTCATTATTTTTATTTTATTTTTTTTTGGGGAGGTATGGTGGGACTCTCTTTACACTTTCGTTTATTCTTTATACAATTATGGATCTCTCATTTTTTTAAACTTTTCTTGTCAATAAAAAAAGAAAAAAAAAAAAAAAAGTAGGACAAGTGGCTATAGGAGTACTACTATTTCGAATAAAATATATCACTTTGTCTTTACCAACCTTTTACATTTTTTTTTTTTTTTTTTTTTTTTTGAATTTGTTAATTTGTTATATTCTTAACTTATTAATCAAGAATGGAAATTCTATGAATGGGGAATGCTTGTTAAATAGACACACACATATGCATGCATAAATAACCAATTACTGGGATTTTTAACTTATTTCGGTGCCCTCGTCCATACTTTTTGCAAACGGGAGAGAGGTAAGAACTAGACGGGATTGTTACTTTGGAGATTTTTCATACGGGTAGTATAACATTTTCTACTAAAATATTTTGCCATACGAATAGTCTTTGTATGTGTGTTTGTTTTTTTTTTTTTTTTTTTTTTTTCTGTTTTTATCGACCATTCAAATTGACACATATGTAACATTCGATCTGTTACTTCAAAATTGTTATATGCAACTGAAAAAAAGAAAAGAAAAGAAGAGGATATACAGAATAGGTCTTTTATGAATGAAAAGAAAATCGTGCTTTTCTAATTTTTTTTTACTTTTACACCCGATCTGTATAAAGACAATTATTACAATGGTATTATTTTATTTTACCTTATTTCAATTTATTTTATTTTACCTTATTTTACTTTATTTTATTTTACCTTATTTTACTTTACTTTATTTTTCCTTCACTTTTTAAAAACCCATTTTATCCATATCTGAAGTAGTTGTAACTGTCTTTCATATTCTCTTATCTATAAATATATACACACAAATATATTCAAAATTCATTTATGAAAAATTAGGTAGCTAATTCATATGGGATACAAAAAATGATATTCCCATTTGGGGTGTGTTTTCACATGCACATACAGGTAGTTGTATTTGCTTTTTTTTTTTTTTTTTTTTTTTTTTTTTTTTGGCAGGGGGGAAACAAATAAATAAAAAATACATATACGTGTACATACGCATGTACATACGCATGTACATATGCATGTACATATGCATGTACATATACATATACATATACATATATATAATGTTTATGTATCACACCAATGTTCATAGTGCCCCTCTGCTTGGCAACAGGGATTGCGCTTCATTTGGGTAACCAAGTGCAATATCATGTTCTTCCAATTTAATGCTCTATGGGTGCATTATTGAATACCGAAATGCTGACAAATGTAATGACCCATGGAATATTCAATAACTTCTGATTCATCCTTACGTTTCAGTAGAAAGAAATCATCTCTTTTCTTGAATATGTAGACAATGTCGTAACGTGTTTCTAACATATTGGATATTAACATGTCAGCATATATAATTCTTTCGTTCGACTTTTGTAAAAGTTTCTTTTCATTATCTTCTAACTTGAAGATGCAACATTTCAATAATGGAAAATATTTTTTTGTAATTTTATAAAATTTGGGGCATAACTTCATGTGAAAGGAAGGGGCAGAATTTCCATCGCTGTCTATTTTGTGATCGTTCAATTGGAAAAACGGAATGTAAAAATCGCTAGCTGCTGCACAAAGGACAACGAGGTGTGACGTGCGTTGGTTCTCCTCCCGCTGATTCTCCCTTTGCTTCACCGTTTGCTTCACCGTTTGCTTCTCCTCCCTCGGTGGATTCTCGTTTACCACGGGGTCAAGTAGTGGAAGTATTGCTTCTGCCTCAATTTTGGCTATGAAGAATCGAACTAGTGGTATTATCCCTTCTCTGAAATCTGCATCTAACCATATACTTCTATCCCTTCCAATAGAATCATTCAAAGCGTTAGTAACGTAAACAAAAAAAGATTTCAAATGGATTAGGTAACTATTTTCTGGTGCCTCCTTCACACATCTGAAATTCAGAAAAGAGTTCAATTTGTTTAGCAGGTCAGAAATACATCTATCGTTTGGGAAATCAGACGAGAGAGTTGATTTCTTAGCTTGGTTCAGAAGATGCTTCAAAATAGATGTAGCAACAAATTCGGTGTTCAAGAGTGATGTGTCATCGTCTGGATAGTAATTGATCACATTGGGATGGGGAATGTTTATATCTCTCAGTTTCGAATATTCATTTGGAATTCCTATGGCGTGCTGAGAGCCAGGGGCACAGAATTCCTCCCCCATGCAGTCCTCATGAAGTAATTCGCAAATGGCAGTAAGATAAAATCCATACTCAAAAATCGTTTCGAAAGAAATGCAAAATAAATTTTCTCTGAACTCTTCATATGCTTCAGCATCATTTATGAGAGCTTTGCTAACTTTGTCATCCAATTTTAGTGAAATATTTCTGTTTACAATTTGTATATTATCAATGCTGGATACATGTTTTAAATGGCACTCGAATGGCATAAAAGTACCCTTTCTATAAAGAAAAATTACTTTTTTTTTTTTTTTTAAAAAATATTCACAAAGACGTGCTCCTCGTTTTCCGGTTGAAAAGTTTTCTATATTTCTGATTTGTACCTTTTCAAGAGGAACTTTTGTTCCTCCTGATGTTATAAGAATTATCTTATTCCCCTTGATTCCTAGGAATTTATTTTTTATCTTTTTCAGAATTACATCTAAATTTTCTGGCTTTACGGCGTTTGAGAAAAATTCTCGATGTTCCTCCAAATATTCTTTCTTCATCTTTTTTTCCAGCAATTCGTGCGTTTTTTTCCTTCCCCCTCCTCTCCCCCCAGAGAATTGCTATTTATTTATTTATTTTTTTTTTTTTTTTTTTTTTTTTTTTTTTTTTTTCCTAAATCACATGTGACTTTATTCGTAGGATATAAAAACAGAGAGGCAAGGGAAAAGGTATTCATTCAACGGGATCATCACTTCTGTTGATCTTTTTCCATTTGACATACACGCATGCCATACATACATACATACATACATAAATATATACACATGCACTATTATGCATTACCATGTGGGAATAAAATATTTATGAAATTTTGTGGGCCACATCTTTTGTAACGCTATTGAATCAAGAACACGAGAGGTGGGGATAGGTATTTACCTTCTTCCATTCTGCTTACACTGATTTTTTACATATGTTAACGGGTTATGTTGAATGCCGAAAAAAAAAAAAAAAAAAAAAAAAAAAGTCTTATCAAGAATAATCCCATATGTTCATAGAAACATTTACATGTATGCGCTTGCTTGTAATATGTTTCCATGTGCACCTATATTTATGTAGCTATGCACGTATGTATATTTTCACTCGTATATGTTTATATGCATCTAAATATTTGCTACCGCTGCAGTTTCGGAATTTTAAATTGCCCTTCCCTTGCAACTACACTTCAGCTGACAACATTCTACTCGAAAAAGGAGTTAGAAAAAAATATAATTTTTATTTGTTACATTTCCCAATCCAGGTGAACTCACAGAAACAGTATTGGGGGTGGTGGTGCCACAGGTCCATTTTATGGATTAGAAACATTTCTACTAAGAGCAACCCAATTGACACATATCAAAATGACAAAGAGGTTTGTGGACGAGAGGGGAGAGTGCATCCAACCATAATCTTATGTTCCATTTGCTGTTTAACAGATTGACAATTCCCTGTGCTTACAGCATTATTGCCCTACATATACGCATGTGTTTCACAGGAGTGCATTTTATGCTATCGTGAAAGTTACGGCTTTTCTATCATTTTTTTTTTTTTTTTTTTTTTTTTTTTTTTTTTTTCCCCATTCTCCAAGTCTTCCCCTACATCTCCACTTATCCAAATCTCATCCACGCAGCAACTTTTTTTTCACGATTTATCTCATCCTTCTTTTTTTTTTTTTTCTTTTTTCACCATTGTCTCGTCTACTTTTCCTCCCGTGAAAGACCATGCATTCAGGGGATCGAATTGACAACCGGCACTTTGACTATGTACTCCCCGTGCATGTCGATATAGATCAGATAAATGAAGTAAATAAAACTTGTATATACATTAGTGGAAACACGAATCCCTATGTATATTGCAAGAACACGAGTGGCAAATTAACAAAAATATTAGGTGGGTCATACAATTATGAGGTGACAGGAAATGATGGAACTTCAGATGGTGACACAAATAAGGAGAATAAAATTAAGAGGATCATTAAATCGGATGAAATATGTGGAGATAAAACATTGCTTGGAAATGGTACAAATAGTGTAGTAGCTACAACTCTGATTGGGCCGATTTTAAATAATCAAATGTTCAGCAAAGGCATTGAATCAGCTCAGTTCAATATAAGAATAAAAAATATACAAGGATTTCGTAACAATAGAGAAAAGATATTCGAAGAAATTATTACAAAAAATTTTGAAAAAATAATTGATCATGGTTCATATAAATATCAACAATTTCATATTCGAGTGCAAATTTTACATGAATGTTCATACATTTTATCCAGTATAATAAATTCTATAATTCTTAATTTTATTCACAACAACATAAGTATGAATTTTATAGTTAACTCTATAAATGTTGGGATTGTTGACAAGACAAAATTTGGGGCTTATGTAGCAGAACTTTCGCATAGAAAAAATTTAGCACATAATCGTACGAATGATCAAATTGCCTCAAATGGGCCCAAAAATGAGATCAAAAATGATCATGTTTTTCCGAACAGCGAATTACTCACAGAAAAATTGTTTTATTGTCTGCATAACAAAACATACATCCCTAAAATTATATTAGATCCACTGGATGAGGAAGTTCAGCTCTATTGTAGCAGCGCCTTCTGCTTCATCATTGCACCTGATTTCCACAAAATTTTGTCAAATATTGTTATAAAAAATTCGATAGGGATATCGAAGGAGGTCTTTACCCTCTCCAAGTCGTATGCTCTTCAAGTGTCCAAACTCTTGCACAGCAGCATCAGAAGCAGTTACATTTCCCACTTGAGGCAGATGGAGACATGTCTCAACACTAACTACTTCTCCTGAGCTCATGCCGTGCGAGCGGAAAGGAGAAGAAGAGAGTAGAACGGAGAAGAATAGAGTAGAAGTGAGAAGTGAGAAGTGAGAAGAAGCATGTAAACACAGCTGACGTTGCTCCCTTCTGGACGATACAATTTTTTCTTTTTTGCCTCTCCCCACATTAGCATGAACAGAAAGGACATCACACATAGGCATATTTAAATGCACAATCTGAGTCGATGCTTTGTGTATACATATTTTCAATTTCTACTCCTCCAAGGGTCTCTGATGCATTGCACGTTTTTCCACTTCGGGTTTCTCACCCTTTTTTTAACTCACAACTTTTGCAATTGCTTCCTTTGCAACGCTAACACACGTGCACGTGCAGATGCTTGTGAATGTACATGTGTATATATATATATATATATATATATATATATTTTTTTTTTTTTTTTTTTTTTTTTTTCTTTCCCCGCACCTGCACGCCCCTACCCCATCAGAGCGAAATCTAAAAAACTGATTGATTGTGAAAGTTAAAAAAAAAAAAATAAAATTAGGCCCATTCTCTACCTCCGCATTCTTTGATCCCAAATATTATGCGTGTTCACATGCTCCTTCTCGTTGTGAGGTAAAAGTGAGCAGAAGCAACAATAGAATAAAAAATTAAAATTCTGATAAAGTCAAAAAAAAAAAAAAAAAAAAAAATGACAGATTTAGTGTGAAATTTGCTTCCAACACATTTAGATTCCTTAACTTTTAATTAAAATTAAAAAGGACCATGATGTGGACCCAGTGGAGAAATCCCATCCGTGGGTGGAAATACGAGAAACCTGTAAACCGTTGTTCTATTTTGAAGTTTTATTTTTCTAGCTTAAGCGCTGGCGTGAGTAAGGACATGCTCAGAATCACACACACTTTAAGGATTGGAAGAGGCTACAAATACTTATCAATAAAACCATTCATATGTGAAACCCAAAGCAAAGATACCATTGCAGGTTATGCAGAATTTGCAAAATTGAGCCACGCTCCTTGGATTCAAAGTTCCTGCATAGTAAAAGATCTAGGAAGAGCAAATGGAGGAGAAAAATTAGCCAAATTGATGAACGATAAAATGTGTGAAGAAAAATTAGCCAAACTGATGAACGATAAAATGTGTGAAGAAAAATTAGCCAAACTGATGAACGATAAAATATGTGAAGAAAAATTAGCCAAACTGATGAACGATAAAATGTGTGAAGAAAAATTAGCCAAACTGATGAACGATAAAATGTGTGAAGAAAAATTAGCCAAACTGATGAACGATAAAATATGTGAAGCAAAATCTTCTTTCTCTTTTCCCAGGGTTGTTATGACCCCATTGAACACTCCAAATGGTTGTAAACAGTTTAGCACAAAAAATATTAGAGGGAGATTATTCTACAAAAGGAGACCGAAACAAATCCCGAAATTAAAAAAAAAAAATTGGAGATCCAAATGGCTAGAAGGAGCACCACAAAAAAGAGGCATCTGCTTAAAGGTTCGGGTTCAGACACCAAAAAAGCCAAATTCAGGACTAAAAAAAATTGCACGAGTTAGATTATCTACAGGTAGAATCGTTTCTGTATATATTCCAGGGATTGGTCACAACTTAAATACTCATAGCATTATATTGGTTAGAGGCGGTAGATGTAAAGATATTCCAGGTTGTAATTACAAAGCTATTAGAGGTGTCTACGATTTGTTACCTGTTAAAAACAGATTTCGTGGGAGAAGTAAATATGGGGTAAAATTATCAGAAGAAAAAAAAAAACATTTACTTGAAAGGTATAATTTTAAGCATATTTCTATTGAAAAAGATATAGAAGAATTCAATAAATTTAAATGGTTTAATTATGTCGATAAAGACAAAAACTTAAGACAGAAGCCGCTTGCTCCGAATGAACCTGTCCCCATAAATATTTTCCACTTTAACACGTATTACAGAAATAAAAAATTCCAGCAATCGTCAGAAAAGTGAGGTGTCATTTGTGAGTGCATAATCAAGGTGAGCAAATTTTTTCCTAAACTGCGTTGTGCCAAGAAGCGAAAATGTAATAAAGCTCTTTCCCCAACATGGATCCTTTCCATTTTATCCAATTTTTCATTTGTTTAACTTTTTCGTGAACACAGGAAAAACGTATTTCTCTCCTTATGGATGTATTCTTCAGCAAAGAAGATAATGTACCCACTTGCCAGTCATTGATGCATGTGAGAGTGCTGGCAAGGTTTGTGTTTCACCTCCTACTGTTTTGTGTGCTACTGTTATGGTCCCTACTGTTTTGTTTGCTACTGCTGTTCTTGCCGGCGTGCCCACCGTTCTTACCCTTGTTCCTACCTTTCTTTCATTTTTTCATTCTTTTGTTACTCAAGTTGTCAGCACAACGCATGGGGATACCCTAAAAAAAAAAAGGGATCCACAATTTGTAGAGTGCATTGTTGCACCCCTTCAGTTGACAAGAACTTTGAAAATTTAAATAAGTGTGTGCGTAAAAAATTTATATCATTTTTTAATAGCTTCATGTAACTTTATGAAGTTTCAAAAAAAAATGAAAGCGAAATTATCCTGAATTTAACACTTTGTTAAATGACTGAAAAATCGTGCCGGGGGGGTGAACAATTGTGCATGCAATGAACAAGTTGCGAAAAAAAAAAAAAATGAAATAACATGAACAAGAATAAAATAGAATAAGCTAAAATGTGCTGGGATTAGACTAAACTGGAGCTACATGAAACTGAGGGATGTGTAAACTATAATTATACACCTCCCCAAAAAGGAAAGAAAAAATAAGTAGCATGGATTTTCTCACTTTTTAATAAACAACAACAAGACGACAATGTCCTGTGATTCGTACGAATAAAAGTGAGAAAAAAAAAAAAAAAAAAAAAAAAAAAATTGCGGATAAGGGTTAGGTAAATCCCCATTTTTATCCTATAAATTATTTCACTTTTTTTGCATAATTAAAAATTCTGAGGGTTTACTGCTCTTGCTTATGCAGTATGAATTACCCCAAAAATTCAAAGGAAAAAAAAAAAAAAAAAAAAAAAAAAATAGCGTAATTTAAAAATTGACAAAAATTGGAAAAAAAAAAAAAAAAAAGAGTAAGAAGAGAACCTGTACCCTTTTCCTTATACGGCACCACAGGTCGAGAAAAGACTTATTATTATTATTATTTTTTTTTTTATCGCTCTCAATTTTGCCCTCAATTTTGCCCTCAATTTTACCCTCAATTTTGCCCTCAAATTTCATCTCACTTTGGCCCCAGACTTCCCTTTCACATTTCAAAAAATATAAAAAAACGAAATAAAAAGAAAAAAGTGTGAAATGAGGTACACATCCCATTATATGGAAGGTACGACAGAGCCGAAGTTGTCACGGGAGTGGGGGCTAGAAAACCATTCTTACGCACGCACATACACATGTATAAGTGTACGTATGTTTAATGTATACAAATTGGCACTCCTGATCACCCTCTCCCCATACAACCCCAATAATGCAGTGACGGAAGGGGCAAGAAACATCCCTTTCCTTGTCTCCTCTGATGTATCTGTAAAAAGTATGTTCTCACATATGTGTACGTTAAAAAGTTAACGCACTTGAGATGCCTCCCCACGCCCCTTTATTTCCATCTTCCTACATAATAAGATAACAACAAAAAAAAAAAAAAAAAAAAAAAAAAAAAAAAAGTAAAACAAAAAAAAGTAAAACAAAATAAAACAAAATAAAACGAAATAAACAAAATAAAACGAAATAAAACGAAATAAAACGAAATAAAACGAAATAAAACGAAATAAAACGAAATAAAACGAAATAAAACGAAATAAAACGAAATAAAACAAAATAAAACAAAATGAAACAAAACAATGTAAATGAATAAACACATGCACATATGTATAGTATGCATATATTATAATCAAATGATGGACGCCCAACGTGCCCGATATATGCACGTTCCTTCTGAGGAGGAGAAACCTCTTAGACTGACTTTCCCTTATTTGTTCTTTTTCTCATCCGTAGATTCGTCAAAATTTTTGTTCTTATTTTCATTGGACTTCAAATCCTTTTTGTCCCCCTCACTTGAGTCTATCTTCCCGCTATTTTCATCTTCCCCATTTTTCTTACTTTCCTGTCTCTTCATTTCGTTCACATTCTCTTTATTTTTCACATCTTTTTCATTTGAGAATTTTTTTGCAGATCCTTCTCCCATGGTTTCATTTTTTTTGGTACTTCCTTTGATCACTTCTTCTGGGTGTACTTCCTTTTCAGAAACGATTGCATGTTGTTCGTCAAATAATTCCGTCACATCATGTTCATAATTAAAATTATGAAATGGGGGTGAAGAAAGAGAGTTATTATTACCATATGAACGAAACTCTTTACTATTAAGGGGATCAAATTTTATATTATGATGATTCCCATATGCATTATTCAAAGCTTCTATATCTTCTATGTCATATTCATGTTCATTTTCAGTATGATAATCATAGTCTTCATCTTCTTCTTCCTCCTCTTCCTCTTCCTCCTCCATTACTTCCTCATCTTCATCTTCTGTGTTTGTTAAATGTCCCGCTCCCGATTTTGATCTTCCCAAACGAGCCATAATATCACGAAGTCCAAATTTTTCATGTTCGTTCATTCCATGTAAAAATGCAATATTTGAATCATTTCCCCCATGGAATGAATTATGATTAATCTGATCTGATGACAAATTGAAGATGTAATTGTCCTTTACAGGAATTATGTTTTGAGTTTCAAAAAATTCTCCATGAGATAAACTATCACCTAATAACTCGTTTCTCCAGAGTTCGTCTCCCATTTGAGCTCCATCGCTGATGCTGCTGATACTGCTGATACTGCTGATGCTACTGATACTGCCCATGCCACCACCATCCTCTGGGGTCGGGGAAACACGGACAATTTTTATGGAACTCTTGACCTCTCCATTCTTATTATTGAAATTCATAAAAAATGGATTCGCATTAGTGTTACTATTAATCATGTCTAGAATGGATAAACGTTTCACAAAATCGATTACGTTGAAATTGGCTTCTTCTGATTTCTCCAGTAGGATGACATTCCAGAGAATACACAAATGTGGGTTTTTATTTTTACTGATTTGTATAAGTGTACATTCAAATTCAATTAAATCATTTTTTTGTAAATTTTCCACATGAGATATTAACGAATCTGTAAATAATGCCCTGATGTCTGCCTTATCATATCGATATTCGGATGGATTCATTCTTATAAATAAAGAGTTACTATTGAAGAATCCTTCCTTAATCTGATGGAAAAATCCTCTCCATATTATTGTATATCCATCATACTTTTTTTTAAAGTTATGAATGCTATTGAATTTATTTCTTAATTGGGATTTGTGTCCACAATCTTCTAGGTAGTCTATCCAGCTAGCTGTTATGTATGGACCTTTGGCTAAATTGTCCAAATTAAAATTAGTCCATATTCTTATTATGTAAAAAAAAAATATTAAAAATATGAGTGATAAGAATAGAGCTAAATATTTAGCTGATATTATAATTGCACATTTGGGAAATTGAAATGTTAGTATTTGATTTTCTCTTTTTACTTGAAATAATTTCTCACATGATTTTTTTAAATTCTTTTCACAATATGGACAAGTGTATTTTTTTTGTTTAAATGTTAAGTATATCAAAGGTAATAAAAATATGGTAAAAAATGAAAGGAGAAGAAATAAAATAATTATTAAAATGTATACAAATGCTGGTGTGTATGCCTTTACTTCTGCGTACACATGCTTATTACAATAATCACAATTTAAAACTTCCTTTGTCTGCTTTACATCATACGAATTCCCATCTTCTTCATCATCTTCTGTTACACAAGTCCCGCAATATGTGTTATTATGTTCCTCTTTTATTGGAGTAAATTCCCCCTTAAAGGAACAATTCTCGTTATACACCATGTTGCTATCATGACATGTGCTTGCATCATTGTATGCATTATCATCAAAATCGTTTTGATTGTTATTCTCATTTGCCCTTAGTTCCTGCATTTCACTTATCTTGGTCTTCCCATTGCCACCATAATTTAGCATTTTGTGAGGGTGCACAAAGTCGAACGGAGGTATATAAAAATATAGGATGCGGATATGAAAAATGTCAACAAAGGTGAGAATAGCATGCAAATATACTCAAGCAGAGTTAGTCAAATTGGCAACAAAGACTTTACACACCCCAAAAAACATAAAAAAAAAAAAAAAAAAAAAATCCTATTTCTCAGTATACTCACAATTACCACAATATTTTATACACGTATGTGCAAGGGTACTTTCATGGGTACATAAAGAAATGCACATAGTGACGCGTGTGCATAACGCTTATCTGCATGAATAGTGTGTTCAGGTACATTCTTTCCGTTTCTGCGTTTTTGCTTTTTTATTTTATTGTTGGTTCGCGTGTTCATCCGTTAACGTGATCATCCGTTAACGTGATCATTTGTTCACTTGTTCATTTGTTCACTTGTTCATTTGTTCACTTGTTCATTTGTTCACTTGTTCATTTGCTCACTTGTTCATTTGCTCACTTGTTCATTTGCTCACTGGTTCATTTGCTCACTGGTTCATTTTTCTTTATTTTTTACGCCTCTCTTTTAAAACGTTCTTGCGTGCATATCCTTAAATGTGTTTTCCCTTGTGCGCCTTTTGCTTTTATTATTATTTTACCCTTTTTTCTTTTTAGTGTAAATTGTCAAATGCCATGCTATAAGAGTGTGAAAAAGGGAAAAACGAAAAAAAAAAAAAAAGTTAGCTGAAATGGGAAAATATCGAAATAAAAAAAAAGTTAAAAAAAAAAAAAAAAATGGCCAAAAAGTTATAAACGTAATAAAAAAAAAAAAAAAAAAAAAAAAAAAAAAAAAAAAAAAAAAAAAAAAAAAAAAAAAAAAAAAAAAAAAAAAAAAAAAAAAAAAAAAAAAAAAAAAAAAAAGGAAAAAAAAAAAAAAAAAAAAAAAAAAAAAGTTAGCTAAAAAAAAGGATAATATCAAAACAAAAAAAAAAAAAAAAATAAAATAAAATTAAAAAGGATTATACTAAAAATTGAACGAATTCGAAAACTTGGAAAATTCAGCTTTTTCAAACATATTAAACTGGAAACACGTTCACTAGTACAAGTTAGCTGCTAGGGGGAAAACTGTTACACATCGAAATGCCATATTTTAAAATTCTGAATTAATGTCTTAAGAAGAAACGCAAACGAATCAAGGTGGAGGTGTAAAAATTAGGGGAGAGAACAGAGGTGGAGACCATATTTATCTGAAATAAATAAAAATAAAGGCCATAAAAGGAAAAAAAAAAAAAAAAAAAAAAAGTGGCGATACATGCAAAATTTTAAATTTTAATTCCTAAAAGGCTGAAAAATGCCCCAACATAAGTTCCTTTTATATAAATGCAAAAAATAAAATAAAGTAAAAAAGATTGAGAACAGAAGAGCACGAGGTTATGTTAGCATTTTATCAATTTCGTTAAACAAGTGATATATATGTACATAAACCACTCATAATGTGTGTATCCATGAGTGCTCGTATATATATATATATATATATATATATATATATACGCACGAAATGGTTGACGTACCTTTGATTTGCCAATGTGTGCCCGTCGGCAATTCCCACTTTGCCACAGCTGTTGAATGGTCGAAGTGATCGTCAAACTGACCGAAGGAAAAATCCAGTGGAGTATGTAAAATGGGGCATAATATGTTGGCACCTCACTTCGTCCATTTTGTTATCTTCATATTTCTGTTTTCTTTTACTTTTATTTTCACACTACTCCTTTGTTACGGAGAGGAGGAAATTTTCGGGACTTCACCATTCTAACAATTTCGTGGCGTTCACGCTCCCCCCCCCAGAGGCAAAAAAAAAAAAAAAAAAAAAAAAAAAAGGGAAAAGAAATAGATGGATAGAGAAGGTACATCCCTGATATGCAAAACAGTATATAAATAATTTGGCTATTTTTTTTTTTATTTTCCCTTTTTTGCAACATTCCACATATGTTCGCATTTTCCCCTACATCTTACATGTTCCCTTGTCACTTTAAGCAAATTTCACGGAAAAGGAAAAAAATTTTTTTTTTTTTTTTTTTTTTTTTTTCGTTTTCCTCTTATTTCCTCTCTCCCCTCCCCCTAGAAGTGTATACACAGTTGCCTTCAGATTATCCCATAATTTGCAATAACAAATTAATAATAGTTTTCGAAGCTGCATGTAATAAGACGAAAGTGTATCAAGTGCTGAAAATACACTTCTTAGGCCATTGAAACACAATTTATGCACCTTTTATGTATAGTCTTTTAAGCTGTACTTTGAAAAAATATTTCAAAAAAGACAAACAAAAAGGGAATATATGGTAGAGAGACTTTACATATTATATTATAGTCTTTGTTAATTTTGTAAATTTGAAGGGTCTCAGAGTATTATTCTAAAATTTTGAGAAATATTTCTGAGAAGTAATTTTTCCGTATGCTACTTTTTGAGGAACTTAAACGAATGGTTACGTGTGCATAGCTATAACGCTCCTTTTTTTAAAACTGCATCAACAAGTGTGCTTAAGAGATAGAAATGGGATGCGAACAAAATTTACGTGTCACACAGAGGTGGTACATTTACACAAAAATAAAAAAATAAAAAAGGTAAAAAAAAATATATATACATATATACATATGTGAGACGTGCAATAGCTAAATATTTAAGTTTAGGTACGCTGGAATGTAATATGTATCGACATATTAACATTACGTAATAATGGAAAATTATCTTCGACCCGTTTTTTTTTTTTTTTTTTTTTTTTTTTATCTTCAATTTTTCTGAGAGTTCCCGATACCAGCAGGAAACATATTTCATATTAGCATAAAAAAAAGGAAAAAGAAGAAAAAAAAAAATAAGGAAATACACACATATATATATGCGTTTGTATATGTACTTGCATATGTTCTTGCATATGTTCTTGCATGTGTATTCATATATATATATACACACATTCGTGCATGCGCAATTTTGAAAAGGTTGACGAGAATTTGGCTGTACAAGAATTTCCCGTGCATGTTAATATTTTTTTTTTTCCGTTAAGTGCGTTCATGCATGTTTTAACTAGCTTTCGAGTTCTATTCGAACCTCTTGAGCTTCAATAAAGGAGCTGAAAAGAGGACATGTAAAGCATACGAACATCTGACGTGTTAATAGGACAAGTTATAAGCTCACAAAAAACATATGCATACACAAGCCCCGTCATAAATTAACATTCTTCAGCAATTTACTCCGAAACTGCAAAAAATGAGTGACGTTTTCGATAAGTTAAAGAAGCAGAGGTCAAAGGAATGCAAGGCAACGGATTTTTACGAGGTACGCCCAGACATATGAACACCTGTATATAAGCATGTTTATATGCATTCATATATGTATATATCCATGCATGTATTAATACATATCCATTTTGAGAATTCCATTTCTCCCACTTTTCATCTTCTATTTGCACATTTGAACAAACGGATTCAACGATTATATCAAAATATAAAGTGCATAACTGAGCTTGTTGTTACGTCCTCCAAAATGCCCCTTAACATGTGAGGGAAAAAATTTGCACCACACAATATTCTGTTCTAGTACACAGAGTTTTGAAGATCTATGTGGGTGTGCTTAGTTATGTTCCTTTCTTACCCGATATGTTTTAGTGTGTCTTTTTTTTTTTTTTTTTTTTTTTTTATCTTCATCTCTGTCCTCCCTAAAGCAATGTCTAATCTCCATAATCACGGCACTCACCCACGATGTGTATCTCCTCAGGTGAAAAATAAAAATGATGAGATTTACGAAGTAGTAGATGAAGAAGGATACCTTGAAAACAAGAATTCTTTGAAAGACTTCATTGTTGGAGGCAAGTTCTCGAATTATATTCACTAACCATTACATTTATGAAATTCATATATGAAATTCATTTGTGAAATTTATTTTGTGAAATTTATTTGTGAAATTTATTTCCCCATTTGACACTTTATCATGTGAATATTCCTTCTTTTTTTGTCTCCCCTCTCCCTCTTCTTCCCCTTACGTACGTATTCGCAGGTGATAAAGATTTCGACTCTAGCGATGATGTAGTAGTGGAAGATATAAATTATGCCATACTCAGGAAGAAGAGTAAGTAGAACCATTTCTCCCGTCTCAGTAATGCGTGAGCATTGCGTGTTCAGAAGTATGCATAACACATGCACATGCCTGTACGCTTACAGATGGGCAAATAAGGAAAAACAAAATGTAGAAAAATGTAGCAAAATGTAGAAAAATGTAGCAAAATGTAGAAAAATGTAGCAAAATGTAGAAAAATGTAGCAAAATGTAGAAAAATGTAGCAAAATGTAGAAAAATGTAGAAAAATGTAGCAAAATGTAGAAAAATGTAGAAAAATGTAGAAAAATGTAGAAAAATGTAGCAAAATAATAATAATGCAAAACTTTCCCTTATACCCATACACACACTTGCACGCATATCTCTCCACAGACGCTGAAAGAGAAGCTAAGGAAAAAAGGAACACGCCTATAGACGATTTCATTAGACAAAAGAAAATACAGAAGACATTCTCAACCGGTAAACTAAGCAAAGAAGAAATATCAAAAGCAAAAAACATCGAAAAATTGATGGATGCAAATTCATCCTCTAGTGGTAGCGAATTGGATAATTTTACAACTAAGAGGAAAACAAGAGATTCCTACGAAAAGGAATATAAGAACGAAAATAAATGTCACATTAGACGTATCATGGATAATAATGATAGGAGTAATGATAGGAGTAATGACAGGAGTAGTGTTAGGAGTACCTCGAATAACAATTTTGAAAATAGTTCAGTAAGAACGATCGAGAGAGATACCCCTCTGATGCATCACCTTACTTCAGGGAAATCTAGAGGTAGTTTAGTCACACATGAAGAAGAAAAGAAAAACAATTGCAATTTTTTTCTTCATTCAAAAGATTTTAATGATAGGATAAAAACGAAAGTGCAAACAGAAGATGAACATATTGAAGGGAGTGTAAAAGAGGACAAAAACAACCTCGATGAGGAATCAGTACAGGATAGAAACAAGAAGAGGAAAGTTACTCAATATGTTGAACATTGTGAAGACAAAGCGAGTGAAAATGTCCACAAAAGTTTTAACTACTTAAATGAAGCCAAACTGGAAAGTTTATCACACGCATGCAAAGTGGAAAAACACACGACCCTCAAACAAGGTGATTGTACGTACTCAGTTCGATCCAATTCGTCATTGCACCAGGATTTGTCGAACCAATCTAAACTCGTCGTTAAAATGGAAAGGATGAATGAGAAAAATTCAGAGGAGGAACTTCAAAATGACCATCGTGCAAGTGATTCACATCCACAAGAAACGTCTCCCCAAGGAATAAACCCGTTAGATGAATATATACAAATGGAGGATATTAAGCTAGATTATAATAAAGTGAAAACTGAAGATGGTGGAACAACATTTGAAGAAGAAGAAGAGGATGAGGAAGAAGAAAAAAAAAAACAAAGTCCCATAAGCACAAGTGGCTTAAAAAACAAAGCCCATGAACTCATAATAAACGACGAAACTGGATTTGTAAACGTGTATCTTTTCGACATATGCAAACATAGGAACAGTGTAATTCTATTTGGAAGAACATTAACAAAATTTAAAAAGTATAGAAGCATAAGTATATATTTAGAGGAAATGTACAGGTGTTACTATTTTCTTCTGTCGAAAAATATGGTGTATAAAAAAGATGGAATCGAAATAAAATATGGCCATAAGAATTACAACACTTGTATTATATCCGATTTCTTGGAGGAATTTAGAGCTATCAGAAAATATCATAACATTGATAGCATAAAATGTAAAATTGTAAAACGAAGAAATTTAAATTTAAAATCAAGTGAGGAAGATGTCTATGCCAAAGTCTATTACACATACAATTTTGATCCAATTAGTGATAAGTACAAATCTGGAAGAACATACATTGCTTTCTATTGTTGTAATGAAGATATCATTGAAAATTTTATAATTAAAAAAAATTTGAAATTACCTTGCTGGATTAAGGTAAAAGAATTGAAAATTAATATTTCCAATAATTTGACATACTGCTACTTTGATTCAATCACGAAAAATTGGAAGAATCTCTACCCAGTCGACAAGAAGTTAGAACTGAAGGCCCCTTCCCCACCTATGGGAAGCACAGGAAAAGGTACGAACAGAGGTAGCGATCCCATTGCAAGAACTGCGAATAATTCAAATCACGAAATGTGCAATAACGAATCTGGAAAGGAATCTATAAATATAGTCACCTCTCCAAACAATGGAACAGAGGAAGCACAGAAAAAAGGAGATATTGTTGGAAACAACAGTTTCATAGATCTAGATCTGAATAAGATTATCATTAAGGTGGTATCCTTGGTGAATGAAGAAAATCAGCACGAGGTGTTCAGCATCTGTAGCTTAGTAGACGCAGAAGGAGTAAAGTACATAAATTTTTGTGGTATTTCTGCCAAGGCAAGTAAAAAAACGATCAGTAATTACAATAAGAATAATGGGAAAGTATTTGATTCAGAAAAGAGTTTGCTAGAAGCATTTCTTCAAAAATTAAGAGCATTAGATGTAGATATGTACATAGGATATAACATTTTAAATTTCGATTTGGAATTCCTCATTCATAGATGCAATGTCCATAATTTGAATGCCGATTTTTTAAGTAGGAAAAAAAAATTAAAAAAAAACGACAAAATGAAAGTGAACAAGTTTAATGGAACCAACAGTACAGGTTCTATGTATAATATTATTCAAAATATTAAAGGAAGACTCATAGTAGATGTCTACATGTTGTGTAAGGATTTGATAAAACTTACAAGTTATAGTATGGATGAGATAATTGATAGTGTAAGGAACAAATTTCAAGACAAGAGTACCTCAGTCTCTTCTTCATCAGCTTCGAATGCAGTTTCTAACAAAACTATTTCAAATAATGGATCAAATGGCTCGAGTGGAGTGGGAACATCTACCGGTTCTTCTTCCTCTGCTACTGTGGGTAGGAGTAAAACAAACGGTCCAAACGTTTTCAAAGACTTTTCAGTAAATAACATAAATCTTCTAAATTGTAGTAATATTCATCTGTACGATGTGCAACAAATTTTAGAAAATCATCTGAATACATACATAAATAGTCAACTTTTCTGTATCCAAGAAATTTCAAATGTGTGCAAAGTACTGCAGATAATAGAAAAAACGAGAGATTTAACAAAACTTAGTGGATATATATGGATGAGAAGTTTGTTATGTTATACGAGCGAAAGAATAGAATACTTCTTACTTCACGAGTACAATAGGAAGAAGTTTATCACTCCTATGATTAAGAAAAGAACAAAGAAAATAGAAACTGAACAGAACAAAAATGTAGCTAAATATTTAGGTGGGTTGGTTCTAGACCCCATCTGTGGTTACTATGACACATTCGTTTTATATCTAGATTTTAATAGTTTATATCCTTCTATCATTATTGAGTATAATGTTTGTTTCAGCACACTGAAGTTGAAAAGTGTGGAAGAAAGAGAGGGATTCAGCGAGATCAATGAGATGAAGGGGCAGGATAGTGCAAATGAGCTGAACGTCAACAAGGGCGAAAATGTACTGAACAACGGGTCAGGCGATTTTGACGAGGTTAACAATTCAAATGAGTTAGTGGATCCAGATGATTCGACAGATGTAGGTGATGTTTCAAATGCTATATCATCTCCAAATGAAGAAATTCAAATTGAAGATTTTGACAGGAGAAAACCAGGAATTCTTCCTTCCATTCTGAAAAATTTAGTGGAAAAAAGAGCCTTTATTAAAAAGTTAATAGCAAATGAAAAAAATAAAGAGAAAAGGGAACTTCTTCTAATTCAATCTTTATCAATAAAGTTAATAAGCAACAGTATATATGGATGTTTAGGAAATACAAATAATAGATTCTATGCGAAACATATTGCTGCTTTTATCACACTTAAAGGAAGAAATTTACTTCAACATACAAAATTTAGGGTAGAAAAAGAATTCAACTTGAAAGTTATATATGGAGATACAGATTCTATTATGATAGATACAGGGATAAAAGCACATGGTATAAATAATTATAAAGAATCGTTTAGATTAGCCCATGTCATAAAAAATAGTATTAATAAAAATTACAGGAAATTGGAATTAGACTTGGAATGCATATTCAGCAAATTGCTTTTATTAAAAAAAAAAAAATATGCTTGTGCTAAGGTCATCGATGCAAATATGGAAAAGTGTGAATATGAAATGAAGGGAATCAACTTCATTAAGCGAGACTTTAGCAAAATTTCAAAGCTCATTGGAAATGAAGTTTTGAAGATAATCTTCAGCAGCAAGCATGCCCAAGCTACTCCTCATGGCCACGTGGAGAATGATTTGTCCGAGCAAATCCATGAGTACTTGCGTATGGTCAACCAGAGGATTCAGGCTGATGAGTAAGTTCTTTTCTCTTACCTGGAGGGAAAGTGCATGCCCTTTAATCGGTTTGCTTTTTCTTCTCACTCAGAAGGGAGGCAATTCAACTCACCCCACGTCCAAGCATCCCAATTCAACTCATCTCAATTCAACTCATCTCAATTCAACTCATCCCAATTCAACTCATCTCAATTCAACTCATCCCAATTCAACTCATCTCAATTCAACTCACCCCACTTCCAACCATCCCACTTCCACCTACAACTGCAGGTTCGACCTGGATTTTTTCGTGATAACGAAAAAGTTGACAAAGAATGTGAGCGAATACCAGGAGAAGAATTCCCTTGGGCACGCCCTAGTTGCAGAACGGATGATGAAGGAAGGATACAACATTAGTGTGAACAAAGAAATACAATACTGTGTATGCACAAGTGAAGACGCATGCAGATTTTATAACAAAAAAGTGAATGAAAAATTAAACAGCTCGTTGTGTTGCTTTAGTGTGAATGAAATACAAAAGCATAATTTGAAAATAGACAAGGATTACTATATTCGAAATCAAATTTTATCACCAATCAATCGATTATGTCAATATATAGAAGGAACAAGTGCAGAAAAGTTAGCCTCCTGTTTTAACATTTACGATGTGAGAGAAATAAAAACAGACATTCAAATTGAAGAGAATTATCAAGAAGCAAATGTATTATCACTACTAAACGAATCAGAAGAAAGATTTAAAGATATTCATTTGAAAGGATTTTTAATATGCTCAAATTGTTTGCATAATGTAAAACCAGCAATGTTCATAAAATATTTCAGATGCAACAATTGTGGTATTTATTTATCTATTGAACAGATAAGAAATTACATATTTTCCTTTATTCACCATTTATTTTCCACGTTTTATAAACAACTCTATGTATGCAACAGCTGCATGTTGAAAACGAGACGTATCTTTTTGAACGAACCCCAAAATTGTCCTAATATGAATTGTGAAAACCGTAAGGGCTCCTTAAAACCACTGATTTCGAAAAAGTACATTTACCTTATCTTGGAATATTTTCTCTATCTTTTGAAAGATAATTTGAGGGAAATCCCTGAAGTACTCATGCACGAGAAGGTGCGCAAGGTCCCCAGTAATGATGTGCAAAGTGGGAGCGGTCAGATGGATGTGGTTAAAACCAATGGAAGAAGCGATGGAACTGATAACCATAGGGAAAAAATCGACGAAACCAGTAAGATGAACCAGGAAGGTCAAAGTAGTAACTATCAATCTCATTCCCAAGGGAAGAACAGCTCAAATCACGTGCATGGTAACACACTGTATGCATCCGATGTTAATGTGTACGTTTCTATTGATGAGAAATTTAAAATGCACATATTTAAGGATCAAAAACCAGCGAAAAAAATCTTCAAAATAGAGGCGTATGATGATATATGCAATAACAAAGAACTAGGAGTAAGTATAACAAGAGGGTTACAAATGAAGTACCCAAACATATCAAACTTCCTCAAATACTTGAACCTTAAGAGCAACCTTTTTTGTATTAATTACAATGAAGAAAGAAACATTATTCGACAATCTGTGCAAGCCCTTGTAAAAAATAATGTGTATGCGCAAATCTATTTCGATAAAGTTTTCTCTGTTTTCCACCAACCAATGATCTACAAAATTGAGGAACTTTGACAAAAACAGAGTGCTCTTTCCCTGTCATCATCATCATCATCACAGGTGGACGAGGGGAAGGGGATCACACCATTGGACACTTTTACTGTATCATGTCATGCTTATTTGTTGGATCGTATATAAATACAAGTGTACCTTTAAAAGGTGCACCGTCTCCTCCTCCACACATACACACCCCATCGGATGTGTATAAAGTGTTAGAGCGACTAAATATGTTAATCAAGCGGTAATCATTCACACTGTGCAACGTCATTATTTATTTTTAACTTCCTATTTTATTATTACCTTACTATGTTATTTTTACCTTACTATGTTATTTTTACCTTACTATGTTATTTTTACCTTACTATGTTATTTTTACCTTACTATGTTATTTTTACCTTACTATGTTATTTTTACCTTACTATGTTATTTTTACCTTACTGTGTTATTTTTACCTTACTGTGTTATTTTTACCTTACTATGTTATTTTTACCTTACTATGTTATTTTTACCTTACTATGTTATTTTTACCTTACTATGTTATTTTTTCGTTGAGACTTCTCTGACATTTTTACACCACTTCGTTAACGCTTCCCAAACCAAAACCCGTGAACGGGAAAAAAAAAAAAAAAAAAATTAAACTTAAACTTATACTTAAACTAAAACTTATACTTAAACTAAAACTTAAACTAAAACAAAAATAATTAAAGGTGTGTAAAATATGCCATTCCGCTTATTGTTGAAAAAACAAAAAAAGAAAAACATAGCTTTATCTTTCACGTAGTGGAAAAGGGCTATTTTTTTTTTTTTTAACTTTTGAGGAGAAAACACATCCCTTATTAAATTCGGTGTGTAAGGTTCCCTACATAGTGGAAGTGAAATCGAAGAGATCTACTGCTAGGTAGACCGCTTCTTACCAGTACCCACTTCGCAGCGCGAGATGGTAAGATAGTAAGTTTTACCCCTACCAAGAGACAAACGTGAACACACGTACCAAATGTGAAAAGAAGCGAAGGGGGAATACAAAAATGAATTACTCGTTCCTGAATCGATCAAATCGAAAAGTGATATTCACTATCATAGCAAATTATGTAAACTTGTCACAGTATGAAATAGCGCGATCGTTACTGCACAATTTAGTGGTTTCCAATTTGCTAAAGGAAGAGGATTTCAAAAAAAGGGAAAAAAAAGTAATAGACTTGTTGGTAGAAGAAAAGTTGTATTATTTAAGAAAAACACTAAAATTCATGAGAAGGTTTTTACCCTATGGTTCTTCACCACTTCAAATTTTTTCAAATGAGTTATCTAGTGCACACTTTTTACTCAAGGTAATAAATGATTACAATAGGTTCGTCGATCTCATATTTTGGAATTTCCTAACTCATGAAGCATTCTTGCGTGCCGAACATCCAGGGGTGCTGCATGAACTACAAACACGGATTGGAACTCGCTCTCAAACGTGCAGTGGAAAATTGGAAGGAACCCTACCTGAAGAAGTGGTAAGAAGACAGACTCAGTCCAACACCAACGACAACTCCAACACCAACGACAACTCCAACACCAACGACAACTCCAACACCAACGACAACTCCAACACCAACGACAACTCCAACACCAACGACAACTCCAACACCAACGACAACTCCAACACCAACGACAACTCCAACACCAACGACAACTCCAACCCCAACTCCAACGTCAAGGCCAGTGAAAAATCTGCACAAGAATGGGCAGCGGGAAGGGATCAGCCTCCGCCTTCACGTGCTTCCTCCCCATTTCGATCATTTTTGAAAAAGAAATACATATCCCAAGAGTTGCATAACAAAATAGCATTCGATGTTCTCCTAGCGACCATAGTGGTGTATAAGGAGTACTACATGTGTGCATTTGAAGATGCACGTTTTTCTTTCTTTTCAACTGAGGCAATACAGTATTTGAGGAGGATTTACCACCTGCGCTTGAAATCCGAGGAGTTCCTGAAAAGGAAGGGAAAAGCGAAAAGGCGGATGAAACGATGGGGGTGGAAGCGACAGACATGGGAGGGGCAGAGGCCACGGAAGGTTCTCGTTTCTCAACAAAATAGAAACGACCACCAAGATTGGCACAATCACATAAGCGATAACCTCTTCTACTTGTTTAATCAAATTGTTCCATTCAATGAACCAAGCAAAAAAAAAAAGGCTACGCGCACAGATGCGGGAAAAAATGGCCTAGTTAAATACACTGATTGTCCAAAAAGAAAAAAAAAAAAAAAAAAAAAGTTGCTACAAAATATTGACGAATTAGTTCTGCACAGCTGTAAAATGGTGTATGGAGAAAAGTCAGACATTATCCAAATAAATTCCAATGGAGGGACTAACAGAACCGACATATGGTCTAGCAATGAAAAGGAGAAAAAGGGAAAAAAAAAAAAAAAAAAAAAAAAAGTTAAAGAAACCAATTCTTTGCATGTAATATACATACACCCATTATACATTATTAATCAGAAGCCAATATATAATTATATTAACACATTTGAAGAAGAGACTCTTTTTTTTTTATATCAAAAAAACGTTATGCCCTTACTATATCGAGAGTTTTTCTGTTTGATGTTTTTTCTTCCTTCATTATCTGTGCAATTATTGAAAAGTTTGTGTCTTAATAAAAGTTTTTATGACTTTTTGATCAACCTATATTTCCTGAGCAACACATGTAATCTGATGCTTACAAATAGACGATACGACAGGAAAATTGAATCCACATCTAATGTCACACCTGAATCGGTGGATACACCTGTAATAGTAGTGCACAAGATGAAGAGTATTTCCATGTGGAGTGCAAAAAATGAATTAGTCAACAAAACCCTCATTAAGCAAGAGATTTGTGATAACATTCAAATGCGTGACGGAATGGAGAACTTACCATATCTAACACATTTTCAAAAAGAAAAAAAAACAAATTTTATAAAAAACTGTTACGTTATATTTATTCAAATATACTATATCGCCATGCATATTTATATGGATGTACTTGTCGAAAAATTAAAAAAAAAAGACTTGGTGAATTATTGCAACTTTTTATACCTTCTCAAGTTTAACAATGTGTTTATGAATAACATTTTTTTCTTTTCCCTCTCCTCTGAGAATGCCATCTGTGAGGGAAGCGTGCACGGGGGTGGAAGTGGCACTGCGCGTGGTGATGAGAATGGCACTGCGCGCGTCGGTGTTGAGAGTAGCAATGCTGGAATTACAAGTGTCATCTCGAAGATGAACGGAGTTGACACACACAGGAGAGACACTTTTTTTTACTCGTCTCATCGTTCGGATGACCCCAATAGAGGAAAATGTTTTTACATGACGCAACCGAAGCAGAAGAAAAACAAATCGATGAACTTTACACCTAAGAAATGTTATCTCTCCCATAGTGCACTCCATAAAATGTATAATCTCCTTGTCTTTCTTGTATTTTACTATAATGGAGATGAAAATGCAATTCAGCAATTTGGAATTTGTCCTACGTATGAAGAGGGTACTGAGAAGAATGGCAAGACTGCGGACAACCGAAAAATTGGGCAGCAATGGGAGCAGCAGCAACAGCAACAGCAGGAGGAGGAGGGGGAAGTTCAGTTTTGTAAGGTCCTAGCTAGTGGCGTCGTCCTATATTTATGCATTAATTATGCACACATACGAAGCATTTTTTACTTCTATGCAAGCAGGAGAAAGGAGAAGAGGAAGGATGAAAAGAGTGTCAATATCTATCACAATAAATGTATCGTTTATGAAATATTCATGTCTACCAACACTTTTCACTGTTCAAATGAAACAAATGAAAACAAAATTGTCAACATATTTCTTTATTTGTATAATTACATAGACGATTTATATAACCGTTGGGTAAGAAAATACGTGGTGTATGCAGACATCCACTGCAAAAAAAAAGAGGATCTTTTGTTTTACATAAACAGTTCCAGGATAAAGAGGATCCACTTTTTGAAGTAAATGCAATTTGTCACAATTTTGCTTAGCTCAGCCAATTTTGGCTTAAATTTTTTTTTTTTTTTTTTTCACATTTTCTTTACCTCTTCGTACACGTGAAAGAAAAATTCCCTCACGTCTTCTCTCTCACGTCTTCTCTCTCACGTCTTCTCTCTCACGTCTTCTCTCTCACGTCTTCTTCCTCACTTCTCCTCTCTCACGTCTTCTCCCTCACGTCTTCTTCCTCACTTCTCCTCTCTCACGTCTTCTCCCTCACGTCTTCTTCCTCACTTCTCCTCTCTCACGTCTTCTCCCTCACGTCTTCTTCCTCACTTCTCCTCTCTCACGTCTTCTCCCTCACGTCTTCTTCCTCACTTCTCCTCTCTCACTTCTCCTCTCTCACCTCACCTCACCCCCTCCCCTTTTTCCCCACTTTGCAGCTACCTGTTCAACATATGCGAGAAAGAAATAAAAAATCAGAACTTCCTATACCTAGACAGTCTTTTGAAAAATTTCCGTGGACTCAAAAATTTATGCATCCTTTTCTGTTTACAGAATGCAAAAGACGTGAATGTGAAAGCGAAGTGCTTGTCTGAACTTAAATCATGTAAAGATAATATTTACCTTTACAATTACATCAAAGATATGAAAACAAGAGTGAAGATAGCTACTTTGCATTACCAGTTGTATAAACAAAATGCAAGTATGTCCAAATTAGCACACCAAACAAAATTAACAAAGAATGACATGTTTCACAAATTGAAAAATACATCAAGCCCACTTTTACTGAGTCATCTCAATTTGATGCAAAATGTTAATTATGTCTTTCTAAGGAAAATGTCAAATCTAGATATTAAAAATTTCCTCTATCGTAGGGAAATCAAAATGAATATGAATTTTCTTCTTTTCTATGTGATAATTAGGAATACCTTCCGTTGCCTCCATGGGTGAGACACTCCAGCTAAGATCTTCTCCATTCCACATGTGGCACGTTTCACTCGATACATCTCCATATTTTGTGTATTTCCCTTCTATTTGTGGGGTGGGGACAATCATAACCATTTCCACTCGTCCCTCAACTAGCATGTCACCACCACTGCAATTGGCACTGCAATTGGCACTACAATTGGCACTGCAATTGGCACTACAATTGGCACTGCAATTGGCACTACAATTGGCACTACAATTGGCACTACAATTGGCACTACAATTGGCACTACAACTTGCACTGCCATTTCTCACCCACGCAGGCGGAGTCAGGTGGAGGAAATTGCAAGCCATTACAATCTGATAAACTACAAGGAATGCAAAATAAAAGCTCTTCTCTACATAGTTGTCTTGATATTTCAATGCATAAAGAAAAAAGAAGGAGATGTAAAAGTAAACGAATTCATTTACATAATACAATTTTTGTTTCACAAACTGAAAGCAATAAAAGGAGAAAAGTCATTATTCATTTTAAATTTGAAAAATTTGTTGTATCAAATTGTATACGATGTCTATATTCGGCTATTTGTTTTTTTTCAAAAGTATGGAAGTACAAATTCGAAAGGAACAAATCAAAGAAAAGTGATAAAATCAAATGAAATTCCAATCAACAAATTCCTCGCAAGGGGAAAAGGTGCCAAACGAGAAGAACTACACCCGATTGAAAAAATTATATCCAGAAGAAATGTCGAAAAGGAAAATGACAAGGTGAAAAGTAGGAATTATTTTCCTATGGAAAATAAAGGGAACTTGGTACAGCGGGATCAATCTAGGGTTAGAAAAAAAACATACATATTACATGAATCGAGAAACATTCAAGGGAAAATTTATGAATGTGAAAACGGTCAATCTAACAGAAAAAGATTCAACCGTAGAAGCGGACGCACATCTTCTACACCGATAACTACTATAGAGGTATTCATGAAAAATCAATTAATTAGAAAATTAAAAACAATTTCCACGTCATCTCATACTATGCTGAGGAAAAGGCTATCGAGTCGGAGAAGAGGAAAGGATAGTTTTATTTTTAGTTTTGTAATTATGATTGAAAAGAAGTGGAGTGAGAAGTGGAGTGAGAAGTGCATCCCTGAATTGAGATACATCTCCTCAAGACAGAAGTTGTTACCACTCGGGAGTGCACAAAAGGGGAACGATGAATTTGACAAGCATTTGTTAGAACTCATGTTTAATGACCCTCAGGAATATATATATAAAAATATAATAGACAGAATATGTAATCGCCTGAACATGTTCATATATTATAGATATAAAAAACAAATCTCAAAAAATTCAATACGCAATTTGCTATTCTACATCGAATTGAATACACTATTTAAAAATCTCTACATGAGCGATCTCAACTTATTGTTGCATCATGGAAGACAAACCGTATGTAGTAAAAAATTATTCACTTCTTTTTTTCAAATGATGGTTTTTTATTATGACAAGTACAAATGTAACGAATTAAACAGGTATATTTTCGAAAATAGTGAAAACGTCGACTTTTTCATCCTATACAATTTTCTAGACATTTGTGTATCATGTTCTAATACAATAGAACGTGGGGCAGCTCTACTCCAATTTGTAAGAAGTAGAATACGTAAAATAATTAAATCCAGTAAAACACGTAAAATAGCTAGCCAGAATAGAGAACTCCAAGATAAGTTTCGCTCCTCAAGGTATCCCCACCGGTTCTACCATTTCCTCCTCTGCTTTGTGAATCGATTGTACGTTTTGATAAATATAAAAAGTAGACATGGCGAGGAAAGACAAAGAAACATACGTCAGATATGCTATCAGAAATACGAATATCCCTCTGTAGAATTGGGAGGGGAAGCAATAATAGGAATGGTGAAAGAAGAAAAGGCCACAACACCATCAAAGGGAACCAAGCCAAAGAGCACGAAACCAATCCTTCTCAGCAAGTACCTTCTGCTCAAATGCAACTCTCTGAAGGTACAATCCAAATTAATCGAGAAATATTTCATTGACTTGTATAAGAGGAAGCATTTCCTGAAAGACATGTTCTTATGCTTTAACAATTTAAAAAGAAGAAAAAAAAAATATGTACATATAAATTATGATGACATGAATAAATGTTTAGAAAAATATTGCCACCTATTGTTAGAAAATGATGAAGGAGTTAGCATCAATTATTTATTTTTTTTTTTTCTCTATTCAAATATATTAATTAAGTATATATATAGCTCTCTAACTGGAACACAAGAGAAACAGAACTTTTATGAATTTATTTATAATCACAAAAAACATTATTACACATCTCAGATTGAATATGAAAAAAAAAATATAAACTATAATTTATTTTATATACTAACTATTGATATAAATACAATCATCAATTTTATTCTCTTTGTTTGTGGATCCTTTGACATTGCTAGGAAAATGTGTTCACTTTGCTTCATTCATTGTCATAGAATAATTGTTGAAAATGTAAAAACTCAATGTTCCCTCAAAAACCAGATGCACTTTTTAGAATCTGATATGGAGAAAGGTTTACCCTTATGGAATTTCACTTCTTCTTATTTTCCCTTGTCTAAAAAAAAAACAGACGATGGCGTCAAACAAAAATCTCTCTTTAGAAATAACTACTTAATCGAAAAAACGAATGAAAAATATCTCACAGGTGATTTTCTTTTTTTCCTCTCAGATAATGTGAAACCATTGAAACGCATGATGCAGAAATTTTTTTCTCCGTCCAGACGAAGAGGCAAAAACTGGATTGGAGAAAAGAAAAAAAAAACATGCAACTTGAAAACAATTCTCTTGGAGTACATACAGTATGTCATAGATAAGCAAGGGGAAGCAGTGGAAAAGGAGTCAAGTAAACAAGCAAGGGTAAATAAAAAAACCGATAGAAGTGCACCAAGTAAAAAATCATCGTGTTCAACCAAAGTAAAGTACTCAAATGGAAACCCAAACGAACAGACGGATGGAACCCAAGAACATAGCATCTTGGACAACTCAATTGACAGTGAAAGTAAAGACGAATTGATGAATCTATTTATATGTCTAGAGAAATGTGATTACTACTTTCCATTCATTTTCAACACTATGTATGGATATGCCTTTTCAACAAATTATAAATTCTTGAATAGACTTACAGTAGAGAGGTATAACACTATAAGAAAAATATTCTCGATCTGTCATAAGGAAAAAAACAAAAACGAAAAAACTGTCATAGAAGGTGGAAGTAATCAACCCATTGGTGGAGGAATACACTATCTTAAGTATAACAATTTGTTAAATTTGAATAATCCTACAAAATGTCTCCTATATGCAACAATTTTTGATAATCAGCATAATATGGATTGTCTACATATGTATGATTTGTTAAGAGAGTCTAAAAATGAGAAAAAATTACACTTTATTAGAAATAAGCTAAATGTGCTTTATTTCCCGCTTTTGGACAAAGGAGAAAAAACATATAGCAGAATTTTCAATACCACTTCTAAGGTATCACATTCAACATTTGAATTCATGAATCAGATATTCATTCCATTATATCACACACTCAGTAAGGATGAACTGCTGACCTATCTCCTTAACGAAAAAACTTCGCTGATAGAAATGCTTGATGTAACTATAAATTCAGTAATGAATGATGATCGAATTTTATTCAAATTGACCTTACAGGAGGCTGACTCAATCCTGTACACATGTCATTATAGGATTCAAAAGTTTCAAAAGGAAAATTCCACATTTACCTTGAGCACCCATCTTACCTGCGACGAGTTGCACTCTCACAATTTTTACAAATTGACAAGAAGTCTGCGCGAAAATGTTGCTAAGTTGAACGTGTATCTGATGGCTTTTCGGGTGATTAAGAAGATGCTGAAGGTTCGCGAACAGTTAGAAGCGGTGAATCAGTTGGAAGCAGTGAACCCGTTGGAAGCGGTGAATCAGTTGGAAGCAGTGAACCCGTTAGAAGCGGTGAACCAGTTAGAAGCGGTGAATCAGTTGGAAGCGGTGAATCAGTTGGAAGCGGTGAATCAGTTGGAAGCGGTGAATCAGTTGGAAGCAGTGAACAAGTTAGAAGCGATGAACCCGTTAGAAGCGGTGAATCAAGACCATATCACAAGCAAAACAAAACAAACACATTGGGTGAAAATACTCAAAACAGTTATGAACGAAACAATGGGAGAAGAAGATGTCTTGCACTTAGTTATATCAAACCGATTATTCAAACACTCGACCTTCCTTCTAAATTACAAATTGGGTCCGATGTCCAACATTATGAAACGAGGCAAGATACTGAAATTTCATCGAAAATGTAATAGCGCGTACATTATGCATCTATGGAGAAGTAACAGCACGAAAAACAGAAAAAAAATTATCACATTTTTGAGACAATTGAAGGGAGAGAAGGAAGCGAGGAATGTGCTTAACACCATACTGCACGATAAGGACAACGAACATGTGCATGAATTCTTTTCCTTCATATTGCACCATTATGAAAAAACCTATGTTAAAAAGCTCTACCTATTAGCCCTAATTTCTCATTGCTTGAAAATACAAAATATTCACCATATCAAATTAAATGAAATAATTTCCCTCCTTTTGATCGAAAACAAATTGGAAATAATCAAATTTATTCTCACGAATGATTTGTATACTGCAAAAATATACACATTCTTCCGTTATGCCTTTTTGCATATCCATCTTGATATCACCAAGTGGATCCCACCACGAGGGAATTTTCAGAAATGTAACTTGTCTAAGAGTAAACAATTTCAAGGAGTGACATATGAGAAGAGTGTTGTTCCATATGATTTATCAAAATGCTTGTCCATTCTTCAGCTTACCACACTGTTCAATAAGGAATGTTTTTCTTCTCAATTTATATTCTCCACATTTCTGCACGTTACACAGATTTTGTTTGATAGAGTATGTAACAGTTTAAAGAGAACCTCCTGTGAGGAAGGATCCAATCATGAGCAGCATGTACGACAAAGGAATCCATCCCTTGCAGATATAAAAAAATTAAAAAAAATGAAACAAGTGAATCTGCACATGAATCCAAATAAGGAAAAGACAAATGTGAAGATTAAAAAAAAATTCAGCTTATTTGGTCTATTTTTTGACAAAAGTCTCAACTCAAATAAGGTTCAAAAGAAAAAAAGACCTTACCAGAATTGCTGCATTAGACGTTATCACATAATTGAGTCTATAGTGGGAAACAACATGTGGAACCAATCTAATGGTGAACTCATTGAGTCGAAAGGAAAAAACCATTATGATAATACTAGAAGAAACAATGAAGAATTAGGAATCAGCACAAATATTCTCATTTACACATTCTTCAAAATTTGTTTTTTTTTTTACTCTAATTATAAAGAGTTAAGACACGTAAGCAATTTGTTGTGTACCCTATTTCCTATACTGATATACATTAAGGTTTCGTTAAATTTTCAAGTGCATTTGAAGTTAGTCATTAAGATGAATATACAAAATTTAATTAACATGCTAAGAATAAAGAACTTTAACATGTGTAACTACCTTATCCATAGAATTTGTTCATGCTACTTTTACCATATTAACTCATTTGTCGTTTTAAATGAACCCACGTTGTTCTACAGTTTCATTAACACAAGACACAGGTTCAGTAAATACAGAATGATGAAAAATATCATCTCGCTTCTTCGATTTGATGGACATGGTTCTGCCAGGAATATTATAAATTTCCAAAAAATCAATAACTTTTATCTGTATAATTATGACAATGTGGCTTATGTATATAGAAAATTAATTGATGTTTCCAAAATTGTGCATATAGAGAAAAAGGAACAGTTTCCTACCCTTTGGCTTCCGAACGTGGAGGTTGGTACAACAGCGAGGGAAGACCAAGTTAAATGGGCAGAACTGGTGTGGGACAAACTAGAAAATGAAAAAGTGATACGTGCAGAGAACGATTACAATGAGGTTGAAAATGAAAAAGTGATACGTGCAAAGAACAATTACAATGAGGTTGAAAATGAAAAAGTGATACGTGCAAAGAACAATTACAATGAGGTTGAAAATGAAAAAGTGATACGTGCAAAGAACAATTACAGTGAGGTTGAAAATGAAAAAGTGATACGTGCAAAGAACAATTACAATGAGGTTGAAAATGAAAACTTGATACGTGCAGAGAACAATTACAATGAGGTAGAAAATGAAAACATGATACATACAAAGGAGAATCAATCGAACAAAGCTATGGTCCAGGGAAAAACGATACAAAGCAAATTTAAAATAATAGATCAAGAGAACATAATAAAAAAGATACAAGACATCCGGTTTAGCGTGATTGTATTTTACTTCGAGCTTCTATCCAAATGTAACATGGGCGTGTATTCATTATTGAATCTATTTTTTGCTTTTTTCTGCAACTATCATTTCTGTAGTAATGTTTGCAAAACCTATCGAAACTTGCTTTCATACTTTATTAATTTGTACATTCATAAGGATGTACAAAATGCGTGGAAAGCAAATAATAACGTGAGAGTAAACGAATGGGCAGTTTTTGAAGGGTTCAGAAAGGACAGTTTGCTTTCCAAGTCGTCGAATGATCATTGCAGTGAAGAGCTTTACAGGGTGATTCTGCAAGTGTGCAATGTACGTAAAAGAAACGAAAGGAGCCATAGGAGCAGGAAGGATCGCACCTACGTCTTGCATACGGTGCTGAATAAGGATGTCCTGCAGTTAATAAAAAAAAAAAATTCACTTTCGAAACAAGGGTGTGATATGATTACGCAACATTTGGTTAGAAGCAATGAAATTGTAAGATCCAGATATACATTTTTATCTATCCGATATGATAAATTTTTTGCTTGCAGACGTAGGGGACTAAAGTTGTTCTATTGCTGTCCTTTTAAAATGGATCCACAAAGTATTTATTCATCTTCCATGACAATCCATGTGAGAAAACATCTCCTAACGAGTGTAGCATTTGCTTACTTCTACAACTACTACAACAATGTACATTTCGAGCAGAGATGTAATGAGGTAGAATATGTAAAAGGTCTCACACAAAAACAGCTATTTTTGTACATCATGGGGAATATAAAAAATCCCTACCTGATGAGGAAAAAAGAATTACACAATGTAAAGATATGTTCGAAACATCCGAAGAATTTTTTACCTACTTTGAATGATAATAAAAAAGTGAACATGTTCAATTTTGAGAAGAAAAATAAGAAAATATTACCAAATGAAAATATTATACACAGTGTTGGGAAAAATGTTAAATTACGTATTGACCAAATTAGGAATAAAAAAGCAACATATATATATTCGAATTATATAAGACAAAAAAGAGTAACTCAAATAATTAATCTTTTCGAAAACAAGTTAGAAAATTTTCAAGGATATGCTAAGTTAATGTACAATAAATCTTTGCAAAATAATATGATGGAATATTTTATATCGAAACAAATAACTCACTATTATGAATATTTTTTTCAAGAAATGGACTTTTGTTCATATCCCTTATGCTATTCTTATCCAAGCAATAACATCATTGCTTATTCTCAATATTTCAAAAAAGACTTGAATGATGCATGTGCAAATATGAATTATTTGAAATATCATGAACGAACAAATTATATGACCAATATAGGCAAAATTAAAAACTTCCTATTCTTAACATCCTTGTTACTACCGTACGGCTCCAAGTAAGTGATGCATGTTTAAGAAAAAAGGGAAAATCCCTCCACCCCCAAACACCCCTATGATAAAAAAAAAAAAAAAAAAATTGTTCATATGGGAGAGAAACATGCATAGATAACATATTTATTTCATATCGAAAAAAAAAAAGGATTCCATCATAATAGTGTCAAAACTGACTCAGTGTGTGTTGAAGCAGCCATAGCTATTGCTACAAGGATCGTTATTTTTATTTTACTATATTTTGCTCTATTTTGCCTTATTTTATTTTGCCCTATTTTGCCCTATTTTGCCTTATTTTATTTTGCCCTATTTTGCCTTATTTTATTTTGCCCTATTTTGCCTTATTTTATTTTGCCCTATTTTGCCTTATTTTATTCCCCTTGCCCCCCTTTTTACCTGCCCCGTTCAGGTGCATACGGTTACAAAGCTACAACAGTGCAAAATCAGATAGAAATCACATAAGTGCTTTGAAAAATTACTTTTCACAAGCCAACTTACTGATCCTGTATGCAAAGAACGATATGAACAAAGAGTGCTTCCGGCTGCTTAGTAAGGTGCGACCTAAATTTATATGCACGTCCGGAAAAAGTGCAAATGTGCAGACAGGCAAATGTGCGGAAAGACAAATGCACAAATGTGCGGAAAGGCAAATTTGCAAAAATACAAATGCGCACACCACACACAACCATTTTTGCAGAATGCAGATTGTGAACACTTCAGCTACATCATCAAGCGGGCGTGCAAGTACAACTATATTTACAAGACCTTCCAGAATGTGTCTCAGCTAAAGGATCCGCGCTTCCAGCACGTAAGTCCCATCTTCTCCATTGCACAGTTTATGACATTGCATGTGTAAACCTATGCTCCGTGTATATGCACATTCAGTGTTTTCTTTGGTTGTTACTTAATCCTGTTAAAATAAGTCTCATCAAAATGTCAATCCATTCTGTATATATATATTTCACACATACACACTATCTCTCTGTTTCTCCTTTTGTTCAGGAAATAAAATGCCATTTGCTGAAGAGAAAAATGTACACCTTCCTATACAATTACGTGGTATGTAGATACATAAACTGGAAGACCTACAATTGCATCTTTGCATTGCTCATCCACTCCATTATAGTAACACCTACAATATTGTTAATAACCTTATCACATACTCCCATTTTGTAGGTTTTTTCAGAAGATTACATGAACGCAGTTATATTATGTGTGTATAACTATACCATTGCACAAAACACGTAATAGAAATAACTATAAATGGATAAGCAGCGAATATGCATATCACTACCCACCCATAGCAATCGCTCGAGGGTGTTATTTTATAATGGCATAATGAGCTGCTCATTTGTTTAACAAGATTCGCGAATGTGCCAATATATATACACAAATATAAACACATACATGTGTATGTTACTTCTGAAAATGTTCTTCCCTACAGAGATATTAAAAATGGACATTTGAATAGCGCCCTAGTTAATCTCACCCTGATTGTGACTAAATTTAAGAGGTATTTTTTTTTTATTACTACCTTTAGTTGCTATTTTTTTTTTGTGTGTGTGTGCATTTCGAGCTCGAACTGCATGTCAAATGTGCCCAAGATATTCATAGCAAATCAGTCATAATAAGAACATTTGCATTTCTAAAAGTAAAGGAGAAAAAAGGGGGGGAGGTGAATTTCTCTTTGTTTCCCCTGTTCATTGTTCACGCTTCATTACCTTCACTCTGTACAACAACACGTCATATTACTTCGCATCACTTCGCATCACTTCGCATCACTTCGCATCACTTCGTATCACTTCGCATCACTTCTCATCACTTCTCATCACTTCTCATCACTTCTCATCATTTCACTTCCCTGACATGACAGCCCCGACATGGAACAGACTTCTGAACACCAGCTTCCCCACGATCCCGTCATTACATCTCAGCACAAAAAGAGTCATAAAAGAAACAATAATTTATACCGATTCAGCAATTTCAATATTCTCTTTGGAGAAATACAAAAGGGGAGAGAGAATGTAATTTCTATTGAGACAGTGTACAGGTATATTTCTTCCTCAACGCATGTGCATATGTTTTGTGGGATTATGAACATATCATCACGATATTTTAGTAAAAGTTAGTCATGATCATATTGTTACATCTGTAGCAAGTTCTCTCTCTATGGTTTATTTTCCCCCTATTTTTTCCCCATTTTTTACCATTGCTCGTTTCCTCACCGACCCTTAACAATGTAGATGTGTAGACCTCATAACCCTGCAGCAGAACCTGCTGAACGTACAACTGGATTACCCTGTTAACATAATTAACTGTAAAAAAGTGGACATCGCGCTATGCATAGATATTTTAATTTACAAGAAAATATATAATCTAGCTGATAATGTTATTAACGTGTACAACTGGGAGTATATTTTTACCTACTGCTTGGCATGTGTTTTTTGTTTACTTATAAACAAAAATTTCAACTTCCTTCACGACATTGTATATTACATTAAAATCAAGTTGAGTAATGATGACATGAACATTTTTATTCTTCACGTTGTATACTTGTATTTGCAATATTGTACAAAGCTCAGGGGTCTGTATGAGAATGTTGCTGAGGTTTATAATCGCCTTCAAAATGGCAACTACTATACCATGGGAAGTTTTACACCCATACAAGGGCAGGAACCAAATGTGGAAAAACAAGCTAGCTGTGTACCAGGAAAAAATAGCTATGCTGCAGAAAAAGCTAGCTGTATAGAAAAAAACTCTAACTGTGTTGCAGAAAAAGCTCTTTATGGGATGAATACCACAATGGAAATTTCAAATTGTGGAAATTCATCGGACGAATTCTCATCAGGTGACAAGGCTACATCCACCATAAGAGATGATTACCTGAATGATGAGCTGAATAAAACTTTACTCTACATCAATGATAATGATTTTTTGTTTTATGCACATACTCTAATCTACATACATAACAAGAGGGAATATGGAGGAATATTAAAAAATATGAAACGACTTTTATTTACCAATATTAGCAAAAATGACATTTACAAGACTATCATTTGTGCATATAAATTCGTCCATGGGGATCAAAAGATGAATTATAATTTTATTCATGATAATAAGAATTATTTTAAAGAAATTCGTGCACCCAGAAGGAGTATCAAATGCTTTGGTAACATTAACGACGATTACAATTTTATTAAAATTATGTACTTATCCAAGAAATACCCTGACAATATTAAGCATAACATAACGACTGAAATTTTGGATATTTATAAGTTCTGCATGTCTGATGAGAAGGTCGCACATAATTAGGTTCTCATGTCAGTGATACATTAAGTCGATTCATGGGATACCTTGAAAACATTGCTACTGTCAATACAACCTTCTTTTCTCCCTTTTCAATTTCTGTCATTTACGGGTAGCTTTTTTTTTTTTAGCTCTTCAGGGCATGTGCCTATGTATGCCTCATGCATGTGTCTACGTATGCATCGTACATTCGTTTATGTATGTCTCATATATGCTTCTATGTATGCATCATATATGTGTGCATGTATGTGCTCATTTGTTCCTGCCTAGTGCAGGAAATTCTCCACTAATTGTTTGCCCACTCATGAGTAAAAAATTGGCACATGTAATTATGATGAAAATGGCTAATTAAAAATTATGAATTCAGAAAAAAAAAAAAAAAAAAAAAAAAAAAAAGATAGAAAAGGAGGGTGAGACTCGTTGCGTCCAGACTTATATATTCAAGTTTTTTTTTTTTTTTTTTTTTTTTTTTTTTTTTTCACCCCTGTAACAACATAAAGTAAGGACGCATAAGAGGATCGAATTGCATTCCCCATGTTTGAGTGTACAACTGTTCAACTTGCTATTTTTCTTCTTCTAATAAATTTTTGTGTTTTACATCTCCTGTTTAACTTTGGCACGTTATTTATCACAAAAATGGACCTATTTCGTCTTTGCGCTGTTTCGAGAATTCAGCTTAGGATTTTTTTTTTTTTTTTTTTTTTTTCCAAATAGGAGCAAAGTGCAATGAAGTCATCAACAAATGCATAAGATAATTGTATATATGAGAGAACACAGCAAACCAATAAAAGTATCAGGTTAACGAAGCTACGAATATTCCCACTTTCGAATATTTTATTTTTTTTTTTTTTTTATTTTTCTGAAATCATTATGAAATGAACGTAACAGGAGAGGAGCAAAGCGGAGTAGAACATTTTTAGCAACATATAAAAATGTAAATGTGTCAAAGAAAAGAAATATCGAAATGGAACATGCACAAGTCTGTATGAGTTTATGGACATTTTCCTACACAAAAAGGAACATCCCTACCTAGCTCGTACAACTAAACGAGTAAGACAAGAATACTAAAGAGGGTTATAGAAAAAAAAAAAAAAAAAAAAAAGAAACATTTTTTCACTTTTTCATGTTTTCACTTTTTCATTTTTTCACTTTTTCATTTTTTCATTTTATCACTTTTTCATTTTATCACTTTTTCATTTTTTCATTTTTTCACTTTTTCATTTTTTCACTTTTTCACTTATTCATTTTTTCACTTTTTCACTTATTCATTTTTTCACTTTTTCATTTTTTCCATTATCAGCCCCTTTTCGTGTATAAGGTTAAAATGTCATTATTTTTTTCAAGATCCAATTCATTTCATCCCATTCGTGGCAAAGCCAACAAGGTGATGCGATATAATCAAAGTTAAGAAAGAGACCAAAAATATAGCGCTCAAACTGAGGGAAAAAACGCAAGAGTAATAAAATGAAAACGCACACTTAACCAGAGAAAACATGGAACGAAAATGGGTAAATGAAAGAATGAAACACTACTATGGAAATGAAATTAATAGAGGAAAGGTAAATATGGAAAATATTAAAACCTTATATCACATATTTTCCAACACAGAAGAAAAGTGTTCTGATAATATCCCAGAGGAAAATTATGAACAAAATAACATTGACTTGAGCTTTTCTGAAAAAAGTGCAGTAAAAATAGTACCTCGACAACCTAACGATACAATTTTGCGAAAAAATAAAATTAACATTGCTAACGAAACGAATGGAAACAAGGTCAGTTTTGACAACTTTAATTATGCCGACCGATTTGATGTAAACACTCATTCCCATTTGGAAAAAGTATTAAAAAAAAAAGGAAAGAAAAATGAGAGTTTATTCTATTCAGGCCTTGAGCTAGCACCGAAATGGCAAATTTTACAAAATATAAATGAATATGCCACCTGCATAAACGAGACAAATGCAAGGCACAAGGAATTTAATATGAACACGAAAAAAGGATTGTACCCATGTAGCCAAAACGTAGAACAATCGAAAGAACAATATGTACACAACAGCAGAAGTAGCAGAAGTAGAAGAAGTAGCAGAAGTAGCAGAAGTAGCAGAAGTAGCAGAAGTAGAAGAAGTAGCAGAAGTAGCAGAAGCAGGAGTAGCAGAAACAACTGCTATAAGAAAAAAAACAACTGTAGTTTCACCAATGGGGAGAGATTTGAAGATTTCGCACTTATCCATCTTAACAATGACACAAAAATCCAAACTGAAGAAATAAAACAAGAGAGAAAAAGCTGGAACGAAGAAACAAAAAATCGCCAGTTTGTAACTTTTTCAGATGAGGAATTTTTCCAAGAATCATACAGTTCCCCATATACCCAAGTAATAAATAAAAACCATGATATAAACACTCATCCTGTAGAAAATAGCAACACTCACACACTCCTCGATATTACTTCCATACAGAATATCCATAGCGGGAAGGAAAAACATATTGTCGAAACCCCAGTGTCACAATTGTTAAATTATGAACAGAAGGAAAAAAAGAACATATCGACTGAACTAAGTTGGTCTAATTCAGAAATGGAGAAAAAAAAAAAAACACATATTATTGAGAATCAGTTGCCTAGCACTGTTTTGAATCCGAAGCGTGAAGAACCCATTTCAAATGGCCTCTTTTTCGATATAGAAATGGAAAAATACAAAAGAAAGAAAGATCACTTCACTAATAGACATATTCAGCGAGAAGAACATAATTGTTTTATAAGATTTGATAACAAAAGGAATATTCCAGATTGTCTCGATTTTTCTGAAAATTGCTTCAATGGGGAACGTTCCACATCTTTCTGTTTCGATTCCAACATTATCTCAAAGGGTGAAGTATGTGAAATGAACATCTCCAATGGTGATATATCTGACAAGAGTTTTAGTAGTAAGATTATAATCCAAACCGATGAAAAGACTTCACTACCTTATGGAAGCGCTTTCAATCTATGCATCAACTCAGATGCAACCAATAAAGCTAAGGAAATGAGTGACACTCACGGATTTATCGACAATCACGGACGTCCCCTTTGCAATAAATTGCACAATTGCAACAATTCTTCAGTAGAAGAACAATTGTACACCAATTTAATGCCTCCTGATATTAATTATTTCCATAAGAACGAATCAAATGATGCAAAGTTACACATGAGGAATAGCACCCTGGTCGATGTTATTCCCAACAATGAGATCTTTGGACAGCATCGGCTTCATTTTAATGATTTGGAATCAATGAATATCCCGAATAAGATGGACAAACGAGACGAAGGAAATAGAATCTATGAATCTGATTTCTTTCACTTGGACAATATAGATGCAGAACCCATATTAAGTAATAACATTATGGATAATTCCCAAATGGATGAAACTAAGTTAAAACAGGAGTTTATAAAAATGAAGGAAAATTTATCACTAATGCAAGGTTCAACAAAGATTAGAACTTCCCCTCATGGAGAAGCAAGTCAAGTATGGCCAACCGACAAAGAACAGTACCACATCGATAGTCTTGTCGATGGTGTCGTTGAGGGGAGGGGTGCTCAACTAAAGAAACCAAACTGTCACGATAATCAATGTGATTCTGAAAAAAGGACTACCTGGGGGGAAAATGAATATTTTTTTTCAGTTCAAAATGATGTGGAAGATGCACAATCCATTAGATGCAATGATTCGATCGAAAATGTGTTCAGTCTAATAGCAGATGGAGATGTTGGAACCAGAAATGGAACAGTGAAGGTGGGATTCTCAGAATCGGTGCATAGTCAAAAGAATTACAAACAAGAGGAGGATAAAAATGTAAAAGAAGGAATTATCTATGATTATTATTTAGTTGAAAAATTGGAAATGAAAGAATCAGAAGAGGCAGAAAATGGAAGCAATTCCTTTTTAGAAATAATTGAAGAGATAGAAAATATTAGCAAAGATATAATTGGAACAAATCAGAATGATGACATTGCTGTGGAGATTCAGTATGCAAACTTGGAAGATCATTGGTGTGAGAAGCAAATCGGGGTACATGTGAGGGGTAAGGTCGAAATGGATCTCGACCTTAACCCCTCCATTGAAGTGGCAATCAGATCGCCATCCAAACCGCAAGCCGAATCACCGGCCAAACCCGGAGGGAACCACATCTACCCATTTCCCAAGTACAAACCTCCCATAGATGAAAAAATCGATGATGTGTATGTTTACTTAGACAGCTTGAATGAACCCATGAGGAAAGAAGCAGAAATGTCTAATGTGCTTTTTTCATACACGAACAGAAAGGATGATTACATCGATGGAGTAATTGATCTTCATCTAAATATGAATGCACCAGTTGAGGAAAATTATCAAAGTAAGAAACTCATTGTAGAAATCAACAAGGGCAACATAAAAGGGGCTCATGTTTTAAATTTCGATGAAAAAAGAGTTTCTAAAAATATATCAGAAGAGAAAGATGACAACAATGGTAACAACAGTGCGTATAAGAGGCCACTTGCTCTTGAGTCTCTAGGGAACGAATCAGACAAGGGAAATCAGAAGGAACTATGTGAGCGGATTTACCACATACTGATGAGTAAGGAATATTTAGATGTGCTTCCCATGCTAGATACAAACGAATGGCATGGGAAAGAAGACATGCTTGAATACAAGAGGGAAGAGGTGTGTGTACCGTTCTTCCAAACCTACCTACAGAAGACAAAGAAAATGAACAAAGGTGGATTCAAGGAAATGTATGACTATAGCGATTACATATACACATGCATCAACGAGATATACAAAATGGATTTTATTGAGTTTTTTTTTAAGAGTAATTACATAGAAAACATAAATAAATATGTTACAAAGAAAAATAAACTAATCAACAACTTAAGTAACGCGAACAATTTTATTAACGATTTTTTTAGAAAAAGAGAAACCATTCTTACACAAAATATTTTTCATAAAAATGTTACCTATCCGATATATTTCTTAATTTTCACCAATTTGTTAATAAATCTTTGGCATCAATTATTCATTCATATGACAAAAAAGAAACTAAACAAGTTACTGCATATATTAATTAAACAACTCCGAAGGAAACAATTGTTACAGTCTTTAAAAAAAAACTACATCTTTTTGTTCCGCATTTATCAATATTTGATTAAACCAACTATTGATGAGAAGGAGAAAAAAAAAATCATTAAGAGAATCAAAAAAAGTAAAACTTTCAAAATGGTAAAAAAAAATTTGTATAAAATTAACACATTTTGTTTTTACGTACTTTTGTTTTTTATTCCCCTATCGGTTCCCCCATTTGGAAAGGATGTCAACATATTCGACTATTTCCTTCACACATTTTTGAAAAATATAAACAAGGTTCTTTTGAGGTACATTAAGGATTACTCTGATGATGACCAAAGAAGTGGGTTACCCCAACCGAATGGAGTGAAAGAGATGAACAAAATGATGCCTGTGGTTGTGGCTGACAGAGTGGCATGTTCATTTGCAAATTCTGTGCAGGGGGAACTGCAGCCCAGCCAGGACCGAACGGGAGAAACTGAAACGGGATGCAGTGATGAACACATGGAGGCTGTTGAAATGAGGGATAGAAAAGTAGAAGGTCATACAGCGGCAGATGTAGAGGCAGATGTAGAGGCAGATGTAGAGGCAGATGTAGAGGCAGATGTAGAGGCAGATGTAGAGGCAGATGTAGAGGCAGATGTAGAGGCAGATGTAGAGGCAGATGTAGAGGCAGATGTAGAGGCAGATGTAGAGGCAGATGTAGAGGCAGATGTAGAGGCAGATGTAGAGGCAGATGTAGAGCTAGATGTAGCGGCAAATGTAGGGGAATACGTCCCTCCCGATGAATTACCACAAAATCGCACTAACGAAAACGTACAAGACATCATTTGCAGTGTCGTGAAGAGTTCGAAGAAGAATATCTACCTCCTGAAAATAAGGAGCCTCGCACAGATATTCCTTTGCTGCTTTGAAAGTGAAGGAAAAGCTTCGACGAACAATTTGACAACTGTGGTAAGAGATGTAAAAATAAACGGAAAACTGGAGCGTATAGAAAAGGAACTAGAATCATACATCAAAGCAAACATGCACTTCCATGGTATCTTTTTCAACGACATTATACCTATACTTAATGAACTTACAAATCTTCTGGATAATATAGAAACAATATTTACCTTGTATATAAAATATAAAATAAGGAAGAATAGAAAACTGTTTTACTTTTATAATCCATGGTTGTGCAGTTATGATATTTTCTTGTCATTTAACCATTTGGATGAGCCAAACCCGAGTGCAGATTTCTTGCACGTATTATTTGCACGAGTGGAAACGTTGGAAAATAAGGGAAGAGAAGAAGAAAAGGGCGAAAAAAGAAGAGGAAAAAAAAGAGAAGAGATATACAGAGAGGTCGATAACACGTTTAATGAAATATCTGACAGTAACGCCATCGATATCCTTGCATACATTGGGCAACAGGATCAGGAGTTGGCACAAAAAAAATCTCAGAACGATTTGGACAAGCTGTACAACATCAAGAGTGTTAAGGAAATACTGTTGTGGGTAGAAAAGAAAAAAAAAAAAAAAGGAGAGAAGAAAACAAATGGAGAGAAGCCAACAAATGGAGAGAAGCCAACAAATGGAGAGAAGCCAACAAATGGAGAGAAGCCAACAAATGGAGAGAAGCAAACAAATGGAGAGAAGCAAACAAATGGAGAGAAGCAAACAAATGGAGAGAAGCAAACAAATGGAGAGAAGCAAACAAATGGAGAGAAGCAAACAAATGGGGATAATTTGGATTACAAGAAATTAAACAAATATTATTTATACATTATAAAATTATGTTACGATGAAAGGTATATAAAAATAAATACAAGGGCTTTGAAATGTTTGTTCCTCAGTTTGTGTTTTAATTGACTATGACACAAATGGGGAGAGTGAAAAAAAGGACTAGTTTTTTTTTTTTTTTTTTTTTTTTTTTTTGCATGTCACCCGATTATTGATAACCTTCTATTGTTAGAAAATGTTTGTGTAGTAGAGGGGTGCATTTTTTTGAGTACTACATGAAGTCCCTTTATTTTAAAAAAAAAAAAAAAAAAAAAAAAAAAAAAATATATCTTTTTTTAAGTCTACGCATATTTGCAATTTATGCAGTTTTGTTCCCCTTATCCCTCCCTAAGTCGTGTTACAAAAATTCTGGTTTATTTAATACGATGTGTGTGTTTAGCATTTTATGAGTCTTTTATTTTATTTTAATTTAATTTTATTTTTTTTCTGTAAAAGACCATATAATGTGTCCACTTTTAAGCTGTATATACATAATTTTCCAATTTTATGTGTATTTTGCGTGATGGAAGATCATTCAATGGGGTATATTTCAAATGTGTGCAATTATACTCAAGCATCCATCCTTGAGAGATAGAATATATGTACACGTGTGTGGTTTTTGCTATACTTATATGTGTAAGCGATATGTCAAAGAAAAGAAGGTGCAATTTTAACTTTAAAAAAATCAACCTACCTTTTCATAGCTTCTAATCGCTTTTATGAGCCCTTTATTTTTCCTTGTCATTCCATGAAATAAATTTCACTTTGTCATACATGTTATAAACACATGCAGAAAGATAATTTTTGGAAATTATCAAATGCCAAGTTTGGAAAATATTTAAAAATCCCTCATTTGTTCTTTTCGTGCATGATCATTTTACTATAAAAATGAGAATGATACATATTGGCACAATTTTTTCATTTCTGATACTCCTATTAAGTATAAGAAGAATAACAAAATGCAAAATAATGAATAATGAAACAAGCCAAATGGACACAATAAAATCTATAGATCAAAGAATTATGGATTTGTTGAACTCAGTTAGCGTCGGTCGATCTGTTGTAAGGAAAAAAAACATATTAAATGATATGTCGAATTATATACAATTTTTAAAAGTCCTCAGCACCATAAATCCTTATGAGCACATGGAAGAAGATGGATTTGTTACAATCGACACAACGGGAAAAAAAATTAAGGAAAAAAAAAATATTCAGATTGTGTATTCCTCCAGAAAGAATTATTACAAAAATAATATGAACGATGTGAAGAGTGAAGTCAATAGTGTCTTATATTCTCCTGAAACGAACAAATGAGTATATTTCAGTTCTGGAATTTACGTGCTAGTAAAGTATGTAAAAATGAAATAAAATAAAATAAGGGAAAATAAAATAAAGTAAAATGTGTAAAAATAAAATAAAGTAAAATGTGTAAAAATAAAATAGAGTAAAATATGTAGAAATAAAATAAAGCAAAATATGTAGAAATAAAATAAAGCAAAATATGTAGAAATAAAATAAAGCAAAATATGTAGAAATAAAATAAAGTTTATTTCTTACCATATGCTTGGCTTATTTTATTCACTGTGCTTGCAATACAAATGTATACCCCTATATCATACACATTTTTTTAATTCCCCTTGGAGAGTATTTTTACACATTTATAGCATTACACTTGTCTGTAAGTTCTGTATGAAAATTCTGTAATAATTTACGAGTAGAATTATTTTAATATATCAATATTCGTCTCAATCATTTTTTAAAAGTCTTAAGTGGTGATGTTTGTATTCCACAAAAATAGTTATCAACAGGCTTTTTTTTTTTTTTTTTTTTTTTTTTTTATTTTCTTAAACAAAAATGAACTCATTTAAAATTAAAATAGTATGTCATTTTTTAAAAAAAACATTAAGAAAAAAGAATAACACAGAGGAGGAAAGAAGTGGGAAATTAGAATTTTCTTTTTTATTTTTTCCCCTCCCGTTGGGAAAACTGCTAATTCAATTGTGTTTATAATTATTTAAAATATTTTTCATATGAATCAAGTCCAAAAATGAAGCATTATTAATTATATCCCACGTGGTCTAGTGGCTAGGATATTCGGCTCTCACCCGAAAGGCCCGGGTTCAATTCCCGGCGTGGGAAAATTTTTTTTTCACATTAATAGTATTCAATAGAAGAAGAAAAATTAAATTTTTTAAAAAAAAAAAAAAATGAGAATCAATTATTATACAAATATAATATATATATTATGTGAAATAAAAATAGAAATAAAAAATAGATCCATAATTCAGAAATTCTGGGTTGTAATTTTTACCCATTTGTATATATATATATATATATATATATTGTGCCAATAATTTTTACGACAAAATTTTATTCTTTTATTTCTACAACTTGCACATAAAGAGAAAGTCATGCAAGAAAAGACATTTAGTAGAAAAAGAGACGGAGAGAGTGTATATTTGAACAGATGTGATATAGAATAAATATTAGTATATAAAAAATATATTTATATAACATTGAACATATTATGATTTGCCGATCATCCTAAGCAAATGTACAGTTGTGAATTTTTTTTTATTGTGAAAAATCTCCTTTTATAAAAACTGAGATTGTAACATAACTTAATCGATAACACAAAACTTAAAAAAAAAAAAATAAAAAAAATGCCCCAATATATTGCTACGAACAAAAAAAAAAAAAAAAAAAGAAAAAAAAAACTAAATGGTTCTGTCAAAAGTACCATAAGTCTTAGTCAAAAAAAATGACACTTTTTCAAATCTCTCATTTTTTCGAATATTTGGGGGTAAGCTCTCCTAAACCTTGAAGCAGTAAAAAAAGAAAAAACACAATTCCTAACTTTATAATACAATTTTCCATTTTAATGGCATAACTTCTGTTCCGTCACAAAAAAATTCGCAAATAAAATATAAAAAGACTATTATTTGACAATTTACATTTTTAGAAAAAGATATGTAATAAGTTACATATAATTTATATGAATGTATATGTTATTTATAATTCTTTTCCTTTCAAAATATAACTTTTTATACTTGTTTTTTCGTGGGGATGCATAAAAAGCTTGGACAGACGGGGAATTGAACCCCGGACCTCTTGAATGCAAATCAAGCGTGATACCACTACACCACCTGCCCTTATAAGTACCTTACCTGCTTTTTAAATTTAGTCATGATTTACAATGACAGAACAATATAAATGTAAGTGATGTTTCTTTTCTTGCTAGTGCAAAATCTGATCGAACATGAAAAAAAAAAAAAAATAAAATAAATAAATAAAAACTTTTTCTTTTTGAAGAATATAAAAAAAAAAAAAGTGCACACGAATGGTGAATATAATTTTTTTTTTTTTTCATGGAAAAAGAATAAAAGCCATTTCACATATTTTTTTTTGCTTTTTTGTCCCTACTTTTTCCCCAACATAATTAACCTTTTTTTTTTTTTTTTTTTTTTTTTTCTCGTGGTCTTTCCTTTTTTGAGGAAACGAAACCTTCATATGCTGAGCACACTGCTTTTAAGAAGTTAAAATAAAAATGGATTTTGGACGACAATAGGAAACATTATTTGCAATCATTCCAGTCGCTTATTTCACATGTATATAAAAAAAGTAGTGGTTATGGAGGAGAAATACTTTTGTGGACGCAAATTTACATTTTTGTTGTTATACCCTACTAGTGTGTGTATCCACTCACACTAAAAGGAATACTGTTTGAGGAATCTACATTTTTTTTTTTTTTTTTTTTTTTTTTTATTCTCGTACTAGGTTAGTGATATTCCAACCGAGCTCATTTCAGAATGCCACATTTGCAACTCTAATCAGATTCATACCCGGACTTCATATATATACATCGAAAATATATAAGCTTTAAAACTTTTTTTTTTTTTTTTTTTTTTTCTTAGAAATGCTACGCAAAGAAAACGCCTTTTAAGACACACACACAAAAAAAACGTATGCATAAATAGGAACCTTGGGATATATTTCACCATAAATGGTGTTTGTGCAGATAGTGAAGAATGTCTTGAATCAGCATTCAATTTTGAGGAGGATTCTCAAGGGTAAGAATGTAGTGAGGAAAGGTAGATATAGTCATAATGATTCTACTAGAATCGTCGATAACCACACGGCGATTAGCACCCCGATTAACACCCCGATTGCATATAGAGAACCTGCAGAATGGAATAAAATAAACGATATGAAAAATGACAAAACGAATGAACTGAATATCCAAGCAGAGAAAAACTACCTAATCGAGTTTATCAATCGTGAAAAAATAATATACGAAGATGTGGAGGACTTAATCACATTTTGTGACAAATTTAGGAAGGTAAGATGCGATTTGCGTATATTAACATCATCGAATAGGGAATATGTTCCATACCACCTTTTTGATTTTTTCTTATCTCATCGCTCATTTGAAAAGGTGCATAAGAACTTGTCACAAAAATTAGAGAAATTAATCGGGAGACAGGACTGTTCAATAAGTTTTTGCAAACAAGACCGGGCCGATGGGGTCGATGGGAGTGGTAGTGGCTGTGACCACATCGACTCTAATGACCATGTTGACATTTTTGTCGACCTTTTTTTAAACAATCCTGACAATTTTCCAGAGAAGGGAAAGCAAAATACAAAGCATGGAGAAAATACAATACGGAAAAAACATGTTTGTGAATCAAAAACTATTAGGGATTGTGGGGAGGGGTTATCATTGTTGCAGTTCAGAGAAGTGAACCATTTGGAAATAGACTCTTATATTAAATTAAGTCTTCAAAGGAACTTTCACATGAAATATTTCACCACAGTTCAGTATTGTTTATTTCCTCTTTTTATAAAAAATTTCGATTTACTTATCCATTCTGTTAAAGGGACAGGGAAAACGTTATCATATTGTATCCCACTCATCCACAAAATCATTACACAGTTAAGTAAATTGAAAAGACATTTTCATCAGATAAAAGAAAGTTATGTATTTGCATTGATAGTGTGCCCCAATATAATCCTAGTTGAACAGACTTATGCAATTATAAAAAAGTTATTAATATATCACCCGTATAATATAAGTTGTCATTATATGCATGGAAGAAAAAATATGAACATGCAAGGTGAAATTATGGAATTAAAAAAAAAAAAACCACATATAATTGTAACAACACCTGTTTCTTTTATTAATCATATAAAATTTTCAACCTCTTTTAAAGATATGTTTTTTTTATGTGACACAATCATTATTGATGAAGCTTATTTTCTTTTAAATTCAAATTATTTGAAAAACATTTTAATCATAAAAAATGTATTACCTAAGGGTCACCAGACTATTTTATTAACTTGTCTTGTTAATAATTTCTTGAAGCATTTAGCATACAGATTTTTACGACTCAATTATGTGCATTTAAATTTTGTCCATAATTGTGTATATGATAACGACACCTTTGCTGATGCCACGTTAACGAATATTAAAAAATCAAATGCTTCTCCAAAATTGTATCAAGTGCAAGATTCTACATCTGCAGACGAAAACAAACTACCATTCCAGTTGTATAACAAATTCAATGCAAAACTGATTTCCATTTATAGAAACAACATTCTTAACTGCACAGATATAGGAAAACTTTGGTATTGTAAGAATGCCAAGACATTTTACAATCACATTAATATGTTCGATGCATATATCGTAGGAAATTTCTGCACTTCTGAGACGAACTATACAGATACATTGGGACATTCTACCCAAATGAACAAAATAAGTTCTGCTATTGAACTTCCCTCCGAGAATGTGCAAAATGGTGATTCCTTAAGTAAATCAAGAGAAGATCCACTAAGAGAACAAGACATGACAAATCAGAAAGGGAAAAATGATAGAGTGAAAGAATATCTCTTTCACAAAAATGAATGTAAAAAAAATGAGGACATAATGATGAAAGCAGACGAAAGGGAGGAGAGAAAAAAAAGAAAAATAAATCAAGGAACACTTAAATTGAATCATAGTGACTATAATAACTACACACAATACAGTAGGAACCATCCAGACTACGAAATAAATAAAGGGAAAAATATACCCACACATATACTTCTAAGGCAAGAATATTTAATATACGAATCTGACAAACTTGCATTAATACTATTCAATATTATACATAAAGAATTTTTATCAAACAAAAAAATTAAAATCGTTCTCTTTATGCCAACAGTTAAAATGATACAGTTTTTTTATGTTATCTTTAAGCACTATATTTTTAAGGGGTACATATATTTGCTTTACCTGAAAGCGAAAAATTTTACTAATGGAAAAAAAATGCCCAGTAATTTCACAAATGGAAATTATTCCTTTGCGAATTGTACTTACGGGAACTCCTTTGAAGGTTATTACGATAAGGAACATGTCAACTTTTCTGTTTCGTCTATTCCATTTGTTTTTACAGAATCTAAATTATGCATCACATCAGTCCAGGGTTGCCAAGATGAAAATGCTTCAAACGAATTACAACAAGAAAATGTATTCCCCAATTTAATTGATATAAAATCACCTCAACTAGACAAGCGTTACCCAAAGAACAGAGAAATTTCAAACATTGCAAATGAATCAAAGGGAGAGGAAGAAGTAGAGAAACAAATGTGCCACATTGATGACATGTACCAAGACGAATATATGATACTAAAAGATATTGTAATTTCTTGCTTACATAGCAAAATGAGTCTGGATAAAAAAATGTACACTTTGAACAGCTTTAACAGCTCCGATGGAAGGGAAAAGAAAATTTTATTCACCTCATCTTTATTATGTCAAGGTATAGAATTAGATAACGTGGACTTAGTAATACAAGTAGGGGTATGCTCAACCATTGATGAATACATTTTGAGAACTAACCTTGCAACATCCAAAAATACACATGGTAGAAGCTTGCTATTGCTTAACGAGTTAGAGGGACATTATTTATTCACATTGTATAAAAATAATATCATCATTAGTAGCATAAGTAAGAGTTATTTGAATTATATATATAAAGATAATCCTATACTGGATGCTTTACTCAAGTACAAAAGAGAAAGAACTAGTGTAACAATTAAGCATGACAAGGAAAAACAACGTTCAACAGACAAGGAATCTATTTCACAGGAGGAGGAAATTAGTCTGGGGAATGCATACAATGAAGATAATGTAAATGGCGAGGAGGTAAATTATACTGAAAAGCAGACGGAGATGGAGATGAATGCTAAGGAAAAAATCCATGACGTCCATAATTCTCCATTGAGACATATCGAATGGCATAAACATGAACACTTGCTATGTTCATGTGAATTGATGTACAGATCACTCCTCGGTTTTTATTGCGAAAAGAGCAAATTTTTCAAGTATGAAAAATGGCAAGTGCCAAGTTTAATTAAAAACATAGTTTATTCTTTTGGCTATTTTGAGAATTTTTATATAACAAAAGAAATGGCTGCAAGACTTCAAATTATAAATGCACCTGACTTGTACATAAAGTTTAATGCCACCCCGAGGAGTGTCCTCATGTCCGCGCTCCCATCATACAAGGGATATAAATCCAAAATTAATGAACTTCGGTTGAAAGGTCGTTTGTCCAATTCGTCAGCCGACACTACTCCCTGTGGTGATATTCCTGTGAGACGCGATGAAATAAACAAGAACGAGGATTCCACATTTAACACGGAACATAGACCGAATGATTTGGAAAAATATTCGAGAAGAAAACCTGAACATGTCATGCTGGAAAAATGTGAAAATGGAGATTATGAAAAACACCCCCTGTATTTTCCCATGCGCACATATTTATCCTGACCTTCGTTTGACAAATCAACAGGCTTGACGTTCCATCAAGGGAGGCAGCCAACCTTATTATTCATCACTCATTATTCGCTGTTCATTATTTTTTTTTTTTTTTTTTTTTTATTTTATTCAGGCAGCAATTTTAGCTAGTCGTGCTTAAGCACCTCGTTGCGTTAGGAATAAATGAATAGTTTGAGTTGCATTAAAAAATTCTACAAATAATATTTGTCTATAATCAATATTCTCCTTCCTTCTTTAATCTTTTTCATACACAAAAACATAAAAAAAAGTGAGTTACTTAAAACGTATTTTAACATGCACAGTCAGGTAAAATACACACAACGTTTAGACATAAGATAATCAAAGAGGGGTGTGTTGTTACGCAAGTCGAATTTGCGTTCAATTCATTCCCGTGCAAAAAGTTAAACTATCTTTCCGTTTATAATTTATTTGTGTTATTTTATTTTATTTTTAAAAAACTTTGCGCCCACCAATTCTGCAAAGAAAAATTTATAAGTACCGATGTGTTCGTAAAACAAATTCGGAAAGAAAAAATTCAAACGTGTTCTCATGTTCTTTTAAGGGGTCAGAGAAGAATATTCAAAAGGAATATTGACACGAAAAAGTAAAATAAATAAAACAAACAAGCAAGAAACGAGACAAATAAATAATTAAAAACAGAAGAAAAAAAAATAACTAAAAAAAAAACAAGCAAAGTAACATGATTAACATTGTGTAAACTAAATAAGCACTTGGCGTAGCAATATGGTCCTCAGAGCACTATGTTGTTGTTTCTCTTCAAAGTATTTACGATAAACCTGGACACACACAACACCTCGTTCCTACTCTTACATGCGTAAAGGACTATGTTTCCAGAACTAAAAAGTAGGACAGTCTTAACAGAGGGATGCAGCACATTTCTGCCGAAAAATTCTTCCGAATTATTTTGCACAAAATAATCCACACTAAATTGTTGAATTAATTTACTTAAAAGGTTATGATCAATTTTTATATATATAATGTTGTTAATATCGGTTACAATATTTTTAAATTCTCTATATTTGTAAATTCTTGAAATGTCGAAATATCTTAATTTAACTTTAAAAACGGAAACTAGCTGTTTGATGTTGAAGTTGTTCATGTCGAATACAATGTCATCTCGGGTGATATATTTCCACCTTTGATAAGTGTCAAATTGGTATATAAATTTTTTGCTACGGAAAATTTTCTCTCCAACTTCATTTGGAAGACTTTTCAGTGAACTGCGCTGATTATCTGCATGGGATCCCGAGTGTAGGTCGACATGATTTTCCTTTTCAATCGAATTTGTTTTTTCTTTTCTGTTTGAAAACTCATTTTCGCATGTCCTTTGTGTTTTTCTTTTTTTTAAACATGTCGACGGTTGACTGAAATATGCTAGTTCAGTAGTTTTATCCATAATCTCATAAAATTGTTGCGAAGAAGGATCGAATTCATATGACATTTTATCATCATTCTTGTTTATGCTGTCCTCTGGATTTATTTCATCTAGGTCAGCATTGTCCTCATTAGGATGACATACATCTGGTATATCTTCTTTTTCATTCATGTCTATGAACATTTCGTCGTCTTTTAAATCTTCAATTATTTGATCGTATCCAGCTTGGGAAGGAAGTGGCCTGCGATTATTTTTCTTAATCCATTTTTTGCACTTTTTCGAATTACTATACTTTTTATATTTTGTTGTAATTTCCTTTTTTTCTTCCCCCTCGTCATATTTCATTTTTGGAGGTGAATGAACCGTTTCAAAGACTTCCTGTCCATAATTTTGAATTTTCCCATTTAATTCTTTAATAACATTTTCGCAAAAGTTAATAATTTTGTTGAACTTTTTGCTTTTCTCTCCTGACCCACAGCTCCGATCTGAGGCTGAGGAGGATTCCTTTGACGATCTCGACGCTTCCACATCTGGGGAAATGGGTTCTTTCAAAATGGGTTCTCTCAAAATGGATTCTCTCGAAATGGATTCTCTAGATGTGGTCCTCTTCAAAATTGATCCTTCCTCCGCGATAACCCCTTCACAGAATGCCTCATCTGAAACATTCGAATCACTATTGTAATTCACCTCAAACTCATCAATGAGATTTTCCCCTGTGATAGCTGCTTCATGGAGATGATCTAGCTCCTGTTCAGCAAGTCCAAACGTTATATATTCACTTTCTCCCTCTTGCGAATCTGAATCATACTGATTAAAACAAGAGGGTACATCTTTCTCTTTGTTTTCACATGAATGGAACTGTTTCTCCTTGTCACTTATTCCTCTAGGACAGCTATTTAGATATATCCAGAAGGTCTTATATTTCAACCTTTTAATGACTTTGATCAAAATTAATAAACCTTTTCTTAATGTTAATGCGCCGTGTACATGTACAGATCCATTTTTATGTATAAAGCAGACAACATAAGGGTTTTGAAAAAATATTTTTACGACATTTTTTCGAATTTTATAATTCTGGAAATAAACAAAATATGTATTTTTCCTTTTCCCTAGACCATCTTTAAATATGGAATCATCTTCATTACAATTAGATGAAATATCATCATAAATTATTTCAGTATTCTTGAAAGACCTCGATATGAGTATTAAATCATAAATTGTAAAAGTGCACATTAAATTCATGGAAATCCATATGTTTTTAATATATATATTTAGATTTAGCACATTATCCAGTATCAAATTATCATTATCTTTCAGCAACATCTTCAATTTCCGTTTTCCATCTTCATGCATCGATATTAGCATATCACACTTGACCAAGTTATTTCCTTGGTTTACATCGATAAATATCTTTCTTTTTCGCCTGTCCTGGTCATGTAAGAGATCCATTTTCACTTCTCCCCTTTTATATGGGATGTCTCCTTTTCTCCTATTGGATAAGAGCTGCATTTTCCCTTTTCTCTGTTTCGTTACATGCAATTACAAATGAATACATACTTATGTTGTACATTTTAATATAAAATTGTTCATTCATAATTGTAATCTGTAAAGATAATTAGCATCATATTATACTTGAATTATGGGGTAATTCTTGAGATTACGTCTGCATCATCTCCTTGTTTTCAAATGGTTGAATACATTATGTGAAGGTAAATATCGTGTGGATTAAAATGATAGGGAAGTACATAACAAACTAGCCATACACAGCCAGGGATTATGTACAACAACAACAAAAAAAAAAAAAAAAAAAAAAAAAATTCTACATTCCCCCGAATGAGGAAGAGCTTACTTTTCAACATTACGTTTGAAACTTTGATAGTTCTCTGCTCTCTCATGGATTATGAGTAGTCAATGAGTAGGAGTACAGGTATAAGTATTCATATCGTTATGTGTTTGTATGTCTGTTCAGATTGGTTTATTATAGCTTTTGAGGGGTACAAAAAAAAAAAAAAAAAATTTTAACTTTTCAATCCTCCCCCACCCCCCCCCAACCACCTAAAATCATTAGGTTATTGGTAAATAGGGATTTTCCTTCTCTTTTGTAGTTTCTTTCCTACCATTTGTTTGACTTCACACAATTGTTAGCTTTTTTTTTTTTTTTTTTTTCTTTCACTAAATGTTTAATATGTTCTTTCTTCCTCATTTTTAATACCTTAACGTGGATAATTCTCAGCGTTTTTACTCTGGGTTGGTTTCATTTATTTTATTTTATTTTATTTTTTTTTCCCACTATTATGCCTTAAAATCGGGGAACAACATTTATAAGTGTGCATAAAAAAATAAGTATAATTGTAACATACACAGAATTAGGAAATGTGGGGATTGCTACATACGCGTAGAAACAAGCATGTTTGAGTAGAATAATGGACCAAAGAGAAAAAAAAAAAAAAAAACAAAAATAAAGAGAATAAAGAGAGAGAGAGAGAGAGAGAGAAAAAAAAAAAAGGGCAGTAAACGAATCAGGGATAAATAACCCATTTATAAACAGTTGACGAAAAACACATTTCGGTTTGGTGAAAAGGCAAGGAATGAAATTTTTTTTGTTTTAACCTCGAAATTTTGAGTTACTCCCTTTCGACATCACATTGGGAAAAAAGAGAAAAACAGGCAAAAAAGGAAGAACTGGAAAAAAGGAAGAACAGGCAAAAAAGGAAGAACAGGCAAAAAAGGAAGAACAGGCAAAAAAGGAAGAAGAAGCAAAAAAAAGAAAAAAAAGAACAATACCATCTGAAAAGCGCTGTAGAATGCTGATGTAATACACGGATGCAGAACACCGATGTAGTACACGGATGCAGAACACTGATGCAGAACCCTGATGCAGAACCCTGATGGAGAACACCGATGTAGTACACTGATGTGGAGTGATCCTCAGTGAGGCTACATACATATGCATACATAAGCGATGTCGATAAAATGAAACCCAAGCGGCGAATAAATGCATGTGCCCAATTTTTCACTCGTCTTGGGCGTTCTGTATGGCCTCCTAAACAACCAGTTTGCAGGATGCGTAAATCTAAGAAACATTGCAAAGAGTGGATTTAATTTTTTGAAGCCACACTTGGAACAATGGAGAGGGAATAACAATGATATGAGTATAATGCATCAAAATCGTAGAGGCGTGCAGCGCTGGAGGACGAGGAAGGTTCACCTAAAAACGGAGACACAAATACGTGACATTGTACTTTACCCCAGCATGGGGAGAAACGGAAAGGTGGGTAGAGAGAATTGGGACATGTCACAAAAGAGTACTGATTGTAAAAAAAGGTGTGTAGAGAAGAAAGTCAGGAAAGAAGTACTAAAAAATGTTTGTTTCAGAATAAATGAGGAGAGTGAAGAACGTATGAGAAAATTAGATAAACTGAAAATAAACAACAACAAGTTGGAGATCATTCAAAAGATTGAAAACAATTTGGAGGGAAGGACAAGGTCTAATGGCGTTTTTGAAAATGATGAAAACATTCAACTTGTGGAAGCATACTGGTTATGCACTTTAAGAAATAAATATTTCTTTTCATTTTTAAAAAAAAAAAAAAAATTAATTTTCAGTGTAAGTTCAGGTGTAGATTCTCTCTCCATGCTATATTCCTTCCTCTTTGTCATTTACAAAATTATGGTAACAATAAGGTACAGAGATTCCCACAGTTACAAGTCGCTTTTAAGAAAAATGAGCAGTGTATACTCCTACTCTAATGAAGATATAAATAAACTGACAAGCAGTAGTGATGGCAATTATGGCATTCACTTCTTCGCTTCTATTTTGAGAAATGTGACGGTCATATACTGCAACCACATGACCCGTGCTGAATGCAGCAAGGAAAGAAATTTCTTGAAAAATATTTGCAAGAGGCACAATTTGAGGTTCCGCACGAAGGCACTGACAAGGAGTTGCATGAACAGGTTAAGGCAAAAAATGAAAGCAAGCCAAATGGAAGAGGCGAAACGTGTAGACGCGGAAAAAGGGGAGCCAGAGGAAAACCCACCAAACCGCTCGAACCGCTCGAACCTATCGAACAAGTGGCATCACAAATTGAGGAACAATTTTCTACAACTGGCAAGAGAGTGGAGGAGAAATGTATATGTAGATCTTACTAAACAGATATGCAAAGAAGACAAAAATGTGGGACGTCATACATGGGATGTTCTGCACACACATTTATACCCCATCAAATCGAATGTGTTCCACGCAGAAGAAAATGATAGAGATTGTCAGAATCTACCATATGCTGAAAGGAGTGACGTGTCGAATTATACCTACAGAACATACCTTACAGATATGGACAATTACATAAAATTGACTAATAAGAAATCCATTTCTGAGATATTGTTAATGGGAGAAAAAAGTGGTACTAGAATAAACACGCTGAGTACATCTTTGTACAGTTCACTTTTGGGAATCCCTCGAATTTATGCATCTAAAAAAATTTGTAAATATGTGAAATCACTCGTATTTTTAGGACATCACAAGAATGACAATAACGAAACATTTTTATTTCAAATTTTCAGAGGGGCATTTATTAAAAATTTAAGAGGTATGAAATACATGACAATATTTAAAAACTGCTTTATATATAGGCCGTTTATCAAACTAGGAAAAATTAACCTGTACACATACATGCAAATTATAAACAAACCTTGGATGTTCGATAGGTCTAATCAAAACCTCTCGCGTTCGAGAAATTTTATTAGAAATATTGTCATACCAAATATATCCCTCATATTTAAAGACAACGGACAATCTGCAAAATGTCTCGGAGGAATTCCGCTGTCATTCAGGGGAGGTCATAACGAGGCGTTCGCCATTAGTAATCAGAGTGATGTCACCTCGACAAGCTCTAACGTGGGAACTGCTTCTAATGTGAAGACATCTGCCAACAGCACAGCCATCGCACCTCTCCAGTTAGCTTCACCACAAGGTGAAGCACCTCCCAAGGAGCTGGAGAAACTCGAAAATAGCATAGAAAATAACACAGAAAAGAATAAGGAAAATAACACAGAAAAGAAGAAGGAAAATAACAAGGAAAAGAACGTAGAACTACGAAACTGCCACGTGTACACATGTCCCTGGCTTGACAACAGGCTGAGCAATCTGATGCAACAAACGAGAGGCTTGGAAAATCATTTAAATTTTTGGATAAATTTATTTACAATTTACCTGCACAGTAAGTACTACAAGGGTGGTGTTGAAAAGACACAGATAGGGGATGATAACATATTTGTCAGAGAATATCTGAACATGCAAAGAAAATTATACGATTCGTTTTTCATAGCACATGATAATAAAATGAATGACTTAATAGCAATTAATAAAATAATGTATGAACATAATTTCTTTTTAAAAATTTTTAATTTCCTTGAATTTTTCCTCTTACCTTCCAAATTCATCCGTATGGAAATTCTGCACAAAATGGTTAAGAAATACGCAGGTATTAGTCTAACATATGGTAACATAGAACGAGTTTACAACTCACTGTACCAGTTTGTGCTTAAGTATTTGTGCATGACTGAGGGAAAAGAGACTATCCAATTCAGGGATGTCTCTTCATCCGATGGGTCAAATGGAGAAATCCATGGACAGGGAGGAGAAGGTAAATATAATAAATCAACTCATTTGGATTTTCAAACAAAAAAACCATATACACAAAAACAGAAGATACGAGTCATACATCTGAACGGAAAGAGCAAAATCTTAGTCAATAAAACGTTATTCAGAATAGTGAAGATCAATCATGCTGATGAGAAGAAGGTGAAAAAGAAGCCCCTTTCTAAACTAGGAGAAAGAGGCGCAAATATTCACATCCAGGATGATTTATCAGTAATGATTTTGAGAATAAATCAAAAAAATGTAAAAACGGTAGACGGAAAAAAAGGGACATATCTATTCATCAAGAAAAGAAAAAAAAAAAAAAAAGAAAAATTCCAAATATATATTCGTTACTTAAAAAAGGATGATTATATATATGTGGAAAAAAAACCAATCAAGGCAACAAAATTTTTATCCAATCGTGGTATTCCATATATATATAAGTTTTCCTTACCAGTTATTCATATACCTAATTTCAAAAAAAACAACCTTCTTTTCTTGTACCTCTTTGAAGAAATAAACAATGATAATTTTTCCGTTCGAGAATATTTGTACAAGAAAAATCTCCAAAATTATTTTATTTACGACATTCGATTTGTTCACACAGACGAGATCCCTTTCAACTTGTCATGATTGTATAGTAAGGGAAGGTGTCCTAAGGGGTGGCGATGAATGATTCAAATGAAGGAACCATATATAATTCCTCCTCCGCACTATTTTTTTTTTTTTTTTTTTTTTTTTTTCCCTTTTTTGCTGACCTTTCAAGTGCATAAAAGCTCTTTAACTCATATTTGTAATATTTTCTTCAAATTTGTCCTCCTGTTAACCCCCATTTGTGTGGGTGTAAGATTGTGACATGAAATTTTGTACTACATTTCTCCTGACCTGTGTCGTTACTGCTTCATATCATTTTTTTTTTTTTTTTTTTTTTTTTTTATGCATGCAAAATTACCCTTATCCCCATCGGGGTGGGGGCGGGACCCCAAATTTTCCACGCCATACAAACTTTATTTATTTTTGCACCAAAGTTGTATGATTTGTTCAAGTGTAAAATGTTAAAACTGTTGAGGAATAGGTTGCACTCGTAGGGGAAGAAGCCTTCCTCTCGAAGTTTATCTTGAAGTTCTTCTCGAAGTTCTTCTCGAAGTTCATCTCCAATTTCATCTTGAAGTTCTTCTCGAAGTTCTTCTCGGAGTTCATCTCCAATTTCATCTTGAAGTTCCCGCTTCTGCTGGAAATGCTGCGCTTGAGCCTATTTTGCAGCTTATATTTTCAGAGAGGCAAATCAAGAATGAGGCATAGGCCAGTGGAGTGAATCAATTATACGAGTTTTTTTTACTTCGACAAGATGTATGAACTGGGTGATGGAACACGGGAGGGTGATACAAAAGAAGTTATGGAAGGGAATATCAACAATATTGCAAACAAGTTAGCCAATATTCTATACATCACAAGCGTTTCCATGAAAGAAAATTTTATGGCTCGTAACAATTTACAATATGCAAAGTTCATAAATGATATGAAATCCTACTGTGTAAATCTCATCCAATCAGTTAACAACATAAGTGCAGATTTTTACAATCACACATGTTTACCTGTACATATCATACCTAGAAATCCATACAACAATATACAAGATGTGAATACCATAACGAATAATATAAGTGTAAATGATAGTACAGAAAAAATTAAGGAAAATAAAAACATTCTTCACATATTTCAAACCAAGTATAAAACCAAAAATTTTAACACCATCCTCAAATGTATTGAAATTTTTAACGATACTATTTTCTCTGCCTTAAACAACATCCAATATGTTAAGGTACTTCCACAAACATACCATGATTCTCAAACATATGGAACTGTTATGTCAGAGCGTTTAAAAAGCAAGGATAAGGATTCGGAACACTTGGAAATGTATATTGCCAAGATCAGTTACGGTCTTTTCTGAACGTGCGAAGGAGAGAGTTCTTCCTTTGTGTGAACTCTGCAAATCGCAAGCAAACTGCATGTCCCGTGTCTTCCCTCGCCTCAATGATACACTGCCCTACTACAACATTACTTCTTTACTTATCTGGTCTTGGAATTCTTATGACCCGCTTGACACATAACCATGAATTCCTGTTCAAGATAAAACTAGTTTTGTAACCGAGAGGTGAAAGTGAAGATGAAATTTTCTTCACACGGTTGAATAGAGAACATAACTTATTTTGTTGTGAAGGTATTTCATTTAAGACCGTTGTAATGAATATGTATTTTTTTTTTTTTTTTTTTTTTTTTTCCCTATACAACTACATTCGACTTACCCATATGTGAGATCATTTTAATTATAATCGAGAAAAGGAGGATTGTAAGAAAACACACATATATCCCTCGTGGACATATGCTTAATTACTTTTGTTTCCATGTTCTGTGAATACCATGAAAAAAGTGTTATAGCTCGTTTTTTTTTTTTTTTAAAAAAAAAAAAAGAACGAAAAATGTGAATTTTCACACATATGTGGCCATATGTGTAGCTGTTTTTTTTTTTTTTTTTATTTTTTTTTCCCCATGCTTGCATCAAAAATAACTTGAGCATGATATGTGCCCATATTTTCGGTTGTCCCTCTGTCACACTAAACTTACATATACAAATTGTTGTTTCTTCCTCCAATTCCAGATCAGACGAACTGATTAAATATGTCAGTACTTCTCTCATTTCCCACTTTGGAGCAAAAGGTGGTCATGTCCTTATCGATTTTATTATTTCGTTCTTCATTCTCATATGTGGGTGTAAAATTATTAAACCTGGTGGTAGTAATGGTCAGGTTGCTTGGAGAGGTTCTAATATTGGCATAACGATTTACATATGTATTTACACAAGTGGGATCATTTGAACCGGTAGACATCATATCCTTTGTTTTACTATCATCATTTGCACAGTTGTAATTAAATCTACTGTTGTTTCTGGGAAAGTTCCAATCTCTTTCACTCCCACTTGTATGTTTGACGAACCGTTTGAATAACATTCCATTGTGTTGCTTAATGCTTTCTCCTCCTAAGGGTCCATAAGAATGAATATAATTTTTAGGAACATTCATATGCAAGTGATGGTGATCCATATTCCTTGAATTCAGATTGTATGTGTTCATATTGTGGATTCGATTGTTAACACAACCCATTGGGGAAAGGTTCATTTGACAAGTCGAATTTGTCACTACATTGTGCTGGCTAGTCCCCTGACCAATTGGGTTGGACCCCTGACTAATTTGGCTAATCCCATGGCTAGCCAAGCAGTTGAAATTTCTCGAATGGCCCATTTTGTTAAGTAAATTATTGTAACCACCAAAGAACGGTTCTTGTCGGAACACGCACATTTCGTCTTTTTGCCCTTGTTGGTTTGTCGATCTGCTACTTCTACATTGAGAGGAATTGCTGCTGCATAGGTTTATGTCACTTTCCCCTGTAGAGACACCGATTCTGTGTATATTGTTGGAACTCATACCATCATTGCACTTGTCAAAATTGCGAATAACATCCCCTCTTATTTTTCTGCACAAACTAGACGAATATATATTGCTCTCATCAGCCAAAACAAACGGAAGGAAGTGATTACTGAACGATTTATTTGTAGATCCTTCTTCTCTTAATAAGTTTTTCTTAATGTTATAGATGCATATATTGGCTTCATCTTTCAAACCATCAGGAACAGAATTGTATTTAATTAACTCAAAGAGGGCAAATAACCTTGCATTTTCATAACCATACACAGATACAGAAAATTGTTTACTTTTTTTCATCAAAGAATTTTTATTGTTGTTTTTGTCAGTCTGCACTAATGAGTTCTCATTCACCCCATGCTGATGATTTATATCATGATTATCCTTTTCCATTTTCATAATTGGCATCTCTGAATTACCGATTTTGAAATCTCTCTCTTCAACATTTTTTTGGACAAACCATTCCGCCCTCCAGCATTCTTTTCCTCGTACAATAACCTTGTAAACTCTTCCTGGAATTTTTTTTTTTTTTTTTTTTTTTTTCTTTTCTGTTTTCACCTTTGTTTTCTGTACTTCGTTTAGTTTTCTTTTACGCGTTCTCAACGATGTACTGAATCTGTGACCTGAGCAAAATTCCTTAGTGGTTTCATTAGGTACCTTATCTGAGGTATAGTTACATGTCTCGTTCATTTTTGCACTCTCCTTGTCTTTGCATTCCTTTTCTTGACATTCACTTTTTACACTCATAGGGATTAGCAACTCTTGAGAAGCCCCATAACATGCACTTTTCTCAGCACCACTGCAAGGATTGCTACACACATCAAGGTTATGTTTTGCCTGCGCATTGGGAGAAGAATAGTCCAATTTTATATCCATATATACTTGTTCCTGCTCCTCCTTGACAATTCCATTAGTTGGGGTTTTGAACTGTGGTATGTATTCACTACTATGTGGATGTTCAATGGTACAGTTTCTTGTCTCTCTCTCCGGATATTCCTCATATTGATTGATCTTTCTGTTCTCATTTTCACATTCACATTCCGAATTTATTATCTCATGAGAATTCCTACACCATAGTTCATGTTCACCTACAATTTTGTTAATCATTCCTCTGTCGGTTACTCTGTTTTTCCATCTCTTCTCGTTATCATTACTTGCACGATTATTCTCCTCATCATTTTTTTCAGAGTTGAATGAAGAGGTACGATTTTGCATACTTATAGAGATGTTATTTTTCTCTGGATCATGAATATAAATCTCTTTTTTAACTTTCATTGCATCATGAGCGTTCAGGAATGTTTCATTAATTTTTCTACTGTTCATAGAATTCGTAGCTCCTTGTTCATTCGTCTCATTGGCTAGGGAGACATTGCTACTTGGTGTATAAATATGCATATTATTTTTTTTTTTTTTTATTATTAAATGATAATTCATTTTGGTGCAATTTCCTTCACTGTTCCGTTTTCTATTATTTTTTCCTCCCTCATTATCAAATGGGGTACCTATGTGAGTGTTGTTTATCTCTACACAACTCCTACGTGGAAGGAAAATTTCCTCCTCTTTCTTTACTTTCTTCGAATGAATTAGAAAACCATTTGTGTCATTGCGTGTGTTCCTTTCATCGCTACTCGGAAGGGTGGTACAACAAAACAAGACATCATTTGCAACCGACAGACATGGGTGACATTGGAATTTTCTTTTCACTGTTTCAAATTTTCTATAGTCAAAAATTTGTTCCTTATTTGTCATTGTGACCATTTTGTTATCCTCTGAAACTTTTACATCGTTTTCTAATTTAATAATTCCACATTTTTGAAAATCTGACTTTGGAAATTTTGTTCCGTTGTATTCGTTCATTATGTTTGGATACTCATTTCTTATTTTTAATGATTGATTGTAAATTAGATTCATTCTGATATTTTTAGAAGAAGAATCTGCATACACATTAGATGTTAGGCTGGGATCACTTCTCACCCTTGAATTTCTAACAAGCCATTTATTTCTATGTATAAATGAAGTGGAATCATTTTCTTTACTCTTTAAGGGAAATTCGTTTGGGGGTAATGAGTTATTATACAATTGGTCAGATATCATCATGCCATTGATGTGTTCATTTGTTTCCATACAATGCACTACATCTATGTATTCTACCTTTTCCTTTTTGTCATTATTGTGAAGACCCAAGTCATTAAGTTTGCCATACTTCAAGTCTAACTCATCGGACATATGCATATAGGTATCGTTTTTTTGCATCTGTGTATGATTTCTCTCTCCTCCAGTTAAATCACAATTTGGTATATTAAAATTAGTTTGGTTATTTATTAACTTTTCTTTTTCATTTTCCTCTTGTCGTTTCCATTTTTTAACCACCATAGTATTTGCATCCTGCTCAGAATTATCCGAATGTGCGAGTTTTCTATTTTTAAGACTCTCTTTTGGGTATTGTGCAAAATGTGTTTCCTTCTGTATATCCACATTATAAGGAGAATTATTATTTTGTTCTTCTCCTATACACAAGCGATTTGAAATGGACGATAAGGTTACGTCATTCTGAATTGAGTTCGGTTCAATCATGCTTGACAACCTACTTGTTGCTGAATATATCCAAGTGTCAAAGAAGTCTTTCTCCACATCTTTATATTTTAATAAAGTATCATGAACCATTTGACATTCGTCAGATTTGTTTCTCCTGAAAAATGAGAAATTCTTCCTATCTCTTCTGTTGCACATGTGATCTGTGTGATTCAACCATTCCCCATTGAGTGGGACGCTTACCGTGCCCCTGTGCATTTGATTTAATGTTGTAAAATCACCAATTTGTTTGCCAAAAATAAGAAATTGACAAAAAAAAAAAAAAGAAATAGTGAATCAAGATCTATATCTTGTGATGGACAAGTAACTACTGATTTGGTGGGGCGCTAGGGGGGGAATGACTTATTTTTGAAATACAAAAATGAGTCAGAAGGTAACAGACAGAACAATATATTGCACTCTTTCCATATGTCCAAGTGCAAGTATCGTCACCATGATTAAATTTAACTAAGAGCACAAGTTTGTAAAAAAAATAAAAGAGGGCAAAACAAGTCAAAGCAAAAGAAGACATGCCAAAAAAAAAATGGCATAACAAAAGAAGAGATACTAAAATAGATATAACAAAACAGAAACAAAAATATGCTGGTGAACGAAAAAGAAAACAAACTGGGGCGCAACAAATCGTTATAGATTATCTTAATTTTTTTTACAAATTATGAAATGATTGAAATTTTATCAACTTTCATCATATATGTAGTTACGTAGGTACGTATGTCGAAGAGGCAAATTACCAACGCTGAAATGTTAGAAGCTTAACAATTTGGCAAAACGGCCTTCTTTAGAACTTAGGTATGCGTAAAAAAGAGGTACAGATTTGTACACATTCTCATTTATGCCAGTTCAATATATCGAATTAACAAATGTAGTAAAAAAAAAAAAAAAAAATAATAAAAAAAGGAGAATTCAGATATGCTGTTTATGTGCTAGCATACATAAGGCTTATGGAGAACGTTATTCCAAATGTCTATGCTTTTTTTTTTTTTTTTTTTTTTTTCCATCCACTTTGTTACATGTACAATTTTAACATATGTCATGTATTACAACAGGATTAAAATAGGAAAATTCATTTTATCCTTGCTGGATTATTTGTAGTGCTCATGCATCCATACAAATATACATTCTTTTTTTTTGCTCCTTTTTTTTCCCTTTTTTGTTCCTTTTTTGTTCCTTTTTTGTTCCTTTTTTTTCCCTTTTTTGTTCCTTTTTTGTTCCTTTTTTTCCCCTTTTTTGTTCCTTTTTTGTCCCTTTTTTGTCCCTTTTTTATTCCTCTTTTATTCCTTTTTTTTTTTTTTTTTTTCTTTTTTAGTTGTGTTTATGTACACCTATTTCGAGTGTACCTTCAGGACACCGAATATTTGTGTGCACACAAGTATATGCGAAAAATAAACAACTGCACCATTTATCAATGTTTTGGGGTTGGTACCAATGTGTGTGTACATTTCAAATATGTTCTACATATTAAGTACTGTTAAAAAGGGAAATGAACAGAATGTAGATAGGTGAATGGGACAATACTTAATAGTTCTATAACTTGTGTACAAGAAATGCCATATACACATTTGTCTACATACATTTGTATATATGCACTTTCCCAAGCATTTTCCTCTTCCTACAAATCCTTAACTTGCATAGCCAGTTCAGCACATGTTTCAACTCATGGAGTCAGGTAAAATTTATTCGGGATATGAAACTTTAACCAAAATTCTGATTGTCCCTATTTCCTATCAGACCTTGTTCTCAACTTTTTTCTTTTCACGCCAGATTGGTATTTTTTTCTTAGAAAACATGGTAAAATGTGTGTGCAATTTTGCTGAGTGTCATAAAAAAGGAAAAAAAATAAAAAAAAAAAATCCCAAAATAAAAATTTTGTATTTACCAATGATCACATGTGTATAAGGGGAACGCAGTATGGTTCGTGTTTCTTTTTCAACAAACATAGACATACAAAATATATACGTTTCACATTTATTTTTTTATTTTTTTCTTTCTCGGGTTTGTGTAACACCTAAATTATGAGGTGCTATACCCTTCCCAGATTCTTTACGCAATGTAGGAAAACTGTGGGATATATTTGATGATACATTAATTCAGCTCTTTTCTAGTTTCTCTTCATTTTGATATATATACATATATATATATATATATATATATATATATTTTTTCTTTTTTGTGAACATGAAGCTAGCACATCTTTTCATCTGGTTGGGTTGTCTACCAAGAGCCATTTCTAACACACGGCATTTCCCCCTCCCCTTGTTTAGAGCTATGTTTTGATTTTTTCCTATTTGTTTTTGACACTCTTGCTTCTCTTGCTGAATCACTGATGGAATATACACCAATTTTTCATTTAATTAGAAAATTGGCATAACCGATTTAGTAGATGTCCTTTTACAAAATTAACAAAAGTGAAAACTTCCGCGAAAGTAGAATAAAAAAAAAAAAAAAAATCGCCTCTCTATTATTTCTCGCACTTAACAATGAGGTGTGTTAAATTTTACCTAATTTGAAGGCTTTGTATTGTCAATTTCTGGGTCCTTTGGCTGAAATTCAAAAGAAGTAAATAAATAAAATCATCTACATTTTTTTTTTTTTTAACTATAAATAAATGAGATATATTCTTTAATCTTGCTGCATTCATTTTTGTTCACTTTTAAAAAAGGGAAGAGATGAAAAAATGAAAAGGGCGTTGAAGTTTTCGCGTGTAATTTTTTTTTTTTTCGCCGTAGAATGGCAAGGAAAAAAAAAAAAAAAAGTATGTAAAAAAGTGTATAGAAAAGAAAAAGAAAGAAAAAAAAACAAAGTACAATTTGATGTTCCTCTCAGGAGCAGTATTATAGGCATACACATGTCCTACGTAGAACTGCATATTTTGTTCATAATTCATACATACATAAATATATATATATAATCTACATTTTTTCTGTTTGCCTTTTTTTTTTTTTTTTTTTTTTTTTTTTTATAATTCTTACAACCTCTTCTCCCCCATTTGAAGAGTAACAAATTTGTGCTCCTAATTAAAGTCCATTTTTTCACATGTTAAAAAATGTTTCAGGAGTACTATACGCATCATATCCAACTAATTAAACAAATGTGAAGGAGGTGTTGATGTCATATTTCGAATAAATTGAAAATATTTTTCTTCACATTTCTTCACATTTCTTCAAATGGGTAAGAAAAGTATTCAGACCCCCCAAGTGTGAAAACAATATCGGTGTGCACTTGTCTGTAGTCAGCTTGTGATAATTCTTTTTTTTTTTTTTTTTATTTCCTCAGCCCTTTTCTCGTGTTCCCTCATAATTGCGTTCTAATTCTAGTAACTGCATTAGAGGAATTATACCCATTTGTGGAACTTGCGTCCAGCTAATTTTCCTACCTGCCAGGAGTGAATTCAGTGTCATACATATTTGTATTCGTCACGACCATATCAAATTAGTTGAATCACTTCTCATTTGTTTTAATCACCTCACTCAACACATACAAATATACACACAAATACACACACAAGTACACACACAAATACACACACAAGTACACACACAAGTACACACACAAGTACACACACAAGTACACACACGCACGTGCATCCCTTCATGAGCACACGATGAGTAGCGTAAAAGGAGAAGAAGAAAATAAAAAGGATGAGGAAATTTTCAAGCTACGTAAATTGGCTACTATATTTAAAAGCGAATGTAAAAAGTTAAAAGAAGAAAATGAGACTTTGAAAAAGAACGTACATATAAACAAAAAAGAATTAACAAAAGATGGTGGAGACAATGGGGAAAGCCAAGTGGTAGAACAGCATCATAATGAATATGCAAAAAGAACAATGATAGAAAAGAACTATAAGAGGTTAAAAAATTTCACACTGATGCTAGAGGAAAAAATAACAAATATGAAAAATGAGAATAAAAAAAGATGCCAAGATTTGGAAGAAAAAGTGAAAGGATGTGAAAATGATTTAAGTATGTTCGAATGTGAAAATGAAAAATTGAAAAAAACAGTGAAGGAAAAAGAAGAAACAGTAGATAAATTAAAAAATAAAATGGAAGAATTTCGAACATACCTAAAAGAACAAAAAGGAATGACAAGCATGACAGAAAATATGATAAATCAAACAATAGAATACAAGCTTGAAATAAAAAAATTAAGAGAAAATTTAGATTTCTTAAAAAACAGTGAAGAAATAACTTCGAAAGAAAGACAACAATATAGAAGTATGATTATGCTATGCTCCCAGTACAAAGAAAAATGCAAACAACTACCAATTTTAGAAAGTAAAATTGAAATGTTAGAAAATAAAATTAAAGAATTAGAAATTTTTAAATATAGAGATAAAGAAAAATTTGAAAATATTGTTGAATTGAAAAATACCATTTTAAATCATCAAATAGAAAATAGTAAGTTAAATGAACAACTAAATGAATGGACCAAATTTTCAAAACTGTATATTGATAGCAAAGCTATAGACATCGAAAGTATGAAAAAAGCAATGAATGAAATTCGAGGGAAGTACAACCAAGTTAATTCGACCAAAACAGATTTAGAAGTCAAGTACAAAAAATTAATTGTAGACATGGAAATTGTTAAACAAAACATGGAAGACAAAAATTTAGAAATTAAAATAATCAAAAATAGAAATAGACAGTTGGAGAAAATGTATGAATTTGTCAAAAGGGATCACCTCCGTGAGCTAGCCAAAGACAAGGAAGCCGCTCCTAGAGGGGATTCTACATCTAGCACAGATGGAGAAAAACAGGCAGTCGAAACAAACACAGGAGATGGCATCATGAAGGATAAAACGAACATGCAGCATGGTGAAACCCCACAGGGACAAACAAATACTCAAAAGGAAGAAGATGAAGAAAAAAAAAAAAACCAAAAGTTGATGAAAATTCTGACAGAATATAAAACAATGTACGATTTTGTAAAGACAGATAATGAACAAAAGGAAAGACTAATAGAAGAGTTATCCGAAAAAATAAAAAAATACCAAATAGAGTTTCAAAAATCATACTTAAGGCAAAAAAATGCAGAAACCATTTCGAACGAATTACAACTGCACGAAAAAGAGATACAGATACTTAAAGAAGAAATTGAAAATTACAAAAACAAAGTGGTGAAATTAGAAAACGATTTAATTCATGTGAATAATCAATGGAATGATGATAATGAAAAAAATGAAACTATCATTAACGAATTAAAAGAATCTATAAAAAAAGCACAATTCGATAGCAAAATAAACAATTCTACTGTTTTGACTACCAAGCCTGCTAATCTTACGAAGCAAGAAATTACTACTACGGATTTGAAAAAACAGAAAAATAATATGATAAATATATTATACACGGATTTGGAAAATCTCAATTCTGTTGATGAAATCGAATTTGCAACACTTAGAAATGAAAATTTATATTTAAAATCCAAAATTGAAGTTCTTAAGCTTTTTTATTCGAATCAAATTAAGACTTATAGGGAAGCATTTCTTTACATTCTAGGATGGGATATCCAAATCGAACAAACAGATGATGATATTTTTTTCATTCTCACATCATTATTCTCAACTCATGATGGTAAATTTGTCTTTATAAAGACTAACGAATCGAAAGATAATAAACGTTTCTACAATTCACACCCAGATGAGGAGGTTCAATCGAAACGTGTGAAACTGCAGGAGGATTCGCAAACTGGTCTTGTTGAAGCGCAAGTATGTACGTGTTCCACATCAGAAGTGGTAGAAAAGAACCATGCAGAGGCAGTAGTAGAACCAAATGTGTCTCTTCCCCAGGAGGGTAGCAGTAATAGTAGTAATAATATTATTAGTAATAATATTAGTAGTAATAATAACAATAGTAGTAATAATAATGATAATAACAAGTGTGAGAAGATGAAGGGGAACCCATACGAAGGAATGATTGGTGAGAGGAACGAAATAAACACGCAGGCGATTATGGAAAAATCAAACCTTGAAAATACAAACATCAAATTTTCATCAATAGTGAAAGGTTGCAAGTATAGCTTATTGCTACATGGTTATTATGGTATTAAGTGGAATCAGAACGAAAATTGGAAAAACCACATAAATAAAATTAACACTTACCCAATTCTTTTATCATTATCCTGTATAGAAGAATTTAATAACATAAAGTCACAGTATAGTAACAGCTTAGGGAAAAATGCAAAGGGAATGCTCTTTAAATTATAGGTTCAAAAGTGAAGTAATATAATCCATTCGTGCCCAATCCCCGAATTTATCAATTTGGTACCTCAACGAACATACCTGCATTACATATGCACGATCACATGTTTATTGATTCATTTAATTATTTACTTACCTATATAACTGTCTAATTATGTTTCTATTTATCCGCATATTAATACGCATATTTGCACACCTATTTACCCACCTATTTACCCGTTTATTATTTTTTTAATTTTTTTGTTTCTTCTTCCCCACACTGGGTGCGGGAAGAGGCTTCTTACGTTTTAAGAACATACATTAATATAATACAAAAAAAAAAAAAAAAAAGGAAAAATAAAAATAAAATAAAAAGGTTTTACTTCTTTACCATATACTACAAGTCGGGGGACGTGTCCAAATATGGATATTCAAACTGCATGCAAACAGTCTTGCACTTTTTGATTTTATGTCTAACCATGAAACGTAAAAAAAAAAAAAAAGAGAGCGAAATAGAAAGAGAAAGAAAGAGAGGGAGGGAAGACACTGCACAGGAATGCAGATATATACATGGAAAAAAAAAAAACTCAAGGTACACTACTACTCCTCAACTCATTTCGCATATTTACGCACTCTACGGGACTTCTCACATATTTTCAATTTTCTTCTTTGTGAAAAAATCTTGACAAAAAAAAAAAAAAAAAAAAAAAAAAAAAAAAAAAAAAATTTTCACATACATCTGAACCTTTTAACATGTCTCAAATGGGACACTCGGTACAGGGAGAAAAAATATTTCTAAAATGGTTTTGGAGGCAGGAAGGTACAATATACCTGGGATTGTTCCTTCATAATTCGGCGCACTACGGTGTGATGTGGTTCAAATAAAAAAATGTAGGCACAAATGCATGGGCATATCGAGGCAATGAGTATATATAGCCCTCTCTCCTAGTAAAAAGTTTAATCGCCCAAAAATGTGAACAAAAAAAAAAATAAATAAATAAAATATAATAATAAAACAAAATAAAACGCAATAAAACAAGATAAAACAAAATAAAATAGTAATAAAGGTATGGTAATGGCAAACGAATGGCAAAAATTATGATCAATAGATGGGCGAAGCACTTGTTAAGAACTCTCCTCTTCTGGTAGAGGCTTTCCCTCTCCGCACCACGCAAGTATGCAGTCAAAAGTCCTCCAAAAATTCATCTACCCACTCTTCATTATCTGCCTTTTCCCATTGCAAATTTTTAACCTGATTCACTGTTTTTCTTTTTTTGCTTATTTCTTTATCAGCCTTATCGTCTAAAGCATCATAGGATCGATTTTTTTTCAACAAAAGGTCTTCATTGGCAATTCTCTTTTTTCTTTTCTTTTTTTTTTTCCTTGATGTCATGTGCTTGTTATTCATATGTTCATTGGAGGCGTGATCAACCGTATTGCCATTATCTTTTCGTTGTCCATCTTCATTATCATCATCATTATCTTTTCGATTCTCGTCCTCTTCATCCTCTTCATCCTCTTCTACTTCTTCATCATCATTGTTGTCGTTCTCCTCCTCCTCCTCCTCCTCATCATCATCGTTCAGGTTGTGTTCAAAGCTTAGATCTTCTGTTGATACAGACGAATGGTACATATTTTTGTTTTCTTCATCATTCATAATTTCATTGTGCATTGTTTGCGTTGAGACAATAATGTTGGAGTATTTTTTTAGAAAATTTAGCCCGTCATTAATTTGTTTAAACATGGCATAATACTCTTTATTCAGATTTAACTGCTGATTTTCCCGTGTTGACAATGCACAATTTTTTTCAGTATCGATAACCATTTGGAGTTCTTTGCTTTTGTAAGCAATTTTCTTCAATTTGGCTGTTTCTATAAGGAGTATAAGTTTTTTCTTTTTCATATCCACTTGCTGCTTTAAGGAATTGCACAACTCTTTTAGATAACTTAACTTCTCCGCGTTCTCAATAATATTGTGTTCATATTCGTGTATTTTTTTATTTAGTGATTCTATTTTGTCGCTCTTTTTGAAGAAGTAGTGAAAGTGTTGCTCCTGCTTCTGGTTCTGTTCTTGATTCTGCTCTTGATTTTGCTCTTGATTCTGATTCTGGTTCTGACCCTCTTGTTCATAGTCCATTTCGCCTTTGGGTTCGTCTCTCTTGGCTTGGCTATTGAACCCAACAGTGACATTCTCAGACTCCAGCTTGTTCCCTATAAGGGCATCCGGAATTATCAACGAGTCTGAGTATATTAAATATTTGTTGAAAACATTCAGCAATTTACTGATTCCATCGAAATCGAAAATCATGCAAAACCACGGAGTGTTGTGTAAATCTGTCAATATCTCTGCTCGATTTTTATTCTCAGTAGCTTGAATGTCACTTATTAAATTCTCGATATACACAGACATATTTTGATAAATTTTTCTTTTCAAAGGTTCAATAATATATTTTGGATTTATATAAAAAAACACTTTTGTTTTAGATTTCTTAATTCTGCTCGATTTCTTTTCCTGATTATCCTCTTTGTCCTTCCGTTTTTTCTCTGCAAACAAATTCAGCTTTTTCAAATCATACACATTTCCCCAGTTGGATACTCCACTGTTATTACCACTAATATTGTTCATTTCTTTATGTGGAATTTCCACATTTTTAACAAAACCAGTATGATTTGTCCCGATATTACTTATCATCACTTGTGTTTCATCTACATTTCCTGTTAAGCCACCAATGTCACGAAATATACCTACCGTGCTCTTTTCATTGACTCCTATGCTGCTACTCTCGTTTGTATTTTCAAAAGATAATTTTCCATCCTGATTATTGTACTCCTCTATATTTCCATTATTTAAGTTATCTGTAGTATTACTAGGTAATCTGTTTTTAATAGGTGTACATAGCTGCTTCAGCATGTTTGCATAATTATCTGTAGTGATAGCGTTATGATTCGATGAGCTTTTATTGGAACCCGTGTGGTTGGTCTCGATTTGATTTGAGCTACTCATGGGTACACTTCCTTCTGACACTGCACCTTTGATCGCTGCCTTTTCCCTTTGTACATCTACATTTTCCTCATCTCCCTTTAGACAGCTAGCTATTCCCTGGTACGTGTTCTGTTCACCACCCTTAGTGATGTAGTGCAGGTTGCCGCCACTGTTTCCACAGTTCAAATTGTTCATATTGTTCATATTGTTCAAATTGTTCATATTGTTCATATTGTTCAAATTGTTCATATTGTTCATACTGTTCATATTGTTCATATTGTTCAAATTGTTCATATTGTTCAAATTGTTCAAATTGTTCATATTGTTCATATTGTTCATATTGTTCAAATTGTTCATATTGTTCATACAGCCAATGCTATTGACACCTCCAGCATAATTTAACTCGTGCATTCGATTCGTATTAACAGAAGCGCTATTACTCACATGGTTAACATTTCCTCTAAACAGACTCAAATTGTTATAATTTGAAGCTGCCTTGTTATGTAATCCAACTTTCGAGCCATTTGTACCCATTGCAATGGACAAGTCATTCATCTTTCCCTTATCATTCGCATATCCATAATTTATTAAGTTTTCTCTTCCCTTTAACTGCCCATCGGTAATTTCTTTGTGAATATTTCCTATGTTCATAAGGTTGGTGTGTTTGGAAAAGTTAGCTAAGTTTGCATTTGGAATTCCTACCATGTTCACATTTGACAGGTTTCCTATGAGATCCACATTGTCATCATGGCCTATATTCACAACTCCACCTGTGTTATTAATACCAACAGAAGCTGAGGAAGCAACAGCTGCTGTGGAAGGGAAATGATTTGACACTCCATCAACCTCTATACCAATAACATTCATATTTGACGAATTCATTATTCCGTTTTTATTATAACTTTGAAGGTTGCTTTTTCCACCTGTAACATTTATATTCTGAATGTTCATACTGTTACTGTTAATAGTACCACTAAGGAGAGTGTTATTTAATAACGTTCCTTTATGTAAATTGTTTCTACTGTGTGCAGATGTAAATTTATATGTGTCTAACTTATCCATAGTGGTATTAAAATTATTTAACTGCGTAAAATTGTTGTTATCATTTATTCTGTGCTTATGATTATTTAAACTGTTAGTAAAATTACTTAAGGAAATATTTTGACCAAGAGGATTTATGGATATATTAGATTTATCTATGTCTTTTATTTTAGTTTTGTTATTATCGAATAATTTCAAATTACCATCCTTTGTATTGTTCACATTTTCACCTGTTTCGTATGATACAGAATTTATTATTGCATCATTCATAGCATATTTATTTCTTGAGTTAGCAGGATTCATGAATGTATTTATACTGTTCTTAGTGTTGGGGAGAGTAGTGTTCTTATCATTTACCCTCCCTGTGTCTCTGTGAATAGAATGGTAAATATTCCCAAATATGCCCTCTTTCATATTACTTTCAACGTAACTTCCTTTGTATCCCTCTATATTTTTTCCAGGGGTTTGCATTTGTTCACTGTTATTCACACGATTCATTAGATATGCATCTATGTGATTCTCCATCCCGTGTGCATTGGCTCCAATGTGATTACTCCCAACCGGCTTGTTCAAAAGCTGGGTACCCCTACTAAAACCAATGTCCTGTTGACCTCCCTTATTTGCGTCCTTTGAATCCATAAAAACTAAGTTCTGCTGTATATTTGTATGCATATAATCATTACTTTTCATATTTATATTCCTATTGCTGCTGAAGGTATTCATATTTAACCCATTCAAATGGATCCTATCAAAATTGTTTACATCTGAGTACATGCCTTGATTATTCATATTTTTATTAATATTCATTTCGCTAGCTGATGCAGGTGCAATGGATGACGAGGTGGTGGATGGCAGCACTCCTATTCCATTTATTCCTAAGTTGTTATGCTTATTGCTGTTCATATTGTTTGCATTCAATTTATTATTCAAATATAACAAATTATTGTTCGCATAAGCAGTATTTGTATGCTCCATATTGAAATTTATCGAATTTTCAGATTTATTTACATATTCATTTTGATTTATCATATTATTTACCGTTTGCCTAGTTCCACTTATATTCTGTGTATTGAACTTGTGCAAATTATTTTCGTCGTTCATACTTTTAATTGGAGTCACTGCTAAGGACGTATTTGCACTGTGCGCGTTTTCCAAATCTCTGTTTGCATTAACATTTAAGTAATTTACTCTTCTTTCGTTAAATCCTTTGAAAAATATGTTCTGTGTGAAATTTTTATTTTCCATTTGGATGCCGGTCGAAATTGGTGACGAAGTGGATCGTGATGGATGGAAGTGGGGGGCTAAGCTTGCTCCTTCAGAATGTATGTGATGGTGAAAAACGCTAGATCCCTTTTCACACACAAAGATTAATCAATTCGGCAGCTACCCACGTGTGCATGTGTTATGTGCATGTTTTATATGTGTACATATGGATTCATATATACAAATATAATGACAACATGTTCGAACATATTTGTGCATATTCTTACATACTCGTGTACATTTGCCTATATTTTCTCATACGATGCACACACGACACGTATGTTTGATGAATTTATAAGTTGAAAATACCGCATGGGACGAGAGTGCGCAACGTGTGCCTCTAATATGTGTGTGTGTGTGTGTGGAGAAAAGCACTGGTCTGTTGAATAATATATATATTTCGATAATTTTTTTTTTTTTTTTTTTTTTTCATCTCACCACTTGGTTGTGGCCATTTTATTCATGCGAAAAAATTGCACTTGATACTCGTGTCGGTAGAAAATATCACAGTGTATGTTTTCTCAAACCTTTTTCCTTTCCCCTTCACATTTTTTTTTTTTTTTTTTTTTTTTAATTTACCCTTCAACTGTGGGAACAGAAGTGTGGAAGAAAGTGGAGAAATGGGTAGGAAAAGGATTGCCAAATGTTGGTGAACTAGAATGAACAAACTGGCGAAAATGGAGTAAACAAATGTGCACAGTGTGGAGTGAACAAATTTGTAAAAAGGCGTAAACAAATCTGCAAAGGGATACGAAAAAATTACAAAGAGAAAAATCGCGAAATGATATTCGCTAAACAGGTTGGCTGAACGGATTGGCTAAACGCATACATTAAAGGTGTTTTGAAAATATTAAGAAGAAGTGAGGGAAAGTTTTACGGGAAGGGCTGCACAATGGGGAAACCCTTCAATGATGATATATTTTCTCAAATGTTACATATCTTTTCTGTTACTATATTTTGTTTGATCACTTGTGATTAAACATTTGTATAGAGTTTATACATTCCCCTCTGCCCCATTTGCAACTCACGTGCTTGTATTTATATGTATTTGTATTATTAATGTATATTTTCTAGTCCATACATTTTCCAAAAAAAAAAAAAAAAAAAAAAAAACTCTTGCACATTATTTGCAAAAAGTTATTTTCCCTGTCTTGTATAAAAATGGGGAGGGGGGAAAAAAAAAAAAAAAAAAAAAAAATTGGATCAAATGTGACAAAACTAAAAGTGTCATAAGAGTAACAAAATAACAGTGTTCATAACAAAATAGGTGGAAGGAATGGTAAGGAAGAATTGACACATTGTAGTGTCTTTATATTTTATATCATGCAAGTGAAAAAAAAAAATATATATGACAAAGGCGCAAAGGGCATGATAAGTCTACCTGAATCGGAGTTATATATGGGTACACACACAAAATCCTTTTCACTCGGAAAAGAATTGTGAGAACTAGTGGGTAAGCAGTGATTTTATGTTATTGCAAAAAAAAAAAAAAAAAAAAGGGAATAGGAATAGTAATCGAAGTAGTAATAGCAGTAGTAATAGCAGTAGTAATAGCAGTAGTAATAGGAATAGGCATGCTGGAATAGTAATAGGAAAGATGGAAATTCCAGAATTACCGCCCAAGCCCATCCCACCCACAATTTCCGTCTTTCTGTTTCCACATCCATTGGAATTGCCCATTTCTGTATTTATAAGGAAAAGTGACTGCATGCGAATTTACACAAAGAAATATTTTTTTTTTTTTTTTTTTTTTTCTTTTTTTTCTCTCTTGTCAAGTCTTTCCACATTGTTTAAAACAACGAAATGGGGATAAAATAAAAAAAAAAAAAAATTTTTAAATGAAACACCCTTAATTCGGTCAACGTCATTTTGATTGTTCTCCTTATATATTAAATTAGTAAAAAATGTGAGTGACTCCTACAAAAATGGCCTACAAATTTTTACATGCTCATATTGTGCGCGATTAGAGGATTGGCCTTTGTGTGACCTTTGAAATAGGTGCAAGGGAAAAAGACCATAGATTTATTTGTTCTCTGAAAATTCGTTATCTCAGGGTGATAAAAAAATAAACCAAACACATACAAAAAAATACATTGATGATATAGATAAAGTACACAGAATATGTTTGCACTTATATACTCCTGTGCACTATAACATGCACAGGTGCATACATATATCTCACACGTACGTGGTGACGCTAGAGAATCAAACCAAAACGTTAATAATAAAGAGGAAACTGTGTGAAAGCCCACAAATATATCTAAAATTAAGGTAAAAGAGGAGGAAAAATCTTCATTTTTTTTTTTTTTAGAAAAATACCTTCTCCAATATTATTTGGGGGAAATAGGCAACGATCTTACAAAAAAATTAATGACAGTAGGGAAGAGAAAATAAATTCGGTTAAATTACGCAAAGATTATGCGTTCCTCTCTTTTATCCATTCCTCGAAATAATTTAATGAAAATGCTAACGAAAGAAAGCATTTCCTATAAAAGCTATTAAAAAAGGAACTCCAAAAAAAAATAAAATAAAATAACTGATATTTGAGAAGAAATAACAAAATTTGTTCTTATCCATGAGAAGAAAATTGCATAGGCGCTCATTGAGACTGCGTTACACAATACACATAAAAAGGAAAAGCAAAAAAAAAAAAAAAAAAAAAAAAAAAAAAAAAAAAAAAAAAAAAAAAAAAAGAAAAGCAAGGTAAAAAAAAAAAAAAAAAAAGAAAAAAAAAAAAAAAAAAAAAAAAAAAAAAAAAAAAGCACAAAAAAAAAAGGTTCATTTTAATAGTGTGTACTAACACAAAGCACACGTGCAGAATGCACTTATCACATATCTTTTGATATGTAATGTCCGTCTGATCAATAAATCCACACTGATGAATTCACTCTTTTTTAAGCACCCCACTGGAACGTATCACCAAAAAGGAATAAACGGAGAAGAGGAAATTACTACCACAACACATTCACCCACCCCTTCCAATTGGTTATATAAAAGTTGTGATAGTCGAGCTCCTTAAATCCAAATGATATCGAATATGTTGCAAATGAATAATAGGAATTCTTTTTTTTTCTTCTTTTTCAACTGAGAAGCAGATCAGGGGAATTTGTTCCAAGTTATTTTTTCACCCTTTTTGGATTGCAGAAGTAATCTCATTTTTATATATGCAACAATTTTGATATGTACGAAATGCAAATGGTTGTACCCATGTATATGTGTATGAATACTCTGGGGTGATAGAGACAATGCCGTATGGAGGAAAGAGGAAAAAAAAAAAAGAAAAAAAAAAAAATGTTCCTCAAGTTTGTGCTCGTATGGATAAGCATAACAAAGAATCTACTGTGTATCAATTTAACAGAATGGAACTCAATTAAAAATATTGAAATCGCACAGGTAGGAAAATTTATTTCTTTTGAGAGACATGAAAAGAGAAGAAAAAGGAGGATGGTAACAACAAAGGATTGCCTTTTTTTATACAATCCAAGAAACAACCCTATATTTTGCTATTATAAAAATCGAATAAGAAATAAAAATGAAACTAATGTGGAAAATAATAATAGCCCTATGACATTTGATGAATTTTTTAACAAAAGAGCAGAAGAAGATTATAGAAAGTTAGAAGCCGAAAAATTGAAAATAATGAAGGAAAATGTTAGTACATACAAAGAAGAAATAAGAAAGGTGCTTGAAAAGAGCTACAAAAATGAATATGAAAGACTACTCAGGGAGGAGAAAGAGGATGCCGAGGTTAGTCAGGAGGTGCATGAGAATATGAAAATAACATTTCTAATGAAGGAAAATATTAACAACATTTTGTTCACAAGGTATAGCTATATGATAAACAAGTTAAAGGAGCGCTCTGCAATTCTCAAGGGAGTGCGTGGATTGTTCGAGACGAGTAAAACAAAACCTGGGGACGCAGCTTTAAATGTAACACCCACTGATGAGGAACATCACAATATGGCAGGACCCCTTGATGAGACATCCACTTCTACATCTCCCAGTGTCGAACCGTTGAGATTAGACCCATCAGATGATAAGCAAGAGGATTCAACGCAAATTATCGAAAACGTTCAGTTCTTCAAGCCACAAGCGAGCTATGGTGGAGGAACATGCAGAGAAGCGAGAAATTGTACTACGTTTAGTGATCAAATATTTGCAAATGCAAAATTGTTGGTGAAGGTAAAAGAAGAGAACGAGAATGGGTGGAAATCAGATGTGCAAGGGAACAAATTGGGAAGTGAAGAAGAGGATACAAATGTAATAACAGGATTAGGAATCGAAAAAGACGAAGAAGAAGAAGAGGAAGGCGGGAAAGTTTTATTTTCCAAAAGTAATGTATCCGCTTTGAAATTATTCAAAGAAAATGTAAACACATTTTTATCATATAAAAAGGAAAATATAATAAAAAGTAATTTAAATGAAGATTTATTATACGGACGAGTAAAAGTGCATTGGTTTCCAAAATTTATGAAAAAAGTAATAAGTAAAATTCCAGAGTATATAAAAATTAGTGACATAATAATTGAAGTTCGAAATGGCATAATCCCTTATGTATTCGATGATCTGTACGCATTAAATATGTTTGATATACGAACCAACAAACCCAAAATAATTGTGTATACAAATTGTGATAGATCATCGATTAGAGGAAATGAAGAATGGGGCAGTTACTACCGGAGGAAGCTATTCTGGTATGACAAGAATTTTAACAAAAACGTGGTAAATAGAGATTCTGCCAGTGATGCATGTGTCGGCACTGCATCTGCCAGTAATGCATATGTCAGCACTGCATCTGCCAATGATGCATCTGTGAAGAATCAATTAAAAAAAAGCGCAGTTATATTTGTGGATGCAAAAAATGGGAAAAAAGAAATTATTGTTTTAAAAAAATTAATTAACAGATTATCCCAGCACATAATTGAAAGCAAGAAAAAAAAAGGTCTATTGAATTACAAAGTTAAATGTATATTTATTGGATTGCCAAATGTAGGAAAATCTGCCTTAATTAACCGTCTACTTGAAATTAAGAAAACAAAGTCGTATGATTATCCAGGTCTTACAACCAACATACAGATGTACGCCTCCAAAAAATATGAACTCATTGATACTCCTGGAATTTTGGCTCAAAATTTATACACATTACCTGAAAAAAAATACTGCAAAAAGAACATCATACTTGATAAAATTTATAATTACGACTCAAATAGTAATGCATCCGATGATAAGGTTGTGCATATTCGAAACTACAATAGTTATATGCACATAGAAAATAATATCTACCTCCTAGCATTATGCAATCACATATCGCCAAAGATGTATGATATATACAATGTCGCAGAGGCCCTAATTCAAAATATGCACAGTGTCTATCTTTATAACAATGACTATATAGATATGTCCAAAATTATCAAGCGGTACCAAATTAATTTTACGGAATGCCTCGATTTTGAAGGTAAATTTTCAGCTTATCATTTTATCCAGCGATTAGCTCGTGATCGTTTTCATAACGATTTAAATCAGGCATCAATGCGTCTTGTTACTGACTTTAGGAAAGGTTACCTCGGTCGTATGACCCTTAGTTATCCTCTCTATTTCAACAAGAGATCCATTCGCCTTCGTGTTTCCTCAGGGTTCGTCAATCAGCCCAATGACTGCTACATTGGCTGGTAATTAGGCCACAGCAATGTTGTGAGGTCCTGTGCCCCATTTTTCTCATCCGAATAATTTTTTTTTTTTTTTTTTTTTTTTTTTTTTTTTTTTTGTATGTTTGTTTCGTTTCCATCGCGGAGTTTGCTCTAGTATATTTTTTGAGTTCCTTACGACTGAGCCCATCTTGGAGTTATGTCTGGGTTAAAATGGGGATTAATTAGTAGCCCAATATCGTGCATGTTAATTAAAAACAAAAAGAAAAACGCATTAAAAAATGTGCTAGTGATAATGTATATATTAAAAAAAAAAAAAAAAAAAAAAAAAAAGCTAAGAAAAAATACGTTAATAATGTCCTAGCAATACACTAACAGTGTATTAACAATGTGCTGACAATGAGCTAAGATGCGTCAAAAAAAAAAAAAAAAAAAAAGGTTAAAAACGGTTAAAAAAATCAAACTGATTATTTCACCCATTCGTCATCACCTAACAGAGAACAAATTTCTTCTGATCTAAAATCATTCAAAAATTGAAAAGTTCAAAACGGGGTGATCTCTCATGCTTACCACTGTGAGGAGACTGACTGAATGGCTAGCTCACACTGACCTTATTTGCGTGCCAAGGAAGGTTGGGCGTAGGCATGCCCACATAGGCGCATATACACATCTATATATATATATATATATATATATATATATATATATATATATATATATATATATATCTGTATCTACATCTATCTTCTATATATATATATATATTTATATTTATACGAGTTTGCATCGGCGTAGGGGCGATGGACCTGTGGTTTCAACAGTGCATCTCTCTCTTACCAATTGGATATACTGAAGTTATTGCTGTCCTGTTCAGGCGGTTTGGCACCTGGCCAACTGTGAAGGTATAAATGACGAGAGCACAAAAATGAATACATGTGTGATAAGTGCGCAGACAGAAGAGCATTCCAAAGAGGAAAAGGGGGGAAAGGATTCTATCCCTCTCCATTCTCCTCTTTTTGCCTACGTTTTCACTCCTTTTTGCACGTTCCGCTGTCTCACCTGGTCAACTTGAGACAATCCGTGAAGAGCTGGATCTCTTGAGAAACGTCATACGATGCACTGTCTTGTACGACATGTAAATATTCTAATCGGTCCTCGATGAGTTTTTTCAATGTATTCAGGTAGCCGGTTTTGGCTAGCTTATGCCTGTGGTTCTGCATTAAGGCTAAAAAAAGTTCTGCTGTGGTTTCTCCATACTGTATTCCCGTTTCGTCAATGTTTTTGTTGTTTGCTAGACATATGAGTCCTTTTATAATTTCATTTTTTAAAAATATTTCAAAAGTAATTTTGTTTTGATGAACCAAATGTTTTAAAAGAAGAGCAGATTTTTCTTGGTATTTGTAAATGTTCGTTTGCATTCCGTAAACTAAAAAACCAACCCCCCCATAGTCAATGAATTTATTTTCTGCTTCATCATGATGTCTAATTAATGCTGAAATGGCTGTAATTAATTTTTTATCAATAACTGTTTTTTGAGACTCTTGTAATTTTATTAATAGAGTTTTTAATGCATTCTTTTTAAAAACACATTCCTGTAATTCTGGGTTATTCGATAAGGCTAAGGAAAATATCTGAAGTACCGATTCTAAAATATGATTATTTGTTTGATTTAACAATTTTAACAATGGATCTATTGCGTTTATTTTATGTAAATTTCGAGAAACTTCTGGATATTCATCAACCAATCTTTCCACTATTTTGGCGGACGCTAAAATTATTCCTTCATCTTTGTTTTCAAAATTACGCACTGCCTCATTTATTGCTTCGTATGGATCTTCCACTTGACTCAGGGCATCTTTTATTGCCCCTTGAAGGAATTCTATGTCTTCCTTGCTTAGCCGTTTGTTCGTGTCTATGGTACCATCTACGTGTGTTCAGTAAAGAGGCGTGTGCAGTAAAGAGGGGTATTCAATAAGGAGGGATGTGGTAGTTATAGTGGCAATAGTAGCAGCAGTAATAGTCGTGTTTTTGGTTCAAAGTTAAAGATGCGTTCGGGAAAAAAAATGAAAAAATCAAAGAAAAGAATTATGTACACACAATATGTATATGCCTCCGTGACACATGCTCATACCTGCATATTTAGTAGACCATTTAAGAAGCCCTGGCCAATTTATGTTTACCATATTCTGATGTTTCCTACTTGTTCTTTTGTTTTGAGGCTACTTGGGGTTCGATTCAATCGCGCGTGTGTGTGAAGTAGTAGTAGCACAGGTATAAGAAGATGGAGAAGTGTTGCATGCATGAACGTGTGAGAATACATGGACATAACGGACATCAGTTCTCATTCAAGTACGTCTGGCACCTCTCCTGTACGCTCGAACGAGTGAATAAAGCATAAAAAATCAAGATCATATATTCGTCCACATATATACATGTTTTTCCCAAAACGTTTGCATGTGCCTTCAAATAAGCGTATATATCGTCATATATTGATATATTTAACAAAGCCTGTTTTTTTTTTTTTTTTTTTTTTTTTTTTTTTTTTTTCATTTTTTTTTATTTTTTTTTTTTTTTTTTTTCTTCATTTCGTTTCTATTCCTTTTTTTTTTTTTTTTTTTTTTTTTTTCTCCTTAAATAAACAACAAGAAAAAAAAAAAAAAAAAAGAGAAATTTTATGAATAATGTGTTTGTGTTATAATTCCCTGTGTAGTTTTATCAAAACTAGAGAAAATTCCCACAAGCATTTTTTTTTCTTCTTTTCTTTTGCATCCTATTATGATATACACCCTGGTCGTGTACACAAAAATTTCAAGAGTGTTGTAGAATTTCCTTAAAACTGTATTTTTGTACACATTTGAATAACGTGTAAAACGCACATGGAAGAAGAAGTAAACATGTTTTTTTTTTTTTTTTTTTTTTTTGAGTAAAAAAATAAAAAAACAGTAACCCTGTTTTGTGTTTAAAAAAAAAAAAAAATAAAAATAAATAAAAAAAATAAATAAATAAATAAAATAACAAATATGTTTTATCCTTTAAAAAAAAATAAACAAACCTGTTTTTTTCCGTTTAAAAAAAAAAAAAAATTCACTTTCAAACGCGTGCATATGTCCACATGGAGTAACAAGGAATAATGTAGATCCCTCTATTCATAAATGAACTCTTTAAAAAAAAAACAAAAAAACAAAAAAACAGAAGAAAAGAAAAGAAAACGTACTGGAATTAGTTCCCCATCTTTGTTTAAAAAAAATAAATAATGCTCTTATTAAGAATAAAACTAGCTCCCCATAGTCTATTGTCTAAATATGCACAATGCACAGAGTACGAATTTGAGCATATTTATTTTTCCATTTAACATTTCTTCATTTTTGTGCCGCATGGATAAATACTATAACACGCACACACAGTTACTTTATTGTGACAAAAAAAAAAAAATAAAATAACAAAAAAAAAATAAATAACAAAATAAATAAATACATAACAAAATAAATAAATAAATAAATAAATAACAAAATAAATAAATACATAACAAAATAAATAAATAAATGATATACATATATTTGAGTCCTTTCCTTGGTCAAACAGTTGCATCCCAAACATGGGTCCCTTTTGTTTAATCATAGGAATATTAATTTGAATTAGCCAATGCATGGCTGTGTTTGTCTATTCTGTCTCTTCTTCTTACATTGTTTTTGTTGTGTTTCACTTAGGCGCATTTACAACGATTGCAAAATTAATTCAGTGTGATTTATCGCTGAACAATTTTCCCGTCTTTTTAGTAGTTAGTTATTTCCTCACATACGAACACACTGAAGTTGTTTCCTACCCTTCAATCGCTTAAACATCTCAATCGCTTAAACATCTCAATCGCTTAAACATCTCAATCGCTTAAACATCTCAATCGCTTAAACATCTCAATCGCTTAAACATCTCAATCGCTTAAACATCTCAATCGCCTAAATTTCTCAATCGCCTAAACTTCTCAACTGCCTAAACTTCTCAACCGCTGAAACTTCTCAATCGCCTAAACTTCTCAACTGCCTAAACTTCTCAACCGCTTAAACTTCTCAGCCGCCTGAACAATGGTCAGACGCAACGTTTCAGAAAACGAGGTGATAAAGAAAATAGATGCTATAAATTTGAAGGAAGCGAAAGGAGCATCTGTAAGTATGAACAACTATACAAATTTGATGACGCATAAATTGCGAAAAAACAGAGAAGGAATTATTTGGTGCATAGAACGAATTGGGAATTTGGAGGGCCTGACCAGGAAGATGAATAAAGAGTTGGCAAACGGAAATAAGGAGTTAAAAAAGTTAACAAAAAACATAATAAAGTTTGATATGCTAAATTCACAACTTGAAAATAGTATCATCAGCGAAATGAATAAAGACAATGCATATAAAACTAGAATATCAATTTTAAAAAAAAAACAAGTTGGAATTAAAAAGGCACAAGGAATTATTAACAGCGACATTAACTATATGGAGACAAGAATAAATATGATGAAGGAACAAGTTGACGAAAATGTTAAGAAGTATTACAAGTTGGTAAGTGCTAAGGATAAAATGCACAATGAAATGATCAAGTTTAAGAAAGACAGAAAAATTTTGCAGCAACATTTGAAAAATACTAAGAAAAATCACCAAATTTTAAAAAACCAAATGCAAAATTTTGTTCAAAATATGAATCAATAAATCATATCAAACGATTTAAGTTAGTTCACTAAATTCTCTTCCATTCTTGTTATACAAAATTGTGTTCTTGCAATTCATGAATTCACCTTACCGCTTATTTACATTGTCCAGAAACATTTAATTCATTATTCTTTTATCTTGAAGTACTACACATATGTGTGTACATTTGGGAGGGGGTGGAGATGAGGGTATAACCCATGCTCACTGATACATAGATATGTACAAGTTATTCTTTCCCAATACTTTTACATATCAGTATGCATGCTTGTCTTTTAAGGGATGATTTTACTATCAAATGTTTATACTCTCTGATCAATTGTGATGCGTAATCTGTGTAGATATGTATTTTTACGCACACACATATACAACTACTGCATGTCAACAAATCCATGGCCTGATTTGTGTTAATCCATCATAGATATATATACCACCACCACCCAACGTGGTTAAGCAATCTAGGTACACGTATTATAACGTATGATTGCGTATGAACACATAATGAAGCGATTCAGAGGGATGAAATAAATATTTTGCAACTTAGAAAATTTTCCAGCCATGGGAAAATATTTTTAAAAACAGTGCACCATTTGTCGTAGAAAAGTCTCTTAGGATAAAAAAGCATCTTTGTCATAATGGGAAAAACAACAAAAAAAAAAAAAAAAAAAAACATGAAAAAATATGAACAAACCCGAAAAAACATGAACAAACCCGAAAAAACATGAACAAACCCGAAAAAACATGAACAAACCCGAAAAAACCCGAAAAAACATGAAAAGACCCGAACGAACTAAGGCGCAATTGGTTTTTATCCCCACTTGGAGAACTTGTCGATGTAGCTAAAAAGGTACGAATCTGATACATAGGGTTTCAAAATATAGCTAGTGGTGTTATTTTTATTTGACGTATACTGCATATAAATCTTTGTAATAATGTCATAATTAATATTAATATGGTATTTAGCTAGAAGCTTAATAATATTACTAATGATGCTAATATTTCTCCTTGTCGTGTTGTCTACTTCCTCAAATTTGCTGTCTTCAATGTCTTCATCCACGCTGTTCGGATTTGTGTTTTTAGATTTTTTAATGGGTGAAGAAATCCATATAAATCCATTCATCCCTAATATTACTTGAACATTAAAAGGGAAAACAAAAATATGTTTCTTCTGGTTCTGTATTAAGGTTTGGGGAACTGTGATCAATATACCATTAGATAATTTTCCATATATTGAAGACCTTGTGTGCAAAACGATACAACCATCAGTGTGAATTCTTTGCACTTCACAAGCTATAACATCATTGGGCTTATATATATTGATCATATTAATAACATCATTATATAATCTGATTCTTTGACTGAATACACTAATATTTGTCTGAGATATGGATAATACAGCTTTACTATATGAACCTATCTCAACTACCCATTTATCATTATTTATATCTTTTATTTTTCCAACTAATAAATCTCCTACAGCACCTATATACTTTCCCCTTAACGGTTCAACATACACCAACTTGTTAATATAATTTACTGTTCCTAATATGCATGCATAAAATGTTTCATCCTCTTCGTATAATCCACTACCTTTTAAAAATCTTCCCTTATCCTTTTTATTTAATATTGCTTCTCCTGGTAATACTAGCTTTTTAATATTTGGACACGACTCATCACTGTTTTTCTTTACATTTCCCTTGTTATGTTTTAACGTTTCTGTGGCTTGTATGCGGTTATTAAATTCTTCTATGTCCTCTAGCTCTTCGTCATAAGGTGTTGTTACATGCACATCCATTTCGTCTTAACACATACATCTGTAGCTCTTACACTGGAAATAGAATCTTGTATATTTTTTGCGTCTCAGTGGAATATAGCTCAATTCTGTAATTATTCAACTTGGCAATTTTTCCTTTAAACTGTGAGATGCTGTGGACGACTTTCTTTCTTTTTTTTTTTTTTTATAATATCCCTCCTTATCGAATCGTAAAACCTGCCCAAGTGGTACATCTTTGAAAACTTCAGCCCTCGCTCTTGCGTAGAAAAATGAAAAGTTTTCCTTTCCCGAATGGGTAAAAAAAAAAAAAAAAAAAATTAGAAAATATGAAAATATAAAAACTCAGCAAGGGCCTAACACCTTTGCATGATATACCATTGCCTCAAAAGGTAAATTCAAGAAAAAATAAAATAAATAAATAAAACGAAATAATAAAATAAATAAATAAAACGAAATAATAAAATAAATAAATAAAACGAAATAATAAAATAAATAAATAAAACAAAATAATACAATAAATAAAATAAAATGAAACTATAAAAAAATTGCACCCAGGGCGACGAAAACACGTTAAGTTTTGCACTGTGCACCATTTTTTAAGGTGTATTATAATATATGTCCCCTCTTTCAATTTCTGTCAATGCGCTACGCACCTCATTTTATGAAATATTTTTATGGTTTCCCTGTAATGAAACTTCTCTACTAAGATGTTGCTACGCATGCATAGTGAAAATTTCGTAGGAGAATGTTTATGCTCACTTTATTAATTTTTTCTTTTTCTTTTCTTTTAAGAAAGCTCGACAATGTTGTGCTGCTTCATTTTCTTGGGGATAAAAAACTAGTTAACAATTTTTTAAGCGAACTAAACGTTTGACAGTTTTATTTCCATTTGGCGTATTTTTTTATAACTAGGGTAACAGTGTAGGCCGCACGATGGCGGGAGGGAGAAAACCATTGTACAGGGAAAAGAGAGTTCCGTTGTAACACATGCTCACAGAAAAGATATATTTTACAACATCAACCATGGTGGATATGCAGTTGATATTACGCTCACTGAACTTTACACAATTGGAGGAATGAAGTGTACATATGTACACAAGATAACAAAAAGTGAATAAAATATAAAAATAAAATTATCAGTTTTTTTGTAATTAACTCAAGAAATGTTTATTCGGAAACTTTTGTACGTGTCTGTGATAGCTCAGGATTTACGAATAACCAAATTAATATGAGAACAGAAAGTGCTCTTTGATGCTGCAATGGAGAAAACAGTTGTTGCATCTCCAAAAATGGGTAGCGTTTTGTGTTACACACTTTAGGGTAAAAATAAAAAAAAAAAGTTGGGGGAGAAGGAATTTGGCTCGATGTCATTTCGCGTCGCCCCCTTCCGTTTCACCTCATCTGTTTCATTTTATTTTTTTACATTTGTTTGAACAACATGGGGATCGCATCATTAATAAAAAATAAATTTATCATATGTGCTTTTAGCTATTTTTTATGTGACCCTTACATAAGAAAAAAGTTTTATTTCCTTCAAGATATCTTTTACAAGAAGGCAACAAAAATAAGTTGAACGTTTTTATTAGGGTATCTTTTCTTTCTTTTCAACACAAAAGACACGGTTAGCTGCTTTGGGTATGTATTTAGTGCAAGTATTATTACTGAAAGTTTTTCAGCGTGAAAGAAGCATATGGCATTTATGTGGCAAGTAAAAAATTGTTATAATGTTGTACACATGAAAAAAAAAAAAATATATATATATATATATATATATATATATATATATATAGCACCAGTAAAATATATATGACGCATGCAAGCATCCCCTTTGTAGTTGTGTTAACTTATATGATGCTTGTTGTTGAGAACGGGAGAATATGATGCAGAAAAATGAAAAAAAAAATATTTTATTTCCATTTCTTTACATTTCAAATGTATTTAGATCTCAGCAATTTTAACATATATTAAACTGTTCATGTTCTATATTAATAGCTGAGGGATCCTAAATAGATAAAATTACATTTTCTTTGGTAAGCTTGCCAAAGAAATAAAAAAAAAAAAAAACACCAATACACACACAAACACCCTGCATGCGAAGCGGTGAAGTGAAAAAAACAGACAATTTGTCTCAACGCTGAATGGACAGAATGAGGTGATTCAAATGAAAATGTTGTATAATTTGAAGTTTTCTTGGGACCTTGTCCAATTGGCCGTTTTACATAAACAAACCATTTGCTTGTATATATATACATGTGTGTGTTGAGATATTTACGTAGTATTTACTAGGATCTTTTGGCTCATATAATTCCTCATTTTGTGCTAACTTTCAGAGAGAAATTCACATTAAAAAGGGAACATATGAATTAAGCATCTTTTCAAAATATTGTAAAATGGAGCTATGAACATATATATGTGTTTATATACATAAGCGATAATATATTCATTTCCAAAAAAAAAAAAAGAGTACTCAAATATTGTTGAAAATTTTTTTTTTTCCATTGCAATTTCGCTTTTTGCCTGACCATGTAAATTTAAATCTTTATGCAATAAAAAAAAAAAAAAAAAAAAAAAAAAAAAAAAAAAAAAAAAAAAAAGCATTTTTACCCACTACTCAAATATAATTACAAATTAATTAAACCATTTAAAATAAATAAATAGATATTTCCAAGGGGTTATTATATTATTATTTTTTTTTTTTTTTTTCCTCATTTTAAAATAAAAATTTTACAATTGTATTTTTTTCAAATACGGATATACAAAAATTCGTGTAAAATTATTTTACTTTTTTTTATGATTGTCATTTTGATTGGCTGATTATTTATTCGAATGTTTATGCATTTATTAGTATACTATCCATTCATGTATGTGGATTTATTTCATCTCATATGAACATACCCACTATTTGCATAAATTGTAGAATAGTATTTTACTTTCCCTTCCCCCCTCTATCCATCTATATATCCATCCCTCCTTCTATTCATTTTTTTTTTTTTTTTTAAGTATATGAAAAAAGAATTAAGGCCCATATATAAACACTTTTGTGTTGTTCTATACCCAAGTTCAGCAGTGTAACACACACATATATATATATAGCGGTAGCCAATGAATGCATGAAAGGTTTGTACATTTGGGTACATTTTTTTACATGCACAAAAATATGTATCAGTGTTTATAGGAATATATAAAACAGCACGAATGTACATCAGACATATGTCGATATAGAAGACGAATGTACAACATGAACGAGTGATGTTACAACGTACATATTTTAGCAAGGCAATCTTAATTATGCATACATGCACACACACACACACACAGACACACACACACACAGACACACACACACATTTATGTAGCAATGCAATAATAATACTGCTTTTATTTTATGTATGGTTTATAATGTGCACATTTTCGCAAGATTGGTTTTTCTTTAATTCGTAATGATCTCCCACCCTTTTTTCCTTTTTAATTTTTTTTAAATATGCATTGTTTTTGTTTAAAACCGAATGTGATAAGACTTTTAATTCAAAAAATGTACATAAAAATATACTTATAAAAAAAAAAAAAAAAAATTCAAAGGATTCAAGATTGAACAAACAGAATATAACTAAGTAGAATTGAACAAATTTTACATCAAAGTCGAAATTGTGTATTCATTTTCGGTAGTTACATAAAAACACCCAAATGAAGTATACCCATATATTTATACGTTTATTAAGGTTTACGATATAATAACGCCTTTTTTTTTTTTTTTTTTTTTTTTTCCTTTTTTCCCTCCCATTTTGAATCCTTTTTCTTCCCCATTCTCCTTTTACCCTTTGACACAATTTGCATATGAATAAGTCAGACGATAACGCAAAGAAGGACTACTCTATTTATGTATACGGAAAGATATACGATTTAGTAAAAGACTTAAATAGTTATAATATAAAATACTACATTAATAATGAGAAAAATGTAGATTTGTGGAAAGAGTTCAAGTACAAGAGGAGGAAAAAATTCAGGTTTATTTCAGTATTAGATTACTATGCTAGCGTTAAAAATAAAAAATGGGAATTCGATATTATACCAATTATATTTAACGAGGAATATGAGATATTACATATAGGAGTTTCCATTATTTTTAATGACAATTTTGCAGAGGAGTACAAAAAATGTAGGTGTAGTTACATAGAATTATTTATTTGCAACTTTGAAAATGTTAAAACAAATCAGAATCAATACGAGTGGTCTCTAATCCCACCAATCACGAGTTCTGTTAACATTATGAAATTTCTTATTGATATGGATGATTTGAAGAGGATATATACAGAGCGAAAAGGGTTAGATGAAACAAGAACCATAACTCGTAGACAAAGTAGTATCAGTGATATCAATAATGATAATAAATATCCATATAATATCATAAATGATAGTTGTTATGTGGACGTGAACACATGGCAGAAGCAAGTTATTATGGATTCAAAAGAAAATGATTTCTTGAATCAAGGTGGAAACATGATAACATACAACAATAGGTGTAGTGATCCTATAGGAAACGCAAAACCACATTTAAGTGGTAGTGGGAAACAGGAGCTAGATACCCATTTTATACATTCACGAAATGGAAATATCATTCAAGACAACGACATGTCTACGTTGAGAAGTAATCTTAGTAGCGATAGTAGCAGTAATTTACACATTAGATTCAGTACGAGTAATGATGAGGAGGAATTTACAGAAGATCAGTATAAAAAAAATGAAGAGATTAATTGGAAGAACGTAAATAATAATAGGGAAATTTTATTCACTGATGTAGAAGGTGGAGGAGGACACACAGGAGGTGTAAAATATCATGAGGTTTACCTTTTTTCGAATATGAAGAAGGATAACAGCAAATATGATAAAAATATTTGCAGTAATATTTGCAATAATATTTGCAAGAATAACAGTTTCATCTATACAAATGGTGAACATATTAACAATGATAAGGACACAAGTGCATGTGTGAAGGATTCCGAGGAGGTAAATCAAAAAATGACGTACCCTCAGAATGTAAAAAAAGTAAACGAAGTTGATGAAAAGATGTATATTTCTTCTGAAAAATTTCCTACGAATGAAATTTTTAATTATGATTATTTGTATAGCAAAAGCAAGAGACAAATGGTTTACATAGAGGAACCAAACGGGAGTAAACAATCGTTAGGAATGGTTGAGGAGGACGAAGTAAATGGAGAGAAGGAAAAAAAAACTTTTTTAATCAATCATGCCAGGAACAGCTACACACAGAACATATGCACATCACTAGAAATGAAAGAAGTAATAGTTGAAGGAAAGATAACGTTGGGAAAGACTCAAGAAGGAGGAGAAATTGCACATACAGGACAGTCCAACTGTGATGACAATATAAGGATTACAAAATTGAAAGAAAGCATGAATTTTAATCATGATGAAGCAATAAAAAGTAACAACAATGTACATATTATGCAAAACTCAGAATATAGGAAGAATGTTTACACAACCAAGAGTAGTGATAGGAAAACCCCAATGAGCAATTATAATATACAAGAAAGTAAAAATAATGAAAATAACAAATGTAACAATTTTAAATTTGGATTTTTTAGTTCCAAAGGAAATAGAACATATAATGAAGATAGAGTTATAACTATTAAAAATGTAAATGAGTTCATACAAAAGGAGTACAAGGAAGTAATTGAAGGAAGAATGAATTATTTGAATGCGTCTGTCGAAAACGAATACTATGATATGTTACAAAAAATGCAAAGTGTTGATAGGACTTACCTATCGTCATCATCATCTGTACAATCATTAACTTCGGAGGAATCATCATTTTCAACACCACCTCCATATATGTACTGTGCTATTTACGATGGGCACAATGGAGAAAAGGCAGTAAATATTATACAAAAGTTATTACACGTTCATGTATATTCATATTTTATAAAAGGGAATGGTATGTCGAATTCATTAAAATATGCATTCCATTCAATGGATGAACATTTATGTAAAAAAACGATAAATAATGAAGAAGATAATCATTCTAATTTTTCAAGTGGAAGCACAGCATGTGTTAGTGTTATATTTAATAATTTGTTATATATTGCAAACATTGGAGATAGCAGATGTGTATTAAGCAAAAATGGAAGAGCTATCGTCATAACAGTAGATCACAGAGCTAGTGGAAATAAAAAGGAAGAAGAAAGAATTATAACATCAGGTGGGATATTAGATGATGAAGGATATTTAGGTGGATGTTTAGGAGTATGTAGAGGATTTGGATCTTTTGATAAAAAAACAAAAGAAAAATTAAAAGGATTAGTTTGTGAACCTGATTTATTTCAAATCAGTTTAACTGACGACGATGAATTTTTAATTATTTGTTGTGATGGAATCTTTGATGTTATGACATCTCAAGAAGCTGTCAACACAGTTAGGACATCCTTAGTTCAGAGTTCGGATCCTACCATTGCTGCAGAGGCCTTGTGTGAATTTGCATATAAGAGGAAAGCCCTTGATAACTTATCTGTCGTTGTTGTTATTTTTCAGAATCCGGAGATGAAAAAAAGGGCAGATGCGAGTGCAAATGCAAATTTAGAGGCCGGTCAAGCAGGGCGAGTCCGTAGGAGGTAGAAAAAAAAAAAAAAAAGGGCTCACCCAGTGCTATAAAAAGTGCACACATTTGCACGTGCGTGTTCATGTACTTTTTCTGTGCTTGTACCTTTTGAGTGCACATTTATCTTTTGAACTATTATTAGAATTGTTCTTTTGCACTTTTTATCATCTCATTTTTCAGAATTAGATTTTCCTCGCTCAAGGGTTTGATAGGGTCATGAGTTTGAGCACATCTTAGGGAATGAAAAGTGGAGAAATTATAACAACTTAAGTTCAATATGGAAAAGCTTTGAGATGTGAAGCTACGTTAGACTTAATCCCAAATTAAGAAATAGGAATCGGTGAGCAAGTCGTAATATCATAGGATGAAGAGTATACGATTAATAGATATGGATAGACCGTTTGAAATGATGCTTATGAACGGAATGCCATTAGAGCTTTTCCATTTGCAAAAAACGAGAGAATGAACAAAATTCCCCCGTTCATTTGTTACAGCAAAACATATGTTTGATGTCACCCATATGGCGAGTATGCGCACGTATATATCTCTCCATTTCTTTTTCATATTTTGCATATTTTGTATTTTTCACATTTTTCACATTTTTCTCATTTTTCTCATTTTTCTCATTTTTCGCATTTTTCTCATTTTTCACATTTTTCACATTTTTCACATTTTTCACATTTTTCATATTTTTCATATTTTTCATATTTTTCACATTTTTCACATTTTTCACATTTTTCATATTTTTCACATTTTTCACATTTTTCATATTTTTCATATTTTTCATATTTTTCACATTTTTCACATTTTTCACATTTTTCACATTTTTCATATTTTTTTTTTTTTTTTTTTTTTTGTTGTTGTTATTTCATACGTTTGAGTGTTTTTATTTCAATATCAATTTTCACGTATGTAATTATCCGCAGATATGCTAAGCGTAAAATTAATATTTCTATGGCCATGAAGAATGATGAATAACAAGTGATTCATTTGTTTATTACAACATATTCTAGCTTGCCATATGTAGCCCACCATTTTCGCTTGTTTTTAAAATTGGTATGTACATATATACACACTAGTTTGATACGTTTATGCTATTTTGATGCGTATGTGCTAGTTTGACACATATAATACACTATTTTGATGCATACAAAATATTTTGATATGTATATATATATATATATATATATCAGTTTCATGCTTATATAATAGTTTTTCTTTGTTTGAATACAGTATGTCCATGCGACAACAAAAAGTATGTGCTGCATACAAGGGGCTGAAGTGGCACAACACTGAGTATTTTCTTACCGTGTAACACATCTGTTATGTATCCGTTAAAATCTGTGCTTAATTATAGTTTTAACTGCTTTTAAAAATTCCATATTTTAACGAATTTGAGACGATTCCCGTGTTGAATGGTAAACACTTATGAAAGAGAGAGAAAGGATTGAAAAAGATGCGAACGGGATACGGGAAAAAAAAAAAGAAGAAAAAGAAGAAGAAGAAAAAATATTATTCATATCTAATAGAGGTAAAAGTTGTGCTGTGCTGATTTCTCAAATATGTTTTGTGCAGCTGTGACACATATATGCTACATTTAGGGAACACAAAACGAGGGGTTTTAAGGTGCATGGGAAAATACAATTATCTAAGGCAAAGCAAAAAATTCTATCGAAAATACTAATTTTTCCAATTATGTTTTAATGAATAAGTCGATTGTAGTATCTAAATGGGTTGAATTTTATTCTTTTTATAATAATAAATTTTTCTGACCCCGAGGGATGTTCGTGGCAGAGGTCACATTAGTTGACACTTGAATTCATTGGAATATTATGGCATATGCACTAGGATACCTAATTATGAGATCCATTAGCTCAGTGGTTAGAGCGTCGGTCTTATGTACCGAAGGTCGTGGGTTCGAAACCCACATGGATCATGCGATTTAATTATTATAAAAATAAAAATAAATAGTTGTTAATAGGAATAATTATGCAAATTTGTGATTTATAAAAGTCCCCCCAAGTTGTATAAATTTTCCATTAGAAATCGAATATTTTATAAAAATTGAAATCTTTTGAATAATATTTTTAGTGTTTGGAAAAAAAAAAAAAAAAAAAGAAAAAAAAAAACAATAAAGTTAATATGTTACCATATGAATATATTATGATGTTTAACTTTTTAAAGTTCTCATATTTTCCTATCAAAAAAAATTAAGAATTGTTTTTCATCTCCCACAATTACGTATATTGTTGTTTTCTTTTTTCTAAAAAAAAGAAAAGAATATCCTGGAGAAGTGGAATTTAATGTAGAATTAGTTGTGCTTTACCCTAATAGTTACCTTTTAAAAAATATATCAGTCATTCTATTGTGTAGGTTCAGTGTTTGAGGTTATTGTATGGGTTCACCAAATCAATTGGTTTAAAATAGTCACCATAACATATACACATATAGAAATATATATATATTAGTTAAAGCGCGAGTGTAGTGTACTTCTAAAAGAAGGCGATAAAAATAGGTATTTACATGTGTACAAAATGAGAAATACTCATTTGGCTTACAATTCCTTGTGCCTTCCACTTATCTGAAATGGACCTATTATATTTTATTTTAAGGCTAAAGAGAAATTATTGGGGGTCTTTCTTTTTTACTCATTAATTTGCAGCAGTTTGGACAACGTCGAGCCTCTTCTCTTTAATGGGAAATATATCCAAAAAATCTTAACCATTTTTAACATGAATATATATATATATATATATATATATATATATATATATATATGTATCCCTAATTTAATTTTTTTTTTCTTTTTTCGAATTTAATAAATTTCTTAAAATTAAAAAATTACTAGAAAAATTAGGAAATGGGTTGGGAAATTTTCATTTGACACATACTTGAGAAAGGTGTATTTAAATTTATGGCACTTTTTTTTTTTTTTTTTTATCAACCTAGTGGGGATTTAAAATGGCATATGTAAAAAAAAAAAAATAAAATAATTAAGTTTTTTCCTTTTTTACCTATTTTCCTTAAAATAAAAAATATACTTGTATGTATATGTTTATACATGTGCATGCATGTTGCATGGTAACTATTTATTTGCAATATTAGCCCGAACCATTACTACTACCTCTATGAAATTACAAAAATGATACATTTGACTGAACTATAATTCATATTATCATACAAGTTTTTTATGATTTTTTTTAGTAATTAATAAAAAAAAGTATATGAATCACCAAATTTTTCCCATTTTAGAAACTCATTTAGACGTTCACGAAAGTATATAAAGCATATATAAAAATAAGGTTTGCTTCTTTTTTTTTTCACTACTTTTCGCTCATTTATTTTTATTATAAATACTGGATAAGTGTTGATTTAATGAACATGTTTTGTAATATATCTTATTTGTTCGAAATTTTGTAAAGAAAAATGTTTTAAGTGGAACAATGGATACATCAGCAATATGGCAAGAAATTCGGGTAGATTAAAATTGGAAAATTGATCAAACTTTGCACAAATATTTAAGTAAATGAATTGGAATTTAAATTTCTTTATTCTTTAAGCTTGATTAAAAATGAGTACATTTTTCTTTTTTTTTTTATCTCAAATATATATACGTATCCACCCCTATCTCGTGCTGCATCCACATTAATTTTTCCTTTCCAATTGGAAAAAAAAAAAAAATACCAAATAGTTAATACACTCAAAGGGAGCGGAAATAAGAATATATTATTAGTTGTGAATTATTTATTTATTTTTTTTTTTATTTTCTCCTTCTACCCGGATGTGCATAAAACTATATATATTTATTTATAATATATACATAAAATATAAATGAAAAAAAAATCGACAGCGGCAGGATTCGAACCTGCGCAGGCAAAGCCTATCAGATTTCTAGTCTGACTCCTTAACCACTCGGACACACTGTCTCAAATGGATAATAACTGTTTTCAATTTAATACCAATTTTTTCACAATTTCAAAATTGTTATAAAGGAAAATAAACATTGTAATAAATCACCACCACCCCAAAGCATGTGATGTTATGTGCGTTACAAATTATATATAAAAAAAAAAAAAAAAAGTAATTTTCAAAACTTGAGGATATATGTAACACTTATATATTGAAGCTTCTTTTTCTCTTTCATTTTTTCTCTTTTTTTCATACTCATTTTAATAAGAAAACGATTTAAGTTTTATAGCATCCAAAAATGCGAGAAGGAACGACAAAACGAAACAGCCCACTTCATTTTAAAGTAAAAATTTGCAGGGCAATGTTTTTTTTCCCTACCATTGGCGAATTTCATTTCAGCTAGATTTTTGTGAAATTTTGATAAATAATACACGAAAGCAAGTTAACCTCCCCCCCCCCCACGGTCCCTCTTCTCTTTTGCCCCTTTTTTTCTATCCATTGCCATATGGTATGAAATGGAAAAGAATGGAAAAATATGTATAAATTATATACACTTTCTGTAATGTAGTAGTTGTGACTTTCATTTTACATTTAAAATACCCTTTTTCATAAATGCTACTACGGATGGATTATTGTATTATTTTATTTATTTTTTTTTTTTTTCACACATTTAAAAAATTCATTTGGGTTTAATAAAATATGTAAAAAATTGTACTGAGTAATATTTTCATGTTTGGCCTGTTTGAGCAAACCATATTTCCTCCTGGTCTGAATAAGAAAGTTGCAACATTATAAATAAACAGAAATAATAACATTCTATTTTGGAAGTAGCAGTTTTAAACCTTTCCGTCAATCGAAAACAAGATAAGTTTTCTGAACTATGTAGCACCATTTCATTTAAGATATACATGGAAATTTTTCTCTAAAATAATTTCCAAGGGTGTATCAATAGTATCAAATGGTAAGATATATATTATCACCCATACACACACATGAATCGCAGTCCCAAGAAAATGCAATGTTAGGCATTAAATTAGATTTTCTCAGCGTTCGGCACTTTTTATTTTTTTCATTATATTATATTTTATTTATTTTATTATTTTTTTTTTTTTTTGTTGCAAAAGCGGGGGAAAATGTGTTTACTGTATTACATATAAAATGCAAAGTGATTTTTTTATACGCATTCGTATGGATAATAACCTACATATGCATATCCATTCCCTAGATATATAAACACATAAATAAATAAGAAAATGGTATAAAATGAAATCATACCATGTGTATATAAATAAGCTGCGATAAATGAATAATTAATTATCATTATTTTTTTTTTTTTTTTTTGAAGATGTTATACTTTTTTATCATTGTCATATATACAAATATGAATGCTCTCACACTAATTAAGAGCTATATTTTAGCAATTTTTTTTTTTATTTTTTTACTTCCGCTTCACACTCCATAAATGTGAAAAAAAAAAAAAAAAAAAATACAAAACTAGTGGTAAATGTATTTCCGTCGTTTTTTTCTGTTATGCTTTTATAAAAACATTTATGTTGTTCTCTTATTTGCGAATGTTTTATGTAAGCTCTTAATTTTTTTTCACCTTACTCCACTTATTAAATTTTGTGTATGATTAATTTTATGACTACCTTGCCACTGCAACACTTTCAGCTTATCTTGGATGACAACTTCGATTGTATTAAATTGTAAAGTTGTGTTTTGTTATTTATATCTTATTTTTAATATCTTTGTTTTTTTAATTCCTTTCCGATTTTTTTCCGTATTTTTTGGATATTTTTCGATACTTCAACCATTTTCGACCATTTTCAACAATTTTCAACATTTTGAACTGGTGAGGATAGAGCATTGTTAACATTTTGACCTCCGCTTGTAGAACGTTTTAACTGTTTTGCATTACCGGGTGTATATGCAAATGTGAATGTGTTTAAAAATATATACATGCAGATATGTTTATTTTCTAGGAGAGACAACTGTACTGTAAAAATAATTCCCAGAACGTAAAAATGCGTTTAAGTTAACACGAATTTGAGCAAAGACAGTTTATCGAAATACAGCAAGTAAACAAGAAGAAAAAATGAAATATAATAAAATAAGTAAATAAATAAGTAAATAAATAAGTAAATAAATAAGTAAATAAATTAAAAAAAAAAAAAATCACAACGCATGAGCATGTGTGTGCACATGACCAACAGGAACAATATTAACGCATCTTTTTATTGAACAAATATGCCTTTTCTGAGCGACAATTTTTAACTGCGTGTGATGCTACCAAGGAATTACTGTTTGTAGACACGTGCATAAACGGCATTTTCTTTTTTTTTTTTATTCTGCTTATCTCACTTCTCTCCACTTCTCTATAATCCTAAACCCTAGGCCTTCACTACTTCTTTTTTTTTTTTTTTTTTCTATCATCCGCATATTCTCTGTTATATTATTCCCCCTTCCTTATATTTCATATAACGATGTGTGCAATAATGTGAAGTATACCATTCCCAGCTGCCAATTTAGTCACACACATATACGCAAGACACTTGATGAGAAGTCCATTGTATACATTTTAATTTATTATTATTTTTTTTTTTTTAAGAATGCTTAAAATAATGCTATGTTTGTTACCTCCTGTTTATCTGCATTCATCTTATATTCCTATCCTAACTGAGAATATTCATAGGATATTACCGTACGAAGTTAGCACACACAGGTAACATATAGTGAAGGAAAAAATAAGATATATGAATCGTTCGAATATGCATGTTTTTTTTTGGTCAGAAGAGGGACAACAATATATCAGTTTCATATATGGAACGTCATATATAGGTTTTTTTTTTCTTTCTTTTTTTTTCTTTTTTTTTTTTTTTTTTTTTTTTTTTTACCCATTTTCACCTCTTCCCATTTTTCTCGCCATATATAGGAGTTCCCATAGGTTGCTCACAGAATCCATCTCCAAGAATCACAATGACGATATAAGGAAGTTTTACCATGGATTAATTTCAACAGAGAAGAAAGTAGAATGTGATAGTGGATTAGGAAAAAGTGATAGAGAAAGTGATATGAATAATGTTACATCAATAGGAAAAGAGGATAAATTCGTTAACGTTATGTTAGTAGACGTCCCCCCTGATTCACATGAATGCAATTCGAAGATGTTAAATGGAATAGATAACATATCATGCAAAAAAAAATGGTCTGAAAATATAGAATCATTTAATGAGCAAATTGGAACTAAACAAAGGAATTGGCGCGTTGACATTTTTAATTTTTGTAATGCTATGATGGGAGGAAAGGGTTTTAAGCAAAATTCAGATGTTCAAAAAGCAAAGAATAAGATGGAATGGTGTGAGCAGAATTCCAAGGAAAAAGTGAAAAATGAACAGAAAGCAAAATTGAGCATATTAGAAGAGTATTATATAAAAAATAACAAAAATTTTTATAGCTCATTTGATACTTCAAAAGAAGAAAATTCTTTTCTAAATAAACAAAATAAATTCGAAAGAAAACATGCTAGAAGGAAAAGGGAATTGCAGAAATCACACCTAACTATACCGATTAATAGCAGCACTGATAATATCAACTGTTTGAAGAGCATACCTACCGTTTGCACTAGTAGCAAGGAGAACATTTATAATGGTGACAGTGGTAACAGTTGTGACAATGGCGATAGGAGACACTGTAGCATGAGCAGCGAGAATAAAGCATATTATGATAGAATGATGACTCACGTGTTCGGTATAGCTACACTATTTTATAGCAATAAATCATATCTAGATAAATTGTCCAAAAATTTACCCAAGGAATATTTAACATGCTATGAAAATTTTGTAAAGAATTTAAATAATATATATGAAAATAACTTAACGCACGAATATGGAGAATTTTACGACCTTGAAAATAAAGAAAAACCGATTCAAGAGAAAGGAATTGAAAAATATTATTATGCTTTTAATAGAACGGTTTACACGTTTTTATTTTTCTTATATGAAATATTGCAAAAAGAGGATGCTTTACATTTAAGTTTTGAAATGTTACCAATGGAATATAAATTGAGAAATGATGAACTGATTGACACGATTATGAAATCGACTCCCACAAGTATGGATGATATTTATTTTACTTCATATAAATTTTTCGATTCAATGTGTACATGTTTTGATATATGTTCTTGTTTTAACATTAACTATATATCTAAGAAGTTAATTAACAATTTGAATGATAAACATAAGTCCAACAATACTGTATCTTCAGAACTGAAAAAAATAAATGAATATATGTCAAATACTCGTAATGATATAAAAGAATTTATAAAAGATTTGAATGCTTATTTTAAACAATTTTTCGATTATGCTTCCCAGGAAAATTTATTTAATGAAACAGTTTTATATTGCTACTCACTCTTTTTCGATTACTACCGTGGCATGATCGATAAATTAATAGACAATTTTAATATTCACTTGAAATTCCCAATAAATAAAAAAGCTCAAAGTGATATGATTCCAATATATAATGAAATCAAAATGCATGCAAATAACTTAGGATACAACATGCGCTCCTTTTATTTAAAGAATAACATTAAACCAGATCATGATATGCTCATCAATTCCCTTTTTTCAGATAATGCATTTAGATTACGACTTATTGATAAATATGCAAAAAGCCGATATGCAAATTTTATCTTTCTTTTGTTAAATATGATGGGTTACCTTCGCATTCTCATAGTTTCTGTAAATTCCTTTTTGTACTTACAAAATGTCCATGCACTTCTTTTGGATGTCCAAAATGGAAATATTAATTTTGACGATGCTGTGAAGGCTTTAAAGTACTTAACGAAATTTCTGTTGCGCAATAGTTTTATCTTTAATCCAAATGATGAGAAGAGTGAATAAAAAAAATTGCCCCAATTGGCAGGAGAACAGAGCGGGGAGAAAGACACGAGGAGAAAATAATGAGAAGAATAACATGCAGTATCAGGTTTGTAACCCAATCGGAAGGAGTGGTTATATTCATAGCGTGCATGAAAAACCTTATGTTTATTTTACTTCGTAGTCCGATCGGATCCCATATCTTGTAGCCGTATTTTTTTTTTTTAGTCAAACTGTGTATTATATATATATATATATATATATATATATATCTGTGCGGTTGTATTTCCAAATCATTGCCACAACACACATGCTGTGATGAGTTAACAGGAGACCTAATTCCCACACGACATGGAGAATGAACATTTATTTTCATTTCATCTACAAAAAATGGAACACATATGTGTGTATATAGGTACATACATCCCACACGTTAATAAAAATGGTGAAAATAGTTAACAATTTAGTGTATGCAGGGCGGGGGGAGTAAATATCATTTTGGATTTACATACTCTTATCCCACTCAAACGTATGACTAAATGAACATGTTCAGTTTAGCTTATCTACAATTTTGATTTTGAGTAAACGATCAAATGAAATATCATCAGAATGTGCACACAGACATACACAAAAAAGGGGACGGGAAAAAAAAAAAAATAAAAAAAAAAAAATAAATAAATAAAGTGAATATGTACATGTCTCTCATAAGACCATTTAGGACGACATCCTTAACCCTTCATTATATTCTCAATTTTACAAGGAAGTAACAATTATTACATAAATATTTTCATACCCAGAGAAATTTGAAGTTATGATTTACATAAATACCGTAATCCGTTTGGAAAAATAACAAAAATAAAATGCGCATGTTTTTTTTTTTTTTTTTTTTTTTTTTTTTATATATAGTATGCACACATAGATTTATACATGCATGTGCATTGTTCAGCATGTTTAAATCAATTTTGTTTATTCATTTTATCGTTCGTTCGTTCGTTCGTTCTCTCTTTCTTTGGCTCCTTCCTTCGATCCTTCTTTCCCTTTTCTTTATTTGGTTCCTTTTTTTTTTTTTTTTTTTTATTCTTTTTTTACATGGTAATTATTTGTTCATATTTATTATTTTGTTTTATCTTACTTTTTTACTCTTCTGTGTTCATATATGCAATAAGAATTAAATCAGTTGTATGTGTATGTTCTTGTAAATATGTATTTGTACTAGGCACACATGGATGTAATCTTTTTAAAACACCATTCGCCGCTTTTTTAAAATGCATATAAAAGGAGAAAGGAAGGAGATAAAAAAAAAAAAAAAAGGAGACAAGAATAGAGAAGCTACCATTTAATTACTATATTTATTTAAAACACGAACTATTTTTTTTTTTTTTTTTTCTTTTGTCACTTTTGCAAACATCAATTTGGCTTAGCGATTAATTTTTTGCCTTTTTTTCTTTTTTTGAGAGTTAGTATAAATTCCCTTTTCATTGTATTGGGATAACTTTTTTTCAATATAGTCATAGCCACGAAATTATGTAGGAGTTTTGATTACACACAAATGACAGAAAAAAAAGTTCTGCACACGTAAAAAATGGGTTGGTAAAAAATAAATTGCATAAAACTTTGCTTCATTTAAGGCATATTTTTTTGCCAAGAGGGGAGGAAGAACTGTAAAAAAATTATACGTAGGAAGTGTAAAATGTGGTATTTTCATCTGTACATATTAACAAAACGATGTATTTGAAAACTTTCCCTTCTTTTTCGTCCATCCGTCTATTCATTCATGAAAATGAACAAAATAAAGACCATGCACGTTTTATTTTTTATTTATTTTTATTTTATTATTTTATTTTATTTTATTTTTTTTTTTTTTCTTTCTCACTATCGTTTTAAAATGACTTGTCTGTAAAATATCATACAGATTTTCATTTCATTTTGCATTCTTTGTGATGTCTTCATAAGTATACCTTTTCTGCATTAATTAAAAGAGGAAAAATGGAATGTGAAGATGAAAAGGTGGAAGAAGAATATCCCCCTATTGTGATTTTGGACCCAGGGTCTTGGTTCGCACAAGTGAAAGAAAAACAAACCGATAGAAAAAAAAAAAAAATATATATATTTTCGTGGGGGAAAAAAAAAATGAAAACAATCTCATTCTAATAAACAATATTTGGATAATCCCAATTTGAGGAATCCTCTCTACTCTCTACTTCTACGCTCACCATACAAGCTTAAAACTTAAGAATATCATTTTTTCTTTAAAAATATCTTAATACACCCATGCCTATATCCACACTCATTTGCGCCATTAGGACGATAAAAATTGGAGTTACCAAGGATCACATGCCAACATTCCAGATCCCTTGTTTATATATAGAGTATGAATTATTTATGCATACTTATCCCAACTTATTTGTCCAACTTGCACGAGAATTAGAAGCGTTGCTTAGCATTTATACATATATATATATATATATATATACATGTATACACATTTTTATATATTTTTTTCTCTCCTTTTGGTAGAAAAACATTTTCCAACTCAAGAAAGGTGAAAGTATGAAAAGAAAAAGTTACCCTACAAATATGCCACCCTCAAACAATATAATATACGTATGGTGTAATAACATCATTTGTGTGTTCATGAGTGCTTAAGTGAGAGTATTCACATATGTGATAACACTTATGCATACACATGTAATTTTCTGTGCATGTTGCTTCACACCCCATGTCTGGAATTGATCTATTCGGACATGTAGTTCGGGTTGGAGGCTCTAGAAGATTATACACTAACTAAATATGGAATAGCTAAATCGAAAGAAGAAAAAGTATCAATAGATAAGGAAGGTTAAAAAAAAAAAAAAAAAAAAAAAAAATAGCAAAAAATTAATCGCTAATCCAAATTGATGTTTGCAAAAGTGACAAAAAAAAAAAAAAAAGAAAAAAAAAATTAGCTAGTCTACAATAGACGAATGAACATGCGTAACACATCTAGGGATAAACATTTATAGCAATATTTAGACTTGTATAATCATACCGAACAAAATACAATTCTTATTCAGATGGCGAATTAGTAAATGTTAAGATAACTTTTGCCGACCCACGACATCCATTGAGCACGAATGATTTCACGGATTTGTTCGAAGTGTACAACTACCTCATAAAAGTATGAACAAAAAGTACATGCACAGTTTGATCCCCCACATGTGAATGTACGAGGATGTAATTGTACACACACACACATGTGCGTGTATATATTTTTATTTGCGAAGAGATGAGACTAACTTCCCCCCACCAATTTTGTTTGTGCACATACAGGGATTTTAAGGCTTTCCAAACCCTACTCTATACAACATTTTACTTCTCTCATTTTTTATTTCCACCTCATACACACACTCCATGAAATAGAAACTAAACATAAAGACAGCTGACTACAATTTACTTGTCGCAATTCCAGAAAGAGCCGAAAAATTATACATTTCGAACTTACTTGATTGGGCATTCAAAAGTCAGAAATTTGCGTCCATATCTTTTATTTATAACTCCTTAGCAGCCTCTTACTATTATGGACTAAAAACAGGTTCTCAAAAAAAGATAAAGTTGTGTATTTCTGAAAATTAAACTTTTTTTTTTTTTTTTTTTTATGATACAGTTTTATGATAATAATTATGCATCGCATGACCAACTCGTTTAACTCGACTTTCTCCTCACCCCCCCCACCAACCCCCGTTTCTTTTAAAAGCTCTCGTTGTCGATTTAGGCGAATGCGCAAGTAGAATATCACCCATTTCAGAAAATTATGGTATTTTCCTTGACAGCACGAAGATTAGCGAAATAGGTGGCTATGTAATAAGTAAATATATATCCCATTTTATGAAAATAAATGATAACTATATTGATTACATACTTGTGCAGAATTATAAAGAATTAAACAGTTACATAAGTTTAGATATAGACAGAAGTATAAAATTAAATAGTGATTGTAATGGGTTAAGTAAACCATATAAAATTCCATACAATAATATATATATAGATCCAAAGGCTGAAATATTGAGTCATGAAATTTATTTTCAGCCAGAATTTTTAGCACATTTTCCTGGATATTATTATAAGCAAAATATAATATCATTAAATCAGCTAATTTTCGAATGTATATGTTCCTGTCCAATGGATTTAAGAAAACAATTAATGAACAACATTGTTCTTATTGGTGGCGTATCAAACTGTATTAATATGCATGAAAGATTACATAAAGAATTAATGAATACTTTAAAACATAAAAATTATAGTGAAAATACAAAAATACATATAAAAAATATGAACATGTCTGATATAGCCTCATATTTAGGCTGCAAAAAGTATGGGAAACTCATTTACAACAATGAAAAAAAGTGGATTACAAGGGAGGACTACTTTTCAACACCAAAAAATAAGAGTATACAAAAACTTCTAATATTAGCTAACATTCTGTAGTGTCCTCTACTCCACAAGGTTAACATTCTGCTTGACGAATATTCGTTTTTTTTTTTTTTTTTTTTTTTTAAAAAGATGTAAGGTAACAGTGGGATGTGTACATATTCGCATGCATGTTGATGTTCATTTGTTTTGTATAATAAAAAAGAATTGTGATGAAATAAATGATGCTTTTCCTTAAAGCTTGAGTAACAACATAACTTGTCTCATTAATATGCTCTCAAATATATTTTCTTATTATTACACATACCACTGTCACTTTAGTGTTATCATGCCATCAAACATATTTTATTATTTTATTTTACTTTTCTCATGGTTAGTTTGTGCAGGTAAAATGTAAGTTTTTTTTTTTTTTTTTTTACCAGCTAGCTAATAATATAAGAACTGTTGTGAATAATTTCCCCACGTTGTGTATATACATATGTATATCATATTCTTTTTTTTTTTTTTTATTACTTTCTGATGATGTATTTATAATATGATAAAAGTTGGTCACATGTGCCACATTTATCAATTCATGTTTTTTATACACCTGTTCGCAATGTTAAAAGGAAATTTTACGAAAAACTAAAATGTAAATTATAACAATGTAATTCCTTTTTTTTTTTTTGATCATAATGTAGACATGTGTAAAGTGTGCCTTGTTAAAAAAAAAAAAAAAAAAAAAAAGTCGTTATTCAGCACATGAATAAATTTAAAGCATGTATACACAATTGTGTATACATTTCACAAATATATAGGTGATAATAATAAGACCACAATTATATGTACACAGTGTCCCACTAAGCATACACGCGAGTGCTGAAAAAAACAGGGTAGAATATTGTCTGAATGCAATCATAAAAAAAAAATGGAATCACTTTTGTAAAACTTGTTCAAGTTGTTCGTTTTCACATTTAAATCTAAATTATACTTTTTCATAACATCTAGGTAGTAACTATATGAGCGATAATCTTGGTTACTTTCTTTTTTTTTTAAAACATCAATTTTATCACATTTTGACATTGTTCTATTTTGAAGAGGCAATTTTTGCTTAAAAATATAAGCAATTTTTCTATTAATAGCTTCAGATCCATCTGGTAGCACTAAATTATTATATTCATTTAATTCTGGTTTCATGTAGCCAAACTGTTGCAAAGCCTCATATATGGTATCATAAGTTATGTTCTTGCTGAGATCTTCCTCCTTCACTTTGTAATCATCACTGTTGTCGTTTTCACTTTTATCTTTGACATTGAGGTCAACCTTCTGCTCCTCTGTGTCAGAAAAGTGTAAGCTTAAGTTTTTATCACGTATGCTATTAGGCGAATTGTCACTTGCTGCGAAATTGTTTACATGGTTTTCATGCTCGATTCTGTCACAAATTACTCCATCACCCGTATCTCTTTTTTGTGTATTATATTTGTAACTTGATGTGGGTTCATCATCATAATACTTGGCACTGATGTGACACTTAGAACCTATTTGTTTTTTAATTTTTTTGTGGAGCATACAAAGAAGTAGCTCTTTGTCTTCCTTATTAGTAATGTATCTATTTAACAAATCGACGTATGATTTTGAAAAATCGTAATATTTTTGAATAAAAATGAAAAAGTCTGCATGTAGTTTGGTATGACTTTTGCATATCATATGGGACTGAAGAGACTTGACGCATTTAGAATATCGAAAGCAGTAAATACATATGTTTTCTTCGTATATTTTTTTCCCTATGGTTAAAATAACTTTCTTCAAATTTGTTACATATTTTAAATCTGGAATGTAAAAGGTATAATTATCATTCATATGTTTTATATTTTCTTCTACCGAATTAAATATTCTATTATCAAAAAAACACACCATTGGATTGTCATATTTTACATTTTTTGTCAACAAAATGTCCTCTTTCGTTGCATATTGTATCTTTTGCGCTACAGAATTGTTATTAATGTTACTGTTACTGTTCATTTTTTTATTGTTGTAAAAATCGACATTGTTTTTTTTTTCCTTTTTTTTCTTATTACTGTTACTTTGCTTTTTTTGTGCACGATTACTGTCGCTTTTTTCGTTGCTGATTTGGTCATTTTTGTGTGTGCTGTTATTTTTTTCATCGCCTTTGGCCAAAATTTGTACCTTTTCATTAAAAGTTATTTCGTTTACTGCATTTAAATTGAGCAGCTTTCTTTTTAAATTGTACTTGTGCCATTCGGACTTAAAATGATATCGAAAAAAAGAGTAGTTATATATTTGTATATTACATGTATAACAATTATAGGTCTTTTTATTCAAATCCCTATTTTCAATGTATACATTTACTTGATCGTTATTAAACATATTAATTGCTGAGTTGTTATTCTTATTCACATATTCCTGAAAAATTAAATCTTCTTTCCTTATGTTATATACACTTTTTATGTCCATAGATTTTTCCCCTATCTGTTTTTCTTCTATGTCTACTATTATGGCATCTTCATCATCCATTTTTGACTTTTTTAAAAAAAAAAAAAAAAAAAGCGAGGAGAGAGATGATTTTTCTATGTAACAATGTTATCTCTTCTGTATATTTGTAGCTTTTTTAAATTATGATTTATATTGATGTTTGGGTAAGAGTGTAAAGTATAAATACGCACATTTATGTATGTGTGTTTTTGTATATGTTTGGGTTAACGTGTCCAAAACCTTTTGGTCGTTTACTCGTTAATTTATTCTTATTATTTTTCTCAGTGTGAATGAACTCTTTCTTTCTGAGCAATTTTATTCATGTTTAAATCCAATTTTCATTTTAACTTATTTTAGTTTCCCGTTTGATATTTTTCTTGGTACGAAAAAATATGAATATATGCGTGGTTAAAAAAAAAAAAAGAAAAAAAAAAAAAAAAAAAAAAAAGGGGGGTTATACTGACAGGGGAAAGGGGGGGTACAGCAGAAATACCCTCAGGTGCAGCATATAATTATTATTTTGGCTCGTGCATACGAAGAACCGCTTAACTGATAATATACAAATCTGCTTATTCGTCTCTTTACATATTTCTTCAAATATAATTGATTGTGAAAGTATATGTGCTTTCCCACCTACCCCGTGAATGTGCTCAATTCTGCAAACTTTCCAAATCGCTGCTTTTCAGTGCGGCTTTGGAATGGGGTAATTTTTCTTCTTTATTTTGTTGGAAGTTTTTTTTCTCAAAATGTGATTAATTTAGATTCGTGTTGCGGAATTGATTTCCTTTTGATCTTCTTTTTTTTTTTTAAAAAAAATGGTTGTTAAAATTTCATTGATTAGCATACGTATAACATTTTTTTTAGTTAATAAAAGGAATAGATTTTCCTCTTACCATCAAAAAGGAAAGAAAAAAAAAAAAAAAAAAAAGGGAAGTAGGGCGATATGAAAATTGGGCGAACGGTAAATGGGCATAAATTCTGACATTTGACGTGGTTGCCAAATTCTCAGAAAAGCCAATTTTAACACAATGACGACAAAAACGTCTAAGCATGGATACACGTAATACATCAAGTTAAAAATAGAATAAAATGAGATATAATAAAATAGAATAAAGTAGAATAAAATGAAATAAAGCAAAAGCGTTCTAAAGAAAAAAAAAAAAAAAAAAAAATTTTAAATGATAATTATGCAGTAGTTATGTAGCCTTTCAAAAAATAAAAAAAAAACGACAGAAAAAAAGCATTAAAAAAATTTCATAAAAACGAAGTGGTCCTATTTTATTATTTTATTTTTATTATTTATTATTTTTTTTTTTTTTTTTGGAGATACAATAATGCAATTAATAATGAAGAATATATAAAAATATAGAATAATATAAAGCTAGGCCCCTGTTTTTCTTTTTTCTGTGGGAAGGTTAAGTTTGCCGCTAGCAACAGTAAATATATATGTTCTATAAATGTTATACATATATAATAATATATATATGTGTATGGAAGAGAATGTTATATATGTGGAAAAGCCCTACATCCTTTCTTTTCATTGCTTTTGAGTACTCTCTTCCCTTTATTACTCTTCTTACTAAATCATATTATGCATAAACTGCTTGCACTGCATTGGATTAATTGTTTCATTCCTTTTTGCTTTGTGAAACCCACTCTTCCTCTCTTTAGCAAAAAGTGACAAATGAAAAAAATAAAGAAAATAAAGCAAGCATTTTGCTGTTAATTTGTTTGAACCATAATGTTTATCATACGTATATAATATATATATATATATATATAAATAATCTTCCTATTATGCGTATATTTAAAAAAATTTATAAGATTTGCTGAGCAACAACATTTACGGGAGGAAAAAAAAAAAAAAAAAAAAAAAAAAAATTTGCATAAACCCCTTTCTCTTCTTAATTACGAAAAAAAGTTATTGTAGTCTATTAAATGAAAACACAATGGAATTTAAGACAGGTTTAAATGAATTATATACATTTTTATAAAATTATTACCAATCCCCCACCCCTCTCCACAATATTTTATTTGTGTCATTACTGAACGAAGGGATGTAGCAAGATTATTGATGGGGTGATCTCCAGCGAGTAAACTTCAAGTCCAATTTTTTTTTTCTTTTTTTTACCAAATAAGACTGGAAGCACCTGTGTGCATGTCCCCACATATGAGTATATACTATATATATATATATGTGTGTGTGTGTGTAAATATATGTATATATAAATATACGATATATATACATTCCAAAGTGGTAAACTTTTCCCTCCACCTTTCGTATTTTGTGCCGTTTTCATAATACCAGCAGCAAAGCCTTAGCAGCTGGTGGATTAGTTATAATTTCATAACAAAAATTTAAAAAAAGAGAAAAGAAAAAAAATGTGTGTGTGTGTATAAATATTCATTAAAGCACACAATGAGAAAAAGGAATTTCTTCTTTCCGTAGGGAATGGCAAAAGTGGAAGAGCTATTATAAGAATTACGTATTTATATATATGTATATATACATATGTATATGCATGTATAAAATCATATGTAGTGTATGCCCATAAAGTGTTACAAATAACGAACGGTCATTTACAATGTGACAGACAACGTCTGACAAATTTTTATAAACTGTAACAGGCACCTTACGTGTTTGGGAACTTATGACACATGTTCATATGATGAGACCTTGCATTTTTACATGATCGATTTTAGCAGAAAGTATTGCGGCGTGGAAGGAAAAAAAAAGGTGTAAAAAAAATATAACATGCAAAATGAAAATTTTTCAACCAATGTCATCTTCATATAGTATACATTTTTGTCGATTATTTTTTATTTCTGATCTTCTTTTTTTGTAATTTATTGATTCTCTCTTTTCTTTATCCGTTGGTTTTAAGATTCTTCGTTTTTCCTTCTATGAATTTGGTTTTTTAAAAAAAAAAAAAAAGAAAAAAAAAGGGAACATAACGAGATGAATTTCCATACCAATGCGTATTTACTGATTAATACACATGCCGCTTATGAGTGTTACAAATGGTAAACAATTAACACATCATCATGCACAATATTTGGTGGACATGGGATATGTTCAGTTATCTCACACAATTTTGCAAAAAATTTGAAAAAAAAAAATTATGTGCTATAAAGGTCTTACTTCAATTTGATTGATGATCTTATTTTCGAGTTTGTCTCTGATTGAAATTATTTTATGGTATAGCAATTCTCGTGCATAAGTTCTGTTTTTATGTAGACATCTTTTGAAAAGGTAAAAAAAAAAAAATTAAGCAAAAACAAATGTGATAAACAAGGTTTAAAAAAATATTTAGGATAAAATGGAAAATGTGAGAAGGAGAATAGAGGTTTGTCTCGTAATACCTACAGCCATTTCTCATAAAAATAAAACAAAATAAAAATGTATTTTTTTCATTTTCTATGTTTCCATTTCTCACCTGTACTTATGGCATTTTATTATTATTTTTTCTCCATCCGAGTTGTCATACTTTATCATTACGCAATTATTCGTTTTGTTAACTTTCTGTCCACCTTTGCCTGTACCTCTAATGAAAGATTCTTCAATGTCTTTGGGAAATATATCTATGTCTTCTAATTTTTTGCATATTATTTCGAATTTGTTTTTTGATGTTTTGTTCAGATACAGGCGAAATAAGTTCCTTGCTTTTGTTAACCCTTCATATCTTTGTGGGATACATATGAAACTTTGATACTAAAAAAAAAAAAAAAAAGGGAAGAGGGGGAGAGAGGTACTGATGGGCATCATGTTGATGGAAGTTTTGATTGATGAGTAATGGAACATATATACTTGTCATTTTTTTTTTTAATCTATACATAGGGGTACATATGATTATGTGTAGGATATGAGATTCATGTCCGTTAGTTTTTATTTCCTCCCATACGTAGTACGAAAACGTAAAAATAAAAAATAAAGAATAACAAATAAAGAATAAAAAATAAAGAAAAAAAAATAAAGAATAACAAACAAAGAAAAAAAAAAAATAAAGAATAACAAATAAAGAATAACAAATAAGGAATAAAAAATAAAGAATAAAAAATAATGAATAAAAAATAATGAATAAAAAAAAGAGAGTGGCGTCTTTTCTTTTCATGCAATTCAAACTGCGTACCTTATCAGTTTTAGTTGAACATTTGAGAGTGTTTACAAGAGTAAACAAATTTAAAAAAAACAGGAAGTTAAGACATAGCAGCATTATATACTTTTCCACCACGATCTCTGATCTGTGGGATTTGTAATTGACCTCAAATGGGACTACTTCAGGTGTGACCACTTTTCAAATATTTTGTGTGTCTATTCAGGAAATCTTCGTCTAAATGGCCTTTAACTTGTATACATTTTGCCCATGCAATGTAAAGTGGGATAGGCGAAGTAGAATATGCAACGATGACTAACCAAAGCAGTATATTCGAAAAGGAAATTTTTGCTTCCCTTCACTCAGTTTCCATTCACATTTCATGGATCAGGGGGGTCAACTTCCATTTGTTTGTAAAAGACGGTAAATGATATTGTGCCAGAGCTAGTGTGTGCGCCCCCACTCTTTCAGTTTTTTTTTTTTTTTGGCACTCGTGAGAAATTTTTTTTTTTTTTTTTTTCTTTTTCGAACTAAGCTAGTTGCAATGTGTAAACATTTTAAAAAAAAAAGCAAAACTACGATAATGAAAAGATTGAAAACAGTGAAAAGAGAAAAAATAGTGAAGAAAATGAAAAAAGGAAAAAAAAAAAAAAAAAAAAAAAAAAAAAAAAAACACATTATTTTTCCTCACTTTGGGAATGATATAATTTCCCCCTTATCAATTCGTTTTGTGTGCATGTGTTACTACAAATTAGGAGCACAGATAAGCTAATTGTGCTCGCCAGAAAAAAAACAAAAAAAATAAAAAAAAAAGAGAGAAGCAAACGAGTAAAGAATCGAAGAAGTAAAGGGAATCCACTACCGAAGCAGAGAAATTGTCAAGGAACGAAATCTGAAATGGGCAGTGCGACTAAAGGTGGTTAAGGGGGCGCTAAAAACCTTTTTGATTAATTTTGTGGCATCGGATGACTAATTAAAAAGCCCAATTTGGTAGGAATTTATTTTTGAAAAAAAAAAAATAACCTCATTTAAGGAAGAGCACGCACCCTTCTTCATATAATTGAGTTAAAACTTCATATTTTGTGTTTTGAAAGTTCTTAACATTTATGTTTACTTCAAGGATATGTAAACACGCATGTGTTAGAACACACATTCAACTGTATGTGTGAAAGTATGCATACATCAGCATATGTATATATATTTGCACATACAGGTACATGTACATACACCTTTGCATAGTTCCTACTTAAAGAGAGAAAAAAAAAAAAAAAAAAAAAAAAAAAAAAGAAAAGAAAAGGAAAGAAAAAGAAAAAGAAAAAGAAAAGGAAACGACACAGTTTTGCTCCATATAACATTTTTACCGTTTCGTACGAGAAAGGCCCATGAATGAACAACACTAAACTAATGCATTTAGGAATTTCTGCCCCTCGTTAATGCTCGTGAATGGATATTTATTTTGTATTTTTTTATACTTGTATTTTTAAATCCGTTCAAGTTGTGTACATACATAAATGTGTAGATATAAGTAGGTATCATCACTAATGCAGAAAGGCATAAATGATTAAGAAGTAACGCAAGGGGTGAGTGTGTTCAGTGGGTGAGCGCTGGTTTGGAAAGATAGATTTTCTCCTCTGTGTTGATTATTGCCACAAGCACAATTGGCATAAGCGCACGATCGGCAATTGAAAGGTCACAAGTTTGACAAGCAAGAGGAACTTCCCTCCTTTCCTCTACTCCACCCCACACACACACATACACACACAGACCCTACTGAACTCCTATTTTAATCCAAAAATGAATAAAAACGAAGAAATTTTGTCCAAAGCGACCCCCGATTTTATATACAAATTTTTTACTGAACCTAGTTCGGAGGAAAGCATAGGTTGGTTAAATTCACAGGTAATTTTAATATGCTTTAGTCAGATGAATGCTGGGGCAAATCAAATTTTTTTAAAAGTAATTGATGGAACATTACCTCCACAGTATTATGCCATTGTACATGTGGGGATTGAAGATGGTAATACTGTTACCACCTCTGCAGCAACATCTGCACCAATATCTTATGTAAAAAAATTAATAGCAATCGAAAATTTTTCTATTACGAATTATTATGGGAAACTTTTCATTTTTGCAAAAAGAATAAAAATTTTTATGAACATAGAATACTTTGATATTGAAGATTTATTCAGGAAGTACCATCTCCAGAGTATTTCTTACTTACTGTTAAATTCAAAAACAGAAAATAGTTCAAAAGACGGCTGTTCTCGACCTCCTCCCCAATCTATTGAGTATAGCAGTGAAATTAAGTCTAGAACTAATGACAACGAAGGAAAAATGAGAACTAGTACCCTGCCACGGTTTTCTAATGAATATGACAACGAAAATAAAGCAAGAGAATTCTTATATCCTCGCACTGAGATAACAGAACATATAAATTCTTACCCTTCATCAACCAATTATAATAAATTTAATGAACGTACAGAAAATGATTCTAGAAACAGCTATGAAAAATGTCAACGTATGTCTAGTGAAAATTTTATCAAGGATCCGGTAAGTAAGGACTTCCATTCGACCTATGGAGAGAGGCCCGTGTATGTTGAGAAATCAACCTATGTGAATAGACTACCCTACAAAGATTCCACACAAAGTTATGAACACAGCAGAATACCTGAAAGTAACAGAGAAGAGGGTACAAAATATGTAAAGAAACCTTCTCAAATTGTGCATGAAAGAATGAAAGAAAATTTGACAACCCAAATGGTAGAACAGCAAAATGTAAACAAGTGCGTATACAATGAAAATTCAAACTATAGCCATCTCCCATTGAATATGAACAAATTAGAAAATAACAAAAACGAGACCATAGGGTTGTTATCACACCAACATAACCCAAGTTTGCACAGTATGAATCTGAATCCTCCTCCATATAGTAAGCGAAACAACACTACTGTGTATGACACGAGTCGTGTTAATACTTCTTATGAAAAGGAATATTACAATAATAATAGTAAGAGCAGAACTCATAATATTGTACCGGAGATGCATAATGGAAGGAGCAGCAATAGCTACGAACCGATCGGAGGTGCTCCTCCTACAGTTTCAAGTACATTTACAGAAAAAAATAATTTTCAAGAAAGTATGATTAATAGTTATCCAAAACCATGCATGAAGAATCCAAGCGTGTATATGTATGATGGGGACATGGGCGAGGATGCAATAGGAGTGGAAGTGGCAGAGGGTGAGGATTTAAAAAAACGTTTCTCCCCTAGAAGGAATGATAATTCGATGGAAAATAGAACCCACAGCATAGATAGAAATGCAACTGATGAAAGAAATTATTACCAAAGTGTTAAGGGACATACAAATGAATTCGGAAGTGGCATAAATAACAATAATAACAAAAAAGCAAATGGGGCATATGATCATTTTTCTCCACATAATATAGGAGAAAATGAGAATTGTAAAAACGTAGACATGCACAAAGGAGGAAAGGAGGAAGGTCACAACCACAGAAGCGTTACCCAATCATACGGAACTGCAAATACATATGCGAATACAAATACATATGCGAATACAAATACATATGCGAATACAAATACATATGCGAATACAAATACACATGCGAATACAAATACATATGCGAATACAAATACATATGCGAATATAAATACATATGCAAATACAAATACAAATGCACAAGATTCGAAAATGTATGTAGGAAGAAGCGGTGGGAATTATAATAGCGGCTTGTCAAAGGTTAGTACAAATGAGGAAGCGACAAATGACAGATTTTTCCCTCAAGAGGGAGATAAGTACAGCAACAAAAGTGTCAATAATTATGGTTCTGCAAACGTTGAATTTGGAAGAAGAAACTATAATTACAGTGGTAGTAACAACCACAGAAGTGAAGAAGAAGGGACAAAAAAAGGTAGGAGTGATGAAAACACGGGATATTTCCAAGAAAGGAAAGAAAGTTTGCACGATTTGGATGAATTTTCTACAGATAAAAAAAACGAAACAAAAAGCATGTTGAAAGAACATACATTAAGTAGGAATAATAGAAAATGTAACCCATACCAACAAAGCAATAGTGCAGTTATAAAAATGAATGATGGTATTTTAATGCAAATTAATAAGCTATCACAATATTCTTCCAAGTGGATTATCAAAGCTAGGGTTCAATCAAAAGATAATGTAAGGCGATTTTATTCTGGAAATAAAGAAGGAAAAGTTTTTAATATTGAACTATGTGATGAAGATGGAGAAATAAAAGCAAATTTTTTTGGAAAAGCAGTAGATAAATGGTATGATTATTTACAAGTGGGGAAAATATATAAAATAAGTAAGGGAAATATCAAAGCAGCAAATAAAAAATTTAATACCTTGAAACATGATTGTGAAATTACCTTGGATGAGAATTCCATTATTGAATTGTTAGAAGAAAATGATAACATACCAAAATTTATATACAATTTTGCATCTATAGATAATATAAAAAATATGAATACAGGTTCTTTAGTAGATGCAATAGGAGTAGTGTTGAGCTTTCAAGAAAATATGCAAGTATTAATCAAAAAAACAGGACAATATAAAGAAAAAAGAGATTTAACTTTGGTAGACGATAGTAATGAAACAATAAATGTAACTCTTTGGGGAGAACATGCTTTAAAAATTGAAGAAATTCATCTGAGGGAAAATTGTATTATATGTTTTAAGTATTTGAAAGTTGGAGAATGGCAAGGAAAAAAATTAGAATCTCACCCGAAAACTAAAATTGAAATAAATCCAGAAATAAATAGAGCATATATACTACAAAATTGGTGGATCAATAATAAACAAAATGTATTCAGTTCTGTTAATGTAAGTACAAATAATTTTCATATAGAATTACAGAAAACCATTGAAGAAATTAAAAAAGATGTAAATTTAGCAAATGAAGAAGCTTTATCAGGAAAAGGTATAGTTTTTACTACATTTGGATTTATCGATCATATTTATAATTCTATACCTGTCTATTCAGCTTGTCCAGATTGTAATAAAAAAATGATTGCCAATATTGTAGATGACGAGGAAGCTCAAGATGACGTAAACTCCTCTCAATTGATGGATCAATCCATGTATTGTGCAAAGTGCAATAAAAACAATATACCCATATATAACTATTCAATAAACTTGAAAATTACTGATAGTACGGACTCATTGAGGGCATCTGCTTTTTCCAATTGCGCGAGAACAATCATGAATGGCCTCTCTGCTGATGAGTTTATGAGCTTGAGGCAAGAATATGTAACACAGGAAAATATAGAAAATTTTGACATTATTGAAAAGGTCAAATTGAACGAATTTTTTTTTCGTATCAAAGCATATATGACTTCCCATATGGACGAGCTGAAGAAGAATTACACCATCATCGAAATAATCCCTCTGAGTAAGTTGCTGGTGGATAACTGCAAGTACTTGATACGTTCTATTAAAAACTTGACGGAGAAGCGGGAGTCAGAGTGAGGAGGAACTAGCCACGTTGAGGAGGAACTAGCCACTTTGAGGCCGCCTGAAAGAGTATCAAAATTGGGTACCCCCTTTTAAACGCTTGTACACACACACACACATGTGTGTGTGAATCTTCTTGCAGTTACGGAAGAAAGCAGGTTCATGTATCTCCTATCGTCCTTATGTTCACAATATTAAGAAGTTTTTCATAGGAAAGTGTGTTTTCATCACGGAACGACTTACCTACCCCATGCACATACAGATGAACCTGTTACCCTAATTCCTTCTTGTGTTACCTCTTTCCACAACCTCTCTCTATTGGTTTTTCTCTCCCATTCTCTCTCTCTTTCTAGCTCGCTTTTTTTTTTTAATTTTTCGGACACATATACGTATTCATTTTTCTTGCATCAACCCGTACGACCATGTACATTACACATTATTTATTCTGAATATTCATATTTCCTTTGAGCAAAAAAGAAAGAAAATTAGGAAGAAAATTAGAAATAAAATTAGAGAGAAAAATATCTTTAAACCTTTTTGTTTTATCATTACTTCTGTACACTCATTCTTCGCTATGTTCTAATTTGAGTTTTTTTTTTTTTTTTTTTTTTTTTTTTTTGTTTTGTTTTGTTTTTTTAACTTCAACTGATGATGAACCTATACTTTTAATTATGTACCTTACGCATCACTCTACATTGGGGGAAAGTGTGTCAACGAGTAGAAAGGCTTATGGCCTCGTCCAGGTGGCAAATATACAGAGACAAATAATACCGGCGATAGTGCAAGAAGAGTGAAATTGTGTTTAAAAAAAAGAAAAAAATTAGATATATCTTCTTACAGCAGTGTGTGTTCATACGCATACACGAGGAGAGGAATATATTTATGATGTGTACTTCTTTCCAAAGGTGAATTGTTCAAACGAGATCATAGGAAAGTGTTTGTATGTGGGTGGGGGAAGAAATCAAAATGTAGGAGTATAAATAGATAGATACGTAAATACGTGTAACTTATATACATATTCAACCGAATAGAATTAATTTACAATTCGTGTGGAAACAACAGATGTGTGTATCATTACATGGGCCAAAATTATTGCAACATCGAAAAAGAGAAAAGAAAAACAACAAGAAAACGGAGTGAAAAAGCAATAATTAGGAATTCACAACAGTCGAAGATAATCACCACGGAGTGCAAAAAGAAATGTTATAAAAACAAAAGCGAAGGTGGAAGAGAAAACATGATCGGAGAAAAGAATAATATATATATGAAAAAAAAAAAAAAAAAAAAAAAAAAAAAAAAAAAAAAAAAAAAAAAAAAAAAAAACCATGCAACTCTAAAAGTACAGAGTTGGTAAATACAGGCAGTATACCAAAAATAGTATCCTATAAAACTTTCGTAAAAAAAAAAAAAAAAAAAAAAAAGAGAGAGAGAGAGAGAGAGAGAGAGAGAGAGAGAGAGAGAGAGAGAGAAAGAAGCACGCAGAATAAGTCCATGGTTCCTAATATTTACCCCACCTTGCGAACCTCCCTATCATTTCCATTTTGTATTTTTATATATTTACTTTTTTCTTTTTTTTTTTTCTTTTCCACCCATTGATGCTACATAGTACCTTCAAAAATATGTTAGATTACGTGAAGAAGTACATATACATAGAATTGTTAATACTTTTACGAGCCCTGAATTACTGGATTCCGTTAGACAGACATGTGAACATAGTAATCATATTGTACCTGACCTTTTTGGGCATCATTTATTTAACCTTTAGATTTAGCTATGGGAATCAAGGGAAGACTAAAAATGCTTGTACTTTTAGAGGAAAGCATGTCTGCATAGTTGGTTAGTAAGTTTGAGGCGCACCCATACAGTACACACACTGTATGTACATGTATGTGACATGACATGACGTGACGTGAAATTTTACCTTCGTGCACGCTGCCTCTCTCTTCTCCCAGGTGGGTCAGAGGGGCTAGGATTTTCTCTGGCCAAAAGAATCGTGAGGGAAAAGCCGCACACATTAACCATAATGTCGAGAAATGTAAACAAACTTAGGAACACAAAGAAGGTTCTATTGGAGGAAATTTACAAAGAGAGAAATGGAGAAAGGAATTCGAACGATGGAGATGGTTGCATGTGCACGAGAATAAATATAATTAAGTGTGACATAGGGATGAAGGAGTCAATTAACGAGGCCTTTGAAAATGTCATAAGAAACAATAGTTTAGACAAAGAAAATGATAATGAAGAGAATGTAGCTAGAAAGAGTATACATTTGAGGAATAAAGCAATAGATTTACTAGAACCAAAGGAGATTGAACTAAACAATGTTGAAGTTTTAATATGCAATGCTGCATATGTATGTACAGAAGAGAATAACAAATTACAAATGTATGATTTAATTTACACAGTTAATACAAATATATATGGCAATATTGATGTTATTTCGAGAGTTATTTCTTATATGAAAAGAAAAAAAGAAGGATTAATTTTGTTTATAAATTCAGAAGGAGCATTATATCCAGTATATGGTTATTCCTACTACTTAATGAGTAAAGCGTGCTTATGGACTTACACATATATTTTGGATCAAGAATTAAAATATTTTAATATTCATTTTACTAATGCATTTTTACCATCAGTTGAAACACCAGGATTTGCTAAGGAAAATTTAAAAAAACCATATATCACAAAAAAAATTGAAGATTTAACTTGCACTGTTAATTCAGATTACGCAGCTGATAAAGTTGTTCAGAAAGTAAAAAAAGGGAAAAAATTTATAACCTTAGATTTTAATGGTTTTATGTTGTCCGTTCTGCATAGTGGCTATAGGAACCCGGAGTCTTACTTTGACTATTTAATTTGCGTTTCCTTTTGTGGTTTTTTTATTTTTGTTTCATCTCTGTATAAGTTATACATAGAACACATAATTAAGAGGAACCTCATACCCGGGAGGTGTTACTCACGGAAGGGAGCAACTTGAATGTTATTCGGACTCAGTGCACTCTCCTGTCAAGGTGTATATTGTACATGTGCACGTAAGTGTGTATGTATGTATGTATATATATATATATATATATATATATGTATCTACATCTGATGCAAAATTCGGTGTGTAAATTCCTTTTGGCGACTAGCATCATTTCGAGTAATCCTTTCATTTTTTAAAAGAACATTTTTTTTTTTTTTTTTTTTTTTTGTTTTTTTAGTCCATATGGATGTTTTATTAAAAGCAATGCGTATATATATATATATATATATATATATATATATATATATATACATATGCGCACAAAAGTATGTGTCATAAAAAATGTATGCCTTATTTAAGCATTTAAATTTGTTATGATGATGTGGTGAAAAAAAAAAAAAAAAACTTACGGGTATATTACCCCTGAATAAACGTTTTGGTTTGTCCTAATTTCTTGGTTTTAATTTTTCCGATATCCACTTCTTGGCATAAGAAAAGGTAGAAGGAGAATTGTCTCTTCTTTCATCAGTCACTCCAGTTTCATGAAAATCGTCTAATTTGTTATCATTATTTGTTACGTGACTATGGTAGGGACCTGGATGAGATGATTTGTCTTCATTAACCTCGCTATCAAATTTACGGGATGAGTTCCCTAACTTGTTCGTGTTCACATTGATATTCATTTTAGTTCTATAACTGGATTCGTCCATACATTTAACATTCCCATCGTCAGATGGGTATGTTCTGTTCATACTTCTGTGCAAGTTGGTGTCCTTATTTCCAGCACTGTTCTGTTCTTTTGTTTTCTGTCTCGTAGATTTTGGAGGAGGAGGTGGGATTGGCACATTCGAATTGTTTTTTCCCTCACAATTGTTTATACTATTTTTCTTCTCTGGTATGGGTGGAGGTTCCGGCACGTTCTTCTTCTCCCCCTTGGCAGTTCCAGCTGTTCGTGCAGCACATCCGCTACTGCTGCTGTTACTGCTGCTGTTGCTGCTGCCGTTGCTGCTGCTGTTGCTGCTACTGTTGCTACTGCCACCTCTGCCGACACCATCAAAATTGACCTTATGGGACGTGTCTCCTCTACCTGCCATGTTATACGAATTGGCTTGACTGAGCTCAATTTGGTTGAACTCCTCAATCAATTCTACCTGTCTAGGTGTCAACTTTTCAGGAATTTTCAAACTGAATTTTATAACCAAATCTCCATTTGTGTGTGAATCTACTTTACATGGCCCTTTTCCTTTTAATACCCTCTCTGAATTGGGATACGTTTTTGGCCTAATGAGAAGATCCATATCACCATTCAATGTTGGTACATTAATTACCCCACCAAGAAGACATTGCTTAATTGTTAATGGAACATCTACATGTATATTATCATCAACCCATTTGAAAATTTTATGTGGTTCTATATTTATAGTAACAAATAAATGTCCATTTTTCCCTCCTCTGTATCCTGAATGCCCTTGATTAGGTATTCTCATTTGCATTCCTTTTTTAATTCCTGGTGGAATATCCAAAGTAATATTTTTCGTTTGAAATTTTACACCACTTCCTGAACATTGTTTACAAGGGTTATTAATAATTTGCCCATTTCCAGAACAATTTCTACAAGGAACCCCAATAATTATTGGACCTCTTTCTATTCTTTGAATTCCTGAACCGTTACATACTTTACATATGGTTAAATTTGTACCTGGCTTTTTGCCAGATCCATTGCAATTATTACATGATACTTTTACATTTAAGCGAATATTTTTTTCGCATCCTTTTATTGCTTCCATAAATTTGAGTGTAATTTCTGTTTGAATATCTTCTCCCCTGGTTGATGTTGTTTTTGAGCCTGCCATGTTTGTAAACATTTCTGCAAAATCAGTAAACATAAATGAAGCATCACCAAATCCTGAGAAAGCACCTTCAAAATTTGATCCCGAGGCTGATGCTTGTTGATCATAATGCATATCATCTGTCATTCCTGTTTTGTCATAAAATTCTTTTTTCTTCGGATCAGATAATAATTCATATGCTGCCGTTATACTAGCCATTTTTTGTTTTGCATCTGGGGACGGATTAATATCTGGATGATATTTTTTTGCCAGCAGACGAAATTGTTTTTTTATATCATTTGTTGTGGCATTTCTCGATAAACCCAATACAGTATAGGGATCCTGGTTCATGCATCTTCTAGAAATGTGTATATTCCTTTTCGAGCAAAGCAGAAAAGGGACTCCACCACTGCTGCCACCGATACCACTACTACAAATTTCTCTCTTTCCATATTTTCCTATACTTTTATATACCTTCCCCCTTAGCACTTGGGTGAATATATTTCGTTCAAGAATTAAATTTTCGTTCCACGTCTTTCTCAGAATTCTCAACGGAACTGACATCTTTGCTTTATTTCAGGGTTCTTCCTAGGGGACAATTGAGTTATCTACTTGATGAGCTTTCAAACATCAGCTAATTAGGATACACTCAAAAATAACGCAGCTTTTCCTTTTCAAATGAGTACAAAAAAATAAAAAAATTCACACTGTTTATACGTTTACATATACAAAAAAGAGAAAGAATCAAAAGAAACCTTATTTCATGACAAGGATAAATAATATATATATATATATATATATATATATACATACATAAAAGAGCTATGTTTGGAAATGAGGCAAGTGTTGGGGGTTGATGGTAAAATTTCCAAACGGTGGTCTCGAATTAAGGAGGTAAAAAATTGTTTGAATTAAAAATTTGCTACTAAAGAAGGGACGATTTCATATTCATGTATAATTTATATGTGTACAGGGGGATTGACTTTTTTTTTTTTTTTTTTTTTTTTTTTGAAAAAAATTCTAAGTAACACATGCTTATGAATAAATAACTACATTTTTTTCTTAAAGTGCAAACGTGTATTCCCAAATGGTTTTTTAACACATGTGAAAAATGCATAAAGTAGAAATCATTTTTTCATGAGAACTAAAGAAAAATAAGAGCATGCAAAAATTAAAAAATAAATAAGTAAAATAAAGTTAAAAAAAAAAAAAAAAACAAACAAAAAATAAAACAAAACAAAGTGGAAAAAAAACAAAATAAAAAAAAAAGGAGGTTATAATCCCCTCTCTCATTGGATGAAATAAAAAAGTATAACAAGTGGGAGAAATAGTTAAAAAAGATAAAAATATATCGAGGATTTCTTCTCTCCTTTTTTGCACATTACGTAACCACATACTTACAATCCACATGATGTTAGGAATGTGCCCTTCTACATATGTATAAAAATATATACATTGCTTATTTTTTCCTTTTATGTAACACATGGAATGAACCCGAAATAAGATGTTAAACATGTATACAATAAAATAAGCATATAAGTGAAAAGAAACCCAAGTGAAATAACATAATTAGGAAACAGAATAAATGACAAACTGAACAACACACTTTTCCTACGAGCATGTATAATCAACGTTGGGGGCTCATGTGAGATCTTGTGGAGAAAAAGATATTAACACAGTATGGTTACCCAAAAACTTTAGGTCTTCTTTTTTCCCTTAATCTAGGTATAAGAATGAACGAAAATTTTCGGTTCTCATGTAATATATACATATTCACACATGTTTCGTTATGTCATGTTTATTTTATTTTATTTTTTTTTTTTTTTCCTATTTTGCTTAAGTCACATTTATTCTACAAAAAGGAGGGAAAATCCTTTCTAAATTCCAGCTAGAGAAATGAAAATGCAAGTTGATCATACCCATTGGTATGAAATTCAGATTTTAAAAAAGTAAAAGAAAAACCAAAAAAAAGGAGAAAAAAGAGGAAACAAAAGAGGAAAAAAAGGAGGAAAAAAGGGAGGAAACAAAAGAGGAAAAAAAAGAGGAAAAAAAGGAGGAAAAAAAAGAGGAAAAAAAGGAGGAAAAAAAAGAGGAAAAAAGGAGGAAAAAAAAGAGGAAAAAAAAAGTAATGACGTGGTTTATGTTAACAAACGAGATGCAACTTGAGGCTAAAAAAAAAAAAAAAAAAAAAAAAAATAGGATAAACTGTCACTGTATTATTCAATATTGTAGTTTTTATCATCACAAAGAGGAAGGAGATATATTTATATATATTTGTGTTTTCGACTGAATTCTGTGCACATGGTATATGATTACAATATGTACACTCTCATTACACCCATTCAAAATGAAGAAACGCACGAACGGTAAGAATATTCTTTATTCTTCACTGTTCCTGTTTCCACCTTATGAATGGTAAAATTTGGATATTTATTCAGACTATTATATATATATGTATAATAGTCTGAATAAATATCCAAGAAATACGCTCATCGGTTTATGTCTTCATTTGTAAAAAAAAGAAAAAAAGAAAAAAAAAGGCATATCTGAAAAATTCATCTTCCTACAGAAAATGTTTACAACTGTTATGACATAATACTACACTGTTCACCAACGCTACCAACTTGCGTTTGGTCCTTTCAAAATTAGCATGCAGAAAATTCCATACATATATATATATAACTTTGAAAAGATCAGTGCATTAATTATTTTCATTGCAGTTATGTCAACATATATAAACAACTTCGAATCTTAGGAAGCACACACTTCATGATGTACACTTTTGTATGTTTCTATTTTTCCATTCTGAACGCTGCATTATTTGTACCCAAAACAGAGGACTGGTGAAACTCCATTTCTCCATTACGTTTGTATATGTGTTGTATGAAGTGTGCAAGCGCACCTAAGAAGACTCGTCTCTAATTTTAGCATATATATATATATATACAAAGTGGAAACTGATCTTACACTATTTTCAAATCACATCATACCAAAAAAAAAAAAAAAAAAAAAAAAAAAAAAAGGAAGTACTTCAAAATGGGGGATAATCGCATGGAGGTCCTACCAGCTGGGTTTTCAGACTTTCGAGATAGGAAGTACTGGAATAGATTCTTTCAAGCTTTTGACAAAAAGAATTTCGAATGGTATGGGACCTATGGGGATATAAGACATATCATATATCGGTGCATAAGAAGCAGGATGAAATATTTTTCCGTTGATCGAGGGGAGATGAATGGCAACGTAGGGATCGAAGCGAGTGGCGAGGTGCACGGGGAAGGCATAAATAAGAACTGTCTAATCATAAACGCTGGGTGTGGTAACTCCAACTTAAGTTATGAACTGTTACAAGACGGATTTAAGAACATTGTAAATATAGATTACTCAGATATAGTCATCAACAAAATGAAGAAAAAGTTTGGAGATAAAATGGAGTATGTAAATATCGATATGAGAAATGTAGAAGAGTTTGAGAGCCTTTTAGAAAAGTTAGAAAACGAAAGAATAAAAAAAAAAAAAATAGATTTTAAAATATTTTTTGATAAAGCCTTTTTAGATGCATATATATCATGTGAAGAAAACGAAGAGGAAGTGTGTAAAAATAATGCAAAGAATTATTTTTCTCTTATATTCAAATATTTAAAAAAAGGAGATATATTTATTATAATTACACTTGCACAGTATTATATAATTAAAGAGGTTATTCGGAATGTCTACAATGAAGACATAATGCTAGATGTGTACCCTTTTTTGATAAAACAAAATACAAGTGAATTTAAATATCATCCATTCTTGTTCTCGTTTTATAAAGCTCATAAAGACAAAAAAAAATTCACTACAAATTTTGTAAACCTAGAAACAGGGATTAATAATGTTATATCTCTGTGGAAATTGCCTAATGAAATAAATGAAACGAGAGAAAATTTAAATATTCATATATTTAAAAAAGGAAAGAGAATAATCTTGGATATTTTTAATAAAAATTTAAATAAATGTGATTATAACGTAATTGTTTACGATTCGTGTAATGATGCTACAATTTACAACACCATTGTTATACTCGTACCATTTGGATATGAATTTCATTCTCTTTATTCCACTGCTGAGGGAAATGAAGAATTGGCTTCCAAAGCACGAGCTAAGCGACTCCTACTGGTGATGAATTCAACCTTTCTAATTCCCCCAAGTGGAAGAAATATAGAACCTTCAGATCATGAAAACGATAGTGCAAGAGGAAGCAAGGTAGATATTCTATCTGCTAAAAGTAACATAAGGGAAAATCCATCCACCTCCAATGCCATCACCAATGTCATCACCAATACCACCAGCAATACCACAATAATGGATATATACCAGTATGAGAAGGGTGAGATGAAGAAACACAGTGAGGTCGAAAATAATCAAAAAGGCATATATTATGAATGTATAAAAGAGAAGAAAAAAGAAGGAGCCTTGAGAAGTAAAGTAAAACAAGAACAATCGAATAGTAATAACTTTAGCGAACTTCGGAACGGTGCTTATATCGAATTGTACGAAAATAAAAATTCAGTTAGCGTCCTTTTAGATTCAATAAAAAATGAGTTAAAAAATATTCTGAATGATTTGGCTCTTCCCAATTCTGACAATTTCCCAATCATGGTACTGAACGAAAGTGTGAAAAACTGCAAAATTGTTAAACAGAAAAAATCTCATTACTGCTCGAGTATCATAATTAGGGACGTTCTTGTAACTGAAGAATTTCTTTCAGAAAATTTTCACTTGGAGGGGAAGGAGAAAAGAATTGAAAAGTGGCAAAATGGTGAAAAAAAGCGGATCTCTAATGAAAATTCACAACAGGATAGTGGAAAAGATCATCAGGAGGAGGAAACGCTACGAGCCATACTCAAGAACAAAGCTGAAAAGCGTACTTATTTCGAAAATAAAGAAATTTATAAAAGGCAAATGATTTTTTCATATGATCCATTAACAGTACAATCCGAGTTAATATACACGCAAGAGAAGAAGAAAAAAAAAAACAAAAAAAAAACAAAAAAAAAAAACAAAAAAAAAAACAATAATAATACTGTTGATGATGCAAGCAATGACGAGGAGGAGGACGACGAGGACGACGACAAAATACAATTCCAGTACATCGAATCAGCAAGTCAATATCACATAAACTTCTGTTGTAGTCTTTTTTTCGTAATAAATAGTAATCATAAAAAGGAAGAAACTTTTATCAATTTATGCATCTTAGGAGGAGGTACTAACGTCCTTTCAAATATTATAAAGTCCATATTTGCAGATTTTTACTTACACATTGATATTGTAGAAATTGACGAGACTGTGAAATCATTTTATTCTCTCTTCTGTGATGAAGAAATAGACATTAATAGGAATCATACAACCAATTATATTATTAATGATTCTTATGATTATATAAGAAATTATCCCCAGTCTCAATTTTACCATGCCATATTTCTCGATATAAATAATTCCCAAAACTCATACATCGAAATGAATAATTACAAGATGTATATCACTTGTCCACATATCAAATTTTTGAATAAAGAAATTGTACTTAGAATTAAAAACCTTTTGAAGAGCAATGGAATATTGGTTATTAATGTTCTTACTAGGGATAGCATTGCAAGGAAACACATTTCCCACTTTTTCAAAACATTGTTTACATCTATCATTAGTATCCCATCAGCTAATAAGGTTAAAAGCGTATTTTCAGGATACACATAATATAGTTGATGGAAAAAAAAAAAAAAAAAAAAAAAAAAATGAGAGATGTATCTGTTTCTCACTGTGTGACACGCCTTTTCCTTTACCCTGCGACAATTGTGTGTACCTATGCACCAACATAAGCATTTATCTGTGAATATATATATTTATAACAATTTTTTCCCAATTTACTGTCTCCCGTTCATCTATTCTCCTTCTCAGGAAATTAACGACGTCCTAATCTGCACCCAAGAGGATATAACAACCGAAAAAATTTCTGCCTTTCAAAGTGACTTAACAGAAATGGTATGCACTCCTTTATTCGGGATTACATTTTCTGATTTATCCATCATTTTACCAAATTTGTTTTTTTGATTTTATCGCATACATACAGATGGTATGAAGCTTTATACATATTTCCATAAACATATACATAAACATAAACATGCATATATGATTATGATATTCTCCCTCCTTCCCTCATTCATCATTTATACAGATTAGAACAAACTACAACAAGTGGTTCTTAAACTTTGACTTGAAGAATTTCTTAAAGAATGTTAAGGTTTTGTGAAAGTAGTTGGAAGTACACGAGAAAGTCGCTTCACTCATCGTGCAGATCTGTTCTCTGCTTAACAGGTGTGATTTTTGTTGCGTTTCGAGTGTGTGTACATATATAAGCACACGCAAAAATATATATATGTATACATACATATGTATGTACATATTTACGTATGAACAAGTTAGATACAATATTTCTACTCTCCATCTTAAAAAATGCTGCATTTTTTATCCACTTTCAGGAGTCGTATAAATTCACACATGAATATATGTATGAATTTTCCCAAAATAGATGAACACCATACGGTGAGCTTTTTAAATAGGTCACGAATTTTTCGAAAATCAAAAAGATAGGGGAAAAAAAAAATGAAGTAGCCATATATGTGATAACAGGGTGATAGATTCTATCGAAACAATGTGTGAAAAACTTAAAAAAAAAAAAAAAAAAAAAAAATGGTGCTGTTTTCCCACCCTGGCAGACTCTACTGCTCAGTGACAAATATTTTTTTCTTCTCTGGAAGAGGCAACTGATCAGGATTCTTTGAATGTTTGATTCTATTGTTTTCTTTCCTCTTTCTGGCCTCGAGCATAACCTTCTTTTTATCTGACATACTTTTGATAAGAGCAGGTACATGGTGATGGTTGCGAATTCTTTTAATTTCCTTTAATGAGGCATATTTTTCTTTTAATTTGTTTCTGTAATTTATGGCTTGTTTTTCTTTATGTGATAAAACACCAGATGGTTCATGTGCACATGATCTCCAAATTCGTATACACATATCTGAGCTTCCTGTGAGTACATATTTATCATCTAAACTAAATTTGCAACAAAGAACGTGTTGCATTCTCTTAGTGTGGTAGACATCATAACTTGTAGATTCATCACTATTAAATAATCTGATTGTTTTGTCATACGAACAAGCAACAAATTTATTTCCAATTGGAGAGAAATCGACATCTAACACAGCATTTACAAATCCTTTATGAACTAAGTAAGCTGTTTTTAAATATCTAATATCAAATGTATATAAGTTAGAATCTTCATTAGCTACAATAAACTGTTTTGGATTCATATTATTCCAGCTTAAGGAATTAGACCTATATTTTAGAAATAATTTTTTAATCGGAGTTTTGGTTCTTATATCAGCTAGTCCAATCGAATTATCAGATAAAGTTAAACCCACTAAATTTCTTTGTGAATAATTAAATTTTACATAATAAATGTATTCACTATTATAATCGAAACTTGCTATTGCATTGTTTCTGTAATAATCCCAAACATCTAAATTTTGGCTACCTGATATTATTAAAGGTTCTGAAAAGTGTTTATCAATGCTATTTGGTACGCTCTTACATACATAAATTTTTTTGGGTATCATTACATTGGATAGATTGTCTAATAAGTTCATATTTTGGTTTGCCACCAAGGCACCAAAACTACAGACGCTATTCTCCGTGCTAGTATTATGCATTCCAAACATATTATTATCTTGATCTTGTACATCCAAATCATTCACATTTCTGTTTTTTTCAATAACCCATTGTTTTATATATTTATCGTCACCACAACTGAAAAGAAATTTTTCGTCATGACTGATACATAAACCTCTGACAAATCCATCATGGGCTTTCAATTTTTTTATTAATTTTTTATTTAATATATTCCAAATGTTTATGAAACCATTGCAGCTACCACTGTACAGATCAGTTAAATTTTTATTAGACACACACAAGGTCCTCACTGAATCGTCATGTCCATCTAGACATTTCACTAACGGTTTTGCAAATATTTTATCAATTTTTGTTGCATTTAGGGCTCTCTTATATTCTATTTCTCTTTGAAAAAGATGAATATTTTTATCAAAACTTCTCGTATGTTTGTACGTTGAGGCACCTGGATTATTTTTATATTCCTCGGGATTTCTGTGCAAAATGTTTACTTCCATTTTTACTTTACCTCAGTGTAGTAAAGTGGGAAAACATTCATCAGAATCTATATGCCCAGTCCTCACGTTCGTTCACCAGGTGAGAAGTTATTCTAGCGATGGTGAAGACGTTATTCTTGTGAGAAGAAGAGTGCTAAATACAAGCATGTACATGTGAGGCAGCGTAATGAATGGTCTTAAAATTAGTAATCTGGAACAAAAATGTTTCCACAAAAATTGCTTCTTCGTCATATATGAGATATATCTGTTCCTTGGAAGGGAATTTTCATGGATACGGATATCATCATGGATTATTTTGCTCTTAGTATGGTTTTAATTGTTCGTTATTTTGCTCTTTTTTTTTTTTTTCTTTTTTTATTTTCCCCCTCTCCTTTGGACTTGCATATTTATTCAATTTTATGCCGAAGAGCATGTGTTATAAGCTCCCTTATAATTCACAGTGCTCCGTAGAAATTGCTACATGAATTGCTACGAAGAAAAAAAAGAAAGCTTCTTAAATAGCAAACGAGTTGCTATAAATTTTACTCAACGAAAAAAACGGCAAAAAAAAGGAAGGGAAAAAAATGAAGGAAAAAATGAAGGAAAAAAAATGAAGGAAAAAAAATGAAGGAAAAAAAATGAAGGAAAAAAAATGAAGGAAAAAAAATGAAGGAAAAAAAATGAAGGAAAAAATGAAGGGGGGAAAAAAAAAATACGAGTTCATTGAGGCCCTTGTTCAAAAATTATACATTTCTCTTCGGCTAAATATCCAAATTACCTGTTTAGCCGAAGTTGTTTTGAAAAATGAGATGGTGGCGAAACCTCGACGTGGTAATTTTTTGCCACGCAAAAAGTGTATTTATATCCATATCTTATGTGCAGTTTGTTTTTATTTATTTTTATTATTTTTTTTTTTTTTTTTTAGTGAATCGCAAAATGTTTTTTTGGTGAAGGTTAAAAAAATTTCTTCGTTTTATTATTTTATTTTTTTTTTTTTTTGTTTTGTTTTCTTCTTTTTTTTGATAAATTAACTTCTTCTCCACTTTTTAGAGCACTTAGAGTGGAAATTTCAAATAGTAAATCTTTCTCTCAAGGGGAAAAAAAAAAAAAAAAGAAAAAGAAAAACTAAAAAGAGAGTTGACACAAATAAAGGAAAAGTAAAAGAAACATACAAAAAGAAACCTCCGCGAAGTGTTTCATGTAGCATGTACAAAATAACTAATCCGAAATGGACAAATGAGAAGAGAAAAAAAAAAAAAAAAAAAAAAATGTCCTTCCAAATGATTTATAATTTACGAATGAAGAAAAGGAGAACTCCTATTTGTTTGAAAACAGACATAGCTAAGAATCTAATTCCGATGCATGCAAAAATGAATTTGTGTTTCATTACCAGTACATGTAACAGAACGACCTAGCAAAAGATCATTTAGTAAGAACACCCTTTATCCATATACTTTTAAAAAAAAAACAAGGGAAGAGTAGAAGATCATTACGGCTAAACCTTTCCAAACGCATACAAATATTTTTATAAACACGCAAAACAAAATGGTATGCTAAAGACGATATACAATAATTTTGTTACTCGTTTGTGTAAACCTATTCGTGGCACGTCTAATTTGTGCATTTGCTCAATGTGGCAAAAAAAAAAAAAAAAAGGAGAAACATGAGAAGAAACAGAAATTCTAAGTTTTGATATGTGAAAAAAAATGCGACATACCACGAGTGATATTTTTTTTTTCCATTTTTGACAAACTTGAATTTGTTCACGTTTTCTATCCCTGAACTAACTTTTGTAGACAACTCTTGCGGACACATTTTTGAAGGATCTAGAAGATCTTGAACTGGAAGATGAAAGAAATTTTAACAATTTCAACATAGGACAAAAGGAAATTGGCCCAAATGAACTTGACAAAAACAGCTATGTGGAGAAAAATGCAAAGTATGAGGGGAAGCAGGAGGATGATGATGATGATTATGAAGAAATCGTTGATGCAATTGAAGAATTTTTAAATGAGAAAAAAAAAAAAAAGGAAAGAAAAATATCAGAATTGTTATATGATGATAATTTTTTAAAAATTATGAATAGCATAAAAAATTATATTATGCAGGAAGAGGAAAAAGGAAAATTACAAGAAGAAGATGAATACGACAATAAAAGTCAGGACAGTTATGATGATGAAATTGAATATTCAGACCAAACAGGTCGAGTTAAAAAACGAAGAAAAAAAAAAGAGACACAACCCGACGAGGAACAGGACGAAAAGGACCATGACAGTTGCAAAGATGATGAAGAAATTTTAATCGAAAAGTGTATCGAGTTGATAATACAAATAGATACGGAAATATTAAACATTCATAAATATGTGAAGGATATATACTCAACAAAATTTCCAGAGTTGGATTCTATAGTATATACTCCCTTAGAATATATCAGTGTGGTGAGCAAAATAAAAAATGAAAGTGATATAAAGAATATCGATTTTTCTGATATATTACCAAATACGACAGTTATGGCTATTACAGTTGCATCAAGCATGAGTACTGGAATAAATTTATCAGAACATTCTTTAAAAAATTGTTTATCTTTTTGTAATGAAGCTTTAGAATTAAATGAAAATAGACGATTGATTTTACTATACCTAGAAAGTAAGATGTTTTTACTTGCCCCGAATTTAACTATGCTATTAGGTAGTGCACTAACGGCTCGTTTGATTAGTTCAGTGGGTTCATTAAAAAATTTATCAATCACATCATCTCAGAATCTGATTGTTGTGGGTAGTTCAAAAAAGTCTGTTCTTGGATTAAGTAATGCAAATAAAACATTTGGAATAGGTATACTAAGCACTTCTGAAATTGTGCAAAGTGTTCCAGATGCATATAAAAAAAAGGCTATAAGTTTGTTAGCTGGGAAATGTAGCTTAGCTTCTAGAATCGATTATTTTAAAAAATATCCAGAAGGGCAATATGGGTTGTTACTACGAGAAAATGTTATCAACCACCTTATCAAGTTACAAGAACCACATCCAATGAAACAAAAAAAAATACTACCCATGCCTGATGAAAAGAGAAAAAGAAAAAGAGGAGGAAAAAGATACAGAAAATTAAAAGAAAAAACAGAAATAACTGAACTCAGAAAACAAATTAATAGATTACCATTTGGTCCAAATACAAATGAGGATTTCTACACTTTTTCGGATCAAAATACCGTTTTATTAAATTCTAATATTACAAAATTGAAATATCAGTCGAAGCAAAAGGTAAATAATATTCCAAGGAAAAAAAATATGAATGTTCAGTCCAGTGGTGTAACTGGTGGCTTATCATCGTCTTTGATTTTTACCCCCTTACAAGGTATCGAATTATTCAACCCATCTGTTATTAATCGGAAAACAGATCAGAAAGAGAATAAGTACTTTTCTAGTACGGCTCAGTTTCGCAAGGTGTAGCAGGATTATGTGTCAAACGTGGTTTCTCCTTGTGTAGTAGGGGTGTATAAAGGACAGCAAGTTTTTTTTTTTTTTTTTTTAATGCCAAGTCTAAATGGATTAGGACAAAAGAAAAGTGGTATATGTGGTTCACTCATTGAGGAATTTTTTTTTTTTTTTTTTTTTTTTTTTTTTTATATATATATATATATTCCCTTTTACTGTATGACTAAGGTGTGTAGCTAAAAACTTCAGAATATTCTGTCTCTGTTTCTGTTGTTTGTATCGTTTTTTCGCCTTTTCTGTCCTTACCCCTGAAAAAACTGGGTTAACATTTTTAAAACAAACATATTACAATGTGTTGCAGTGTACACATAAATGGCCCAAAATAGAGACTCCGTGATCTGTGCTCGAATGGAATAAGAGATATGACAATGTTGTGGTTGGTTACGCGTGTGTATTTGTGTCTAAGGATAATTCGCAGGGCCCTTCACATTTTACCAACTTAGGTGTGGAAGAGCATTGACACGAGTAAGAAAGGCAAAGAGGTTGTTTCTTTTTCTTCTCATCCGTCTGTTACAATGCTGTGTTTATTTTTGGTCACCATTAGGTCGGCTCGGTTGATATTATTATTTTGTGCTATTTTGCTGTTATTTTGCTATTATTTTATTATTATTTTTTTTCACTTTTTTTTTTTTTTTCCCACTTTACCCCTCTACTGCCACTTCCCATTTACACATTTTGAACAAGCCTAAATGGACGTTTGTAAAAATGGGCCAGAAAATAAAAACTTTAACTTTACAATGTGTTAACCCGAGGTGAACCAAGGCAAGTGTTAAACTGTTAAAGTGGTATATATTAGAATAAAGGGGAAATAAATTTACCCTGAACTGATAACTACGCATAAGTGTACTAAGTTCAGGTTGGGGATAAACTGTATAGGTATTATATATAGGTTAGTAAAAAATATCAATTATTTTATTCTTTTTTATTTTATTTTTATCGCCTTTGTTTAACGTTTGTTAAGGAAAGGTACACTGGCCCTTTACACCCTTTAGGACCTATGTTTTTTTTTTTTTTTTTTTTTTTTTGGACGCAAGCTTTTAAACTTTACATGGAACAGTGCCACGAATGACATGTGCGAGTAGCTCCATATGGATATAACATAAAGGGTTTCCACCTTCTCATCTGCCTTAGTTGAAAACGATCGATTCGATTCTCCATTCATGATACGTCTGAAAAATATCATTCGCTAATCTTTGTTGATAAGTTGATGCAAGAGAGTAGCCTTTCTAAGGCCCGAGGGGAGGTACAGGGAAAAAAAAGGCAAAAAAAAAAAAAAAAAAAAAAAAAAATGAAATGATATGAAATGATATGAAATGATATAGAGGAAAAAAAAAGAAATAAAAGAGATAAAAGAAAAAGAAGAATGGTCATATTGTTTCTAGCTTATTTCCTTGCGTCCTTTATAAAAAACAGAAAAAATAATATCATATACAGTGACATTATCTCCTTCAACAATTTAAATGAAGAAAAAAATTTGCGATACTATGGGTCGAATAGTTCGAACAAGTGCTACTTGTGGTACTACCTTAGCGAGAACTTCTTTGATATTGTTTATTTGGGAGGAAATGGCCATGCAGCAAAAAGGAAAAAGATAGACAAGTTGGAAAAAAAAAAAACCCCTTTGGGACGGGGTGAAAGGCAAGAAGATGATCATACAAAAAGCACCATCATCAGGAGTGATAATGTATGTACAAGTGAAATTTTAATTCTATTGAATATAAGAAAAGATACTTGTAAATCTGCTTCATCATTCATAGTGCGAGTAAATAATGAAGGAAAAGAAAAGAGATACATTGCAGTGGAATATCTAGTAAGTAACCAATTGTATATGACAAACAATGAAATCATTACGTATGTGAATGAAAAAGTAAGGAAAAATGTGTATGTAATATCGAATAATGGAAAAAAGATAAACATATCAGAAAATAACCTTTTTACTGTATACTTCGATGAGGCATATATCAAATATGCACATGTTAGACATGAAAAAGGAGAGCTAGAATTACAACTGAAAACAACAAAAAAGGCTGGAATAACGAAAGTTATTATAGTTCTACCGAACAAGTGTAAACCCATATTTTTTGTCTGTACTGTTTTTGTGTATGAACCATTTTCCTTACTTCCTCATGGATTAAACTTTCCGGAAGGGGCTCTTATTAAGTTGGTCTTAAGAAGGGAAATTCAACCACATGACAAGAGCGATAGTAATGATAATATAACATGCACAGTTCATAAGAAGAGACATATTTTGAAAACTCTGTCCATATGGAGAAAAGTAATAGACGCTGAATTGCTAACGTCAAGATTGCAAAACAGGAATATTATAAAACGTAGAATAAATGACAAAAGTCTAACGAATTGCTTGAGTAAGAATTACATAACAAGTTTTCAAAATATGTACAGAATTCAGCCGAGCACAAGTTATGATATAATATCGGATGAAATGGTAAGAATTAAAAAAAGCACGGATGGAAAAAGCACGGATGGAAGAAATGTAAAAATTGTTGTTAAAAGTTTGAAGACTAGGCAAATTTTTTCTTCCTTTATACATGTACATGAAGTAAAAAAAATCAAACTCGTATGCCTTGGTCAAACCAGAAGGATAGGCATCCAAAATAAGAACATTTTCAATTCTTTTTCAAACTGGAAGGAAAAAAATTTAATAGAAGAGGAAATTAACCAATTGAAAAATCATTTTTTTTATAAAAAAAACTACTATTTTGATAACTTACATATTTATTCTTATTTTCAAATGAATAAACAAGTGGGGAAAAAAGAAAAATTTATACATAATAGAAAATACCTTTGTCTTATCCAATTATATGCAGAAAGGAATATAAAATTATATGACATATTCAACGAACGAGATGTCAAATTGGCATTCTCTTCGAAAAAATCAAAGTTAAATATCCATTCATTGTATATCTTCCCAGAACATGGAGCATATTATTTTATCCCTATTTATAAGAGAGCAGAAATGGTTTCTTTTCAAATGAGTTACATGAAAGATCACAAAATTAGCAAAGATATCGAAATATTCAGACCTGTAAAATGTTACATGAAGGGGACTACTCTATTAATGTCTACCATTTTTGTACTACCAGGTGAAACCCTTTTTTACTATTGCACAGGGGGAGGAAGTGTCACATTACTAAGTACCAAGAAATATATTGTCAACATATTCAATAACTCAAGCTATTTAGATATTTCTTCAAATGAAATGAGTATAAACATATCGATAAAAAGTGATGGGACTAATGTTAAGAGTACCACAGACTTGAATTGTCCCAAAAGGAGGAAAGACAAAAAATTCGCCCAAAAAAAAATTTTCACTTCAATTTACATACTATTTTGTGATGACGAACATTTAAATAACTGCTTTGTTTGCACTGCCTATATAGTAGATCGAGTTACCAACCTTTCAGCTATTGTTGAAAAGAGTACACTAGAAGTGAATGAAGTTACGAATGTGTATATTTTTATGCACTTGGACAATGTTACGCTATTGCCTTTTTTTTTAGATGATATTACTTTACAAAATAGGGAAAAAAAGGAACAACTCAGAAAGTTGGAGAATTGCCAAAGGAACTACAGAGAAAGTGAACGAAATGGTCTCATAGTCCTTCATCACAATGGCACGTATAGGAATGGGCAACATCACACAGACTATGAAAATAATGATCGAAGGAAGTACACTCCTTTAAGCAGCTGCTTCAATGAAGTGAAAAATCATATGCTAATAGAACATGACCCAGAGTCTCTGATAGTAATTAACAAATATTTAAAATTTACCAATTTGCCAAATGAGTATAAAAACGCATGTGCATTTTATCAAATTAAAGGAAAAGCAGAGAGAAAAAAAAGTGTCCTTCAAATGAAATGCAAAAAAGACAACAATGTTAGAACTGAAGTAAGTGTACAAATTTATAAAAAAATCGGAGCTCTTTTTTGTCACGATTTTGTATGTAGTAAATTTATCAAGTTTGACCAAATGATTGACCTTATCGTGTATAATGGATTTTCAGACATTTCATACAAAGTGAATATTTCATTCGAATCCAATATTAGTGAATTACATTTAAGGAAAAATAAATACATGAATGAAAGAAGTGGTATACCTATTTCTGCTTGCATATTTTATAATTTGTTCATTTCGGAAAAGTTTAAAAATTTTTTATACATAAATGAACAGAAGAAGAGAGAAATGGTTACTCACCACTCGAACATATTTAATCAGGAAATATTTTATGAAAGTCCAGGTGGAAACTATATTCCTGTAAGGAAATTATACAATAGAAAATTGTTTGAGTACGATTTTAAACCCTTATACGGGATGGAAAAATTCAATGAGGTGGATCAGAAGAAGGAGAAAAAGGGAAAAGCAAGAAAACTGTCTAATCATTGCTGGTACAGGAAGTCACGTATTTGTCTTCGTTCCAAATCTTATTGTTCGATTCCAAATTTATATGAAGTATTTTTCCCAATAAAAGAGTATTACATCTTATACTGCACGAGTGGTAAAAAGAAACACATAATGTCAAATGTTTTGATAGAAATGAGAAAAGGGATAAAAATAAAGAATTCAGAAATAATAACTCAGAATAATTTCCCTGTTCATTTCAAGTATCCATCTTCCATTCAAGTTACCATTTTTGACAAATATGTAAGTAAGTTACAAGTTGTAAATGATTCCAAAATTGGTCTGTACAAAAATAATGACTATTACATGAAAGCATTTTTGATAGATGAAAATGAAAATGTTATCCTAAGCAATGAACCATTTGTGTACACATTAGATGAATCACATCAGGGAAATCTTCAGCAGATTTGTTTAAAAGACAAATCACACTATTTGGAAATACAAAATGAGAAAAGGAAAAATATTATCAAAACGGATAATAAAATATTGATAAATTGTAAGGAAGAAAAGAATAATTCGAATCATAATATAAAAGAATACACAAAAGGAATGAACAATTTTAGATATTGTTCAGGTGGAAACTTTCTGCTAACTGTTCAATATACTTCTCAGGACAGTGCAGGCATTATTTCCTATCATTTTGAAAAATATGTATCTCTTCAGTTTTATGACAAATTAAGTACTCCTTATGATAATCTTGTGTTCTTTTTCTCTCCACATGTGTATTACGCACTTCCGATATGTACCATTGCACCTAGTGGTACTTTTCCTATTCATGAGCTACGACATTCCATAAAAGGAAAAAACAAAATTAGTGTATTGGATTCATCTGAAATGGAAAAAATGCATGATAAAAAAAGAAAAAAAAATTACCTACTAGTGGATTCGATTAGTACAAACAATCCTTTAGAAAAATGCACAAAATTGTATATCAATTCTTCTGTGCACGAAGCGAAAGGAATCATGAGTATACAAAACGGACTTGTATATGAAACGGATTATTTAGATATCCATTTTTCATTTGAAAAATTGACAAGAGTGAAAATATCTCTCATGTTTAGAAATGCAGAAAAGAATGATTATACAGGAGTCTATGTCCCTATGAAAGTCGAATTTTTTGGAAAACATAACGCAAAATTGAATTTGTTACCAACACATGGATTGAAAATAAAATTATCTTATGATTACAGCAAACGAATTCGTATGATGCCTCTAGACATGTCCACTAATGAATGGAATAAACAGATAAAGGAAATAAAAAATATCAAAATTGAGACAGAGAAGGAAGAAAGGTGTTTATCTTCTGATATGTTTTATAAAATACATAGTTCCAATGAGGGTAAGTATTATATACAAGTCGAAGTAAAGTACAGATTATACAACAGATACATTTCAGTTCTGTCAAATATGGCACGTTTAATTGTTTACTCAAAGGGTGAATCCTTATATGGTCAAAGGAATAACATTTTGCTATACCCATATAATCAAACCGTAGAATTAACCTTTCAGTTATGTCATCCATTAATACATAATGTTTTATGCATTTCAAAAAACAAATCAATAGTTCAAGTTGAGCAAGTGCTAAAAGTTCATGATAAAAAGTGTACTTATGTTTTTTGTTTAATAAAATCAGGAAATTTAGTAGGAAATGCAGAAATTCATGTATACCCAATATTTGAAAGTTATTATGCTATTTTTAATTATCCAATTGGAAAGCAGGAATTTAAGAATATGGAGAAATTTGAATGGGACTTTTACCATTTAGAAAAGTATTATGATAGTTATATCAAAAATTGTAATATGTCTAAAAAATGCAAAGATAATAATTGGTACACTTGCATAGAAATCCAAGAAGAAAAAAATGTAAGAAATTCTTTTTTCTTCAAAATTGTTGTAACTGTTGATTATATACGATCCATGAAACTCTTTTCAGAGGACACTGTTTATTTAGTACAAAATGAAGAAGTAAATGCCTCCGCTACTTTTTATAGCAATGTGGATCATATGCTTTCACACACCTACGTAGACTTTCGCTTAATTTATGAGAAAACAGGAGCTCTGTTTAAGGTAGAGTATTTTGTTAATAACCAAAATGTTCTGTTGAATGAAAAACAAACGTGGCCCCACTTGGAGTGGAGACAAAAAGATAGAACAATGGATCAGCAGATTGATAAGCAGATTGATATGCAGATTGATATGCAGACTGATATGCAGACTGTTATGCAGACTGATATGCAGACTGATATGCAGACTGATATGCAGACTGATATGCAGACTGATATGCAGACTGATATGCAGACTGATATACAGACTGATATGCAGACTAATATGCAGATTGATATGCAGATTGATATTCAAACCGGTGGGAGAAGAAAAATCGTTAGTGATTTAAGAATCACGCCAGATGCGTTTCTATCAATTAAGGCATACAAGGAAGGGAAGTATTTTCTGTACTTGAATTTTACAAAATGTAGTAGCAATTCCAATCATGGGGAGGAAGTAATCCTTTCCAAAGTGTACAATATCATTGTCCAGATGAATGAAGCCAGAAGTGGTACAACAATCCCAATTGTTTACCTATGCACAGATGGTTTTTACAAATTTGATACAAATTTTCACTTTTTCAAAATATTAAACAAGTGGAATTATGAACGTGAATTCACCTTGTCATCTGTAAAAATGTTGCAAACAGAAAAGAATAACATTTTATATAATGCATATTATTCTGATAAAAAAAAGAAATTTTATAAAAAATTGCAAATTAATATATCAAAAATTGTAGGTGCAAAGATATACAATTACTATAGTAAATATATTCCCCTAAACATTGTCCAATATTTGTATATCCATTTCTATAATAAACAAATGGAAAGGGTTTTCCTCCCATTGAATGCTGAGGTGTATATACACATGTCGCACCCAACAGTATTAACGGTCAGAATGATTGATAAGAATCATATGTTTATAATACCTCAAAAATTGGGTTGTTCATTTATTTATATACATTTAAAATTTTATCGTAAAAATACGTTGGATAGCAATTTATTCGACAAAAATGATGAATCACCCCCAATTGTAAAAATGCACTTATGTGTTACGAAAAAAGTTTTAACAAAATATTTTCAAAAAAAAAAAAATTATTATTACCTCAACAGGGTATATCAAATGTTCTATCATTACCCGAAATGGTTTTTCAGTCAGCCATATCTTTGCGTAAATTCTCTGTTGACACACCCTTCCAAATTTGGTACTACATTAAATAAGGATAATTTTTATCAGGCTTATAAACATTATCGCCCAAACACTATGGTGGGCCATTTAGACGCCCTTTTCAATCCTCCTACTACACACTTCTCCATAATTAATGATCACATCTCTGGGTTGGTCATATGATGCAAATCAATGCTATGAACCCCCGTTCACACACACGTGCCAAGCGGTTAAACGTGTTGTGGAGCATCTAAACGGGTAATGTATCCATTACGCTGTTCTTGTCTTGTGGTGCATTGTTTTGTCGTTTTATTTTATATTTCTTTTCTTTTTTGCTACCCGTCATCATTTGTTATGCTTTATCCCAGCCCCGCTTCTGATCTGCTTGAATTTTTTCCGTTTCACAAAGAGACGCTTTTTTTTTTTTTTTTTTTTTTTTTTTCGTAGTTTTTGCATTTAAATACTTGTTTTCTTCGTCTATGTATATTTTCATTGAGTCCTGGGATTTACAGTTCTCACAAATAACTTTTAACATATCTGTTTTTTCAAAAATCAACATTAACGTGATGTTACAATTGGTCATTTATCCCACTAGTTAGTTAAGAAAAAAAAAAAAAAAATGCACACTCTAATACCCTCGAACTCCAATATGCTTCCTCCTTGTATGTTAATACAAGCGAATATTTTTGAGAATATATATAAAGTGCAAAAAGGAGGAATATCATATATGGAAAATGCACGTGGTTTCGATATAATCTTCCTGTAATTGGAAATACCAAAATATAGATACCCTTGTATATGTGTATGATGAGAATCATTTTTTTTTTTTTTTTTATCTGTGTGAGGGACAATACCTATATGCATACCACCCTACCACAACCGTATGCAGATCATATCCATTCATATATATTTCCGAAGAAATATCATTGACCTCATTTGTTATTCTTTTTATATATAAAAAATTTTTGTGTAGCAAATTCCAAAGATGATAAAATGTGAAAAAGAGAAAATATAGTGAACTGTGGTTCATACATGTTTTGCAGAAACACAGAGTTCATGTAATTATACTCGCCATATGTCTATGAATATGTATGGCCCATCGGTAATAATATCCGTATGAACATAAAAAAAAAAAAAAAAAAAAAGTTAGACCTCCAAATCTATAACCACCCCAAATGGGCTAACTCTTATTTCCCATTGATACTAAAATTGTGCAGAAAAACATCAAAAATTATTATGTCTGAAAAGAGGAGAAAATTATTTTCAAGCTTCATTATTACCGTTGGCTTAATTTCAACTTGAGATATATCATCATACATGTTTCTGAAAAAAATAAAATAAAATAAAAATAAAAGAGAGAGAGAAAATTATGAATTCCTTGAGTTTATAAATATGAGGATTACTAACGATGCATAAAGTGCACCTTCGGCTAACGCCCGTTACATCATTACGGATGTATAAATTTGCATTAAAAAAAAACATAATTACGTTTCATTGTGTAAATTCAAAAAGGTGTTAAAACATATCATGGCTGCATTATCTCTGCTAAGATTTCGTGGTGTCTTGTACACACTCCAAGGGGCTACAAAAGGGGGGGGAGCGGCAGGTATGTTAATCTGATTGTGGTGCATAAGAATTCATCGAAAAAGTGTAGAAAAAAAAGTACACAGAAAGAGAGAGAGAGAGAGAGAGAGAGAGAAAAAAAAGAAAAGAAAAGAAAAGAAAAAAAGACACTACTTGAAGGGAATGTAAACGTCTGTTCAAAAAAAAAAAAAAAATAAATAAAATAAGTTAATGAGATTACATGTACTTTTGGATAAGGGTAAATCGCCTTGTAGCAGAAAACTTCCTGCCTCCTTTAATCTCGCATAATCTTCAAAATTAAATGATTTTGAGGCTGACATGATACATTCTTCTGTTTTTTCTTTTAAAAGAAATTTTAGATAAATATTCCATGCCAGTGATGCACTAAATTCTTCTTCATTTTTAAGTATATCTTTTGATATTTTTGAGTATACGAAATTTTTTTCTCCTATTTTTCTTACTCTCTTTTTTATCCTTTTTTTTAATTTATTAAATTCGTTTAGCTGAACCTCTAGCTTGTTCCTGTCCATAGCCATTCTTCTTAAACTCTGAAACAAAAAATTATTGCATCCAACTCCTCCGACTATGAATAAATTCTTTATGTTGAAATGAAGTTCTGAGAAGTACATAATTTTGTTAACTTGTTTCTGTAGGTGCTGAAATATATTCCTTTGGCTGTAATAAGCATATCTGTCTTTTTCACATTCAAAGGATTTTCCTTTTTTCAATTCTAGAATAATTTTCCTCATATGGTTGTAAAGGCCTGAAAAACTATATTTAAAATGGATAAGAGCAAACAACGGTAAAGTCACATATTTAAGAAATGAAGTGTGGTCACGTTTATGTGTAACATGACAATGGAGGAAAAAAAAAAAAAAAAAAAAAAAAAAAAAAAAAAAAAAAGAAATCATAAATAAGAAATTGAACGAGAGGTAGGAAGAAAAACCAAAGTGAAGCAAAACACATGGAAATCATGTAGAAAGAGAAAAATAAATTTCTTACGAAAAATCGATCTTGTTGTTGGAAGAGAAGGGTGCAGGAAACGGTTTAAATGGATCTTCACAAGCTTCTTCACTCAACTGTTGTTTCTTCATTCTTGTAACAAATTCTTCTGACTTCTTTTCAAGGAAGGGTCCCCCCCCTAACCCAACAGGTAGTTCTAACAATCTTGCAATTTTGTCAATTATGTCTCCTATGGATATATCAACTGTTTGTGATAGTTTGCTCACATTAATGTCATTTTTTTTATTCTTTTGAACCTTATAAATTTCTGTACTTCCCCCAGATACTAGAACGCAGATGTATTCATTTCTCAAGTGACTTCCCTGAATTTTTACCTCATTCTCCTGAGTCTTATGCGAAGGTGGGATATTTTTCCCATGACTGTCTATGTTTATGTAATCATTCTTGGTTATTTCAATATCAGGCTTTATGTCCGCCATTTCTTCAACATCTCTTTCTATATGCTTTTTTAACAAATAATTTCCATATTTTAGAAAATCCTCTTGACTCAAATTTGTCATTTTTTGTTTAGTTACAGTGTTGTTATTTAGAACTTGTATAATATCTTTTATTTTTTCCATTCGTATCTTATCATTTTTTACCGTTTCTGAAATGTTCATGTCGATGTCATGCTCATATTGTGATTTTATATCATTTTCTCCCTTGTATTCTCTACTATTTGTGTATGTATTCCTATCGTTATAGACGTGAAAAAATAAGGGAGAAAGGACATGCGCAAAAATATGATTCACTGAGCTTACTTTTATATGTTCATTCTTCTTTTTCATCTCTTCTATGTAATTTTTTGTCGCTTCTATGTTTTTTGCTATTCCTGGGCATGTACTAAACCCGATGCAATCGATTTTCTTTGCATCTGTGGAGAAAATGAAGAACAGTTTTGCATACACATAGTGGTGTGTGTGTGGGGGGTAAACTATACATATATATATAAGTGCAAATAAACCTTGTGATGAATAAATTATGGAGAGGCATTTTTTCTCATCACTTTTTTTTCCATTTTGAAGATTGACTCACCAATTCCCTCAAGTGTCTTTTCCACATATGGCTTTAAAAACAAGTGGTTGATCGAACTAATGAAATAGGGATAAACCCCCCCATATTTATGAACGATCTTAAAGTGAGATATGATAACATTTTTAATAATGTTAAGATTCGAATCGAGGATACATATACAAGTGTCATCACATGTGTTTTCTATTCCTACAATGTATTTAACCTTTGTATTATCTTTCAGTTTATTTCTTTCAATTAAAAGTTTGGGAATCTTTTTATATTTACACACATCGTAATTAATATCACTTCTATTTTGGATGTGCTTGTTTATTTTTTTTACTGTCCTTTCCAAAGGGTCACTAAATAGCCCTTTCTTAATTGTTATGTTGTCGATCTTGTATGAATAGAGTACATTTCGAATCAGACTCAGAACGCAGGCTGAACACAAGATAATTCGAGTTGCATTTTTCATTATTGACGATTCGAGCTACATTTTTCGTTATTGACAATTCGAGCTACATTTTTCGTTATTGACAATTCGGCCTACATTTTTCATTACTGATAATTCGGCCTACATTTTTCATTACTGATAATTCTAGTTACAATTTTCTCTTAAAATATTCACCCCACCTTTGTGATATACGTGTTTATGTGCATCCTGTTTTTTTTAATATTGTTCAATTGTTTCTTTAGCTTTTATTGGCATTTTTCACGTTGTTCACATTGTATTTCTTTGGATTAAATATTGTATTTTAAATTTATTATTTTTTTCACTGGGTATGCTCCATAGGGTTCATTTTTTTTGCATTCATAGAACATTTGCACTTTTTTTTTTTATAAAAATTTGTATTATATAGATATTCAGCAATGCCCATCCAAACTTAATTTTTTTTTGTTACGTTTTAGGAATGATATCAAATTGTCTCCATACATTTAGGTATCCATTGTTTCTACACATAGATAGCGCTTTTCTATATGAGAAACTAAGTGCCGTTTTTTGTAAGATCATTTTTTTTTTTTTCTTTTTTTTTTTTTTTTTGGTTCTTATTGTTGTTCTTTCACTTATCTTAAAATTGCACATTTGTTCGTAAAATGAAACTTTAACCCTTTTTAACATATATAACAAAATTCTATTTTGGGTGTAATTAAAATAACATGCCAAATTTTTGTAACTTTGTTTTTATGGCTATTTTAAGAAAATTTTTGAAAATAATTCACTTTTTATCATTTACACCTTATCAAAAGATTGAAGTGAAAAATTGAGCACATCCGTAATCATGCTTCATTCCTCTTGAAGTTTTTTTTTTTTTTTTTTTTAAATTACGTAAATTTATTACTAATTAGAAATGTCCAAATGAACAAGTTAAAAGAATATACAACAAAATCTATACCACCACCATTGCTGAGTCTATTTCGTGAATTTACATTAACACATAAATAGGAACATGTAAACATGGCAAATGATTTTGAAACAAATCCAAATTTAACCTTAACCAAAAAAAAAAAAAAAAAAAAGAAAAGAAGAAACTTTATTATCTTTGTAAATTTTTAGTTTTTTTTTTTTTTTTTTTGCTTTTACTCTCGTAAGCGTCAGTAACTAATTGTCTGTCCTCCATTTCGTTGTTTTTAATTTTGTTCTTATAAAGAGAAAAAGGAATATAAGAACATAATTTGGACAACGATTTCATTTATGACACATCATCACATCTGGAGGAATGCATAGAGACATTATGCTTTATTTAAAATGGAGCAACAACTTACTAGCGTTTTTATTTGTATTCGATGAAAACAGAAAAAGTTGTATCACTCGGTTTAAGGGTTGCGAAGCATTCTACAATAGCTTTACCGCTGTAAAAACGTTTCTTTATTCATACATCATTTCATATAGATTGTCAAAATTTTCAAATGGGTATTTGTTCATGGAGAAATTAGCATAGAAACATGAATGGGCATGTACTATTTTTTAGAATTTTTCAAGTAATAAACGTGCATACACATATGTTATTTCGCTTTTATCTGTGTCAAAAAATTAGGACACCTTGTGACATATTTTTTACTTTGATCTAGCTAAAATCTTCATTTCTAGTTTTTCAACTTATCACATTCAATATATTTTAAAACAATATATTTTGGCTAGTTTTGTATTTTTTTTAAGGTTTACTGTTCAGGTAAAAAAAAAAAAAAAAAAAAAAAAAAGAATTTAGCTAGCTAATCCTTCACTTATACAAGTAGAGAATTAAAAAAGGAAGAAAGAAAGGGAAAAGGAAAAAAAAAAAAAAAAGAAAAAAAAAAGGTTTTCTTTTTATGTATTACGTTTTGGTTAAGTTCTTCCTATTTTAATCAAAATTTTACATTTCAATTTTGTTTCTTAACGTCGTGAAATCTTTAACTTTTTAAGAACTGTTCTTATATTTTTTTTTCGAGTATCAATTGGAAAAAATTAAACTAAGGAAACATAATCCATTTTGCATTATTTTGCATAAACGTGTATCAATTAAAGAAATTAAAAAAAAAAAAAAAAAAAAAAAATGTATCGACTGCTTATTTTTCTTCTGTCTATTTTATTTATCAATAAAGCACATGTGCATGCAATTTCGACACATGAAATTTTGGTAGATAAAAGAATTGAATTTAGAAACAATGCAAAACTGGTTATTAATGAATCATATTTAGTGGACAAAAATGATAAATTGTTGGGTAATTCATTGAGAACATACAAATATTATTTGGTAAAAGGCACAACTGAATTTAGGGCTATTTTCATTTTTGACGATTTAAATATGTATAAAGCCACAGAATTAGGAATAAATAAAGAGCAACATGAGGTGGATATCTTAAACATAGAAAACAACATGAATAATATCTACCCCCTGGATGAAATGAGCACATTTAATGAAGTCCTATACAGAGAAAAGAAAATGTTCACATTAGAAACTGAGTATTCAACCACTACTTATGTGTTAGCTAAATTTGTCTTTAATGTAAATGTGGAAGAAGAAAATGAAGAGGACATTATGTCTCTTTTGATTGAAGTTGAACTGAATATGAAAAAAAAAAAATTGGACATAGTTAAGGAAGAGGGCGATGATAATGATGCACATCATGTGGATAATAACAGTTATACAGATAGGCAGATGAACCATTCCAATACAGTAGAACTATACAAAAAGAAACAGCCACAAGTTTTTACACAATTTATTGGACTGTTAGTAAGTATAGCATCTATAGTTACATCCATCTCGGGTGCCATTTCAGCTGTTGCACCAGTTTTTTCAGGCGCCTCCAGTCCATCTCCCCCCGAATTTTTAGGAAATGAAGCCTCGAGTTTGCCTACGTACAAAGAGAGAATGGTTGAGAAAAGTGAAACCTACAATCAAATGAAAAATAAAAAAACTGAAAACAGGAAGCACTATTTTGACGACTACTATGGTGACGAATATTATGATGACGAGTATTACGATGACGAATATTATGATGACGAATATTACGATGGTGAATATTACGATGGCGAATATTACGATGGCGAATATTACGATGGCGAATATTACGATGGAGAGAATTATAACGAGGGCTATTACGATCGTGGGTACTAAGATTACTACTGAATCGATTTGTTAGCACTGAAACGACTGCTACTATTAATTTCAAAATGTCGTACACATGGCTTGACTAAGAGTGAGAAGGGAAAAAGCAAACCGCGGCTATAGTTGATGCTTAAAATGCATAAAAACCTCAAAAGTTGATTGTCCAAAAATGGTTTCATTGCTCCCGTAAGAACATAATTATGAGTCAATGGACAATTTGAGATAGGTTGAACAAAAAAATATATACATGTATATATATGCATATACATTCTTATGAACAAACAAGATAATAAAAATTGTTTGTCAAATGGAACTTTCCAACATCCCAAAAAAAAAAAACATACTTGCCTGTACGCATCACAATATTACACCTGGCGCGTTACACAAAATATAATGTAAATTTTTTTTATGCATGTGGAAGAAAAGGGAGAGTTTTAGTCTTATTCCGATTATTATTATTATTATTTTTATTTTTTTTTTTTTATTTTTTTTTTTTTTTATTATTTTTTTTTTGTGTAGTATATGTTTTTCTCTTTTTCTTATTGTCTCCTTTTCTTTTCTTTTCTTTTCTTTCCTTTTTTTTTTTTTTTTTCCTGTACAAATTATTAAAACATACAAAGTAGGCTAGCTTAAAACAGTGCTGACATATTTATGCGCGATAAAATGGTAACCAACATTTTAATTGTTCGTGAGGTAAAAAGTTTCAAATTAATGATTTCAAAATTGATGCATTTTTCGCAGCGGTGGAAAAAAAGGAAAACATTCACTTTTTCTCTAATTCACATAATTTATGGGAAGATTGTTTCTCTTTGTGATTGTGAGAAAGGTGAAACTAGGGGAATGTAGCCACCCAGCAACATCCACATGTATGTTTCTATATGCATTCGTGTAAAACTGTGGGTTGTATACATATTTACTTTTCTTTTAAGTTTTTTTGGAATTTTATTTTTTCTGAAATTAGTAGTTCATTAATGTGGTGGAGATGAAGTTTCCTAAAAGAAAAAAAAATAAAATAAAATAAAATAAAATAAATAGGCCAAAAGACAGCATTCCACCATCACACACTCCTATAAAAAAGAAGTCCCTTTTTGTAAAAAGTTTAATTTTTACAATAAAAAAAAAAAAAAAGGAAAAGAAATATAACATAAAAAAATGTTCTTTTTTTATTTATTTCGTCCTTTTTGTATAAAGATTAAAAGAATAAAAAATATATATATCATTTTTAAAAAAAATTCTAGTAGGAATATTAGCAGAAAGGGGACGAGAATTGTTCAATATTGTACTTCGAAAAAGCTTATACGGGCATGCGATGTATATATATAGACACTACACATTTCGTAGTAGCAATATTTTTGCAGCTTCTATGAAAAAGTGAGAGATTATTTACGAATAATTTCATTCTCTTCTTTGTGAAAATATCAAAGTGTTCTTTAATAAGGAAATGTGAAAAAGTTTGATGCATATTTTTTGCAAAATAATACATCAAGAGTGAGAAGTTATTTGTTTAAACCCAATTTATCAAAAGAACACTCAAAAGATCAAAAAAGCAGTGTTGCTCTTTGTTCTGTGTTTTAGAACAATGCATGCATGCAATCATGCACATTTTTTTTTTTTTTTTTTTTTTTTTTTTTTTCTCTCTCCCATTTTCTGGGTTCATAAGAGCAATAAAATTGATTGTGGTGAAGTTATTGATTAATTTTTTCATTTTTTTTTTTTTTTTTTTTTTTGTTTATTTTTCCACAAAATAAAATTCCACACAACATTTTTAATATATGAAATGTGTATGTTATTTTTATTTTAATCACCCCATCATCCATTATCTTACTTTTTGTTCTTGTTTACACATTGTTGTTATGTCATTGGGAATAACGAAAAAAATGTTTTAAATTTTTGTCTAATTTTTAACCTCAGTTTCATATGGACATGCTTTATTAAAATGTTTTGTTTACAAGAAAAAAGTTTTCCATTTTTTTTTTTTTTTTAATACTTTTTTTTATTCATAAATTTAGAAGAGTCTAATTCATTGCTAATACGTAAAGGAGCGAATAAATTTATTCTTTCATTTCACTGTGTTGTTACTTGCACATTTATAGGATGTAATGGTTTAAGCATTGAAAGGTGAGTACTTTTATTTCTTCTTAAACAATTAAAATTGGTTAGAATGTTTCTATGTGTAGTATACATGTGCATATATTTCAACGCCCCACGCAGTTCCCACTAACCGTTATATCTCCATTTCCCGAACTTTTATTTTATATTATTTTATTTTTTGTAGATCCCTTCGCAATCCATATCGATATCGATTTGTAAAACTCCAGTTTTGCTTCACAGTACATGGGGAATTTGTGGTGATTCAGAAACACACGCTTCATTTCGCAAGGCCAATCTTTAACTTTTTCCACTCCGGGTTGCACAAAACAGAGGAAAATCACACGTCACAAAGGAGCTGCAAAGAAGTTACAAAAAAAAAAAAAAAAAAAAAAAAAATAGATACAAATCTTTAGCAAAATAAGACACAAACCATAGATAACAAGGAGTAAAGGAGGAAAAAAAAAAAAAAATGTGTTATTCCAACATATAACCATATATATATGAAAAAAATGAAATCAAGAAATATAAAAAAATTCTTATCCATTTTGTGTATTATATTTTACATATATGAATATGGATATGTAAGAAGTATCCGCTTTGGGAATCGCAAAAATCAGAATTATAATGGAGAAAAAGAAATGAAATTAGGAAAAAGTGGACAGCTAAAAGGCTTAAAAAAGTACACAAACACTTTATCTAATAATGTTTCAAGCAATAGTGGGTATAATGTATCGTTTGTTAGTCAGCAAAAAGTAGTTGAAGATGATGACGATGATGATTTGGAAAGTCTGTACGATGATGATGACGCTTCTACCATTACAGGAGGTGTGTATACATATGAATATACATATACATGTGCATATCATTGTCCACTATTAGCCCTTGCTTATATTTCTGTTTTTGAAAATGTGAATATAAGAAATTGCATAAGTCGCGATATAGACCCACATAACTAGATGTTGTGATGCTTTATATGAGTATATGTGGTTGTCTATACGCAGAAAAGAAGAAAAAAAAAAAAAGAATGTAGTGTGTTCCTGTATATACATATATGTATATATATATGCAAACTCATTCTTATCACTTTCAAACTTACAGGCGGTTCTTCGATAAGTGATGATGATGATCTACAGTTACAGAACCAAGATGGGGATGAAGAGGAGCAGGAAGAGACTCAGCTAAGTACCCCTGACGATGATGATGAACATAGCAGTAAAAATAAAATATAAGAAACTAAAACGGTGCTTATGCATGAATATACATATGTGACATGTGTGTTTATATGTATGAATACACGTATGATACATGTGTAATTATGGACTTGTTTATATGCATACCCAAAAATGTATTATTCATGTGCAGAGAAAGACAAAGGCTTTAAGAAGAGTTTAAAGTTGAGTAAACAAGAAAAATTGATAGAAGATAAAAAAAATGAAACTAAGAATACTTTTAAGAATTACCATTTTGAAGATGAAGAGGAATCCCCTTACAAAAAGTTGTTGGATAAAAATAAAGCACTTAATTCGGGTGCCCGAAATGATGATGAGGAGGAGGAAGACGAAGAAGACTCAACTCAATCAAATACTAGGAAAGCAATGAAGAAAAATTTGGATGTGTTTCCAGGTTTATATTTTGCAGGTATTGGCTATGATTTGCTTTTTGGAAATCCACTTGGGGAACCAGACACTTTGACTGATCCTGGATATAGGGCACAGATTATTTTAATGGATTGGGAATTGAGCAATAAAGGAGTTGCAAATGACTTGAGTACTTTACAACCCTTGAATGGGTGGATCAGAAAGGAGAATGCCTGTAGTAGAGCGGAATCGGTATGTCTAACCAAATCGCACAAAAAGTGCATTTTCGAGGTGTATCAATTATATAGTAAACGTTCTTGTTAACGACCCAAGCTTAAAAGGTGTTATCTTTATACATATGCGTGAACTCTCACGGATGCACATACACATGAGGGCACAAACACATGAGGGCACAAACACATGAGGGCACATAAACATGAGGATACATACAACATTTGAACAATTGCATCACATTTCTAACCACTCCATTACAGATCAAAGAATGCAAGAGTGTTTCAGATTACACAAAAAATTTGACAGCAGAGGCCAGTGTGTCAGGTAGCTACATGGGCTTCGGGGCCTTCTCGGCATCCTCTGGTTATAAGAAGTTTCTTCATCAAACTTCTAAAAGAACGAGCAAAACGTATTTGGTCAAGTCTAATTGTGTTAAATATACAATTGGACTTCCTCCCTATGTGCAATGGTAAGTGGAAGCTGCTTTTTTTTTTTTGTGTAGAGCGGGGAGCGGCAGGAATATTGGCCTAACCAGGCTGACATGTGCATATACGCAAACACATGCATATATACATATACATGCATACTTACATATTTACATACTTACATATTTACATACTTACACATTTACACACTTACGTACATACCTACACGCACACCTAGACACACACACTTTATCCTCACAATGAGGCAATTTTCTTTCTTTCATTTACAGGAAACAAACAGTTGCATTCAAGAATGCCGTGGATAGCCTCCCACCTCACTTCATGGGCCTAGAACAAGATAGCGAATGCGCATCAGATGTTTACGAACAAAAGAAAACATCAGAAGAGTGTGAAAATGTGAATGCTTGGATTATGTTTTTCAAAACTTATGGAACGCATGTCATTATGGAAGCTCAGTTAGGTACTTGAAAGAGGGGCGATTGCTATCTTTTCCCTTTTTGCCGTCATGTCAAAAAAGGGGAGGAGGAGGAGAAAAAAAAAAAAAAAAAAAAGACGAAAAGGAAAGAACGAACAGGAAAGGACGAGCCGGAAAGGGCGAGCTGGAAAGGGCGAGCTGGAAAGGACGAGCTGGAAAGGACGAGCCGGAAAGGGCGAGCCGGAAAGGGCGAGCCGGAAAGGGCGAGCTGGAAAGGACGAGCTGGAAAGGACGAGCTGGAAAGGACGAAGCGGAAAAGGCGAAAATACAAAACAAATTCTTCCCCCCTCCCCCTTTACATATAAACACGCATGCTGAACAAACAGTGTGCACATTTTTCCTAACTTGACACCCTGAAATATGCACGCAAACTTTTTTCCCTCACTTTCGAAAAATTACAGGTGGAAAAATAACAAAAATCATAAGTGTGGAAAATACATCAGTGAATCAAATGAAAAAAGACGGAGTGAGCGTAAAGGCACAAATCAAAGCGCAGTTTGGGTTTGCAAGTGTGGGAGGATCAACGAGTGTTAATTCGGAAAATTCTTCTAAAACGGATGAAGATAAATATGAAATGAGTGAAGAGCTAGTTGTAATTGGAGGAAATCCAATTAAGGACGTGACCAAGGAAGAAAATTTATATGAATGGTCTAAGACTGTTTCAAAATATCCAATGCCAATAAATATAAAGCTCTTGCCTGTGTCCAACATTTTTGAGAATGATGATTTGAAAAGCTCATATGAAAAAGCCTTCGTTTACTACAATAGATTATACGGATTTTCCCCTCATGACACTATGCAGAAGGATGAAAAGGACATAGTTAAAATAGTAAGTAGTGATACAACCAAATCAGCTGAGTGCTGACGAGCGAAATTGATCCACCACCACAATCCCCCAAAAAAAAAAGGAAAAAAAGGGGAAAAAAAAAAAAAAAAAAGAAAAACATTTATGAACAGTAGCACATAACACTTACATTGTACGAGTCATGCATACCCACTTTTCTAAACCACTCCACTCACGACTCACTCAAATATATTGTGTAAACTTTCTCCCTTTTTTGTTCCCATTCCCTAACTACAGTTAACAGGATCTACAACGGTCACCAAAAGTGGCTCTCCACCTATAAGTGCAGAATGCCCAAACGGGTTGGTTGTTTTATTCGGTTTCGTTTTAAAGCAGAATTTCTGGGATTATATTAACCCGAAATCATATGAAATGGAAATTTGCGAATCTGGCACTAATAGTTGCACATCAAAACAAGGAAATACAAATAAATATGACGTCTCTTATGCGTATATTGAATGTGGAGAACAAGCTTTACCTTTTACTGAACAGGTAGTTAGTGTAAGTAATTCTACTTACAATAAATTGACCTGTCCAAATGATTACTCCATTTTATTCGGATTTGGAATATCTTCTTCCTCTGGCAAGCACAAATCGGCTCTTTACACTTATTTAACACCCTGTCGTCCAGGTTAGTACACCTCGCTAGGGCATCCATATAATCTGTAAATATATGTACATACAAGTATATATGTATATATACATTCGCTTGTGTGTGGTATATAACCCCCACAATTGCCCTATATCACACACTACGCGCACAAACATTTCCATTATGCACTTTCTACATGCTGGTACACATAAAGCATGTCACTTATTTCGAATTGGTTTATTCTTACTCTTCGCGTGAATGTTAAAACCGCGCTTGGGGATATGTATATTGCACTTGGTTACAATTGGGAATCTTTTCCACTTTACAAGAGCACTTGTCAATAATATACAGACCTATAAAGATATGTACACATCCATATATATACGCATCCATATATATATATATATATATACATACAAATATATATATACATATATATGCACGCTTTACTACGTTTTATAGGCTTGAAAAACTGTTCCCTAAATATGAACAGCGAAGATGACAAAAGCTATTTGTACCTCGTCTGCGTAGATCCAACAATATGGTCAGGATTAAACAACTTATCTCTTATCGCGAAGGATGATTTGCATACTTATGTAAACAAGTCAAAGCAATTTAATGATGGAGAATTAGTTGTCACATGTCCTTCTGAGGGTACTATATTAACTGGTTTTTACGGAGAAACACATACCTCGGCCCCTTATGTAACTGCACCCTTTGGAAAATGTGCCAAGAGTTTAAAAGCATGTTCAGTTCACGGATGTGGTCAGGGATTTGGGTTACACAATTACAGAACATTGTTTAATGTGGTGCTATGTAAAAATAATTAGTAATGCATGCGCAAATGCATATATATATATATATATATATATATATATATATATATATATATACATACATACACACATACACATGTGCGTAAATGTATATGAGTTTATGTTTTTCAGTTTTTCCTTTTTTTTTTTTTTTTTTTTTTATTTCGTGTCGCCTCCATTTTTCCCCTTTGTCTATTTTTTAAGATTTCTTTTTTTTTTTTTTTGGACATTCCCTTTTCTACAATGATTTTTCATTACAGTTTAATTTTTTTTAAAAAATATTCAATAGGTAAACGGGTATTTTTTCACCATTTGGCCTTTTACATTATTGTTTTTGCCCATTTTAACACATTCTTTTAACTTTGCGTGCGTTTTGACACAACATTTTGCAAGTCTCGGTACACACCTTGAGGAGCTAAAACTAGTAAAAGTATTTCATAAAAATCTAAACCTCATAAACGCAAATTGTGTAAAACAATATTTTAACATTAACCTTAAACCGTAATAAATGGTGTTTTTATATAAGTTGTGTAGGACACTCAATCACCTCACCTTATCCTTTTTAGGAACCCCGGGTATTCACAATAAAACAAGTGAAGGAAGGAAGTGTGATGATCAACTCCTTAAAGAAAAAGAAGAAGTCAATGTATAAATGTGAATAAATAATATGGATATTCCCTCCTAAAGCAACAGGTAAAAATATGCCTTTTTTACATTTTCTTTCTTTCTCTTTTTTTTTTTTTTTTTTTGTCATATTTTCCTAGAATAAAAGGAAAATATATATTAATTTATACAAATTTAAAGTTTTTTTTTTTTTTTTTTTTTTTTTTTGTTTTGTTTTTGGAAGAGCTATCTCAAAATTTTTACACAATTTAAAAAAGATGTAAAATATAGATATTCATAGAAAAAGACAAAAATTTACAAGCAGGCAAAGACAAATAAAAACATGCACAGCTTAATTATAACATGAGAAGAACAAAAAAAAAAAAAAAAAAAAAAAAAAAAAAAAAAACGGTTATAAAGACAAAACAAGAGTGTAAGGATAAGTGCCCTTTAATTTTTATGAATTATTCTACAGAGAAGAAACATATCGAATATAGTAACGTGGGTAGATCGACAAAAAAAATAAAAATAATAATAAATAAAATAAAACAAAGTAAAATAAGCAGCCATACGAGCTAAACGCTGGCATGAAAAATAAAACTTTCTCCTCCCCTGTTCAATCAATTTTAAATTGAATCGGAAGAAAAAGCCACAAAAGATTACCACGTGTCGTGTTCAAAAAATGAGTAACGAACGAGGAGGTGTAGAGGTAGTGGTTATAATATGGTGAGGTTTTGTGGTATACTTTACTTTTTTTTTTTATTTTTTCCCCCCATATATATATATACATACACACACCTGATGACCACCGTTTTGTTCGCACTTAAGAATTGTCGACGAAGACGCTGTATGAGTAGACATTCCTGGACTCATTCTTACACATATCAACCGCCTTGATCTCATCTAATATCCATGTTCCGGCCATGGAACCCTTTGGTAACAATATCTTGTGAACCACTTGTGCATAGTCTTTTCCCTTAGGCAAGAGGGTTCTATTCACATGACTTGAATGTATTCCACCATGAGGATCCCTTAAGTGTACATAAGCATAGAACAATCCAGATAAATCATCATGTATGCCAAATTCAACGGTAACTTCTGTTTCTCCATCATGGTGTTCATTAGCTGGTTTGCTGGTAACCCTAACACCAGTTACAGTAGGCCTAGTTCTATCCCTAATAGCTGAAGTTTTTAAATCTGCATAATACTTATCCGATGTAACATTAACTATGTTTTGGTTCCCTGCCTCATCTTCTACAGCCATCTGACGAAAGTAATATCTACTACTTACACAGTATTGTGGAATGTGTACTGGGTTCATTACTTGAAAACATTTTAAATTCGTAACATTCATTTTTGTATGTGCTTTGCATGCTTCCATATTAACTTGTCTAAATCCACTGGTTTTAATATCCCTCACAAAATAATCATTATGCAAAGCATTAACATCAAACTCAGGATCGTATGATGAGTAAGTATGATTACCATACGAATAACTTTCATTATCCGTTGAGGCGAAATTAGCGAATGTTCCTCCATGTATCTTCAGTGCAGTATTTTCTAAGATAAGCATGCTTAATCTTAGTAATGAGTCTTCAGAACCACTTCCATTATATGGATAGATCTGAACTGAGTCTAACAATGCCAATGGTTGTTCAATATCTTCATCCTGGTTATTCACATACATATATAAGAGAAAAGATCCTAATCCTGTGTATCTCTTTATATCATTTTGTCCAGTAAATGATAGAGATTCAGCTACCCATTTCCCTTTACTTTCTGAAGAATTTACATCAAATTCTGCATATAAGACATGACTACATTCTGAACGATCTGCTGTGTAGAAAAATACATCTCGATACGTTTGCTGCTCTGAGAAAAATCTTGCATGAGCATATTTTGCACATCCTTTATTTCCATTTGATGATAAAAGGTTTATATGTATTTGTACCTTTTTATTTTCAGATGGATTTCCCTTTACTTCTACTCGTATTTTTTTTACCTTTCCAGGATAATAAAATACTTGATTCCCTAAATTTATAACTTCAAATTTGTGTGTTCCTGAAGTGACATAAAAACTTCCACTAAATAAATTCTTTTTTATCCAATTGTATTTTTCACTACTTCTAGAATTCAATAATTTTGGATTCAAAACAAAGGAAGCTATAGATTCTGCAAAATCTTCTGCTGGTGTCTTATCATGTGCATAAGCAGAAACAAATCCTATTTCATTCCTAGTAGCCCATTTGCTTGGGGATAAGGGTTCTTCATACCATTGTCCCGAAGTAACCCATTCTTTTATCAAATCAACAGAAAGAGTATTTACATAAATAAAGTGTCCAATCTCATGAAGAACTAAGTGAGAAATATCTTTATAATTTATAAATGCTAATTCCATGAATTCGATAAAAGAATTCCTAGTAGGACCAGCAGGGAAAGCCACTGCAGGGGCAGTAGGATAAACGGGATGTTTTAGTCCGTTCTTTCTTCTAGAAATATAATTCAATCCTTTTACTTTTTGAAATCCTTTTGGATATTCATCCCACGAGGTGGCTAATTCGATAAGTTCCTCTAAATTCTGACTCCATGGTTGATAATCTTTATGTGAATATCCTGTAACTTGTTCAACCTGTTGGGGATTTCTCACTGGGTCTAACAATTGAACCCCATGTTTTTCTTCAAAGTAGGTAACAAATAAGTTATAATCATCTGCTAGGATAGCTCTTATTATTACCTTTTCTAATCTCCTTGAATAATAATTTCCATTACTACTTTGTGTTTTCACTTGCTTTTTAGAATATTCAAATGCACTGCTAGATACACGTACAATTTTGGAATAGTCAGCATCATCCTCTTCATTGTAAATCTCTGAATCCATATCAAATGCTCCTAAATCACCTTGTACTAGAATCCATTTTTGATGTTTCCTTTGACGTGCTCTTTCCTCCTTACTATATGCAACTAATTTAACACATTCGGGGAAACTAGACAACACATTTAGTAGTCTGTCTGAATATTCAGAGCCCCAATATCCGTATAATTCAATTCCAAAAAAGGTTTTCAAAGATGCTGAAGCAGCTGACCCATCGAGTTTCAATTCATTTGATAAATCATGTCCATGAGTCCAATCAGCATCATCATTATGTACTACATTTATATGTTCCAATGCAATAGGAGCTGTTGATTGTAACTCCCATTCATATATAAACAAGTTGGAAACATTTGGATATGGAGTTATATCAATAAAATCGCTATAATCTGAATTTACAAATTTGCATTCGGAGCAAGGTACATTCAATTTTATAGCACTCGGTGTTAAATAGGTAGATCCAAAAGTACGTAAATAATATCTTCCTCCATGAACAATAAATTTGAAATATGGATTATCAGCTGTTACTATTACTACTTCTAAAGAATCGAAACTATTTGAGTATTGAGCTCCTAGAGCTATCGATATCGGTTGTCCATCTTCTATACCTTTGACTGATCCTGTAATCACATAAGTTTTATCATTCTTATCTGTGGATAAAAGAACTTCCCTTTCATGCATTAAATTTGTTAAAGTTGCTGATGTTTGCATAAAGACAGCTTTCCCATATGGGCTATCATTATCTGCACTTATATAATTTTTTTCTCTTAAATTTGATATGCCTACTCCTCCCCTGCTTAGAAAATCTGTCCCTACTGATCTTTCTTCTGAAGATCTTAAGTTTTTTGCAGTGTTCAAGTCAAAATGTCTTATGCTGTATATCCAAGTAACATTCACAACGGAAATCCACAGGAAGAGGATCTTGAACAAGATATAATTTCTCATTTTGGAAGCATGTGATGGATTTTAAAAATGTTCCAAAGAGGTCAAAACAAAGAAGATTAAACGAAAGAGAAATGTTTAAAGAATCTGTCGCTTACACATTTCATTTACAGAAAGATAGCTATCTTTCAAAAAAAAAAAATTACACTTTAAATATGTAAAATTACGCACAAGCATGAACATGTAAGCATGGGCATGTGATGTTTGGTTGGAAAAGTTCTACATGAAAAAAAAAAAAAAAAAAAAGATAAGGAATAAAGAAAAATAAGAATGGGAAAAAATATATTCATGCAAAGTTGCAACATAAGAATTACACACAAAGTTATGCATTAACATAAAAAGTATGACATGGGAAGTTTATGTTAGTATGTGTACGTTAGAGATGTTATTACATACACATTACAAAAGAGTAGACAAAAAAGGAGAAAACAAAAAAAATGTAACGTAAAGGATGGAACAAAAATAGGTATTCATATATATGTGTATACACAATAAAATTGCAAGAATTGTATACAAATAGAGGAAAAAATTCATAAAAGTTATTGTTTGATATGCAAAACTGGATATAAGAAAAAGGGTAACTTGCTATAATTTAGTTTTAAGGTATGTTAATATTATCTTTTACTTGGTTGTTCATGTCTTTTTTTTTTTTTTTTTGGTTTGTTTAATAAACTTTTTAGCAATTTATTTTTAAATAAGTTGTTAATTATTTTTTCACTTATTTTTTTAATTATTTCTTTAATTATTTTTTTAATTATTTCTTTAAGTTATTTCGTTAATCTTTTTAACTTTTTTTCAAATTAGGAAAAGTTACAAGAAAAAAAAAATATAACACGTGTACATTTTTATAAACATTTATGTGGACGCATTTATTATAAACAACATTTTAAAAACATTTAAGAAAATTGCAAACACATGCAACAACAAATCGAAAGGTTAATCCCTTGTACACAAATAGCCCTTGTTTTTGTACTTTGTCATGCAATTTTAATTGAGCTCAGGACAATCCTGATCCCCTTCTTCTTGGTTGTGCTTAGTTACATGTGCAGCTACACATTATCATACTTGGCTGCACTTAGCGTTATGATTCCGTATATTTATTTTTCCCCTTATTTTGTTTTGTTTTTTGTTTTTTTTTTTTTTTTTTAGCTATCTCAATAATATTTTAATTAATTTTACTAATACATGCTATATCTGCACGAATATAAAATAATGTAGCAACATACATGACAATTGTGTGTTTTCCATATACAGTTTGTATGGTGTAAAGAGGAAGAAAAAAAAAAAAAAAAGAAAGAAAAGCAGAAATTCTTGATATGTAGAAGAATATATACACTTAATAATTTAACGTATTTATGGTGAAATAGTTATTTATATATATTTTTTTTCCTCTCTGAACCCACAACATGGTTAGATACATTTTTACATGCATAAACCCCAAAAAAAAAAAAAAAAAAAAAAAAAAAAAAAAAAATTTGTCACCTGCTCATACCTTTAAAAAAAGAAAAAAAATTTGGCTACCCACTTTTACACCAAAAAAAAAAAAAAAAAAAAAAGTGCATGCATATTTATAAGAATTAAAAAAAGAAAATTATTGTGTTCAATTAAAATAAACAAAAGTTAAATGTATTTTTTATAAGCACTTGTTCTTTCTTTCTTTTTTGAATACCTCATATGAATATATAACCCTGTCTAGTAGCTACATTTCAACGCGTGCACATGGATTATTTTCCGTTGTGGATCTTGAAAAAGTATATTACAAAATTACACCCATCGTTTTACGTGACTCATTTAGCAAGCTATTCATTTGCGAAAGAAATTGTCCAAAAAAAAGATAAAAAAAAAAATAGGTATTATAACAAAAATAAAAAGAAAAGCAGAAGAGAAGAAATTTATTTAAGAAAATTGCTTCACCATTTTGGTTTCTTAATCATGAACATATCTGTTAAAAATTCGTCAATTTAATTAATTTTTTTTAAGTTTTCTGCTTGAATTTTTTTTTTTTTTTTTTTTTTTTTTTCCTATTAAGCTTACATTTATAAAGAATAAAAGGAGGTATCAATTTGTAAACAGATTAACAGCTGCTATTTTGTCTGCGCTTCATATAACACAATAATGGCAGCATTTTAATATAGGCAAATTGATGAAGATGCAACATTTAGTATTTTCTGTTTGACGTACGATAAAAAGGAAAACCCATTTGGATACTTTTTCCGATACAGGGAAAATTACTTGAAGGGGAGAACATGCATGTATATATATATATATATATATATACACATGCATACCTTTTTTAGCCATTTCCTTCACCTAAATTATTCTTATATTCGAATGCCACCGGGATGTTAAATTCCCTTTTGGACGAAACGAAAATAGTGAACACATGTGATTAACATTTCGCATATTCACGACTTTTTCTAGTGTGGGTAGAATGACGCATAAATAACTCTAGTAAAGATGACCTACAGAATGTATTTTATAAAATTTTATACGAACAAATTATTATGGAAAAAGGAAATCCAAAAAGAAAGTTTTTTTTTTTTTTTTTTTTTTTTTTTTAAATTTGCTCATTTTATAGTGAAAGGGTGTATGCACTGTATCTCTTCGACAGCTACTATGTGCTTCTTTTTCGTATTGTAAAAGACGTGTGTATAACCCTAATTTTTGATAAAAAAAAAAAATCCAAAGTCTCCACGAAAATAATTTAACGTTAATATTAATTAAGATTGATGTGTAAATGAAATAAAAAGTCACTGTCGTGAGAAAGCTAAACAAGTTTTCACTATTCATACCTAGCAAGGAGAAAAATGCAAACAATTAGACAGAAAATGTATCCTTATATTGACATTAAAAAGAAAAAAAAAAGGTAAAGGTAACATAAGAGGTGTGGGTAACAAAATAGATCTTATATTATTCTTGTAACACATATTCATGTTAAGTGATAAAAGACCCTTTTACTTTTTTTTTTTTTTTTCTCCTTTTCTCTTTTCATATCACACACATATAATTCATTTTTTTTTAATGAATTGTTTGCTCAAATGGGATAAATATGTGTATTATGTCTAATGAACAAAGTGTGACGTCATTATGCACTTTTTTTTTTTTTTTTTTTTACAATTTAAGGGTACAAAAAAAAAAAAATAAATAAAAAAAAAAAATAATAGCATAATAAAACGAATAAACAAATACACATTTCAATATATAGACATATGATAATTTATAATTGGGGATAAAATACTTAAAAAGGTCAACTTGGGAAAAAGATATGCACGTCACATACGATATCAACTTTGTGTATATATATGTATTATTTAATTGTTTGCATTTTTAACTCTCCCGTTATGTGTTCAGGGGAGAGGACTGGTGAGATAAACTAACGTTCATTGCCATGTTATTTCATTTTCTTCTTCTGTGTATGCACATTGGCACTTTAAAAGTCGGTTACCCATTTGCACATTTTCCTTATTATACATTTTTGGAGCGCGTTTGTGCGAGAAGTTTTGGATATATATAAATATACACATTTTTTTATCAACAAAAGGAGTAATTCGAATTGACATAAGGAGGGTAATTCGAGGTATGCGCACTGTTTTGCTACGTTTTTTAAATTTCCATATATATTATATACATATGTTTTTTTTCTCCCCCCTTCCCTTCTGTTTGCATGAACATGAAAGAAAAAGAGAAATAAAATTGAAAAATTGTAATAAAAGTTTAGTGAAAAAAAGGAAGAAAAAAAAAAAAAATGATGTAATATAAATCAATTTTGAACATAGACGTAGTATTGAAATTTTTCTTTTTCTCCCGTTTGCCAAGGGAAGAGTTGAAAAATAATGCATAGAAAAGGAAATCGAAACTCTCAATGTGCGGGGCAGTTAACAGTGCATTGTGAAACACATGATAGCATAAGGAATCACTTCGAAGTGTAATGCAGCAGTGAACATTGAGCAAAAGTGATGCTAAATAATTCTAAATAATTTTCTACATAAAACATAACGCTTAGGTTTTTGTGCAGAGTTAGTCTCAAACTCCCCACGGAGGTGTATAGCAGAATATAGTGAAAGGGAAATAAATAAAAGAAGATAAACTGAAAAAGAAAAAAAAAAAAAAAATACAATAAAAAGATATTAAAAGATAGATATACTTCCAAAGCGCTGTGCTCACTTTTTTTTTTTTTTTTTTTTCTTTATTTTTGAGCCAAATGGGAATTAAAGGATTGACAAAATTTATTGCTGATGCAGCACCCAACGCAATTAAAGAAATAAAAATTGAAAATTTGATGGGGAGAGTAGTGGCTATTGATGCATCCATGTCTTTGTACCAATTCATAATAGCTATTAGAGATTCAGAACAATATGGAAATTTAACGAATGAGTTAGGAGAGACAACTTCACACATATCTGGGTTAATGTCAAGAAGTATAAAGTTGATGGAGAATGGTTTAAAACCAATATACGTGTTTGACGGTGCGCCTCCTGAATTAAAAGGATCAGAATTAGAAAAAAGAGGAGAGAAAAGACAGAAAGCAGAAGAGTTATTAAAAAAAGCGAAAGAAGAGGGAAATATAGAAGAAATAAAAAAACAAAGTGGAAGAACAGTACGAGTTACAAAAAAACAAAATGAAGAAGCAAAAAAATTATTAACCTTAATGGGGATTCCAGTTGTAGAAGCTCCATGTGAAGCAGAATCTCAGTGCGCATTTTTAACAAAATATAATTTGGCTCATGCAACAGCAACAGAAGATGCTGATGCTTTAGTATTTGGGACGAAAATTTTAATTCGGAATTTGAATGCTAATGCATCATCATCTGCAAATCAAAACAAGAATAAAAATTCTAGTAAAAGAGGATATATATTAACAGAAATAAATTTAGAACAAGTATTAAAAGGTCTAAACTTAAACATGAATGAATTTATCGATTTTTGTATTTTATGTGGTTGTGATTATTGTGATACCATCAAAGGTATTGGTTCCAAAACTGCTTATAACCTGATAAAAGAATATAATTGTATTGAAAAAATTATAGAAAATATAGACAAAAATAAATATCAAGTCCCTGCAAATTTTAGATTTGTAGAAGCTAGAGATTCTTTTATAAACCCAAAAGTTTTATCAAAAGAGGAAGTTAAAATTGATTGGTGTGAACCGAAAATTGAAGAATTAAAAAACTTTCTAATTAAAGATTATAATTTTAATGAAGTAAGGGTTACAAATTATATTAACAGATTATTGAAAGCGCGAAAAGCAACTACCCAGAGACGTCTGGACAACTTTTTCACTGCTTGTACTAAAAAAAGTACTAAATTAATTATAGAAGAAAGTCAAAAGGAGCTGAAACCAAAACGTAAGGGAAAAAAAAGAGACTTACCAATTGATGGTTCGACGAAGCTTAATGCAAAACAGAAAAAGGAACAAAATAAGAAAGTAAAAGTCGAAAATGAAGACAAAAAGACGTCAATTAAAAATGAATCCAAGGAGGAGCTGCAGAACCACCACATGGAAGAAGCAGAAGAAGGAGAAGTAGAAGAAGAAGTAGAAGAAGAAGTAGAAGAAGAAAAGGATGATGCAATGGGTCTGGCACCACCCTTTGATGAAGAACAGGATGAGGGGGATAATCCTAGTCCCAACTTCTTCCACCATAAATCGGACTCCGAATCAGGTAATTTAAAAATAGCAGAAATGGAAAAAATGGAAGAAATAGAAGAAATGGAACAAAATGTAAAAAACGATAATATAAGCCCTGTGTATAATTGCACAAATGGGAACGACACATTAGGCAACAACACCCACCTAAGTAGTAACAGCACCTCGTATAGTCGTAATAGTTTAAATAATAACAAGAAAATAGACGAGAGTGTGAAACATTTAACTAATGATTCCCCAAGAGATGACAACAATCATTTATGTAGTAGTGAGTTGTTCCCTCATAATACCACCGATTGTTTGAATAACAATTCGGATATGATGCAGTCACAAGTTAAAAAAAAAAACATTTTATTTTTATTGCCCTATTGTCCAAAGAATGTTACTAGTGTTAAGAAGAGGAAGTCTATCCAGCGTTTCTAGGAAGAGGTGCTAAGAAGCAGGTATTAGTATCATTATATCTGTGCCGATGCCTTTTGGCCTGATCTGTGTCTTCATTTGGGGTCCTTTCTTTAGCTACATCTGTGTTTGTATATTTTTTTTTTTTTTTTTTTTTTTTTTTTTTTGGTTTACATGAATTTTCACTCGTTTCATGAAATTTACGTCGATGCAGATTTTGCATCTTCCGTAGCTAACCTAAGGGCTATTTAGTACTTACATATCATTAACTGATTTGCTTGGCCCACCCACCCCTTTTATCTACCATTTTACTATCAGGTTCAACAGTAGCGAAAACAGCAGTACCATATTTTAACATCATCAGATGAGAATGACACCATTTTTAATTTTACATAGCGTGCATTTAATACATTTTTATGAATACACTTATGCATTTTTGAAAAACTGGAAATGCATATCTCGTACATAGATCAAAAATTAGTGTTCGAATAACGTGTTTTGATTTTTTGAAAAAAAAAAAAAAAAAAAAAAAAAAGACAATTTTGTTTGATGCTTTTTTAAAATGTTCTGTGCATTTCCGCGTATTTGCGAACTGTTTCACACATTTTTGACCTTTTCCATATATATTTTTTTCTCTCCATTCTTTTCCCCATTTTGATGATATACAGATGGGGGCAAAAAATGGCATATCATTTCAGTTAGGGGCCTTGGAGGAATGGCGTAAATATTCTACATCTTCATTTTTATAGCCTATACATAAATGATGCTAATGCTTGTTTTGGGAAAGTGTGGTGATGCATTTAAAAAATAAAAAAAAAAAAAAAAAAAAGGAAAGAAAGAAAGTAAGAATGAAAGTAAGAATGAAAGTAAGAATGAAAGTAAGGAATGCTTGTAGAGTATAGTAGTTCCCCTTTGCGTACCTCTTTTTTGGTAATAAATAGTTGCATATATCTGGATGTGCTTCAACATGTGTCAAACAAGCTTCACAATGCATGAACTTTCTCCAATGTGCATGTTTTGTTTTTTTTTTTTTGGCACACTTTAAGGACCTGTATTCTGTTCATTTTTAATCTCATCATACTAACTTAGTGAAAGGGGTGCTAAATTCGGTAGATCTCACTTTTTGGTCATTTGGAAAGCACATTCCATGAAATCCTTTTTTTTTTTTTTTTTTTCTACTTCCGCCTATGTTAAGTGTATATAAACAGTAGGTATGTGCTGTATGCAAACTTTCTATGATCAATGGTAAAAAAAAAATGTTAGCGATATTTTAAATGTTTATATTGCCCCCCCCAACACCCCCAACACCCCCACATTAACACGATGTTCTTGATGTTCTTGTCCCCCTTTTTTATCGGTGAAAAAAATTACTTGTCCTGAATGGGGAATACTTGAAATACACATTTTCTTCCAACTAGGAAATGTCACATAATGCTATTTTCATTTTTTTTTTTTTTTTTTTTGAAAGGAGAAAATATGTTCATGAGTGAAATGGTTAGAGTGGTGATTTAAGATGTGTACTTTTATAAAATCTATTTTTTTTTGCGTATCTTATTTTGAGGAAATGTAAAAAGGAAAATAATAGGAAAAAAAAAAAAAAAAAAAAATAAGAAAAAATAGGAAAAACTTTTTAAATGAATAAATTAAGCAAAGGGAATATTTTTTGTTTTTTTATAAGTGTGAAATATTTTTCTTTTTTTAAAAAAAATCGTATACTATATTATTTACAGCATGGGACAAGCTGTGGAATGGTCAGAAGCCAAGGGACACACCTTCCTGTGTTTTCATATGGAAGAAGAAAGAAGGAAGAGAAAAATGCAACTGTGATTAGTATGACATGTAGTGCATCAATAATTGCACGAAAATCAAACATATTCGACTACATACCATGTGTAGGAAAGAAAAGAGGTGTACTAAACTTCTCCAGTTTTTCCCAAAACGGAAAGGGAGGAAATATCAATTCTTATTCTTTGGAGAAGAATAAAAATGGAGGAAATCAAGATTGTGACACTATGAAGTATGAGAATGGTAACCCAGATGATGACTACAAAAAAGGTGTGAGGACTGGAAAAAATGTTCCTAATAACAATCTCAGTGATGTTCAAGGCGAGGGAAATGACAATCTCAGTGATGTTCAAGGTGAGGGAAATGACAATCTCAGTGATGTTCAAGGTGAGGGAAATGACAATCTCAGTGATGTTCAAGGTGAGGGAAATGACAATCTCAGTGATGTTCAAGGCGAGGGAAATGACAGTAAAGATATTCTGGAGGAAGACGATCAGGATGATGACAACAAATATGCAAAATCATTTTACGAAATTTATGATGACAACGGAGACACACACGATTGTCCGCAAGAACTACTTAAGTTCATCAGAAAGGAACATATGAACATACAGATAAAAATAAAGTGTTCCAGTCCTAGAAACCTGAAGAAGACTGATGTGCAAAATGTGATAAATGATATGTTCCAAGAGGAAGGAGTGGAAGAAAGACCAATTGAGAAGGGAAAGGAAAGGCATATAAAATCAGGACAGGAAGCAGAAGAAGATAATCCTGAAATTTATTATCTAAATTCTAATTTTAAAAAATTTAACTATCCTGATCGAAACGTTTTATGGCCAAATCCGCTAGTATACAATCATCGATTACAACCATTTGTATTGGAGAAGAAAAAGAATGAAGACAATGTTACTTTCGAAATTGATAAGAAACATATAGAAATAAATAAAAACCGATTACAGAATTTATGGTGTTACAGTTCTAGTTATGGCGTAGATTGGAATACCTTGGATGCCCTTTTTCTGAATTATAAAAATAAAAAAGAGGAACATTTAAATGAGTGGGAAATGAATAAAAATAAAATCATGCTTTATGCATCCAAAGTAGCTAAACGGAAATTAATAAAAAGTAGAAAGCAATTATTAGACAACTTAGGTATTGATTACTCTAATAATATTTATGCTAATTACGATGACATTCACGAGGTCAACTCTATTGATGTGGATGACGAACAGATGACAGAGTATAACTTGTTGTTCCCCCGATCTATTTTCAGGAATTGGACCCGCACGTACTCTTAAAAATATAGTCATCAAAATTTTGCTGTGTGTATGTCTGGCTCACTCACCCCGTTTTCTATTCTACGCATACTCATACATATGCTCTTGCACATGCACATATACATATACATACACATGCTCATGCACATATACATACACATGCTCATGCACATATACATACACATGCTCATGCACATACACATGTCCTGTATCCTACCCCACATTTCAACCCTTTTCGAAGTTTGTACTTTTACTGGAAGGACAGGTATATGCATTACTACGAAGACACCCTGTGTGATTACCTAAAAGGGGAAGTGGTTGATTTGCAACTGCTTAGAGAACAGAACGAACGCAATTTAAATTTATCAAAGAAGAAAATGATGCGTGAGCACTCCTTTCGATTAAAGCCAATTAAGGGCTCCAATTTATACGTTACAAGATATGTACCCAAGGGAAGGAAAAAGGTATGGAGAAAGAGATTTATATAATTCTTCCTGCATTTTTGCGGAGCACCTGCACCTGATGCCAATAACCAAATTGTCGTGTATATAACTACACACTGCGCGTAGCAGCACGAACACATCATAACACACACCATAATGCACATATAAAAGGTGCATCGTTCCAACCAATTATAACAGCATATTCGTGGTCAGAATGTTTCCATGCTTATCGCTTTCATTTTGTATATGTGTATACCCTTTATTTCAGGCTAAGGTCAATGTAGATCATTTTGACTTAACCGGTGTGGGAGAAAATATATATGACACAGCTCAGAAGGAAAATTAATGTGTTGAAAATGGCTGTATCAGTTTGCGTCCACACCAGCTGGATTAATGTGAAGTTGTGTGAATGACATGTATAGAGGACATATTTGAAGATTTCTTATCTCCATCCCACGTGAGTAGGTTCCTTGCGTTTTTCTTTTTAAATGCAACAAAAGTTATACCGAATTTGGGAGAGCAGTAAAACTTATATGGTTACACCCTATTTCGAGAAAAAGTCTGAATGGATATCATCGTATTTACTTCAATATTTCCGCAATTTTTTATTTTTTTTTTATTTTATCATTTTATTATTTTTACTATACCTGCAACATGGGGACTCATGAATGAATGGATGAACCAACACATATGTTGTACTCGTTACATATATATGCACACGTAAAAGGAAATCGTGGGAATTTGGTCTTCCCTCCACTCATCTTTTTATTTTTTTTTTGTTTGCCTATCCCCCAAACCATTCCCCTCTATTTTGTTCTTAACAAAACCGCTTAAAAATGTTTTTAAAAAATCTTATGATATAATATTTCATTTATGTTATGTTATTTCACTTATGTTATTTCGCTTATGTTATTTCGCTTATGCTATTTCGCTTATTTTTTTTTTTTTTTTTTTTTTTTGGAACGGAAAGAGGATGGGGAAAAACAACCACTTCGGGTTGGATTAGAGTGATCACTTTGTAGGAGCAGGAAAATTTTAAAAAAATTGTCAAAAGTTGTTTGCATGAGGGAAATTTAAAAAAACTGTCAAAAGTTGTTTGCATGAGGAAAATTTAAAAAAATTGGCAAACTCTGTTTGAGAATGGAAATTTTACAAAAAATAATCAAATCGCGGTAATAATATATGGTAAGGAGTGAAAAATGAATAAAATGACATAAAAACAAAAGAGTATATAAGAATAACAACATCTGAAGCAACTTGTCACAATATAAAATTCGTTATCCTTCAAGATTGCTATTTTAAAAGCAATTGTGGAGTTCATAAAAGGGAGCATTGACATTACTCTTTTTTTTTTTTTCACTCCCACATATATGTAGTTGCATTAGAACACATGTGGAGAGAGGCGAAGGATTACCAACAGCGGAAAGGCAATGGTAGCGGGAAATAAAAACTGATAGAGTGGGGGTACATTTTTTTGGCACCATTTTTTTTTTTTTTTTTTCTTTTATTGAAAAAATGACAATTAGAGCATTTATAGCAGTAAAAATATTGTTCATTCAAATAGTGGCACTATACACATATATATGTAAGAGAAAAAAAATTATGAAGGTAAAGGAAAAGAAAAGGAAGAAGTTATATATCTAAGTTTACGCAAATATTTCGAGGTCGTGCATATAATGTTACACTAGAAAGTTATAAGCAAGGAACAGAACACATTAGCCCTAAGTCAAGTCTCAGATAATAATTATGCATGTAAAAAAAAACAAATTTTGAATGGTGGAAGTACGCTCCCGTCCGCATAAGGATAAGAAAAGAAATGGTGTATACATATATACATATACGTATATACATATAAAAATATAAATATACGTATATACATATAAATATAAACATATACATATATACATTTACATATATACATATATATATGCATAATATTACGTACACATGTACATGCATGGCTACATCACGTGTACAATTTTATTTTAAAACAAAGGATGTGTGAAAAAACTGTGATTTGAGCTTTTACATGTGATATTACGATGTTCATGACGTCACATGTTACATATACTTTTATATAAAGATAATAATTGGGAAAAAAAAAAAAAATTATCACGTAAAGAGAAAAGAAAATTGGAGGAATAAAGCAGGCAAGGGAGAACATAGAACATAACTGTAATATGGAAAGCAAAAAATATATTGGTTAGTTCATTATATAAATTTAGATCTGAATATAGAGTTGTGAATAATAATTAATTTCACTGAGTGTTAAAAAAAAAAAAACTGTATCAATTTTTTTTTTTTTTTTCGAAAAATTTGTTTCATCTTCATAGCAATGACATGCACATAGACTTAAAAAATTACAGCTGCGACCATGTTTATTTGTATGTATTCCAGTCCTTTCACTTTTGTGCACGTATTTAATTTGTGTAAAAAAGGTGGTTATTTCTGCATGTATATAATAAAGACACCCTATTTTTTCACCTTTTAACTTCCCACAGACAACGCTCTAACGGGGGATTGGATATGCTCGGATGAAAAGTAAAGCAGATTTTCCTTTTAGTTATTTGTTGTTGCACGTCGCTGCTATTTTCAATCTATTTCTAACCACGTCTATCCATTTCCAACCTCTTCTATCCATTTCTAACCTCGTCTATCCATTTCTAACCTCGTCTATCCATTTCTAACCTCGTCTATCCATTTCTAACCTCGTCTATCCATTTCTAACCTCGTCTATCCATTTCTAACCTCGTCTATCCATTTCTAACCACGTCTATCCATTTCTAACCACATCTATCCATTTCTAACAAAATTTAACCGCTTATAACCTCGTCTATTGACTTCTTTCCCCTTCTAACAATGTTTAACTGAACTTCTTCTTCACTCCATTGTTGTTCTAGCATGAGATAATTCCCCTTTATACTTTATCCAGAATGGAGGCATAAATTATATTATGTGTGTCGAGAGAATGCGTATATGTATGCAGTTATGCTTAACTCGACACATGAGCGTGTACGTACCTTCGATATCTATGTTAAAAAAAAACACATCTTAGTGTATGCAAAAGATAAAGAAAAATTTTTTATAAACATTATTTTTAAAGATGCGGAAATGTGAACTCATCACAAAGAACACACTGTAATAGATGCAACAGGGTCAGGCCAAAAAGTACAAGTAATGGTTTTTGAATGGTGCACATGTAATTCGTCGTATATAATTTGTTGTATGTAATTTGTCGTATGTAAAATATGTCGTATGTAATTTGTAGTAATGTAATTTGTAGTAATGTAATTTGTAGTAATGTAATTTGTAATAATATAATTCGTCGTATGTAATTTGTAGTAATGTAATCTGTTGTATGTAATTTATCGTATGTAATTTGTTGTATGTAATTTGTTGTATGTAATTTGTTGTATGTAATTTGTCGAGTATAATGTGCAGCATGTAATGTGTGGGGAGTATCACACTCTGAGCATCGTCCATCTGCCTTGTGCTGCATCTTCCCATTTCTCTTGCGTACACATTACTGGAACACATCGATATGCCAATTTTCTCCACTTTTGCAAATCATGACACTTCACCCTCATTAGTGAAAATGAACCCTAAGCAAGTACTTTTTAAATCAAATGACTGGAAATGTGACGACTGTGGAAATATAAATTGGGCCAAGAGAGATAAGTGCAATATGTGCAGTAAAGCTAAATTCTCGAAAAAAGTGAATGACGGAAAATTGAATAAAGAATTAAGAACAGGCAAAGGTGGAGGTCATTATGATATTCAAGGGAGTAACGAAAAGAGGGTTCATGACTCGGATGACGAAGAATATGATGAATTTGGCCGAAAAAAGAAAAGGAAGATATTAGGTTCGTGCCGAACAAGAAACTTGCTATAGTCCCCTTCTAAATATGTCTGCACAATGTTTATGTGTGCATATTTGTTCTGCATAACCACGTTTATGTATTAATATTTTCCAAACCACACATAGCACTTCTCGTACAACTGCTTTTTTTTTTTTTTTTTTTTTTACCCTCCCGCAATTATTTTTTCCTTTTTATTTCAGATAAAGATGAGAAAAACGATAAAAATGAAAATGAATCCAACAGAAATAACAGCAATCATAGTAACAGTAGAGAAGAACCGTCATACAAAAGTGACACTTATAGAAATAGAAATTTCAATCATTCAAGTTCGAGAAATTTTACTTCAAATAATTATGAAAAAGGCAACATTTATGGAGAAAATAGGAATTATAGCAGACCCCACAAGGTCGGTGGTGAATATCACAAAAATTACTATGGTAGAGGGAACCTGGATCAGAGTTTTAACACCAGCAGAAATAATGGCATCTACAGGTATGAGGGAAGTAGTAGGTATCAAGGAAGAACTAGGCACGATGACAATAACAAAATATATGACAGGAACAGGAGGTATAACGGAAATAACAGGTATTGGAACGGTGGTAGGTATGAAAACAAGGACAGGTATGATGGAAGATCTAGGAACGATGTCAACAACAGTAGATATGAGGACAGAAGTAGACATGGAGATAGCAGCAGGTATGGTCAAGAACAAGATTATGACAGGAGGTACTCAGACAGAACGGATATCTCTTATGAGAAGAATAATGAGAGGAAAACTGATTACGAAATAAGGAGGTATAGAAAAGATTAAAGCCATGAATCGGTTATGAGACAAATTAAGGGAAGAATGAAATGGAGCTATAATTATAAAGAGTTTGCAAAGTGATGACGAAAAAATTATTCGAAAGATGAAAGGGTACACATAGCTAATATGGGCGAAAAGAAAAAAAAAAAAGACATAAAATATTAATAAAATAATAATAAAGTAATAATAAATAATTAAGTAATAATTAAATAAGTAAATAAATGCGCATTTTACGCGCCCCCATATGTCGCACAACCACATAAGCATTTTAAGTTGGTATCACATGTGTACATTTTTTTTTTTTCTGGTTTTGAATATATAAAATTTAACAGATCACGTGAAAACTTTTGGGCAGTATATACGAATATACTTTTTTTTGTTTTTTTGTTTTTTTTGCCCTTTCCCCTATTACTGCATGGCCTTTTATTTGAATAACTTTTTTATGTATGGTTGGTTGCATACATATATGTATATATTATATGCACATGTAAGCATGGATTTTACCTACTCGAGCAACGCTAAGATTGTGTAGAAGCATTCATATCTCCAGCCTTAACACATCACAGCACACCATGAGTTATTTTATTAATACTTAATTTTTTTTTTTTTTTTTTGAAGTCATAGCCGCATTTCTTAGTTGTTTTATCTAATTATTTTATCACCTTGTCATTTCGTCATTTCGTCACTGCGTTGTCTTCATTTTTTATTATTATTTTTTTTTTTTATCTATTTTGATGTTGTAAATAAAAAAACAATTACAGCATTGGACCTTATATTTTTAATCAACGTATTTACAATACGTTACTTAATGATAGCCGTTTTGGAAAATAAAAAAAAAAAAAGTGCAAAATAAACGAGCAGAAAAAAAAAAAATATATGCATTGCAACTGATGTGATGGAGAAGATGAAAAGAACCCTGTTAAACATGTTTCATGCTTTGTCTTGAGGAATGGACAGATACTCCATTTGGCTTTCCCAAAGATGGATATGTTTTTTTTTTTTTTTTTTTTTTTTTTTTTTTTTTTTTAATTTTGTTTCCACGCATCAGCGTGATGTTTTTTTTTCCATGTTAAATATACTTGTTGTCAATCGTGAAGGGTCTTTTTAAGTTCACCAGAAGTAATATTCACAATTTTGTTATTTTCCAAAAGATTTATTTGTTTTTTGAGGATCACTATTAAATCGAGCTGTTTTTTAAATGCATATATGAGTTCCTTTTTTTCTTTTGTTAGTTTGTTAACATATTCTTTTTGAATATTTTTCTCGGGTAAATTTTTGTCAATGGTAGTGGAACTACCAAGAAGCATCATCTCTCCCTTAGTCTTCAAGACATTTTTATAATTTTCAATTTCGGTAACATATTTATTTATAATTTCATCTTTTTTTTTTATTAAAATATTTTGTTCTTCCAATTTTTTTTCCAGTTTCATTTTTTCAGCTTCCAAATTTTTAATTATTAATTCTTTTTCTTGATCTCGCTCTAATAGTATTTTATTTTCTTCCTCGAGCGTTGAAAATTTTTCATTCATAAGGCCAGTAAATTCATTAGATTCCTCTACTCGGTTTTTTAATATTTCTATTTTTTGTTCTAAATCTAATTTGGCATTGCGTAAATTTTCATTACTTTCATTTATCTTATCCTTTTCTTTCATTTCCTCATTTAACTTGCTGTTTATGCTATACATTTCTTCATTCAAATTTTGTATGTACATATTTAGTTTGTCTTTTTCTCTTTTGTTTTCCTCTTCTATATTGTACATATGCGTTTCGTGTGCTTGTTTCATCTCCTGGAATTTGGTTTTGTTTCTTTCAATTTCGTTTATCATATGTTCACAGCATACATTTCCTTTTGCTTTGTTTTTTCCCTCGCTTACCTCATCATTATTAGTTTCGACGTTGGTTCCAGTAATGCTGACAATTTGCGGGGTTCGTCGACCTCCAACTCCTGTGGTGTTTATGGTACCTGAGGGGGAATTACACTTTTCTGAATTTTGTGATTTCTCATGTATAGGAATTTTTTTCCTAATTATAATTTTTTTTTTTTTTTTTATGACTCCCTTTTGTGACCCTATCAATGGAGTAGATTCCACAACTTTTCCCATAATAGAATTGAGAAGCTCATTCTCGGAATCTTCTTCTGCTTTGTTGCTTCTATCGATTCTTTCATTGGTATTGTTTGTGCTTATGTTGGTTCTGTTCATTTGTTCTTTAGTACTTTTTTTATTCTTTACAACTTGTTTATGGATGTTGATATCTTCCTTCTCGTTTTCTCCATTGTTGTGTTGATTGTAATCCCCATCATTATAGCCACACATCAATTTCTCCTTCGAACTCTGTTTTTCATTTACTGCCTCATAGTCATTATTCAGATCTTCATTAGTAAAATCAATTGTCTTCCCTCCTTTTCTTATGCCAAGCTTAACAACTGTTTTTCTAGCAACGTTCTCTTTCCTTTCCCCTTGTCTTATTTCAGCCGAAGTCACCTCATCAGTATTATTAATAGTTGTAGTATTCCCATTAGAACCATTCCCTCCATTAGGAGAATCGGTAGAACCTGTATTGACCACTTCTTGTACTTTTTTAAAGATCTTTCTTTTGACAGTTTTCTCACCTTCTTTTTGTGAAAAAGTTCCTGTTAAACTTTTCTCTATTTGCACATCCGTTTTCTTCCTGACAATTTTTACATTTGGATTTTTTTTTACAGTATCGTTATTTAAATCTTTTTTCTCGGCATTCTTGCTTTCTATTTTAAGCAAATTACTGCTTTTTAATTTATTAATTGACATTATGCAGAGGCATATTTCGAAAAAAAAAAAAAAAAAAAAAAAAAAAAGGTTAAATAAAATACCTTTTTTTACCAGTTAAGAGATTTTTTTTTTTTTTTTTTAAATTAATTTCCAATATGGAAGAAATGTACGGATCCTTCCTCTTCTTTTTTCATGTTGCATAAAATTTTGAAATGTCATTGTTGTTTATTCGTAAATGTGTAAAGTGTTATTAAAAAAAAAAAATAGCAGAAATGATATTCTAGGATAATGATAAAAGAGAAATAGCCAAGGCACAGATCACGCGCGGTGAATATCTCCATTTTACCATGTCTATATTTGGGTAATAATTCCTACTATATATATGTATCTTTTTATGCGAACTGAATAAGGGATAAAGATCACTTGTCAATTTTGTGCATAAATTGAAGTTCATATGTGTGCAGCAAAAAAAAAAAAAAAAAAAAAAAAAAAAAAAAAAAAATGGAGGAAACAAATGGAGATGCAAACAAATGGATATGTAAACTTAGCGGAGAATCTGTTAAATGGAAAGAAAATTTCCACTTTTTCTTCCGTTTCGGAGTGAAAAAAGGTGGAAAAACTATGATTGCGCATTATGGACAAATGGGAATTCAAAAAATATTATGACAGGAAGAATGATAACAAAAAAAAAAAAAAAAAAAAAAAAAAAAAAAGTGCAAAGCAGACGGTCGAAAATGGATAGAACGAGAGAAGGGAATGGAGGACAGAATGGAGAAAATCTCGAATAGAGAGGAAAATAGCATCAGCAAAAATATATACTTTCTAAGGAGAAAAACTTCATTAGGTCTTATTTTTAACAACGAGAATATTTGATTGCCCTTTCTTCGTTAGTTTACTTCATACAAAGAAGAACAAAAAAACAAAAAAAAACAAAAAAAAAAAAAACATAATCGTTATTCGTGGGAAGAATATCTCTCCCCAGTGAGGCACAGTCCCTAATAATAAAAAAAATAGATATCCAATTTCTATACACTAGGCTCACCAAAACCTAGTATTTTTTCTACATGAAGGAAAATCATTCTGTCTAAGCCTACAAATTGGTTATACGTTCAGTTCATCCTCTTCACTATTGTCTGATATATAGTGGTAGTACCTTTTTAAGGATTTTTTTCTTTTCTTCAAAATAAGCAATTTTTTTATTTTCAAAATATTCTCCTCTTTTGCTACTTCCATATGGAACTGTCTAATGTCATGTTCCAATGCACGATGATCTATGTTTTCATTTAAATTGCAAATGTTTTTATATCTCTCTAGTATCTTTTCGAAGGTATTAATCTCCTCCAATTTTAGTTTTTTCAAACGGTTAAGCGGGTCCACGTAATGTTCACGCATGCGTGGGGGGCTGTTATTGCAGTTGTCTTGCACATCAGTTAGTTCTGCATCAGCATCAGCATCAACGTCGATATCATTATCGATGTCATCCTCTTTAACAACCTCTTGAACGCACCTCTCAGCATCCTCTACATCCTTATCATTAATATCGTTCGCAGTGTTATGTTCTTCTTCGTCACAAGGGTGGGGGGATATCTCCGTTCGATTCGTTTCATCTCTATTGCTTTCGTCATTATCACTTTTGACACTATCACTTTCGACACTATCACTTTTGACATTTTCCCTTTCGACACTATCACTTTTGACATTTTCCCTTTCGACACTATCACTTGCTGATCTACATTGCGAAATTCCTCTGTTATCATTTTTGATGCTTCCAGATTCATCATCATTTGAAAAATTTTGTACCCCCTCCTGTTCTTCCTCATTGGTTAACAAGTCTAAATGATGTATCATTTGGGTAAGGGACACATTTAATCCTTCCTCTTCTGTCTGCTCTGATTCCTCTGAAAATAAAAAATCATTCTCCTCTTGATTGTATGGTTCAGTTGGGTTCAGTTCAGATAAATGGTCTGTCTTAACAACTTCTGCATGTCCCTTTTCACCAGTGAACGGTAGATCTTTGCCCACACAAGAATCTTCCAAAATTAATCTTTCCCCCTCGTGGATATTTTCCTGATGGTGGAAAACGTTTGCATCAGCATTTGCATAATGCTCAATGTGGTGTATTTCACAATTGAGTAAGTTCATTTCTTGAATATATAATTTACTTTTTAACTTTTCCCTTTCCTTCTTCAATCGAAGGTGATATTTTTTTAAAACAGTCATATCATTTTTTGCATCTTCTAACTGTTTCAAAATGACACCTTCCGTTTTGACTAACTCATCAAATTCATTAATTGTATTTTTAATTTCATTTAACATTTTATTTTTAAGTAGAATTTTTTTTTTATTTTTTAAATTTTCCTTTTTTATATTTACATTGTCTATTTCACAATTAAACTGACTAATGTCAATCATGAGTTTTTTTTTCTTTTCTTTTAAACTGTTCATGTTGTTTTCCAACTGTAAAATGTTTTTTTTTAAGATAAACATTTTTTTTAATGAATTGAAAGTATCCAAATTGTTCTTTCCATTAGGGGTCTCTTTTTCTGTTGCAATATCCTTTGAATGATTATCCTGACCACACGGTGAGTCGATGTTATTATCTTCATTTGATGATTTGTTTTGATTTACTATCTGCCTTTCCTCATTTGAATTAACCGCACAGAAAGATTCACAATTATCATTAAAATTGTTCATAATTTTTTTGAGACTCCAAAGTAAGCGATCGGTTTGGATCCTATTTTGATAGGTGCTTTGATATTCTTCCTTCAAATCTGCTGAGGCTTTTTTGTTTTTTTCCTTTTCTTCAGAAATAAATTTCTTTTTCTCTTCCAATAGGGAGGAGGTGTTTTTTAAAAAATTCATGGATGTGTTTATGTTGGACTGCTCCTGTAGAAGGGTCCCCATTTGTTTTTCTCTTTCCTTCTCTAAGTTATCTCTAACTGTCAATGCGTTTGTCTTTTCTATTTTTTTTTTCTCTATTTGTTCTTCTAATTTTTTTATATTTTCATCAATGGAATGAATTTTTTCATCGATTTTCTGTATCTCCTTTTTGTATGTTAATGATATGGAAAGGACAGATTTGTTTAATTGTTCTTTGGCTTCTTGCACATTTTGACTTTGTAATTTTATATCTTCTTCTTCTGTATTTATGTCTACTTCCTTTTGTGTAATTTTCTTTTCCCAATCGACCAATTCACTTTTTTTTTTATAAATTTTTTTTTTTTTTTTTTCTTTTTCTTCTTTTTTATGTAAATATATGTTTCGAATAATTACATTTAACACATTTTTAACATAATTTTTTAAAAAGATTTTATGAAAATTAATATATTTTTTTTTTTGGAATAAGTCAGTAATATAATTTTCCATTTGAATTAGTTCCATGTTGTAGCTTAATATTTTATTTTGTATTACATCTGCTGTATCTAGATTTTCATTTATGATTAAAAATTTTTCTTCCTCTTTATATTTTTTTCTTTTTTTCCTTATCTGATGAACCTTTTGTAAAAATTTGTATAACAATAAATCACAGTTATACTCCACTTTTACGTTTAAAAGCATTTTATTTATATATGCATGATATATAAAAAAGTAGGAAATGGTTAACACATTTGAATTTATTTTATTTTGAAGCAGTTCGTCCAAGAATTCTTTCAATTGTCTCTTATCCCATTCATTTGTATTACTCAAAAACAAATGTTGAATAAGAGTTGTTATATGTTTTAATTCTATTTCCATCTCCATTGGCGAATTATCAATACAGAATTCCCGTTCCTTTGGGGAAATCACCGTATTACTTCCTTTTCCTATACACATTTTTGGACCTTCCATGAATTCTTCGCATGGTGAACTTGAATAAAAACTAAGAGCATCATTACTTTTCATGATGGAGAAGCTACAACCATTCTTCTGCCTTAATTCATTCTCAGAGTGATTATTATTTCTGTGTTCTTCGAAGTTTTCACATGGTGGAAAATTACTCAAGAGGGTACTGCTAGCACTTTTGCTTCCATTTGGGAATTTCTGAAAGCTTCTTGGACTTGCTATAATCATCTCATCACTTTTGTTTCCCTGCAAAACTAATTTTTCAAAGTGTTCTGCATTGAAGCAGTTTTCATTTTTTTCACCACTCTCAGTTATACTGCAATAACTGGAGGATAAATCCTTCAAGTCTAAATAAGTGTCGTTTCTTTTCCCCCTATTTACTCGGCCATCTTTTGTACGATCATTTTTAATATGACCTCTAGTGTCTCCTCTCTGTGCAAATTTTGTCTCTTGTGTTTCACTTGCCTTATTCGTATTTATACATTTTCCCTTGGCACTTCGCTCAGAGGACTTAATTAACAATCCTTCAAACATGGACATTTTTTGTTGCTTTACTGGGGTTTGCATAGGAAAGAGAAAAGAACAAAGCACTAAAAAGGGGTACTAAAAACTGAGTTTACATATTTACTAAAAACCTGATTTTACTTTTTGTCAATATCATACTTCGGGGAAAAAACTAACCATTTTGATAAGCCTATCATATTATATATATGCGTATTTGTCAAGTACGCAAGTTTGAACTGAAACCCATAGGCGTATTAAAAAAAAAAAAAAAAAAAAAAAAAAATACGGAAATATTCTACTTATTTTGGGGAAATTCCCTATCAAAATAAAGTAAAAAAATAAAGGGGGGAACACAAAAATTTAAAAGTAAAAAACATAACAGTCAAAATCAAAAAGTCAAATATGAAAAATAGTGAGAAAAAAAAATGAAAAAAAAAATAAAAGAGAGGAAAAGTGAAAATGAAAAGGGAAGAAAGAAAATATAAAAAATGAAGGCATCGCCTTGGGAGAAAAAAATGCATTCAATTGTTATTTTTCTGAATTGGGACAAAAAAAATAAAATAAAAAACTTTACAATTATATGATCAAAAACGAAAACAAAGTAGCATTATAATTCCACACTAGTGCATGTTTTGTTCATGAAAAAAAAAAAAAAAAATATATACGTCTTCATATATCATGACATATTTTATAGACTATTTTTTCTTCATTTTTGTAAATGTATTATTGAGCAGAACGGAAAAGAATAAATGCCTACATATTCATACTTGTAGGTCATGGAAGCGAATGAACCGGATGTAATTGTTTAACCTCTAAAAGGTGTCCTTTTAGAAATATTTCAAGGGAAAAAAAAAAAAAAAAATCACCTTGTCACTATTTTATATACCCAAAACGAATTTCCCACATTCTCGATTTTTTAATTTCACAAGTTCTTATTATATAAATACTTCTCCTTAAGTGTATTCTCATGAAACATAATTAATATGTACCCAAACCACAATGTTGACATAAATTCGTAAGGAAGTGAAAAAATGGGGAGGGAAAAAAAAAAAATGTCTCCACCCACCTACCCCATGGAGAGTACATATATAGGTACTGTAGAAAACTAAAAAAATTTTATTTTTGTGAAGAGCTACTATGGAGAATTGGCATAATACTTAAAAATTTTAGTCTAATTACACTATTCCCTTAATTTTTTTCCCTTTTTTTTTTTTTTTTTCCAAGTGTATATGTACAACCGTTTTGCACTCCACATTCTGCAACTTTTTTTTTGGAGAGGAGGCTAAAAAAAAATATTTTATTAAATGGCATATTATATATATCGAATTTACCTTACCAAAAAACTAAGCATTACACATGTGCACTTTTCATGTTAACATGTTATTTAACGTTTTCTTTTTTTTTTTTCCAAACAAAGTATTACATATTATATTCTTCAAAATAGAGATGTTTACCTTTCAGCATTGGAGCATTAATCCAAATTCATACTATAAAACTTGCACACAAATATATAGCAGCATGTATAGTAGATTTCAACTTGTGTATGGTGTAAACATAAATATTAAGGAATGAAAAAAAAAAAAAAAATGCACACCTGAATATCACAGTTTCTACGTTTTCCCAGTACGTTAAGTATATCAAAAAATGCCAAATAAAACACATGCTTGCTGAAATTTTTTTTTTTTTCTTTTTCTTTACTTCTTACTCATTTCTCATATTTGCATAATTTCACAAATAAACATGTTTTGTAGTAATGAGAAAATTTTAAGAACCAATAAATCCCTCTTAGAATAAAAAGAAAAAGGCTAAACTTTTTAGTTGAGGTACAGTGAAGAAAACTACTTTTCACTCTCTTTTTTTTTTTTTTTTTTTAATGCTGTATGTTTACAGTTATCACCCTTAAAGGGGGATTGTAAATCAAGTTAATCCCCTTATACCATACATAGATGTATATACGCACATGTAATCAACATCTATAAATTGTGGTCCTTAAATCTACATATTAACCATAGAATAAACCTCCATTCGCGTGATAAATCGACTTATTTTGTGTCCCTGTGCAGTTCAGGTAAAAGTGGAATGGGAGAAAATTTTATGCACAAATGTGGTATCAACCAAGTGTAGCTAGAGGGAGAGAAAAGGTGACGTTACACATTACCGTTACTTCCTTCACAATGTTCGTGTTGAAAGTTCTCTTCAGTTCTGTTGTATAAAATGTGATTATGTACTCCCCTTTTTAGTTATTCTTTCAAATTAAAAAAGAAAAGAAAAAAAAAAAAAAAGAGAAATGTAGAAACATAGAAATATGTTAGGTTTTTCCGAAGTTTGGGGTGTGATAGTTAATGTGCTCTGTATTAGCCCCTTTCAAGTTTTGTTAAATATATTGAAGGGGTAAGAAAAAGCAATGAATTGTGTGTATATGTGCTTTTACACACACGTATATATATATATATATATAGCACCTTTGTTTTTTGTTTTTTTTACTCAAACTTTTTTATTATTCACAATACACACACTGTTCAGCTGCAACAACTGCACACCCAAGGACCTGTTTTTTCCTATATATACCTTCTTTTTTCTAAATAGCTATAATAAAAAAAAAAAAAAAAAAAAGTTGTAAAACCTGGCTTTTTTTTTTTTTTTTTTTTGTTGTTATTTTGTTGAATAAAAATTATGAAGAAAAAAAAAAAAAAATGTGCCCCAAGCACGAGCTCGTTTGAAATTTTTTTCATAGTGTTAATGATTTAGATCAACAACTGAGTAAAATGTTTATAAAAATAGTTCTATATATTTATGGAAACTATATGAAAAAAAATTAAAACATGAAAAGAATTTTATTAAATGGAATAAACCAAATGTTATATTATATTATTACCACTTGTAGCATTTTAGCTATTACCTAATGTAGAACACCACAATTGAATTGCTTTTCTTTTCATTTTCCTCCTTTTTGTCAATCGCACTATTTTGAATAATAAAATTATTGGTGCCAATAAAATTATGGCGTTTCTTAGATGAATAACTAGTTACAAGCAAATTGTGCATATGTATATATAATATTAATGTGTATATGATATGTAAAGAAATGAATTTATTTCATTTCATTTATTTATTTCATGTTATTTGATTATTTCATGCTATTTGTTTATTTCTTGCTATTTGTTTATTTCTTTTTATTTGTTTCATTTTATTTTTATTTATTATTTTTTTTTTTTTTTTCCTTTGAGTATTGTGATTTAAGTTTTGGGTTATTAGCTTGTGGTAAAATTTTGTCATAAAAATTAGCCCACTTCGCTTTAAGATGTAGCATTATTGTTGTTTTTTTTTTGTTGTTTGTTTTTTATTTTTTTGTTGCTTTTATTTTATTTCTTTTTTTTTTTAAGATTTTCTTTCCCCTTAGCACATGGTGGTACCAACATGCTTGCCACTCCACCACTTATGTAGGACTTTACATATCTAAGCATGTATTTACATTTGGGAATTTTTGTATATTTGAATTTTGCTCACGCTAAGATATAAACTGGTTTTTACTTTACAAGCATTTCTACATTCATATGAAACATTTTTGGAAACTGTATGATATGTGGTTTTTCGCGTTTTGGTCCTCCTAGTATATTAAAAGAAAAATAAATAAATAAAAAAAATAAAAATAAATAAATAATAAAAAAAAATAAGTAAATAAATAAAACAACACAGGAAGTAGCTGTAACTACTTCTCAAGAAGATCTCTTCCCATGTTGTGTGTCCCCAGTAGTGAAGAAGTGCATATATAGAATATACAACAGGCGTCGCGCAACCATCGAGGAAAGGACTGAGCAAGTGTGCAGTAACAAAAGAAGTAATAAAAAAATATATATATATATTATCTTCCCTACGTTGCACACACAAAAAAAAAAAAAAAAATGAAGGAATATGAAAATTTTGAAATGCTGAAAAAGAAATTCAGCCCATTACTTTTTATTTTTCGAAAAGATGAAGAAAATGAAATTAAAAAGTATACAAAGAAGTGTACCTTGGTAAATATTATAAAAAATTACAATGGACAGAATCCAACTGAATATACAAGTATGGTGGAGAATAGATCAAATATTTTTATGAAAAATAAATTCGTGAATTATTTTGAGAAGCCTCTTGGTATTTTTAACAGATTTTATAGTAACAATAACTTTTCAGAAAAAATGAAATTGCTTAATGCAAACAACATAAACAGAAATAATGAATCGGCATATCCATATAATAGAGTTTTAAATAGAAATATCTTAAATTCAAAATATTTCCCCAACATTTTAAATAACAACATTGCTAGATATGAAATAGATGAAGAAACTGATTTTGCCGATTTGGAAGAGGATTACGTGGTTGTGAAAAAAGTGTACACCTATCTTCGGGAGTTTGAAAGCATGTACATGTACATTTACTAACCTTTTTCTTTTTCCTTCAGAAAGATTAGGTAACACGCAAATGTGTAAGTGTGCTCATTTACATACGTACACAAGGACATATACACAAGGGCATATACACAAGGGCATATACACAAGGGCATATACACAAGGACATATGCACATGTACATATACGCATGTGTGAGTTTTTTTTTTAGTTTTTTTTTTTGTTTTTCCTTCTCGAAGGACTTACCGTATCGGCTTGTCTTGTCAGAGCTCCTATATGTTTGCTTTTTGCTTCAGCTTATTTTACTTTATTTTGTTTCATTTTTTTTGTAATTTTTTGGCTTAATGAAAATCATTGTTAAGCACTACTTAAATTCGAGCACAATTTCTATTTTTCGAATGACGACTAGTCCGTTGTGCAGTCGTTGTACGTTGAATGGGGAACTACACCTAATTGTGCTACAGTTATGCATTACTGCAATTTATCAAAAAAAAAAAAAAATTTCCACTCTCCTTTAACATGATTTTTTTTTTTTTTTTTTTTTTTACGGCACTTTTAGCCTAGTATATTTTCCTCATTTTTGTATTCGTAATTTTTCCTTTTTTAAATAAAAAACTCAAAGGATGCGATTACAATACGTTGTGCTATGCATGCTTAAAACTTTCTGAACAAAAATAAACATAAAAAAAAAAAATAAATAAAACAAAATAAAGAAGCAAAATAAAGAAATAAAATATAAAAAAAATATATTATAGCTTACCCCTTAAGCTGAGAAGGAAAAATCACATTTGTATATAACAATTATGATTGTGGTAAGGTTTACCACATTTATGTTCTGGATAGGATACAAATTAATTTGGCGCAGTTTTTACTGTTCTTGTAAAATTCCTCAATAACTGACGGACTATGCTTAAGATGAGATAATGACATAGTAACTTTTTACCTAGTTAAGTGAGAATTTGAAAAATATGTTATACTTTCTGATGTGGTAAATTTAGACCACAGCTAATAAGTAAAAATAATGGTGGCACATACCATAAAAGGAAACAATATACAGAAGAGAAGTTTCTCCTAAGAGAAGATATTACTTCAAAGGAATTTGCATATATTGGAGAATCCATCACACCGTAGCACTAGCAGAGTATGGGGATGGGATGGGGGACAGTTCTCCACACACACTAGTAAGTACACACATCCACTCCGTATGTCCACATTGCATAAAGAGCTGTACTGAGTTACCATGGAAGATTTAAGCAATGTCTCCATGCAAGATATTTTATATAATGAAATGCGAGAAGAGGAAAGAATTTGCTTGCAGGATATTCTGTTGAACGACATCTGGGAAGTCGAAGAAAACAGCCAAGATGAGATAAAAAAGAAGAATAAGAATGAAATAAATCCACATGACTTTATCTTTACGAATGCACACAATAACATATTTGAAAATTATTCAGATCATGAAGGGTATAATGAGGTAATTAATTTGCTAAGTAGAACAGAAGTAACTAACAATACAGGAATTAACCTTCAAGGAAATTCTAACTTTGTCAGTGGTGTTCAAAGAGTGGATATAAAAAATTTTATGAACTTCGAACCTGTTTTTGTTAAGATTTATCATGAGAAAGATTGTTATACAAGTGGGAACCTAGCAGAGGCAGAAGGGGCTGAAGCAGAAGTAGGAAAAGTAGCATCAAAGGGTGATGCAGTAGAAGGAGATGTGGTGATGAAAGACACTACAGATTCAGGAATTCAAGAGCAAGAAAGCAAAAATTCACTTGACGTCAATCGATGGTGTGCAAATGAAGCAAAAGGAAATAAAATGACAGGAAAAAAAAAATCCATGTCAGATGAAGATTTAAGCAAGAAAAAAATGATAAGCGCAGATTTTAGCGATGATGAAATATACACACCGAAAGCACTTAAAATGAAAAGAGAAAAAAGTAAAAAAAAAAAAAAAAGAAGCAGCTCTTTTTCAGATGAAAATAGTGAAGAAAGTTCCAATATATCAGCGAAAAAAATAAAGCAAAAAAAAAGAAATCACATTTCAGATGATAATAGCGAAGAAAGCTCCAACATCTCTATGAGAAAAACAAAAAGAAAAGGAAAAATAGATGACATGTCCACTGATAGGGAGAAAGACAAAGGGTATTATTATTCACCCATTAGAACTAAACATAAAGAAGCTTTTTCAAATGCATTCGACATATTAGTAAAACGAAAAAATGAAAAGAATGAAGAGGCCATTAAAGCATTTAACTATATAAATTTAAAAAAAAGAAGAAATCGAAAATTTTCGAAAAATGTAGATAGTTATAACAGCAATGAAGATTACTGTACGAACGAGCACAGATTAGGAAGTCGAGTCGATAGAGTAAATGATAGGAAAGATGAAAAAAGAAGAAATCAAAAAAAAAATATGGATGATTCAAAAGATGGATGTGAAGATATTCCTGAAAAATATCAACATTTAATTGATCAAGGGTTGGAAGTAAATGTTTTGAGATATGCTTTGAGTATGAAAATGAATTCAAATGAACAGGTGAAAGAATCGGATATTATAGGACTATATGATATTAAAAAAATTATAAAAGATAAAATTGTGAATGTAATATTGAGACCAGATTTATTTACAGGTTTAAATAGAGCAGCAAAGGGAATATTATTATTTGGTCCTCCAGGAACAGGAAAAACAATGATTGCTAAATGGGTGGCATCTCATTGTAAATGTTCCTTTTATAATGTTAGTACTTCTTCTCTTTTTAGTAAATATATTGGAGAAACTGAAAAAATTGTAACATGTTTATTTAAATGTGCAGAGGTAGACAATCCTTCTATTTTATTTTTTGACGAAATAGATTCTATATTAGGTATGAGAAAAAAAGACGAAGACGATACGACTATAAGAATTAAAAACCAACTGTTGCAAATGATCGATGGAATAAATACAAAGAGGGATGTTGTTATTGTCATTATTGGAGCAACGAACAGACCAGATATGATTGATGATGCTGCTTTGAGAAGATTTAATAAAAGAGTATATATTCCTCTACCAGATTTACAAGCCAGAAAGGAACAAATACGTTATATCATAACGAAACATACTCATAATGGATTTCAAATGACAGAAGAGGAATTAGATAGTATTGCCCATAAATTGCATAATTGGAATGGGAGTGACATTTATCACTTGTGCACGAAATGCTACGAGTATGTGTATGATGATGCTGTCGAACTATACAATGGAATAGAAAATATACCAAACACTTCCATATTTAGAGCAATAAAATATGATGATTTTATCAAAGCCATGATGCAAGTTAATACATCCTACAAGTGCGTCTTTGACTATGACGACTGGAGCAGCAAGCATGGCTCCTTGTGAATTTTAACTCGGCATGTCATTCCATACCCGTGCAGGTGTAGAAATGTGGGGAGGAGCGGGGAGGGGTGTGCTTAATCAGGTCAGTGAATAATCAGTCGAGTGCATAAATATGTAAATGTATATGCATACCCCATCTGCCCCTAGTCATGCGATAGGGTGAAACACTTTTTCCCCTTATGAACATTACTCCTAATTATACATTTTTTTTTCATCCACTTTGGTCCAGATGTTACTCACTCCCCTTTCTCAGTACAAAAACGGAATGATAATTTCTCTGCACACTTTTCCGAATTGTTATCCATTATTTTGAACTTACCAATCCGATTAGACAACAAAAAAACACATGGTTGTGATGTTGTTGCATTTTTTTTTTTTTACTGCATCATCTATATTCTCGCCAAGGGTGAACAATTTTTTTTTTTTTTTTTTTTTAAATTATTTTATTTTTTATAAATATTTGTGCTACTACCGCTGCAAAATTAGCATTTTTCCACCAAGGATGCGAAATAAAATTCATCGCACAATTTAAACTATGAACTTTTGCAACATTTATAGGACCCTTTACTGGTCCACAGTTTTAAACATTTAAAAATATACAAAAAAAAAAGGAAAAGGTGAAGGAGAAGTAGAAGGAGAAGAAGGAAAAAGAAAAAATGAAAAGCATCATGTCTACTTTATACATCCATTTTTTGTTTACTTATATTAATATCCCTATGTACACGAATGTGGGGGAAAGAAAAAAAACAAAAAACAAAAAACAGGGGCTTCATAAATATAAATATATGAAGAATTAGCCACATCAGCAATTATGGGCATGAACAAATAAAAATTCAATAGGAACATGGGGAAAAAATGGGGATTTGTTGCTACGCACTCTCGAATGATATTGATACATTGGGAGGTAAATGTAAAAAGGAAACTTGAAAAAAAAAAAAAAAAAAAGAAAAAAATTTAAAGCGCAACAGTGGCAGAATAACAAAATGGAAAAAACATCATAGATAATATTTCAAATAGGTGGAACAATTTGCAGAGCATATAAGACACGGTAGTGATACATGAACTGTGTGTTTCTTTACGTTAACAATTCTAGGGGAGAAACAAGCTTCAAACTAAATCTAACAAGGCACAATGATGTTTGCAATATAAATGGAAAAATAGGGGCACAAAAAAATTCGAGTGATCAAAATTTTGGAAAGTACAAATATAATAATTTTGCAGATACAATTTCTACTTCCCTGATTTGACCCTAGGCAAACAAGTGCTTTTTTTTTTTTTCTTGGTATCGTTCGAATTACTTACTTTATTATCTTCAACTTGCACCTTTTCAATAAATTGTATTTTCTCATGGCTTCCCTGTAAAGTATTTGAAGATTTTTTTTTGATAAAAGTTATGTTACTGTCCTTGTCATCTTCATCCATATCTAATTGTTCCCCATTTTGATTCATACTAAATATTTTCTCATCTGTAAAACTTATCTTTTTTTTCCCATTATTTTTCTTACCTTTCATTTTTTCTACAGGAGGGGATTCGTTTGTTTTATTAAAATATGCCGAGTTTTCCTCCTCTTCAGTTGCCAATATCCCACTAGGTTTTCTTAATTCGATCTTATTGGACATCCTTCCCTCGCTTTTATAAATTCCTTCATGAAATGCATTCCTATAATCAACACTGTGATATTTTTTGGAGATATTATTTTCTTCGTGCTGTGTGAGAATTTTTGTCCTTTGTCCCTTTTGCAATGATGCATCAGATTTATATTTTTTAAGACATTTCTTGGAGTATTTCTTTGTCTTCTCTTCATTGTTATCATCGTGGCAATTGTCACCATGATGCTCCTTTATTTTTCCACGGCAACTGACATCTTTTGATTTCTCTTTTTGATAAGTGTGCCCAGTGTAATGATGATAGCTCTCATCTGTATCTGTATTCGCGGAATGTCTTTCTTTATTCCATGGATCAAACGATTTATGTTCTTTTCTTTTTACTCCTTTTTCTACGCTGTTATTTGGATATGACGTTTGGGATGGAGAAGAGGCAGAGGAAATGGAGGAATAATCTCTTTCCCTGTTGTCCATAGATTTCTCATTACGACATTTGTTTCCCTGATCTAAATGAAAGGAAGATCTACTTGTATGCATACTGGTTAAACTTCTCCTACTCCTTTGACGATCCACTGTACCGTGATACTGATCAGGATCTATGGTCGAATCAGAATTATAATTATTTTTTTTCCCTGTCTTTTTATGGCATTCTTTTTCATATTCATATTGAATTTCCCTTTCTTTTGATACACGTGGGACCGTTAGACATCTTTCAGACGCAAGGTCATTATAAAATGTTTTGATAAAATAGGTAAATATTTCCTCTTTCTTTATGCTTAATATTTCGTTATATATAAGATTATCAATAGTTTTATCATTTATATTGTCAATGTCATTTCTGAGCTGATCAAAATGTTCATACTGTCTTTCACTAATTTTATCATATATTTGTAATTTACTAATTTTTTTCTCTATAATATTAAAAAAGGTAAAACAGCTGTAGGCTATATTTTCCTTATACGCTTTTAATATAATCATGTCTATATTGTGACATAGCTGATTTTTATATTTTCTTTTCATATTTGCATTTCCTATGCACATATTTTCAAAACTTAACATAAATTCTATTTTTAGTTCATTTATTAGGGTTAGAAATAAGTTTGGCTTTATTGGCAATTTGTTTTCGATTTTTTTTCTTACCTGGAAAAGAAAATTTTCTGTTAATACATTATATAGCATTTTACACTCAAATAATTCCATTTGTTTTTTTAAATAATTTGGACTATAAAATATATTATTATTTATTGTGTATATTAACATATTTACGTATTTGTATATGTATATGCCATTGTTGGGGTACATATTATCTATGCTCTTTCCATTTATGAACAATTCTTTTTTTATTTTCCTCATTTCTGTTGCATATTCTTTCATGTTCTTCTCTCCTGGGGGTGGCAAATAAAACAAGCTCTTCTTCGCCAAAAAATTTAAGAAGCACTTGACCTTTTTTTGTACCACTTGATTTTCTATTTTTTCTATCAAGTCATTCAGGTGTTGCTGAGCGCGTGCGTTGTGACTATCGCCTTGATCATGCGTTTCGTCATAATTGCGTAATTGATTTTCTGAAAAATTGTGTGACAAATTGTGTGACAAATTGTGTGACAAATTGTGTGACAAATTATGCGACAAATTATGTGACAAATTATGTGACCAATTTTCCGATTTGGCCGACTTCCACTTCTCCGTCCCAGCTGATTCTAGCTTTTTTGTCGCCGTTGATTCCCACCTTTCTGTCTTAGCCGATTTCAATTTTTGCGGCTCAGCTGATTCCAGCTGTTCTGATCCCGTTTCTTTCTCTCTGGTCACATCCCTCAGCACGAACACAAAATATGGGACGCAAAAATTATCTTCGACTAACTTATCATCTCTGGAGTTTTCATCACTGTCTGATTTTGACATGAGCGACGCACTTTCACTGCTTTGGCTTTCATTGTCTCCCTTTCTCTGTCGACTTGTGCTTTCGGTTCTATCAATTCCCCCTTTCGATTCCACTCCTTTCTCTCGCTCCTCTTGTTTTTCCTTTCTTCTCTTGATACTCTCTCTAATGCGCTTAACGATGTCGTAATATTGTGCTAACAAACCGAAAGCATTAGAAAAGTTCTGGCTATTAATGTGAAAAATTATGATATTCGAGAGATAAAATGAAATCGTGACAAATTTGTTTATTTGATCCAGGTTCTCCATATCTTCGTAGTTGCTTCTTCCTATACTATTGCACCTTTCTTTATTATTACATCTCTCTTTGCTCGTACTCTTTCCCCGAGTGGTATTTCGAATGGTGTTTTTTCTCTTGATATCACTTCTTCCCCTGCTGCTAACACTGTCCTCGAACTCATCAACTTCATTCAGTGCCAACTTGTTATAGTCCAGATAAACGTAATTGATTTTGTTCTTATTCGTCATTATGTAAGAATATATTGTATTCCTCTCTTCATAGAATCCGACAGGGAAATTGTTCTTATCACTTCTGTTTATAATGTAATTAGAAAAGGTGGATGATCCTGTTTTCAAGCCTACGTTACTGATAACAACTGTACTTTTGTGTTTCATTCTTTTGAAGATCTTCTTCAATTCCTTATTTATTTGAAGGTTAACATTAGAATGGGACGATGTTCCAAAGTGGGTGGATATATTTTCACGGGACTTTTCATCAATTATTGAATCTATACTATCCCTAGAAGTGCAAATAAACAACTTTGGTCTTGGAGTATAAAGTTCGCCTACGCTTTTGTATAAATCCATAATATCATTATCACATAAATTAGAAATCTCCATACTTGTTTGATACGTATTAATTTCTCTTCCATTTAATGGAGTTATATCCTCATCGCTATTCATTTCAGAGTTATCATCCTTACTCTTAAGGAACAATTTGGTTCCATCTACATTTTCTGGTTTTCCCATATCTGTTTGGTTGCATTTATAACCTGGTTCTCTATATTGAAGAATATTATTATTATTATTATTATGTTTCATATTGTCCATTTCTGTGTTGCTACTTTTATTTGTCTTCATTTTCTGTTCTGTGTTATAGGCAATACTATTATTTCTATTTCTTTTGATATCAATTGAATTTCTATGTATACTTATTTGATTTAATAAAAATTCATTTCTTTCAATTTGAGAATATGACTTGTTCATATATCCATTCTCAAATGACTGACTATAATTTTTTTCATATTGGTGTAGCAAGTAATCATAAATATCATCTTCGTATATATTACTTCCATATGTTGAATAATTTTCTCTTTCTCTTTTATTCATTTCTTTTCTAGGATCATAATGATTTTTCACTGAATAGTATATAACTTTTTTATTCTTTTTATAATCATATACTTCGAATAAATTGTTTTTATTACACTGTTCATTCTCTTCACATTTGTTAGATTTGGCTCCCACACTCTCATTTTTCTCAATCCTGTGGTTGGAATTCTGATTAGTTTGTTCCTTTACTACTACGTTGTTCATTTTAGCTGCATCACTGGAATCATTTTGATGATTCGATACAATATTCATATCATTGGCAGGGTCATGACTAATCTTTCCAATGTCCTTTAAAATATGTCTTTCCTCTGTCTTCTTCGAGTTATCAACATTACTAGAATTGATATTAGCCTTACATTGAAGATTTCTAACATGCATTAACATGCTACCTTTGGATGCATTGAGAAGAGATACATTAGATGGGTCCACATTGCACCCTTTGTTCATTAGAGTATTCTCCTTATAGCCATTTAATGACATCATTGTGTTATAATTTTCCTTGCCCTTTATTTTTTCATCATACACATTTTGATGATTATATAAATCGTGAACTTTATTTTGTGGAAACATATTTTGAATTTCATATTTTTCTACGATCTTATCAAATGGCAAAATGCTTGTTAGATTTTTCTTTTTCTCGTAATCTGCACTGATACTGTGTGTCTCTTTTATTTTTTTAATTTTGAATTTACTGGAATTGAAGAATGAGCTTATCTCGTTGGCATTGTCGCTACTAGGGTTGTCACCCTGTACTTTTGCACCGTTTCGATTATTATCACCATTCCCACTCGCATTAACAGCTTCATTAATGATATTCCCCATCTCAACGGAATGACATAAGGAGTTTTTTTCCTTCATCTTTTGATCCCCCTCAGCCACTTCTTCATCATCTTGTTTAGTGTAAACGTTGTTATCAAAGTTTACCGAATGGAATGCTTTCATATTTGTATCGTTATTTGGCATGTATTCCCTTTTTATTCTCTCCATATTGAACCCATTATTATGAGACCCTGCATCATGTTCATTCGTGTAATTAATTCCACTTATATTGTGTACATCCTTCAAATTATTTATGGTACCCATCTGTTTTGTGCTAAGTTGAATACACCTTTATACAATTTACACTCTTCGTCCAAGTTGTGGCTAGTGCAAGGGGCGATAGACTATTAGTGTGCCGAACTTTTATGCCTATTTGTGTGCCGAACTTTTATGTCTATTAGTGTGCCGAACTTTTATGTCTATTTGTGTGCCGAACTTTTATGTCTATTAGTGTGCCGAACTTTTATGTCTATTTGTGTGCCTATTTGGTGTACGTGGAATTTCTGTTATTCCTCAAAATGTGAGCAGGGGTGGATCGAAAAGCGCTTCTGATTACATATAAGGGTACACAACTACTTAATGGTTAAAAAAAAAAAAAAAAAAAAAAGAAAATGACCCCCAATTGGTACACATGTATGTATTTTGGACCCCTTGTACACTTCTACCACTCAGTTTATATACACGTATATAAGAAGACAGAATGTAAGTGTACACACACAAAACCTTTTTAAGGTTTACTAAGTTGAATACGGAAAAAAAATTGACATATTAAAGGGGACGAAAAGTGGCATTACCCTATTGCCTTTAAAAAAAAAAAAAAAAGTGTAAATTGATGAGAATATATGAATGTGTGTATACATACATACAAATATATATATGTATGTTTGTGTGTATGTGCATATGTTTACGTTTGTGAATGTTGTAAATTCCCATCAAATGGAAAACATTTAAGAACACGGTGAGACAGGGGAAAATGCCTGCTTGTTGCACAAGTGTTTTTTGAAAATAAAGTAAAAGCGGATGTCACAGGGGGAAATACATTTTTTCTCATTGCGTCCCTTAAAAAATTTCCATTCCTATTCTGGAGAAATGTATAGAAGTGGAAACAGGGTATCGAAAAGGCAACAGGATATAGAAAAGGCAACAGGATATAGAAAAGGCAACAGGATATCGAAAAGGCAACAAGAAATTGAAAAAGTTTCAAATTGGTCAAATTGATCAAAATGTTTGCATGTGTGCTGTATTTTTTTTCTTTTTTTTTTTTTGTTTGTTTAAAATGGGCGGGGTACCCAACGGAGAAGTTGAGAAGTAGGGAAATACAAAATGAAAAAATGGTCTAACAAATAAATGGTCTGACAAATAAATGGTCTGACAAATAAATGGTCTAACAAAAAAATGGTCTGACAAAAAAATGGACTAACAAAAAAATGGTCTAACAAAAAAATGGTCTAACAAATAAATGGTCTGACAAATAAATGGTCTAACAAAAAAATGGTCTAACAAATAAATGGTCTGACAAATAAATGGTCTAACAAAAAAATGGTCTAACAAAAAAATGGTCTGACAAAAAAATGGTGCAACTAAAAAATGGCGCAACAAAAAAATAGTGTAACTGCAAAGGGGCGTAACGACAATTTGGCTAACTCGCAAATTTACAAAGTCTTAAAAACGCGCACACTTAAAAACAAACGGGAGAGTGTGTATTTTACTTTTCGCAGTTTTGCGTTCAACAAAATTTCCTTTTGTGTATACATTAAAATTTGCAAAAAAGGACAAAGAAAAAGAAAAAGAAAAACGAAATTTTAAATGAACATACACACTGGGAAAAAAAATACGACATGTTATTTTATTCCATTCAGACCAAATTAGCATGAATTTTTTTTTTTTTTTTTTTCTTTTTTTTTTTTTCACTTAAGCAGTTTTTCTGTGATACTTGTGTTTTACGTTATAATATATTCAAATTTTTTAAATGGAAAAATTTACTCTTCCTTATCCTATGCATATTTAATGGTATACGTTTGGGCCGTTATTTTTTTTTTCTTTTTTTTTTTTTTTTTAAAATGTGCACTTGTGAAATAATATATCACAACATTTTTAATGTACATGAGGATGTATTACATATGCACCAGTTAAACATAGGTAAGAGCGTAAATATGCGAATTGTACATACGCATGCGTACATTGACTTTTTTATGAGGATAGAAAAATTAAAAGTTGGCTTATCGCATTAATGTGTTGCATTTGATACAAATTTTACATGTCAACAATTTTTACAAGTTAATTTTATTGCATTTTTTTTCTTCATAAAGATTGTTTCCCTTTTTTTTTTTTTTTTTTTTTTTTTAAATTAAGAAGCACTAAATGAATCTCCATATGCTTACACTCAACCAACATCATCACAACCTCTTCTGTTGGTTTGATACCACCTGTCACGCCTTATTTGACAATTTGAGGAAAAAATCTCATTAGATAGAAGCCATAAAATGACAGATTCGTATTCCATTTATCTACTCTTGTAATGTACACATTCTATTTATCATCCATTTTTGACATATCACACACCCTGCTTCTCTGTGTGTATGCGTCTTTACATGGATAACCCCAATGCATGCACAAAATAATTAGTAGTAAATTAATATCTGATAAGAAGATGTCCTTACAAGAGTATCCATTTTTTGGTGAATTATAAAATGTATTAAATGTTCAGAAAGATTTTCCGTGCGCATCCGTTTAGGGGTGTATATATATATATGCATCACGTTCTTTTGTTCTGATCATTTCGATTCATCTAATCAGATATACTAGAATGAACAAGGAATAAAAAAAAATATATATCATGCAATCATATTATCATGCAATCATATTATCATGCTATCATAATATCATACTGTCATACTATCACACTAACATAATACCATGCTCTAATTTAAGGGAAGCAAAGACAATTTGTTTGTTGTCACTGGAAAAATAGACCAATACATAATGAGGGGAAAAGAGTTACACATGACGCCTTCAACACATTTTTTTTTTTTTTTTTTTTTTTTTTTTTTTTTGTCTCCATTTTTTAAAGCTTACAAATTCGTTAAACCCTTCAGGGAGTGCACCTCCGTAACCTTCTTTTATATAAATCCTTTTTGAATGTCACCAAGAATCAACTTTTCCACTGCTTAGAAAAAAAAAAAAAAAAAAAAAAGTCATGATGAAAAAGAAGAAAAAATGCACAAGATTAAGTAATTGTTCCTTCAACCAATTTAAAGGTAATTACTTGACAATTTTGAACTTCACTGTTTTGGCAGCTCCCACATAATATTCTGTGATGATGTTATCCCACTTGTGTATGTGGTGGTATGCCTGCACACATTTTCGTTTTTGCAAATCCTCTGTGAAAAAATATGATTAAGAACACCAATATGCAAGCACCGGTTGCTTGTACCATTTCATCACAACTGACATGTCATTAATATCTTTTTTTTTTTTTTTTTTCCTCCCCCCGTCACAACGACTCAAATTTTTGTAGAGGATATTGACTTCCTTAAAGAGGCAGATGCAATTTTAGACGATGACATATTTTTAATTTTGAAAAGACTTTGTTCCTATCTCTTTTTCTGCGTTAAGAATGACAATTTTGAATTTGTAAAAAATTATGAAAATTCGAAAAAGGCAGGATCCGAAGAGACGAATGAAGGAAAAAACAGAAAAGAAAAAAATAATGAAACGATGCAAATGAATGAATTTTCTTTGTGTACAGATGAAACCACAGTGAATTACAACTTTGATGAAGGAGATTTTATAATAATAAAAAATATTAACAGACTCTTAGTAAATGAACTAATAGAAAACTATGTTGGTTATTCTTGGCTATGCTTAATTTTGACAAAGTATTTAAACGACATTGATGTGCTAACAAAAAAGAGAGCTAAAAATGACAAGGATGAAGAAAAAAAAAGGGAAATGAAGGAAAAAAAAAAAGTATACAAAATTGTTAAGAAAATTACACATTTGAAAACGAGGGAACGGATACAAAGTTGTCATACTAGTAGAACAAATAGTGAGAAAAATAGAACTAATAATAAAATTGAAGAAAAAAATAAATATATAAATTATCTCTTCTGCTATTATAACAAATTTTTCATTTCGTCAAATGTTAGAAACACGGAAAACTTTGGAAAAAATGCTGACAAGGAAGATGTTATACTTCTAAATGATTGTGACAATGATTATCAATGGATATACAGTGATGGCGAAAGTGTTATGAATCAAAACGAGCAAAAAAACAGTGAAATGAAAAGAGGAACCATAAAATTGGAAAAACATCATTCCTCTGTTGTAAACGGACAATCATTTCTAGACGAAAAGAATATTTTGAGAAAAACGAGAATCGAAGATGGAAAACTTGTAACAGAAAAAAATTTCATCCCATTTCCAATTAAAGCAAATGTACATATAAATCTAAAAGGAAGACAAAACAGTTTTAGTACACAAAAAGAGGGGAAAAACACAACGGTGAGTATGCAAACTAGGAGAAATAACCCTCTTGATGATCACCTGAATATCAGCAGTGAGATGGATCATCATATGGATTATGAACAAATTTGTGACATTCCATTAGTTCCAGAGGGAGATACTTACAGTTATGACTCACAGGAGGAATGTCAGTTTCCGCAAAAATTGGGATTGTGCTTGGGGGGGTACGTAGATTTGGAGGCTAGGAAGAGAACTGAGGAAAACAGCGGACGCAAAGTGATCGAAAGGAGTGCAGGAGGTGCATTAAGCGAAAGAAGTGGCAGAAGAAGGGAAAAATTGTGTGGAGAAAAACTACACGAAAGGGAGTTCAAGAAGGTGCACGAAAAACGGCTTAAAAAGGGGCATGAAAAATGGCTTAAAAGGGTGCACAATAGACGGCGCAAAAAAAGACACGAAAGAGAGCGAGGTAAGTACCACAAAAGAAGGCACAAAAAAAAGGGGAACAGGAGGAGAGACTCCATTGAATGCAACGATTTGCAACATTTATACAAAGCCCTCTGTGACTTCTTGTCCACAAAATACGAAACTAGAAAGTTACTCAAGTTCATGGACGAGTATAGAGAAATGTATGCATGGAAACCACCATCCTTTTATTGGAAGATATTAAGCAGTAAATATGTGGTAAAAGAAATACTAAAATTATATGGGGACAGATATTTAGACCCATTTTTGTCGTGTCTTTATGAAGACTTTGTTAATAAGTACTATTTCGATGATAAAGAAAATAATAACATTGCTACGTATACAAGTAATTTTAATGTATTCACACTTAGAATAAGTGAAGAAATACAGAAATTTCTTCTTTTAGAAGAACCAGAAGAGGAAGAATCAATTTTAAGTATATGCAAAAATATATGCATTAGCGAAAATTCGTACATATATGCACAATTAATACTTGAATATATATACAGGAACAATAATGATAATAGTATGAGAAGATTATCACAATATTTGTGTCTCTATATTCTCTATAAAGATATCAATATACATAGAACAATCAATAATTATTTCACAAAAGTCGTAGAAAATGAAGTTAGCATCACCTTTTTAAGTTATAAAATTAATAATTTACATAATTATAGTGCACTATACAATACTTTTAGAAATATATACATGGCAAGGAATAAGGGATCTATGGATATAAACCATTATGATATTCTCAATTTGCATGATTCTATATTGAAAATTTTGAAAACATTCAACGGAAACAAATTGTTATTGTTTGATTCCACATACTTGTTTGATTCGAAAAGTAATCATCGTTGTCGTGATCTGAAGAAGAATCGAGGGTCTACAACAACACTAGCTCATAGCAACCTGCGCGAGGCTTTTTCATTAGCCGCTGAGGACATAGAACATGAAAAATGCAATAAGGGTGATAAAAATGAAAAAAAAAAGAAAAAAGAAGAAAAAATGATCTCAGAAGATTTATACAAAAGTAAGAAAAAGTTCTCTCCCTATTACCATCGCACAGAAGACACAGATTTCAACTCCAATTTTTCGGATATTAATAGAAGTAATTTGGATAAAGTATGTAGACGTGGTGAGGAGGTAACACATGGAAAAGGCGATTGCACACCTCCTAGGTTATTCCCTTCTGCAAGTACAGATGAGAATAAATGTTTTCCAAATATAGAAGAAGTAAATAATGGAAGAGAGAATATAACTCCAAGTGGCGAAGAGTACAATGGAAGAAGTAGCTTCATTGATAGTAGCCTTGATAATATATTGAAGGAGAGAAAAATTGATCATAGTAATGGAAATACTGAAATGAATGAAAATCAAACGAATAGATCAAATCAGAGTGGTAAGAAAATGAGTAACGAAATTTATAGTGCAATCAGATCCGATGATTTCTTATCGAATGCAAATTCTGATAATAATGCATCTGAAACAAGGACAGGAAATACAAGAGATGCAGATAGCGAATTTTTACTACCCTCAGCGTCACAATATGGAAACAGAGATTTTAATTATAATAAAGAATTTCTTAGGATAAATATCTATGCAGAAAAAATGCCAATTATTCATATGAGAGATATCTTATTCATTAATAATATTATAAATATTTATGTTACGAATAATCAGCTTTTTTCTAATAATATGTACAAAATATACGGAAAAGTGCTAATCTTCTTAACTACTTATTCCCCCTATGAGTATGTGTACAGTCACTATTATTCTTCCCTCATCATGAACAGAGGAGATCTTGACTCTAGGAAATACTCCAGTGCATACTTTAATGTTTATGACGACACGGTTTCTGCGTTGGACGAGGGCGGACACGAAGTTGACGAAGAGGAAGCGGAGCAGGAGGAGGAAGATGACGAATATGACGAATGTGACGAATGTGACGAATGTGACGAATGTGACGAAGAAGATGGAGAGGAAAATGGAGAACATGACGAATATAGCGAATATGGCGAATATGACGAATATGGCGAATATGATGAATATGGCGACTGTGATTACAACTGTAACCGCGACAACCAGCGCGACTACCAGCGCGACCACGATAGGGAGGATGACCCCATGGAAGACGATACAAGCCTGCAATCAGAAACGAATGAAAGTGCACACAAAAACGCAGGGGGACAAAAGAAAAAAGGCAAAAGAACATACAAACAATTCTGCAAAATGAAAAAAGAAACAGGAAAAACCAAATCTATACTAAAGGGAGGAAGTGATTACATAAAGGAAAATAGCAAAACATCAACTGAAAAGAGACGTCGATTTTTGGACGAATCTGCGCTGGATGATGCCGTAGGTGAGGCAGAAGCAGTTCAAACCAGCAGTGATATGAGCAAGCGAGAAATAAATAAGGTCGAGTTTGTAAATAGTGATAAGGGGGAAGAACAACAGGTGGATTCAGAAAAGGAGAAAACGCATCTAGATGTCTCAGAAAAAGAGCAATTTTTTAACATAACAGAAAAAAGTCGTTGGATTTCTCATATGGAAAATATGACCGAAGACGCTAAGAGAAAAGAGACGGATGATGATTGCCAAATGAGGAGAATTCCTCCTTATCCTAATGGATTAGCACAGCATGAGAATAATAACAAAATAAATGGAAGTAGTGAAAATGCGCTAGCAAAAATAGAACAAGTAAATGAGACTTCTCTGCTTGAGATAGTTAACAACAAGGAAGACTTTGCTGAAAGTGGAGAAATTGGATTTTTCACAACGATACAAGAAAATTCATCAAGGGAGAAATATAAAAATTGGCTATCTCAAAATGATGAAATAAAAAAGGTTGAGAATATAAATCCTGAATCTACGAAGGATACATTAAATGGTTGTAGCAAAACAAATATTATAGAATCATCAGAATTGAAAAATTCCACAGGAGAAATGCTACTACCACTAAGTCATCAAGCGAATTATACAGACATAATGAACAATGTCAAGTATGCAGATGATATCATTGAACTGAGAACAGAGATTATGTCATGTGATGAAGTAAAAAGTAGCATTTTTAAAAATGTCAAAACCCAAAAGAAATTAAAAATAAATAAAATAAATAAAAAGAAAAAATATTATTTTTACAAATTATTTCAAAAATTTAGAATATCCTATAACAATTTCCTCAAATATACACAAAATGAAATATATCATATATATCATATTATGCATGGGAACTATTCTGACTCAACTAAAGATAAACTCCTATTGGCCAGAGTGAACAGTAACTTAGCAGCATCAATAATTTACAAATATGTCTATAATCATGTGTACGACCATCTTAATTCTTCACATATTAATTTAATATATCCAAAATTAATTCTCCTCAAGCACATTGTTGATAAGTACCCACAAAAGAGGCATCTCGCTCTGCATTTTTTGAAGTATGGCTTGCCCAATAAAAAGGATGGGGGCGGGCTGGGAAAATTATCGTCAGCGTTTTTGTCCATTACGCCCATCTCTACGCGTGTACATTTTATTTCATTACATCATGTATTATTGCATCGTGCTCATTGCATCGTGCTCATTGCATCGTGCTTATTGCATCGTGCTTATTGCATCGTGCTTATTGCATCGTGCTTATTGCATCGTGCTTTGTTGCATCATTCTTTATCGCATCATGTTTTATGATTTTTGCTTTTTCTGGATTCCTTGTGCAAAATTCCGCAAGTATTTATGTTGCCACATGGTAGTATAGTGTCGGTGGTGACGCCTTCTCCAGATGTCATATGGTCTATACAATCGCATATATATATATATATTTCTTTTCTTTTTCAGGGAGTTGTATACGTATATAATAGAAAAGGAGAACGCCCTAGAAGAATATGTCTATCTGCGGGAAAACCTCATTTTGTTTTTTGTCTATTTTATTAGATTTGAAAATATGTTTTGCTACGTGCTGAAAATCATTAAGTCCATGGTAAAAAGCATTTGTATCGCCATCCGTGCGTGCGTTGTGTATGCCACACATGCGCATGTATATATACATATATGGGTAAAATTTTTTTTTTTTTTTTTTTTTTGAATGGCCATTTCCAACATATTAGGTGCATCTGCTGGACAAATCCCTAATCAGGTTGTTCATAATAAAAACCCTGACTTACTGTGCCCCCCCTTACGATTTTAAATTTTGCCATCGCTTGTTGAGCTTTATTTATTCCGTTCTCAAAAAAGGTATATATACATATATATATATATATATATATGTATATATATATATATATTTATATGTGTGAAGAACCGATGTCACGGAAAAGTGGCAATGTGGCTGTAATGCATTGATAATACAAATAAATTGGAAACATATGGCCAAACAGCAATTTGGAGGAAAAGTTTAAAAAAAAAATGATAATATTTCATTTTCTCTTCCCCCCTTTTTTCATAGAGGGTATATATTACAAGGACGAATTCAAAAGGGTCTTAAATAAATTTCTTGAGGATGTTGAGGAAATGCACAGGATGTATCAAAATTCGAAGACAAGGAAGGTATAGAAATGTGTACCATTGATCGTCTTATGAGTTGTGAAATATATAGTTGTTCTATTTCAAACATTTTTATTCATTTTAACAATCGCCCAATTGCCACATGACCCTTTTTTTTTTTTTTTTTTTTTTTTCTCCTCCTCCTCCTCCTCTGTGCAGCTTTCTGTGTTGATAAGTTACGTCAGGGAACAGATGATGAGATCAGAAAATGACTCAGGCGTGCACTGATTTGCAGAACTTGGTTGGTTGTACCTCATTCATTCATCACTTATCACCTAACATTCATTCACTAATTCATTCGTTAATTCGTTCACTAATTCATTCGTTAATTCGTTCACTAATTCATTCACTATTCATTCATTTTTTCTTTTTTTTTTTTTTTAATTTTCATGTTTTCGCAATAGTTATTGTGAACCGACATGGTTTCTCCTTTCGTTGGGTTGTTTTCATTTACGCAACGATACACATGCGTGGTGATATGCTTTTTGTGCCACATATATATCTGCACATGTGCATGTTGTTCCCTTAACCTTTTTAGTGAAACGTTTTCCCCATCATACCTTTTGCATAAGTTAAAATATATTTATTTGTCTGTTTTTACTTATTCATAATGTTGTGTTTTTCAATTTTTATGATCTAATAATTAAAAATAAAAAAAAAAAAAATCCATACAAAAATAAGTACGCTTTTTTTTTTCCTTTTTTTTGGTACTATTTTTTGGCATAATTGGCATTTAAGAAACTTGATAATTAATTGCATTTTAAATTTTTATATACGGCTTTAGAACGTGGAAATGTATTTGATCATGATTTAGAAATGGTCAATGAGAAAGAAGAAAAAAAAAAAAAAAAAAAAAAAAACACTCAGATATGGCAAATAAAAGTAGTAATATTTTTCTCACAATTAAAGCAACGAATGGGGTAAAACAATAAAGTGTAAGGATGGACTTGTAAGAAGTGTGTACTAGACATGTGTAAAAAAAAAAAAAAATAAAAAATAAATAGAAAAAAACATGGAATAGTAATTAGTGTGTGAAATTTACTTACTACCTTTTACTTTGCCACTTTGAAAGGTTCGAAGTAAAATTCTGGTTTTTCTCATCACCTGAGGAATCTTCTTTCCCTTGATAGGAGCAATTAAAACGGTTTTTAAAATGGTTGTCCAAAGGATGCTTCTCAAAGTTCCTCTTATCGGAGTCATTCTTATGGGAGTTACTTTTATTGAAGTGGCTTTTCTCGAAGTAACTTCTCTCGAAGTGGCTTCTGTCGAAGTGGTTTCCAGGATTTGGAGTACACAAGGAACCAGGTTCATTCGTTCGAACCAGTTTAAAATCAGGGTATGTATTTTTTGTGTCACTTGGATTACTTTTCATGAAATAATTTTCTTTTTTTATGATATCATTTTTATAAACGTTATTTCTGTCTTCTTGGAAATTATTTGTACGTAGAAATTTTTGTTCATAAGGATTGATAGTTCTAAAATTTTGTTTATTATTTTTACTTTCTTTTTCTTCATCTTCAATTGATTTTCTTAGTTGTCCAACTTCTTCGATAAAGGATTTTCTTTTCTCATTTAGAATAGCAATACCTCTAGGAGTTCTACAATCGTTTTTTTCTCCAAATTGTCCTTCATATATATTGTTAAAAAGCATTTCATTTAAATTATCAATAGTATTATCAGGTTGTCTATTGACTAAAGTGTGTCTATTTTTGTCGTTTAAATTGTTCGAGTTAAAATTATTCCCCATGGAAAAGGAACCCAGATTCAAATCATTATTTTTTACACATTTTAACATTTTTGATGTGTCTTTTTGTGCTTCTATATTTGTATCTTTATATAAGTCTTTAGTAGAAACACAATTGAAGTAGCTATTTCTGTTCAGGAGTTTTTCTCTTTTGTCATTTTCATCTTTCATTATTTCTTCATTATAGGATTTTCTGGGGTAATTAAAATCGTCATAGGGATTCTTAAAACTGTGAAAATTTTCACCCCGATCAAGAACAAACCTCATATCTCTCTCATTTTTCAAGTCTGTGTAGTATCTAGTTTCATTTATTAAGTCATTGAATGAATAACTGGAGATGCTTCCCATCATATGATACCTATTCAGTAAATCTGATTCGTCCTCTTTTCTGTTTGCATCAGTGATTGTTTTATTTCTTCCTTCTTGTATATATGTTAATCCACCATCAATTAGGGTCACAAATTTGTCAGTACAAGGTTCTCCACTTTTTTCGTCCATTTCGTTTCCCTCATCAGTTTCGCAAATCCCTTCAACCTCGTCAATCTCATCAGTCTTCCCAATCTCATAAATCTTCTTAATTTTGCTATCTTTATTAATCTCCACCCCTCCATACTTTTTTTCCCCTTGGAAACTCTGGCTCATGCCACTCATACACTTGTAAACATCACTACTCGTTTTATCCATTTGAGATCTCCAGCATTTATCCAAAAGAAGCGAATCAATGTCCTTGATTCCTTGTCTACTACCCGACGTTTCATAATTTTTAAATTCTCTGTAAGTGAAATTCATTTTTGTAAAGGTAACTTTACTCGGCTTCTGCTTCTCCAATATCTCCGGTGTAACATTGTCTGGTGACATAAGACAATCATTGAGAGATTCCCAGTATTTTTCTCTCCCTATGTTTTTCTTCTTTTTCTCGCCTTTAACATTTACAGTGCTCCCCTTTTGTACTCCTGTATCTGCATCTCCGGTGTTGCTCGCGTGACAGTCATACATGTGTAGTGTCAAATTTTTACCAAGATGTTTTTTTAAGACATTATCCGAACAGCTAGTCTTCTCCTTGTATTGAAAATCGTTCAATTGGCTCTCACACAGATTCCCATATTGATTCCCACGCTCATTCTTGTACTGATTTTCACACTGATTTCCATACTCATTCTTGTATTGATTTTCACACTGATTCCCAAACAGATTCCCGCACTGATTTTGGTGCTGATCCTTATGCTCATCCCTACTCTCATTAAACTCCTTTTGCATGCCCTCTTGTATCCTGTTACGTATATCACCATTTGTACGCGTTCCATTCAGTCGCATCACGTTTGAATCCATCCGATTATCGTGTCTAAGGTCTGGTGGAATATTGTATAATGCTACTTTTTCCTGTTGTTCAGATATTGTGATTAATGAAGAGATCCCCCTAGCACTTCCTATGGAAGAGGGGTGAAAGGTATTCTCGTTTTCATTTTCTGTTTTTGTTTTTCCTTTGGTTTGAAGAATATCTTTCTCTAATGTCGAGACAAATGTATCATTGATGTTGTTCTTCTCGTTGTAGAAAATTGGTTCATAAGTAGGGGGCTTGTTCTGTTTAGAATTTCTCCTTATGTTGCTCCTTCCCTGGGTATTGCAACTTCCTCCCATGTTACAAAAATTGGATGCATACAAATAGTTATCATTTTTCATATCTTTATAAATACTCCTGGAACTTGTATTTTTCTTCATATCTGTTGTATTTTCTAGGCTTCTGTTGTGATCCCTATGATGGATATCAAAACTGGTATTATCTGTGAATGTCTCCACATTGTTATACATATCCTTTTCAAATAAGTTGAAGGAGTTATTTTCGAAAGGATTATATGCATAATTTTTCAATGGATCAAAATTTCTTTCAGAAAAGTTGTTAGATTTATTCAAGGTCAAATGGGAGGAAGAGAATTGAGTTCCATTTTCTTCCATAGAATCGCACTTTTTCTCATTATAGTTATCTACATGATAGTAAGAATTATTTCTTTGTACATTATTCAAGTTGTAATTGTTTTTATATATGTGCAACAATAAATTCCTTTTGTCATTGCTTCTGTAGTTATCTGAGTCATTCTTTGCTTCTTGCTCCTCTAAATTTAGTAAAATGGTGTTAAAATTGTTTATTTTGTTTATATCAGTGCAGATGGGGCTGAGTTTCGTTTGTTCTCCGACCTGACTGCAACTCATGCTCGTGCCATTATTCTCACTTGTAATCCTGTTCACCTGCATTGGGTTATTCGCACTTATGTTTTCATCTCCCAGTCCACCTGTATCCACAATTTTGCTACCACTTCTATCTACGATGTTTTTCCCTACTTCTCTACTTCCAGAAACATCATTTTCCATGGTTCGTCCCTTGTGTTGAGCAGACCCTTCAGCTGTGATGGGCAGAAAAAAACTCAAAGTTTTCCTTCTATTGAATTCTATCATGGGATGGTCGCTGAAAGCCTCGTTTGTGTGCGACTGGCTATCATAGCTAGGAAAAAATGGGTTCAGAATGTTAGGAGCGTTTATTTGGGGTAAGAAGTTACCTCTAGGAGACATTTCTCCCTCACTGGGAATGTATTCAATTCCAACTGAAGGAATATCATTCTGACTATTGCCTCGATTGTGATTCTGACTATTGTCCTGATTGTGACTATAAATACAATCATAATTAAAGTCCCTGTCTTCACCTAGCGAGCTGAAATTAGTGCCGCTTTTAAATTCACACAAAAGAGCATTTTCTGCATTTGTGCAATACTTATTTTGTGAATAAAAGGTATAACATTTGGTTTTGCAGGAGCAAGAAGCTACTCCATTGTACATCATATTCATTTTTATTTTTTTTAAAACATTGTGACCATGATTATACAATTCTATATGTTTTATAATCTTAGCTATGCTAAAACAGATATATTTACATCTAAGGCAGTTATAAAATTTTTCTTTCATCAATGAATCTAACTGTTTTATTCGATGGTTCTCACTTATGACATGATTTGAAAATGAGTGTACACATGTAAACACTAGAAGGCATACTCTACATCTATACACGAATATTTTTTCATTTATTAGTTCATAGTTATTTATTCCTCTCTCTTCTCTTCTATCTTCCAAGGATATTTTGCTTCTGCATTCGAGAGCATCAGCCCATTCTTTGCTCATTTTGATTCCACGTTTTTTTTTCTTTTTTTTTTCTTTTTTGGTAGAAATCACCTATATTAATGGGATCAATAGTAAGGGTTATAAAAAGACTCTGCTGCTTATATATTTCTTAAATTTAGACAATTCACATACATATCATCACACAGTATTCTCATGCACATAACTCATTCCCCGTGTTTTTTTTTTTTTTTTTTTTTTTTTTTCCGAATGAAGTTTTTCCCTTTAAAATTCGAAATCTTTATTTTTTCAAGAAATTCTTCAAAAAAAAAAAAGAAAAATGAAAAAAAATCGTCTTTTTTTATGATGGAAAAAATATAGAACATGCACATATTAAAAATATTCCCGACTTTAGATTATTTCTAATAAATACACGTACCTGTTCATATTTATATGTAACTCGGTGTTCTATATTTGATCATAATGGAAGATATCGAATGAAGCGTCTGTCTTTTGGAATTTATCAAAACGATTATTTTCCTTAAAACGAGAAATGGGTCACAGACAGAGGTATGGATTCTGTGTGCACATGGGGAAAAAAACGTATGTGTTTTTTTTTTTACCTGCACACGGATGAGCAAATAGGGGATGTTCTACAGAAGCGTGATTAAAAGAAAAAAAAAAAAAATGAATGAATAAATGAATAGATAAATGAACGAATAAATGAATGAATATATAAGCAAAACAGGAGAAGCGAGTAATGTTCCCTTGTCTTTAAGTTGTATGCTGCATCAATACGACTGATAGCACATTTTCTTTTTAAGTCTACGGGGATGTTGAAGTGTTAAAAATAAAATAAAAGGTAGAGTGTAGATTTATTCAAGTGTGGATCTGAATACACATGTAGATCTACAAGCGGGGTGCTAAAAGCTATAAACAAAAGAACACAAAACTATCACCCATTTTCATTTATGAAAAAGAAAAGAAAAGTTATGAAGCTGAACGACATACATAAATATGACATGAGGGGAAACAGTCTGATGTGCGCTCTCTCGAAAAAGTGGGAAATGAAAAGAATTAACTTATGCTTGATCAAAAAGTTAAAGGAATAAAAAAGAAAAGTTCTACTCTGCTAGAATTCCTAAAAGGGTATAACAACTTCTGCATGATTTAAACGAAGAGTATATTATAAAAAAAAAAAAAATCATATGATCATCACTAAAAGTGTAAATATAAAACATATCATATTTATAGGCAGAACAAGTTCACATAAAAAAGGTTACTATTACACAAAAATTTTCACACAAAATAGAAAAAATGAAGGAAAAAAAAAAAAAAAAAAGGAAACCAATACACCATCTTTTAACTGGTTAAAATATTTCTGTTTTTACAGGAATCTGTGTTTATGCTTTTTATGCATTACTCATATACACTTGTGTTTACACACACACCTTTTTATAGCTATAAAAAATGTGCATGCGTGAAAAAGAAGAAGAAAAAAAAAAGGGAATGAATGAATTGGAAAGACTTTAAAGATGTGTTCTCCCTTTACTGAGTACAATAGGACGACTTTTTCTTTATCTGGTTAGATACAAAAAAGGGTAGATGCGTTCCATGCAAACGTATCTATATGTTACATATATATGAATGTGTATAGACTCATATATTTCTCAAAAAATATATGTGGAAAAAGAGAAAAAATATATTATCGTCCTCAAATAAAGGAAGAATAAAATTGAAAACACATTTTAACAAATCACATGTGGTAAAAATCGTGTAATTTTTTTTTTTTTTTTTTTTTTTTTTTTTTCTTGCAACATTTCTTAAGGACATTTTCGCACACTTAACTGGTTTTAAAAATCTTACTTAAATAGCGAGGTCCTTAACAATTTTGTAAATAATTTGTTTTGCTTTGTTTTGTTTCTTTTGGTTTCTCTTCGTTCCATTTTTGTTGTTTTTTTTCCTCTTACCTATTTCAAATGCTTGCGAAAAGGAAAAAAAAAAAAAAAAAAAAAAAAAAAAAAAAAAAAAAAAAAAAAAAAAAAAAAAAAAAAAAAAAAAAAAAAAAAAAAAAAACCACTACACAACAGACTTATCCGAAATTGGGGGCTCACTGATACTTTTGAAACATGCATGCATATAGAGAAAAAAATAAATAATGAAACACATCAAATTTGAACACAACATGATCGGACATAAACATTACATGAGCCATAAAGCAGTAGCTTAAATTTTATCATTAAATTGTGACAAATAACCTTTTTTGTGTACTTTTTCTCCAATTCCTTATATTTCGAGTACCATAAAATGAAAGATGAATATTGAACGTCTTTTTAATTAGTATTATATACAACATACGAATACAGATTATAAACAAAAGTACATGATGCAAATTTTCAGCACATTAGGAAAATTGTCATATAATACGTACAAACATTTATAAATAAAAATTTAAAAAATTTTTCCTTGCGTTGTAATGGAAATATATGCTTACAAGGTCCATGAGTTTTTGGAATTAATAAATTTTTTTTAGCATGAATTTGCTAAAACGTGGGGTTTCAGAGGGGGAAGGATAGTTTGGCACATGCTGTTTTTACTTTTCCGCGTTTACTTCTTTTTCTTATTTCTTTTCTTCATTTCCCTTTTTTGTATCTCCATTTTTTACACCACCCCTTTTTTCTGTCCCTCTTTTCGCTTTTATATGCATCTACTTCCCTCCTAGAAGAAGATTCAAAAAAAAATTCAAACAATACAAAAAGCAGTTGGTAAAAGGAATGAAAAGTATGTATGTCAATTCCTTTTTTGGTGTTCATATGGTTACTATGTGCATGACTTAGCATACTATTTATATATGCAGATGCATAAAATTAAAAATAAAAAAAAAAAAAAAAAAAAAAAAAAAAAAAAAAAAAAAAAGACAAGCATGTGTGTAGATAAAAATATAAACATATTAAATGATGTATATAAATTGGACAGCTTGTTCATATTTAAAATGGGTGCGGCGAAATAAGACTTGTACCTTCGAATAATACAAATGCACAATCAGAATAAGAGAACATATGAGAAAAAATAGGGACTGTTAATAATTAAAATAATGATAAGTGGAAAAAAGGATGGCACAGGTAGGCACAATTTTTATCAATCTTGGACAAATACCAATATAGAACCCGCGCATCCCGTTTTTTTTAAAAATAAGTTTTGTGACAGAAAAAATATTATAATTATAATTATTTGTTAACTTAAAATAATTATAATATTTATAATTATATGTATTTGACCCATATTTACTGGAACCATATTTGTAATGTATACTCCGGTGATCATTGTGTGCATGATTATTTACCTTAACATCATATATATGTTTATTATTATATAAATTATTTTGACAAATATTATAAAGATTGCTGATTCTGTTTCTCGAATGGGAATCATAATTTTTAATTTTTCTATAATCAAAATCGCTCTTATGTATGATATCGATGCATCTTGCTTGCATATTTGTTTTTATAATGTCTAATGGATGCGTTATAAATGTAGTTATTGTGCTACTTAAACATCCACATATAAATGGGTATACAAATTTTGTTACAAATTTTTTTCTCTTTTCATATTCAGAATCTATTTTTTTTATGTAACTAACTAAATATTCGTTGAGTGACCAATAGATAGCTGAAAATGGGATATCCCGAATAAGTGTTGATGTAATCCCTTTGTATAAATTTATTTTTATTTTTCTATTTTTTTTGTCCTTTAATATGTCAAATATACTTACTTTGTAATTGTTACAAACGTTCGCCTGAACATTTGTTCTATATAATTCTAACGGTGATGTTATTATTATGGAGATAAACCTCGAGATCGTGGCGCTCAGGTAGTAAGGAATTCCCTTTTCTTTTAGCTCTTCGTACACATAAAAAAATAAGGTGTTGTTTATTATGTACAGGTTCGCGGTGGAGAGGAGGCCTGTTAGAGGAAGTACATATATGACGAAAAAATAAAATAATAGAATGGAACAGAATAGAATAGATATATAAATGTTCATAATAGAATAGACCAAATAAAACGTATCCGAAAAAAAAAGAAATGCTTGGCACGGAGAGAAGCTAAACGAATTTTACTTCATACTTCATATATATAAAAATATGCACGTTTTTTTTGTTGCTTCTGCTTATATGCGCCATTGGGTTTACCTCTATAAACAGCCCTAATTCCATAGTTATTATAAATGTTTTTAAATGTTTGATAATAAAAAGAGTTGAACTTCAACAACTTGTTTTTCTTCTTCTTGATAATTTTTTTAAAAATATATTTCTTGTCGAAGCTTATGTTGCTATTATATTGGATGTAATTTTTTATTACATCCAGGGGGGTGCATATGAGGCTAACAAAAATGCCTGGAAAAAAAAAAAAAAAAAAAAATGGAAAGAAAAGAGAAAAATAGTAGCCATGAAATAAGAAGTATAATATAAAGAAGTACACAGGAAATAGATATATAACCTCATTGATTTTTATTTATATCTTTAATTAGGAAAAAGTAGTAGACATGCATAAATTTTTATTCCTTACTCGATACTGTACTACTGTATATTATGTTCTGAACATTTATTGTTCTTTTTTCCATTTTGGCTTGTTAAATTGGCTAGCTAGTTTTTTTTTTTTTTTGCCCTCCAGTTTATCCTGACTTGTACATAAATGTGGTTAATTTTTTTTTTTTTTTGTTCTTATTGTGCTATTCTTCTCTTATAAGTCAAGACGTCATGTTTGTCTATGTTGTTTTTACACATTTGTATAAAATATTCAAACAATATGAAAATGATTTATGCTATGAGTTAAACGTTATAAATAACTATCTTGTACATGTAAAGCTTTTTCCATTTATTAGGTAGTTACATAGGCAAATTACTTAATTTTGTTACTAGTGCACAACTGATAAAATAACGTACATATGTAGTGGTCTCTAACAATTACATATAAGCTTCATACATGAGTTTAAAGAATGCCACATATTTATAGGTATACGAGCGGAGCATATAGGTATGGAACAAGGTAAATATATATGGATATAAAACCATCTCCTTGCCATAAAAAACGGATGTGTGTGAAAAAATATGGCCTATTGAAACTATGTCTTTTAGATGTAGATGTGTGCAATTAAATTAATTCTTATGTTTGAAAATGTGTAAAAGTAATGAGTTACGAGATGATCGACCTTTCCGATTTTATCTACGTAAAAAGGTGTGCTGTCTTCTAAGAACTCCACAAATTTCATACTTTTTCATGGAAGAGGGTTGTTGGACGAGTAAACGTACATAAAAAAGCATGTCAGAAATACGCAAAACGTGTATGTTCATATGTATAGCACTTCGGTATGTATTTCTTTTCTTATGAAAAATGTACAAATTATTTCATAATCTCAAAAAATAATAAAATTTTCCTATATCTGTATACAATTATATATCGGGGACGAAGAATTACGTGTTCCAGTTGATAATAATACGATCACATATATATATATATATATATATATTACAGTGCACATATAAATTTATACATATATATTCATATATTTGTAAAAAAAACAGTTATGTAGATGTTACAAAAAAGAGGTAGAATCTTCATGTAAAAAAAATTTACTTGTTCATAATTCCTCTTAACTGAGAGTTTACGACATTAATAACGTGAGTACATCGGTAATTTTCCAGCTAAATAAATGTTAATATAGGCTTGTGTATAAACGAAGCAACATCCATGAATTTTTCAAATTATCTGCAAGGAAGCATAAAAGCTAAACAGCAAGGAAACATACGCAATGAGTTGTGAGAACTGTGACAGTTTATGCGTGCAAAGGCCTTGTTCTCTACCTAATAAAAAAAAAAAAAAAAATGATAATCGTAAAAACGTTCATTAAAAACCTATTCTTGTAAACATGTACATTATAGGTAATCATGTCATACATTATGTAAATGAACCAAGAATAAAAGTTCAAATTTGTTATAAGGATAATAAGGGCATGTGAGAAAAAAAAAAAAAAAAAAAAAAAAAAACCTTTGTTATAGCACCGAAAGGACTTTTATTTCCACCATTATTTACGTTATGTTTAGTTCATCTCCTTTCGGTTTTTTCCATTCCCTTTACTTTTCCCTTTTCTTTTTTTTCAGCTATGCACAAACTTGGGTCATTAATAAGTGAAACTGAAACTTGTATCCCAAAATAAAAAATGGCAAATTTGAGGTAAATAAGTATATGCCCTGTTCCTGTTGTTTATATTGGTCAGGAGGAAAAAATGGTTTAAAATAATTTCCCCTATAACTTTTTTAATGTTGCGTAATTTCTACATACTTTAACTGCAACCTATAACAACCCATTTCAATAGCATGGCAATTTAATGGGCTACATATATTTTAATTTTTTGGGAGGAATACATTTAATGTTTGAAAAATTTAACGAAATTTTATGCCCAGAATAAATAGCATGATCTGTTTGAGAAAAAGGGAAAGTGTCCTTTTTTCTCCATTATGGAAAACTTGCATAAAAGAATTTATAGTTAAAAAAGAGCTTTTCACCATGATAACATTATCATGCTTTAATAAAACATTTGCATCGTACACGAATACACATGGAACATGTTAACACTTTTAAAAAAGTTACCCAAATCGCAATAGCGGAAATAGTAGATCACCATAAAGGTTGGGAATTAACTAATACGATTGTGTGTTAAAATACTAAGGTTGAGAAGGCCTTTTTTTTTCTTTTTTTTTTTTTTTTTTTTGCCGTTATAATAAAACATATAGTAATGGCATGTCTGAGAAGGAGTTAATGGAGAGTTGATTTTTATGTCCACCTTCATTGTCTCGGGAAATCCAACGAGAATACAACTATGTGAAAAAAAAACACATCGAAAGCGTGGAAGTTATATTCATAAGTGATTACACAGGAAAAATGTATCTTAACCTGAGGAGGCATATTAAGCCAATATGGCACATTAAGAATATTTTTTTAAAAAGCGAAAAATTTACAGTGGATAAACTACGGCAAGTGTTTGTGAACCATGATAATAACTGTGTAAACACGCAAACGTATTCGACCGATTATGGGTCTTTTTTTTTTAATGAGACTTTTTTACGTCTCAATAGAAAAAATGAAAATAAAAATGTATACGAAATGAGAAGAGATAGAGGAGGCACTGTTCGAAAGAAATTGAGCAGAGAAAAAAAGAAAACTCAGAAGAAGCAAAAGAAGGAAAAATCAGCTGACGTATACAAATAGTTGCTTAAAAAGTTGTGTCCATATAGGAACGTGCGAATGAAGACACCTAAAAGGATAATACTCTAATTGTAAATAACCAAAATATAACGACGTTAAAAAGAAAAAAAAAAAAAAATGAAAGTACTTGTTTGAAAATGTACTGCATATATATATATATATATATATATTACCCCTTTTTTTTTTTTTTTTTTTTCCAAATCATTTCATACCAAATTAACTTGTGAAAAAATATAATTCACTATTATGCGATGTACACATAATGACAGATTGTGAAATAAATCATTGATACAGGGCTTCGAATAAAATGAGTCGCCTTGTGGAATTCATATTTTTCGTGTTTTTCCAAAGAGACCACTCGCTTGACAAGAATAAAACAAATTGAAAAAAATTCGAAAAAAAAGGAAATACAAATACAGAACGTATGCAAAACATAGGAAATATTTATACAATACGTGTACATGTTGCACGCGAAATGTATGTAAAACTGGTAAAAGAAGAAAACAAATTTTGAGAAACCACACATACAAACGTAAGACAGTCGTGTGAGGAAAAACTTATGGAGTGGATTTACGTTAGGATGAAATGTGTAAATTCACAACACACAACGAATTGCTTAAACAGCACAAAAAATTATTCCTCCTCCTCACAACCTTCCATATAAAATTAAATAACTAAAAAAAGTATTCAAAAAGCAAATACTTCTTTGACACATTTTATACTCAGCAAAATTGTGATATACTGGTTAGTTTTGCATTAGCAAGGAGCAATTAGCATTTTTGCTCGTTGATGAAAATATCACATATTTTTATGTGCTATATTTCTTTATGCGAAAGCAATTATCATATAGCTGTTGTGGAGGGAGGGGGACTTGTCCGCATGGTGTCGAAGTAGGTTTGCATATAAATACGTATACAAACGTAAAGATAAAAGTATATGACTGTATCTGCTTATCTTTACTTTTGAAATGCCATAAAAAAAATGAGCATTTCATATGAATACTGGTGTAAATGAAAAATGATAACAAAATTTAACAAGGTCCATGGTAGAGTAGAAATGGGCCTAATTATTAACAGTTGTTTGTTTTTTACAATTAGGACAAAAATAAATTATAGTTGACCCTTCGTCAGCACTCCTCGTCTGAATATTTATAAAGTGTAAGAAGTCATTACCACAGTCTGTACATTTTTCGTATGTTATATTATAAGCTTGGTTTTTATCTTCTTTAAATAAGGACATATTTTTATCAAGTGAGGTTATTTTATTTTTCCAATAATTTTTTTTATTTTTATCAAATATGTATTTTTCTCTGTATGAGTTTAATTCAATATAGTTACTTTTACCATTCCACTGATCAAGCATTTGAATGCTATCTATTATTCCACCGCAATAAATGCATTTAATACAATTATCATGTAGAAATTCAGAATTCCCAATAAAGTCATACGCATTCCCATTGAAACTATTACCCATGGTGTCATAGTTTTTCCTTAATTTGGTGATGTTAAAGCGTTTAATAAACATGTACATGTAATCATCGTAGTTATATATATATCCACATTGCTTGCAATACGTTTCCTTTTCTTTCTGAATATTTGTTAGCATCAATGACTCGTGTGTAATGTCTGTCGCATTTTTTGCCAATCGTTCGATGTCAAAAAATTTCTTGCCAGTCATCACTTGACACAACTCATCGTGCTCTATACTTATTTTGTTTCTATACGAATTGATAAAGTAGTTCAGAATTTCTTCGTTTCTTACTTCTACTTCATCGAAGCGTACTTTCTTTTTCTTTTTTTTCTCCTCCTGCATTTTCATTTCCTCCATTTGCATTCTCACTTCCTCCTTTTGCATTTTCGTTTCCTCCTTTTGCATTTTCGCTTCCTTCTTTTGCATTTTCGCTTCCTTCTTTTGCATTTTCGCTTCCTTCTTTTGCTTTTTCCTTTCTTCCCTTTGCTTCTCATTCTGCTCCTCCAGATTATTATGACTTCCCAATTGGTATTCCCCTTTGACTATACCTTTCTCTTCCTTCACTTCTACATTGGATTTGTTTATGTCGCTGTCGATGTTTTCCTCTCCCTGCTGACCATCCTCCCTGTTTTTTTTTTTTTTTTTTTTCTTTTTCTTATTATTTTTATTTTCCTTAGTGTCGTTGTCAAACGAGTCATTATCTTCGAAATATTTATGAGCTGCGATTAGTGGTGAGAGGTCGTGACTTCTTTGATTCATTTCCATGTTGTCTTCTTCACTTTCGATTTCATCTGCAATATGATTGTTCTTGTACTTTGCATCAATAACTTCTTCATCTTTTTCTTCATCTTTTTTTTTGCTTTTGTAGGACTTGTTTTTCTTACTCTGCTTTTTCTTCTCCTTTTCAGAAAACATTTTTTTTTTTTTTTTTTTTTTTTTTTGCTCAAATCAATGAAGTAGAGAACTGAATAAAAAGAGTAGTTTTTTTTATGCTATGTTAGCTTTCATAATTTGCAATAATTTCGTTGTATCCACCGCGCTTTGGTATCGTTACATATGCAGGTATATAAAAGCATATACATATGTATATAATTATGTATCTTCATCAAATAATTTATTCGTAGGTTTCATATTGTTAATTCCCCTTGTTCATGTTCATCCTCTTATTTTATTTTATTATTTTTTTTCTTTTCTTTCTTTTGGTCTAAAAATTATGTCCCTTTTTTGTATTTATTTTATTCATATTTTAAATAGTAAAAGTTGGGGAAAAAAAAAAAAAAAGTTGGATAAATCACATTTTTTGGGTATCTGTGGATATTTATATGTATATTTGCCTCACTTGGAATTTAAGACGAAAACGGAAAATACAAAACAAAAACAGCGGACGAGATATATATTAATTTTTTTTTTAAGGCCTATAGATTGTTGAATAAAAGTTGTATATTCTGAAGCCATAATTCTATTTTCAAGTTTCAGAAAAAGTGGAAAATTTAGCAAAATGTACGTAAAATGAAAAAAAAATAACATAAAATGGATATAATGAACTGTAAATTTAAAGCTCTACAAAAAAAGGAGATCAAATATATGCGACGTACCAAGGCTTACAAATATTTTATATAGTTATGCTGTACAGCGCTACGGGGTCATATATTTTTAATCTCATTTTCGTACTTCAGCATTTGCGCATATTTTAGTTCGGCCAAAATGCCGAAATCGGGATAAACAGGAATGGGCAAATGGGGGGGAAAATATATATATACTCTTCTGCATGTATATGGACCAACATGTGGACAAAAGGTGTTTTTACATTTTACTATATTTATATATATGATGTATGGAAAAATTCTCACAACACCTAGAAAGAAAAAAAAAAAAATTTTAAAACAATTTTAAAAAAACTATCGATTTTTCTCCTTCCACTTAAGAAATCCAACTTTTTGCCTAAGAATAGTTCACGTTGTGTATATATCATAGCGCATGCTTACTTGCATACATCTGTACATATTTTTACACATAAAAGTGTATATATAAGTATATATTTTTATGTATATGTCGGATCAAAAGCGGTTCCCAATTCTCCGCTAGATTATGCTACCTATCATCCGCCTTCTCAGCCCTGCCCAAATCTATTACTGGCCCTTCAAACCCGACATTTCCTCCTTTACTCATTCTCCTGTTATTCATTCACTTTTTTTTTTTTTTTTTTTTTTTTTTTTTTTCTTTTATCAATCAAAAGGGCACATCTACGTTACAACAACACTTGTTGCTAAAAATATATTTATCTCGTATATTTTACAAACCTGTTGATCACAGGGGAGAGAAAAAATATAAAAAAATAGATAAACGAATAAATAAAAAATGGCAAAAAGGATATAGAGACCAAAAAAGGGATACGATACCAACCTCATTTTAAGTGTTAAAAAAAAAAAAAAAAAAAAAAAGAGTTGGTAATTTAATGGAGAAAACGGCCATTTACTCAATTTTAAAAACTTTTTTTTTTTTCTTCCCATTGCTCACATAATAAATCATTAATTGCTAAATTAGATGCGCATCAGAGAAGTAATTTAATTTTTATTGAAAAAATAACAGGATGTATTAAGAAGAAAATATAATCATTTGTATATAACACATATGTACCCGCACGCATGTACATGTGTTTTTCTTCAACCCACTCAATAACAATATTTTTATTTCATATTTATATATTTTTTTCTGTTTTGAGAATATATTTACGTTTTAATAATTTCTATACGAAATTACATACACATGGTTGGACCATATATTGACGGGTGTATGATGAATATTATTTTTTATCTTTTTGTTGTATAAGCTATAATGCAATATTTAATAAAGTTATAAATTCCGCTGTTATTTATGTATATGTACACTATATAGCATAAACACATAAAACAACAGTTCATTTATTACCCATACACACCGATCGTTCTTATCCAAGTTAAAATAATTCGAAGCTTATGAATTCAGACAATACCATCAATCCTTTAAACATCTGCAAAAATGACGGAAATAATGTCTTTCTTTTGCTTTTTACTTTTATATGTGGATTTGTCATTGGTTTGCTCATTAAGCACATAAATAAAATAAAAAAGAATGCAGAAATGATAAAAAGCGCTTGTTCCAACTTCGATTTGATATGCTCAAGTGATTGCAAGATGGTATTCTGCGTTAGGACAGGTAGCTTTCTTTGTTCTTTTTGGGTGGAGGAGACTTAAAACGAGGGTTGATAAAAAAAAAAAAGGTGTGACATGGATGTAACACTAGTTACGATTCTATTGTTATATTTGGTGTAATACTAATCAGAATGATACTTCTTCCTCCTGCCCCCCTCCGCCCCCTCTGTGACCTTAAACAAGATCCTCCCGTTTTCCTTTTTTTTTAAACGTCTTAAAATTCCTCCCCCTCAAATATATTTTTATCAAATTTATTTATTTCTATCATTCCACACCCCATTTTACAATAAACAGATATAAAAATGAACAAAGGAAAAATTTGCTCCCAATGCTGTCATGCATGTCTAGCTGTTTACGAGAAAATTTTAAAAAGAAATAATAAACTTAGGGAAAACGAAGGTGGAAAATGCAGCTTGACCTACTTCGATATATGGAAAAGAAACGGACAGAAGAAAATTGTTCTCAAAATATCAGTAAGTTGAGAAAAGAAGTTTCTGCATCTGTTTATTTGTTAGGCCATTTTCTCTGTATGTTTGTTTGTTTGAGTTCTTGTTTTCTTGCCTCGGTTTTTGCTTCATTGCCCTTTTTGCCTCTTTACCCTTTTTCCTCTTTGATTGTTTTTTTATATATCCCATTTTTGCTTCAAACATTTGAGCACTTTTCACTTCCATGATGCGTAATAACAATATTCCCCACTTTTAGAGCTTGGAAGAAATGTACGAAATTGAAAGAAAGGCAAAGAAGGAAAATCTCATTACCTCCATAATTATTGATGCAGTAAGTGTTCATCGTGTATTTGTGGGATATCTACAATCATAGAAACAGAATAAAACACGTCTCTATAGAAGTCTACTGTTCTCAACTAGTTGCGTGTATATTCTTTTTTGTCTCATAGCACACGTAAGCATGGAACTTTTTCCCCATTTATTTAATTCCCTTTTCACCACAGGGTAGGACACAAATAGAGCCCAACACGGAAACGGTCATTGCCATTGAACCAGGTATTACAAAAATAAATAAAATAGTATAAAATAAATAATATAAAATAAATAATATAAAATAAATAAAATAATATAGAATAATATAGAATAAAATAAATAAAATACGTAAAATAATTTAAGATAGCCACACTTCTTCTTTGTCACACCACAAACGCGTTCACGTGAAAGGTGTGCCAATATTATGAACATTCTTTTCGTTTCCAACATGATTTACCCCCGTTTTCTTTTTTTTCCCAAGTACCTGATGAAATTATTAACAAAATAACGGGAGATCTGAAGCTGTTGTAGATATTGTAAAACATTGTGAATATTGTATTGTAAGTGATGCAAATATTGTAAACCTTGAAATTATTTTAAATATGCCGCTTTATAATAATATAATATGCGGGATAAAGTACTTTGATTAATATAGTGCACTGTTCTTTTTCGTCTTCTACCATTTAGGAAATCGATACGTGCATTTTTATAAGCAGAAGACTTCCATCCTCTACGCAAATATGTTGTGTATTTATACAAATGTATACACGCACGTGTATACATTTCACCCCCTGTTTTAAGACTGTGCTGTATACATATTTATTATATTGAATGAAGAAAAAACGAAAAAATGTAACAATTATAGTTATGGATTTTTTTTTTTTTTTTTTTTTTTGCCCTGCCATTGCTAGTTTATTCATATATGTATATTATCCCTTTTTAAACATTTTTGTAGGAGTAATAAATTGGAATATCCAATCGATTACATAATATATCTTTAATCTCGATGGGTTTTCTTTTCTCCCGTGTTTGCTCCATTTGTACTTTGTCTTTAATTTCGTTTTGTATAGTATCCGTACTTTTAATTGCATTCACAGTGTCATTCATGAGAACATTTTTTTTGGATGGAAGAGTAAAATTATTTTTTTGTTTTTTCGCTGTTAGTATGTAAATACTTCCAGCATTTTTTATAAGCTTAAAAATGATTTGGAAATTATTTTTTTTTAAAATTTCTAATGGGCACCTATTTTCGTAATAACCAAATTCCCATGGAATTTTCTTATTAGGATATAAATTCAATTTTTCTAAAATGTATCTAACAATTTTGTAATAAATAATACCTCTCTCGATTAAATAGAATCTCCCATCATTCTTCAACACTTCATGGACTGTTTTTAAACTTTCATTCACATGTTCCAAGGAACATAATGTAAAAGACGAAATGACACAATCAAAAACGTTGGGAAGAAAAATTCTATTTTTTATGTCATCGTTTATGATATATACAGGATATGGAGGTCTTATTTTTTCCAGTTTTTTTTTCAGTTCTTCACACATTTTTTCGCTCTTTTCAACGCATACTAATGTATCTATTTTTTTTAAAAAGGGAAAGTTTCTGCCTGATCCTGCTCCTATTTCTAACACAATGCCGTTTACTTTTCGAAAGTTTTTCTTTTTGTATTTGTTTATAGATGTGACTCTTTCTATGAAATCATTTTTTTCATCATAGTTTTTGGCTAGTTCGTCAAAGGTTCGAATTCGGAAACTTTCGCTTGGCTCATCCAAGGTATGGTCATTTATAGGTCTATTCTTTTTGTAAATGTAAAAACAGCCCACTATTACACCTCCATTTGCAACACTCACGCCTACCAGTAGCTAAAAAATTTAAAGAAAAACCAAAAAAAAAAAAATAAAACAAAAAGAGAGGTAATTGTGTTTATGTTTTTTCTTGCTGTGAAAATAAGCATAAGTGAAAATGTTTCCCTAGAGCACGGGGGGTATGAAGAAAAATTATGTATAATTTTTATATCTACGGGAAAAAAGAACATATAATTAAAGTGGGTAAATAAGCATACACCTTAAATATATGTAATACATGTCGTAAATAGTCCTGTGCAACCCAGTCTGTTTTTAACCTTTTTAAACGAGGAAAAGGAAAACATCACGCTCCTTTTCACTTTTCTGCTAAGCCAAATTGATCATCATAAAGATGAGGAAAAAAAAAAAAAAAAAAAAAAAGCAAAATAGGGAAAAGTTAATTTCCAGAATTATCCGCTAATACAATGGACTTATTTTTCCTTTCATGTATTCGAAGATATATTTTCCGTATGTCAAAAATATATACAAGGAAAAGTTTAACATGGTTATTTATATGTTATATACATGTATTACAAATGTGTAGAGAGAAAGATCAAAAAAAAAAAAAAAAAAAAAAGTACATCCATAGTATCACCTTATTATCTATGCAAATAGATAAAACAAACGAGTTTAGGAAATATTGAACTGAACAAATAAAATATGGATTATGCAATGTAGTTGGCTACGTTCAAGGGTGAAAGTTGGTGATTCAGTTATTAACGTTTTTGCAACATTTTTATGGCGTTTTTTTTTTTTTTTCTTTTTTTCCATTTAATTTTAAATACAATTCTCAATTTTTCTTATAAAAAACAGATGATTTTAAGTGTTAAGTTTAAGGCATTTTTTTTTTTCCTTTTTATATTTTATATATAATTTAAATATATCTATAATTTTACATCATTCATCTTTTTATATTCTGTATAACTGGGAAAAAAGAAAGAAAAAAAAAATGAAGAATGTTTAGAAAAAGAATTATTTGGAAAGAAAAAGCCTAAACCATTGCATAAGTAAACGAATTTTCTTTCTATTAAGGAGAAAAGAAGAATTATTTTTACCTTCCCAGAAAAATTTTAAAACATCCAAAAGGAAAAGAAATTATAAACAAAAGATGTCCCCAATGTTGTGGAAAAATAATTATATTTTAAAAAAAAAGAACTAAAAAAGCAAGCCTTAAAAGAGAAACAGGAGCAAAAAAAAAAAAAAAAAAAAAAAAAAAAAATTTGGTGAAAATATATTCTGCTAAATAGAAAATTTTCATAGTATAGGAGAAAGGATAAGAAAAGATGCGCTATGTTCAATTATTGAATTACCCAGAATATGACAAAAATGAAAGGAAAAGGAAAAGAAATCAAATGAATTTATCTGTGGAGAAAAGATATGGACATTTTCTAAACAGGTTTAGCGGATGGGATAGTAGACACTGGGAAAAAGGAAGAGCCATGTGGAAGGAAGAAACGGTAAAACAAAACATACACGAAAATGTGCATACGAATTTTCGTGAAAATATTTATAAAGGATCGTATAAAGCAAAAAATAACATGGACGCCGAGAATAATTCGTCAGCAGTACGCCGTGTAATTTTAGAAAAGAAGCAAAAATTTGGAAAATATATAGGAAGAAATAATTTTTGTAATTACATCCCGATGAATAAAAAATTTAATTCCTCTCTATCCAATGAGATTTCCAGAATGGACGAGTCAAAGAGAGTTGTTGAAAATTATGCGACACCAAAGTTGCATGAAAAAAACAACCCATTAGAAAGGCCTAAGAAAATGCAGAGGTTGCATGAAAAAAACAGTCCATTGGAAGAGCTTAAGACAAGGGAAAGTTTGTATGAAAAAAACAACCCATTTGAAAGGCCTAAGAAAATGCAGAGGTTGCATGAAAAAAACAGTCCATTGGAAGAGCTTAAGACAAGGGAAAATTTGCATGAAAAAAACAACCCATTAGAAAGGCCTAAGAAAATGCAAATTTTGCATGAAAATAACAACACACTGGAAGAGCTTAAGACAACGGAAAGTTTGCATGAAAAAAACAGTTCATTGGAAGAGCTTAAGACAACGGAAAGTTTGCATGAAAAAAACAGTTCATTGGAAAGGCCTAAGAAAATGCAAAATTTGCATGAAAATAACAACACACTGGAAGAGCTTAAGACAACGGAAAATTTGCATGAAAAAAACAGTTCATTGGAAGAGCTTAAGACAACGGAAAGTTTGCATGAAAAAAACAGTTCATTGGAAGAGCTTAAGACAAGGGAAAATTTGCATGAAAAAAACAACCCATTAGAAAAGCCTAAGAAAATGCAAATTTTGCATGAAAATAACAACACACTGGAAGAGCTTAAGACAAGGGAAAATTTGGACCAATTAAACTGTAATACTTCAACCAACAAAAAGATGTCCAAATGGCATGCAAAAAAAAAAAGCAGACTTGAAAATATGAAAGTACATAATGATGCTATTCCCAAGGATATGCTTAAGGCTATTTTGTCCAAGTGCATCGATGTAAGGGGTTATATTGTCAATAACAAAAAAAATTTTGAAAACATGTTAATCAATTTGTTCAACGAATATATGTTCTTGAAAAGGTATATGATCAGTAACTACAACACATATCATAAGTTGAAATTTTTCCTTAGTTGTAATCATTATGTAAAAAAGTTAAATGATGTATTATCCACTTTTTGTGATGTTGTGCAAGAGGTTAACGAATATTTCGTGATAGAGTTGTATAAAAAAATAAGAATTAATTTGAGATTGCTGTACTATGTAGCAAGAATATTATCGAACTATATGACATGTATTGCTTATAGAAAAGTGGGATACATAACAATGATTTGTATTTCTCGAGTACACACAATTTATAAATGCATGCTTATATCAGAACCCTTTAAGAATCATGTTCCAGAACTGCTAAAAATGATTAATTATAATAAAAGAAACAAATTAATTATATAATTGTCTTGCAGATTCCATAATATATTTATTTAAATCCCATTAAAAATGATATGTATAAGGCATACAATTAATTTTACCTTTGTTTTATCAAATTGATTAGTATTTATCCTGTTTTTTTTTATTTTTATTTTTTTTGTTTTCCTTTTTCATTGTTTTAGTAATATTTGTGTAAATCACCGCTTTTATATAAAATAAAGGGTGATAAAAAAGTTTATATTTTTGTTTAACTCTTAAAGACAAGCGCATAGCGCCTTGCGATACTAATGAATTTTGTGCACTCAAAGCATTAGCCAAGTTGTAGAACGGGAAAGCGGTAAGAACGAACAAGTATAGGTGCAAATTTTGGGGGGATAGAAAAAATTATAGTACGATAAAAAAAAAGAAAAAAAGAATCCATTCGTCCATACATAAAACGAAATTATCATAATATTTGTTCATACATTTAATAGACTAATAATGTTCAATTCCTCTTGACCTATTCTGTACTTTTAAAACGTTAAACAAGCGAAAAAAATATATTACATATAGCCTAAGCCGCTCATTGTTGAAAATTCGAAATGATTAAAAATTGCTTCTATTTTTTTTTTTTTTTTATAACTAGCTAATTGGAACAACGTTGTCAATATTTTATGAACATTCAGAATTTTTTTTTTTTTTCGCAGGTCAGTTAAAGCACTTTTCTGTGTGTGCACTCCTTTCTTTTTTTTTTTTTTTTTTCAGCTACTAGCTATTTTGTTTTATTGTAGGATTTTATTTTATTTTTTAATTTTTGTTGGATTTTCATTTTGATTTTGATTTTTAAAATAAATCATTATTTGTTTATGCTGATTTCACATTCGCAAAAGCGTTTATGTAGAATAATTCTCATAATTACATCTACGTACTAAGAATGATTTCTGAGTAAGCATAATGAAAAAAAAGAGGAAAAAATTAATTACGCAACAGATGAACGAAAGATACGAACTTTTAGATGAATTACGATAGCACTTATTTATTTATTTATTTATTTATTTATTTATTTGAAATTGTCTTTTTTATTTTCAGTGAAGATTCACCTTTCTTAATTGAAAACTTAAGAAGTATAACTAAACATTTTTGATAATTTAATTTAAAAATACTTATATAATTCAATTTATTATCCCATTTTAATCATAATTTTTTTCTTTTTTATATAGGTATATTGCAATACGGAAATAAAGAGGTGCGCATCATTTAAAAGCTTAATTAATAAATCTTAAGGAAGTGACATATTCTCTCGCATTTTGTTTATAGGTCCAAGATAGAAGGAAGAGGTATGTTCACAATGTCTTTGATTTAACGCTTAATAATTTGCAGTTAAAAGAGGATTCAAGGAGAAGGGAAATAAGGAGAGACATACGTGATATAAGTTTCCATGATGTGCCAAAACCCATACAAAATAATGAATGCCATTTGGAAAGAGGATCATCATCACCACTTTCAAACCGATTCCCATCTGATGTGACTATCACTACGAATGCATTTGAAAGATTTATTAAGCATAGTTTTTTACCTAAGGAAAAATATGATGCAAAAAATTTTTATTCTCGCGAATATTTTAAGAGCTCTCCAGAATTTACATGGGACGAAGATAGCAGTTCCTTCAAAGAAAATATTAAGAGAAAACTTTTTAATGACCTAATCGATTATTACAACCAACTAAAGTTGCTACATTTTGATGAATGTCTCAATTATGGCAATTTTGTAAATTCTCATGAGGTATGTAAACTAAATAAAAGTCCAATTACAAAGCATTTAGAGATTAAGCTATTATAATATGTTTTATTGCATTATACTTTTACGTACATATATTTATGCATGTGCGTATTTTCTTCATCATTCGAGAGTAATAAGATTCTCCAAAATAGTGCTATATATAATACATTTATGCGTTCATAAGGTTAACATAGTTCCGCATAGATGAAGATATAAATTCAGTAACATATGAACTATTCAAAATGTTACTCTTTTTGGCAGAACATTAGACAAAAAGAAAATGACAGTAGAGAAAAAAATAATTCCGGCAATATATATCCAAGTAATATATTAATAAATATCACATGATGGCTCATATTCAAAAAAAAAAATTTTTTTTTCCTATATTTGTGAATTCACTTATATACTTATAAACAACACACACTCGTAGGGTTCGAGGAAAATATGTTGAATAATTTCCAACCGAATAACTTACCTTTGGGATTGAAAAATGAAATACCAAATGAAGAAGTTATTGAGCGGATTGAAACTTGTACAGGAAAAAAGGCTCAAATTTTCCACCTTATAAATGTTAATAAACATGTTCTTAGGAAAGACTCAAATAAAAATAATGCGTGTAAAAACGTTACAACGTTTGTAAACCCCAATGGAAATGATAAAAAAAGGGACAGTCTAATTCCTATTCATGCAAATTTAAATGGAAATATTAAAAAATATAAAAAAGAAAGCATTATGTCAAATATAAACAAGGAAATACCAAATGAGGAATTTACTAACTTTATAAAGAAATCAACTAATGCTCAAGGAAAGCAATTCACACCACATCTACAATGTTTGGGGTGCGTAGAATCATATACAGAAAGCACAGAAAGAAAATGTAATAACAACAAAGATCTCAATAAGCGTAATGTAGATATAAAAAATGAGGTTAGGATAAAAAAGTGTCCACCAGTTTACAACGATTTAGTGACTAGCAAAGTTGAAACAATTGCAAGTTTCCCATCCATTGATGATAATGATAATTCGAAATGTAGAAATAGAAATGATATCATAAAATGTAACTTGGATATATGGTGTAATGAAAGGTTTGATAATAACTACAAGTTGGATTTAGCTCAACCTCTGAACTTTCCAAAGGGGGTTAAGGAGTTGAATGGATTTAACATCAAAAAAAATACCGCTAAACATGGTAATGAGAAGAGAAAGAAGGGAAAAAAGTTGAATGTTAAGAAAAATCACAACAATTTAAAAAGCAATAGTAATGAACATTTTAGCGACACAATTCAGTGTGACATAGAAAACAATTATTCGAACATTCAAAATATTGGTGGTAGTATATTAGTAGGAACAAAGAGAAATAAGGAGATAAAAACAGAAAGAAATAGAGAGAAAAATAAAAGACACAATTCAGACAAAATCGAATTAGGATCTAGTAACACACATAAATCGTTAAATAGCAAACATAGGAAAGATTTTAATATGAATAGCAAACATATTTGTAAGTCTTCAATAATATTTTCTTATACAAATAATGTGTATATAAATACAAACAATAATGATCAAATAGTGCACGAAAAAAAAACTTCCCATTCTAATGATATATTAGAAAAAAGGAAAAAGTTTAGTAATCATTCGAGGAAAAAAACAATGTTGAATGGGCAGTCAAAAAAAAAGGTATTCAGAAAAAACAAAATAAAATTGAAGAAATATTCCACAGAATCATTCGAAACAGACGGAGACGAGAGTTTCCTAAATGAAAAGAAAAAATTAGAGCATGAAAAATTGGAAAGCAAAACGAACACTGATCATTTAGAAAGGGGCTACCTAGAAAGGGAAAAGAAGAAAAAGAAAAATTTATTGATGGAGGACATAATCGAACATTCTGAATGTTACACGCACAAGAAAAACAGTCGAATGTACGAACGAAAAAATCAAGTCTTAATGACAAGCACTATGGATGATAGCAACACAAGTGATAATTTGAAGTACAATTACAAAGACGATCACGGGGATGATTGCAAAAAATATAAGAAATATTGGTCCAATGGTCGCAAAAAAAGGAACGGAATAAAAATGGAAAAAAGACGTTTAAATATGTTCCACATTTCCAAGGAACGTTTTCATTTACAAAGGAACGCTTTTTCACAAAGGGGGCAAAGTGATGAAGAAAACAGGAAATTACATACAAAACATCGTTCTTATAAGAACATAAATAATTATGAAAATAAGGAATATGTTTCTAGTGATAAATGCAAAGAGATACACACAAATATTGCAGAATGGAATATAAAGAACATTGTGAGCACCAAATTGACACCTAAAAGAGTTATAGAAAATAAGGAAAATTATCAACATACCATAAAAAGAGAATCCATCATGAGTGATTGTTATGTATCTCATCATGGAAATTTAGAAAATAGAGAAAATATAAAATATAACTTATTCTATCCTACAGATAAACACAACAATGACAGAGTAAATGGCATTCAAATGAATGGCATAGGTGACAATGAATTTTGCGAAATTGTTTCTGTAGACACAACTCAGAAGTATGAAAAAGACAAAAATTTAAACTCGGTGACATTGTCCCATAATTATTACATGAACAGAGGAAAACGTTACTCAAATTTTTGTAACGAAATGAATAATTTTAATTATTCTGCGATCGAAGAGGATTATTGTGATGAAATTGATAAAAAGTATCTCTATCCATTTTGCGAAGAAACGTATACAGGTGAAAATTTTAGAAGAATAATCGACTCCCTTAAGGAGAACATCACATCGGACAATAATAACAGTTCCATCTACCTGAAATTTCAAAAATCTGAACAAAATAGTAAAAAATTGTTATCTGATGTTTTATTATATACTAAACCACTTTCTAGCGGCATGAAGATCGAACCTAGAGGTAAATTACCTTTAAAAAGACGTGAATATGTCTGTAAACATATTTGCAGAATATTAAAAAAGGAAAAGTGGGACACTGAAGCTGAAGGTATGTTAAATTTCTTTCTGAAGTACGTGAATCTAAATGGGAGATGCAATAAATTTGGAAAAATAAAAATTAGAAATAATGTAAAAAGGGTTAAAAAAGAAATTCGAAAGAGTGATAGAAGGAATAGGGGAAATGTCATCATAGAGGGAAGGAAATTGGAGGAACAAAATACCCAAGTAGTAAATAATGGAAAAGGAGTAGACGAATTGGAAAAGATTTATTTAGACCAAGTTCCAAAAAGTCTACCGCTAACTATGCTAATAATAAGAAACTATAAGGAAAATGCAAGAGATGCAGATAAAAATGTAAAAGTAAGATACCAGGTAGAATTAACGGATGTAAAAAACCCCAAGAAGTTGAAAGGTGCAATGGAGAAGGAGACAAATTTATTTTCAAGAATTGAAAAGATATATAATTTCTGTGATTTAGATGGAACAGTAGATGATGAAGCATACGACAACAATATAGTAAATAGGTATATTCCATTCCCTAACATGGGAAAAAGTTGTTCAAAGGAGCGTCATAAAAATGAATTAACTACTTTTAATTACACATCGGAGAAGGAAGAGCAGAGAGCTTTTTTCTATGAAAATACAAATCCTAACAATTTGAAAAGTAGACATTTGAGCAAAAATAATTTGACGCTTTATAATGAGCCTCTAAGTATTACTAAAAAGAGGGGGGTAAATAAGAAAGTTCTTACCTTTGGTAATGTGTCCAATTTGCCTAAATGTAATATTATTGTAAATAATAATTCGCTTAAACCTAATGGAGCTAAAGAAACGTTTATAAAAAAAATTGTGCCCTTAAAAAAAACAAAACATAGTATACCTTTCATTTTTAATAAAAAGATTTCAATGAATACTTGTTTTAAGAAAATTTCACCCTTTCTACACAAATCACTCGAACGAAGAACAAGCGGAATTAACACATCCAATGTAGTTTCTGTAAAAACAAAAATTGCATTAAAAGATGATTATCCAAATCGTAAGGAAGCAAAATGGGAAAGTGGTAACTATGCGACAAAATTAAAGTCATATTTTGCAAATATTAGAAATTCCAGGGAAGTTGAGAAAATAAAGGAAACTCCTTCACAGCACGAACAAGAAAGGGGGAGCACAGAAGACACTAAATTGGTAAGTTATCTATCGAAGAGTTTTGTCATTAAAATTCCAGGTGACATAAAAAAGGAGCAGATTATTGTAAAAAGTTTTCCTTTATTAGCTGTTGAAGAATTCAAAATGACTAAGGGAGAAAATTGGGATAATAATCACAAAACGGAGGTGTATCAGTATAAGCAATTAAAAAGTTCATTAAAAAGGAACTTTAAAAAAATTGGAAGTAAGAAAAACGAAGATTTTAAGCGCAGTAGTGGACATTCGAATGATAAATTGGATCCTCTAAGTCGTGAAGAAATTGGCAACAAAAACTGCAATGACAATATAAACGAGGAAAATGGGGAAATGAAAATTTATAAAAATAGAACCTTGTTCTGGAAAAGGGGCCATTCCCTGAATTCCTTTCTGCACACAAATGATATGGAAGAATGTGATCTTAAGGAGAATAGACACAGAAAAGAAATTATTAACACGAATAAGGAACCTAATGCGAAAAAGAGAAACTATTACGATAATCTTAGTGATAGCTGTAAGATGGATAAGAAAAATTGCGAAACATTCAAAAATAATTCTCATTGGAGCGATGAAAAAAGAGGTTTAATGAAGAAAGTTCCTATAAAGGAAGAAGAAACATATAGGAATAAAACGAAGGAGAGCTCTAATGTGTTTTGTGAAGTGGAAAAGGAAAATAAATCAATAAGTAGGAGAGTTATTACACAAAAAAAAGAAACAAATGGGGAACTTCTAAGTACTGAATATAAAAAGGAAAATACAAAAATAAAAAAGGAGAGCTATATAGACAGAAAAAATGAAATATCGTTTGAAAATTTTCATCCTAATGTGATAAAACGATTTCACAAATTTACTAATAAGAACATGGCGGGAATAAATAAAGGAGAAAAGGATTGGGAAAACAGGAGGGAAAAAGGAAAACAAAAACTGGAAATCGAGGATTCCTCTTACATATGGCATAGAAGCCGTGCAACAGTGCAAAAAATGACAAATACTTCAAGGGGAGGAAATAATCTTAGACACAAATCTGAAGAAGTAGCGGATGAGAAAAAATCACATTCAATGATTAAAAATGGGAATAAAAAAAAGTGGAATTTCAATTGTGACTTACTATTAAAGAACAACATTATAATGAACAAGGATAATAACATTGAAAGCTCTATAGGGAGTTGTAGGAAATACTCAAATTGGAGTCTTAGACAAAATGATGAGAAAAACAGAGTAAATTTTGAGAAAGAAATTAAGGAAAATGATACCCAGGACTATGTGGCATCAAGGGATTCTTTAAAACAGCATCGAATAAATAAACTCAAAAAAATGGGAAATAAAAATGAAAATATGTTATATTCCCCAAGTGAGAAAAGATATATTACAATTTGCTCCAGGAAAGAAGTAACTGAGGAAGAGAACAAATCCAACAACACGATGGGATTAATGGGACGAGACAGAATTAATCGTAGTAATCGAAGGAAGTCATACGATCACTACACAAGAAGGTGTTTGTTCACGGATAAAAATTCAGAGACAGAATCGAATCAATCAATTTTAAAGCGTGAAAAATATACAAAGAAAAATTCTCATTATGTGGATTTAAGGAACATAGAATGCTCCAAGAGCACCCTAGAATTTTTTCTTGAAAAAAAATATCTTAAAAAGAATATTTCTAGTGAAGAAATGGATACTACTAGAAAGCAGGAAAAAAAAAAAAAAAAAAAAAAAAAAGATCTTTCATTTTTTTGCAACCCATCCGAATTGTCTACACAGTCAAAAGAGGAAAAACAGTTTGTGACAAAAAAAATGGAAGTCCACAAAAAAATATTAAAAAAGAAAAAAGAAATTTCGAAGAAAGAACCAGAAATATACTATTTCTCAATTATGAATAGCCGTGAGGACAACAAAAAAGATTTATTCCCTTCTCCGCAAAAATTATTTATTGAAAAGAAGAAAGACAGAAGAAAACAAAAGATTTGTTCAGATAAGTCAATTGCAACTGATACTTCTTCATACACACATGTTGCAGAAAAAAGGGAAGCTTTAAAATTTTATGAAATTAAAAAAACAAAAACATCACGCATATTGGATGTAAATGAAAAAAAAAAAAAAAAAAAAAATTTTAATAATTATCCCATAACACATAAAAACAAAGAAAAACAATATAAAAGACCAAGTAATATTCAAACGAGCAAAAGCAGCTTCAGTTACAAATTAAAAAATATTGTTCGTGTAAAACGAAATCTATATTTATCTGCAAACGACGTAGTAACAGACTGGTCTACCGATTTTGAAAAATTACGAAAGATGGATTGTAGCTTGGAGGAACAAGGGAACGAAAGTTTTCCTGACGAACAGAGTGAACAGGTTGACGAAAATGTTAGCAAACAAATGGATGAGAAAAATGACCAAAATATTGATAAAGCAGATGAAGAACAAATGCGTGAAAAAGTTCATCAACCAGTTGGAGAACAAATGGATGTAGGAACACTCGTGAACATACCAAACAAGGCACTAAGGAAAAATCCAAAACTGAGACACTATTTCTTAACCATTAAAGTAAACATAATAACGGTGTTTCTACATAATTCCTATGTTAGAAGAATAAACATGAATGATAGTTATAACATAAAGCTGAGCATTTATTCATCAAGTGATATAAAGACAATAGAAAATAATTGCAAGATTGAAACTTTTCCATGCTATTTTACTTCTCATACAAATGGTATAGGATTAAGTTCTGATGCGTTCAAAAAATTTGATGTAAGTGTGTGCGCTTATATATATATAGATATAGACAAATATGCATATACATGTGTTTGTTTGTGTTCGTCTCTTTGTGTATGTTTTTTTTTTTTTTTTTTTTTTCTCATTCCAAAAAGGGAAAATCCAAGGTTTGTAAGAAAATAGTTACATCCCACCGTTTTTACGACAGTACATGCATGATCTTTTCTTCTTCACATTGGTTGCCTGGGGTATGTCCTACGTACTTTTACGTGCCTAGAAGAATATACCAAATGTAAGAGCCTTGTGTGAGAGAATTACATGTGCCGTTGCTGACCTCAACCCATTTTAAATTTCGTTCAGATAATATGTGAAAGGGAACCGAAACAATTCTTCAAATTGGTTGTATCTTGTCGACGGGAAAAATCTTTGCTGAAAAAGGAGCTAATGCGAATATACAGCAGAATCTTTGAAGCGGTAATTAATGCAAGAGCACATGGAGAACACTAAAAATATATACATATATATGCACAGTTATATATGTATGTATATGAATATTCAAACCATCCTTTCTTGTATTTTATACGGAATTTTTACCCCCAGCTGTGTGCATGCATTTTTGAGATGCAAGAAGTTATTTGTACAATTAATTATAGAACAGAATGTTTTGCTACCATCCTTTTATATGTATGCCTTTTTTTTTTTTTTTTTTTTCTTTTCTTTCACCCGAACTTTTCGTAGCCTATAGAATTAGAAACCTACTCTTTAAGCAAGAACAAGAAGTATGCCTTTGAAACGGATGGTTCAAAGGACGAGTTGTTTGAAATGAATGGTACTTCTTACATAAGCATATACTTTATGAGTTAAATGTGAATATATATTGATATGCCTAAATTTTAATTGTATGAACTGGACCAAATGGGTTGTCCTATTTTTGTGTGCCTATAGTTATGCGCGAGATGACTGTTGCGAAAATACAATGAACAGGAAATTATGTATATGTATAAAATATACATACATAGATATATGTAGAAATGTACGTGTTACATGTATATACATTTTCCTTTTTTAGGTAATATTATAATGGGTACGCTTTGAATACGAGGATTAAGAAGATTAATAATGGTTAAATCGTTTTGATCTTACGTGATTTTCCCTCCTTTTTTCCTACATTATAAATATAGATTTTTTACACCTTTTCTACAAAAAGGGACATCTTGGCCAAACCATTTAAATGCTTTAACTTAATTATGTACCATATAATATACAATGCATATAAAAAAATGTATCAGCCAAATGCCTTCATATTTAGAATATTCATTTGGTTCTCGTTTGTGCCATTTTGCTTTTTCACTTTTATTTTATGTTTACACCTTTTTTGTGTGCGCTTCTTTTACTTCTAATTTTTAGCCAATTTTGTTAAAAGAAGAAAAAAAAAAAAAAATTATTTTTTATAAGTACGTTTATTTTTTATTAGAAGTGCCTTGCAAATGTCCAGAATGCGAATGCACTTAATTTTATATGCTGCCCTTTGTTTATAGAATCAGGGAAAATTGATATGCTTTCCCCCATTTGGAGTATTTCATTCTTCTGTTAAAAAGTGTATTCCTAAGTGTATATCTTACTTGCATATGCATAAGCGAATTTATTAATTGGCTTGTTCATTCTTTTTACGATAATATATATTTTTTTATTTTCTGTTATTATTCAAACTACTGTTTCTACGCTTGACAGAGATTACTTTATTTTTTTGCCTATTTTTTTTTTTTTTTTCTCTCACCCCTTTTTTTTGAGAAAAAGGGAACAATAAAACCAGATGAAAAAATAGGAAATAGCTTAATATGTACATATATACGTGCAGCAGGTACATATAAAAAAATGTGCAAACGTACGTAACAATCATACATGTTCAGGTGTGTGTGATCAGTTGTGAACTACAGAAAGAAAAACTTTGCTTTCGATTCTGGTAGAGTATGTTCCATAAGAAGAGCAAAACAGGATTGCACCATTTTTAAACAAAATGTTATAACAAAAAAAACGAAAGAGGAATAAAGAAAAATAAAGTAAAATAAAGAAAAATAAAAAAAAGTAAAGATGAATTTTTTGAAACTAATTAATAAAGAAACCTTCTTCATATATAACACGAAACGAAATCATTTGAATTATAAACTGTATCTTAAATTTAAACAATGGAATTATTTGAAAAAAGAAATTGTTAATTATTTCAACTCTAACAATAAGGTTAGTACAGTTGTAGACATAGAAGCAAGATGCTGGGAAAAATTTAAAAAGAAAGAATTGCTTCAAGTACATGGTTATATCCCAGCTATTATTTGGAAATATGGAATGGACCAAAGAATATGCATTGATCATAAGTTAATTGAAGAGTATGCATTTGAAGAGGAAGATGGACACTTGTCTTTATGTAATTCGTAGAAAAAAAAAAAAAAAATAATAATAATAATAAATTTTAGATACGTTAGAGAGATATGAATTATCTTACCTGTTATTGATGTGATTATGGTTTTTTTCCTACTAAGTCATGTCGTGACAATTATTATATCTTTCCCCCTTTCCTGTGCATATTAGTATTTTCGGCTAGACTCTTTAGAATACATATCGATGGGAACATTGTCGAATGCGTTGTGTCTCATGTTGAGACAGATCCAGGTGAGTAGAAACGGAAGGGCAAAGGCAGTGGGGAGGAAATACAATTATACATTTCCTTCACTATAATAAATGTCCAATTGCATCCATCTTATGGTTCTATGACTAAGCATTTGATCTGTAAAAAAAAATCAAACGTTTAGACATTAACTTAATTTTTTTTTTTTTTTTCAACCCCTATGGTTTTATTCCCATTTTTTTGAATAGTTGAAAAACACATATACTTCCTGAAATTCGCCAGAGTTGTTGAAAATCAAATAAGCGAATTAAACATCCCTTGTAGCATTGTTGGACTTATTGGATGTCCTGCTTATATTAATGGTTATCATGTTCAGCTGGCCCTAAATTATATAAAATGCAAAGTTATAGGAAATAATATTCCACCCCCTTTTCAAATTGACGTTTCCAAGCTAACATATAAAGAACCATACAATTCGATAAAGTTAAAGGATTTAAAGGTACGTACATGAATATGCATATGTATATATATGTATTCCATGTGTCAACACATTTATATATGCTTATTGTTTTCTATATGTCGTCTTGCTTAACAAGTATAACATGAGGAATAAAAAACATATCGACAAACGAACAAACAATTTGTGCATACTAAAAAAATGTACAGCATTTACTTCCAGACGATGGAAACGTAATTTTTTCTGAGGAATACGATTTGAATGAGACAGAAGTGGTATGGACCTATGAGCCTGGCAAGGTCAGAGAAATGAGACGAAAAAAAAAAAAAAAACACGTACTAAAAATAGGAACATAAGAACTTATTGAACTATGCAATAAATTTCATGTTCTAACAAGCACAAAAATTATTCATTTATTACAACATTTTCCACGTACACCCCCCAAAAAAAAACACACACGTGTCCTATCCTCTTTTTTGTTGCAGATTCCAGAAACACCCCTTCCAGATGATTATCTTGACCCGAACTTTGTAAACAAAAAAGGGAAACGAATTCAGCTTACATACAAAGACTACTGGCCGAAGCAGTGACCCCGAGGCATTGCATCATCGTTGTTTTTCTTCTTCCAATTGGGTCTCCCTTTGCATCTCTCCCCTTTGCTTCTCCCACTTGGCAATTTACTTGAGAAAAATAATTATAGAATTGCACGAAAGACACTTGCGACTCTTCAAAATGTTTCCTGTCATGCGAAAAGAGAAGAAAAAAATTAGAAAAAAATTAATAAAGATTAAAAAAAAAATTCCATTTTCTCTCATTTGATAACGCTCCAGTTGATATGTTTTAAGACGTTTACCCATGTTATTTTTGTTCCCACAAATGGAGCAGAGAATAAAGAATTTATGCACATTCTTTTCTGAATTCATTTTCGATATTTGCTTTTCCAGCGTTACAATTAGGTCATGTAAGGTATTCATCTTTTAAGAAAAAGAGGACAAGTGTTTTTCCATATGTGTGCTCTTCGTGATGAGGCATGTGAGCCCCATGTTATATGTACATGTATACATATAATATGCGTGCATATATACATGCTATTCTGAAATGGCTATACAACAAGCTGCACTTCCGATTTTAGTTGTTACCTGTTCCTCGTATTTTTTATGAATATTTGTTTCTTCCTCCTGCGAAAAGGAGAAAAGAAAAAAAAAAAAAAAAAAAAAAAAAAAAATGGATCAGACGGTCATCATAATTTATGCACGCAGAAAAAATGACAAAAATGTGTTACTAACATATCTCCCTATGTTACTACATTAAACCAATTCACTAGTTGGGGATACATGCACACAACATCTGTATGGTCACGTGGACAAATGGATTATCTTCATTTGTGTGATAGTTGACAAACTATCCTGTTACCTTATATGTTTCTATTTGGAGATTTAATTTTTGTACTTCGCCCTCTTTCGTGCTGAACTCATTTTCTAGGCGTTCCAGAGCCTGTGTCCAAAGTAAGAGGAGATTGTTTCATGTGGGTACTGAAGTAAATGAGCTTGTATCTACTCTCAAAAGAGTAGTTAATCTACATAACAGTTATTCACACAAGTGCAATTAATCCTATGTACACTAAGGGGAGCAAAATGGAGAGAGATCTGACGAACCTCTACGTTTTTTTTTATTTCCATGTTTAAATGTTTTATCTTGATGCATGAACATATGTATGCTTCGATTAGTTGTTTCTCATGAACGTTTAAGCCTTTGTTTTCAGGATTGTTGGATGCCACAAAATTAAAAACCATTTCTGCATATTTTTGAATACCCTGATCTGTTGTGTCTTCTTCCATTTGTGTGCTATTCTCTCTTTTCTCTGTTAAGCAATTTTCAAAAAATTGTTTTTTTAAAGTTAATTCTTTGTTTTTTATTACTAGACTTTTAAATTCGCTCAAAGTCTGCCAAGAAAAAGAGTGGGGGGAAGCAGGCCATAGTGAAGTATATGTTGTAACATGACCAAATGGAAAAAACTGACATATATGCTAATTCAAGCGGTGATAATAAGTTTTTTTTTTTTTTTTTTTTTTTTTTCCCCTTATGTTTGCATATGTATACATCAATAGACACGCACAATAAATGTCGAAAAAGTAGAACTCATATGATTTCATCGAACCTGATGATTTATTTTTTTTAATTTTTTAATAATTTTCGTTTTTCTCAAAATTTCCTTATTTAATAGATCATTATCATTTTTGTATATTTCAAGATTTCTAAAACTGTTTTCTAATGTGCTGTAAGGAATATGTTTGGTTTCATTAAAATCAGCATTGATTTTTTTTATACATTTTTTTTCTTCTTCATAAAACATTCGCGTATTAAACCTGCTATATGAAAAGACCGAAATTAACGGGAATTGAACTTTTACAATATCCAAGTTTTCCAATGAATTAATAAACGAAATTGTTATGTCTAACATTTCTGTCATTACCTTCGAATTGTCTATCTGTAAATGATCTGATCCTTTCATTTCGCAAATACGAAATGAAATATAAGACTTTAAAAATTTAAAAGAATAACATAAATCTTCTAACGTTGTTTTGAATTTCTTCACTAAATATACAATAATTTTTTTGTTCTTTTCTGTACAATTTTTTAAATCTTCATACTTTGAAAAATACTTTTTTTCCTTTTCTTCAAGTAATCTCTTAAAATTTGCACCGCTGAATTGGGGTATTTTATCAGTACTGATATCAATCTCTTCCTCACTGCTTACAACATCCGTGCCTATCTCGTCGTAGTTGGCTTCATTACTGTACACTAAATTGTTGTGAAAATTTTGTTTTCCTTCTATCTCATTAAACTTATTAGTGATATTTCTATTTTTAAAATATTCTTCCACTATTTTGTTATTGTCATATGGAGTTATAAGTAAAACATATCTGAACAAATTTATTATTTTCAAAATGACTCTTTTCAAATTTCTCAGCTCTCGGATGGTATTTTTCAAAGCATATATTTTCACATTCGTATATGTTGGGAATAAGTATTCTTCAATACATAAGTAAACGTTCACATTTAAAAAAATCCTCCTCACTGTGTCCGATAGGTTACGCAATACAACCTGACGAATGGAAAGGGATGATTTACATGTGTTGCTTGTGGTAATTTTTTCGTCTCTTTTAAATCTACGATCCTGATTTGGGGCAAGGGTGAAAAAATAAAATATACTTAAAGCAAATAATATAAATAAAATAAGCATCTTCGTTGGGGTGCAAGAATATAGGACAAATCGTATAAAACGGGAGTAATGGGACACATTTGGTGAGGTACCAGAACGCATTGCTTGTCTTGGCTTCCTATCCAATACTTTTTGAAATGATCTAATAGATTTATCGCTTCCTCTAGAAAGATGACTTCCTTCGAATGTTGATTGTGTGAATTTGATATATATGCACAGATGTGTTGAATTGAGTGTTTCTCTCAGAGCACACATTATGTTTTTTTTTACTCACAGATTAGAAATGAGGATGCTTTTCAAAATAGGCATATTTGCAACAGACATATTCTAAGATCAGATGAACAAGGAATATATATGCACTAAGAGGTTGCAAGCTCCGAAGAGATCCCATTTCTCCCCATCGGACATATAAACGGGGAAGGAAGAGCTAAAAATACCTTTTTAGAAATGCCTTTTAAGTCTATAATTTTCGAATATTCGAAGTTATCATCCCTCTGGTTTCCATCAAATTTCTGATAATTATCATTTAATTGTATTTCTTGAAATGCAAATATATTCTTACATACAACTAAATAATCTTGAAAATTTTGTATTACGTTTAAAACATAATTTTGAAATAATTTACAATGTTCGTTAATTTTGTTCTGAATGAAATAATGGATTTTTGTAAGAAAAAAAAAAAAAAAATAGTAAGAAGAAAAAAAAAAAAAAAAAAAAAATTTACCATATTAACTACATGATTAAATATAAAAACTTATGTCTGTTGCTTACTTGTAGATAACCATCACAATGATCTGGTTTTTCGAAAAGAGGGATTCGATTAAAGTTAATCTTATATTTATGGTAACATTTACGTTTTAATATTTTTAAAACTTGTTCTATTTTTGTGATATGCTCATTTTTTTTTTCCACAATTTCTGCAAAGTTTGCTTTATTTGTTTCGATCATTTCTGTAAAGTTTGCTTTATATGTTTCCATCTGTTGTTTTATTTCGTCCTTTTCTTGCTCAATCTTGATCATATTTCTGTTCGAGTTGTTAATTATGTCGTTGAGATTTTCAATTGTTTTTTCATGGTCCTGTGGAAAATTAGGAGTCGGAGAAGCTGTGCTAGCGTGTGTATGTAAACATACATATACATATATATACATATATATATACATATACATATGTACGCTCTCACATGTATACGCATTCACACACACACGTGCCTCTTTTTAACGTTTAATTTTTCCTTGTGGCTGCTCTTAAACAGTTCAAGCTCCTTTTCCATTTTTTCGTTATAGATTTGTAAATCATCAATTTTTTTGTGTAAAGTTTCTGATGGGGAAGCGCAGGAAAAAGGCGTTCATATGTCTATGTTCTTAAATTGGAGTGGCAAAAGTGGTTGAGACGGGAATAACCACCATGTAGACATATGTAGACACATGTAGACATATGCAAACATATGAAGACATGAGAATACATATGTAGACACATATATATTCGCGATTTTACATGAACAGGGCAAACCATTTTCCTTTATCTTATTTTCGAGCTCCTCAAACGCGACAGATTCTTGGATATTCTCCCTCGAATTTTTTGTTAGCAGCATTAAGTTTCTCCACCCAGAATTACTCTTTTTCTGAAAATAAAACAAAATATCAAGGCAGAATGAAAAGGTCAAAATGTGGGACCTCCAAAATAGTGCCAATGCAATGTTGGGAATACTATCAATAATGTCGTGGGGTGGGGGGAAGAAAGGAAAAAGTTAAAGAAAAAAGACAACAATACAATGAGATAAGAAAGTAAAGCGGTAAGAAAATAACATTTTCCATGAATATGAATTTTTCCCTCTTTTCACTTACTTGTTCTTCTAATGAGCTCGTTAAATGGGCTATTTTGTTCGACAATTGGCTATTATTACTTAATAAATCATTGTTTTCATCTAACATGAGTTTAATTCTATCTTTCTGTTCCTCATTATTTTTTTCTAATTGCTTAATGTCTTTTTTGTATTCCAGTATGGCTTTTTTGAAAATATCTAAATGAGTGGAAATGGGGAAAAATGGAAGTAGAAAAAATAAAAGTAGAAAAGCACTAAATAGACGTGTTGGAAGGAGCCCAGCATAACAGCAACCCGAGACACCTCTGCAACCGAATAGAATAACTGGTATTACCATTTTGTTCCTTTATTTCTTTATATTTTTCTTTAATTAGTTTGTATTTTTCCTGTATATTCATTTTAAAAATTGTAAAAAGGAACAAGGGTTCAAGTTTTCAGCAGTTAATACAAGGCCATTCAAAATGGAAAATTACATATTTGTGTGTATATCATTAAAAAGTGTTTTGAAAAAAAAAGAATGCTTAAAAATGGAAGAGGAATGTTAAAAAAAATGAAATAAGTATATGTTTACAATTTCACAAAGCTATAACACGTGAAAAATAAAAAATTTACGTAATGTATCAGTCACGAAAAAAAAGAGATAGAGAGTTAAAACAATTAACAAACTAGTAAGAAAATTGTAAAGCTATAATGCAGTGTGAATTTTTATATGTTCATAATTATACAAATGTGTACATTTTACAGTTTTGCAGTTTTCTAATTTTGTAATTTTTTTTTTTTTTTTTTTTTGTTCTTGTGCGAATTGGAAGGAATTTAAGCATGTATATGCAATATCTTTTCGGCTTAAAATAAAAACTAGAAAAAAAAAAAAAAAAAAAAAAAAAAGAGATAAAAATCATATATACACACATGCATTAAATTCATGTATGCAAAATACAGAATCGAGCTCGTGAGCAAAAGAAATATATTAGTATGTTCTCCATATATTTAAAAAAGAATTTTAAATACCGTACCAATTTTTTATTAATCATACGTTGGTTATTTTTCTTCTTTTTTTTTTTTTTTTTTATATGACAAGGTAAAAAGATTCATGTATGTAAACTGTTTGCATACTAATTTTCTTTTTCCATGAAGTGTGTTCTGTGAACATTTACAATCATAGAATAGGTATATATGTGCCATCAGAAGGAAAACATATAGAAGTATCCTTACATATTTTGTAATCATACGCAATCGGCAGAGGTCATGCGTGCTGAAGGAAGAAACTCCAATGCATGAACATATAAGACGTATGTGCAAACTTATGTATATATACTCACTAATGTTTTCCAACTTCTCCCTATTTCATTTTTCAACCCGCACGTAGTATGTTTCCCAATTTTTTCTTTTGGAAGCCCCCCTATACACCATTCTCTTAATAGGTATGTACTCCACATTTTTGTATTTCATTACGTATTTTCTGTTTTCATAATAGAAATCCTTAGCCGAATCAGGATATGGTTTTAAGGTGTGATTAATATTAGGAGGATAAGGTGAAGAATAGGAAAAGGTATTGTTGGATGTTCTAATCATTTCATATTCATTTGATCTGGTTTTCTTATTTGGGAGTCTTTTGAAGTTATTTCCATAAAAATTCATTTTGTACAGATCACTATATGGGTCGTTTATTTTTCGATTTATGTTGTTTATATTTTTCTTTCTTGAATAATGTCGATAATTCCTTTTAAAACTTAACATGAAATAGTTTCTCACTGTTTTGAGCATGTTCCCCTTTTTATTTATCAACTATGATATAATCTGTTTATTATATTCGCCTTATATCAGTACACACTACCTTGCTATTGTTTTTTTTTTTTTTTTTTTTTTTATAAACTATTATAAGATCCTTTTGTTTTCCCCCTCTCCAATTTTGGACATTAAAATTTCGAATTTTAGAGATATACGTAGAATATTAGTATAATATGTCATACTATACATATATATATGTGTATCTACCTTTTTAAATACCCCATTTTCGATTTTTTTCTTCAAATTCAATTGTTCACATTTTCATTTTAATTCTTTTATTATCATATAGGTGTGAAAAAATAAAAAAAAAGAAAAAAAACATATATGTATTTTCTAACAGCATCGATGCATGTATTTAAAAAAAAAAAAAAAAAAAAAAAAAAAAAAAAAAAAAAAAAAAATAAAGTGCAAAAGCAAGGAGAGAGATAAGAACTTTAAGAGCTGTAAGAAATTTTGTTTAAATAACATACTCTTTTGCTGGATTGTTTGCTGGAATGATCTCCGTTTTCATCATTTATGAACTTTTCGTTGGAAGAAAATATATCTACGCTTATATTACGTTTGGATTTTTTTGTTAACTTATAATTGTATGTTCGACATCAAGCAAATAATCCTAGCACATTTTTCAAAAAGGGAAATAAATAAACATGGATAAGGCAAGATTTTATATACAAAAGTAATTGTTTTTTCTTAATATATGTAAAAAGTTTACACGTATTACATGTATGACAATATATACATATATGTGTATGTATGCATACTCATGTATACACAGCTAAAATTGTGTAACAAATTTTTTCCTTTTTTTGTCTATTTAAAAATTCTCAGTATTGCAGTTAAAATACAATGCTGCTTATTGCCAAAGTGAGTGTCCCTTTTTGTTCAATCTTTTAGTAACACACTTAATTTTCCAAAGTAATGTGCGTTTCTACGTATGACTTAAAAGAATTTTGTTTGTTTTTATATTTTTTAGTCGTCATGCCTTTTTATGATTTGTTCAGATAAAATGTATACTTAATATAATATTAGAAACAAGTTTTTCGAAAAAAAACATGAACAGGCATAACTACTTTTCTTTTTTTTTCTTTTTTCAAAAACATATAAAAAAAAAAAAAAAAAAATGGATATATAACAGATATAACGTTTTATTTGTAAAAATGGTTCAATTTTATCGTTAAATAAAAAAAATTTTTTTTTTTTTTTTTTTTTCTTTTTTGTTTACCCTACTCTTCGACGCAGCTTCGAAAGATTGTGATATATTTACCACATAATATTTTTGCATGAAACTTCCTCGTTCGAGAAAATAATAAAATAAAATATAATTGATGAATTTAAACGAAATGTCTCATAATGCATTTGTGCTCAACGGTAGAAGAAATTTCTTTTTTTTTTTCTCTATTTGTGAAAGCCTAAGCAAAAGGAAAAGTGCCAAATGTGCTAGGTTAAATTTTTCAGATTCAGAAGTGTGTTACATTTAAAAGAAAGTCCAAAATTATGATGTAATTTTATATTCAAAGATATAGTAAAATTTAGTTAAAAAAAATATGTTCAAATAGGATTTATACATACATTAATGTTTTATTGAATTTTTTTAACTCTATTTTACAAATTTTTATATACAATTTTTTTTCATTCTTCTTTTTTTTTTTTTTTTACATCATTTTTACTATTGCTACAAAATGTTCTGTTATTGTTTTTTTAAATTATGGACTACTTTGTTACTTGTTTAGAAGATAAAAAAATATTATTAAAAATGCATACAAGAAGAAAACAGTCAAAAGAAACGCCAAAAAAAAAAAAAAAAAAACTAACAATAAAACAAATATTTTTATTCTTTTGCTAAGACAAGACTTGTTGAAATAACAAGAGAAAAAATTAAGATTTTTCTTTTTACGTATATAAGAATTAAAACACTAAAATTACTGTAAACGCACATATGAACGGACATATTATAAGCACTTAAATTAAAGAGAATAATAAATGTAGGCTAAAAATTTTAATTTTTTCAGATATTGTAGTGAAGTGATTAGGGAACAGCGACGCAAACATTGTGTATGCAATTGGGGATCTTAGAGACTACACCTTCACAAGTAAAGCATAGCATTGGTTATATATTTTTTTCTATTTATTATGAGGAATATTAAAATAATTTATGCCATTAAAACATCTGAACGCTTTTAAAAGATAAAAACCCGCTGAATAATTTATGAAAAATTATGCCGTTTGGCATGCTTTTATGAAAATGTGTTAAGTTAATAGAGTATGATGCAGCGAATTCGATTCTTATGTGATGATTTGAACATGTGAATGCACACAACTATAAATAAGAACTTAAATTTTTTTTATGGTGAGTGGAAAGAAAATGAGAAAACCCTTTTGATGTGTGTCTAAACACAATAAAATGCAAAGAAGCATATGAAAGCATCCAAAAAATGTGAAAAAAAAGAAAAAAGGAAAAATTATTAAACAGAATTTAAAATGAAAATGTATCAAAATCGGAGAATAATGAAGTAAAAATAAAAGAATTGACATATTCGAATCAAATTCAAAACAAAACATAGAAAAAAAAAAAAAAAAATGCGCGAAAAAAGTTGCCAAATGGTTCCCTTAAAAATGAATGAAGTGTATGCGTAATAGGTAAAAACATTCTTTGAATTAAAACAATTTAGACAAAAATGAAAAAAAAAAAAAAAAAAAACATAAGATAAGATAAACCTGTTAGACATAAAATTTTTTTTTTTTCAAAAATTAAAAACTCAGTTAAGGAAAAAAGTTTATTTTGATTTAAAGCACCAGAAGAAAAAATTTGAACACAACGTATAAAAACTTGAAATAAATCAAATAGAGTCATATAGCTGTGCAAGCGGAAAGACGGGAAACGATAGAGAAAAAAAAGGAGAATTGTAATGTAATCATATGTGGAAAAAAAAAAAAAAAAAAAAAAAAAAAAAAAAAAAAAAAAAAAAAAAAAAAAAAAAAAAAAAAAAAAAAAAAAAAAAAAAAAAAAAAAAAAAAAAAAAAGAAAAAAAAAAAAAAAAAAAAAAAAAAAAAAAAAAAAAAAAGTAAAAAAAAAGAAAATTTAAAAAGGAAAAAAAAAAAAAAAAAAAAAAAAAAAAAAAAAAAAAATAGTTGCAGCTATATAACATAATAGCTAATAATCGAAAAAAAAAAAAATAATAAAATAATTACAATAGATGGTATGATGTTAGAGAATTAAAAATTTCACTTACAAATAATGAATGAACTGTGGTGGAAGAGAATCAAAAAAATATAATAAAATAAAATGAAACAAAATAATGATAAATATATTAAAGCAAAACAAAAAAGCAGATGAATGAAATTTGTGTTAACCATGTACGTTCAAAAAAAAAAAAAAAAAAAAAAAAAAAAAATTGTAGAGCTAGATTTTTAAAAATAATGCAATAAGAAGTTTAAACAAGTTTAAAACTGCAAAATTCAAATTTATTGCACAGAATATTTGAAAGAGGAAGGAGAGAAAAAAAAATAAAATAAAATACAGATGGTGGTCTGAAAGAGTGGGTGTAAGGGGAACACAACATGAATTTTACACATATAATGAGAAAAGAGGGAATGAAATGAAAAAAAAAAAAAAATCAAGCAAAGAGGTGGTGAAGCACCAAAATGAAGAAAAAGAACAAATAAATCAATGGAAGCGACAAATAAATGAAGGAAAACAACAGGTGAATGAAGGGAAGAGGCAAATAAGTGAAGGAAAACGACAAGTTAGTGAAGGAAAGCGGAAAATAAACGAGGCGAGGCAAAAAATAAAGAAAGAAAATCAGAAAACAAGAGATGGGAAGCAATCAATAAATGGTGGAAATGAAGGTAAGGACTATGTGGTTGAAGCTAAAGGTGATGCGAATGAAGGAATCAGAAGGTGTGTCGAACCAAGCAGTGAGAGAAAAATGAAAAGAGAAGACAAAATTTTTAACATACAGACAGAAAAAAAAGCAGATTACCATCATGAGGCTGAAAAACCAGTAGGTAATAATAAGAAGAAGAAAAAAAAGAAAAAAAAAAAAAATAATAATAATAACAACAATACTACTGCTGCTACTACTACTACTACTACTAATAATAATAATAATAGTAACAATAAAAGGGGTGAAATAAACGATGGAAGTGAAAAGAACAAAGAAGAAATTAGAGCAGATATTTTAAATGTTCGAAATGTGCAGAATAACCCAACCATAGAAGAAAAAGTTAAGGGGGAGATGACGAAAACTTTAATATTCCCAACAGATATTAAACTAATATATGGAAGTTTATCAAGTATAGATAGGAAAAAAAGCACAAAATTGGAAAATAAAATTACCGTTGCATTTAGTAAGAATTTGTGCAACGTAGTGGTGTTATATTATGAATTACATTTTTATAACAATATTGATAATTTTAAAGTAGATGTAAACTTTTATGAAATATACAATGATTTGATTTGTTTGATAGATGAGCTTTTTAGCATGTATATTGTGGATACAGAGAAAAAACAAATTTACAGCGCTTATTATGAGGACAATTTGGATAGCTACATCAATTATGAGTTGAGAGAGAAATGCAAAGAAAGAACTCAAGATGAATTTTTGTTAGAATACAAAATTTTGCAAGGTGATAGAAATATGTTGTTTTTAAATTTTAAAACTATGAAAATGAAATATTTATCTGTTGAATTTGATTTAGAATTTTTTGGTGATATTTGCGATGAAGGAATACTCTTTCCTGAAAATCATGTGATAAGGAATGCTACACTGAACAGCATTTGCCATCGTGCTCCTATTGGTGATGGTTATATTGATACCACCAACATCATTAATGATGTTCGAGAAAGCACGTCAAGACAAGTAGTTGCTGGGACGAAGCATACCATTCGATGGGACAGTTTTAGCAGTTCGTTACTACGTCCTAGTGGCAAAAAAAAAAGTAATAAAAAAAAAGGTATATCAAAAAGGGAAGACAAAAGAATTGATAAAAGAGAAATTGTAAATACTGTATTAAAATCGGACATATATAAATACTACGATATGAACAATAAACCAAGTAAAGAGAGGGATAAGTTCAGGGTGACCGGAAAAGTGAAAAGGGCGATTAAATGCAAAGAAGGAAAAGAGGAGTATAAACACAGCATTATGGCAGAGAAATTGGAATGTGAGGAGGAAGAGGATGAAGAGGAAGAAGAGGAGGAAGAGGATGAAGAGGAAGAAGAGGATGAAGAGGAAGAAGAGGAAGAAGAGGATGAAGAGGAAGAAGAGGATGAAGAGGAAGAAGAGGAAGAAGAGGAAGAAGAGGATGAAGAGGAAGAAGAGGAAGAAGAGGATGAAGAGGAAGAAGAGGAAGAAGAGGAAGAAGTAGATCAGACAAATAAAGGAGGAACCATTGATGAGATCTATGAAAAAAAAAAAAACACTGTAGAAGAAGAACCACTTAGAGAGGAGCTCCCCATCGAAGAGGATTACATCAAAGAAGATCAAAAATTGTGTTATCGTATATTATATAATGAACAGCCTTACAAAGCTCTGTTGATCAAGGACGAACTTAACATATGTTTGTCAGATGATGAGGAGAGTAACAAGGGTAGAACAAGTTCAGCAAATATCATTGCCTCGAGGAGTGTAACAAGGAGTGCATCGCATGTTGAAGATATCGCTGCTATCGTGGCAAACTCAACGAACATAACGAGTAGTGCAAAGATTGCTATAGGTAGCATCGCTGCTAATTCATATCCCCTTAGTAGTGACAATGATAGGGTTAACAGGAGGCATGGGACATACGGACGTGTTTATGCAAAATCAAAAAAGAAGAAAAAGATGGTAGCATATTCTTTGGGAAACGAGAAATCTATTTGTATTCCAAAAGAAATTTTGAATATTACATCATTACTAAGCAGCCCAATATTATCAATGAATAATATAAAAAGCTTAAATCAAGTGAATTTTTTTTATGGTTATAGTAAAACGAAAAAAGATTTATATAATTACTGTTATGCTTATCTTGTCAGTATTCATAATGGGTATGATATAATACCAATGGAAGGGTTCAAGTTTAGACCCATCATAATTGATGGTGCAAATGTTTCAGCAAAAGTTATCCATAATCATCATATTGCAAATATTTTGGACTCAGATATGTCAATAATATATGACTGTTTTCTGTTGCATGAAGCTTATACATTTTTTAAAAGGAAAAAAGTGGATGATATTATTATAGTTTTAAATCCTGTAACCAAAAAAGGGGAAGAGTATTTCTTAGGGAACAAGAAAGTGTGTAATTATTCCTACCTTGAGAACTTAATTAAATTAAATGCTATACTTATTTGCAACGAAAAATATTATCATAGTTACAAAGGGGATGTAGTGAAAAGGCGGACGTATGATGACGTTCTCATATTGGAATTGGCAGCACATAGAAGTAAAATTTTCTCGAGATTAATAGGAGTTGACTTTGTTTCCTCCTACCATCAACATGCGTGAACTGAGAGAAGTGCATGTGACGAAATGTTCGAGTGGGGCCATATCCCTTTGTGTATTCTCTCCACTCTCTTTGTGCTCTTGTAAAACACGTGCCACATTCCCAATTTGTACATATATGCATATGTATATATATTCATTTTTTTTTTTTTTTTTTTTTTTTTTTTTTTTTTCTTTACGCATCGCAAAATTCTCTCCTCCCCAAGACGGCTGCGTTATCTCAAACGACAATTATACAGACATAGAGCTAGAAACGCCATATGAGGAAATAAAGAACGTTATATCTCACTATGTCATAAAGCACCATTATGACAAAAATAAGGGATTCAGCTTGGACATAACAAAAAAACCGTTAAAGTTTGTGTTAAACTCGTTATTTCAGAAAATTAATTAGATTTTTTTCCATTACTGGAATTGTGTTTATTCACATTATCAATGTTTCATTTTCTTCGAAAAGAACATTGGAGATGTGGAGAATATGTTTATGTGTGCTCCATATATAGCAAGGCAATTTGAGAACCTATTTGAGAACCAATTTTTATGCCCATTTTTGTGTTAGCTTTTATGTCAACCTTTACGTCAATTTTTGTGTAAATTTATATGTCAATTTTTGTGTAAATTTTTATGTTAGTTTTTGGGTCAAATTTTGAGACCATTTTTGGGTCAATTTTTATGTCAAATTTTTTGGCCAACTGTTGCTCCTCTTTTTACGCCAGTTGTTGCGCAATATGTTGTGGCTTCTACTACAGAAGTCCATGCTTATTATTTTTAAAAAATATTTCATGAAAAAACATGTTTTACTTTTGTCATAACATGTACATGATAAGTGCACAACAGAATATATGAACATAGAACATGTGTATATTATTTTAAAAGTGGCTACACTATTTTCGTCAAGAGTGGGCGATTATAACCACACTTCAGGGATACCCTACACATACATGCAAGTGTAATACGCACACCTCAGGTGCTTATAAAAGACTTGCAAAACGGTAAATTGTGAATTTAAAAAAAAAAAGTTTTTTTTAATAGGTTTTAAAATTTGTTCAAATACAGCATCACTGTCTGATCCGTTTTCTTAGTCTGTTCCGTATACTCTGCAAGCTTGGTCGGTTATTATTATTTTATTTTTTTTTTTTTTTTGCTCTTTTTTTGAACGACTTTTCCTTCTACAGCTAAACTCTGGTGTGCACATCAATAAGCACGGCCATATGTGCATACATGCATAAATTTATATATAGACATGTATACGGGATGCTTGCACTATTTCATCATTTTAGAAACTAAAAATTATTCTTTAGCTCCCTTAACTTATCCAATATTTTTATTTCATCAGTTGTATTAAATTTATCAGTATAATTCTGTGTTCTAAAAAAAGGATTGATTAAGTTTTCTTCTTCAATGGTTGAAGGAACGGAGGGAATTTTATTTTTAACTTTTTCTTCCACTTCCTGCATTTTGTTCTTCATATGTTCATTGTCATTTTCAATACTCAAAGCAAATCTGCAATTTGGTGTTTTATATTTAATTTTTTAAATGATAAAGATGAGAAAAGTGGGAAAAAAAAAAAAAAAGATGTAGAGAACATGTGTTGAGATAAGATATTCACAGATTGTGAAAAAAGTAGAAATCTTATTCCAGGTACACATACGTACATGCGTACACGCGTGTATGTAATTGGTTGCAACTTTATCACTTTTTTCTTTACTCTTCTTTTTTCTCATTTCTGTTTTTTTTTTTTTTTTTTTTTTTTTTTTTTTATTCTTCGCATAATGTACCTTAAGTTACTCAGGGTGTATTCGTGACCACAATAAATGAGAGTTTCTTTTCTGTAGGTTTTGATCTTTTCAATATTCTTAAACATCTCCCTTGCACTGCCTTCAAAAAATCTACCACATCCGGCAATAAATAGAGTATCTCCAGTGAACAAAATTGGGGCATAATTATTATTTTCGTTTTTCTGTTCATCCGTTTTATACACATAATACAAAATATGTCCCTTTGTATGACATGGTGCATGGATAGCCTTTATGCATAACTCTCCTAGGGTACATGAAAAATGAGAGGTATGTAACAAGATGTGTGTTGGAGGGGGAGGAGGCGAGAGATGACTAATTATTTCACATCGCCACTTGTGTAATTTTGTGAACTATCCTTCCTTAGTCATTTCTCAATATGTACGATTTTTCATTTATAAAAATGATTATACGGTCAACTCGTAATTCTACAACTCTATATGTTGATATTGGTGTTGATATTGGTGTTGGTGTTGGTGTTGGTGTTGGTGTTGGTGTTGGTGTTGGTGTTGGTGTTTATGTTTTTTTTTTTTTTTTTTTTTCTTTTTCTTTTAATTACCTAGGCGTATAATTTGACTGTCATAAACCTTTTCAGTTACTCCAGGTGTCGTCTCATAAGCGGATCCTACCACTTTAATTTTTTTTTTTAATTCCTTCATGCGTACATTTCCTCCTTTGTTCGTAAAAAAAAAAAAAAAAAGAGGAAAGAAAATGCAATTACACAAAAGATGCTGTAAAATGTGTATAAAGGGTATCTCGTGGGGATATAAAATTGGAACCTCAAATGGACATCAAAATGTATGTAATAAAGGGATAAATTTTCAAAATGTTTTTCACGTCAAAATATGAATAGACAACTATGATAATCCCATGGATTCCACTCTGTTATTTTGTCATATTTATTTTTTTTTTTTTTTCTATACCCGAATGGTCATAATGATAATGTGTGCAAAGAACATATTCCAAATCTACATTTAAATTTTCAATCTTTTTTAGTATCTAAAAATATTACAATATGAAGAAAAATAAATATGAAGTAAAAATATGGACTAAACATGAACAAAAAAAAAAAAAAAAAAAAAAAAAAAAATGACACATGTATGTTTACTCATTTGCAACCTTTTCTGGCTCTACTGGGTCTACACAGGCAGCCTTTTTCGTTTTCCTGAATGGAGAATAATTTAGTAAAGAGCATATAGGAGCTTGTACTGAAATTTCGTATAAATATTTTATGGACAAAGAATCCGCTGACATAGATGTATTCACATATACATTTAAACATTCGTATAGTATGAAATCTTTGCAATTTATTTTATTTTTTTGTATTTAGATTACTCATCGATTATGACATATGCGAAATTGTCGTGCAACGACGGAATAACAAGCACCTCTGCGCTTGCCTGCAAAAGAGAAAAAATAAATAAAATAAAGAGTGAAAAAAAAATGGATTATAAAATGATGTGGTAGAAATGACTAAAAGAGGAATAGCATGATGAAAAATTACATAAGCTGCAGTATTTTCTTCACATTTTCACAACAATCTACAATTTGTTGAAGTGTTTTTTTTTTTTTTTTTTTCTTATTATTTTTATGAATTTCTTTTTTTCTCGTGTTAGACGAGTGTAGCAATGTATCTATAGGCTAATACATGCATTAATGTACACATTGGATGTGATAAAACAGGAAAAATATAGACATTCTACATTTAGCACTTATGTGTAGGTAAATAAAAACATACATAAGTGCGCAAGCATAAGGTGGGTTATTTATATCTACCTTCATTTTATTTTAGCAGAAAAATAGTTAAGGGGGAAAAAAAAATTCCTGTTATGAAAGATAATTTTACAAAGATGATGGGGGAGGAGGGGCTAAACTACCTCAATTATTCTTTTGGAAATTAAATGGGAAAATTTTAAATTTAATTTGTGCTATATATTCAAATTTATGCAAGTTTACATAAAATTTTGTACATAAAAACGGCAAAAAAATAAAAGTAATTGTGCGGGTGGTCACTGAGTGGGCCTTTACTATTCCAAGATGGAAAGGCGGAATGTTATCAATGCTACGTGTACTTATATATATATATATATATGTTACACGTTTATATGTATATTATATATATGTATAAACATAATGATTCATGTACTCAATTTTGTAGAAGTATCTAAAAGATTGGTAATGCGACCCGAAGGTTTAAGCTGGGCAATCCATGAGGTACTCGCTACGTACATATAGCAGAAACGACTACTGCTAAATATGACACACGCGCCCCCCTTTTGAATATGCTAAGGATGAACTTTTAATATCATTTAATGATCACTACATTTATTAAGGTTCCTTTTACCGAGTGTAGATTTTTGGGTGTTCATCAAAGTGAATATTTTTTTTTTTTTTTTTTTTTTTTTTTTGACAAACATTTTGAGCCAACTTTTCAATGTTGATTTCATTCACTAAGGGACTGTAAGAAAGCGATACCAAAAAAAATACATTCACTTTAAATGGGTATTGTGTCCTCACGAGAATTTGTAATATCCATCTAAAGTGTGAATTAAAATAAGGAATATTTGTATTAATTTTTTATTCTGCCATTTTTCCACACAGTTAATAAAAAAAAGAATTAAAAAAAAAAAAAAAAAAGTATAGCAAAAGTGCGTACCCAAATAGTATAACAGGAAATATGCACCTAAAAAGATAAAGGAAGAAATTACAGTGTTTCACATCATAATTTATCCTTTTTTTTTTTTTCTCATCAACTTTGTAAACATCTTTATGTGCCTCTCTTACACGGCTTTTTCAGTATGCAGTAACAGTAAATTTTAAGCATAACAAGATCAATACCGGTGTGTATTGATTATTTTCTGTGTATATATATAAAAATTGTTTGTGTGGTTTAGCAGCACATGTAGCTTTTCACTATATGCGAGGAGATAACACTTCACAATGATATATGAGTTAAAAGAACATTGGGGATAGGTAAATAATAAAGAATATGAAAGGGATGAAAGAAAAGAAGAGATATTTATCGTACCGTATTTGTGCGCGAAAATTTACCCAATACATACCAAGTAATATATATACATTTATGTCTCTGTATGAACACACGGAAGATTTCACATATATATTTTTATGGTAACATAATACATATATTATAAAAGGTAGAAAAGAAAAAAATACGGTTAATTTTATGTTTAACATTGCCTAAGAGTCGTATATTCTACAATAATACTGGGACAGGTTATATTTTATTTTAAAAGAGTTGAAAAATCAGAAAAAGGTATGGAGGGCGTTGTAATAAAAAAAAAAAAAAAAAAAAAAAATCACACAAGTGTGTTTACTCATTTGCTCATGTATACATTAGCGTGTGCACAATGGGAAAAGTCCCCCGTGGGATAAAGGAAATGTAGAAAGTTGCAATGTCAATCTCCGTATTTAAAAGTGTACATATGTGCATTATGAAGCGTAAAGTTAAGGAACATGTTTGAAGAAAAAAAAAAAAAAAAAAAAAAAAGGTAGCTTCAAAAAAGTAGTTACTCCATTTTTTTTTTTTTTTTATTTATTTTCTTACGCCTTCCCTTGGTTCATAAAATAAGATTTCAAACATATATAGTAGTTATATTTATCTCGCCCCATAAAATTTCACATTTTTAAAGTTATCTTTTTCCCACCTTTGCGTTCATCATTGCATTCTTGTTAAACTCCTTTTTTGTATTATATCCTATTAGTCCTGATAATAACATTAAGAAAATGGTGTTAATTATTGCTGTAGTGATTATTATACTTCTATTAGTTAATGCTTTCTTTTCTAAATTATTTGTAAAGTTTTTAAGTTCTTGCAAAACGCTTTGAGTGTCATGAGGGGGAATGCCTTCTCCTCCATCTTTCTTGGAAGAGTTTATGTCTGAGTTTGGTCCTGAGGGTACAGGAGGAACTTTTCCTACATTTTGTTTGTTTTCATTAGAATCAGCTTGTACGATTACTAAATTTAGTATGAGACTTAAGAGGAATATTAGTGATATGGATGATATTAACTTTTTGGTATTCATTTTGAGGAAATTTTTCGATCAAAACGTTCTTCCTTTTTCTGTTCTTCCACTTGGGATGTGCAAATAGAGAGGGGTGTACGTATATATATATATATATATAACGCTCAATGCGTTTCACTGGTTTGTTGAGGGAGGGAAATCATGAGAAGCAATTTATCTCTTCTGATATATGATGAAGAGTTATCTTCCGAAAATGGACAATATGACCTTCAGCTATATTCTGCACAAATGGGGGGAGAGGAGATACTCCGAAATGGGTGTGGCATCAAGTGTAACCGAGGAAATATATATTACACGCGTTTGTATAACACTGGTGGCTTAAAAAAACAAATAAAAGAAGAAAAATTAAAATAAAATGTGGATAAAATTAAGGGGAAAAAAAAAAAAAAAAAAAAAAAAAAAGTAAAATAATAAAATAATATTATTGGAGTGTTAATTGCTCTTTGTCTTTACGCGTGCATTTGAAATTAAAATTGGACATTAAGTTGGATATTTCGCGTGAATTTTAGTACACATTTAAATTTTCTTTGGAAAAAATGAAATGAAAAAAAAAAAAAAAAAATCCAGTTATGTATGGCTAACTTGTGCATAAAAGTGAATCGGAAAAGTGGCAAGAAAGAAGGGTTATTTTTAAATACTAATATAATTCTCGGCTTCTCGTTTTCGGTTTTCCATTATCCATTTTCCATTTTCGTTTTTTCCTTTTTTAGCAATATTCCTCCTTCTAGATATGTCTAAATTAAATTTCCCCATTTCGATAAAAAAAAAATTTAGTGCACAATTATAAATACACATGAGCATACGAATATGTGTGTGTGTGCATATATTTGAGTATTCACCAATTTTTTTTTTCTTTTTTTTTTTTTTTTTTTGTTTTTGACACGTGTAAATATGCATCTTTTTGATCTTTTCGAGTGTAGGTACTGTTTCAAAATAAAAATAATTGCCTTGTGTTTTACCCATGTATTGATTTATTTGTAAGGCAATTCTGGTAATATCGAAAATGTACACAAAAATCTGCATATTTGTCAGTATAATCCCCCCCCCCCCCCTTCAGGTGTATATGCATATAAATGCGCATACACACGTGCTAACACAATGTATATACATGCGCATGTAAACAGAACTAAACAAATTATACAATTTGTGTTTATGTATAATTTGTCTAGTTTTGCACACTGCTTTTCCATCCAGTTTATCATTTATTTTTATGAACCCCAAGCACTACTCTAACGTAAAAACGATAGAGAACGGAACCTGTGTTAAGTAACTCTCCCAATGAAAAATACCTTTATGCACTTAATCGCTTTATGGAAATACGTTAAGGAAAAAACAAAATGGACAGCTGTATAATATATGGTGGCAATAGGGACACAACACAGTACTGTTTCAGTTAAAAAAAATGAAGTAAAATAAAATAAAAGATGCGTTATATCCATGCCCTATTATGCACGGGCATTTAATTAGTAATGGAACTATTCAGAAATAAACTATTCCATGATTTTCTTTCCAAATGATGCTTTTTTCTTCTTTTTTCTTCTTTTTTTTTTTTTTTCTGTAAAGTCAAAGAATTACTGTTTGTCCCATTTTGAATTCTTTTCCGTTTTTTTTATATCTTTCCACTTAGTCTAAAACATACCAGATCACACATATATTTTTTGGAATGTTTTATGGGAATGTGATACAGGTCAAAAAAAAAAAATGGAATCATTAATAAGTTTATAAAGATGCTTCTATTAAAATACATGAAATATGAGGAAAAAAGGTGAAAACGGACTTCTCCAAATTGGAGCCAAAATATTTCATTACATAGAGGAATAATATTAATCTATGTTGATTCAATAAATTCATAGGATGTACTATTATTATACCCTGGATATTATATGAACACATATCCATTCGTTTATGAACACTTCATGAGGACATAAACTTGGGATAGGCTTTTTCTCACGAATGATGACTGTGCAAAAGTATTCCACATTTTTTAAATTCATTATTCGCAGCACATCATGTAACTATATGCAGGGGCTACACATCCACTGGGCCATATATAGTAGAATATATAAAAACTCATTCACAGATATGTATATATATTAGGGGAAGAAAAAAATTGCTTTTCTTATTTTTACAATTCGTGTCAAATGGGTGATATGAGGGTGGTTCCACCCCCAAAAAAATATTCTTATGTAGAGCCACACAAAATTTAATTGGTTATGGCTATGGTTTGCTCATTTTCCCATCCTTTTACTCTCCATATTTGAGATGGTACTACGAGAAATGACGGAGTGATGATATACACACGTTAGCAATTGAGGTCCATTTAGGGACATTTATTGCTATTTTACTTTTTACATATTTGTCTTTTCCATTTTAACGAAATGGAATTACCACGAATAGGTTGCATATAGAGAAAGATGGATAAACGATTCTAAGGTTTTTTTTTTTTTTTTTTTTTTTTTTAAAGTAATCCATGGTGGAAAAAATAAAATAAGAAGAACTTTTCTCCATAACCCGCTTCTGTATCCCTCCATTTTGCATGTATCTTTTCATTATAAGGAAATATATCCAATAAATGTGGTTTGTTTACTATTGAAATGACGTACAATTATATTCGTGTTTATTTCCATGTGTGTGCATATGTGTCCTTATGAATGTTCCATTACCCGAGTAGATATTCACACGTGTGATAATGAATATGGTCGTTTACAAGACTATCCTAATAAGTACTAGTTAATAGCATCATTGGAAATATCTTTTTCCTCTTAACTTCGTCCCAGGGTTTCTGGGGTTAGCTATGGATATATGAGCACAAAATGAGAAGCACATGGAGAACAAATATATATAGAGCGTATATATGCGTAAATATATATGTACATGTCCAGTCTAATATGTTTGTAGTGGAATGTTACAAAATTAAACATAGGATGGGAGATGGACTCTGTTGGAGCAAGAGGAATAGATACACCATTTTAAGGACAATGAATATAGACTAAAGTGAATATGTTAACTTCAGAAATGTTAAAATTTGTGTCAATAGGTGAAAATTATATATATATATATATATTAAGGAGCATGTGTGAAAAACGAGTCCAAAACATGATATAGTGCGTTTACTATATAAACGTTCAAAAAGAAGTGATACAAATGGGGAAGGGGTTCTTGCAAATTTTTGACCTTTCCTATTTGGTGTTTTCTTTTTGCATTAATCAAGTTGTATTTATACATGTATGGTATTTGTACCATGAAAAAGAATAAATAAAAAAAATATACGTTATAAATATTACCAAATATGATAATGTAAAAACAAAATGTACGGTCCACCTTCAGCAAAACTTATGAACTAGAAAAATTATTCGTAAACAAGTTTATGAAAGTTTAATTCTCTTTTTACGGCCTTTTAGTTAATTACATTTTTTTTTTTTTTTTTTTTTTTCATTTTTGCATTTAGCACATGGGCTTGTATTTACAATCATTAATGCTCTACCGTGTTTTTTGAAATCGTAGTTTTGTATATATTTACCACTTTGGCTAAAAGGGGTTGAGGAAAAAAAAGAAAAGAAAAAATAAAGTAGTAATTATATACATGTGTGATAAGAAGTATGCGAAAAAAGTACATATGAAAATGGAGAGCGTTCTCATCTCATCTACATTTTTTTTATTAAGTTTTCCCAATTTTGCATAAGTAAATTATGTACATTTTATAACATGCTTTTTTTTTTTTCTTCTTCTTCTTCTTCTTCTTCTTCTTTTTCTTTTTCTTTTTCTTTTTTTTTTTTTTTTTAAAACATTTCTTATCATAACAGGCTTTTATTTTCTTATGTATTTATACTCATTCTTTATTTAGGTTGGGGCATACGTTTCGATTTCCTTAATATGAGAATCCTCTCTGACACATATAGAGGATCGAAAAGAAGAAAACATTATTGCAAGATTGATCGTTTGTTGTAATGCTTCCCGCATGCTTATAATACATTGAGATTATATATTTAGCATGGCCATCACACGCTACGCGTTACACTTTGCTAAATGATCTACAAACATCATCGGCATAAGTAACCCACAGGAGGAACTCACTCTCGAGTACCTCGTTTTATTTATGCTTTTTTTTTGGAAGTTCTTCATTTTTGAATTCACTTAAAAAAGGGGGTTCATTTTGCATTAGATCAATCAGCTCATCGGGTTTATATACATATATACACATATATACACACATATATATACATATATATATATATACACACATATATGTACATATATATATATATAGTTTTTTTTTTCTTATGCAAATATAACTACCGATTTGTACGAACAACTGTATATTATATACAAAGTGCATGTACACTCCTTGCATATTTGATGTGCGAGAGAACATCCCCTTTTATCAGATCGTCATAAGAACATCATGAGCAAGGAAACGATTACAACCAAAGTTGAGGCCTCGCGCGTAAATGCGTTGGCCGCTGTGAGGAACTACAAGGTGTGCCCCAGGCTTGAGTACAAAACAATTTCGGGTATGAATACTGATGAGGACTTTTGCTTCACTATGAGTACATGAGCACTAAGTTGTTGTGAATATATACAAACCAATGCAGTGTGATGTTACATTTTGCATGTGCTGTGTTTAATAGGGATCAACATACAATGATTGCTTTATAGCAATTCGTACGAACGCACTCATGCGTACAATAGGCGTATACACACTTGCACAAACACATGCAAACACATATATATATATATATATATATATATCCGAACATGTGCCCCCACTTACAGGCGTGCAGGGACCTCTAGTCATCATTGAAGACGTGAAATTTCCAAAATATTCTGAAATTGTGACAATTCATTTGAGTGACAACTCAACGAGGCAAGGGCAAATACTGGAGGTGTGTGGAAAAAAAGCAGTTATTCAAGTATTCGAAGGGACGAGTGGGATAGATAATAAAAATAGTTATGTTGAAGTAAGTGGCGATATATTGAAAATGCCAATGAGTGATGAAATGCTTGGAAGGGTTTTTAATGGTAGTGGAAAACCAATAGACAAGGGTCCAAATATATTAGCAGATGATTATTTGGATATAAATGGAAATCCGATAAATCCACAATGTCGTGTGTATCCAAAAGAAATGATTCAAACAGGTATTTCTACAATTGATGTTATGAATAGTATAGTAAGAGGACAAAAAATTCCATTATTTAGTGCAGCAGGATTACCACATAATGAAATAGGGGCGCAAATATGTAGACAAGCATCGCTAGTACAAGGAAAAGACGTTCTAGATCATTCTGATGATAATTTTGCAGTAGTATTTGGTGCTATGGGTGTTAATATGGAAACAGCTAGATATTTCCGACAAGATTTTGAAGAAAATGGGAAAATGGAAAGAGTATGCTTATTTTTAAATTTAGCCAACGATCCAACTATTGAAAGAATATTAACTCCAAGAATAGCCTTAACAACGGCTGAGTACCTTGCATTTGAGAAAGAAATGCATGTATTTGTAATATTGACAGATATGTCATCCTATGCTGATGCACTTAGAGAAGTATCTTCAGCAAGGGAAGAAGTACCAGGTAGAAGAGGATACCCTGGTTACATGTATAGTGACTTATCAACAATATATGAAAGAGCAGGAAGAGTAGATGGAAGAAATGGTAGTATAACCCAATTTCCTATTCTTACTATGCCAAACGATGACATCACACACCCTATACCTGACCTCACAGGTTATATAACAGAAGGTCAAATATTTGTAGATAGGAATTTGTATAACAGACAAATTTACCCACCTATTAATGTACTACCATCCCTATCCAGACTTATGAAAAGTGGTATAGGACAAAACATGACGCGAGTTGATCACCCATATGTATCCGATCAATTGTATAGCAATTATGCTATTGCACAAGATGTTAAGGCAATGAAAGCTGTTATTGGTGAGGAGGCCTTATCCAATGATGATATTTTATATTTGGAATTTTTAGACAAATTCGAAAAAAGATTTATTACACAGAACACGTACGAATGTAGGGATATTTATCAGTCTTTGGACATCGCATGGGAGTTGCTCAGAATTTTCCCTGAAGACATGTTGAAGAAGATCAAAAGTGACATTCTCTCCAAGTACTATCCTCGTCACCATGCGGGTTAAGAAGAATGCCAAAAAAAAAAAAAAATAAATAAAAAAGAAGGGTACTATCAAAATATAAGAAAGCACCAGAATATACATTAGAAAAATAATGCCAACGAAAACATGTACATGTAGTATGCACACTTCTCAAGCATGAAAAAGGGAACTAATGGTTGACTGCTCGAGGACAGGAGCTTATATATTATCCTTTGCACAAATCACACCTGAAAAAATGTTCTTCACACAAGGTGTACATAAAAAAAAAAATAAAAAAGGCATATGTACTGTATCCCCGTATCCCATCGAAGTAAATATTATTGGTGCACTCATTTACTCGTTATTAAATCAAGAGGGGGAAAAAATGGACGAAAAAGAACGGAAGAAAAAAGGGAGATCTTATATATATAATACCTGCGTTTGGACGAAACGGACTGATAAGACTTGGAAATGATATCTCCATAAGTACAAAAATTATGAGAATATTTTATGGGAACATCATGTTTATATTTTTACATAATTCGCAGACACAGAAGAACGTATCTTCACTCTAATTCCGCATCCTGATATTTTCTCCATTCCCACTTCTTACATATGAATTCCATTTTTTTTTTAACTCCCCACATTCATATGTGTTAATTGTGTGCACATCACCATGTTGACGTATTTGTTTTTTTTTTTTTTTTTTTTTTTTTACAACATTACTAAAGAAGTCTTCATTTTATGATACATACTGGGAAAAGGGGTGCTTATATAAGTGTATATACATGTATATATATATATTTATTTATTTATCCACATGCATGCACGCACTTTCCGTTCCCTGTTTTTTATTGTTCCTCCTCCCTTTGTAATACTATCGCGTTTTTATTATATTTTATCCCCATATAGCTCTCTATGCTATTATTACATTCTTTTTTTTTTTTTTTCAATTTTGTTTAATGTGTTTTTAAAATTCCAAACAAAATTTAAGGCGACAAAAAAGCTCATTCCTCAAACGTTACTTCTTAACCTTTTGTGTGTATTCCTTAACAAACAGATAGGATATTCAAGCAATTTTTCAGTGATAAATAAGTGCATATCCTACGACGGATAGGAACAGAATATGTTAAACATGTTGCACTATGAGGGTTGATAATGCAAAATTTGATTAAAATAAATTTGTTATCATGAAAATATTGGAACTCATTTCTGTGAATTCAAAAAGTAGACTAAAAATGGTATAAATATGTAAAAAAAAAAAAAAAAATATTGGAAATAAAGTAACAAAAAAATGGGGGTGGGGAGAAATAATGCAGTGGCATGTGGGAGGAGCTTTTGACCTGTAGGCAAAATGTGCAACGTGCATGACGACTGAGAGATGTCGTAACAAAAACGAATTTACAAAAAAAAAAAAAAAAAAAAAAAAAAAAAATTATTGTAGGTAAGCAAAACAACATATTGACATAAAAAAAAAAAAAAAATTTTTAAATATGTGTACTGGTTTGTCATAATATATTGGATATGCAAAGAGTACGTACGCATGCGGGTTGCGATATATATATATATATATATATGCTTAATGCTCCATTTGCTTGGTTGACCAAACATGAGAACCATGAAGGGATACAATTTTCTCATCCCGAGCGTCCACCACTGGATTTAAGGATTCTCCTATGGATAAAACATGGGGGGAATGAAATTTATTTTTTCTTTTGTTCATATTTAATTTAGCTGCTGATTGGAGTTTCTCTATAACTATTTCATCACAGGTATCGAAGATGTATTTTTTCAAATACACGTCTAGCAGTAGGCTTTCTACTAAAGTACTGGCCCATTTGACATTAATAAAGTTATACAATTTTGACATACACTTAACAAATGCATTTCTTTTTATCTTAAAAATTTCGTAATCATTTGGTAAGGTCCACTTATCAAGCACAATTAGGAAATTTTCATCATCAACGATTTCATTATTATCTGTTGTGAAATCACAGATGCGGGGCGCTGAATTTTCTTTCGTACAATTGGAAACAACCTGCTCTTCTACAATTGATGGTTTCAATTTTTCCTGACATAATGTTTCCTCAAAAAGATCATAGTCTCCCAGAAGTTCCTGAAAGATTTGCCTATATATACTTATTAATTTGTTAAAAACAAAATTATCATTTAGTTTATATAGTATAATTAAATAGTATACTTTAATTTTAAGTGCCTTTAGGTATTTTTTTTCCCTTTTGGAAATAATTACTTTGCTCGGTTCATTGGTTTGTTTGTTTCTATTGTCTTCTGTATTATCATGCAGGGGGGGGTTTCTCCCGCCATTATTCTTGTCACTACTCATGTCATTATTCTTGTCACTACTCACGTCATTATTCTTGTCACTACTCACGTCATTATTCTTGTCACTACTCATGTCATTATTCTTGTCACTACTCACGTCATTATTCTTGTCACTACTCACGTCATTATTCTTGTCACTACTCACGTCATTATTTTCGTCACTATCCCCTTCGCCTCTGGCATCACTATTCGCGATCGCCCATTTTGCAGAATCATGCTGTTGAGCATTCTCCATTTGCAGTGAATCTCCTTTAGGAAATTTCCTCTCATCGGTTCTATCTCCATTATGAGGAGGCAATAAGTCATTTTTTGGAGGATAAGAGGAACAGCCATTCTTAGTATCATTTGAAGCTTCCTCTGCTCCATCATGAGATTCTTTCCCCCCTTTTATCGGTGCTACTGAGGGGGTGGTATTATTATTTATGAGAAAACGATTGTCTATTATTTTATTTATAACTTTGTCAAAAAGAGAAATCATGCATTTGATATGCAACTCATTGTCGTTGTAAACGGTGTAGATGAGGTGTGTTGAATTTTGGTTATCATCATGGATATAATTTTGAAGGAATACCTTTACTATTTTATCAAAAGCAAAAAAAAAAACATTTTTATTTTCATTATTTAAGTAGTTAATACATAGATTTATGAATAAGCTTAGACTTTTTACAAACTTCGTTTTGGAATATATATGTTTATATATGATCATATGAATTCCCTTATATAATGTAATATTGTTATTACTTCTGTTGTTTTGGGGGGCCATGTCCATCTGTCTGAGATGTCCTGAGTGTTCGGCAATTTCGCCATTGTTTCTTACGATTTGGATATTATTCGGGGTGTTATAATTCGATTTGACATTTCCTAATCTGGTTACAGTCACTTTGTAAGAATTCAACTTTATCTTGTCAATTTTTCTTTTTTTCTCATATATTTCTGGAAAGGGAATGGTCTCATTTGCTTTTCTTTTGCTTAAATTTGTGTATATGTCCTTATTCTTTACCCTCTTGCTTTTATACTGATGTATCAGTATGTCCCTTTGCTTGTTGTAAATTCCATCTAGCTTTCTTTCATTTCGTGATCTTCCTACTAATTCTTTCATACCTTTAAAAGCAAAAAACGAAAATTTTTTTTTTTTTTTTTTTTTTTTTTTTTTTTTTTAAATTTTTTTTTTTCAGCTCGTGGGGGGGTAAAAGTATATGAGAGGTAAGACACAAAAGGGTGCTGGAAAAAAATTCATTTTATTTAATACTGAGGTGAAAAAAACTTTGATATTTTATTTAATTTTTTTGGTTTTTTTTTTTTCTTTTTTTTGCTTTGGTTCTTTTTTTTTGTTTTTTTTTTTTTTTTTTTTTTTTTTTTTTTTTTTTTTTTTTTTTTTTTTTTTTTAAAAGCAAAAAACGAAAATTTTTTTTTTTTTTTTTTTTTTTTTTTTTTTTTTTAAATTTACTTTTTCAGCTCGTGGGTGGGTAAAAGTATATGAGAGTAAGACACAAAAGTGTCTGGAAAAAAATTCGATTTATGTAATACTGAGGTGAAAAAGACTTTATTTTAATTAAATTGTCTTGGTTCATTTATTTTGATTTATTTGCCTTGGTTCATTTATTTTGATTTATTTATTTCTATTTATTTGTTTCTATTTATTTATTTTGATTGATTTATTTCAATTTATTTGTTTCAATTTGTTTATTTTTCTTATTTTATTTTCCCTCTTTTATTTCAGTTTTGTAACCCTCCCCCTTCCCTCAATAAAGCGTTACGACAAAATGGGAAGGGACTTTTAAGTAACAAGTTGTGTGAGCAAAGACGTGGGTTAGTTTTTTTATGAACTTATGAGACAAATTTCGAACAATATATTTTTTCCGTGCTATTTTACAAAATTAAAATATATACTTACGAAGGTAAAATAGTGCAGCGTGAACGGCAGAACATCGCAGAAGGACATTTTCACTTGTACTTTTTTGAGTATGCGGCTATAGGAAGCATCATAATTAAAAGATATATGTATAAAAGGTGCGCACGTAAAAAGTATGTAAAAAGTATGTGAAAAGTGCGTATGTAAAAAGCGCGTACGTAAAAAACGCGTATGTAAAAAGCGCGTATGTGAAAAGCGCTTATGTAATTTTGAATACATATGTAATATTTGTAAATGTATAATATAATATACAATATCTATTTCATCACTTCAATACTTCATTATTTAGCCTCAACATGGGTATAAGCTCTTTAAATAGCAAAAAATATTCTTATAAGGATGATACGCTTCTCCCCTCATTTTTGATTTGCTTGTTATATTTAAATGCCTTCAATGATACCAACGAACGCTTTGTTATTTTTTACGCAGTTTTCGAAAAAGTTAAATAAATACACGGAAAAGCTAAAAATTAAAAAAAAAAAAAAAAGCAAAAAAGCAGGAAAGGAAAACTTTTCGCAGTTTTAGCAGAATTGCCTTAAAAGATTAATTGTTTTAAAATTTAAAAAAAAAAAAAAAAAAAAAGGAGAAAAAAACAATAAAATGAAGTAAAATAAAATTAATAAATAAATAATAAATACATATATATATATATATATATATATGTATAAGTAAACATTTGCAAAATGAAATAAAGAAAATGAGCTTCCAAACTGAACCAATAAATAGAATTTAATAAAACGAAAAAACCTTGTTAAGTTAAACCCTTAATTTGAAAGAAAGGCTACTTCAAAACGTACATTGCTATGTATGTAGGTACGTTGTATGTATGTATACTCAATGCACTCCTATGCAATGGGAATTTTTAAAGTTATAGATCACCAAACACGAATAAGAAGATTATAAATTTTGAGGCGATGCCCCGTTTGTTTCTTATATAACTAGTCAACATTAAATTTAGTGTCATTAAAAAAAAAAAAAATAAGGAAAAATAGGGAGAAGGGAAAGGAATATATAACATTGTTTAGCATTTTTTACGAAAGTGCATTCTCCATGGGGTTGTTTTTTATATGTTTTAATATTCTTTTAATCTTGGAGGGAGAGGAAGAAGAATCAATGCGATATGATAGACAATAAAGATAAAACAATATATCGAAATGCACAAAAGTTGTTAACAAAACTACTTGGCAGCCTCATAAGGAGTAAAACTTCTTTGGGGAAAATTGTACAACCGAGTTGTAAGGGTTTAATAAGGTTTTATTTTGATGGAGCTTCATTTTTATGAGTTTTTTTTTTTTTTTTCTAAATTGATCCATTTGGAATCGATACATATTTCTCTCCTCGTTAAGGGTTCGATTAGAATTTTCAATTTTGTAGGTTCTCTGAAAACACTGTTATCTTTTCAACTTGAAAAGTACATGTTATGATGTTCCTGGCAACAATGTCTTATTCATGTCTGCATGACATATGTTTATGCATCCTTTGAATAAATCCATTGTACGATGGATAGAAGAACACCCTTCGCCCTCCTATAACATGTGTTCACTTGAAATTGAATTATATTAGATGTACATGTGTACTTTTAGGTATACTTATGCTTATGTGACTTTAAATGGTTACATAGTAATACGCATAAATAAAAATATTCCAAATATAGGCACTTACATGCATTTGGAAAATGACAAAAGAGGGAGACATTGATAAAAGTACGTAATGACAATTTTATTTTCTTTGCAAAGGGGAAAAAAATAAACAGATTATGCAGTTACAAGTAATCAATTAAGGTAATGGAAAAAAACAGAGGTAATGGTACATACGCCTTAAAGGATATGTACATAAGTTGTTTAAGTAAATTATGAATACATTTCTTTTAAACCGTTTGTTTGAGAAATGATGTTCTTTTTTTTTTTTTTTTTTTTTTTTTTTTTTGAACGATTGGGTATTGGTTTGGGTATATAACAATTTAGTAGTCCCAATCTAAAGCACGAATGTTACTGTTACTTTGGATGAATTAAAAAAGAAATTCTTATAATTCATTACTTGTTATAACTTTTTATAACTTTTTCTTACCTTTTTTTTTTTTTTTTTTTTATATTTATTTTATTCATTTATTTATATATTTATTTTTATTTTTTTATTATTTCCCACACAATGCGTATCAAATATGCACTTTGCGTGCATCATGTGAAAAGTGCGTAGCTGGTCATAAGAAAACGCTGGGTCGTTTTATTTGTGCTGATAAAGATGAGCGATTGTGCATTCACTTTATTTTATGCCTATAATATTCCCATGTCTTGGCGTTGCCATTTTTACTTTAAGAATTTTATGAAAGACAAAAAGGGTAGTAGAAAAGGGGTATGGAGGTGGGTATAACAAAACAAGTATAGCAAAAACAGTGTGCAAGTTAATACTTATAAAACTGCACGGACAATCTCTAGAACGAGCGAAAACGAGTCAAAACTGGAGAGAAGAATTACAAACAGTTGTTGACAGTTGTGAATAAATATAAATAGGTGCGAACACGCACATGCACACAAAGCAACATACTGTCTGTTTTTGCATAAATCTACGGCTATAAAAACATATGTCCCATATGCACATAAAAACGCTGTATGTATCCGTTATACATGTGTGTTACATTTTTTGAATAGATAAATTCATATTAAGGAGAATTCATGTTTTGATACAGTCACCCTTGTTACATGAAAAAATAAAATGAAGTTAGTACGAGGAATAATAATAACATATTTACTTTGCTATAACATAGAATTAAAAGCCAAGCAGATGAAGCGCAACTATTCTTTTTTAGGTAGATTGAGCAAATTAGAATCTATCTGGGAAGGAGGAACTCCTATCGAAGGATTTCACGTAAAGGTTTGAAGCACACATATACTGCTTACAGGCTATCCCAACATAAGCATGTGCGAGAATGCTCACACACGCATACTCATACGCATACACATACATATATATATGTACATATGCGCATATGAATATATATGCGTGCTTGCTCTGAATGGACAGATATCAGCTGTCCCATGCCTCTTACTTTTTGTCTGCCTTTCCTAAATTTGCATTGGCCCATTTGCATAGATATATGAATGAACACATGTGCGAAATCTACGAAGAGCGCTTCTTATGCACATATATTTTTTTTATTTTTTTTACTATTTTGTACTGTTTTTTTGTCATTTTTTACTATTTTTTATCATTTTTTATCATTTTTTATCATTTTTTATCATTTTATATCATTTTTTATCATTTTATATCATTTTTTATCATTTTATATCATTTTTTATCATTTTATATAATGTTTTTCATTTTATATCTTTTTTTAATCAGGACGACCCCGGAGAAGGGGAAATTTCCCAAGGGATGAACGAAACAAACAACGTTGTGGAGGGAGATGAACACCCCAATCTTAGATCGAGTAAGGAAAAGAAACACCCTTTTCAATTTGTTGGCATGAACAAATGTATATAATATGAGCATGAGCCATAGATCTGCATATGTACCTTTTTTTTAAACTAACCTTGTGACATTTTTGCCTATTTTGCTATAAAATGTTCGATCACGAAGTGTAATGGGTATGACACCTTATGGGTTTTCTCTTTTTTTTTTTTTTTTTAAGATTTTTCATTCATTCAGGGAAAAGGAAGGGAAGAAATAGAATTAGCCGAAAGAAAAAACAGTGAATGGAATAAAGAGAAGAATAATTCACTGAGTAATCACCAAAGAGAAATCAAATTTGTCCATGACAATACACATATAGCTACAGAAGAAATCATGAAAGAAGGAGAAAACTTTTACATTAATGGAGGAACAGCTGATTATGAATATAACAATGATGAAGAATTTTTTAAAGCTTTCCATACTAAGAAGGATAACAAAGAAATAATAATACACAGTCCATGTTTTGACATACAAGATGTAAATTCCTGTAGGAGTAATAAAAACTGTTTTTATGATAATCTATATCATACATGTTTTCAAAATTGCAAAATTCTAGATGAAAGTGAATGTTCAAAATACACCGAATGTAAGATCACGAACAATGGATGTGAAAATGAAGGTACATCAGAGCGTGATCAACTATTCATATATTTGAAATACATTCACATGTAACTATAAAAATGTTTTATAATGTAGTAGTTCTGAAAAAGGGTATTTTTTTTCCACTCAAATACATCTCTGTCTATTCATTCTTACTACTATATATGTGCATCCTAGAATTTATACAATTATGTTTTTCTTTTCTCATTTTTTCACTTTTTTTTTTCTATTTTCCGAATTCACATTTTTAAGGATATCTGAACATCCAAGTATTCGATGCAGATATTGGAAAAGACGTGCGTGCATGTGAGCTCTTCGATACAGAAGGTTCATGTTATATGATGGAAGAACTTTATAAAAATTTTGGAAATGAAAAAAAAACAAATTTTAACTGTGCATGGTTGTCATATAAACATGAATTCAAAAAGCACAAGGAAGATGGCATTGGGAAGGGTTACAAAAAGGAAAAAGAGAAAAAGAAAAATAATGAAATTATTAATGTTGCAGAAGCAGATACTCAAAATGGACATACTGATCATTTCAATTATCATGTGTTGAGAAATGATGGAATAAGAGACATTGGCAGGGATGAAAAATTTCTGTCTTTGCTGCAGATAAAATTAAATGAGAAAAAAAATAAAAAACAAAAAGATAGTAGTGTAGGAAAAAATAACAAAAATAAAAGTGCAAAGAAGGGGAATACAAATAGAGATGATGACAGTGATAACGAAGATGATGATAACCTAGATGAGATCGATGAAGAAGAAGACCTTGATATTAATAACATGAATGATGAGGAAGATCAAGAGAAGGGAGATGATCTTGATAACGATACAGAGGATGATAATGAAGATGATAATTTTCTGGAAAAGTCAGAGAAGAAGAAGGGTGGAAATAAGGGGAAGGGGAATAATCATCAAAACAATAGCATTGAAGGGAGCACTACTCTGGAGAAAAGTGAATCAGGACAAAGAAAACCAAAAGACGACGCGATAATTTACGAGGGAAAAGAAGACGTCACTGATCAAAGTGAAACATATGGTAACGTTGTTAAGGCAGATGATGAACAAGTACAACAGGAGAAGATAATACCAAGTCAAATGGAAATAGTGACTGAGAGTATTATTGATGACACGAATTCGATTGATAAACATAACAATAATGATGATAATAATGATGATAACAGTAATAGTAACAATAATAGAAGCAATAATAGTAACAGTAATAGTGAAACTGACTTTAGAACTGATAAAAATAATGAGCATATAAAAGATAACAGGGAAGGGTTCTTACCAGCTAAAAGAAACATGAGTAATGTTCAGAATGAGAAAGAAATATTAAGACATAATTTTAACAGTAACGATCAAGACGAACATAGCCAGGGCGAAAACTATGATGAATGGATACGTGTAGAAACACACATCTGTGCTAATTTAAATGAAAGGCCTAACCCTTCTACCCTGTTAGAAGGAGCACTAATAGCTGAAAAGGAGGCAGAATTGAGAAGCATTAAAAAAAAATATAAAGTGACAGATGATGAAATATGTGTTAAACCTTCAAATGAATTGCATGCTTCTTTTACTCCAAGCAAAAATTTTTATGTACTTGGGGAAAAAATTGAGTTTAAATGTCAAAATGGATATAAAATAGTTGGCACAACAAATGTAGGTGTATGTGTCGGTAGAAATACTATCATTCCAAACATAAGTTGCCAGTCCTTAAACGATTTTGATGATGTTCAAAAGGTGAATATACAGAAAATTGATAGTCTAATTAATTCATGCATTAGTCATGGTTTGTCTATGTTTGTCGTTTCCATCGTTTTGGTTGGTAGCTATTTCTTAGCCCTGTGAGACATGCATTTTGTAAAAGCATTTTTATGCGCATATTGTATGCATGTTCAATTGAATCTAATTCAACTATGTAGAAGTTGGGAATACTGTATCTACATCTACATATAGTGCAGCATACCCCAAAAATCTTCTCAATTTGTTAGAAGGGGAGCCATATTTTTAATAGTTAATCTTCGCGTATGTATGTACTTTGTGTTGTACCACATGCGTACACAAATTTTGTGTACTGGACTGGTTTCGTTCTGATACAAAAATTTCAAGGAAAAAAATTCCAGGATTACACCCACACGAATAAAAGGAATTTCCGTTTGTTCACGTGTACCAAAAGTGCAGTTTCTCTCTGTCCATCCGCGTCTCTATTCAAGCGTTAAGTAATTTTTTCTTTTCTTTTTTTCGAATTTTGATTTTGATTTTGATTCTGATTTTGATTTTTATATTTATTTTGATTTTTATTTTGATTTTGATTCTGATTTTGATTTTTATATTTATTTTGATTTTTATTTTTTTGTTTATTTTTATTTTTTTGTTTATTTTTATTTTTTTGTTTATGTTTGTAAGAACACAGGTTTGTTACACAACCTTATCAGCCTTGCCCATCATCGCAATGTTCCCATCACCCTGTGTGTTACATACCTTGCTAGTACCGTTCTGCGCACTGCGAATTCTGTTTTTTTTTTTTTTTTTTTTTTTTTTCTACATTCTCATAATTACATTTGCACATTTCATGGAACTGTTTTCGTTTTTAAAATTTTAAAAAATTTGTTGAACAGTTTTCCTTTTTTTTTATTTTTCGTTCATAATTAATTTAGATTTTCACTCATATATGTATCACTGTGATGGTATACCAACGTACTTTGTCCAACTTTGTCAATTTTACTGTGTTGATACAGTTCACTGATCTTTGTTAATTTCACTATACCCCCAAGCTACACTCTCTCTGTTCTAACATTTTGAAATTAAACGTGTAAAGTACTACATACAAAGAAATCTATCCCATGCAGAATGGTAAAAAAAAATGTTTCTTCTGAATATAGTTCATTAGTTTCCGATTATTTTAGGATGAAACAAATAAATGATAATCCCTAGATCGATCCACGTAAGAAATGGAGTCGATGGGATTAAATAAGACAATGTATATTCTAACAAATGGTATTAAGTAACTTAATCTCGACATTTCTAAAAGGTGTGCGTGTGTGCATAGAGGTGAATGGAAGTACAATACTGCCATATATAATATCCTCTTGATATATGTACACAGGTTAGAAGTTATAAATATATTATGTACTTCTTATAGATCACTCTTTGTATTTATATTCTCCATTTTCGAATAAGAAAATTTATCCTATTACTCATTAAGTTCTTTTTTCATCAAGAAATGGGAACTTATTTTCGATTTTAGTTCCCAATGTTATGGATCCTTTTTTGACTTGTTCTTCTTTGAGCTCAACTTTATAATTTCCTGTGTTGTTATTATAAACTGCTTGAATGATATTGTTCTTAATAAAATCATTGGCTTCAATTAATTGTTGTTTTATATCCTTTTCTTCTTTAGTTTTTAGTTGTTCTCTTATCATATTTTTCACTCCATTTAGAACGCTCATCTTGGCCTCTACATCAGCATTGAAGGTTTTATTGCAGGATTGTATGACCTGTCTGTAGAGGAATTTGCATGAACTGTACATTTTTTTTTTTTTGTCTTATGTGTTTTTTTGCTGAAAGAAAATTTTCGATTTGAAGTTTGTGTCCATTCAGTGTTGTACGCACAGTTTTGTGTGTATAAATATGATTATGCATGTATTTTTTTTTTTTTTTTTATTTTAACTTCGACAATGCCTTAACTTTCTTGATTTAAATAAATACATTTTTCTATAAAATTGAGCAACGGAGAGGAAGATATAATCTTTTTGTTTGCATTATCACCCCCTTCGTTGAACGCTTCTTTGTAAATACATTTAGTCCATAATGTGGAACAAATTTTCTTTTTTTTTTTTATTGCATGTTAATATTTCTTTGAAATAATAGTGACTTAAAATTTTCTTTGAATGTTACCCATTTCTCTCACCGTTTTGTAGACCTGTTCTACATTTAAATCCCTATGTCTCCTATGTACCATTTGGAAGTGGACATATACATAAATATATATATATATATATATATATATGATATTTTGAATTGCATAAGTGTATTACCTTTTCATGTTTATTTATTATTATTTTTTTCTTTTTTTCAAAACAGTTATTTCTATTTTTTCACCTGTCTGTGGTGTCAATATGAGATCACGTAAAATCGATTAACTTGACAGTTAAGTAATTGTATAAGTATCTGTGCTTGTTATATATGTTCATGGATGCACACAATTATAAACCAAAAATTTGACACTAAATTCTTATCATTTGTCCCTATTCTGAGCTTATTATTATTCGTTTCTTTAACTTTTAAAAGCCTTTTTTGTAATGTGTTAATATAAATATGGAGTGTTCACATCGTTATGTAGAGATCGCATTGGTATGCAGATTTCATATCGATGATGAATTTTTTTTTATTCTATTTTTTTTTCCAGAACTTACGGTTCCGGACGAACAGCTTCTAAGATGAAGAGATTTTCAACTTTTTTATATACAAATATAACTTGCTATAGCAGTTTTAAAATTGATTAAATTATTAAATATAACATGAAGATGTTGGTATTTCTTATCAACTTGATAAAAATTGAAGGAGAATAAGTTGATGTTAATATATTCCCTAATAATTATACGAATTCAGCATCCGTTTATATCATACATAAGGCTATCTCATAAAGTGCCAGAACAAGAAATCCTCTTTTGCACTATCTGCTTTTGATGTTAAAATTTTTTCCGTTTTGCTTTTATTAAATATGTATTTACTATTGTTAAAAATTATTAGTCCATATTGCGAAAAGGTGCCATTTGCCAAATTAGTTATTTTTGCAGTTTATTTCCAGAAATAAACATTTATGGAACTTAAAAAAATAAAATAAAAATAATAAATTATATTTTCTCGTAAATTGCGGAATTCATTAATTTTTTTTTTTTTTTTTTTTTTCCTTTTATTGTTCAACGAGAATATGATGTTTAAAAGGTTCCCAACTAATAGCTTTATATACATATCTTTTTAAGAGTAAATTAAGAGTTGTCAATTTTTGTGTGTAGATATTATGTTGACTTTTAAAATAGCGCAGTTTAGCGGTCTTCAAGGTATATATTTGAGAGTGTTAGTTTTATGTTTAAAAAGTAAAGAGTATAGGAATTACAAATTCATCTTTTCACCAATCAAGCTTATTAATCTAGGTATTTACACATGTGTGTGCATGTAAAACACGCTCGCGCGAAAACAACTGGGTACACATGTTTTCACGTTAACATAGTATATCCACACAATAAGACGTAGTTCATTTGTGATAACATATGTGTTAAGTATATATGTACACCTTCTACACATATATTTTTTTTTTTTTTTTTTTTTTTTTTTTTTTTTGGGTTTTTTTTTAATTTTTCAACTTTTTTCGTTTTTCATTTTTTTTTTTTTACCTTACCCAAAACAAAATTCCTTTCGAGGGGGACGCAAAAAATTTGGGAAAAAATTTTACCCCCTTTTGTTTCAAAAAAAAGGAAATTTTTTCCCTCCTATTTGTATTATTTTTTTTCACCATTTTTTTTTTTTTTTTTTTTTTTTTTTTTTTTTTTTTTTTGTGGTGTTTCTTTCGAATTAGTCAACTGTTTACGTTTTGCATGTTTTGTTTGATACCTTACCCATACGACATTGCTTTCGAGGGGTACGTATGGAAATGTGTTTGTCCATTTGGTCTTATGTGTAAATGTACTTGTTAAATACTCTGAATGCTCATTTATTCATTTGCTTTTTGCTCATGTATAGAAGATTTTACATAAAGGTTAAGAATAATGGAAATTTACTATTACACGTTCGTGTATTGACAAATGTTTAAAGTGGAAGGTGAACATAACGTATTTTTTTTTTTTTTTTTTTTTTTTAATGATATACATGTAGAGGGCTCTTCCCCCTCGCTTCTAAAAAAAAAAAAAAAATCAGCTGATGGAGATGTTTATTTTTGAATAAATGGACAAGGCATGCACCATTAGCAATATGATTAATCGATATTTTGCGTACACATTCGTTATCATTAAAAAGAAAAAATTTTCCTCAAATGCGATGAGAATGTAGGTCCAACACTGATTAAAAATCCAAATGTATGTACTTCCTTACTTATGTGTGCATATGAACTCGAACGTATTATATACATGTACAATAATACATTTGTGTGCAGATGTTTCTGGAAACTTTTGTATCAACTTTCATATCTTTTCTTTTTTGTGCGCACAACAGTCACTTATTATTTTTAAAAGGGAGGAAAAAACGTAGCCTATTAAGTAACACAAAATAATGCTTATTTTTAACCACAAGAGTTTATACAATCTATTTGCTTTTTTACAAAAATAGCAACATTTTTGTAGAACACCTTTTTTTTTTTTTTTTCTTTCTTTCTTTTCATTTTTACGTAACGCGATAAATGCCAATATTTAAAAAAAAAAAAAAAAAAAAAAAAGTAGAAGAAAAAGTGTAAGCTAACAAAAAGAGAAAGAAAAAAACAAGAAAAAATGATCTCGCTTTAAATTAAACTAAATGACTATGTGCGCATCAGTTGTTGAGTTAAAAAATAAGTACGCAACATTATTTTTACAACTGCGTCACGCATGCATATACATTTTTATGTTTTGCCATTTCTCCTTTTAAGAACTGTGGTTTCGAGCCACAAGTTATTTTTCTCCTGTATGTTGATAAATTTCTCTGTAAGACAGTTTTATCCTATTCTGCTTTGATTTCGTTTATTTTTTCCCGCTCGTCTGATCTTCTTTTCCTCTATGACCATTCGGGCATTTTATTCCGCAACCCAGTTGAAAAAAAAAATAAATAAAACAAAAAATAAAAAGAAAAAAAAAGAAAACAGAACAAAACAGGATAAAACAAAACAAAACAGAATAAAATAAAACAAAATAAAGCAAAACAAAACAAAACAAAATAACGAATAAAAATATCAACCTTTTGCAGAATTTTTGCTGGTTAAAATAAAGAGATCTGCACAGGTGTGTAGCTACATATGTGCATATACGTGTACATATATACATACGTGCATATGCACTTGTACGTGTCATAATTTTTGGCGAAAACGAGAAGACAAGGTATATTTCATTATTCATGTGATTTTTACAGGCATGCACATGATTTTCAACCGAACCAAGCCTTATAGCCAATTGAATAAACATTTGTGCAGACACAGTTATAACGCATCCTAGTTTCCAAAAAAGGTGTTATCACGCCAACATGTTTTGTATACTCGCACATATATACGCATATATAAAAATATGTAAAAGTATGTAAAAATATGAAAAAATGTGTAAAAATGTGTAAAAATATGTAAAAATATGTAAAAATGTGTAAAAATATGTAAGAATGTGTAAAAATTTGTAAAAATTTGTAAAAATACATAAATATATACAAAAATATACATATATATGCATGCATATTTTGCCCGTTTATCGGAAAAGGGGAAATGTTGATGCTATCGCTTCGTGTGAATCCACACAGACACACCATTGTCCACACTGATTAATTGGAAATAACATTTTGATAATTTCCACATAATTAAGATATTTTCTCTTAAATGAATTCTGCTAATGATGCCATATTTTATGGCGATAACAATTCAGTACACCACAACAACATATGCGAAAATGCTCCTGAGAAGGTCATAAAAAATGGGAACACATCAAACGATTATATAATGAGCAATGATGGTATAAATGAAGGAGTTTATTTTTCTGTGGAGCGTGGAGAAAATGGAACTGCGAATGCGACACATGTGCATGCACCATTTCATCAGCACATGACTCACAACCAACAGGTAATAGCAACCCGTGGGGAGAGAAGAATAAAAGAGTATAGCAAATCGGAACGTGATAAATACGAGAAAATAGAAGAAATAGAAAGATATCTGAATATTAACAACGCAACGAACGTATGTTCCTTGAGAATAAAATTATGGGAAGCCCTAATGTTATATGTGAACAATATAAATGCAGAACTGATCTATTTTATTATAAACTGTTTAATGGAAGTAGAAGTTTACTGGGGAGAAGAAGCAACGAATAATTTACAAGATATTTTAAATTTAATTAATGATAAAAAATATAAAGAAGTTTCGAATAAAATTGGAGAAACATTATCGAGTTTATCAGTAACAACTGGAAAAGGAACAGAAGAAAATCCATTTTTTTACACATTAATAGTTTCCTCTAGGAGAGATGAAAATAGTAATAATTATAACTCAGATTTAGCATGTGAATTAAATAAAATATTACAGTATGAACAAAATAGATTATCAAATCAAAACAATAACAAAAAATTAGAATATAAAATTATTGAGGTAAGTAATGCGAAAGAGGCCTTATTAGCTTGCTTAATAAATTCACAAATATTATCGGTTGTTCTGGTTGATAATTTAACTACTGATGAAGAATACAAAAGGGAAAAAATTGAATTTTACAATTTTAATGAGGAAAATTCAATTAGTAACAAATGTGGAAACCCGTCTCACATGCTAAATTGCTCTATGGTAAATAATAATAGTCAAATGAAGGGCCCCTTGACACATAACATGCATAATTCCTCACCCTTCAGCAGTAAAGATGCCATGAGGAATATGATTCTCTCGAATTATCTAATCAATAACGGTAATAATAGCAGTATTGCTAATAATAACCACAACAACAGCAGCAGTACAAATATGAATGAACATAAAAAAGGAAATAATTTTTTTTTAAAAGATTACAAATTTGATATAGGAAATTTCGTTTTGGGATATGAACAACTAGTGGCTGCACCATTAGAAAAAATGAAGAAAGGGTTCAATAGCTTAGTCATATTAATTAAAAGTATTGCATATATTAGAAGTTCTGTTGATATTTTTTGTGTTTGTACATCTATCACGTTGGATAAATTACAATCGGTTAATAATAAAATAATTCGTATATTTACAACACATGATGATCATAGCGATTTACATGAATCTATCCTCGATGGAGTAAAAAAAAAAATAAAAACTCCATTTTTCAATGCCTTAAAAGCATATGCTGAAAGACCCATTGGTGTATTTCATGCTTTGGCTATTAGCAAAGGGAATAGTGTAAGAAGAAGCAGATGGATACAATCACTTCTCGATTTTTATGGTGTAAATTTGTTCAAAGCTGAATCTAGTGCTACGTGTGGAGGATTAGATTCTCTTTTGGATCCACATGGTTCACTGAAAGAAGCACAAATAATGGCTGCAAGAGCATATGGTAGTAAGTACTGTTTTTTTGTTACTAATGGAACATCAAGTTCAAATAAAATAGTTATGCAAGCATTGGTAAAACCTGGTGATGTGATATTAGTGGATAGAGCATGTCACAAGTCACATCATTATGGATTTGTTTTATGTCAAGCTTTACCATGTTATTTAGATCCATACCCTGTGTCTAGATATGGAATATATGGTGCAGTACCGATATACGTAATTAAAAAGACGTTATTAGAATATCGAAATAGCAACAAATTACACTTAGTTAAATTAATAATTTTAACAAATTGTACTTTTGATGGAATTGTATACAATGTCAAAAGAGTAATAGAAGAATGCTTGGCTATAAAACCTGACTTGATTTTCTTATTCGATGAAGCATGGTTTGCTTATGCATGTTTTCATCCCATACTAAAATTCAGAACAGCTATGGCAGTTGCTGATAAAATGAGAAACAAAGAACAGAAAAAAATTTACTACAAAGTTCATAAGAAGTTGTTAAAAAAATTTGGGAATGTGAAAAGCTTAGACGTAGTTCCAGCAGAAAAATTACTTAAAACTAGGTTATATCCCAATCCCTCTGAATACAAAGTGAGGGTTTATGCTACACAATCAATTCACAAATCTCTCACATCTCTGAGGCAAGGAAGTGTTATACTTATAAGTGATGATAATTTTGAATCTCATGCTTATACACCGTTTAAGGAAGCTTACTACACCCATATGTCAACATCTCCAAATTATCAAATTCTAGCAACGTTAGATGCAGGAAGAGCTCAAATGGAATTAGAAGGATATAGTTTAGTTGAGAAACAAGTAGAAGCAGCTTTTTTGATTAGAAAGGAATTAAGTGAAGATCCTATGATTTCAAGATATTTTAGAATTTTAAATGCTGAGGATTTAATACCAGATAGATTGAGACAATGCCATAATTTATATATGAAAAGGAAAAAAAAGTTTTTGAAAGAGCATTATTCCTCAGATTCAAAATATAGTGGCAACATGACATATTCTTGTACGTCTAAAAATCAAGGAAAAACTAGCATCACAGAATATCCTCCCCCACATGAGAAGAGAAGTGTAATTAAATATGAGGATCCAATTCAGAGTAGTAACATCTCTTCTCATGAATGTGCAAATGATGTAAATGGATGTACAAATCATTTTTCTCATAATTCTTTTGTACTAGGAGATTCTCCAAATAACACTATCCTATCATCAAATGGAAATAATAACAGTATGGCGGAAACTTGTGCCGTTAATTACAGAGGACATAACTATGGCCCATACTATGCACACCATGGAAAATTGGAGAAGGGTATAGATGCAGCTGAGAAAAGTAGCTATAGTAAGGTTTACAGTGAGTGTTGTTTCCAAAGGAAGGGTATCAAATTATACAAACGAAAAGACGGAAGAAATAGCCGGATGGGTAGAGATGAGCGAAGTGGTATTAGCACACGAACTGGTAAAGAGGAGAACTCAGAAACACAAGAAGGCAGCAATAATGAGAGTATATTGAACAGCGATGAAAATGAAAATGTAAATTTTTTTTTACATAAGAATAAAAAAAATTATAGCAGTTCATCATTTTCAACAGGTGTGAAAAATTTTTTAGAATATTTTGAATGCTCATGGTTGAGTGAAGATGAATTTGTGTTAGACCCTACAAGGATTACATTATTTACTGGATATTCTGGAATAGACGGAGATACATTTAAAGTAAAGTGGTTGATGGATAAATATGGAATACAGATAAATAAGACATCTATTAATAGTGTCTTATTTCAAACGAATATAGGAACAACCGGTTCATCGTGCTTATTTTTAAAAAGTTGTTTATCATTAATATCTCAAGAACTGGATCAGAAGAAGAGTTTATTTAATGAAAGAGATTTAAATCAGTTTAATGATAATGTGTACAATTTAGTATCAAATTATATTGATTTATCTGAGTTTAGTGAATTTCATCCATTATTCAAAAAAAGATATGTTGATTCGAGAATATTTAATAAGGAAGGGGATTTGCGAATGGCTTTTTACTTAGCTTATGAAGAAGATTATGTAGAATATATTTTAATGAATGATTTGAAAGATCGAATTAGAAACCATGAAATTATTGTATCAGCAAGTTTTATCATTCCATATCCTCCTGGTTTCCCTGTTTTAGTACCAGGACAGTTAGTAAGCCAAGAAATAGTTGATTACCTTTCAGGTCTAAGTGTTAAAGAAATACACGGTTATGATGAAAATGTTGGTTTTAGATGCTTCTACAATTTTATATTAGAGTATTTTTACAATCTTGTAACTTCAGATCCGTATGGGTATTATCATAAAATAGACAAGAAAATTTACGATAAAATGAAGCACCTTAATTTGAGTAAAAGAAGAAATACCTACAACAGTGCATACCATTTGTACATCTATGATAATGAAACAAACAAAATGAAAAAAGTATATGTATGCATTGGAAATCTTTCTACTGAGAATAATACAGCCGTTAGTGACACATACGAGGATGTTACGCAGTTTAACAATTTGAGAACTGATAAACCCAAGGGTACTAATCATTTCATTGGTGCGTATGAAAATATGAAGAACAATTCTCAGTCTGTCATCCCTACCATTCCAACCATTACGAACATATACACAATGAATGAAAGTGGTGGAAAAGGTACTAATGGCAGTGCAAAATACATCAATGAACGTATCGTCATAAGGGACACTGATTGTATGTCTAATAGCGGATGTGTTAGCAACTGTACAAAAAGAGAAAGCAGAGAAGGGGAACTGCAAGATCTGAGTGGCGAAAATGTAGGTATCAACGATTCTGTTAGTTTGAACATTATGGACAAGAGTTTCTCAAAAAGGAATTTCATCAAATGTGGCTCCAAAAAAACACGCACGAAGGAATTATTATACAATGAGAAGAGACAGCTACACATGCATTATCACATTTCGAACGATATGTTGAAACAAGATGAGAGGAATTCTTTTAGGAGAAATATAAAAGAAAATATCTTAAATGTACAGGGAGGCAAAGATCATTGTTTTGGTGAAATTGAGAAGAATTTGGAAAATTATCAATATCAAGGAGATGGATTTTCCCAAGTTTTTTCCAAATTGAACAAGGATAAGAAATGCAAAGGATGTAATCATGGGAAGATGGAAAAAACCCGTCAAGCGAAAAATAGGAATTGCAAGAACCGAATCGATTATAAAACCTGCAAGGTGGAAGATACAAATAGTTGCACAAATGATGAATATAACAAAGACTACAAGCATAGAGCAGATAAAAACCACACCATAAGGAGTGGAAATAATAACATTCTTCAGAAGAGGAAGAAAAAAATTGGGGGAAAAAAAACATTGGGGTCTGATTTAGCAGATGCGTCTACGGGTAATGTGGGCATTCACAGTGTTGATAATGGAGCTGATGATGGAGATAGCAACAATGATGCTGACAATGATGATGATGGAGATTATGCTGATAATGATGATGGTGGAGATAATGCTGATAATGATGATGGTGGAGATAATGCTGATAATGATGATGGTGGAGATAATGCTGATAATGATGATGATGGCTATGCTGATAGCGATGATGATGGCTATGCTGATAGCGATGATGATGACATCGTTAAGACTACATCAAATGAAGGGCACCAATACAATTGTGCAGTGAAGACGATCAAGGGTAGTAGGAGACCTGAAAATAAAGTAAAAAATTTCGGAAAAATGAACATGGTAGTAGGAATAGTAAATGGACGCTATAATGCGAAGAATAAAGAGGAGAGAAGGGGCACAGAGGAAAAGCCAAAATATAATGACACGGATGATAGTAACAGCATACAGAGTGGTCTAAGCATAAAAACACACAACAATGTGAATTACATATCGTATACCAATTCCATGAAGAAGACAACAAAATGTAAAGGAAATTACGATGGGAGATATACTAAGAATATGTACAAGTTCATTCCAAAACTTAGGCAATCGAACCCTGTTATGTGTAACAAGATAAAGAAGAGTGGGTTAGTGATGCAGAGGAAGCGCTTATCAAATATAAACTATTGGCATAGACAAGTTAGTTATAAGGGCAATAGGGATGGTTCTGTATATAACTCTGATGCTAGGAGGAAGAACAACAACAACAAAAAAAACGGAAAAAACAAAAACAACAATAATGAACTGGATTGTGCAAGAGAAGGCGAAAAACAGTGGTGTAGAAGAAATACCGTTGAGAAAAACATCCCCATTACAGGCAATATTAGCCTTAACACTAAAAGAGAGGATCTCATTGAAAATGTCAGCGCTAACGAGAATGGAAATGAGGAAGCACGAAACTGTGTTAATCGGAGTAATATAATATTTTTGGATAAGTGTCTAAAAGGAGATATAGTAAAAAGAGGAGGTTCGCAGAGTCGCTCAAATGGAAATGATTCTGTTGATCAAGGTGGATATGAAAAGGTTGATTACAATGCTAATTATTATTTCGGGAAAAATACAAAAATGAATGTTGAAGAGGTTTATAAAATGAAGGATTTTATCAGTCCTAACGAATCCCAGAGGAATGATTTAAGTTCTGAAACCCTTTTGAAAAATGAGATATATACGAATAAGAGAGGTATAGATATTGTTAATGTTCAAATGGGTGGAAATAGCTACACAAAGGACACAATGTCTTCTGAGATACATTTTCATAGGAGCAGTGAAAACAAGAGTTCAGATGATAACATCAGCAATAGTGGAAGGAGAAGGGGTCTAGGTATCATTGTACCTACGCATTTGAGTGGAAATCATGATCTCAATAATGAGAACCTGAACAGTCAGGTAAAAAATGAAATAGCTTTTTGTGGAAATGAGTTTCATTATGATGAAAATGAGTTGAAAATGAACTCTGGAGCTAGAGAAAATAACGAAATCGATAAAAACGCCATAAGGAAACTAAATTCACTGAATAACAATAGCTACATAAATAATCTCATAACGAATGTGGATGATGATACCTTTATTCATAAAGAGGGAAATTTTTTCCTTGAGTGTGCCTTAACGAATTCGGAAATGAATGGCAGTTCCTTTGAAATGGAAATGTCCCTGAATAATGTGTACTATAATGGAGGGGAGGGGTCCAAGCATCCCCCGAGCTACGATAGAGAATAGAGCAATTTTTAGTACACACATTTCATTTGTGTACTGTGTTGTAGTAATGCCACTATGTATATTATGCTAGTGTGTGAGAACGCAAGTGCGGTCTATTTTTACATGTGCTTCGAATTGGAGGATATGAAAAATCCATTCGGTATTGGGAAGCAAGGCAAAAATGTGCAGAAAATGTAAGAAAAATGGGCATAAAACTGTGAAGAAAATTTTGTGATGACAGGAACTTGTGAATAGTGTTTACTTTACAATGTTGAATCCAACTCAGCCGTATGGATATGTTGTAAGGAGCAAGTTGAATTAGCAAATGTTGAAGAATATATATTCGCCAGCACAATTAGCACAACGAAGATGTATTAACAGAAGTTGCACACGGGAACTAGATTTCTCGTATGTTTTTGCGAATGTGAAAAGCGAGTTCCATAGAAGGAAAGTTTCCTATGGAAAGCTAATCTAATCGTTGTTCTATTTGTTTTATATACGTTTTAGATGGTGCAAAATATGCATGCATATATTTTTTCTGTATTTAAGAAAGGTAACTGTTGCATTTACATACATATATTTGTGCCTATATATTTTATGATATACGCAGAAGCATTATAGTCTCTCCTCATTTGTAACGAAAAAAAATAAAAAAAGGAATTTCAAAAAAGGAATTTGAAAAAACGTATTCCAAAAAACATATTTGAAAAAACGTATTTAAAAAAACGCATTTGAAAAAACACATTTGAAAAAACACATTTGAAAAAACGTATTTGAAAAAACGTATTTGAAAAAACACATTTGAAAAAACACATTTAAAAAAACACATTTGAAAAAACACATTTGAAAAAACACATTTGAAAAAACACATTTGAAAAAACACATTTTCGTCCTTTTGGCATTTTATAAAGTTTTTCCATTTTTTGTAAAAGAGTAAATGGATGCAAAAGGAATAAGAAACAACGACATGGCAAAAATATGTACGGTTGACAGTGTGTTGCATGGTTCCTTAATGTCAAATTTGAACTCACAGAAACTTGCTTCTTATCAATCTTTTTTCGTTTTTATTTTTTTAAATTAACTTAATGTGCTTAATGGGTATACAATTTAGGTTTTTTTTTTTTTTTTTTTTTTTTTTTACATGAAAAAAATCATTATCGTTCAAAAAGAAAATTTGATAGTCGTTAAATAGGGAGATATAAACACGAATAAACCCAAACACATTTACGCTGTTTATTGACGTCTGTAATTTAGATATGCGTTAAAATAGTAGGATACCTATGCAGGGTAAGTTGGAGGGTGGGGAGGCAAAATAAGATATGTTACTCTTGTTACACTTGTGTATTTATACGTATGAATACACATGTGTTAAACATATGGACATACAGCAAGAAGGATTATATATAGCTCTTCCCTAACTGTAGCCATTGTTCTCTCTATCGCTTTTTTTTGTTTTTCTGTAGTTACCTTATTGAATGCGTTTAAAAATGATTTTGGGACCATGGGGTGCGACAAGCACTGTCTGATAATTTCTAAGGAACAGGAGATGGGGATAAATATGCAGATAAATAAATGGGTTTTTTTCAAAGTGTGCGTTCGAAGAACATGCACAGAAACGAAATAATGTGATAGGCGTACCTCCATTCTTTGCATAGCAGGCGTGGAAATACGAATCCGAGGAACTATACCTAAATAGATGGGAATAAGTGTTTTTAATCAGCTATCGATAAGCAGCTACCGATTTACGTGTGTAGATAAAATGCCACTTTTTTTTTTTTTTTTTTTTTTTTGCTTTCTCCGTGTGGTGTTGTTTTGTAACTATAGAACTTGTTCAACTTACTTTAACTTAAAGAAATGCAGATAAATAATCAAATTTAGTACAGTGGCTCTTTTCAAAAAGAGACATATAATTATAAAAACTAAGTTGTAGATTTCTATGCTCGCTCTCATCATATAGACTTTTCCAATCTGTTGGTGGGGGGGAAAGGGGAATCATCATTAGATTAGCAGATGAGATGATGAATAGATGAGCAGATGAGATGATGAATAGATTAGCAGATGAGATGATGAATAGATTAGCAGATGAGATGATGAATAGATGAGCAGATAAGTGCATGATCGGATGCATATATAGGGAGACGAAAAGCGGAAAAGTGATAAACTTTCCAAAATATTGCATTTTTCCTAAAAGGATGTCCCTTCTTGATTTCATTTTTTTTTTTTTTTTTTTCTTTAAATCTGGAGAGTATACTTAAGAAATGTAGACATTTTTCTTACTGTATGATCAAAATAGGAAACAACTTTGTTAACATAATAATTCCTACGAAGAAAATGAAAAAAGTAATAAAGAATTCAGGTCAAAATAATGAATTGTTCAAAATGGGGAGGTGTCGATAGAGAGAGGCATGTCATGCAAAGTCATCGGTGTGCATATCTATATATTTCCTTATATGTATTACTGTACCTTTGAATTGTGGGGGGACAAATGGGTTTAATCTGTTTATACATGAGATACGAATTAATTAAAAGGGTAAAAAATATGGGTAGAAATATTAAGACCGCATCTTTAATAAAAAAAAGTATCATAGAATAAGACAAATATTGGCCTAAAAAGGAAAAAACGAAAAACAAGGAATAAAATAATTAAACAGGAAAGCAATTAAGAAAGTAAGCAAGTGTAACGGGGGAAGATATTATATTATGTTTATATGTATGAGTGTACAGAATTTTAAGGAAGTTGTAGAACAATTTGCAAATGTTTATTCTACTCTAATCAGATTTAATCGAGAATATGTATATGTATGTGCATTTTTTCGTCTTTTTTGAAAACACTAATTTCTCGTAAATTTTGACATGAAAATATGTTGTAAATATATAAATTTCAAACTTTGTGATTATTTTTTTTAGTTCATTTTTATTTTGTTTTTTTTTTTTTTAATGTGTTATTAGTCATACCCTTTTCACTTGAGAAGAATTGTACGATGGAAAAATTTTGCTTCTGCGTTTTGTAATCCATATATAGGAAACTTAGGAATGCGAAAAAGTAAGATAGGGATATGAAGGTTCCCATTTTCTACGAGTATGGAGATAGAGTAAAGGGTGAAAAATATTTATAACAGTGGTTTCTGTGATTGTGGTTGTAATTGTGATGGTAATAGTGATTATAATTGTGATGGTAATAGTGATTATAATTGTGATGGTAATTGTGATTATAATTGTGATGGTAATTGTGATTCTAATTGTGATGGTAATTGTGATGGTAATTGTGATTCTAATTGTGATGGTAATTGTAATTGTGATTGTAATTGTAATCGTTATTATAATCGTTACTGTGATTATTCTTCTCATTTTTATTTCAAGATGTAACTACTGGTACTGGCACTACCTTAATGGCCATTCCGAGAATCGCGACCATCGCTCCTCCCTTACCTTATACAAACTCAAGTTTAAGGAAAGAGTTATAAAATAGAAGAGACTAATACATAATACAAATATACTGTAAAAAAAGGTAACCAATGGGACATGTCCATTGTAATTGTAGCTTTTGTTGTTGTTTCCTTGAAAATTGGGATATTGTGGTTTTTCCTCCTTAACATTATCATTACTATAACTTTGGTTTATATCAAGATTTTTATCGATATTTTTCTGAAAATATTTCCTTTTATATTTCTCTATATGATGTATTGATGGAGATGGATATAAGTTAGTTAAATATTGTTTCCATTTTTTATCGTTTACCCAATCGTGATCTACCAAAAAGGGACAGGCGATTAGCACATTATATTTCACAGAGTAGGAATCAGGGGATTGTATGTGTGATGCCCGTCTCGTATGAATAACAGTGTATGTAGTGTCACACATAAGCATTGTGCAATCTATATAAGCACTGTGCGATCTACATAAGCATCTATGAATTCAACACAGATAGAAGTTCATAAGAGGGACATGTATATACATAAGTGCATATTGTGGCATGCGAAAAATGCTCTTTCCCCTTAACTCTCTCACATAAAAAAATTACTTTGAAATTTCTGTTCAGCTTCAGTTAAATTTTTCATTTTCCCTTAGAATACTATTATAGCTACAGGGACATGTGGGGAAAATGGCACAATTTTTTTAAATCACAAATGTTTAAGATTTCGATGCTATATTGCCAGCAAAAAAGAAAAAAAAAAAAAAATGACATAAATTATGGGTTTTAAAAAAATGAGAGGAAATTGTATATTTTTTGTGTTAAATCCATGATTAAAAAACACACGATGCGGTAATGATTGAGGGACTTGTTAATTTTTGTGTAAAAATATTTGTTATGTAATACTATGTTAAGTTGTGATAAGTTGTGATAAGTTGTGATAAGTTGTGATAAGATGTGACAAGATGTGATACGTTATGCTATGCTATGTTGTGTTTTTTTTTTTTTTTTTTTTTTTTTAACGTTGATAATAAGGTTACAGATGATTATCTACTCAAAATAAACATCAAATTGGGGCAACAAATTTCCAACAAAAAAAAAAAAAAAAAACAACCACATATAGGCAGCACCTATGACCGAATAAAAAACTCAGTAATTTGAAAGAAAGTAGAGCACAACACAGATACAAGAAAGACTATAGAGGAGTACTAAAAAATTGCATGAAGTAGAACAAAGGATAATTTAAAAGAAAAGTGAACTAGTGGTAAAAAAAACCTTTCTTATGCGGAAAATGTCCCAGTCCCCTAATGACTCACAAAATATGTGACATTCCATAGGGAGTAAGTAAAATTCTCTCAAAATCAGTAACATTCTTAGAAGAAAGAGAGTTCTTATTTCTCTCCTCTGTGTTTCCTTAGTATAGTTTTATGAATTAGATAAAGCCATCAATTTAGCGAAAACCAATTTTGAGTTTCGTAAAACGCAGTAGTTTATACTTTTCCGTGTTTCTCGCTTCCCTAATTTTACATTTTAAACTGACTCCCCTCCTCCCTCGGCAGGACGTTTCATAGCTGCCTACTTTTTTTTTTAAATAAATATAGTTATAAGAAATTACGAAAAATTTTGATCCCCCTATTTGTAAAGAATAAATAATTGTATTTTCATATTTTTCTTCGAAAGCTCAAAAGTTATTGTTTAACCATTTTCTACACTTTCTTTAATGTGACTATTTATATTGAATTTTTTTTTTTTTTTTTTTTTTTTTGTGGGGAGGGGATTTTACGAAAAGATTTACAACCCACGCATCCTGTGATGCGTTAAAAATAGTATATATAAATTTCATTTTCTCAAAATGAATGAACGAATTATAAAAGAAAAATTAAAAGTTTCACTTAACCACATGAACAAGAGAAGGCTAAGATTTGACCTAAAAGTATTTCCTATAAAAAAAACAATATACGAAATTTTTAACATTTTTTCAAAAGGACTAAAAAATAAATTAAAGCAAACTTTGATAGAGTTAAAAAATAGGAAAACAAAATGTGATATATGCTCAGAAATGATTGATACATTCACCCCATTTCTGTCATACGACATTGATGTGAACAATACGACATTTTCTTTTCGCAAGATAGAGGTTTAACACAAAAATGGAATTAATAAAAATAAAAAAAGAAACGAATTTTTATAGTTTTTTTATTTCATCTTAATATGTACCATGAAGAGTAGTGCTGAATTGGTTGCATCAGGGGTAATTGGATGTACCCCAGTTTTTATGTTCTGCACGTTTGTACCTGTTAAACGTGTCTCAAATGTGTGTTAAACGTTTCTCAAGTGTGTGTTAAATATGTCTCAAGTGTGTGTTAAATATGTCTCAAGTTCATGTCAAACGTGTCTCAAGTTCATGTCAAACGTGTCTCAAGTTCATGTCAAACGTGTATCAAGTGCATTCCTAACATAAACACCATATTTTCCCACCCCAGGTATGCTGCTCAAAATGCTGCGAAATAAAAAACTTTACCCAATTTTCCCACGAGTTGCACAAAAACATAAACTCGGACGAATTTTTGAATTTCTCCCCTATTTACCAGCACTACTATAACGTTAATAATTTGGAAATGCATCAGAAGAAGATTCTTGAAAATGACATAAACAATTATTTCTCGATGTGCGTGTTGGCAAAAAACTTAAGGTGGAAATGCTCCACTCCACACAACACCTTGGACGAATTTCTGGAATTCTCATTACGCATCCTTGAATCAGAAGAATCACAAACAATGAATGACGATGTGCCCAAAAAGAGAAAAACGGAAGAGACATCACTAGATCATGTTTTTAACAATTCAAAAAGGAAAAAACTACTAAGCACATAAAGGATAATTTTTTTTTTTTTTTTTTTTTTTTTTTTTTTTTTTACAAACTCGTAATTCTACACCAGAATGGGTTTAAACCTAAGAGATATGATGTGAAGTTATTGCTCACCTAGATGTATATTTTCTTTTCTTTTCGAAGTTTGAATTAATCCATAGGAGGAACGGAGGTGATGTAGGACACACCTCACACGAATATATATCACAGCAGTTATTTTTTGTCATATTTGTAAAACATTTCGAGACCTTATCATTTATTAGTCTCCGCCCCCCCCCCCCACAAAGTCCATCTTTGTGCACATATTAGAACAAAATACACATACATATCTAAATTTTTAATTCGAAAAGTATTTTATGAGCATTTTTTTATGTTTTGGTAATTTATTTTTTATTTTATTTTTCCCATCCATTTTATATCTGTTTTCTGCACCCCCCCCCCTCTTCTCCCCTAAAAGGGGAAAGCATGTCCAAGTGGACATACAAATAAAAAAAAAAAAAAAAAACTCTCGTTTGATATTCGTTACACGATTTTAATTAATTATATGAAGCGTAATAAAACTTTTTTTAGATAAGTCTGTATTAAAGCGTATAATTTTTCCGTAAATTTGTGATAAAAAAAATAGGGTGAAAATAAATGTGGAATAAATAACACATAAGGAGGGCGTTGTATATAAAGTATACATAATACAACACATATGTATATATCATATACACATTTTTACTGTCCTCTGATAAAAGGTTTCTCCAGGAATAAGAGCAAAGTAAAATGTAATAAATAAAAAAAAAACCTAAGTAAAAAATATTTTTGCATGAATGAAAATTTAACAATGTTCTGCTTATGAGCTTATAAAGGAGAAAATATATAGCTCACGTTAGGGGTTGTGGTGGGATGGCAGACCAAACGAAGAAAAAAAAAAAAAAAGGGATTGTACTTGATCTATTATTCATCAGCATCCCTTATATGAATGAAGTTTCTACGTCGGCTTCATCCCCTTCATGCTGGTCTAGCAAAGAAAATTGTAAAAAGTGATTAGGTCTATGTATGTCTGCGTAGAAGGGTTGAGGAATATCCAACTGCGCTGAGTATTTTTGGTTATTATTAAATTTGATACCCATCAAGTTGTAATTCCATATATTATCATCAGGTATTAAAAAGAAACCAACAAATACATTGGATAGTAGTATTTGCACTTGTTCATATAAATTATTGGCATTCGGATATGCATATAAATCTGCTGAATTTTTTTTACTTTTTGCAAAGCTATATCCATCATCTGTTAATTTATGTGCATTGATTGTACAACTACCAGGGGTAAAGGAACATGTAAGAATAATGGTTTTGTTTTTATCCCAAATTTTAGAAAATTCTCCACTTTCATCATTCGCATTATCATCAGCAGTGATATCTTCATCCGAATTGGTAGTCCCTTCTGTTTTTTTCTTTTTCTTAGTTCTACATTCTTGTAAAAATGATAAATGTGCAACCATATCGTAAGTAGTCAAATGATTACTCGTGTTTGAGCAATTGGTTGTTTGTGTATGAATCCACCCAAGAATTTCTAAATTTTCTAAATATTTACTAGATGGTAAATAATTTGATAAAGTAACAGATTGATAATTTCCTATTTGCGGTGGAATAAGGATACATTTAATTTCCTTTACATAAGAGTTGTCTGGAGGGGAAGAACCATATAGAAATCCACCAACTTGTATTTTTAAATCCGATATGCATATGAATTTTTCTAATAAATTTTTTGCAATGACATACGTGTATTCATTAATCGAACTGATTGTATTCATGCCATTACCACCTTCTTGATTTATATTTTTTAATGAATTATTATTAACGTATATATTTTTGGTTCTAAAAAGCAAAGAGTTATTAGCTAGATATCTAATTTTCCAATCCGTTTTTGTTGTAAATGTTTGTTGTTCATGAGGTGATAAGGTTGAAACGATAATTGATGTTCCATGTTTTGTAGTCGTTTTGGTTGTAGTAACCTTCATCTGTTGTTCAATGTTATCTAGATTATTTTTTTCTAATTCTGCAATTTGTTGCCTTTGAATTGATGGTGGTGTAATTTCCATACCTAGTAAAATATCTCTTATTTCGTTCTGTGTTAGGGAAGCAATATGTACATTATTTCTCTTCGAGTAATCATTAAGAATTAAATCCTTAAGTTGGACTTCTAAATTAATCCATTGGTTGTTATTGAAGGTGGGCCAAATGTGATGTGGTTGTGTTATTATGCTTTTATTTGGTTGTAATAGTATTTTTGTTTGCTGTGGATTTATATGCAAACTTCTTAAAATGAGAATTAGTCTACTAAAGGCTGTAAAGGAAGAAATTGTATTTAACCAATCATCATACAAGTTGAACAGCAACATTTGCGGTTGTGTTGCCTTCAATATAAGGTCTCCTATTTTGTTCAGTTTTAGCAAAGCTTGAAAGGGAAGATTTAATTCTGTTCCTTTGATAATAATATTTGGGAAATCTAGCAAATGTACTTCTAAAGGATCTAACATACCTTTTCTTGTTACAATAATTTGTTTTGGTTGTTCCTCAATAGGGAGTGATCTAATTAGCGAAGCAACTTCTTCTGCTGTTTTCCATTTGGCTAGCTGAGATAAACGTTTCTGTCCTATCCATACAGATGTGTGTATGATTTTTAAAAACAATTGACCCGTTTTCGGGTTCAATATAAAGATGGCACCATTTATTGGCTTAGTAGTAAGATTTCCTTCAAACGTTTTATGAATTGTAACTCTATAAACATTAGTATCATCAACAAACCAGATGGTTTGCGATGAGAAAAGTTCATTATAATTCTGCGTATTTAGATACGGTTCTGTGGGTTCTGAAGAATATAGTTGAAGTCCTTTTCTAATTCGTTCTCGCAAAACATAAAGTGATGGATTGGACTGAATAATTTTTTGCAAAGCTTTCTGCATCAATGGTTTCAGATTATTAAACCAGTTTCCATATGCTGAATATAAATTATATGCCAAATCCACACCTATTAAAACTCCGGTTAAACATGGATATATAGACAAATTATCTGTAGTATAATCTAGAAATTTGGCACGACTATATCTTTCAATATCGTGAGAATCAAAATCTCCCCATCGTAGTTGAATATCAATCCAGTATTGATTAGATGTGTATGGATAAGAACCTAGAGCTAGAGAATTATTCGACTTAATTTCTAAATTATTCAGAAATATGTTATCTTCATCTGATAGTAATGAAGGTTTGGAAATTCCCCATTTATAGTTAGCAAATAGGAGAATATCTGCACAAGAACTATTCATTTTGTAGGATTTTCTGGGATGAATAGTCTCTTTTTGTACCGTTTCAATGTCTAGTAAATCACAATTCAAATCGAACACTTGACATATGTCCATAACGAGAGATTCATGAATTTTCTGCCAGAGATGTGCTCTAAATATTTGTATTAACGATATTTTTAAAGTGGGTATTTTTCCATGCATAAATATACCCGTTAAATCTAACTGCACTTGAAATCCTACATATACATTTGCACGATTGATTGTTGGGGACCACCATAAGGTAAATCTTCTGTTAGGAATTTGATTTAATCCACTTCTCTGAGCATTTGTTAATTTTTTATATTTCATAGATTCCTCAAAACCGCTAGCTTTTTCCCAAAACAATCCTTCCCATGTTGGAAAGAAGGTTCCCTTAAATAGGGTGTGTTCTAGTATCCCTTCTACACCTCCTAAAGCTTGAATCATATCGGTTCTATAATTATTTAGATTCCATAATTTTCCATCGTGTCTTTGATTTGTCCACCAGAATGGGTTACTCTTAATAATTTGATATTGTTTAAACAACTGTCTTATTCTCCATCCTTTGTCATAAGCTAATGTATGCCTATCCTTCTGAAAAAGGGTATTAATTCTAGGTATACCTTTATCCCAAGAATCTTCTAAATCTTCCAATGTAATTTTTTTATTTTGATTGTGACATTCGTTTCTTTTTAAAGCATATTCACACCATACTCTTTGGCTTTCTAAAAATTCACTTTCCCACGTGGATATGTATCTGTACAAATTTGGTATTAGCTGATCTTCTTCATGAGACAAACCAGCTCTAAAATGTGTTATTTTCCCACTATCTGTTTGTTTCATATATCGTAAATCGGATTCTGGTATTAATATATGGCCCATGGATAACATTCCTAGACCTCCCAATTCTTTAGGTGTGTAAAATACAACTGGAGGAAAACGTGATGGCATCTTAGAATTTAATCCTATCTTGATACGTGTCTGTATTTTATTTTCACATTTTACCAATAGGTCTAACAATTCTTCTGTATCTAAAACGGCTTCTCGAAAGTAAGTCATTAATCCTATAAGAGTTGTATTCCATTTGTTGGCAATTTTTGTGAATGTAGTACTTCCTGAAGACATTAATATTTGTCTAACTCGGTTTTCAAATCTTTTCATGCTATTTTCTGAAACTTTTAGATATGCTTCGGCTGTAATTTCTTTTGTTACTTCATTCTGTAACTTCCAAGTTCCTTCCTTTTCGCTGGATGAAATTACTACATTTTTCTCTCCATTATTCTTGTTCAGATTTGAAGCTGTTTTTTTTTCAGTTTCGTCTTTACCCGATTCAATTTTGGCATACTCATTTATGTAGTTCGTGTACATATTAATTCCATATGCTAACTGTCTTATTTTTGGCAATATACGGACTTCAAACCCAGCAATAGTGAATAGTAAATTAGGATTGTCTTTCGAATAAACACTAACAAAGGTATTGTGATGATCCCAATCTAGGGAAGTTAATGATCTTGGAATTCTATTTTGTATTTCCCAAAATGTAGCTCTACCTAAATTAACATCATGTTTCATTTTTCTCATTCGACAATCTCTAGGCCAACAAGTTTTGTTATTATACCCAACGATGTTTTCATTATTTGGATCAGGATTTTCTGTTAAAAATTTCTGAATCAAATCTTTCGATTCTTCGTTTGTAAATTTGAAGAGAATCCATATTTTGTCCACATATCGGCAGTATAGTCTTATTGGATGTCTCGTTTCTATATGAACATTTTGAAAACTTAAAAATGGATTCACATCATTGTAAGGACCTGCAATTTCATATGCTCTAGTCAATCCTAGAATGAGCAAATCGATTATAATGGTATAGTACTGAAATACGAAGGAAGAAAATTGCAACCCTCTGATGATACCAAAGGAATTTATATGATTCATATCTTTAAATGTAATATTGGTATTGTTCTTGGCAGTTATATAATCTGCAATGTTGTGGTCAACAATTAAACGTAATAATCGATTTAAAAGTGTCAAATCAATTTTCTCATAAATCTTACTAAACTGTGTTTGAAGCATTACGAGACATTCATTATTTTTCGTTTCCCAAATATTGTGTAAATTGTTTATCCCTTGACACATTTTATAAACTAACAATGGTTGTGGTTCATTGTCTGACGGCTTTACCCAATTGGGAAATAAATTTCTTAAATCTCCTTCATACCATAGATATTGATCTAGATATGCATCCGTAATTTTTTCCAATGGATCAACTTCGTATACTGGAACTAAGTGGGTATATAAATCTAGGAAAGAAATTGCAATTTCTTTAAATGCTCTTTGTGTCAGTAAATGTCTTTTTATTCTTGACAGTGTTTCATATGGGTTATCATATGCCTGTTCTATGAACCCTAATTCTTCTCTCTGTGATTGGTTAAGTCTATTTTTAACAGTAAATGTTTCTTTGAGCTTTTCCAATGCTAAAATGAGTAATTTTGTGTCATGCTTATAATTTAAAGGCGGAAATGGAATGTGAGTAAATTTACGAGATTCAAACCAATGAATTGCTGTGGTGTACAATGCAACTGCTTCTTCTCCACTAACATATGGGCCATCCTTTAAATATTCATGTTGCCTTTCCTGTTCTGCCTTAAGCCATAGTCTTGTTAATCTACCTAAATTTTTTTTACAAACAGTTTTGTCAACAGTAGCACCTCTTTTAATCCTTTCTCTGTTATAATAGGTTGCATTTATCCACCAATCTGCCTTGAGTTTTATGTACCGAATAATCATATTTTCAACTGGTAATGGTAGTCCAACTACTTTCCATGGGATATTAGCTTTCCAACATCTCCATGCTTCACTAAGATGTTGTAAAATAAGCCTTGCTTTTCCTTTATTATTTTTCAGCCCTGCTGGAATCATATCAATTATGTCATGCATAACTGCTGCTCTTAGTTCTAAATCAAAGTGGCTTTCTACTCTCTGTTTTGTAACCGTTTTTGCAATCCCTTTTGAAACTCTCCCTTCAAATTGTCTTGCCAGTAAATTGCTTAGCCATCTTTCTAGTAATGGTATTACACCTCTTAGAAAAAAAATCCATACTCTCCATAAGGGGGCCCACATACCACATCCTGGACCTTTTCCAACAGAACCTGTGTTAAATCTGTAATATATTAAATGTTTTAAATCTTTACACATTCGAACTTGCCTCATAAGTTTGTATTTATATCTATACATTCCTGTTAACTGTCCAACATGTGAAAATATGTATTGAATGCCATCCGCTAACTGATATGCATCAATATTTCCTAATCTGTACTGCACATGTGAATCTACTATAGATTTCGTTAATCTAAGTATTTCTCTACATAAATGAAAAGCATTTCCAAAACGTGATTTTTTTCTCTCCTTCGTAGTTAATGTTTTAACTGGTTTCAAATTAAAATTGTAATCCAAATGTAAGTAATTTAAATTTTTACGATGGATTAGCAAATTCAGCATATTATATCCTTGTCTACATACTTGTAGGCCCACTTCTACCCAATCCATTTCGGTACATTGAAAGAATTTCGTACTTTTGAAAATTCGGAATAAATATTTTTTCTTCATACTTTTTGGTCTCTTCGAATGTAAATGATTCAGAACCCAACATTTTAAAAGTTTTTGATAAGAAACTCTAACCTTCACAGGATACTTTGTAGATATATGTTCTTTAAACCAGGATTGCACAAGGGGAATATCGATTCCTCTTCTTGTATATCCACACTTTTTGTTAAATGGGTAAGGTGCGTGATACAGTTGAATTCCATTGATGGTTCTTTCAGTATATAGTGGATATTCATTTAATAAGGGCAAAATTCCATATTGGACATTTTTTATGATAACTTTTTTCCTATTTGGTTTTGTCCAATCTTTTTTTTGTACATTCATTTTTTCCTTTCCCCCATCATCATTATCATCCTCATCTTCTAAATCATCACCTTTAGCATCGTCATCCTCGAATGATGGATTCTTTCTCTTCTTCTTACTTCTTTTGTGATAACTCCTGTTAGAACTATCATCCCCTCCATAATTTTCAATAGTACTGTTGTCAAATTGGTCTTGATCATCATCATCATCTTTGTATTTGCTGCTGCAGATGTTTGTGCTGCTGTTATTAGCACTATCGTCGCTGCTGTGGCTTTGTTGACCGTGACGTTCTTGGCCATGGTGATGACTACCTTTTCGTTTAGATCTACTTCCATTGCTGTAAGTTGTATCGTCCCTATTTTCATGATGGTGATCATCATGATCATCTTGGTAATCATCTGTTATGGTTGGATCGTGTGTGGAATTGTAATCCCTTTTTTTCTCCCTCATGGATTCCTTACCTGAATCATTTTGATTCCCTTTTTTGTAGTCTCGATCACTTGTATAATGTTTACTTTCGTTTCTACTCTTCCTAGTTTTTCTGCCTTTCGTGTTAGTTCTCCTTCCGTTCTTTCCACTACTTCCTCTACTTCCATCACTGCTGTAACCACTTCGAACATCGTGGTCAGAATTTCCTGCTTTCTCATTTCTACCGTGACTTGATTGGGATTCATTTTTCTCCTTGTCATGAACCGAGCTGTAATGAAACTCCTTCCTTGTGAAAATAAGATAGAACTGATCTAAATCCTTTTTCTCCTTTTCTGGATTATTAAAATTTCTTATTTTATAAGACGGAATTGGGTTTATAATAAGATCAAAGTAGAATGGAGGTAAATCTATATCTTCCAATTTGATGTAGACACACATAGGGGAATGATATTTACTAACTGCAATTTTTCTCGGCCTATTATTATATAAATAAGGGAAAGCAATTTTATATTCAGTTCTTATCTGTTGACGTATGATGATTTTATTAATATCATTAAACTCATTCCAGTCTTCATCATCTTCATATATATCTCTATACAAAGGTTCGAATTTTGGCCCACCAGGTATGGCCATATTGAGTGCCTTGGCTGTATAAAATGATTTTAAATTAAATAGATAAAAATAGTTATCATCCTGAAAATCACTAAAGAGTTGATTTCCTAATCTGTAGAGTACCCCCATTTGTTCAAGATTTAGTTTATATTTTTTATAGCTGGTACCCATAATATGATTTCTGTCATATAATAATGGTTTGGAATCATAAAACCAATCTATAACACTTTTATCTTCATCTTTGTCTAACTTCATTTGTATACATTCTAAGGGCTCTATATCTAAAATGTTATCTGCATAATCAAGTGGTGGTTCTTCATCATCAAAAGGAGGAAATCTCATTCTTTTAAAATGTTTTCTGTCTCTTTTTTCTCTTCTCATCATGATCCACATAGTTCCCCATTGAGCAATGTACAAAGGATCAATAACAACAAAAATTTCGTTCACAAATGTTATAGCACCAGTGATATGATATATAACCTTTGTGTTTTTTATTTGTTCCCAGGGCATGGGTATGTTTTCTAACAACTTAAAAACTGCATGTGGAACATATTTCAATGCACCTAAATAAACTCTCTTATCATATCTGTACTTTTTGTTACTCATATCACCATGTTCTTTTACTATTTTTCTCAAATGTTCACATGGCATTTCTTCTTTTTCTTCGATTACACCAAATTTTTTTTTTTTCGAATATTTTTTACTATTTAACATTTTCCATTTTCGTGCTTTTTCTTTTATTATGTTAAATTCGCTTTGTTCAGGTATAATTCCTTTATCAGATGTATCATCAATAGGTTCTTCCATATGGTGATATTTCATCCTGGCATAATAACTTTCATCATCATAATGTCTCCTCCTTCTTCTCCTTTTTCTTTTTTCACTTCTTGGGATGTATTCATCATGTATATCTTCTGTGCTATTTCGTTTCTCACCTCGCATATAATCTTCTTCATCATTGTTGTACCCATAAAAATCTTCTGCCCCTCCTCCATTGTCATTTAGATACATAGATGCAGGAAAGTGATTAAGATTATTTCCAAAGGGATCAGTCATATGGTCCATTCCTCCTTGTGCGTAATTAGACATATGTGGCCCATTGGGATGGAAGTAAAAGGGAGCCCCATTCATTCCTTGTGTTGCATTGTTCATCATGTTTTTCATTTTCATCATAAAAGGTGGTGGTGGAAAGTTCATCATATTTGGCATCATGGGGTTCATATTGGGTGGTAGAAAATTCATATTAGGTGGTAAGGCGTTTCTAGGAGGTGGCATATTCCCCATATTTGGCATGTTCGGAGGGGGGATACCCATGTGTGGTGGTAGGTTTTGCATATTTGGTGGTAGGTTTTGCATATTTGGTGGTAGGTTTTGCATATTCGGTGGGAGATTTTGCATATTTGGTGGGAGATTTTGCATATTTGGTGGTAGACTACTCATGTGTGGTGGGAGACTGCTCATGTTTGGTGGCAGGTTCTGCATATTGGGAGGCATACCCATAATGTTAGATGGTACATTGGACATATTTGGAGGAAATGTGTTCATGTTGTTCATAAAGTTTGCCCCCATTGCTCCCCCTGAGATAGCATTTGTTGACCCGTTTTTTCCCTTTTCTGGTAATTCAATCAAATTAGGATTAATATCGTATTGTTGCATATTGTAATACATGTTGTTATGATTACTCTGATGGTTACTAAATAGATTCACATTAATGGGAAGATTTGGAATTCCTGTACCCAGTAAGGAGCGTCGTGACATGCCTCCATTATTTATCATAGGAGATGGGATCTGTGTTGTATTTTCTCCTTGGTCATTTTCGTAATTGTAAGTATCACTTCTGCTTTGATCCTCATCATTGTTGGTCGTGGCATTTTGCTGGTCTTCGATATGTGACGTGGGATTTATGGTTCCGCTTGGGCCCTGCGAGTGGGTGTGCAATGAGCATAAATGGAATGAGATGTGCCACAATATTGCAATGTAAAACTTGATTGCTATTTACCCACACGATGGAAATAAGTATCTCCTTCTGAAGAGATTATCAGAATGGTAAGAAATCAAAAACGTGTATGAACACTCAGGCGTATGTGCTTTGTCCTGTATCTATTTTTTCTTACCCCGTTCGAGTTATCTTCAGAGGGATGTTCATTTGCTTCATTGTCACCCATGTCAGAGGGTAAAAGAAGTAAAGTTTACACACGTTTTTTTGAAATGTGCATATAATATATTTGAGGGCGTGTGTGTGTGTGTGGGGGGGAATACATTTACATATAATTCCTGCAATAGGTGGTACCACTTTGTGTATTCCCCTTTTTGCTTCTTATGAATTTATAGTGGCTTTCTTAATACTTGTGAACAAAAGATTTAAGCAAAAATCAAGGTGTTTACAAATGAAAACATAATTTATTATTTCTTTTTAATTTAATTTTTTCCTTTTTTTTTTTTATTTTATTTTTTTCTTTTTTTTTAAAAAAAAGAGTTAAAAATATCCTCATTCAGAGGGGACATATATCATTCGTGCAAGCAAATGTATTCGTTACCACTGGTGGGATTCATGTGCCTAAATGTTATATACTTTAGGCGCATATGCGTAATAAGCATATTGTGTATGTGACTTATAATGTGACACAAAAAGGAAAAAGCAAATTCAATGAACTTATAATTGTTCCTTTGAATTTAATCCAATGTAGCATATGCAGTAAAAAAAAAAAAGAAAACTCGCATTTGAGATACAATTCCCTTCGTCCTTAATCGTTGCAACATACATGGGGGGTTTATAAAAAACAGATGTATATTATGTATATGTATATGTATACATATGTATATATATAAATGTACATATATGCATTTTATTTTATTTTATTTTTTTTTTTCATAATATGATTTAAGGTGAAGAAAAAAAAAAAAAAAAAAAAAAAAAAGAGGTACTGAAATTTAATTCTTCATTTGTACTTTCATTGCAACGTAGTTTATTAATTTATTACATTAAATGAGACGTGTACGAGTTCATTTTTATTTGTACACGCTTTTTGCATCTTCTGTGCACAAAATTTTCAATTGCCTAAGAAAAACACCCCGAAAATGTAGGCAGCATGGGGATATTATATATATATGAACTTCCATTTCATTAACCCCCCAACTCCAGCTATTATCACAACCTTGTGATAAATAGGGTGAAACGAATACTAGCAGCCTGCAGGGGTATGAATCGCTTACATTTGACTTTCATTGCAGGGAAAAAAAAACAAATACGTTTTTCCTTGTAACCTCGAATGGAAGAAACGGATACATAGTAATGCTAAGCACACGGAAGAAGGTGATTTTCACCAAGTATTACAATATTTATGCATTGATTTTTTTTAGGAAATTATAAATTGTAACGTTTTTTCTTAGTATTCTTATGAACATATATATTATATATACATCTTTACATCTTTAAAAAAAAAGTACCTATACATGACAAGTGGAAGAAAAAAAAAAAAAAAAAAAAAAAAAATTTTATGGGTTCCCCCCCCACAGTGTTACTATAAATTTAAGTAAGGTTGGAATTAGTAGAATATATGACAAAAGGTTGCATATGAAGTTGTAGAAATGTATAAAGGAATATAGATAAAAAATTTGGAAAAAGGGAGATCATTTGGGAGTGGGGTGGATGGAAAACACTGTCAAAGCAGTTATTTCCTATAGGCAAGTGAAATTGCCTTTTCTTCAACAATTTCGTAACTTTTTAGTTTCTTAACTTTCTAAATTCTTAGCTTCCAACTTAGCTTCTTTATTAGGTACGGAAAAAAAAAAGATGTCATTTTAAATGGGGTCGTAAATCTGGGACCTCTTCAAAGTATCCCGCTGAGAAGTACACACCATTTTGTGACCATTAAAAATTTATATTTCCATTTTAAATGAAAAAAAGGAAAAAAGAATAAGAAGAAAATAGAAATGACATAACGTGAAAAGAAACAAAAAAAAAAAAAAAAAGGGAAAAATCACTTTGCATTATTTATATGCTTAAGAGATGTTCTCGAAAAAGGAAGACAAGATAAGATAAATTTTGTAAATGATGATAATATGAAAACGACGCATACTTTTAATCCCACTGTTTTACCAGTATTCCACCCGTGCTTTTTTATAAAATGGCCTTGTAACTTTTATTCCCCATACACGAAGCACACCCAATTTAGAAAGAAAAAATGTGAACCATTTGACATGACAAATGGAAAAAAAAAAAAAACAAAAAAAATAATAGACCATTTTTTTTTTTTTTTTTTTTTAATCACCCAAGGAAAAATATCCTATTGAATGAATAACCTAATATAATATCAAGCTTTTTTAAAAAATAAACATGGTGTGCAATAAGTACATTATTTGGAGAGTTGTATCCATTAATGATATATGTTACCCGGTATTATCGTTTTATGTGTTACGTTTGTTAATTTCTACTTATTCCTTCCTCAGTAGTAAAATTTTTAAGAGGAAAAAAGAAATGTCAGTGTACTTTATATTTCAAAGGAGTTGTTTTACTACTTTGACGTATGAAATAATTTAAACATGTAAGACCGGTAAGGAACTTCAACTTAGGACAATGCAATGGGTAGCCCGTCATGCCCCTATATGTTCTCGGTTACATACACCATTCGCAAGAGGTATCCATTGATGGAGTTGTCATTACGACGGTTATTTTCCTACATCATCACACTTTTTCGCATGTGTTTAGATAGATCACCACACTATATATACCCTTATAAAATGTGTGTACTACATATTGGATGTACAGCATTTTTTCAACAAATAGGAGTGTGTGTATGGGGGGAAATAAATAAAAAAAATATCAAAAGAAAACAACCTAAGGATGAACAAAAAGAGGCTCATAATGACATTAGTACAATGAATATTTTTTTGAAGAACAATTCGCTGCATATAAATATATATACACTTTATTTTGTTTTATATATTTTTATCTTTATTCAAATATGTATATAATATATATATATATAAGAACGCGAGAACGGAGAAGAGTCATACGCGTGCATTGTAGTTTTTTTTTTTTTTTTTTTTTTCCCTCATGATTTATATTTCACTAAAGTTGTATTTTTTAATATGTTAATAATAACATACAGGGAGTAAACACTTTTTCCAATTTTCTGTTTAAGTTTTATGCATAATTTTGCATGTATAGAAGGTGAAATTTCTATATCTTTCAATTTTTGTGAAAACTTGAAGGAAAATGAGGAAAAAATAAAGTGCACTTAAGTATAAATTTTACATGATATTAATTTTACTTTTTTTTTTTTTTTAAAAGGTAAATTTTTTAAACATGGTTTGGCATACTTTTAAAAGAATTTCAGTGCGTATTTTTTATTTTGATGCATGATAACAATGTTTCATATCCCTTGGGGATGAGACGTAAAAACAAGTTACGAGCATGCAAAAATAAAATATTTAGAAAAGTGTTTGAATAGCTCAATTGTTAAAAAATAAAATGCATATCTTTGAAATGTTATGAAATCTCAGTATTTCCCCCGTCTTGCATGTGCAACCCTATTGCTTATATTCTTCTTCAATAACCAGGGAGACTAGGAAATATTTATAATTAAATGCTTCCAAGCTTATCCAACTTGTTCAAAAATGGAACAAAATTTTGGAAGAACACAAAAAAGAAGCACCCCAATGAAAAGAATTAGTGTAGAGAATTAAAGGAGATGTAAAAAAAAAATTCTAAAAAACGACAAAAGGAACAATTTCACAGTTTCGATCAAATATCAAAAATACGCTTCCCCTTGCTTAATCGAAAAAGTGTATCCTTGTTGGAATTTAAAGGATCTACTAATTTAAAAGATGTTTATGCGTTTCTGTAAATTTAGCTATCTCTGTATCATTGTAGATAAATTCGAATCATTACTTTATATGCCTTAAAATTAAAAATTGTTTAACCCTTTTGTTGTTGTGTTAACTGGTTGTATATACACTAAGATGGGTCACATGCAAATCCGTGATCAATACTATTTTTTTCTTTTTTTTTTTTTTTTTTTTGGCTAAACAATTATTAATCTTCCGAAACTTTGCATGTAGAAAATGAATGCATTCGAAGGAATATTTTTAATGGCTCCAGTTGATTGGGGTACCTTCTACCACCCCCTAGGTTGCTCTTTTTAAGTGTCTAAATATTATGAGATGCATCCGAGCATGCAAACCATTTGTCTCCAGTTCTAATCATGTGATTCCCATAATGAGGCTTACAAGAGGTTTCACATGTGAGAACCAATTACTGTGTTAGATTGTGCCTCGAAAGGAGACACATGCAAGAATAAAGATTAAAAATTGTGTGTGAAAACTCAAAGTTTTGTGTGCAATAGTGAAGATTCAAAATTTTATGTGAAAAATTAAAATTGTATTAAATTTTACCAATGAAAAAAATATTCACACGTTAACTTATGAATAAAAACATACCATTAAAAAATAGAAAAAATCTTTTTATTCTTCTACTTGATAGTGATTTTTAAATAAAACCTTGTAAACCTCAGGAAAAAAAAAAAAAAAAAAAAAAAAATTGTAGAATAAAGCAAAACAATAATAAATACAAATTAATAAATAATAAAATATTTTTTACTTTATAACTTCCCTTTTCCTTATAAAATCTTGCAAATCATATATGAAACCATGTGGGACACTGCATACTTGAAAAAAGTGACTCTGGTTTCGTTTTTCTTTCTTGCGGTTGAATATATGGAATATTTTTCCATAAAAAAGGGACATAAATATGAACACACAAGTGCCTTTGAGCAACACAAATCCTCTACTTTAAGTACCCACTTGAGTGTAAATCCGAATCAAAAAAATTTTTTTTACGATTTTTTAAAAGTGTTCTCAATACACAGAGAAATTAGTGGTATACCTGATAGTTATTCTTATGATATACCACTAAGTGCAAGTGGCATCATAAAAACGCATAAAAATAAAGCTGATAAAATAAACAAACATAAAGAAAATAACCTTCCTATGAACAACAATAAAGTGCACTTTCCTGAAAAAAAAAAAAAAAGTTGTTCTAAATCATTCACATCATCCCTAATCGGTGCAAAGAACAACAACTATTCACATATTGATGAGGACGATTTTTATGAAAATGAAAAGGAGAAAAATTCATCTCCCCTCAATGGAAAATTTACCAAACGCATTAATGTGCTTCTTTTTAAATTACTTGATGAATGCACACAATTGAAATCAAAATTGATACACATATTTGAATTTTTTCTCACCAAAATAAAAACATTGAAAATAAATTCATTTCACTCCATAAGCATACCAAATAATGGTGCACATACATTTATTAATGAAAATAAATTTTATAACAATTCTTTGTATGATCCTTATGTACCTTCTCAAAATGAATACATAATTATTCATGAAGAATTGTTGCCTTTTCATTATATTAACTCTGAACATGTCGAAGTAATCAATCATGAGAATGTCTCAAATGGTAGTGTTACTTCTGAGAATTCAGAAAAATGCGAAAATATTATTTCCAAGTTTGACCATTTAGGGCGAGGGACAATGGAATGGTCAACCAAAATGATAGGCAGAAGGTTATCAGACAAAGCGCACTTAATAAAAGATGGGGGTAACGGCCGTGGTGATAGAGATAAAGATAAAGATAAAAAAGGAGATGACGATTCCTATAAAGATTACTCCAGAACAAATGGATTCTTAATGTTCTATGATGATGATGAAGATCAAGGTAAGAAAAAGAAAAGAAGTTGCAGGATATTATCAACAGAATGTACATTAAAAATTGTAGGAGAAATAGAAAACGATGAAGGAAAAAAAAAATTTTGTAAACTTTGCAGGAAATTAGCAGAAGAGTCTCCAAAATCTGAGAGCAACGATAATAATAATGAAGGCGAAAAAAAAGATGAAATAAATGAAGGGGAGAAAAAAACAGATGGTAAAGATAGCAATGGTAAACAGATGATACAGTGTAGGATTTTGCTAGAAGATAGTGAGCATCAATTTTTCTCATTTAATCACTCAGATAGTAAAAAAGGAAGTATATGGGATGAACAAAATGGTGGAAATGGAACTAACAGTAGAAAAATTAGGATCCTTTCTGAAGAAAATTCTCCATATGACTCAGATGGAGAAAAAAATGAGGGTGGAGATGGAAAGAAGGGTGATAAGGGTGATAGGGGAAATGATTCTGATAGTAGAAATCTTAGGATGCTGTCTGAAGGAGACTCACCATATGACTCAGATGGAGAAAAAAATAAGGGTACAGATGGAGATGGAAAGAAGGGTGATAAGGGTGATAGGGGAAATGATTCTGATAGTAGAAATCTTAGGATGCTGTCTGAAGGAGACTCACCATATGACTCAGATGGAGAAAAAAATGAGGGTGGAGATGGAAAGAAGGGTGATAAGGGTGATAGGGGAAATGATTCTGATAGTAGAAATCTTAGGATGCTGTCTGAAGGAGACTCACCATATGACTCAGATGGAGAAAAAAATGAGGGTGGAGATGGAAAGAAGGGTGATAAGGGTGATAGGGGAAATGATTCTGATAGTAGAAATCTTAGGATGCTGTCTGAAGGAGACTCACCATATGACTCAGATGGAGAAAAAAATGAGGGTGGAGCTGGAAATAAAGGTAATAACAACGATAATGGAAATGATGGAAAGGGTGGAAATGGATCTAATAGTAGGATTATTAGGGTTTTATCTGAACAAGGTTCACAAAATGATAATTTTAATAACCATGGCCTTTTTCCAGGAAATGTAATGAGTAAAGGTGGTGGTGGTGGTAATGGTGGAAATGGTGGAAATGGTGGAAATGGTGGAAATGGTGGCAATAATGAAGGAAATGGTTCTCATGGTAGACATTTTAGGATTTTAGGAGTGGTAGGTTTACCATCAGACGATACTCGCTACGACTCAGATGATGGAATGGGAAACGGAGGGAATCAAGTTGATAATAATGGTGGAAATAATGGAGGAAATGGTTCTAATGGTAGACATATCAGGGTTTTATCAGAAGGCGATATACCGAATGAGGATGAAAAGAATGAAAATTATAACCCACCAGATGGATATATTAGACCATATATATGTGCTACAGGAGGAGATAGAACTAGTGGACATCATTTGGGTAATAAAAATGGCAGATGTTTATCAGAGGACAATTCTGCACCTACAGGTAAATTTCTTAACAACAGAGTGGAAAATAAGGAAAAATTAAATCTGAATATAATAACAGGGAAGAATATGAATAGTAAAAAGGATATAACATATACTAGAGATATTAAAAAAGAAATAGTGGGTGATTCAGAAGAAGAAAAGGAAGAAAGGAGCCAAATGCCACGAGACAAGGTTAACAAATCAATGGAACATAAAAAATATGAAATTGATGAGGAAGAAGAGGAGGAAGTAGAAGAAGAAGAGGAAGAGGAAGAAAGAGGAAAACACAGAACAAATGAAATTCATAAGCCTAAGTTTTATCCTCATGACATAAGTGAAACGCTGGAATCGATAAATAACATTTTTGAGGGTTCCGATAACTCAGGTTTGGGAAGAAAAGGTGAAAAAAAGAATGGTCTAGTTTTGGGTTCTATGCACGATTTGGGTCATTCCCCAAAACTTTCCAACTCTGTCAACTTAATCAATTTGTCAAATTCAACAATTCCCGTAGATTACCCTCATTACAATTATCTGTTCATGGAAAGTACATATATATACAGGAAAGGAAATTACTATTTTATTAACCCTGGCCCATTTAATATAATAAAAATGAAGCATCCAGAAGGGGTGCACCCTCATAAAGGCAGCTATGATTATGTGAATTGTTATTCTAGCTCATTTAACAGCAAATACAATATAAAAGGGAATATGGAATATGCAAGTAGGAAAATAAAACAGATAGAGGAGTTCGTACCAGGTTCCTTAACTGGTTTTAAAAGTAATGATGGATATCAAAGATTACTTATGCCGTCATTTATACCAGATGACACATTTTTGCATTGTGCATTTGTAAGTGAAATGAGTTATGGAATAATGGATGGGAAAGATCGAATTGATAGAAACGAATCTTACCCTTTGAAAATTTATTTGAAGAAAAATTTAAACAAGACAAAAGGATGTTCCTTTCAAATAAATGAAGGAAACACATTTTACAAAGAATATGCACAGAGAGAGTCGTTTTTAAGTAATAAAATAATTCTAAGTGACAAAAACAGAATGAACGAATGTGTCATACAAGCGTCAAATGAAATTGTGGGATTTCAATGTGGACCACCATACATGACACATAAAAAAGAAAACAACTTTATGAATAATTATAATCGTACTTATGAAAAAAATGAAAATAATATGATAAATCAAGAATTTTCTAAAGGAGAATTTTTCCAAACGGATCCTCCAAACTGCTTTGAATATGTGAATGAAAATCAGAACGTCAATGACATTTTACCTGGCAGCTTTCCATTTCCTAGTTCTAGCACTTTGGATAGACAAATTCCAACACATCATACCAGGTATATTAAATTAGATAAATCTAGTGAAAATAAAATTATTTCATGTTATTGTAATTATTATAAGGAGAATAATATTGTGTTCTCTGGTAAGATAGTAATAAAAGTACAACCAAGTCAGCAAAAGCTTTTAAGTAGCAAAAGTGGTAACTTAGGATTGGAAAGGGATAAAATAAAAGTTTCTTCAGAGGGGAATAAGCAGGAGGACGGTTCTATGGATGAGTTGCATTTTGCTAACGAGAAAAGGAGTTTCAATAAAAATGCAAATGACGTTAGCAACACAGAGGATGGAGGCCATACACATGATAAAGTTAACTACGATCACATTGATACAGATTATACAGTAGATCCGAGGATGAAGAAGAATTTACTCACCGATTTTAATTTCAAACATAAGGAAGGAATAAATAGTATTTTATTTAAAAATAAAAGCGGTATACCATCTTTGAGTTATGATATTATTGAGAAATTTAGTAATATACTTAATGGAGAATATGTTGAAAAGACTTCAGATGAAGATGAGATGGATAAAGATACATACATAGATTTTGATGATATTGACGGAAATACTCTCTTCGATGTTGATGAAAACATGATGAACGAAAGCACACCATCCAAATATAAGCCAATAGATGATAGTGTCGATTTCCAAGATAGTGTATTGCATGCAGGAAAATCACAAACTATTGCTGTAATTAACAAGTCTAAAAATGTTAAACTCGTATTACCAAAGTTAAATTCCAAGAAAAAAACTTATAATGGTGAACATACAATCCCACATCCTAAATTTATCTCAGTGTTGTATGAGGAGAAGCCTAATGAACATGAAAAAGTGAATAAGTCATTCAAACTGCTCAAGGAATTTTTCCCTCCTTTGCTTAAACGGTCTAAACATGAACAGATAGACAGGTCAAATGAACAAAGTGAGGGAGATTTAGATGAACATGGTCTAGAGGATGAATATGAACTGATGGATGACCCTGAACAAGAAGAATATGATCTAATGGAAGAAATGAAAGATGAATATGACATAGAAGATGCAGAATATATGGAAGTAGGGAAAGAATCGAAGCATGGAAAAGACTCCAAGGATGAGAAAGACATGGAAACTATGCATGATTTAATGTATGAAGAATATAATAAATTTTACAACTATAAAACAAGTGATCCATCTGACATAAATGCAGATAAAACTTCTAATTCATTAAGTGACGAAAAAAATGAGGATATAAATGTTACAGTATCTGGGGAAAATGAAAAGAAACAGAAGGGAAAAAGCAGGCGTTCAGAAAAGAGTAAAATGACAGACGCTGTAAAGGACTCAGGACATGGTGACAAATTTCTAGAGGAAAAAAAAATTCCAAAAGAAGATCTAAGCCGAAAGAGACGAGCGAAACATGCAAGTAGTGAAAAACAAAACAAACGGGGTAAAGGAGTAAATGACGCAAATGAACAGAATGACTTAGAGGGAGACAATATTAAGGGACCATCCAATGACGATAAAAATGAGATAGAGGAAAAAACAAATGATGAACGCATTGGAAACCATTCTGACGGAAATATATACAGCAAAAATGAAGAAATATATAACAAACAGATCGATGGAAATAATAGGGAATTACACAACGATCTGGAAGATGTAATAAATGGCGAAATTGATGGTGAAAGAACATCGGAAAATGTAGATGAAAAGAAGGGAGGTGTAGATAGGAGAAAAACAGACAAAGATTCTGAAAATAAAGAAGCACATGGAAACAAGACTTCTGAGGAAAGGAGGAAAAGAAGGATGAGAAAAAGGATAAGAAGAAAACTCAGAAAAGAATGAACTAAAAGAAACGAAAGGAACCGAACCGAACGAGTGAAACTATCGAATTGCAAAAACATGGTATAGAAAAAAAGCAATTGAGAGAGATATAAAAAATGTGCCTTGTTGAGATAAATTAACCTGCACATAATTTTTGTGGACCCTAATGTAGAAAAAATATTCTACGATTACGAAAGTCATCTTGCACAAACTTTTGCTATTCGAAAAAGTGTTTTTTTTTTTTTTTTTTTTTTTTTTTTTTTTTTTACGCATATGTGTTATATACTTATAAAAAGAATAAATTCATTGCATAAAAGAATTAAGACTAATAGTTTTAAAAATGGAAAAAAAAGAGAGGCAAATATGTAGCAATTGTTTGAAGCAGGTTTTACAGATTTGTAGGGGGGGATGGTATAGGACAATTATAAATCATTCAAACGTACAAAGTTTATACTCTGAAGTTTGTAATTTTTAATTTATGTATTATTTTATTTATTCATTTATTTATTTATTTATTTATTTTGTGCGTGTGTCTTATGATGTAGTAGGTGCACATGAGCTTAAACATATCTTACATTTTAAAACGGCTGATCGAATTGATTGTATCGGGACTGCTAAGAAGAGGAAATTCTTCTGAGTTTACATAAAATATGTACCAATTGAAATACTCATCATTTGCACTTAATTCACCTTACTTAGTAACAGAATGGCGAACTTTTTCTGAGTAGACATATTTTTGGGATATATGAATATATATGTTATTTACAAATGTGTTATTTTATTATGTTTTTTTTTTTTTTTTTTTTTGTTTAGTCATCTCGTTTTTTTAAAGGTTCTTCTTTTTTTTCATGCTACGCTTTCAATGCATTCCACACATGACATAATTTATGAACACCCTTCTTCTAATATGCTATTTTCATGTGAATCCTTCTCGTCTACAGTCTCATCATGTTTAATCGGTTTTACTGGTACAAGGATTATATTTTCTTCCTCATTATGATGTTCTTCTTGATCCATTACCTTGTCGATAAATTCTTCTTTTTCCCATGCTGTAGTTTCATAGCTGTCCTTTTCTACATACATTTCTTTGATCATTTTGTGAGCGCTCTTTGGCATATTACGTCTGAATCTAGGGGAAGATAATCTTCTTTTTCCTATAAAAAAAGTGTGTGGAATGAGGGGGAGGGGGATTTATCCCGTAAGTTAAAAATGTCTACTATTTAAATGCGTATAGTGGTCTATGCACGTACACGCTGTGTCGCTCGTCGTCACTTTGCATACACTTAATTTGAGCTTACCCATCAGCCTTTTCATGTTTCTTTCTTGCATTATCATATTTTTTCGTAGTTCCAATTTGTCCCCATAAGACTCCTTTAACACTTTTAGCTGTCCGGGGGGAAAGGAAGCGAGTTGATATACATACATACAAAGATGTATATTTATACATGTATTTACGCTTGTTTGCATTATTTCCCCTCTCATGGGAGAGACTGGGAGAGGGACGCTGTGCTTGGGTCTCTTCACGTGGGTAGAATTATTTACATCCAAGCGGTGGTGCCTTTTTTTCATTTTAGCTCAATCTTACCTCGTTGGTAAAAATTGTTATAGCGTCTATGATATATGACAGGTTGTGATCAGAGTGAATGCTCAAATAATACTTCTCATTTGCATATGTATACATAATATTTGCATTGGTATTATTTTTACTATCTACAACTATCCGAAGTATGTTTAGCATGGGTATATTGATGTCTCTATGAATGTTTCTTTCTATTATCGTCTCAATGTTAATTACTTCTTCTTCTTTGCTATCTTTAAAGCACAAGAAGCACAGAAACCATTCCCCTGCAGTGTTTTTGAAGAAAAAGAGGAAACATATAAAGGTATTCCCGGGTTATGGTGCAAATGTGCAAAGAAATGTGAAATTTTAGACAGGATTGGACTTGAGGGTGTTTATAAAATGGTTAAGCGTAATCATATATGGAATACATGAAAATGTATATATGCATGCATGTATTTGCATGACTATGTAGGTGCAACCCAACGTACCCATTATTTCCTTGGCAAACATATACTTTGGAACATATGCATAAAAATCAAAGACACATACTTCTTGTTCTAACACAAAACTTATTAGCCTCAGTTTTTGCATCAGGCTTATGTCATTTATGTCCTATTCAGGTGGATGGAAACAAAAAATATGTAAAAATATGTAAAATAGTAATAATAATAATAATAGTAAAGAAATGAGCTTGCGGATGCTTGTAAAATGAGGTGTTTTTTTTTTTTTTTTTTTTTTTCTCAAATTTTCGACTGCTTATTTTTTTGGGAGACAACGTATCTGTTAAGCATGAACATACATATGTTCATATGTAAAAAAAAAAAAAAAAAAAAAAATCTTAAAGTAGACTGTTGAAGGGGTGGATCAAAAGGATATCTATTCCTACTTTCTTATCATTCTTATGTTTATTTTTCCAGTTCTTTCTTCTTTTTTACCGTTTCTACATCTATTAGGGATAAGTTTTTATCATCATCATCAAATTGTTTGTGGATATCTTGCAAACTAATTTTCTTTTTTCTGAGATTCTTTGCTTTGTTTTTCCATATTTCAAGCCCATCCTGTATGAGCATGCATTCGTTAGGACAGGCATATTTCTGAACTAAAAAAAATAAATAAAATAAAAAAAGATGGGTGGGAAGGGAATATGACGAACTGTAAGTGAGATGGTTGAGCTGGGGAGTGTTCTATCACGTGTGTTCCTTCGTATATGTACATATATATATTCATACATGTGTGAATATATGTAAATGTACATGTGAATGTTAAAATTATTTCCCACATAGGAGTTCTCACTTTTGTAAAAGGACATTTGTACTTTGCAGATTTCTTGCCCATCCTTGAGGCACACAAACCTGGTCAAATTGGGGAGAAAGGAAAAAGTATTTCATTGTTCTAGGGATAGGTATTTCCTTAATTACGTGTATGTGCATGCATGCATATATGTGTGTAATATATATACATTATATATGTATATAAGCGCATACACATAAGATACTGACACCCACCCTGAGGGGTAATTTTTGCTATCTGTTACCACTCATTTTTTGGAAAAGACTTCATAATGACGCTAGAGTTTATATCTATTTTAATTTGTCCTATGTGAACCTTCTTTGTTAATTTAGTTGTGAATAAATCAACCTTGAGTGTTTCATCGCACTGCCTTATTTTTATATCTACGCGTTGGTCGATGTGTATCCTGTTTTTTTTGTTCGTAGGAATTTCTGCAAAAGGGGGAAGTCCACACGCAGTGATGTTGGGAAGTGGCAAAGTTGGGAAGTGATCAAATAGGGAAGTGGTAAAGTTGTTAAGAATCCGAAGGGATAAAGTGACAAAGCTAGACTGGCGAAATTCATTCGATTTATCTCGTCGAGAACGTTTCATTACCATCCGTTTGAAAGTCATGTTTATCCGTACTGAATATTATGTATATATGCTTGTATTTATTTATGTTAAATATTTCATTGATTTTTACAAGTAAGTAGAAGGTCCTATAATTATGCAAACCGCTGAAATAGTACATGGACGCTAACAGAAAGGAAAGGTTAAAAGAAATAACAAAATAAAAATAGTAAATAATTGTGTGCGGTAGATATGAATCATTAACGATTTGGAGATGCGCGTATGTGTGTGTGATCACATGTATTTGCACACTGATTCGAACTCTCCTATTTCGAAAAGAATTCTGTATCTCAGTGAAGCTTTCTCTTTTCTACTGGAGGAAATTTCTGTACATACCGAAAGGCTCGAAGTCGCTTATGTGAGGACATGTTCTTTTGTAGCTTTTTATCATATAGCTTACGCATTTTTTTGATATACTATTAAATTTATTTTTAAAAATGTTAAAAATGAAGTTCGTTCCGAACATTTGCCTTTCCTTTTCTTGTTTCACACTTTATGCTTACTTCGAAGTTTGTGTTTGTTTGACAGATTGTTTGGCCGTTTGTTAGGTATTTTGTGTTTATTTTTCCGTTTATGCTTATCTGGTAGTTTATGCTTAACTGTTTTCAAATATGTTTCTTGGGGATGCATATCTGAAAGGGTGTCACTGCAAAAACGAAAAATGTGTGCATAGTTACGTATAAACAAATGTGCTTAGGTTTATTTAGGTTTCGTTAGGTGTACCCAGATGTTTCTCATCATAGCTCAAATGTGTTACGAATGCAATTTTACTTGTTGTAAATTTGTTGGGAAAAAATCAACTTAATTAAAAAAGGTTGTAAAAGACACGTATATTTATAAATATTATAGACATTTTTTTTTATTCATTCTTTTTGTTTTTTCGGTTTTTTCTGTTTTTTTTTATCATTTTTTTCGCATTTTTCTTTTTTCTTTTTTTCTGTAATTTTTATTTTTTTGGTGTTACTTTTAAATGAATAGGACAGTTCTGATTCGTTTAATTTTTTTTTTTTTTTTTTCCTGTTGTTTTTGCAACTTTGCACTTCCCGTTAGCAAAACTTCATTCGGTATTACATCAATAATCTACATTATTATTTTTTCTCACCATACATTTTTCAATTGCACATATTCAAATTTAAATATGCGTGTGTATGCGTTTACATTTGGAATAGAATTCCTTTACTAAGAAAATTACAACTTGTTTTTTTGTTAAATGTTTTTTTTATTGTTATTCATCCATGGAGATGTAAGCGGTAGATGCATGTATGTATGTGTATGTGTAAATATATAAACACATTTCCGCTATGATATATATATGTGTACCTTTTAATTCTTTGCACTTTACCTTGTTCATTCATAAATTTTTGATAAGAGTATTTACACATATATGCATGTTCATACTTTTTCTTTTCTTTTCTTTTTAACACTTCAATGTTGGTGAAAAGCTTGACGAAATTGCGATTAGGTTGATTTTGTTCCGTGTGACCATTTGTGGACGTCAGAAAAATGTTTGATTTTTTTTCATAAAGTTTAATATTCCTCTCTTCTGATATTTCAGTGTGACTATAGTGTGTGCGAAAAAGCCTTTATTACATGTCTGTAAAAAGTGGTCCCACTTATTTTCCTGATGGTTGTGGGTTTTAAATGCTAATAAGATTTTTTTTTTTTTTTTTTTTTTTTTTTCTATTTTAATTATATCGATGATAATATATATAAAGAGTAACATCACTAGAATTAAGAAGTCCCATCGAAATTGTCCACATTTGGGTTTATTGGTTCATCCATTGGTTAACCAACTAAGCGTGAATGAATGTTACTTTAAGCTTGGCAGTTTCCTATTTTTCGATAGAATAAAAATAGCAGTGAAATTTTACAGGTGTGTAAGGAAAAATGCGTGAAAAAAAAAAAAAAAAAAAAAAAAAAAGAAAGAAAGAAAAAGTAGGTACCCCAGGAGAAAAGTGTAAAAGAGAGAAACGCTTTTAAATAGTTTTTTTTTGTTTTTTAAATTTCTTTAAAATCGATTCCCGTGTCATGGTTGTGACTGACTATACCTTTTTGTGTACTATACAATTTGTGCGAACTAATAGTGACCCTTGATAGGTATTGTTTCCTTAGAGAAGTAAAAAGGCAACAGAATGATGCAACACATACGGATGCCACATGCACATACTCATGAACATACATATGCACACACACACAAAGGGTAAAGATTGAATGGATTGCTAATTGTACATATATGTTTCGCTAAAATCAATTTCACAATTCTGGGGGAATGGGTCTGAACTCGCAAACGATATTGTTATATGTGCACATTGGTGAGAAGCTACAGTGCTATATATTATATATATTTTTTCATCTCTTCCGTTTTTGTATAATTTAAATTTCCGACCACTTATATGTCTCACAACAACGGTTCATATGTGTCTCATATTTCGAGCTAGCACATTCTCTTACTTATTTTTTATTATTCTGTTAATTTTTGCAATAAGTACATAAACGAAATGTGATTATGACCATTTTGACCAATAATCATTTGTGCATTATAAAGAGCCCCAATTGGAATATAAAGAAAATGCATGGTTTGTAATTTTATATAGGCAGATTAATACGTAATGGATACATTTTCAGCACGGTATATTTTCCTATTTTACAAATAACTTTGTTAAATCAAATAAGTTAGGCACATATATTTCACACTTTTTGTTATTTGTATAAGATGCTCATTCCATTTTGGGAACGCATATGGTGCTTTTTTTTCTTTTTTTTTTTCTTTCAATTTCGCCTATTTGTTTATTCTTTCAATTTCACCCATTTATTTATTCTTTCAAGTGCTGACTATTTATTGAAAATTCGTTTAACCCTCTTTTTTTTTTTTTTTTTTTTTTTTATAATGACAAAATGGGGATCAAGTTTTTGATAACTATTATGGGTTGTTCATATCATAATTGATTTGTGTAAACTCTCATAATTTGTTTTCCATGCATTGAAGGATTTGTGTACACCTCTACAACTCGTTGTGTCTTAAGAAAGCATATGGCATAGTACAGACATGACTTAATAACAATCTTCATGTGTGTTCACTATACATATACGTAAACTCATATCTGCATGCAAACTTACATGTAGGTCGCAAAAACACATATGTATAAGATAAGGTGAGAAGGAGAAGACGGGCACAACGCAGCAAATGTGTTTTGCGCTATTATCTACCCTTAGTAATGGAAATGTTAACCTTTCAAATATTTAAGGATATGCAAATTCTGAGCCTCTCCTTTTATCTTTTTTTTTAGGGATAAGAAGGTAGATTATGCAAGTAAATGCTTCCATTAAAAAATAATTTTTTTTTTTTTTTTTTTTTTTTTGTATTTTTTTTTAAAGCAAATTTTTTATAAACTGAATGGATAAAGGAAAAAAAAACAAAAAAACATTAACTACAATTAATAATACTAAAAGGAATATCAATCGTTCTTTCTTCATAACACACTGTGTGAGTGTTTTATCATAAATAGGGGAATACGCCCCCATTAAATGAATTTTGTTTTGAATTATTTCACTTCGTGTTCTTTTTTTTGGGGTGTTTTTTTCCTACAATTTTTTAAAACTTTTATTTTGTTTTATTATATTGTATTTATTTTATTCTATTTTATTTATTTACTTTTTTTTTTTTTTTTTCACTTTTCCTTGCTGTGTTGACCCTTTACATAAAAGGGCGATTTATCTTTTACTGGTATGGTAACACGGGAAATATGACAGAAAAAAGTCACATACAAAAATACAGGAGCCATCATATGTGCTATAATACATACTTGAGTAAATGGTGATTCGTGATAAGGAAGGAAAACCATTCTTTGTTTGATTCAAGTTGGTGGAAACACTCTGTTGATTTGAATGAACAAAAAATGTATGCACATTTTACTAAGTACACTTGAATATATATGTATATATATACACCATATATAAAGTGGGATAATATATATATATATTAGTACATAAATTCCTGCATGGTTTGTACATAAAAGTAAACGTTTATTCCCCACTCAAAGCTCCATAGTGTACATTCTAACGGGGCACGAGGAGATAACGAACCGATTTATAAATATGAACATTCAGATCATTTGAATATAAAAAAAAAAAGAAAAAAAAAAAAAAAAAAGAAGGAAATAAAAAAGGAGTTATCAGGCGAAAAGAAGTATCATACCAATTCTTATTTACATATATACACCCAGAGAAGAAATAGCATGAACACCTTTTGCGTCAAAAAAATCACAGAAATATGCACGAAAATTTGCATTTGCTGAATTCATAAAATATTTTACATTTGATATTATATTTCAGTACAACTATAGCATATTTGTTAGTGATGAAAAGGGGAATATTTTGAAACACTAGAGATTAAAAAAAAAAAGAAAAAAAAAAAAAAAAAGCAACTTACACGGATGCTTCAAAGGGGTTACCAAGGTGTGACCGATTCACACGCGATGACACAACATAGGTGAGGGGCTTCGAACAAATAATAACACTGTTGTGAAGTTGTGGCAACTAATATGTTCTAACTGGTAAGAAGTCGTAACTGATAAGACATTCAATGTATCAAGAAGTTTAACTAGGTAAAATGATTCTTTAATTAATAGCGAATGTTATAAGAAGTTGAATTCAGCTAGTTCTCCTACAAATGTACAGAAATTTATACGACTTTTTTTTTTTTTTTTTTTTATCACCACCCTTTTATCACGTAAACAGTAGTCATTTCTTAACCATTTAACACATTTAATTTTTTTGTCACAGGGTGTATGTGTTAATAATTAGAGGGCAAGAATAGTTAAGGGAAGAAGAAATCCAAAAAATAATAATATCGAAATTTTATACCCAAAGAAGATCAGTATTATTTTTGAAGATAATCGAAAAACAACCCCTTGATCTGAGGAACACAGAAATTTGAGTCATAAATAATGGAAATTCTAAAGTGAAAAAGAAGTGAAACCCAGAGAGAGAGAGAGAAAAAAAAAAAAAAAAAAAAAAAAAAAAAAAAAAAAAAAAAAAAAAAAAAAAAAAAAAAAAAAAAAAAAAAAAAAAAAAAAAAAAAAAAAAAAAAAAAAAAAAAAAAAAAAAAAAAAAAAAAAAAAAAAAAAAAAAAAAAAAAAATAAAAAAAAAAAAAAAAAAAAAAAAAAAAAAAAAAAAAAAAAAAAAAAAAAAAAAAAAAAAAAAAAAAAAAAAAAAAAAAAAAAAAAAAAAAAAAAGACTAAAATTTATAGTTTAGTAATAACTAACAAAATGAGTAACAACATAGGGGAAGAAGAAAATATAAATCATACCCAAGTTCATGATAAAATAATAACAAAGTCAGAAATTCATTCTGTACCAAAAAACACTTTTGATAATAAGAAAAGAAATTGGAATAACAGTACCCCACAGTATATTAATCAAGCATATGAAGGAAATTTTAACGATAAAATTGAATTCGCGATAGAGGAAGAAAAGAAAAATGTGCTAACAGATGTTAATGAGAGTCTCATTACAATTTGTAGTAAACATAATAACAGTTGTGAAAATGCAAATATGAGTAGGGATACAAATAGTAGTTCTGAAAATATAGGGAGCACAACTGTAAAAAATTACAATAATAGAGAATATACCCGTGGTGCATGCGATAAGGTCCTATATGATAGTAATCAGCGAGATGAAAATTTACGCTGTATGAACAATTTTAACTACTCAAAGAGTCATATCAATTTAAAAGAGCCAAATCAGAGGGGAGAGGATGATGCCACCTCTGGAATTGTTGGTTACACTAAACATCTCCATGGAAAAAATTCACATTATGCATTTGCAGACGGAGGGCATATACATAACAAAACAGAGTTTCGTCAGCAAGTGAATAGTAATTTCGAATTTTTAGGAAATGAGCAAAGTTATTCAGCCAGTGATGTTTCTAATAAAACAATAGGGAATGTTCAACTCAACAGAGGCAGCATTAGTAACAATTCCTTCAGCACAGCATACGTGGAGAGTCACCCAAAAAGGGACCCAATAAGTGACCCAATAAATGACCCAATAAGTGACCCAATAAGCGACCCAATAAGTGACCCAATAAGCGACCCAATAAGCGACCCAGTAAGTGACCCAATAAGTGACCCAATAAGTGACCCAAAAAGTAATCCAAAAGATTGGAATACGCATAAAACGGATATGTTACAGAATACGGAGGATAGTAAAGAAGAAAAATCAGCATCAAACGAGAATAAAGGTGTTAGTGTGAAGTATAGCAAGAACGAACCATTTTATTCACAAAATGGTCCACAAATAAATTCACCTAATGCAGCAGAGGGGGGATACTCCACTCATTTTGGCAGGAATCCAGATGGATGCACTGGAATTGATAACAATTCTTATGAGACAAATAATCTTTCAAGGAATACAAGCAATTTACAACACAATGTTATGCAAAACAATTTGAGTACAGAAATGAAAAATGAACAAATGAATTTCAACAAAGAAAAGGAAACACAGTATCAGATATATGGGAATATCCAAAATGATCCACAAAATGCAGTATCCTTTTGTGCACCCTCCAACAATTTAGGGAATGAGGTTAATTATGGAAATGTTATTCAAGTGCAACAGGAAGTAAGCAAAATTGATTACAACAATGAGACTAACAACGGAGAAATGTGCAACAAGAACCTAGGTAATGGTGCTGAATTTGACATGAGTAATATTGAGCGTACACAATGGAGTGGTAGACCATACAGTGGAGGAGGGGGTAACACTCACGGCGATAATAACAGCTTGGAATGTAGCAACTCTTCCTATAACAATCCTGCACACATTAACCAGACATACAGTAATCAGACGCATAGTAATCAATCGTATACTAATCAATCGTATACTAATCAATCGTATACTAATCAAACATATAGTAATGTTCAGTTTAGTAATGCTCAGTATAGTAGTGCTCAGTATAGTAATACTCCATATAGTAATACTCCATATAGTAATACTCCATATAGTAATACTCCTTATAGTAATGCCCCATATAGTAATGCCCCATATAGTAATGCCCCATATAGTAATGCCCCATATAGTAATGCCCCGTATAGTAATGGGACATGTGCGAATGTTACGGATTCTCTGAATCAGTACAACACTAATTATCAGCAGAATAGTAGCAGCCAACCAACGTCGTATAATTATTATGGAAACACCGCTAGCCAAGTTAGCCATGCTAGCCACGCAAATATTGTAAGACCTGGTTGCAATGCTTTTAATAATAGACCTGAAAGAACGTTTGTTCATGGTGCAAATACTTGCATGAATAAGGAGCATAATAAAGATGTTAATCAGAACGAGAGGGAGAGACAGGAAGAGAAGTACGAGCGATCGGATGAAGAATCATTGGAAAGCTCAAGTGATGAAAATTCAAGTGACAATGAATACCCCGGGACAGATAAAGATGGAGAAATATACACCTTATTAAAAAAAACAGTTAATCGGATAGATATGAATAAAATACCGAGACCTATAATTAATTTTCAAGAAAAAAAAAAGAAGAGAAATTTAAAAGTGTTTGAAACATGTAAATATATTTCTCCTCCGTCGTATTATCAACCATATATATCGATTGACACAGGTAAAGCAGACCCAAGATTTATGAAAAGTACACTATATCAAATTCCCCTATTTTCAGAAACGTTAAAATTGTCAAAAATTCCATTTGGAATTATCGTAAACCCATTTGCATGTCTAAATGAAGGAGAGCAAGTAGAGAAAGTAGATATGAAAGATGTAGTAAATGATAAAGAAGAAAATATAGAAATATTAAGATGCCCCAAATGTTTTAGTTATTTACATGCCACTATATTAGAAGATATTTCAAACACTGTACAGTGTGTATTTTGTGACACAGAATTTTTGATTAATGAAAATGTACTGTTCGATATATACCAATATAATGAAAAGATAAGTCATAGAGAATATGAAAAAAATAATGGGAATTCACTATCGCCTTTGTTAAAAGGTAGTGTAGATATCATTATTCCCCCTATTTATTATGATAATGTGAATAAATTTAAATTGACCTATACATATATGAATAAGAATATTAATCAAACTGCATCTATGATTACGAATAAGATAATGTCCATAACAAAGCATATTTCAAATTCACTTGTTACAAATGATGCCAAAACAGCAGGGAATAACACATCGAGTAGTGTTTTTGGAGATACTAAGGATTATAACAGTGGTAATTGCAGTTATAACAATTATGATGGGGGAGGTCATGGCAGTCCAGGATTCTATAACAGATACGATAATCAGAACAATTATAATAAAAATATTGGTAATGGTAACGGAGGGGGTGTTATAGGATCAGGAAATCCATATGGAAATGATTCCGTTTCTCAAAACATGGATAACTTAACAGACAATTTTAATGTTATCATGCATGAGATGAAAAGTTTGACGTGTGAAAAAAACGGAGAATCGGACACTTGTAAAATGAAAAGAAATTATTTATTATCTAAATATCCGCAAATGAAAAATATATTACCTCCTTACTTTGTATTCGTTGTTGAATGTTCATACAACGCTATTTATAATAACATAACGTATACAATCCTGGAGGGAATTCGTTATGCAGTTCAAAATGTGAAATGTCCCAAGACCAAAATTGCCATTATCACGTTTAACAGATCTATATATTTTTATAATTGCAAGAGAGGAAAAGACACAGGTGATAGCGGTATGGATAGCAGTAGTAATAATAATGGCACCAATGGAAACTATCAAGTGATTGTTATGAGTGATGTAGATGATCCATTTCTCCCCCTTCCGCTAGAAGATCTCTTTTTCAGTTGCGTAGAAGAGATAGACAAAATTAATAATCTTATAGATGCTATAAAATCAGTAAGCGCAACTATGCAATCGTATGAATCATGTGGGAATAGTGCACTTAAAGTTGCTATGGATATTTTGAAAGAAAGAAACGGGTTGGGTAGTATATGTATGTTTTATACAACAACTCCCAATTGTGGTATAGGTTCAATTAAAGAATTAAAAAAAGATTTACAAGAAAATTTTTTAGAAGTAAAACAAAAAATATTTTATGATTCCTTATTACTAGATTTATATTCATACAATATCAGTGTAGATATTTTTATAATTTCATCAAACAATGTTCGCGTTTGTGTTCCGTCCTTACAATATGTTGCACAAAACACGGGAGGAAAAATATTATTTGTTGAAAATTTCCTATGGCAAAAAGATTACAAAGAGATTTACATGAGTATAAAAGATACGTTGACATCCGAAGATATTGCTTATTGTTGTGAATTGAAATTAAGATATTCACAACATATGTCTGTAAAAAAGTTATTTTGTTGTAATAACAATTTTAATTCTATTATAAGCGTAGACACGATTAAAATTCCAAAGATTAGATATGACCAAACTTTTGCCTTTTTATTAAATTACTCAGATATATCAGAAAACAAAAAACAAATATACTTCCAGTGTGCTTGCATGTACACCAATTTGTATGGGGATCGTTACGTTCGCCTTCATACCACACATATGAACTTGACAACATCCCTGAGCACGGTCTTTAGGTACACGGACGCAGAGGCTCTAATGAGCATCTTAATTAAGCAGCTTTGCACGAACATTCTGTATAATGAGAATTATTCGAAGATTTTAATTGACAATTTAGTGGCCATTTTGTTTTCCTACCGTCTAAATGTAGGTGTGCGGAGCGACGATAACAGATTGTGATTATATATATCATGTATGATGCATTACATATAACGTGAACTAGAAGTGCATATGGGTTCAATGCATTTGCTGTGTCTCCTTTAGCGCGTAACATCTGTTGTTTTTTTCTCCCATATCCCCCCTTCCTCATCCTCCTCGTCTTCTTCCTTATTCATTCATTCATTTTTTTTTTGCTCACCAACTACACACTTTTGCAGTGTGCTTCCTCCGCTCACTCAGGACAACTGATACTTCCGGACACGCTAAAATTACTCCCGCTTTTTGCATCCTCCCTTCTGAAACATAATGTCACAAAAAAAGAAATTTTACATGATCTCAAAGTGTACAGCTTGATAAAACTTTTGTCTATGCCAATAATATCATCTCTTTTTTATATATATCCAGTAACATATGTGATTCATATAAAGGGAAGGACAAACGAAATAGATTCTATGGATTTGGACGATGATCTTTTTATTCCCAAAACGATACCATCTAGTGCAGAAAAAATATACTCAAATGGAATTTATCTGTTTGATGCTTGTACCTATTTTTACCTTTACTTTGGTTTTCATGCCGATACAAATTTTGCTAGAGATGTAAGATTGCTCCTTGGAGTGGTTTTTACGTGAACGATTTTTCATCACATTGCATGGGACATCATTTGATTGTTCAGAATTTAACGTTCAACTATTTAGAACATGTCTATATGTTCATGCACACGTTTGTATAATTTTTACATTGTTGTATTGTATTTTATTATATTATATTACATTATATTATAATAATATTATATTTTATTTATTTATTTATTTTTTTTTTTGAAGATTGTTGGTGATACCCCGACGGAGCAAAATTCTCACGAACTAAACATAACGGATAGCCTTAACGGAAGTACGTGTTAACATTTTCCATACAGGAATAAATTTATACATCTGTACATGGATGCATGGTAAAGGAATGCAATAATGTACAAAATGAAAGAATTCATATTTATGTTCCTTTTCTTCCCATCCATTTGCAGAAAAACTTCAACGCATTATTATGAACTTGACCAGGATTCATCACTTTAATAAGTACGTCCCTCTGGTGATTGTTGCACCGAAGTAAGTGATCATATGAATGAAAATGCTGAGATAGAACAGAAAGAAAGGCCACATCTAAATATGACACCATGCATATATAATAAAAGTGACATTGATCCCTTCCACATATACATAATTACACACCTGTACACCTACACACAACACTCTTCTTGCGTGCATGAAAAATAAATTAAAATACAATTGTAATTACATACCCATATTTACACACTTGTAGATCCAATAGAGAACAACACATAATGTCTCTATGCGTTGAAGACAAAGATGATAAGGAATACAGCTATGTTAATTTTTTGTGCTTTATTCATAAATTAGTTCATAAAAAAATTGATGAGTCTTAAGTAGTGCTTATGTAGACAGTTTTATAGAATCATACACCCTACTACTCCTGAGGACCTTTTGATTACCCCCATCCACTCATACCTTTTTTTTTTTTTTTTTTTTTATCATCGAACCTCATTGACTGTTCTTTCTTTTCAAGAACTCAAACAGGAACCTTTGCATGCATTTGCATGTACGGATTTCTGAGCATATGTACATCCTCACTTCTTGTATTTATTCGAAATAAGTAGGTATATACATTCGATTTCATTTGAATATGTATATATCCACCATCACTGCTTCCTCTCCAAAAAAAAGGAAAAAAAAAGAAAAAAAAAAACATGCATGTATATATACACACCCATTAATAGTATGTTCATTATAATTTCACCCTTTTCAACCTCCAATCCAAAATTTGTTTAATAATTTTCGTCATTTTTAAATACATCAAACGATTTGTGAAGATAAAATATACGCATTCGCACATGTACATTTGCACGTGTGCACTTTTTTATACATACATAAATACGCACGCACATATATATATATATATATATATATATATATATATATATATGTATGCACGTATGCGTACTCTTATTAAGTCCTATAACTTCCCTTCTCCCCACCTTATGATAAATTAAGAAATTTGTGAAATATTTTAAAACTGGTAATTGTGAAACAAACAAAATATTTTTGGAGTGACCAGAAAAATACATCGGTACTCTTAAAAAACTAAATGTTTTGATGTATACGATGATAAGCACTCATAAATAATTTCCCTACGTGGTAAATGAGGGCAGCTTATATATTTAAATTTATCAAGTGTTGTATAAACACTACTTAAAAGAATAAAACTGAAATGGAAAAAGTAAATGTTCTAATGAAAATAAACAAAAATAACCATACTGTTGTTGTCATGTGTATCTTCTTTTTTTCTTCTAAAATTGTATACATTTCTAGTGGAAATCTATTTGAAAATGTAAAAGAAAAAAATATATATATGCTTTAAAAATATGAGGAAAACGAAAATACCCGACCCAGTGCAACATCAGTTTTGAAAAAGAGTGAAACGAAACCCATTACTTAATGAAGCCCATGTTACTATTTTTTTATAAAAAAGAAAAAAAAAAAAAAAATTTAATTATATTTTATATAAACTTTATATTGTCGAAATTGAAAGAAGCTATGTTTCTTTTCACTTTTTCAGCTAGCTATTTAATGAGTTGAAAAAAAAAAAAAATTACCATAATAGAGAAAAAAATAGGTATAGCAAATAAAAATAACATAACCTTACAACATATGAACAAAAAAAAAAAAAAAAAAAGAAGGAAAATTAGCATACAATTTAGGAAATATTTTATTAAAAAGCACAGGTAAATTTTGTAACTCTAGGAAGGTAACTATAGTATGGCTTATGAAATTGCAAATATATAATATATAAAGTGGGAGAGAATATATAACTATGCAGGCGTCCGTAATTTATCTCAAACGTGTATGATAAAAAAAGCCCCTCTCCCACATTATGAAACGATGAAAAATAGTTTATATATAAATCAAGTAAAAAAGTTTGTTGAAAATATAAGTACCGATTTTTTTAATTTCGACGATCTGATTGAAGAAGGAAAAACAGAAAACGATGTTACAACTGGTAGTAGGCAATCATTAGTGGCTCACCAAAAGAAGGTGCACGAAGTGCATACGAGTCTAAACTCCAACTGTAGAATAATAAAAATAGAAGATGAAGAAATTGAAATAGCAAAATGGAATGAAATGAAAAGCGTTCCATTAAATGAATTCATTATAAAAGCACTGATTAATAATTTCCATTTCCAAAAATTCCTTCCATGTCAAAGTTATGTGTTGGAATATGCTCTATTAAGTAAGAATGAATCGAATTCTTTACTAAATGGAGACATATATATTGAAGTACCAACAGGACTAGGAAAAACATTGTGCTATATTATAACTATCTTAGATTATTTTTTATATAACAAGGATCAAAATGGGAAACTTTTTTGTCTTATACTAACAGCTACAGAAGAATTAGTTACTCAGATTTTAAGAGTCATAAATAATTTCCATGTGAAGAACTTATTGTGCCAAGGAATAAATACAAATATGTTTCAAATGAACATATATTTTGATGAACTAATTGATAACAATGATGTATTTAATGATACGAATATCATCGTGACAACTACAAATAAATTCGAAAGTCTCTTTTTCAGTAATGAAAAACTATTTCAGAACTTAAAATTTTTAGTTATAGACGAAGTAGATAAAATAATGTCTTTCAATAAATCGAATATAAATAATTTAGTAAATTCTTTATCAAACATTGTAGAAAAATATGAAACATTAAATTCTGATTTATATAAACCTAAGAAATTCCTTCAAAAGTTTTTCGTTTCTGCTACTCTGTGTAAAGTATCGGATAACTTGATGTCTCTAAATTTGTATAGACCCATTTTTTTTTATTATATAGTTAAGCATAAAAGAAATGAGGAATTTTACTTGATCACCAAAAAAAAATACAGCAAAGTGTATAACGTCATTAGGTTGATTATGGATATCCCAGAAAAGGGTAAGTTATATTGTGTACACATGTAGCTACTTAAGTTTTTTTTTTTTTGAATCCTATCAACGTTACGATAATGTATTGAGATTCATTACTTGTCTCTGTATGGTCACTTTTTTTTTCATAATTTTTCTGCATTTAACAGTTGCCTACTTTTTCCCTCCTTTTATACAGATGGTCTGAGTATGCTCATTTTCTGTAAGAGTGAAGAATCTGTACATCTTCTCTATCGATTCCTGACCGTTTATTTTAGTTACATTAAAGAAACTAGTTATAAGATAAAGGAGTACACCCGTAATTTATCTAACAGCAGCAGGAAGAAAATATTAAACCAATTTTTAAGCCAGAAATTGCACATTTTGATATGCACTGATTCCATTTCCAGGGGCTTGGACACTGTGAATGTAAATTATGTGGTGAATTATGACATGCCAAATCATTATAACGTGTTGACTCATAGGATAGGGAGGCTCTCGAGGTAGGCCATGCGCATGTGCGATTGGATGTGCAGACAAATGTGTACATAATACATATATATATTTATATATTCATATATATGGGCTTACATTACAAGGAAAATAAATGTGTTGTACACGAGGCTCCACGCATTTCGCACCATATAAATCGGTCCCAGAAATGATACTAAACACACAATTTCACATGCACACATCGTTATACATGCAATAATGACATTATTCCTTTACGCAGGTATAACAGTAGAAGAGGAACAGTGTATCACTTAATCAAAGAAAAGGATAAAATAGTAATGATTAAATCCATCAAGCAGAGACGCATCAAAGGTGTTGAGAAAATAAAATTCAAAAAGGAAAAATTGATGGAGATAAAAAGATCTATAACATGTATAAAATCGTTAATCAATGATGTAATAATTAAGGAAGATGCAGAAATTTTAAGCCGACATCAGTTTTATTGTTACGATGATTTGGTAAAGTTGTGCGGGGTAGAGTAACAATATTTTGTATGAATTATATGTAGAAAATGTTTTATTTATTTTATTGTATTTTGTTTTAATTTTTTTTTTGGTGAAATTTTAAAGAGGAGGTACACCTATCCATAGTTAGAAGTTTTTATGAAATGAGTTTTGAGGGAAGAGCTATTCAAATTTTTTTTTTTTGTTCCATTTTACATCCTCTCTATTAAGAAACTACATAATAAAGAGGATATTGTATCAAAACTTGGAAGCATAATACACAATCCCTGCATATAAAAAATTGTGGGAAAACGCTTTTGCATTAGTATCGTAGACGTTTCCAAAGAGCAAAGTGTGAATTTTTGGATGTTTATAAAAATGTTCATATACTCTGTTTGCAAATATGGAAATACATTTTTTATGTCTTATTTATTTTTTTTTTTTTTCACGTTTGACTTTAACCTTGCATAGCAACTGTTTCATCCTGCTATTGTTTCATGCTTAGTATTTCGGTTTCAAACAAATGGATACTGCTGTTGTAGCAAAAACATTACGTCTTTTCCTGAAGAACTTTTTTCCTTTTATTTTTCCCCTGTATATGAATCTCCACCCATGAGAACTTAAAAAATTGAAGGAGAAATTACATTTTTTCTAATTCAATAGTGTATGTTTATTTTGTTAGATAAGACCATGTCACAACTTTAAAGACTTTATTTGTTTTCTACCCTTTTCATACTCTCTCTGAAGGAAAGCGAAGCATGTAAAGAAAAAAAATTCATGAATTTGTTTTCATAAGTTAGCGGAAATTTTTTTTTCACGTATAAAAAAAAGGTACACACATAAAAATGGGCTATTTATTTTTTAGTTTTACGAACAATTAATGAGTTAATCAGCACAGAAAGAGGGTTAATTGTTTTTTTTTTTTTTTTTTTTTTTTTTTTGTTCTTTTTAAAAAAGGGCAAATTAAAAATTTTGCTAATAAAAAAAGAAAACGATAACGAAAACGAAATTGCAATGCGTGTTGCAGGAGTGCACCCGCATCCCACCAAGTTACAGAAATCGAAAATGTGTAAATGCAAAATGTCTGTTCTTGTCAACGAGAAATGTTACCAAACCATTCAACTAATTGTAAGAAATACTTTGTCAGTTTTCTGTTGTGCATTTTTAAATCCTTCCTGTGCCTCTTTGTTGAAAGTTTTTTTCTTATAATTTTGTGTAGCTCTCATGTATGGTTACATTTTTTCGTACATTTTTTCATACATTTTTTCATACATTTTTTTACACATTTTTTTACACATCTTTTTACACATTTTTTTACACATTTTTTTCCGTCTCCTTTTTCCACTACCACTTCGTTTCCCCCCATTTTAAATATAAATATTAAAAACATACGGGGCGAGTAAAAAACATTTTGAATTACATTTAAAAAGTTACAATATGAGAAATTAGCATTATTGGGAATTTTTTTTATTAATGTGAATTTTTTTTTTTTCATATTTTTTAAAATATTATACTATCGGGAATTTTTCTCCTTTTTCGTCTCTTTGGAGAGCCATAATTGAAGTGTACACTTCTGTCCATGTGAAAATGGACATATTTCCTGATTGTTGCGTTAGGGGAATACTTCTTCGTGTTACCGATATGAACGAATGTTGAAATACACTTGTGAACTTCCATTCAATTGTGCGTTTCCACTGACTTTGCGTGTTTATTCTTTAATGTGAAATCCACACATTCCTTCCCCTATGAGGAATTCTCCTAAAGAGGAATGGATTTAATTTCTTATCCGTTGCATTACACAGAGTCAAGCGCTAAATAACAACCAAAATAGAATTCCCATTTGGCGAGACCTTATTTTAACATTTCTCCACTTTTTGTCACTTTTAAGTGAATTTCTTTTTTTGAAGGTCACACAGAAAGGAAAATAAAAAAGCAAAAAAGAAAGAAATTGACGAAATTGACGAAAATGATGAAAATGAAGAAACTACTCCTATTCTCAACCCTGTACCTTCTGAGAGAATTTTCCGCTTACGCAGATGAGCACATTTGCGATTTTACAAAAGAAAAATATTTACTTGGAAAGAATGAAAAAGAATATTGTATCATAAATGCCAAACCTTTCGATAGTGTAACATTTATGTGTCCCAACAAAATCGGAGCGGAATGTTTCCAAAATGTAAACACATTAGATGACACAAAACCAGAAAATATGGAAGCATCAAAACTTTCCATTGATGAATTGTTGTACGGGTCTACCTTATATGGGGACACCCTTCTAATATCTCCAACAGTAAAACAGACAACTACCTTCTACTGTTTTTGTAATTTAGAAATGGAGGATGTGGAGAATTATTTGAAAAAGAGAAGATTAACGAAAGAAAAAGAAAAAGCTAAAAGAAAGACAAGTATCAACATTGATAATGTAAATGAAGATGAAGAAGTCTTAGTATCGCAAGAAAAAAGGGAAGACGAACATTTAATTAGGGCATTATATAGAGCTAAAAAAATCAAAGGTATAATAGAACGTGAAAAGAACAGAGTGGAAGCTGAGAAAAAAAATGGTACAGTAGAAGATGAAGTAAGAATATACGATGAAGAGGAAGAAGAAAAAGAAGTAGATGAAACAAAAATTGAAAAAATTATTACAAAATATGGTATAATGAAAGTTACTGTATCTACTAATAATAGCATAACAAAAGGTTGTGATTTTGGTAATAACGTAAAAAATTATTTTTCCAAACCTTATCCTGTAGAAAGATATGGAGGTAGCAAGGTATGTAGAATTGAAGCAAAACCAGGTGAATTCGTTGGTTTCAAATGTATTTTTGATAACAAAGGAACTGTTGAACCTCAAAACTGTTTTGACAAAGTCATTTATGAAAATAAAGAAATAGATTTGCAAACTCTCATGCCAGGATATATATCATATGGAAATAAACGTCAAGGAAAATATGCTTTTTATTTAAAACTTCCTCATTTTATACAGCACAGTTACACTATTCGGTGCAAGTGCAGATCTACCGTGTCTCAATATGACAACTATATTTTCGAATTGGCAGTAGAAGGAGGAGAAAGTGAAGTTGTTGCAAAGTCTTTTCAAGAATAGCTACCCAACTGGGGGGAATCAAGGTTGAGCACTTATTATAAAAATATATAGTTATGGGTATACATATATTTTTGCTGTTAAGTATCGTTTAAAGGGAAAGATTAATTTTTTTTTTAAATCTGCTCACCTGGCTGGTTCTTGCATATATATATAAATTTACACATGCATCTGCATGACCCTGTGGATATTTGCCTGAATGTCCATTTACCTTTTTTTCACGAATTCCACTTAACTAGACAATTTTGTTTTTATTTTAATTCTAACAAGTATGCATTTTTTCTTAGCAAAAAGTATTAGGAGTTGCTAATATTAATAAAGGGGAGGTAAAAAAAAATTGTTAAAAAATTGTTAAAAAATTATTAAAAAAACTCATTTAAAATTCCCTTTTCAAAATGTAAGTAAAAGGTTAGAATTAGGTATATGAGTTATGGTTGGACTTGTGTCCGTCTCTTTGTAGATACTGCGATGCCTTGATTTCATTAATTAAGATTAAAAACATTTTTTCATTTTAAATAAAGCTTGTTTTTCAAATCTGTGGCAAACTTAACTGAATTATGTGACTACTTCTATCAAATCGCACATTTGTTCTTTCTCAAAATTTTTTTAGAAATTATGACATCGCATATTGTTCCTTCTCCTACCACTTGAGTTTGCACTACTTGAGCCTTTTTATCCTCTTTCAATTAACTTTTCTTTTTTTTTTTTTTTAGATGGTAAAATTGAGGAACTATTTATTCCAAAAGGTGTAACACGTTACTTAATGTTCATTTTGGATTACCTCATAATTTTTTTTTTTTTTTTTTTTTTTTTTTTAAAAGAAAATTGCTTAATCGAAATTGTTTGTTATTACTTCATTTTTTAGGAAGGTTAAATTATTTTTTATTTCTGTAATTTTTATGAGCATATTTTTTTTTTTTCTTTTTTGCATGCATTTTTTGTGTAGAACTTTACATATTTTTATTTGCCCAAATGAGACCGAGATAAAATTTTGAAGACATGGTAATGTGTTACATTAGATCTATTCTCTCCAGTTGAGCTTTTTTTTTTTTTCTTTTTTTTTTTTTTTTTTTTTGTTCTATTTCTATATATTTTTCTACACAACATGCTTTTTGTCTAGCCGTTTTTGTCTTCTTCAGGTTTTTTTTTTTTTTTTTGATATGTTAAAAAGGAGAAAAAAGACAAGCCCTAAAATTGATATATATATATATATATATATATTTTATTTTATTTTAAAAGCATCTTACTCTTTACACTTTAAAGAAAGTTATTTTTTTTCTTCAACTAAAGATACATATCAACTTTTTGCAAAGCATAAAATACATATTGTCACTAATTAATAATTTTTTTCTTTTATTCCAATTAGTCAACTATTATACATTCACCAGGTCATTACTAATATATAAAACGTATATTAAAAGTGAACTTTGGGGATAATTTTATTTTTATTTTTTGAGGCAATTCTTAAGAAGTTTGTGAAAAAAGGGGGGGAGTATAATATATAATAATAACAAGTGGAATAGTCACAGTCACAACAACCAAAATAGAAACGATAAAGTAGAAAAAGCTGAAAGGAAAAATGAAGACGTTCATTCTGCTGTTACTACTTGTAACAATCAGTTACTTCTATGGATGCGAAAATCTGAAGAATGGAAAGCGGGAATTTGGAAAAACTTCTGTACAGGTAAGGCGGAGAATCTTGAATGTGGAAGACGAAACAAAACACTTACCAAGTGGAAGTTCAACAAGAGAAACATATCATGAACCTCGTAATGAAAAACATACCAGATTTGAAGTCAAACATGGTAAGATCCTAGTTTTTGACAAAGATACAGGAGAAAAAATATTTGTACGCCCTGGTGAGTCAGATGTTGCTATTCCTGATCCAATTAGTGAAGAGAGAATTTCTTTTAGGAAAAAAAATGATAAGCAAAAGGATATTGATGCGGAAACAGGGGAGAAAGTTGTTGGACATGATGCGAGAACAGAGGAGAAATTAGTTGGGCTTGATTCTGGAACAGGAAGAACCGTTTCGAATTCCAAGGATGCAGACGATGTTGGAATGATGAAAGGAAGAAAGAGATTGAAGTATCCAATTTATCCTGAGAAGGAAAACCGTGTCGAGTTTATGCAAAGGAGTACAGCGGATGATGGGGACAGAGACAGGAATGAAACTGGAAAAGGTAATCGAGATGTAGATGTGGATGATGAAGATGTATATGATGATGAAGATGGAGATGATGATGTAGAATTAGATGAAGATGGAGATGATGATGTAGAATTAGATGAAGATGGAGATGATGATGTAGAATTAGATGAAGATGGAGATGAAGATGTATATGATGATGAAGATGATGAAGATGGAGATGATGATGAAAATGGAAATGTGAATGAAAAAGTAGGTGGAAAGATGGATGAAAAGATAAATGAAAAGGTAGATGAAAAGGTAGTTGGAAGTGCCGATGATGGAGATGGAAAGGTAGATAAAAATATAGTAGGAGAGAGAGATAAAAATATAGTAGGAGAGAGAGATAAAAATAGAGAAGTAAGGGGGGCCCTGAAAAACACAGAAATACCTATAAAAAATGGTATTGGGAACATTTTTAGATATATAATTGATAAGGCTGGTTATGGACAAGCTTTTGTGAAACTATTAAACACGAAGGATCACGATGGTGAGGAGGAGGAGGAACAACCTGAAGGAAGAAGTTACGTTTCTAACTCAGAAAAAAAAATTGCAGAGAGTGAAGCTAAGGAAGATTTGGAATCAAATAGCGAAAATTTGGTGAATAAAAAGGAATTACCAAAAGGAAATAAGAGAGATGAAATGATAAAAGAATATGTTAGCATTTTATTAAACAATGGAGAAAAAATTTTAAAGGAAAATGTTAGTCATTTTCTAAAAAGAATTTTTAACTTAATCGTTAAAGAAAAACTAATGACTAGTATGTGCCACAATGGGGAAGAAACTTCCACAAATGTGAAGTTGAAAGAAGTAAAAAATTTTGTTGGTGCAGGTGAAAAGGAATCAAATTGTGACAATGTTGGATGTGATAAAAGGAACAAGGAAAATTGCCGAGAAAGTGAAAAAAGTTGCCCAGAAGATGAAAAAAATCACCGAGAAAGAGAAAAAAATCACCAAGAAAGTGAAAAAAGCCATCAAGGAAGTGAAAAAGGCCATCAAGGGGATAAGGAATATGCACCAGGAGAAAAAAGAAGCACAGAAAAAAATGCGAGTCCCAAGAAATGCTTCTTGTCCAAATTGAAAGATGCGAAATTCTTTAATGAAGATGATCTGTACAAGTATTACATTTCGCTGGAAGACATGTTAAAAGATAGGAAAATTCAGCGGAAAAATGACAAAGTGTCAAAATATTTAACATTTCACCCAGTAGAAAATATAAGAGAACATTTCGAAAACATAGCAAATAATAATATATTTATAGAATCACTTAGAATTATACTATTCGATTCGCATAAAAAACATGAACAAGATGTATATTCCAGTTTTGTAGTGGTTATAGATACATTATTTTCCTTGATTAAAGAACAAAAGGGAATTAAAGATATGTATACTTATGTACAGTTATTTTTTGAGGACTTAAATAAACTGAACATGAAAGTGTTAGATTCTCTGAAAGTTTCTTCAATGAACGAATCAAAACTGTTTGATATTCCTGATTTTACTATTACTAACTTTGAATATATCTTGTCTAAAATATATTCTCGCTCTGTTTTGGCAAATATTTTAAGTGAAAAAATGGATAACTTAGATATAAACAATCTACTACAATTTTTGAAGAATAGGGTAAATAATTTCAATTTTAGTTTTATTGATAATTCGGTAAGTGTCACTACAGGCCCTTCTGCGGAGATTCTTCTTTCCACTGCATCTATTTCGACTGAAACTGTTTCAGCAGATAAGATTCAAATGAATAACTTTCTTATGGAATCAGATAACACTCTGTGTAAATTTATTCCTATTAAAAAGAAGTAAGTTATTCTAAATAAAGTTATACTATTCATTTCAATAGCCTGTTTGTTTATGGAAATATTTCCTTTTATGCAGTTTTTGGGTGTGTACAACTATGAGTGGGATATCTCTTTGGTACCACATACATATATGAGTGTGTGAAGACATATAATTGGACTTTTATTCGTGCATACATTTGTGCGCATTGTTTCTACTTTATGTTGCATTTGTTTAATTTTTGATGTCGTTTTTTATTGTTCATGTTCCTCTTTTCTCTTTTTTTGCATCACACATTTGACCTATAACATATATATCTATTTCTTTCTTTCACCTAATGCACATAGGTTACTGTATGAAAAGCTAAATGTTACTAGAAAAGTTGCAGAAGAAGTGATCCTGGATTACTTATTCCGTTTACTTTTGAAGAAAGTACATGAATATGTTCTGGAATGACTTTTCTATTACATCGTGGATATGAAGCGCATGGTAGGAAGAAGATTAACAAAATCTCAGTTAGGTGAAAGTGAACGAAGATATTATTGTCTTTTTGTATTTTGCTTTTTGCACAAGTTTGAATGAATAATTTCATCGCCGTAAACCTTTTAAAATTCTTTTTTTTTTTTTTTTTTTTTTTTTTTTTGATTAAGTTTTTTTGAAAATTTTGCTTGTTTTTATTTTTCTGCATCTTGCATATTTTTGCTGAATTTTTTCTTGTGAATTTTGCTCTATTTTATTTTTTCCCCCTGTCTTTGTAATTGATACTTTATACAGAAACGTAACTTTTTCTATTCACAGAAAAATGCTGATTGAAATTTTTTTTTTTTATAAAATGTCATATGAGGTGTGTAAAAAATATTCATGCATTTAAGTGCAGTATGTGAAAAAGTAAGGGGGTGAGGGTGGGGTTATATAATTTAGGGATTTGGCACACCATGCTTTTTGTCGCGTCAAGGCAGGAAAGCAGTGTCTGATGGGACGATTTTGGAACAGAACAATCTAAGAATTTTGTAGGAATTAGACACCGCTCAATGTGTTATTGTTTTATTACTGTTATTTCGTTATTGTTATATTATTTTATTTTTAATATACTATCACTTTTTTTATTATTTATTTTATTTGTAACTTATTTGTAATTTACTTGTAACTTATTTGTAATTTACTTGTAATTTACTTGTAATTTATTTGTAATTTACTTGTAATTTATTTGTAATTTACTTGTAATTTATTTGTAATTTATTTGTAATTTATTTTATTTATTATTTATTTATTATTTATTTACTATTTTATTTTTATTGCTTTAACGTTTTCTTGCTTCTTGAAAGGGTGAACAACCCAGAAGAAGGAAACGACAAAAAGGAAAATTCGTTTAGCTATGCAGGCATACATGAATATTTTATATATTTCATACGTAGGAGAAGTATAACGAATTTTTGTTTTTATTTTATTTCATTTTGGATATTTTTATATCTTTGCGGCACAACTGCGACTGAATGTGTATTTGTTTTGTGTTCCAGTTTTCACTTTTTTTTTCCCCTCCCCAAATTGCTGTGATATGATTTTAATTTTTTTTTTTTTCTTGGCTTTCTTGAGTAATGTAAAATGTGACATACCGGTTCATTGTCTAAGTAGACATGTAGAAGGAAAATGGGAAATAAACATAGGGTTGCTAAAAAATAAAAGTGAAGGGATAGAAAAGGTGCAACATTCTAGGGGAATATCTTCAGATGCAGTATACGACTACGAGTGTGGCTATAGGAGACCAGACGATTCCTCTTACCATGGTGTAATATATATATATATATATATATACATATGCATATAATGTTTTCTCCAGTGTACATTTTCGAGGTGTACTTTTCTGAGACACACATCATCTTACACCCAAGTGTCCAAGAACTTGAATTGATGAGAAGATGTTCTTACCGATTTGTTGTCTTTGATTTCAGATATACTCATGTGTTAATTTTTTTTTTTTTTTTTTTTTTTTTTTTTTGTACAAAATTCATCATTTTTTTCAGAGGAACTGGATCCTGAGAATATGAAGAATCGTTTTCAGGAAACAAAAAAGCAAATTATCTTATTTAACAAAGATAGGACAATAAATATAATTGAAAATGACAAAATAAAACCAGAATATAGTGGGTACTGGAGGATAATATATGATGAGGGATTATATATGGAAATATATAAAGAGAATAATGAAAAAGAAATTTATTTTTCTTTTTTTAAGTTTAAGAAAAAGGGAAACGTGTCTTATAGTTATTGTAACAAATTGGTTATGGGAGTGATGAATGCATATTTCCTCAGTCGACATGATAGTTATGAAAGAGATTATTTAACAGATCAGGTTGGTAGCAATGGTAGTTCAGTAAATGGAAAAAAATCTGAAAAGTTTTATTTTCTCAAAAAGGGGAATAAGAATGAAAATGAGCTGAACAGCAATAATAAACACTTTTTTAAAAATAAAATCCATTTTTTAGATTTTAAAAATGAAGAATCTGGAATGCGAGAGATTAACCGAAATGCCTTTTCACAATTGAGTAAAAAAGGAGATATGAAAAAAAACCTTAACAATAATTTAATTGATTATTATAATGATAATTTTATTCAATATGATTTCTTGACTATGAAGAGGTTTTGCTGGTATGCGAAGAAGTTAAATATGTCTGATGAACCTACGAACAAAATCCCAGCTGATATTGTATCTCCTCTTGTGCTGAGCCCATATTTGCACATCAAAAATTATGCAAATGTGAGGTCAGGAAGGGAAGTAAGAAATGACAATCAGGTTGGAGATAGGAAGTTGGATGATGTACACAGTAACATTTCAGCACTAGGTAACAAACTAGATTACAATACACATGTCAAAGGATTGGACCGTGAGGGGAGTAATTTTCAAAAAAGAGATAAAAAATTAAGTATGTCTAAATCGGTTACAAAAGAAACGAATAAAAAATGGAAGGAAAATAGCATATTTAATGCCTATCGTGAGAAGGAAATTGCATTAACAGAATTCGACTGGACAAATGAAGATGATGTGAGAAAGAGACTTAATGGTAATTTTGTAAAAATTATTGATGAAGCAATTGATCAGAAGGGTTGTGGATCCTGCTATGCAAACTCAGCTGCGTTAATTATTAACAGCAGAGTAAGAATAAAATATAACTATATTAAAAATATAGACCTTTTATCATTCAGCAATAAACAATTAGTTGTGTGTGATTTTTTCAATCAAGGTTGTAATGGGGGATACATATACTTATCCCTCAAATATGCATATGAAAATTATCTTTTTACGAATAAATGTTTTGTGAATTACACGAATTTGTATCTCAATAAAGATGAGAAAAATAGCACTTTATGTGATCGGTTTGATACTTTTAAGACATTTTTACAAAAGGAAAAGGACAGAATTACTTCAAATGTGCTGACCAGGTCGACTTCTCAACCATATCTAACGGTGATAGAACCAGCATATAAACAAATAAAACACGTGAGGAAGCATGGCGGATTTTTTAGGGGAGGAGAAGAAAAACTTAGTAAAGGAGAAATGGACAATATGGGGTCTAAGTATGCCAGGTATGAAGCTGAAGAAAAGGTGGGCGAAAAAGAAAAAGTGGACGAGGGAGAAAAGGTGGAAACAGAAGAAGAAGAGCTATATAACAATGACAAAGAAAAAAATAAACACAACATAATCAGTGGCAAGTGTGTACAACACGACGAAGATATAAACGGGAAGTATATCCTAGTTGATGCATTCGCGAGAGATGCAAATAAGATCGATATGCTTAAAGTACAAGAATGTGACACAAAGGTTAAAGTAACAAAGTTTGAATATCTAGATATAGAAGATGAAGAGGATTTAAAAAAATACTTGTATTATAATGGGCCTATAGCAGCAGCAATTGAACCTTCAAAAAATTTTTCGGGATATAAAGAAGGGATATTAAAAGGGAAATTTATAAAAATGTCCGATGGAGAAAAATCGAATGCATATATATGGAACAAAGTCGATCATGCTGTAGTTGTAGTTGGTTGGGGAGAAGACAGCGTTGAAAATTTGATAAAAAAGAAAAAAAAAATTCATCATTATTCTGGAGATGATGATACATATGTTAATGCAAAAATGGATAAGGCAAATGAAAAGGTTGTGAAATACTGGAAAATTTTAAACAGTTGGGGTACCCAATGGGGATATGACGGCTACTTTTACATTCTGCGCGATGAAAATTATTTCAACATAAAATCCTATCTTTTAGCATGTGATGTTAATTTATTTATAAGACAAGGTTGATACAGATGCAACCAGTTACACTTTTTTTTTTTTTTTTTTTTTTTTTTCCTCCTTTTTTTTTTAATTCATTTGGAAAAGATAAGGTATTATCATTCAGTATATGTTTTATGTGTTTTGACTCAGGTTATTTGTAATTTTACAGAACCATGCGCTTAACCATTTTTATTATCAAACATGAATTTTTTTAGATAAAAATAAACTCCTATTTTTTTTTCTGAAAATACGTGAGTATTTAGTAAGTTTTAGATTTCGCTGTAGAGAAATATACAGCTACTGCACTAACCAAGTTCATTTTTTTTTTTTTTTTTTTTTTTTTTTTCTCTTTTATTTATATAACGCACTAAAATATTTGGGGTAGTACAATTTCGTGTATCATTCTTCATTGTGTGTAAATTAAAATTTTACTTTTTCTTTCCGATAAACAGATAAGATTTCTTTGTGTTTATTTAAAAAAAAAAAAGAAAAGAAAAAAAAAGACATGTTTTTATGTCCTATATGTTGTAAAAGCATCTGTACTAGTATATCTATGTATATGTAATAAAGTGCGAAAGATGTATACGTTTGATTTTTTCCTGGTGGGATATTTTAACAAGCATGAAATAAACAGTTTCGATTAGTATGACAAAATGGATAATTTGGTTTAAGAATGAAATTTATCATCATGTTATGTTGTTTATAGGTAGTACTTTTTTTATTAGAGTTCTCTGATCAGAATATATGTACTTTGATTTGGACCGTGAATGTATGATTGATTAGCTGTGAGATGTGTTTTTACTAAATAGTTTTGTGCCTTTATGGACGAATTTTTCATTTGATACGCTAAATTTTTATATACCGTAAGGTTTGTTTGAATTGGTAAAAATATCCTATGGTTTCTTCAAACTCATGTGCTTCTCCTTATCCATAAATCGCTTTAGGGATAATTTAATTTCGTAATGCAATTTTTGGAAAAGGGTTTGGAAAATTGGATTTTTTCCCGTTTGGAGCAGATTTTTGTATATATTATGATACTTATCAAAGTGATCATTGAGGAATATCTGAAAGTCTAAAATGTCGTCTGATTGATGTTCTTTTTTTATGAACATATAACTAGGGTGAACATTACATTTGTTTGTATTTTCTATTATTCTGTATCTGTCTTTCAAATGTCCGTTTTTTTCAATCTCAGTAGAATGGTTGTTAACACTTGCACTTCTAACTGGAATCATAGGGTTGATTCCGGGGCAGGGTATTCTAGACGAATTTGTTGGTAATTCCTCATGATTGTAAAATGAGTAATAAATAACGTGGTTGTTAAAAATATGTGTCAAATTGTATATATGAACATCATTGTTAATATTGAAGATATGTGTATATCTTTTGAAAACTTCATAACAATTGATCTTCTTTGTATCAATTTCGATATCTGTGTTGATATTGGCATGTACATAAGATCTATATATACAAATAAATAAGAGTTCGCAAATATTTACTCTTAACGTACACTTATATTTATATTCTGTTTTTTTACTTATACTCACGTAATTTAATCCCTTGTCATAATAGTATACCAACTGGTTCGTATTCGATTTATCGTTAAGAAATATGTCAAAAAAGGAGGTGTTTGTAACTAAAGTGTCCCATAATTCTTTTAATTTATTTCTGTTAATATTGTAATATAGAGGTATATGAATTAATGCTAAGGATGATAAGATTTTTATTTTATATACATTTGTGTATCTTAAGGTGCTTATTAAATGGTCCAATATTTTATTATGCAATTCTGCAAAGTTATGTGCAAAAAAAAAGGAGAAATTGTTGTATATCAGTTTAAAAGCATATAACACATTCCAGGTAATTTTATTTTTTATATGATCCTTTACTATTGATAGCAGATATAAAATAATTTTAGCATCAACATTATTGTTGGCTTTATTTACAAAACTGTTCTTGCTTTTGTTCTGGTGAAATATGTCCTTTATTTCTATGACGATTGGGTTGGGGAGGATTTTTTTCGCTTTTTTTTTGGAGTACGCTTCGAATAAGTGTTCCAAGAGCGGCTGTTCCAGGAGCGGCTGTTCTGAGGTCGTCTGTTCTGAGGTCGTCTGTTCTGAGGCCGTCTGTTCTGAGGCCGTCTGTTCTGAGGCCGTCTGTTCTAAGAGCGGCTGTTCACTTTGGGAGTTCTTCTCATTTTTTTTTCCTTTCCCAACTTCTTGATGGTCATTCTGCTGTGGGGCAGACACAATCGTGTGAGCCATGTTAATAGGAATTGCATTCTCGATAATAGAAACTTGCTCAGACTTTGATGTTAATCGAGAATCTTCACAAAATGAAAAAAAACAATCTTCAAAATTGTATTCATACTTTACATACACATTTAGGAATAAGTGATACAACTTGCAGTTCTGTGTTGTCAACTTTAGCGAGTTCTTATTCGTTTCATCATATGTAATTAACTGGTCTGTGGTTTTCCCATTTATTTGTTTATTTTGGTGCATACAAAGAGGACATGTATTTGTGCCATTGTTTAAAGCCGTGGTACTGTTGATGGTTTTTATTTTTTCTGGTATTTTTCTTCTTATCATGCAACATTTCTCATTTTTTATATTCGTAATGTTTCTCTCCTTACTTGTAGTACATATATTGACAGTTCCGTGTGAAGTTTCCCAGTTCATCAGATGTTCGTTTTCTTTGCTATCCATTCTTATGTCGTTTGTTTCTTGTCCTTTCCCTTCGCTCTGTCTACTTCCTTCGCTCTGTTCACTTCCTTCGCTCTGTTCACTTCCTTCGCTCTGTTCACTTCCTTCGCTCCGTCCTCTTCCCCCTGTTCCCGCGGAGTGGAAAATGCCGAGCAATCCCTTCTTCTCGATTAAACTATTTAGATAAATAAAATACTTCGTGAGAAACGTAGATGGAAGTAAATTAATAGATTTAAATAAAAAAAAGTTCATGTTTTTGCAAATAAATCCTACATACCTGATTATGCAACAGATTGCTTTGTCCTTTTCTACATTTTGATTTTCTCTTATTATTAGAAGCAGTATGTAGATGTATTCGATATATGAAATTAGGTATATATTGTTTGCGAACATGTACTGTAAGTTATTCTCTTGATTTATCACAGTGCAATTCTGACAGTTCAGACCCATAGAAGGGGTTTTGTCTGTCACTGCAATTGTTTCCACTGATGTGAGTTTTTCCCTTGTGCTGCTCGAAGAACCGTTTGAATGTGCACTTTTTTTTTTTTTTTTTTTTCTTCTTCTTCTTCTTTCATTCATTCTGCTCATGTTGTTCATTTTTCTCGTTCTTCTGGTTCTTCCCATTTTGTCCATTGCGTTACTTGTACTTTTGCCACTGCTACTATTTATGCCGTTAAAACCATTTTCCGTAATGTTATTTCTGCTAGAGATATCAGAGCATGTCCCTTTAAATACAGAATCAATTTTTCCTCTTTCCCTCGGATGTTCATTTTCTATGTTTGTGGATGTACCTATCTGTGCAGATTTCTTGCAATGCGTAAATTCGTTCATAGATATTTTATTGTTCCTTATGTGTCTATTGCGTTTGCTACTGTGGACATTTCTGGGCCCTTGTATTGGGTATAACTTCAATTCATGTACATCAGATGAGACCTGAATTCCGTTAATAAAATCTATGAACTTGTTAACGTCATTATTTTCCTCACTGTTGTAATTACTGTAGTAGGAAAATGTCTTAATAATGTTTTGTGTAAAATAAAAGGGGACATATGAACTAGCAATTTCGCATATGCAATTGTACGTATAATATTTTAAGTCAACAAAAGAATCGTTATAAAATTTAATTATATGCATAATGATATAAATATATATATAGTATAATTCAAATAATTTCTGTTCATTTTTTTGTTTTTTCCGTAAGTATAACTCTTTCTTTTGTCTTTCCTTAAGTATATCTGTTAAAGTTAAATGTCGTACTTCTTTTGCATTTTTCTTGTAAGTGTGCAAAATATTGTGTACGTAACTGCTATTTGTTCTATATTTCCTATGGATATTGTGTTCACCTGTTTTTTTCGTTTTTTCTGTGTTTACAGCTTCATAAGTAGGAATGAATAAAATATGTTTCTTTTCATTTCGAGTGTCCATTTGGTTGTAATGATTCATGCATTCTTGTGTTTCAACAAATTCATGATCTTCCTTTTTCGTTTGATTCTGCGTTAGTAATTCATCTATTATTATATTTTTTTTTTCTTTATTAACATTTCTCGTATTAGTTGCCATTTTTTTTAAACAACTATTGTTGAAATTATTTATGTCTATATCATACTCATCTTTTTTAATATATAAATTTTTAACTTGATTTTCTTCTACTATTTTGTCTTCACTAATTCCTACAACGTTGTTCATTTGATCTGATGTATTTTCCAATTTTGATTTCATGAACGAATTGTTATAAGCAGAACTAGTTTTACTACAGCAGAAAGAAGGGTTCCTTTTTTGTTGTATTGTATTTATTTCCTTTTCACAAATTCCGTTTAACATGTGTGATTTTGCAGAAAGGGGAAGGAGGTGGTTATGGCCTCTCATGTGGCATATAATATTATATGTATTTTCATGCGATATTAACATTTTCAAATTCTCATTTTCCATTTGGTATGGAGAATACTTATCTATTTGCATTCCTTTCGGTGTCATATTTTCCAACTTATTACTATCCTTACGATAATTTTCCCTATAATTGGCAACTATCTCAGAGGTATGTGCTGTTGAATGGGTTGGTATCCGAGCAACATCTTCAAAGAAATTCTTTTTACCATTACATGAATATTCGAGGCTATTCTCATCATGTAAAGAGGCGTTGTTTGGATAATAATTATTTCGATGTTTTATATATCTTTCAGTAATATTTGGGAACCTGCTTCTATTTACATTTTCTCCACCAATCGCATTATCACCAATCGCATTATCACCAATCGCATTATCACCAATCGCATTATCACCAATCGCATTATCACCAATCGCATTATCACCAATCGCATTATCACCAATCATATTATCACCAATCGCATGATCACCAATTGAATTATCACCACTCACATTGGGATGTAACTTATTTTTGAGACCATTGCCAGATGTGTTGCTTAATGCTGAACCCGTGTAATTTGGGTTCATGTTCGTACAAGCATTTGTCTTCCATTTTTCCTCAAAATTGTCTACACTCAAAATCCTTAAATTTGGAAAACTTTGTGGAAATTGTGTACACGTTTGTATGTCATTTTTTCGAGCTCCATATTTTAACACATAATTGTTGTCATTTGGTTCAGTTGGACTAAGTGTATCTATTGAACCCACAGTACCTATCATACCTTGATGTACCGATGGTGCTGTGGTTGAGGTAGTGAAGATGTTGTTGTAGTAAACATTGGTCGAATTGATATGCAATAGATTCATCCTCTTCTCATAATTTTGAATAAATTTTTTGTTAAATGTAAAAATATATTTAATGATATACTTACTTAGGGCAGTTATAATATTGCATTTAATGGTGTGCACGCAGGAGGAAACAAGATTTGTTAATTTTTGTATGTCTTCAATTTTTAGCATTTTGAACCCTTCATAGCTTAACTGAGATATGCATATAATTGTGTTCAAGAATATATGCTTCACTTTGCTTCTTTTATTTATCACATCATCATGTATTTTATTTATACTATGTATGTGTATTAGTATGTACTTTCGAAACAGGTAGATCATGTCTTTTTCCACAAGCTCAACGAACTTTTTCCTTTTTTTCATTTCTCTTGATTCATTGTGTTGCTTATCTCGAGTTTTTTTTCTGATTCTCTTTGATGGAAGTTTTTTATTGATACCTTTTACAATTTCAGTGTGATTTGTAGAATCGCACGTAATTCCACTGGATTTTTCCACCTCTGATGTACAGTTTTTGACCTTGATTACTTCACCATTAATAATTTCATTAAAGCTTTGGCTAGTTCTTATTTTCTCTAAGCTGAGATTATTTTTACCCTTACAGGTAAAATATTCTGAATTTTTTTTGACTGTAGTGATCTTTCCGCTTTTAGAGTTATTCGAACAATGGGTAAAGTAACCAATCCTTTCTGCAGATTGAGAACAGTTTTGATCTCTGCAATGATTTGTTTTGTGTTGTCTAATGTTCGAATCTATGATGAATGCATCTGTGTTGGTGTTTTTATTCTTTCTATTTTCTTCACTGTACAGACGTATATTTTTCTCATGAAATGGAATTTTTTCTATTTCTCCTTGTTCCATTTGTGAACTAAAGAGATATTCATTTTCCCCATGATTATTATTGTTGTATTTTGTAACATGTGATGCTTTATTATATATGTGAAAATTTTTGAAATATTCTTTTTCTGCCCCAATTGGTAATTCATATTCATTACAGTTACTGTCATAATAAGAATTAATAAAGCTAAAAATATCTATAACAATTTTTATGGAAATAATTTTAATATTAATATTTTCTGACTGCAAAAAATATTCCAATAAATTTTTTACATCATTCCAACAATGCATGTAACAAAATAAATAATATTTTAAAGTTTTTTGAAAAACTAAAAATATATTTTTAAAAATTTGAATATCATATGGTACTAATAAATTGTTTTTGTCTAGAAAATTATTCACATGGTTTCTTTCGCTATATTCTTGTTGCATGTAAGAATTAATGTTATTGTCATATAGATTGTTGTACGAGTTTGTAAAGTATTTTTTTCCATATCGATGAACTTTTTGATTATTATTTGCTAAATCTGTTTTGTTGGAATGTCCCTTGAGAAAGTCTTCCCTACCGCTGCTATTCTCCAAATGGTTGTTATTATCATGTGTTCCAACGAATTGTAGGTTATTTCTTACTAGTCCTACTGTTGTACTATAAGCAGTATTGTTACTTTCTTCTTTTGGTTCTGCTTCTACTTTACATTTGTTCATATAAAAAATGTTTTCTTTTTCATATTCCATCTCGCTTTCATTTTTTCCCCATATGTCTTTTCCATCTGCACAAGGCTGATAAAAAATTTTATACAAAAATATTAACATGAAATATATTAGCTGTGCAAAGGATATATTATACAGATGATTTTTCGAAAAATGATGACAAGAAATGTTATGATCATTTAGAGTTCTATTGACATTAACTCCGTACATATTCGTGGATAAAAATCGAAATATCTCATCATTATATTCGCATAACAGAACAGAAAATATGTTAATAATAACTGTTATTGTGCTTATATATTTAGAGCTCTTAGAATATTCGTTACAGTATAGCATATTAATTAATAAATTGTAATCCTCCTTAGAGAGATTGTTTTTATTTATTTTGTTTATATTTTTGTACAAGTATGATAAATCGCTTGCATTCCTTTTTTTGCTGATTCCTTTTTTATTTTTAATGGTATCTGTATTCGTTGTACATGAGCAAGGGTATGTGCATGCAAATGAGGATGAGGATGAACATATGCTTCTTGTTGTTTGTTCTTCTAGTGAATCATCTATGTCTTCTTCACTATCCTTCATTTCTTCGTCTTTTTTTTTTTTTTTTTTTTTTTTTCTTTTCTTTTTCGAATTTTTCAGGGAAAGTGTGTCTGAACTCCTGTCTCTCCTGCTTCCTAGATTTTCGTCCTTTCTCCCATCGTCGACATTTTCACTCACATCATTGGTATCCCATTGTGATGTATTAACATCTTTGGTACCCTCAAACCTACTGTCCACATTTTTCTTATTCTCTGTGCTGTTCTTTTTATTATCATTTAAGTTGTCACTTGCTTTGTATGCATCACTATCATCTTCTATGTATTTTTTTTCTCTTTTTCCTTTATTCATATCTCCTTTATTTTTTCCATTTTCCTTGTTATCCATATCTCTATGGAAAGTCCCCGTAACATGGTTGACACAACATGGGTGCAGAATTTCGCTCACACTGATGACATGGCTGATAGAGTTGTCTCCATAATATGGTGTCCACTTTGGATCTTCTTTTTCTCTGCTTTTTTGTACTCCCATTCGTGAGAATTCCTGTTTTTCTTGTTTTTCATTTTTGTCTTCTCTTTCTTTTTCCTTCTTATCCGATCTTATGTCACTTTCGGCATACTGTTCAAGGTCTTTAAATCTGTTAAAATAATTATTTAATGCAGTGAATACTCGATCGTCCTCATCCGTGCAGTCATGAGGATTAAAGTTATTGTCGTCCATTTGGTTAGTGTACATAAGTTCACTTTTGTTTCGTTTTGGATAAGTATTACCACTTCTAGTGTGATGCAAGATATTTTGATTGATAAAAGTGTTTTCATTTTTTTCTTCTTTTATATATTCCTCAAAATGTGGAAAAAAGTTGTAACAAAAATTATTGTTTCTTTCAATACTTCTGTTTTTTTGGAATGTGGTATTATTTTGCAGCATTCTCTTAACGCAGTAATAAAAAACATCACCATGATTAAAATATATGAGATATTTTAATAAATAGAAAAAAAAGAATTTCAAGATTTTTTTTAATAAATCTTTATATTTTGGTATTAATGCAGATTGGGACACTCTCAAAAATAGTCGGCATATATTTAGTCTGTCGACTGGGGTGTAGAAGTTATTTTTTTGATCTATCATGTATGTACTGATTATAAGTTTTAAAAAATTTTTGAGCAGCTTTAAAATGTTCTTCTCAGTGGAGGCTTTCTTTGTATTGCAATACTTGGATTTCTCGTTCATTTCTTCTTTCATACAAGTACCATAAGCGTTTTCTCTTCTTTGATTAAAGTTTCCACACTTCGTGTTCCTACTATTAATATTTTCATTGTTGCTAATTTGTATATATATTTGGTTTTGTTTTTCATATTCGTGTCTCGAAACAAGTGCTAGAGTACTTCTTCCAATTTCTACTTCCCTCTTCACATTGTTAATATCGTTCAAGAAAAATATAGAATTGTTCGATTTGTCTACGTGGATACTTTGTTTCATCTGTTTCTCAGGAAAAAACTGATTAGCATAATTTATACTGCACATATTTTTTGTGAAAACATCATTACTAAGAGTTAAATGATTTTCTGTCCTTATGGGAAAGTTATAATTTGTCTTGCATCCATCTAACGTTGTTTTCATTTGGTTTCCATTTAAATTGTCTATCATGTAGATATTATTGTTGTTATGATGAATACGTTCATTGATGTAATTTTCTTCATATGCATTTTCTCCATTGGTTATGTCTCTGGAAGGATAGCCAGTTGGGAAGTTAACCGAGACGCTAGCGGGAGCAGAAGCAGAGGTGCTGTTGAAATTCTCATCCTTAAGCAGAAACCAATACTTCAGTTGCTTACAATCGAAGAGATATTTAAGACACAAAATGGAATTCGTTCGAATTTTTTGATTTGGGTCATTTATTGTAAGGGTCAGAAAAATTGGAATCAGTTTTTTTCTATTTTCATCGTAGTAATAAAGAATTTTATCCCAGTTGTTTATGTAGATATGTGAAAACATTTTGATTAGCGAATGAACACAACAAAGAATATTATTTCGTATGGAAATAGCTAATTCGTCTTCTATTTTTTTTTTGGCGTGAAAATTTACAGTAGTTTCTACTTTCCCTTTTTTCTGATCCGTGAAATGGGGATTCTCTTCTTGGAAATCCATTTCTTTCCTTTTATTTATGAATCCCCAATTGGTTACAGTTTTGATGTTTCTCCAGATGTGCTTCTCAACGCAATTGTCTGCTTCAGTGTTTTCTTTTTTGGAACATTCAGATACAAGTGCGCTATTTCGATTTATCATCTCACCGTTCTTAACCTTCAGCAGATTTGATGTGTATGTTCTGTGCGTTACATATTCCACCTGAGCCTTTTCTTCAACAGCTTGTCTATTACTCTCCATGTTTTTAGACTGTGTTAAGGTTTCTTTCAAGTGTTCTTCTTCTTTTTCTTCTCCTTCAGCTTCGTTTTTTTTTTCTTCTTCTTCTCCTTCAGCTTCGCTTTCTCCATTTTCTTCCACTGTTTCTTCCTCTATCGCATCTGGATAATTCGTATGAACGAAAAAAAAAGGTTTCAGTGATTCATAGAGGGGAAAGGCAATAAGTTCTTCCTTTTTTTTGTTCCTAGAAATGGTTCTAATTTTTTCATATTCCAAGATGGTTTCACTGAATATATTTACAAAGGAAAACAAAATTGTCAATGCGTTTTCGCCGTTCAGTTGTTTTTGTCTGTGCATATTTTTGCTGACATTTTCAGCTACATTTTTGCTGATATTTTCGCCTACCTGTTCTGCTACATTTTTGCTTCTATCCTCTTGCCCATACTTACAGCTGAACAAGTCGTGTTTAAAGTACTGGTAAAGCTTTTCAAAGAGGGATTTATATAAAGTGAGTAAGAAGAACCAGGCTTTGTCTGTTATAGAAATTGGTTTGATTATAATTAATTTGAGAATACAGCACATACAAGTTTTTATCAGGTGAAAAATGTATACGTCTATATCTAGCAAAATGAGAAGATTTTTTGCAACTGCACAAATGCTGTATAAAATGGAGGAATTGAATTTGTAGACATAATTTGAATTAAGTAGAATTAAAAACATTTCATAAAATTTATTCAAATTAAAAAAGAATTCCTGATCATTTTTTATTCTTAATTTAGAAAGATACAAATTCAGTTCATTTATTTTTTTCTTTTTTAATGAATCGTTATTCATGAACACATCATTGAATACTTTGTTGCTGTAGTACCGTATATTCTGAATTATTATTCCTAATTTGCTCCATGCTATTATTTCTCCCTTGTTTGCATTCCATTCTATATTGCTTTCGGTGTGGTAGTGGTTGTTTTTATCATCATTTGGGTCATAATTCTGTTCTGGATTATGTTCCTGACACTGTTCATTATTTTTGTCGTCATTTTGTTTATCCCTTTGCTCATAATTTCCTAAATAATTCCATTCAAGCGGGAACTCCATTTTGCTTCTACAAATGCCTGATAGACTCGCCCCGATTATATCATTACATGCACTTCCTTTGTAATTAGAAGGAAATTGGTTCCATGATTGTATCATTTTTTTTTTTGAATTCATAATATTTGACGATTTCGAGTTGTCCACATTATTGCTTGGTGCATCAAATGGAAATTTATTTTCCCCAGTGATATAATCTTCTGGATATGTAGTATTGTTCTTTAAAATATGCACATGATCATCCTTGGATTTAGGTTTGCTATATAATTCTTCTCTCTGTATTGGTTGGTTATTCTGATATTCTTGATTGTTGCTACTTTGGTAAATCATATTAGGAGGTATTAGTGCGACTTCACATTTGCTTGCACAACGGGTATTGTCTATGGTTATGTCGTTAGAGATTGCATCAGTGACATAATTATTAGCTTCCCTGGATTGGTAAGTGATATTTTCTTTCTGAGTACTATCAATGAAACATTGATCAGAAGAAAATGTTTGAATTTCTGTGAATTCATCGAGAAGCGTGAACTTATTTTCAACAATATTACAAAGATTAGCATCATTATATGGTCTTTCAGTATTGAATAGATTTGTTTTATCATTGAAATTGCATAGTCTCTTTTCTCTCATTGAGTTATCATTAATCATACATGAATTAGGAATGTTAAACTTGTTCATTTTTCTGTATGAGCTCACTATCCATTTCGATTTATCATCAAGAATTTGTGTGATTGCATTATTGTGTTTTTCATATCTCACATCTGAGTTGCTTAAATTGTGCGATTTGATGCAGGAATTAAATTTTGTATTTCCATTGATTAGACAGTTTTGTTCTGTTAAATTTATACTTTGCGTGTTCATATTAAACTTGGGGTAATTTTCAAATTCTTGGGGATGATACTCTGCACAGTTATTTATTGAGTTATTTGTTGAGTTATTTGTTGACTTATTCGTTGACTTATTTGTTGACTTATTTGTTGAGTTTTCGATCCTCACTGTGTAAAGGCGTTTTAAAGTACCTATATATTTTTCTTCTTCCTTTTCTTCCATAATGTTGTGAATTTCGCTGTGCTTTACACATCTATCCTTTGTTATGTCATTGTCAAGGCTTTGTAAAACATCAGGAGCCAATTTTATTCCATTATCATGAAGTGCGCAATTATTATTGTTGTATATATTTTCTCCATGTGAACCTTTACATGTGATCAACGAATGATTTTCTACCTTTTTCGCATTTCCTTTATTCAAATGGTACAATTTGTTTAATTTATTCTTGTTATATATATATTCCTTTTCAGTTTCATTTGGGTTCATGCTCCTCTGAGTGTGTTCATCTTCGGTTAGTTTTCCACATCTGTTCTTCCAGTTCTTCCAGTTCTTGTAGATGTAACTGCAGTTGTTTTCACAGGTGCCATTTGGGTCATTTGCAACAGTTGGGTCATTTAGATCACTTAACCCATTTGTGCCATTTGTACACATTGCATTGTTTGCACCTTTAGTGGTGATGATATGAGCACCTTGGGCAGTGCTAGAGATTAAGGTGTTAATACCAATTGAGGGATCAGCTCCTTTTGATAGAGGCAATTTATTTACATCCATATTTTTTATGTGATCGCTGAAAACGTTAATGGCATTATGTAATATATTTTTTTTGTCTGAGTGATTCAATTTTGATAGTTCTTCATGATTTTCGAGGGTAATGGAATTGGTCGTTTTTTGAATGGGAATTACTTCGTACCTGTCATGCAAAATTTTCGTATGACTATTCATTTTGTTCATTTGGTTCATTTGGTTCAGTTGGCTCAGTTGGCTCATTTGGTTCAATTGGTTCAGCTGATTCAGTTCCATCAGTTTGTTCTGCTGACTCAGCTGGTTCGATAAATCCATCTTCCCAACTTTGATTGCCTCAGTATCTTCGTCAAAGTAGGTAGATAGTATATCATTTCTAACTCTGCTGTAAGTAAGGGGTCTGCTAAAAGTATCTTCCTCCTGTGCATTAGACATGTTCTGATAAGTGCGATTTGAGTTTGCTTCTTCACTTGTCAATTGGTTTTCCTTTGGTAAATTACATCTATATACGTTCCTTTTATCACTTTTTAAATTATGTATATTTTGTGTTTCTATTAAATGGTTACTATTTGTGTAGTCATTCTGGGGTCTAATTAAGTGCCTATTGTTTGTATGTTCAATGATACCTATCCTGCTCTCGTTTATCATTCCTTGTTTTATTTCATTAAAAAAAGTTGATCCTGTTTTCATATTTTCATTATCGTTTGTATTATTTCTTGGGATGTTCAGCATTCTGTTATTTGGGATGCTTCTAACACAGTTTGTCATTCCACTCGATTCCTTCACCCCTCTGTTCCCTACGTTTGCTGCACAATTTTCATTTTGATTATTAGTTATAAATGTCGCAATTTTTGAAGCCGTTCCAAGGGCAAGGGGGTGATGGGTTGGTAGGGAGTCTACCACTCTATCTCCACTTCGATTTATGACACTATCTCCACTTTGATTTATGACACTATCTCCACTTTGATTTATGACACTATCTCCACTTTGATTTATGACACTATCTCCACTTTGATTTATGACACTATCTCCACTTTGATTTATGACACTATCTCCACTTTGATTTATGACACTATCTCCACTTTGATTTATGACACTATCTCCACTTTGATTTATGACACTATCTCCACTTTGATTTATGACACTATCTCCACTTTGATTTATGACACTATCTCCACTTCGATTTATGACACTATCTCCACTTTGATTTATGACACTATCTCCACTTTGATTTATGACACTATCTCCACTTCGATTTATGACACTATCTCCACTTTGATTTATGACACTATCTCCACTTCGATTTATGACACTATCTCCACTTTGATTTATGACACTATCTCCACTTCGATTTACAATTTCCTCACGTTTTCTCTCGTTCATTTTAAGTGCATTGTGAAATTTCTGTAAATGATCTGAATTGTAATTCCTAAGATTTTGTATAAAGTAATTTTGCGAGTCTCCAATTTTAGACTTCTTTATTCCTTGGTGATCCATGTGCAAATACGTGTGAGAAGGGTCTAATTCAATTTCACTTTTTGAATTCATAATTAGATTATTGCATTTATCAGTTCTCGTATTTACTTCTATTCCATTTTTAATGTTACAATAATACATGTCGGGCTTTTTACCTAGATATGTTTCATAGTGGGATGGCGCTGAAAATGATTCGTTCTTGTTATAAGATACATCATATTTTGAAGCATTTGGTTTGGTTATGTTTATATCATTCTCTCCACATGCTGAAAAACGTGTCTTTCCTGAGGTATCTACATATCTTACCATATCATTCGCTTTTAAATTCTTTTTGATTTGGTGATACATATTATGTTGCTCTTCTGTTGTATAATAATTTTTGGTGTTATATTTGTGTTCATTGTATACAACACTTTTAGATTTTTCATTTTTAATTATTCTGTTTATATTGCAAATTATCATGTTGAATTCTTCTTGAGTAAGTTTTTGCGTATCATTGGAGGGGTAAGTATGTATCTTATTGGGTTCCTCATTTGTAGTTCTACTTTGTTCCTCAATATGGGTTCTACTTTGTTCTCCATTATGGGTTCTACTTTGTTCCTCAATATGAGTTCTACTTTGTTCCCCATTATGGGTTCTATTTTCTTCCTCGCCTTGCGTTCTACATACATTTATGTTCAAAAAATTTTGCAAACTCTTTTCCATACTTTAAGTTCACACAGGTGTTCAGATGAATATCTGCGTAGATGCTTGTGATCATGTAATTCGCACTCGGTGCAGGGCGTTTATTCTTTTGTTCATGTACAGGTGCATATATGGGATCTATGGGTTCGTCGTGGATAGATATAGGTTTGGATTTCTGTCGTATATACATATACACAAGCATATATATATATATATATATATATATATATATATATATATATATATATATCTGCACATGTAAACATATGTTCAAACATTTATGGATGTGTCAATAAACTTCCTTCCAGAACGGTGGATAAATTTTATTTTTGTTCTTGGTGTGTTCTCTTTTTTTTTTTTTTTTGATCATGTTAAGATTAGAGTGTTACAATTGAACATTTTTATTTTAAACAATATATAACGCATATGAATATTTTGTATATATTCCTTGAAACTTCAGGTTTTTTTATGCGGTTTCGAGTAGTGCATGTCTGCAGGTGAGGATGATGCAGTGGGAAAATAACACAATAGAAGAAAGAAGTATATGATACCAGATTGATAAATGCAAAATTCTTGAATCCACGATGGAACAATTCGTTTTTTTAGTATGGGACTTCTTTTTACATAAATTCTTAATTTACTACTTGAAAAATATATACATATTTTTTATCTTCTTGAGAAAGCGATGGAAAAAATGTTATTCAGTAAATAAACATAGTGATGTATATTCTTTAAAAGGTGCTTTATACGCTTCTGGTCCGTACAAATGTACATAAACATATATTCACGTATATGCACGGTATGTGATAAAAGTTTGAAAATGAATAGACATTTTTGTATTATGCATTTGAAAATTTTGAATAACTGTTTGTTTGCACATCACGTTTTAATAAATCAAATGAAAACCGAAAATATTTATATGTACATGTATATCAGGGTAAAAAAGAATATATACCTTCACAAATGCATACCCATATGTGTCTGAATATGTACAGAATTACTGTATGGTAAGATAAACATACACATGATAATTTTCTTTTACAAATATGCGTTCAAGTAGAACACTTGGAAATTGTAATGAAAAAAGGTCTATTGGGAGGGTGTCGGTGGGGGAATATTCCTAAGGATACGGGTAGATGAGGTTATAACTTGTGTATCCTTTATATAGTGTAAACATTTTTGTATAGATTCAGATGTGTACAGCTAAAGGTATATGTGCTAATAACAAATTATTGAAAACAAATTAACATACATGAAAAAAAAAAAAAAAAAATTAGAAGCTTTAAAAAAGGAGAGAGAAAAAAAAAAAAAAAGATTCTTCACTCCACAAAGTTACTATCATCAAAGGGTGTGTGATGGCAATGTGATGTGCATTCAGATTAATTGGATGCAACAATCGATCGGTATATACATATGAGCAACCGTGAAGACAATGTTATACACAAACAACTTCTTCTTTATGTATACATGCATATACAAATAAATGTGTATATATATCTGCTCGTGTAGGTTGCCCCTTTCCCTCTGATTGTCCTGATTAATAAAGTGGATTTTTTTTTTTTTCTATTCTTTTTTATTGGTTACATTATAATGAATACAAAGTCAGGCTAACTTTATTTGGTGTCAATGGATTGAGTAACTAAAATAAATAACTACTAAATATGCAGAAGAAATTATACATTGATTTTAAAAAAAATTGTCATCAATGAAATATTTTACTTTAACATTTGAAATTATAACATTTTTAACAAAAAAAAAAAAAAGATTTACGCAGTTTTGAACACTGTTGTGTTAGTATAACATTATGCATGCGCGAATGATATAGGTCTTTATAAGTTTTTTCTTTTTCTTTTTATTTTTTCCTTTTTTTTTTTTTTTTTTTAAATATACATTACAATGTTACACGAAAATTTCCATATCTGGAAAAATTATAAGTCCATTTGCAACTTATGTGCAAAATAGGGAGTCCATGCATTTGTGGACAATTCCCTTTGATGCATAAATATTAGCATGCATATTATAACTATAGGTATACGAAGATAGATGCACAAATGTACACGCAACTGAAAATTTTCATATTCATTTGAGAGAAATACATTTTAACAAGACTATACAGGACAAAGATACTATATGTATATATGTATTGTTTCTTTTCTATACTGATGAAAAGGAAATAGGTATAAAAAAGAATTGTAGTCCTGGGTATTATATTCATGAACACTTAAGTATGTACAAAATTGCATATGCATTTAGACACATGTTTGAATAAGCGTTTGCTCATAGGACAATACGCATGCATAGAAAAGACTACGTGAGGGGGAAATAAAAATAAGAATAAAATGTTTAGTAATGGGTAAATAATGTGAATAATCTAAAAGTATAAATGCTTTTTTCAGAACTGCAACTGACGTGTGTTCTTACATGAATATATATGACGGGTATAGATATGTGATCATGAATTTAAATGAACATGCATGCATATGCATATACATCTGTGTTCACATTTATCCTTTCCCCATTTGACAGGTATCCAAGATTATATGGTTAAGACACGAGGAATAAATTGATTCTGTTTTAATACATATACAGTTGGTAATACATTAGAGAAGTAGACAAATGTATGTATACAATGGGACAATTTGCCATGTATACGTATGCATATAGTAGCCTTAAAGTGGCATATATTATGGATTATAGTGTATTATGGTTTTTAATTCAATAAAATAGAGATTCACACGCTAATGTGTGTGTGTACATATACACATGTTGTAAAAATAGTGCATACTAAAAAGGTACAAAGAAATTAAAAAGTTAACGGTTTCATTACTCACATGTTGATTTTTTTTTTTTTTTTTTTTTTTTAATACACTCCATTAATGGGAAGTATAATATATATGATACGGGTACAGTATATTCATAATGTATGAATAATAATGTGTGTAAAGGAAAATTGACATTTCATAAATATTGGCATTTGTAATGGTATTAACCATAGTGTACAAATGAGGTATTCCATTTTAATATACCTCTTTTCTCCTTTTATAAATTAAAAAAAAAAAAAAAAAAAATATATATAAATAAATTAGATTATATTTGATATATTTTTCAATTGTTTTTGCATATAATAAAAGTTTATGTCTAATTAACAGGGGTTTTGAAGCTGTATATTTTTGTGACGTGATGAAATTCATTTAATGTGTCACATAAATGTACTTGAGGGAAAACATCTCTCTTTTTCTCTCTCCTCTCTCTCTCTCTTTTTTTTTTTTTTTTTTTTTTTTTAATACTTTTATGTAATGATATAGATGATTAATAGTTAGATTATTTATAATAGGATATTATAATTAAAAAACTGAGATTACTGTATGTATTGCATATACACATAACATTCGTAGATACATTCATGTATATTCCAAAATATGCATTAACGAATAGGTATGTAGTATGAAGAGGTGGTAGGAAAATAGTAAAGACAAATATGAAATAAAGAAATATGTAATGAACAAAGGGCAAGAAAATGAACGAGATAAATACAGGAACAAAGGTGTGTTCTTTCAAGGGAGTTCTTCAAATCACTCTAACGCATATATAATTATTTGTGAGCCCAGCAAGGGATGTGATAATAAGGAGAGAAATATATATATTAAATAATAATAAAAAAGTGAGCCAAATGAAAATGGGCGGAAATGCAGTGAAATCAAATTACACGGTATGCTAAAAGATGTATATATTTATATATGTATAGATGAACAGCGATAATTTTAAAGGAAAATTGTAAACACGATTTTCAATTTGTCTGAAGTGCAAATTGGTTTCACTCTAATATGGGATCGTTCATTTGTCAAGCAGCAGGTACAGTAGGGTTTGCATTCATGTGTAGAAGAACACATTAACACTTTGCAAATTTGTGGTTTGGGGATAACGTAAAAAAATATGCATGAATACATACATGTGCATATACGTATATATGTACACATGTACGCATGTATAAATATCCACAAAGAAATAGGGGGCTTTCTGTGCCAAAATGTTGCAAATATTTCTTTTTTTTTTTATCAAGCACGATGTAAAAAAGAACATTTACACGTGCGACATCAAGCATCGCCTAATGTCTTTGCTCTTGTATGCGGATTGGTTTTAATTTGTGCACCTATGAGCAATATGCTATCTCGTTTATATTTCGTTTCTCTCAAAAAAAAAAAAAATATAAAAAAAAAAAGAATGTTAGCAGGTATAAACAAATTTGATGTATTACATTATGCCAATTAAAATACACTATTCGGAATTGTTCCCCTTTAAATATATTTGAGAAGCAACTAGGGTTTAAATATTGAGAAAAAAAAAAAAACGCACTTTTTTTTTTGTACCCTAAAAAATTTGAACATATGTATCATATGGGTATATACTACTACATTTATTATAGATATGTAGAACGATATATTTGGTGAGTATTTAAGATGCTATACTAGAACATATGCCAACTTTCAGTATAAATGTAAATTGAAGGAATGCATTCAATGAAAGGAAAACTTAAAAAAGAAAAAAAATTTGACATTGTAAAACAAAAAATATATGTAGAAATAATGAACAAATATTGCATTGCATAAATTTCTTCTCAAAAGCAAATGTTCCTATGTGTATGTGTGGAACAAAATTGAAAAAAAAAAAAAAAATGTGTATGTGTAGATTGGTGTAAAAGTGGAGTGTTACATATATATATGCTTATATATGTTCAAATATACATACGCATACAAGTACACGAATATTTACACCAGTGTAAGAGAAATATTGTGATGTTGTGTAAGCAAGAGTAAAAATCCTGGTAAAAAAAAAGAAAACATGTGATTAACGTGGATAAAAAAAAAAAAAAAAATATACTTTTCAGTCTACGAAATAACAATCACTCACTTTACAACAAAGGTAAGTATGCTTTGGGATGCATGTTCATTCACCAATTTAATTTATAGAAACTGTATCTGTTTGTTTTCATTTTAACGCTACATATTGGTGTAATTTGCAACACGATAAATGTGAAAATTGGTAAATATTTCGTATGTTTTATATATATCTGTGTATTATTTGTTTAAACGAAAAGAATAATGAAATGGTTAAAAGAGAGCACTTAAACAAAATACACAAATGAATGGTTAAATGAAATGGTAAAATGAAATTCTTAAATGATAAAATTATTTCTTTTTCATTCCTTTTTATTTTTCACATTTTATCTTTCTGTAATTTTTATTTTAAACTGTACATTTTTAATTTATCGAAAGATTTGTGTGAGGTGCAGGGGTGTGTAGGCAAATTTGAATGAAACTAGAGGGAAAATGTTATTTTAAAATATGATAATCAATGCTCAGAAAAATGTAGAAAAGCAGAACAAAGCAAAACGCAGCACAAAATAAAGCAGAAGAAAATAGCACAAAACAACACAACTTCTTGGTGCTTATATGCATGTCGATTTTCTTGAACGCAAAAATGCCTGATCATTCATGCAAAAAAAAAAAAAAAAAAAAAAAAAAAAAAAAATACATATATATATATATATATATATATATATATATATGTACGCATGTACATCGAGGAACATAATCTACTATAGGACCCTCTATTATTGCTTTCGATTCCCAAACCTTCTCCTTTTTTCATTTCTAACAAATCCAAAATAAAACAACAAAAATAATACACATAGTAAAGCGCATTAAAGTGTGGATTTTTAAAAACACATCCCACATGAAAGCAGAGTAAATCTCGTTACACCGATGTACAGATAAGTGCATGCATATATATGTATATATGTATGCACACATTTTAACAGTTCAGAATTTGTAGAATCCCACAAAATTACATGCCTTATTTTTATGTGTTTTAAAGGAGGAATTTTTTTTTTTGTGGTATCAACACTTTTTCGACGATTCATTTAGCGCATCCAGTAGAAGAAACAATTTATATAATCTTGATATGTGTCAAGATGTTCAGAAAGATGGATGCGCACTCACCTTGTATATGAGTACTTTATGAACATCGTAGGATGGGGCACAGATGCAACGTGAAAAAATGAATAATCACAAGGATGTTTAAGTTTCTTTTAATCGTTTATTATCACGTTGTGATATGCGAAAGCTTTACACTTTTCTCTCTGTTATTCCTTATTTGATATTTACTACTTATTTTTCGCTAGTCATTGTTTATTAGTTGCTGTTTATTAGTTGCTGTTTATTAGTTGCTGTTTATTAGTTGCTGTTTATTAGTTGCTGTTTATTAGTTGCTGTTTATTAGTTGCTGTTTATTAGTTGCTGTTTATTAGTTGCTGTTTATTAGTTGCTGTTTATTAGTTGCTGTTTATTAGTTATCGCTCATTAGTTATCACTTATTAGTTATTGTTTATTATTTACTTTATTATTAATTTTTTTTTTTTTTTTTTTACCTTTCACATTTTCGCTTGAAAGAGCTTCAATTTCAGATTCTTCATAGATTAAAAGAATATCCTACGCGTTTGATTTAATTTTTATCTACAACTCTATTTCCTTTAAACATCGACCTTCTATTGAGAAACGTTTTCTTATGTGCTTCGAATTTGCATCATTCGTATGTCATTTTTAACGGACACGTAAATCAACATTAAATTTTATAACACTTAAAGATGAACATACATGTAATATATGCTAACAGGCACATATTGCATATTTTGCATGCTTTGAAAAATGTGAATTTTATTACGTTGCGCCTTCACCTGCAGTTGTAAAATTCACATTTCGTTTCATTAGTCGATCTTCTTTTTTTTTCTTCATTTTTTCTTTCAAAATATATATCTTTTTATACCACATGTGTAAATGAAATCGAAAATGTAATAATTAATGATTCAAGTAAAAAGAAATCGTTCTGTGGTGAAGAAACACAATATGTGGGGGAAAAAATAAAATAAAAAAAGTTGCAAAAATATTTACACAAATTTTTACACATAAATGTACATTCCGCTTTACTACTGAAATGTGCAAGCATATGTCATACATTTTTGAAAAATTGACATGATAGATAAGGATGAAAATAAAAATTGAATTAAGATGTTTTTTTCGTAATTTTTCCGACAACATATTTTTAAGGTGTTTAAGGTATGTAAAAAGGATCTTCTGTATGAGCGCTTGTTTTTCACAAAAGTTTGTGCTCCAATTAGAATACTTTCTTCAAATATACACTTATAATCATAAATGTACATATGTATATGTTGTTTCATTTTTAACTTATATGTTACGATGTAAGGATTTGAAAGAAAGAAGCAAACATAAGCCAATGACTGAAAGGTAAATTTTATTATGCTAATTTACCGTGGATATATATAACCAAATACATATGTGTAAATATATTTCATCAATTTTCCACTTGGATTATAAAATGGTTGGTAAGGAAGAATATCATTGCATGCAGTTACAAGGACCATTTTGGAATTTTGTAGCATTTCTACATGCCATTTTTTTCGAACTGCATAAATTTCATTTTTATGAGACTTTTCAATTTATGAAATTTGGAATAATTTGAAGTTTTCTTACATGGGTTCATCTTAAAGTGGGTTCTTATTAAAATTGGTTCATCTTAAAGTGGGTTCTTATTAAAATGAGTTCTTATTAAAATGGTTTCTTATTAAAAGATCCCTCTTCATTTTCTGTGGTGGAGTGGGTTCTCTCACCTTGGTCTTCCATCGATGGGGATTTCTAAACACTCTTCATAAATTGAAATGTTTCCTGGAACAATGAAATGTGGAACGTGTACTAATGAGGATGCTAAATTGTGTAGATGATAAAATGTGATATCTCTCTTTACAAGAATGTAGAAAAATTTTTTTTTTTTTTTTTTTTTTTTAATGATCCTTTGATCTGATTACATTTCTGATGCAACGATTTTATTCATAGAAAAATTCTGAATTTATTTCAACTTGGAAATTTTTTCTTTTTTTTTTTTTTTTTTTCTCCCCCACAGTTTGAGCAAAAAATTTGTATTATATAAAAAGAATAGAGTTGAGAATATTTTCATTGTTGATTGCATGTACTGTCTGCATCTAGGGTTATACATAAAATTTTTTGAAATTTTTTTCTATATAGTTGCTCCTTAACAAAAAAGTCACTGTTTAATGAGACAGAAAAAAAGAAGTAATCTTGTCATTTGCATGCAGAAAAAATTTAAGGGTTGTTTTTTGCATTTGTATCACAATGGAATTAGCTTAAAATATTTTTTTTATTTTTCTCATTCTTCACTTTTTTCGCTTTCTTCATTTTTCACACTATGTACCTCCCCACGGAGTTATTCTCGAAAAATAGAAAATTTCAGTTGTTCAATTAAGCCCCCCATATAATGTCTTTCACCAAATTGGCATAAATATTTACGCATCTGTAAACGCATATGCGTGCGCATGCCATTCTTTGTTTTTATTCCCATTTGAATAAACATCTGACACTTCCAAAACATTTCATTAAAAAAAGATAATTTTCTGACAACAGTTAAGATAATCATGAAAGGGAGTTAATCCACTTTTTTTTGTTTTTTGTTTTTTTTTTTTTTTTTTTTTGCTGTTTTTTTGCTTTTTTTTTGCTGTTTTTCTTGATTTTTTCCCGTATTTAATTTGCACAAGGATTCAAGAACACAGCTGCTTATTTGATCCACTGTTTTCAAAATAGACACCGTTTTCTGGCCTCTTTAAGTCTCCACAATTAAGCAAATAATAGCAGAATGGCTATCTCGATACATGTAACTCTCATATTTGCTGTATTAGCAATCCTATATCAGTTGAAAGAAAATATTTTATGCGCAGGGGAAGAAGTCCCTCTTTGTATATCTGAGTTTAACCAAGACAAAGAATGTAATATATCCACCGAATTTGGAAAAGGAATTAAAATATACTGTCCATTTGACTCAGTCCCCAATAATAATGGCGTTATACGTATGAACGGACAATTGGTGAACAATGATAACACTTGTTTTAACAGGATGAAATCAAATGATGGGCCTAATATGAATGTGACAAAGGAGTTAACTGAATTTGTATCAGATTTGATTATATATACAAACAGAAGAGAAAATACACATTACGTTTATGCACCTCACACGGTCACGAATGGAATTTCCCTATCTTGTAATTGTATTGATAGGGGAAAACAGAAGGCTTACAAGTTAAATATACAAATAAATGCACATAAAAAGAAAGAAAAAAAAATTAAAGGCTGTAATTTTTACTATTCTGATGATAACAATGAGGAAAATGAAAATGAGTTGGAGAAAAATATCAACTTAAAATACAAAAAAGATTGTTTTTTGGATGTTCATGCGAATGATGTAATATATTTGAAAAGTAAAGTACATAATATGTATAGTAATCTCATTATTAATCCCTTTCACTGTTTTCATGAAGTTTTAAATGAAGAAAATAAACAAGAACAAATTTCTGGTCTACTTAATGGGGCTAGGGTTATACCTGGATTAAATACTTATATTAATGATCCTATGCTCCCTAAATTCTTGTCTTACTTATTTGTCCCTGATGAGATAAACGAATCAATAAAAGTTATATGCAATTGCTCAATTAAAGACAACGCTTTGGATGAAACATATGTAGGTACTGTTTATTTAAATTTTAAGAAGAGCGAAAAATTATACCCAGTTAATGATGAAAACTATGGAAGGAAAAATAATAATGGGGATCACGATGAAGAAGGAAGGGGTAAACAAAATTTGATAAGAGATGATCGAAAGGGTGCAAATAAATCCTCCTCCATGCTGAGGCAGTTATCCCTTCTTTTGATTCTTCTTATGTTCGCACCATGGTAAAGCAGTGAAATGAACTGAAGAAATAGTAAATGGTGTGCAAAGTTATGAGAGAACACTCTCTTTCCGCTTACTTTTGAACACGTCTTGTTTGACCCATACAGTGTGTGTATCAAGCATGGCACTTTTTTACTTGACCAACTTGTCACTGTGCCACTTTTTTCGATTCATCATTTTTTAATGCTTTCCATTTACATGCACTACGTGTTAATTTGATTTTGCATTTTTGAGGTTCCCTTTTTTCTTGCATTTTGTTTTTACTAAACTTTGCAACTTTGCCACTTCGCAATTTCAGAATTTTTCAATATTTCGCATTTTTCCATCCTTTGGAATGGTAAACCTGTTTGTACCCTTTCTGCATGCTTCTACGCATGTGATCACGGGAAAGCCTAGCAAAATTTCCCTTGCACAAGGACTTACACACCTCAAATAAGTACACTTGTTTTATTTTTTCCTCTCATAATGTGTGAAAAGAATGAAAGACCTCTTTATTCTTCATCAGGAGCTAATAATCGAATTTGCTGTGTGCTGTCTGGAAATGTGAGAGACACTGTGTTTGTCTCTTTTGAACTTTACACATTTTGAAAAGGCGAAGTAAAACTATGTAAATAAAATAGTTATGCAATATAATGTTCCAAATAAGTAATAAAAAAAATGGGTTAATTTATTTAACATCATTTTGAAAAGTTATTCAATGAAGAGAAGAGAAAGTGAAAAAAAAAAAAAAAAAATCCTATTCATTTAATTTTCCCATGAAAAGAGGTGATCAAACCTTTTCCTTTTTTTTCTCTTTTTTTGTGTACTTCTATGGATTCGCATGCAAGATAAAATTGGTTGCGCGTTGGGAGATAAAAAAAAAAAAAAAAAAAAAGGGCAAAAAAAGAAAAGAAGCACAAGTTTTTTCTCATCGTTAAAAAAGAAAAAGTCTACATATCCTTTTTTTGTGCCATGTAATGTGTCTCACTTTTTCTCCATTTCAGAACCATGAACTTAATGTGAGGAAAAAAAAAAAAGAAAAAAAGTGACACAAGCACATCGAATTTTTTCAATAAATGTTTTCAATAGATGTATAAAATAATCTTCATGCGCTTATTTTGTTGTTATTTTCATCGCACATTTAATTATGTCATGAAATGAAAATATGTGTAGTGTCACATATTTGTTTTGAGACAAGGATTTTTTTTTTTTTTTTTGAAGGTGATTAATATGGTGGTTAAAACAAAGTGGGGGGTGAATAAAAAAAAAATATATTTGGACAATTTCGCTTTTGCAAGACATCTGCATGACCCAATAGCACATTATGAAAATACATTTAGCAAACTTAACTCAAAAGTTTGTTACACGTTTTTTACACATCTTCCCCCTTTAAATGGTAAAACTTTTGGCTTCTCCCAATTTAAGAAGTTAAAGTTTTTAATTTTTTTTTTTTTTTTTTTTTTTTTTGAAGTTGATTTTTAAGATTCAGCTTTTTTTTTTTTTCCTCCCTCGCATTCCTGTAACGCATAGAGTTTCAAATTTCCCCACGATGCTCCCACCATAGTATATATATAGAAAACATAGTCCATTACGAAAAGAGAAAAAGTACGAAAACATGACACAGAAAATGATTTTCCTTGGATGGTGGTCGGTTTACTGTATTTTGAAGTGGGTAACTATATGTAGAAAAATAAACAGCTTAGTAAATATAGGACATATACATATGTGCAAGATAGATATGAGAACAGATGAAGCTCAAGAATGTGTTCTGGAAAATGAATTTGGAAAAGCATTTTTATTTGTTTGTAATGAAGTTCACACTGCGAATTTCTCTTCGAATGTAATACCATCGCAGTGTGCAAATAGGACATTTGTAAATCAAAATGATCCAAATGAGAATTCAGCAGATAGTGATACCTATGAAGTGTTTCAAAATTTAATCGGAGCTAACAATTCTATTCTAAAGAAGTCGTTTTTATTTTATAGTACTCCTTATTCAAGTAAGGATATTGACCTGAGTTGTTTATGTTATGGAGATAATAAAATAAAACATATGATGAAAATAGTTTTTAAAAAAACTTCCAAAAAAATTAAAGGTTGTGATTTTGGATATAATATGATGTCAAGAAGAGATCTAACAAATAACATTAATCTAAATACAAATTCTTCATGTGTGATTCATGCATATCCAGGTGATGTCGTAGGCATAAATTGTAACAAGAAGGAGAATAACCATATATACAATGAAAATTTAGAATTGGAACCAAGTAATTGTTTTCACAGTGTTTACTATGGAAAGGACATTATTTTATCCTCTAAAAATTTGATCCCGAATTCTAGAGTGATTCCAGATCCAGCTGCAGATGTAAATTTGACAAAAATGCATTCCTACATGTCTTATATTATATTACCTAAGGATATGACAATGACTGGAAAAATCAGCTGTTATTGTAAAAAGGATCAATATGTGGGTTCTATGTTCATATATTTAAAAACATTAAATAATTTCTTATTTGACTCGAATAATGAAATAGATCAAATTATTGAAAAGGGTAGTGAGTATGGAATTTCAGACGACGAATCGTACAGAAATGGAAGAAAAAATGGAAAGGACAAGAATCTGGATAGAGGTGAACGTGAGAACAATAATGGAATAAAGCAAAATAATGAAAGAATAGAAGATATTCACGATCATTATAGTAACATAAACAGTATATATTATAACACAGGGATAAATTATCCCTATAAAGGCAAAGACGATTTTTATGATAAAAATGAGTATCAGAACGCGAAAAGAAAATCAAATACAAGTCAATCTATGGATGCAGATAACACTTATAACTATAGGAATAATATCAATGACCCTGAAAATCGTGGGAACAAAATGTATAATGATGAGATGTATGATGCTTATAGCATGAGCGTAGCACATGAATTAAATAGACCTTCCGTACGACGAATCAAAAGGACTTTATGGCAAAATTTGTTTGGTTTGTCTTCTTCTCAATCTAGTTCCTTTAATTTTTTGGTACTTGCATTTTTCCTCCTCATCCAAGCTTATTGTTCTCCCTTATAAATGGGGTTCAAGGGTGATTGAGTCTATTTATTTGCTTATTTTTGCCATATACAATGGGTTATGTTGCGCACCAACAGGGGAAGGAAACAGACGCATATGTATATGTGTGTATATATATATATATATATATATATATATATATACATTACACACATGTGTGCACTCTTTTCTGTGTAGATTCTTTTTTTTTTTTTTTTTTTTTTTTTTTTTTCCTGTGCTTCAATCATAACAATTGGTATATCCCACAAAGAGCATTTTTTTAATTTCATAATTCCTTACAACAATGTGCATGGGATTTATTTTTAACAAGATAGTTTAGCTTCATGACATTTTTACCTTTCTGCTTTTTTTTTTTTTTTTTTTTTCTCTCTTTCTTCTTTTCTTCGTTTTTTTTCTTTCTTTCTTTTATTTATTATGCTATTTTTACAGTTCATTGTGTCTACATGGGTTTGCATTCTTTTCTCTCACTTTTGTCGTTTTTTCAAGAGTTTTTGCGTAAGGAGGTATATAAATGTAATACAGTATGTATATATAGCCTATACAAGTGCTTACATAGGTATATTTATACAAAATGCGGATAATAACATGCACGTGCATATTCACACATCGCTTTTGCACATTAACGTTCAGGTGTTTTTTTTTTTTTTTTTTTTTTTTAAATACGTAAAGCTAACTTATGCAAACAGCCAAGTAATTAACATAATATTTTCTTCCACTTTGCATATTCACATTTTTAGTAATATACGTATTTCTTTGTGGTCTATGAAGTACTGTTGTACAATTGTCATTCAGCTCTTATTCAGGTCTGTTGTAAACAAACCTTTGTATGTTCTTTTGGACACCTTTATACACCCCTTTTCACCTTTTGATTGAAATGTTCCCAAAAAAATCAAGACAACAAATGGGTGCTGTTTTGATAAAAAAAATAAAATTAATAAAAACTAAAAAAATAAAAACTAAAAAAATAAAAACTAAAAAAAAAAGACTAAAAAAAAAACATAAAAAATAATTACTAACAAGCTACACTCACTGTGAAAATTTTTATTTTGAAGGGGAAAAATTCTTAAGAAAATATATGAACGGGTCTTTTTTTTTTTTTTTTTTTTTTTTTCTGTATTCGAGCTGTGCTCGTAATTATACATGAACATACAAAATATCTTTGTGTGAAGAAGTTGAAAAAAAAAAAGATCAAAAAAATGTGAAAACTTTTGAATGCCATCAAGTAGAAAAAAAAAAAAAAATTTCAACCAAATTGGTTCCTAAAGCATTTGGAAACATATTTGTGTGGTTAAATTCGTACTCCATTTAAAGAAATCAAAAATTACATTAAAAACAGAAAAAAAAAAAAAAATAAAACGCAGAAATTACATAGTAAAATGAAATAGGAAAGAACAATGCAAAAACATCGTGATATAAAAGGGAACTAGAGAGGTGCATGCAAATTTTTAGATAATTTACACAATTGAGATTAAATCTATACATGTATATGGTTGCATGCTTTAAAATAAGAAAAAAATTCTGAGGGGAAGGATAAAAAAAAAAAAAAAATTGTACGATTATAAATTTTCTCATACATAAAATATTTAACATTCGAATGGTTTATTTTTGAAATATAAATAGTCAGAGAAAAATCGAAAATTTTCAACACATCATTTTGATTAAAATATGTATATATAAACTGTGCAGAACGTACAGCTTGGAAAAATTTTATAATTTTGTGAGAAATGTGCAAATATTTTCTTCAGTTGACGTATATATAAAAAGTTATCTTAATTGATTTTTCGAATGATATTTTAATTGTTTCTCTCTTACGTGTTCTTTTTTTTTTTTTTTTTTAATTACTCCCAAAAGAGAGAAAGAATTGTGCAGAAGAAGATAGGGATAATTCGGAAGGCATAAATATGTAAATGTGCATGTATAAACAGATATGCGCAAATGGACAATGGGGGAAAGCGAGAAAATGAGTACCAACTGAGCAGCAATTGGACAAATAAGAAAATGCCTAATTGGTATTACCTCATTTCGGGAGACACCTATACGGATGTCGTGTATGTACCAGTGGTTAACACACTTGGCTATCACAGATATCATTGATTTTTACGAGCATAAATTTTGCTGATGTTGAGAATCTTCATTTATGTATGTAACAGTAGTCATTTCACGACATTCGAATAATTATTTAGGGGGGGTGATTTATTTTTTTGTCTCCCTCTATATCTTTCATTTACGGCTATAAAAACTTGTCGTTCTCACCATTTGGAAACGTTGAAATTATTGAAGAAAATATTTATCACGAGAACTTATTTATTATGATTCAAGATAAAATTGTACAATTCGTCATGGGGCGAATGCACACGTACCTACAAGGGGTGACAAATATGCTCTTTTTCATTTTGTTATATTATTTTTTTTCGTTTTTTGTTTTGTTTTGTTTTTTTTTTTTCAAGATGAGAAAAGTATTTTACCCCTTGTTGGTTACTGTATATATATTCCTCTATTTGTATTCACCAGTTTATGCATTATATTTTAAGGAATTAGAGTTAGGTAATTATTATATATGCAACTTAGATGACTATCCAAAAGAACATTGTGTAATTGATTATGATCCTAATAAAATAATAAAATTCTTATGTCCAATTGTACGTGATGCTAGGGAGAAAGAAAAAATGATATATGATTCGACAACCTGTTTTAGATATAAAGGAATAAAAGATCGATTTATAATCAATAATAGAGAAGAACCAATAAATAAAACATTACCTGGGATAATACTAGAAAATCAGGTTCAATTTGATAGATATAATTTAGGTATATACATTATGCCCATTATGCTAAAAGAAGATGTAAATATTGTTTGCATTTGTGATACAAAGAGAGAAAATGAAGGTATAACTCCATATATTAAAATAAATATAAAAAAATCGAATAGCATTACAAATGGAGATTCTACGGAAGGATATGTGAAGGGATGTGATTTTGGTAATAACCAAGGGGAATATCAATTTTTAACAAAATCATTATCATATAAAGAGAATTTTATTTGTGAAATTGAAGCAAATCCTGGAGATATACTTGGAATTAATTGTATAAATTATAATGATAATCATCAAGAAAAAGACGTAAAATTAGAACCATCCAACTGCTTTTCTACTGTATTTTTTTCTATGTATACATTGAGTAATATAAAAACCAATATAAATAATATATTCCCCGAGGCACAATATTATCCTGAGTTTTCCGCATACCCCAAGGATCCTAATTTTTACAAATTTTCAACTACGTCTTATTTGTGGATACCTAATTATGTACCTCACGAATTTTATTTTTTTTGCTCATGTAAATATGCACAGATTAATGCTACTGCATTGTATCGTGTGAAGAGTAGTATTCCAGATGAATCAGTTGAATGAATTTGGATCACCCATAATAAGCTGTACCCATGGGTATGACAGATACTTTTGTTACATTATTAATAAGAGCAACATGGCGCAGAGCATAGGAAAAAAAAAAAAAAAAAAAAAAAAAAAAAAAAACTACTATGTTGTTGTCTCCCCCTTAATCGAATTCATATATTAATAGATAAAGTATACGAACACTTTTGTTCCTTTTTAAAATTAACATTTTCATTTTAGAAAAAAGTTCTCCTTACTTTTTTATCTCATTAAGGGAAGTTACAAAAGCTTGATTTTTTTTTTTTTTTTTTTTTTTTTTTTTTTTTTTTTTTTGGAGTTTTTTCGCTCCCCCATTATTTGTGGATCAGATAATTTTTCACCTTTGGAATTCGTTCTTCACTATCTGTAATTTATGCCTTACTGCACGTAATTAATCATTCTTTAACATTTTTGTTTTACTATTTCTCATTTATGATTAATATTTTGGCTTTTTTAAGACATTTATTATGGATTTTCCCAAACCGCTCTTCACTTTTGCAATTTTTTTTATTTTTATTTTTTATATTATTTTTTTTTTGTTTGGTTTTCCCTTTCATTTGACATTTTTTTCTTTGATTTAAAACGAAATGCGAATATAATATAATAATTAAGAAATGTGTAAAAATTTACGCATCCATATGTGACTACTCTCTTTTTGTTGTTACTAGATCTATATGGAACTTGAATTTTTAAGCACGATTACACCAAATATGAGGACAGGTCTACAGTATACATATATATATATATATATATATATATATATATATATATATATATATAAGTTGTGTGTTACAGATACTAGAGTGATCATATGCATCATTGCTTCTTAAATGGTTGTCCATCTTTTTATTCTTTTTTTTTTTTGTGCAAATTGAGAATGTCTTGTAAATTTTCTGTGGCCAGAACATTTTTTTACAGATTCCAGTGTTTAAATTAGGCTTATCATTTTTGAAAATTGTTTAAACAATACTCCTGCAGAATAGTACACTAATATGTATTTCTTAACCATATATAAACATTATTTGTCTCGATGGATGGGATATGTAACTGATGAAGTGCTTAAACGGACATGGTCGATAGTGGGAGATATACAAAATAGCACAAACAGGTGATAACAAATTATGTGTCTTTTTTGCTAATTTTTTTTTTTTTTTTTGTTTTGACTAGGTGATGGATCTTTTAAATTAGTAGGGGTTTATAAAACAGTCCTGTTGTCATTATTTTTTGATCAATCCTTCTTTTATTTTTCTCCCCTATTGTATAATGTGTACATGTGACATTTGTGTATAAGTTATTCTTTTTAAGATAACATGCCCAAGGGACACACCCTGGAAAAATACAAGACGTGCGTGTAAAGCATCTGTTACGAGTATTCCTCTTTTTTTCTGCTCTCTTGGTGTTTTTATCGGTATATTTTATGATAAGAGAAGGGGAATGTTTGAAAATGTAAAAAAAAAAAAAAAAAAAAAAGAAAAAAAAAAAAATCAATGCTCCTTTTTCATACACAACTGTGTTTCATATATAACGATTCTCCCAAAGGCTTTAAAAAAACAAAATAAAAATGATAAAGTTGAGTCATAAATTGTGTAAATGTAAAAAATTCCTTTTATTTCTTTTTTTTTGGGGGGGGGAGGGTTATGGAAGGGCGTGTAAAAAGATAAAAAAAAAAAAAAAAAAAAAAAAAAAATGAAGCATGTTAATACACGTACATAAATGGCATACGTATTATAGGTGCACATATGCATGTATGGTTTATATATTTTTTCTGGGGCCCCCAAATTAAAGAAAATTTTCTTTTTATTTTTGCTTCTTAACTGGTTCACAAAATATGATGGGATAAATTTAGGCTTGGTATGTTTAATCACATATACCAACACAGAAGAGAAAACGGATGTGTCATTTGTCACGTGTGATGTGACTAAAGCGATCGAAAATGCCATATATATGTATATATACACATATGTATATATATATGTATATATATTTATATCCCCATTTTGGAAAGGGGAAAAAAAAAATGCATTTTCTCCCATGTCCCATCATCCCTGGAGAGCGTTTTAACCGACATATAAAAGTATATACATAAGAAATGTACATACAATACATTCATACGTATGCATTTATGCATACACTGATACATACATATTTACATATACATTTTTTGTAATCGGGTTTTCTCATTTCCTGTGTATACATTTTTGTAAATTGATTAGAAGCTTTATCTCAGAATTTTTAAAATTCTCACATAATATCAACATCTCGGAAGGAGGTTGATGATTTCTCCTGTCACTCATGAACACTATGGTAAGCTTAAGCAATAAAATGGAATTGTAAAAAAAAAAAAAAAAAACTAAGCCAATAGTACAAACTCGCAATAGAACCAGTTGCATTAAAAAAACAGTTCATGTCCACATATTTGGAAAATTCTGCGCACTTGAAGCCTACTGAAAATTGCATTTACAAAATTTTGCACGTTTTTGCACTTTTTTGTGCTTTTCTCTGTTTTGCAGAAAATAAATTTACCCGAGACTAAGGAAGGCAATTCTGAAACAAAGAATTCCAAAAAGTATGAGAAAAACAGGAAAAACCATAGAACATAAGCTGTGTTTATCGAAATACTTCATAAGAATAATCTGTATGATTTTATACATTTCTACACCACATGATCGATGGATACTACAACTTACATGCACATTATCACGTTATAATGAGTGTCTTTGCGTTTATTTCTTTGTGAAATGATGTGAATAAAAATTTGGGAACGCTAAACATTGTGTGTTTTTTGTGATGATTTCTTCACCCGTATCACCCCCTTCCATTTTGGACACACTCATGTTTCAACCAAATTTCTAAAATTCTTCCGTAGGCGAGGCATCGAAAAAGTTATCTCTCCTACTAAGGTTATATGACGAAAAAAGAGAAAATAGAAAGGAGAGAAGAAAAAAGAAAAGAGCTTGAATAATTGAGAAATTAGTAGATATTTTGGGAAGGGGCAAAACGTCCCTGCAAGACCCAACTACACATAACAAAAATATATTTTTTTTTATATTTGTTCTTGTACAATTCATATGCTTGTTCTGTGCTTGTGCTATGCTTGTGCTATGCTTGTGCTATGCTTGTTCTATGTTTGTACTATGGTTGTTCTATGCTTTTGATATGCTCCTGTTATGTTACTTTTTTTTTTTTTTTTACAGATTGCCAAAACGGATATTGATGGATCCGAAGTTATCGAAACAGATATCAAAAGTAAGTGAAAAAAAGAACTGCCATAAACGTACACATGAATACTTTTTATTTTTTCGTCCCATCCCATGTTGTATTCATAAAGAGGGAAAATATTTTCCTTTTGAGCTAATCATCTCTTACCCCATAATGTGCACACACACGTACACATCACCTGCTGAACTTACGCAGATAAGCATAAAGACGAATTATGCGAAAAAGAAACATTTAATAAAATAGAAGAAACACCAAGTGAATGCATTTCAAATGACATTTATGTTGAGGATGATGTAATCAAGGAAGGGAATGTAGAGGAAGATGTAATAAAAGGAGGGAATATAGAGGAAGATGTAATAAAAGGAGGGAATGTAGAGGATGATGAAATGCATGAAAACGTTAAAGTGGGTACACAACAATGTGCCATGAAAAAAAAAGGAAAAACAAAAAGCACGAGAAATAGCTTTGCTGAGGAAACTAGAAAAACGATTAAAAAGGAGAGGAAAAAAATAGAAAAAGCTATTAAAAAAAATAAAAATAAAATCGAAAAAAACAAAAGTGATGAACTCAGGAAGTTCGTTGTGAAACTGGCAGAGAGCGAGGAAGAAGAGGAAGAACAAGAAGAAGAACAAGAAGAAGATGAGGAAGAGGAGGAGGTGGAGGAAGATGAAGATCAAACAAATAAAGGAGGAACAAATGATGAGATCGATGAAGAGGAGAAAGACGAGGAGACGATCAAAGATAATGAAAAAGAGAAGAAAATCGAATTAAATAATAATGAAAAGGACAACGAAGAAGAAGAAGATGATGATGAAGAAGATGAAGACGAAGAAGAAGAAGAGGACGAAGAAGAAGAGGACGAAGAAGAAGAGGACGAAGAAGAAGAGGACAAAGAAGAAGAGGACGATGAAGGTGAAGACGAAGAAGAAGAGGACAAAGAAGATGAAGACGAAGAAGGTGAAGACGAAGAAGGTGAAGACGAAGAAGGTGAAGACGAAGAAGGTGAAGACGAAGGAAAAGTGGGGAAAACCGAAGCAGAAACAAATGAAAAGGATTCTGAAGAAGAAAAAGAACAGAAGGAAGAGACCATGGAGAAATATGATGAAGAGGATAAAACACCTGTAAAGGATATTAAGGATGAAGTTGATGAAAATATGACTGATGAAGAAGATATGATAGAAAATGAGACAAATAAAAGTAGCATGAACAAAAATCAGAAGAGGTTACCCCCAAAGCGAAAATTCAGCGATAGAAAAAGAAAGAAACGAAAGAGAAAAAAAAAAAAAAAAAAATACATGCATGTGCTTATTCATTAAATGAATATATATATATATATATGTGTACATATAAGAGTGAAAACCTATGCGTATATGCACACCTCTTCACTATATTATTTGAACTTCTCTTTACAGCGACAATGAAAGTGTCTCCAGCGAATGTAGCGATATTAAGAAGAATGATCGTTTGTTTGCGTCAATGGTAAGGAAAGAAAAAGGAAATTTTGTATGGTTTATCCACACACATACGCATACACATATACACACCCTCATTTCACATCTTCGTTCTGTGTATACACATGCATAAAACTGCTGGAGAATGCAATATGCTAGAATGGAAAAATCATGTACTATTCTCGAACAAAAAAAAAGTTTTGCATGCCCTGTGGGTTTTTCCGGTCCTGTTCTCCCAATTCGCATCTCCTAATTTGCTTCTCCTAATTCGCTTGTCCCAATTTTTTTCTTGACAGAACGAGTACAACTCTCCGAACAAACTGTTTAGTGAGCATGTTGGGAAATTAAACATTTTTGGAAACGTGAATATCGACATAGAGAAGTTGAAGCAGAGACTTAACAAAAATAAAAGTGCTGTTGAGGAAAAGAAGGAGATGAAGATTTCTGAGGTGGAGAACCCGTTTGGTGAGTCACTTGCGCATTTACATGAGTATCCATATAGTTTTTTGCACGTGTATACGTTACATGTATATGTATGGTACATGTATGTACATGTGTGCACATGCATGTTGTGTATCTTTCCAAATATGAATAGCTATACACACCTTCACGTGGTTCTATCTCCCCCATTCGCAGAGAACGAAGAAGTTTTGTATTCTGAGAACAGCATAAAGATCAGCAAGTTTATTAAGAAGAACGAAAAATATGACTGGTCAGGTTATTTACCAGTAAAAATACAGATAATGAAAAACACAGAGAATAAAAAGTTTAGAATTTTATGTTTTCAAAAAGGTAGCGGGAGGTTATTTCTAAACACGGACATCTTTGATGGGTTCAAAATTATTCCATCGAAAAGTACATCTGCCTTGTTTAGTGGAAGAGACATATGTAAGAATAAAAAATGTTGACACATTTAAAAGTTATGCATGAGCGACGCTACAGGCTGGGTTAGGAGGGAAGGCATTATCGATACCCTCCACTCCCCCAACACAGGAGTGTAATATGTGCACGCGTAAACATGTAGAGATGTAAACAAATAAACACGTAAACATGTAAAGATGTAAACATGTAGAAATGCAAACACATAAACGTATGCACCAATTTTTATTTATTTTTTTCAACCCCTATACGACGCGCGTGCAGGTGATGAGAAGAAGCTGAACCAGTACATAGTCACCTTCATGAGTAATACCTCTAGAGATGAATTTGTTCAGCAGATAAAAAACATTACGAACAAGTAAGGAAATAGTTTGGAATATGATATAGATTAAAACTTTCCTTGTGTCCTACCCACTCTCACTATTTGTTCTATATGTGATCCTTAACCCGAAATTACCTTTTAATTTTTATTGTAAATAAATTTTCCTGGATTTTGTTTTTCGTTTGGACGACTCTTGCCGTGCTTGGGAAGAGACATACATATATATATATATATATATATATGTATATGTATATGTATGTATGCATGTACGCATGTATGTACAAAATTTCTCCGTATTGTATAAGCGAAAATGTGCCAGCCCCCTTTTAGGGCCATTCCACAGAAAAATGATTTCATTTTAAAGTTTCCCTTTTTTTTTTTTTTTTTTTTTTTTTTTTCAATTTCAAGGCTTTCTTCATAAAAATGCCAAGTGTGTTTTGCGTGCGCATAGTGTATACATATATATATATATATACATATGCAAACGCTGGGTGCAAATATAAGTGTGTCGTGTCCCATTCGTTATGCTTGTAATTGTATTCCTAAACTCCTTTTTTCCCCCACTGACATTTTATATTCACCCAAACGTTGACACTTTTTTGTGACTTCATTTTAAAACTCCTTTTTGAAAACTTTTAAATATGTGTAGTCCATTTTATGTATTAACCTTTTAACGACTATGCGATTTAGCGAAATGTGCATAATAAATGTAGTTATGCAAAACCCTACAATTATTTCTTTTTGAAGATGAGGATTTGTAAAGGTGTTATTATGTCAGGAAAAGATATAGGTTTACAGAATAGCCAAATTTTGTTTTAAAAAAAAAAAAAAAAAAATACGAAAATGCAAGATTCCTTTTGTGCAAATGTTGCACATTTCTGTAATCCCGTAAGTGTAACTCAAAAAAATAAAAAAATATATTAAAATAAACTGAGGATTGGTGGAAATATGAACCAGAATTTTTTAATTAAAAATAGGTCCTATTTTTTTTTTTTTTTTACAATGCTATTTTTTGAGTGGCAAGTGATGATGATTATATTTTATTTCAACATGAGTTGTGGTTTATAAAAAGTGCTGCACGTTTCTATAAGTCATCTCATTCTCATCTGACACGCAATATTGTTACTACAAACAACATAGCTATAAATACTTAACGAGTTCTGTAACTCATGGAGTTAAGAAGAGGGAATATTTTTTTATTTCATTTTTCTTTAAACAGAAATATAGAATGCTGAAGAGATATGAACTTATAAGGAGAAGAATAGTCACTATCAAAGGCTATTCTAAAGGAGCTGATAAGAATTCTCCTTTAAATGATGAATCTCTTAAAAAGGCATTCGAAAAAATATCCATAGGATCATCCCCGCCAAGAGCAAAAATAAACAGCATTTTAAATTTTTTATTGACTTCTAACATTTTAAATTCTAATTGGTCCAAGTTACAAATAATTGATGAATTGTATAAAAGGAAAATGGATAAAAAACTTTTATTTCATTTGAACGTTTTATATGGACTTGGTTCTAAGGGCATAAACTTAAGAAAAAAAGGAATTATTTCTCCCATCTTATTTTATCCCTTACTTGACTATGGGCAGTTTGCTTACATTGTTCAGGTGCAATTTAGAATGAGGTGCAAACTATGGATCTTGTGAGTGTGATGAACTTTACACATGGTTTGCATTCGTTTTTGATCTGAGGTTCAAACGAGTATGCTTCACACTGTACAGATGAATGATCACACCTTGCAAAGATTTTTGAAATACATTTACTGCGCGGTTGGATTGTTTCTTTTTTGAAATTTTCTTCCACTTGTGTTTATGATACTTATGCTGTTTTGTATTCATAACCCACCACCACCACCTTCACCTTACTACGAATAAACAGGTAATGAAAATTGCAGACAAGGAGAAACAGCTTGGAATTCACATACACGAAGATTTTATTCAGAATTTTTTCAAAAAGTGAGAATCAAATATGTTTCATATTTGAAGAACATATGGTGATGTTTTTTTTTTTTTTTAAAGGGCTCCTTTGACGTAACGAATTTATATAAGCTTTCGAGAGAGCGTAAGATCGAAAAAGATATTGAATAATTGGAATGATAATACAAAAGCTGTTTTTTTTTTTTTTTTTTTTTTTTTTTTTTGTGTGTATGTATGTTTATTTTTGTAACATTATAATACGTATGCACGTTTGTAGTTACAGTTGTGTTTATGGTTAAGGGTTATAATTATTTGCTTAAATTTTTTTTTTTTTGTTAACTTTCCTTTTAATATGTTTTACTCCCTTTTAAGCATGCTGGATATAGTAGGTGTGTAAGTCCGGGGAGAAATTAAATCGTATGCAAATATTTATTTTTTTTCTCTACTCTTTTATCTTAAGGAGAGAAGGACACGTAGTTTAAATTTATCCCACACACTAAAATACACATTTTAAGAGAAGGGTAAGAAGGGAATATATAAGGATGAACCAAAAAGAACAAAGAGAAACGGGTAAAAAAACGAAGAGAAAAGGATCTAACGAAACATTGGCGGAAATGTAAGAAGTTGCAAATATGAGAGGATCATCATGTGTCCTTATTTGTTCGTTTTAACCATACTTGTGACAATCATTTTTTTGCATGCAGGGGAGGCTTTATACTTATTATGTATATGCACTTTTGTTGGAAACATTCCGAATTGAAATTTTGCGGGCACTCATGATATATATAGTGACACATTTATTAATTTTTTTTTTCGAAAAGGAAAATTATGCCTCATGACCATATTGCCTAATCCCACTCTATAAGTCCTTTTATGCTAATGTAAAAAGTGCTTATTTTTTAAGGTGCTAAGGGGTGGGGGGGAAAAAAAAAAAAAAAAAAAAAAAATTTGAAAAACGAAAAGCTAATAAATGGGTATATGATGAAGCATGCACAAGGAACAAATCTGCATTGATATGATTTCCATTTCTCAGTTCCCAATTTTTCACAACTCATAAGATGTTTTACTAAACATTGAGGAGGCATATATGTTTGCTTTGCACAATAGAGGGCTTATGTAAATAAAACGACCCTATGTTCGAAAATGTTCTTATAAGCAAAAATGTTCTTATAAACAAATACGTTCTTATAACCAAAACGTTCTTATAACCAAAACGTTCTTATAACCAAAACGTTCTTATAACCAAAACGTTCTTATAACCAAAACGTTCTTATAACCAAAACGCTCTTATAACCAAAACGTTCTTATAACCAAAACGTTCTTATAACCAAAACGTTCTTATAACCAAAACGCTCTTATAACCAAAACGTTCTTATAACCAAAAATGTTGATATTTTTTGCCTTGTTCTGTCATAGTTCTCATTCGTCTTGTTCGTATTTCTTTGCCCATTTTTGCGTAGCACTCGTTTGTTGTAATTCACATTCCTTCGCTTAAACTTAAAATTTCTTTCTTTCCTTTTTTTTTTTTTTTTTTTTTTTTTTGTCCTTTGTGTGAATTAAAGAAATTGCACCCGTTGCATAATATAATTCAGTATAATATAATATAGTTTTTTTTTTTTTTTTTTTTTTTATACTACTTAAGGGCTCAAATTTGCACGTACGTGGAAAATACTCAACAATTTTTCTTAAAATTTATGTGTAAAGATGAGACATTTTGGACTTCCTCTATTCAAATATAACATAGACCTGAGGAACAGATCAGTCACATTAGAAATTAAAGATGAGAGAATTTTATTTCATCCTGTTATTCTCTCTGCTAAGCTCAATTAGAATGATTAATTTTTTTTTTTTTTTTTCACACATACATGTAAAATATGTATGCATATCTATTTCCCCTTGTCTCATTTGCAACAGAAATATTTGGTAACTTATAAAACATTCATACCCGAAGGGGCAAGAATTTAGCAACTATTTCTGTATTTTTCTACTTAACTATCTCCCCAAGACATTACGGGAATTTTCCCTGCGTGCTCACTGCGCATTCGTCAAGTGTGTGTTTTTATGTCTGTTTGTTTGTTTGTATGTACGTCTATTTGTTTGTTTGTATGTATGTCTGTTTGTTTGCTTCCTTGTATGTCTGTTTGTATATCTGTTAGTATGTTTTCCTGTTTTTCTGTTTTTTTGTTTTCCTGTTTGTGTATGTGTGTGAGTACGCAAAAAGGCAGTTATAAACACAATTGTGTATTTCCCCCATACAATCAGAGATGCATATCTCATGATCATTTTTTACTTATCCATACTCCACCCCTTTGAATGTGCATGAACAATTGATGCATAAGACCAGATCCTGTTGGGGAAGATAAACCCTAATTTTTCTACGCAAACACAAATTGAGTTTGATTAGGAACCTGTTTCAAGCATTAGACACCTAATTTATTTCGTTCCATTTTTGGTTTGCACACATTTGATTGGCATTTATGATTTTTTGTATTTTTTTTTTTTTTTTTTTTTTTTTTTTTCTCTCTCTACCGTGCGAAGAATTAACCAGTTACCCAGTTCTCAAAATATAAAAATTGTGAACATCCTATTGCACACTGCAGTAGCATGATCCATTTTGTTGAAAAAATTATGAGCCCTTTGAAAAACAAATTCATGATAATTGTTCATGCATCTTGTGAGGGCATGCACAACCGATATTACCTGATCGAACCTGGATACTTTAGCTTGAAGAAGTATCTTATAAATGTTGTATATATTCATTGAATGGGATGTGTGTGAACCCATTTTTATTGTTCCACAGAGTTGAGTTTGTGGTTTGCAATTTTTTTTATTATTATTTTTTTTTTTTATGTTATTCACCAAAATTATTACTACCTTTATGGCTGAATTTTTTTTTTTTTTTTTTGCAACAATTCTTAGTTTGTGCATATTAATGTTTCACAAGAAGCTGTTCATTCTGGGGAAGGGGCAGTAAAATTACTTTATATTAGACATATGATATTGTATAAATTTTTTTTTATTACTACATTTATGTTCCCATTAATTCGATGACTATTTGTCCATTTTATATATTTAAGATATCATTACTTTATTGGTCTTAAAATGAAAATATAATACTATACAACACTGTTCTAAAGATGGCGTTTCATGATAAGAATAATTTTTTTTTTTTTTTTTTTTTTTGTCTTATTATTTACAGTAATGTACGAGTTGCTCATCTAAATTAGAAGTTTCAGAAAAGAGAAAAAAATACATACATCAATCTGCTCAGTAGCAATAAAAACATGTTTTTGTTAAGTATTCAAAGTATGATTTAGCATTACTTCACCAGTTTTACTCAATTTTGAATTCAACTTGAGAGTAATTTTGCTCAAATATGCACTATTTGTTAAAACACTGCAGAACCCACGTGATTATTTTGATTGAATCACATTATTAATCCATGTTTGTTACAAACCCATTAGTATTTGCGTCCATTTTTCATAACAATTCATTTTAATGTGTTGCTATTTCTTTATTCGTGTAATTTTTCAAAGTTCTTAATTCGATTCAATATGTTTGAGTTTAAATTAGTGAAATTATTTCCTTGCCTTGCCTATGTACATTTTTTTTTTTTTTTTTTTTTTTTTTTTTGTGTGTATTATTTTTGTCATTTTTAAGAAACTAAAAGGGTTATATTCTATCTGAATAGACTGATTTCTTATATCCTTATCGTTATTACTCTATGGTTAATTCACAACGTTGTTTTGTCTTGTTTTATCTTATTTTGTTGTATTTTGTTATATTTTATTTATTATTTAATTTTTTTTTCTATCATTTTTTATGCCTCTCAAAAGAGCTTTCTTTCGTTAGCAGCTTGTGAAAAGGCTTCATAATATTGTCAATAAATTGAACACCTTATATTGTTCATACCTTTTTGTTTGTTTTGTCCATTTTTTGAACCCTTTTTTTTCTCCCTACCCCCGTTTTGCTGCTACACAATAGCATGGTAGATTTGCTAAGTTTTCATGTGACAGTCTTTTCGATGTTTATATAACAGCATTAAATCCTATTTCCCCATGTATTTTGCTTATCCCTTCAGTTTACTTTCGTACATAAATATATATATGTATTTCTACTTCCATTGAGATGAGTAATTTTTCATCAATTTTTTTATGTTGATTCATTTTTTACTTGTTTATATAGTAAGTATCTGCATGTGTATGTATGACTAGTTGCAGTATATGATGAAAATTTTTCATTAAATATATGTATAGACACAGTGTTGTCACATATTGTTATATAATATTTTCGAAACGTAATTTCTGTCTTAGTACCAATCAAAGGTGTTTTTGCTGAAGGAAAAAAGGGAAGGGGGGGATTAAAAAAAAAAAAAAAAAAAAGTAAACAGCAAAAAGTGAGAAGTAATACATGAAAGGTAAAGAAATTCTTATAAGGCATAAAGATACTGATATGGAAAGGAGAAAGTACCAAAAAGATGCATATTGTGATGAACACAATATAACTAATCAGGATCGGCAAAAAATTAAATACTGTACTATTCTGCGTGAAGATGTAACAAGGGGGATGAAAATTAATTTTACAACTAATCTTGATTCAAAGTTTAATGAGAAGGGAGAAAGGGGAGAAATAAATACATCGAATGAAAAGAATGGAACACATTTTATTTTTAATGGAGAATCCATGATTTCACACAACAGTAGCGATGGTGATCTAAAGAATTATTTTGGTAAAAGTATGAACATAATTAAGATGAATATACCTGAAAAAGAACACAAGATTTGTACATCCAATTCAGACGATTTACACAATAGAAAAAAACTAAATTCCAACTTTGAAATTAACAAAAAGAACTGCACACACATGATTTGTTCTGGCGGTCATACGGATTCAGCTAGCGATTATCAACAGAATTCTAATGATAGTAGATGCATAGATTCACTCTTTGGGGAAAATGTCCAAGCGGAAAAAAACTTCCTCACAGGGGGAGGAGAAAATGACCAAAATAAAATAAATAGTCACAGCGTTCAAAAAAAGGAGGGAGAGGAGACAGGAAATTGCCTTAACGATGTGGATATATCGGAGAAGCGTGAACAAAATATGAGTAAAATTTTTGTTAATTTGGGTTTACACTGTGATAAGGAAGTAGAGGGAACTGGTCAGGATGATAATATCCACGGGGTGAGTACTGATGATGGAGCCAAAGGAGGAAGAAATGAGGAACATGAAGAGAAGAACTACGAGAAAATTCAGCACGCAAAGAATGGTGTAAAAAATGATGCAAAGAATGATGCACAGAATGATGTACAGAATGATGTACAGAATGATGCAAAGAATTATGCAAAAAATGATGCAGATGTGGAAAAAGCTCGCAATGGAGGATGTCCCGGTTTGGATAAGGGGAATGGACAGGGGATCATCACCAGTGGAAAATATATTCCATCTGGAAAATCAGAAAAAGAATACATGATATCAAAAGTAGATCAGATATGTAGATCTGTCAAAGGATACGGAAATTATGAGGAGAGTAAGTATAACAACAAAAACATAATTCAAAGTGCGAAGAATGTATATGACATGGTTAATTGTGAAGTAAACCATACAATATATAGCAATGCTAATAAGGGAAAAGAGAAAAAAACAAGTCCTCTTATGCTGCATGATTTACATTTTTTAAGGAAGAATGAAATTATAACAGGTGTAGATAGTTATGAAGATAACGAAGGGAACATTAAAGAATGTGGACATGATTATGTAAGGAGCGTCAATTATGATATGGGTAATCCAATTAATGAAAGCTTCTTGATTGAAAGAAACAAGGAATTGAATTTATTTTCGAAAGATTCTTCTGTAAAGGTAAAAATGATGAACTCATCTAAGACATATCCGAAAAGCGAAGGGATACTTGAAAATAATTGTATATACATGAAAGATTATATATTTTTTAAAAAAGAAGATAATAAAAATAACACACATGGAGAATATACTACGAAAAAGGAAAATTGGGAGAAGCATAAAAATATGCACAAATTTTTCAACGTAAAAAGTGAAGATCTGAAAGGGAATTGTAATATTCGCTTTGACAGAATAATAAAAAGTGAAATTGATAATGAGATAATTACAACATACAAGAGTTATGAACAGGAGGAGTTCACACACATACCATCAAATGAATATAATTCTGAGAAGGAGTTTACTGAACAGTGTAACGTAAATAATTTATGCACGAGTACTAATTTTTCACCTCTAATAGGTGCCGTAAGTGTGAATATAAATGATCATACAAGTGAAAGGGCGAGAGAAGTGGTGTCCAAAAATGTGTCTATCCCAATCCGTTCAAAAAAAATGGAGAAATTGGGGGAAATGTCGATCCAAAATTTACAGAGTGGAGGAATCCTAAAATCACCTGAACAAGTCACACAGCTAGAGTGTCAAACTGGGAACATGGATAGAGGAGTAAAGAAATTAATGAAAGATAACTCGGAAGAGCATACTATAACAGAACGACACACAGAAAATTTACCAGCACCAAGTTTTTCTTCACCAAATTTATTGAATAGTGTAAATGATTCAGTAAATCATAAAGGGTTTATTTATTTGTCTAACGATGTTACGCTAATGAACGGATTAGAAACAAAAATCGAGAAAATATCTCTTGATAAGTTGAGGGCACAAAAAATGGAAGGAAAATATAAAGGGTTTAGTGAAAATGATTGGAAAAGAAATCGGAATGAAGAAAAGGAAACTGCTGATAAGGATGAATATGTGCAAAGGATTACGCATTTGTCATATGACGAATATGAACATTTTTCGCAGGTGAAACATGAAGAGGAAACGAGATCAAGCATTATTGCACCATCAAGTGTGCACCTATCAAATGAGAACCCATCAAATGAGAACCCATCAAATGAGAACCCATCAAATGAGAACCCATCAATTGAGATCCCATCAAATGATAACCCATCAATTGAGATCCCATCAAATGATAACCCATCAATTGAGATCCCATCAAATGAGAACCCATCAAATGAGATCCCATCAAATGAGAACCCATCAAATGAATTGTCAAAGGATAGCGGAAGCGAGAAAGACTTGGACAAGCACAATCATTCATTAATTATAGAAAGGCAACTGCATAATTTCGAATCATCAATTGATGAAGAGACGGGAAGTTGGGGAAAACAAAAAACAAAAAACAGTGCACTTGAAAATTGTAAAGGAAAAATAGACATAATCAATGATGTGTGTGACAAGGAGCTGAATGAGACCATCGTTACATATAAGAGAGGTGAATATGATTTCATCTCAGAGAGTGTATTAAACAAAGATATTATGAACACTACTGATAACAGATTGTTTGGTGGAATTTTTAGCACGCATGCAAGTCCAAGCTACACAAATGATACAAATGCTTTATCTATGAGTACGAATAAAACTCATTTTATTGAATACAAAGGGGAAAAACTGATAGATGGAGATTTGTCGAAAGAAATAAAATACCCTATGAATATTATGCAAACATGTAACAATACCCCTACGAACATGTATAATAATAACCACGAAGAAATTCTAAAACATAGAAATGATGACTATAGTTTATTTACAAACGAAATAAATAGTGCCATCTTAGATTTACGCAAAGATGACATCAATTCATGCTATCCAAACTGCAAACACTCCGGTTATTGTAATTCTGCTAATTGTAAAAAAAAAAAAAAAAGAACTGGTATTCCATTAAATGAGAGAAAGTACTACCGAGTTCTAGCGAAACAGATGATTAAAATACAGGGATTAACGTTTGATCATAACCAAATTAGGTGGATTGCTTACTGGAAGAATGAAAACAACAAACAAATTCAGAAGCACTTCCCCGTGTGCAAATACGGGTTCTATAAGGCGCGTCAGCTAGCTCTCGAGTTTAGAAACTCCAAAATTGGGAACAAGGGGGGAGAAAATAGCTCGACAGGGACAGCCACTGCGGGAATCTGCAGTCTGGGAGTTGGCAATCTCGCAGTTAATATAAACGAGGTCAGCAGAAATGGAATCAGCAAAAACGGGGTCAACAATAACGGGATCAGCAAAAACGGGATCAACAACGTCGAAATGAACATCATCAAAATGGACAACCTCGAATTGAGCAACCTTGGAATCGAAAATCACCGAAGCGGTGGCAAGAGGAACCAGAAAAATGGTAGCACATCTATGCGCAATTTGGAACCCATTCAAAATGACACCCAAGGGACACAAACATGCAACAAAAAAGAAAGCAAAAAATGTGGAAAGATGGTAAATAAGAACGCGAATAAGAGGAGTCGCATTTGCAGCAGAAGTAGTAGAAGTACAGGTGTGAGGGTAGAAGATGGAGGAAGGAAGATAGATCCAAATAACACCGAGAAGATAATAAAACAGGAAAATGAAGTTCAAAGTGTCGACGTAAAATCAGGTATAACATTGATAGATGATAAAAGAATTAACAGAAGCAATTTCAATTTTTATGGGGAAAATAACCAGAATGGAATACTAATGGTAGATGGAAACGTTAAAAATGTACAAAGTGTAGTAAATAGTATGGTAAATGTGGATGTGGTAAGACATGATATGACAAATATACACAATGTCCCTTCTTTTGAAAGAGGAGACAATTTTAATGAATTTAAAAATATGAGAAATTCAAGAATCTCAAAACAATTGTCTACAGGTGTGAATAACCAGATTCTAGACAATAACACACACGTCTCATTTAAGTTGATTCCTGGTGAGGAATCCCTTGTAGGTAGGAGTGTTGCGAACGAAGAATTACACATAAACAGTGGAAATAGTGAGAATCGCATGTTTAATAATGACATATTTACCGGAGTGAAATCCATAAATCGGAATGTGAACCCGTTTCTTTACAATCCAAGTAATGTATACGCGATGAGATCGTATGACTCGAGGAATTTGTACGATGATGCTGGAGCGTTAGATGTGGGAACCTGTATGAACACATGGAGAAATGAACATGTGCAAGAAAATAACTATAATTATAGTTCGAGTAGATTCAACCCGATAAAAAACGAATATAATATGTCTGTTACATATAGAAGAAATGGAATAACAAATAATATTTTGGATGTGAACAATTCGATGAATAGAAATATTGTATCGAATGAAAAAGTTAAAGATTCCTATAAATGTTTGACACAAGAAAATCAGTTTTATGATATCTACTATGGTATAAATGCTCAAGAAGTTACAGATGCATCGATTTCGAATAAATGGAAAGGTGGTGGTCTTATAAAAAATTGCAATTATATCAAAAATTCCTTGTCAAAAGATGTAAGTATAAAAAATGATGGGAAAATGGAAAAAAATGTTTTTAGAAATGGAAGAAATGCTTTTAATATACTGGATGAGACATTATATTCCTCTGGTTTTAGAAATTCACACACGATTGAGCCAATTCTTGAGAAGAATGGTCATTCTAATTATATGAGAAATGATGCTACATACCATTGTAATATAAATGAAAGAAGAACTCCAAATATTGAAGCGTATTTAAAAGGTTCAAATAGTGTTAAGGATAATATATGCAACAATGAATGCAAAGAATCGAATGGAGAGAAATCTAATCATAATAATTTCTCTCAGAATGGCATAGATAATTCTCTACTGCAGAAGAAAAATAAAAGATATGGTACTGCAAATGGAATATATTTTAGTGGTATTGATAATCGGGTATTCATTAAGTCCCCTTGTTCTGTGCCAGAAAATGGCAACATAGCACGAGAGAATAAAAAAAATAAGAAATTAAATATGCAAAAGAGTGAAAGAAACAAAAGGAAATCTTGCAATATAACTAAAGCTTCCACGGCAACTCATTTTTCTTCTCACAATTTAGGTGGTCTAATGAAAGTAAACAAAAATGTACATTATGATGAACATGATCAAATAAAAAAGAAAATCTCCAATAATGGATACATGTCTGATGTAGATGTTGGATCAAATAATATTAATGAAGAAGTCAGATACGAGAACAATAATTGTAGGGGGAATTTTGAGAGGACTTATGGAAGGTGCAGAAATTCGGATGAAAAGTTAAAAAGTATTCAATATGTTGAGATAGGAAAGAAGAAAATAAACAATGTATATAGTGAGAATGATGAAAAGGAAAAAAAAAAAAAAAAACGTTATCCTGTAAATAGGGTAATTCCGGTACGCTTGCTAAACTCTTCTGATATGAATAATGAAAGAAATTCCAGTTACAAAAAAAAAGGGAAAAAAAGTAATGAAATTAGACAAATGTTCCAAAAGGTGAATAAAAATTATAATCGCATATATATTAACAATAATATAGATTCTGGATTTTCTGAAAACGATCGCGCTAGTCAGAATTATCAACCTTATAGGGATGAGACCTGTGAGGAGGTGGGGGCAACTCATGCATCGGGTTGTTCAATAATTTTTGAGCCCAGTTCATGTGTAACCCCTGAACCAAGTTCGTGCATACTTCTCCAAATGAATGGTTGTAAAAGTTCAGCCTTCGAAGGAAGAAATCTCGTGGTCGCAAAAGAGGAGATAATAAACAAGAAGAATGAAACAAAAAGTAAGAGAAAAAGAAGAGAGACATCCGAATTAGATTCTGTACATGTAAAGAACAATCAGAGGCAAAACAGATGCAATAAAATAAGTAACTTCAAAAGTGAAGGAAGCGAAGAAAAAGATTCTGTATCAAACAGGTTTAGTTCAAAAACACATGTTATTAGAGCAGTCCAGAATAAGGCTAGGTTAAATGGGGAAGAAAAAAATCCATTTGCATATGAAGAACATCTTTGTAGAACTGAGAAAAATAGCAACATGCAAAACGGATTCCGTAATTTAAATGAAGAAGCGTATGTGCAAGGGATGGATTTTGTTCCTGTTAGTATAAACAAGAGTGATCAAGGAGATGAAAAAATGGCAAAAAAGATAGTAAAAAAAGGTGGAGAGGTTGGTGATGGAAAAGGTGGAGGTGACTGTGAAGAAGAAATGTACACATACAAATTAAAAAATTTTGAAAAAAGCAATCCCAACGATAATGATATATACTATTACAACGAAATAATGAAAATGCCAAAGATGAAAGGTGTCCATTTTGACATAAGACAAAAAAGATGGTGTGCTTATGGATATAAAAAGAAGGAATGCTTTTCAGTGTACCGTTATGGGTTCTTAATTGCAAGAGAGTTGGCTGTGAGAAGCCGATTAAAAGTTCAGAAAAGGAAAAACAATTTGAAATTGAAAAAAGCTAAAAATGACATAAGTAATAATGAGCTAAACAAGAAAGATAAATCTTCATTGAAGAAACAACAAAATATGGGGAAAAAAAAAACACGCAAGATTGATAAGTCAGATGTTACACATTTGTTTTATAATAGTGCACATATGAATAACAATACGTCATATCATAATAATTATGCAAGTCCTCCTGATGCCACTGCTTCAGTAGAATACAACACGTCTACCCCTCAGTTTGATTATCAAAAGGTTGTTCCTCTCGGAGTTATTTCCAAAGAAGGTGAAATGAACATATGCAGAAATGGCAGAAAAAATGAGCATATTAGTGAAAAGAATAAAATTTATAATGGGTGTGATATGAATGGACATTTTTATCAAAATGGAATGGTGCGTTCCAACGAGGGTGAATCATCCAAGTGTTTCAATTTCGGTAGTAATCAAAATTTTTTCTATAGTACAAACAATGCATATGCACCTAACAATTGCACCGAGTATTGTGATGGTCACGATGGTTGTGCTTATTGTATTTATATGAAGACTTTAAATGGTGTTGCGGATTTTACTAATAGAAATTATTCCACAGGCGTGAGCACAGCTGGGGGGGGTAGCAACACATCAGGAGTTCACGACACAGCATGGGTTCGAAGCACATCAGGAGTTAATGACACAGCATGGGTTCGAAGCACGAATGAGGATCCAGGGACACACAATCTTAGCCGACTTGACAACATAATGACGCATCATTTTGGAAAAGACAAAAATTTGACTTACCCATGTAACGTGAATGAAATATGTGATATGAACAGAGTTAAAGAATCATTTGCTTTTAATAGTGAAAATGATCAAGCTTGCATGAATAGTCAGGTAAAATGCGACAATAGTTATAGTACATATAATTTAAATGGAGGGATGAATTTGATGATAAACCCGAATGCAGAAAGAGGAACAAAGAATTTTACTAACATATACGATGCAGAAAAAGATATTTTAAGAGTACCCAATAATGAATACTATTCATATAATCAAGATGTAAGTTGCTATAGCTCTACAAAGGTAGATGTATGCATGAAAAGAACTGGCTATATTCCCACGTGTTCTGATCCAATATGGGTAAATAAAGACATAAAGAGAAATGTCACAAATAACGAAATATCTAACAGGTTTAACAGAATGGATCTAATGAATGAAGGGATTCTTTTCGATACCACTGAAAATTGTGTAAATGTGAAGAAGAATCGTGAAGAAGCGTTTTCAATCGGAATAGACATGATTGCTCATAACAGTATTAACAAGACATGGGTCTCAGAGACTCCTCAGAACAATATGTATAACAGACCCCATATAAACAATATTACAAATGTGAATCGAGAATTTGTATGCAGTAATGTAGAAGTCGAAAATTTAGAATCTGTGGTGAGAAATAAGCCAAATGTGATGAAAAGCCAAAATGATGTTATTCCAAATGGATATTGCAATTATATTCGAAACTTCGAAAAGGATATTCAAAATGTGGGTGATGAAAGTACTGCAACTGCAAATACAACTTCAACTCCAACTCCAACTATGAATGGGATTACATACATGAGTATTCCCAATCCTATTAACAACACAGGAGATTCCTTTTTTGAAACCAATGGAAGAAGTACTAGTAGTGATGTTATCATTAGGGGGGATGAGGATTTATCATTGTTGTGTGGGAAAAGTGCATCTGGAAGTAGCATAAAAGATTTAAAAGTTAAGAAACTGATGAGAAGTCATTCTCTTGGACTTAGTTCGCGTCCTGAATACATAATTTCTCAAGACAAGATCCAAAAACATAAGCACTCACATTCCTTTGACATGAGCAATTCACAAGGTTCATTCATTAATTCATGGAATATGCTTTGTGGAGTAAATTCTCAGAACATGAATCTATCAAAAAATAATGTTCAAAATAGTGCATGTAGTATAAGATCCAATTTGGACACAAGCCAATGGGAGGTTAAAAAAGAAGCAGGAGTACAAAATGTTATTGGAAATATAATCAACGCGGATGAAATGAATTTTATGCAAAATGATATATATGAGAAGAAACTGAAGGATTATCCCATCATGGAAAATATACACTCATTGAGTGTTAACAAGATAATGGGTGATGAGTCGAAAGACAGATGTATATGGAATGATTACGTGGAAGAAAGCACGGCTGATTTGGTGATGAAAGGGGAGAAGATAAGCACAGAGATAGGAGGGGTAAAAGAGATCCAATTAAAGACAACTAGAGGAAATAATTATTCCGACAGTTTTGAGTATGTTCATGTAGATGTTAAGAACGATAATAGAAAAGCCACTACTACGGCCACTAATAATGACAATAATAATGAAAATAATAATGAAAATATTAATGACAATTATAAGGACAGTAATAAGGACAGTAATAAGGACAGTAATAAGGACAGTAATAAGGACAGTAATAAGGACAGTAATAAGGACAGTAATAAGGACAGTAATAAGGACAGTAATGATGACAGTGATGATGACAATAATATAAAAAATAATCATTTTGAGAAAAATAAAGAAAAGAGCATATTTACACACAGCGAGAATTGCAGTAATGTATTTTTAAATTCGTTTGATGAGAATGAAAAAAAGGAAAGAGAAAATTTTTTGAATGAAGATGAGAAGAATTTTTTACATCAAATTTATAAGGACAATAGAAATATTGGCAATATGAATGTAGACATAAAAAATAACAGAATTGGAAATGATATCTTGAAAAATAAAAATTTTAATTTCGAGGAAATTAATATGTTTCATAGAGATGTTAAGAATATGAATACATCAGTTGTGAATGAGCATATTCCAAATGATGATTCTATTATTCCAGCCTTGGGGATTAAGAAAGGTAGAGATGTAAAAGATTCTATCACAAAATGGGTTCTTTCGAACAAGCAGGGAGTACATCATGACAATGCAGATGTAGAAAATACCAACGGAGAGGTAGAAAACAAAATAGGAAGAAATATGAGGAAACCAAAAAAAAAGAAAAAAAAGAAGGTAAATAGTACACCATTAATTACGAATACTAATCTGGAATTACTAGATGTAGAACTTATACTTTTGGATGGAAAGACGAATTTCACTGATAAAAGACAAAAAAAAGGGAACAAAAAGGAATTCACATATTTTAGAGCCCTCAGTGAGCCATGTGAAACAATTCAGGACGAGAACCAAAGATACATCTCACAAAGAAACAATTGGAATGCTGATGAAAATGGAATTAATATGTTACAAAATACGCATAGAAATGGCAAGTGTACATTTTCATTTGGATCTGATGTCTTCAAGCATTCTGAGAATAGAGATGATGTACATGGCACGGTAAACTCCATTGTAGGCACTTATAAATATCAGATAGAAGAAAATCCAGAATTCAGATATCCCAAGGATTGTGAAGGGGTCAAGTTAGCACCATTATGTGGGAATTTTTCTGAAAGGGAAAGTGGTGTTACGATCCCGTATTATGGAAATGGGAGAGGACTCACTGAAGTGGTAGATGCAAACAACATGGCAGATGCAAATAACATATCCATTGTAAATTTAGCTAGTAATGAAGGTGAAACACCTGGACAAGTTCCTGTTCAAGTGAACACGCAGAAGAGACATAATTTCCCCATTTTGCAAAAAAAAAAGAATGAATTAAACATGAGAAATAATGATCTCTATGATCGAGTGACGATAGGAACGCAGAAGGGGAAAGGTCATGGAAATGCTAATTTATGTGAGAATCAGAAATGGAATTCGTCTATATGCATAAAAGGGAATAACAGTACTAGTAGAGACTTGTTCTATGATGATTATCCAAGAAGAATAATAAATAGGAGTTTCCACTATTATAACAGACCCATGATGATTTGCAATTCCAAGGGGTTAAATACTGAAAGTAGTGTAAAACACGAAACAGTTCTGTATCATCAAATGCATCCAATGAAAGGGGATCCGAAAGTGAGAATACTTGAAAACCAATATAGAAAAGAAGAAAATGAATATTTTAAAGAAACAATGATTGAAGGAACTTTAAAAAAAAATATTGGAATTATTCCTTCGACAGATGAACTCACTATTTCAGCCAAAAAAGGTAATGAAGAGGAAATACATAGTAAGGGAAAATTAAAGAATAATTTACGTAATAGTAATAAGGTAATTAATAATTCCATTATTCCCAGGGTAGTATCGAATTGTGATTCTAATAAAGACATGGTCCAGCAGAGAGGTTCTGCATCTCCTCAAGAGATGAGTATAAATTATGTCTACCAATCTCCTGATGAGGAGATGGCTAGGTGGGATAAGGAAAGCTACAGTCCCATGGATAATGATGACGATGAAAGAATGATGTTAGCAACGGATGTCTTTTTGAATCCAACGTACTTCAATGAGTGTGATGATATGCCAACTATGAACGGCGTTACAGTCGAATGGCAGAGTGAGCAAAATGCTCCAAAAAAAAAAAAGACCCTCATTCGTAGAAGAGATAATAAAAAAGATGCTATTTTGAAAAATGTGCACATATTGAAAGAATATGGTGATAAATTTAGACATATAATGGAAGAAGATGAGGGAAAGTTATTTGTAGGTAATTCAAGCGGTACGCGACTTGGAAATGATGAATTGGTCAATAGATATTGCTTAACTATTTTTGGAGACATTAAAACTCATGGACTTGCTCCCATGCTGTGTAGCATAACAAATGAAGAGGTGCTTTTCGCGGATCCCCATTTGGAATACTCCTGTTTGACTCTGCACGTAAATGCATACGAAAAAGAGAAAAACAACGCTGGGAAATATTCACACGTGTATTAACCTCTACATGAAGATGTGCATGAAGAAGTGTATTTACATATGCATGAACATGTGTATGAAGATGTGCATGAAGAAGTGCATGAAGACGTGTATGAACATGTGCATATTTACCTCTGGTTAAGCGCTTGTCTAAGAAGGGCTTCAGGTCGGAAGCATCCCCACCCCCTTTTCATCTCTCCTGCACTTTGCACACACACCGTGTGTAGAGATAAAATGGAGTAGATAAAATCACAATTCGTTATGCAACCACTTCCCCATTTTGAATCCCTTTTTTCTTTTTTTCAGGACTTAAATATGAACAGATCAAAGGATGTCAATAAGACTGTACATTTCAAAAAGCTGATTTTTAAGTATCTAATCATGGATTTATTTGATAATATAAGGCTTCCGGAATTTTCAAGAATATCAAGTAGTAGAAATATGGGGTTAGTACAATATCCATATGAATGCATTACGAGCCATATGCTTACAAAAAGAATAAGTAATAATATAGATTTGATAAAAAGAGTTAAGAAATACCATTTAAATTTTATAAATAAAACTTATGATATGAAATTTATTCAACTATACTGGGATATTTTTGTGACGTGTTTGTTGAAAAATATTACATCCAGTAAATTATCATACGAAGAGCATGTCATGGTCATACGGTCCCTCTTGCTGCTTTACCTAGATAATAATGCACGATTGGAATGTTCGTCATATATATGAGGATCATTGCGATTAAACTTACTGTCATATATATTACCATCATTTTCGAAAATGCACAAAGGGTATTGTGAATACCAAATTAGAATATCTGTGTCTCCTTGGGGAAATATTTATACGTGGGGAATTATTTTTATTTCGTTTCTCCTTTTGTGTTTTATATATATCGTGTAATATTCTTATAATTTTTTTTTTTCTGCACGATCCATAAATTATGGAGAAAAGTTTTTTTATTTTTTTATTTTATATTTTGTATTTTGTATTTTATATTTTGTATTTTATATTTTGTATTTTGTATTTTATATTTTGTATTTTGCATTTTATATTTTATATTTTTTAATTTTTAATTTTTTTTTTTTTTATCGCCCTGTTTTTTGGTACCCTAAATGGTAGACATGGTTACTTGAATGATTGCCCAGATATATACAGAACAAAGCCAAAATACGGGGTGTTTTTTTCTTTTCTTTATTTTGTTACATTTGTAATGTGTACTACATTTGCTTGATCTGTTGAAAATTTTTCCTTTTTTTGCGAACTGTCAACCGACCATCCTCTTTTTATCGCTTTTATTTGTTCGTGCATTTTTTTTTCAAGCGGGGAAGAAAAAATAATAAAAATATTTTTGCAGTACTTTTATTCCTTTTTCATTTTTTTTTTAATGAAATTTCGTTGGCCCTCATCTTCTCCCATCATCCCCTCATCTTTAACTTCCTTCCTTCCGTGCGTTACGGTGTAAAGTGTTTTTTTTTCTTTTCCCCCTCTCCCCTGTCACTTTATATATACGTCAATTGAAAATAGAAAAAAAATATTTTTTTGTCCTTTCTACATTAGACAATATTTGCCGAACTTGGGCTGAAAAGGATGATGGGATAATTTTTTTCGTTTTTATCAGTAGTTTCAGAATTATTTAAATAAAACCATCCATAGGAATAAAAATTTTACATGTTACGAAAGCGTCGAAACATTTTTTCTGCACTAACGTGATGTGATGATATGATATTTTTTTTTTTTTTGACAAAAAAACGTATTGAATTGTTTTTCTATTTTTTAATATTTACACTGCATGAAGCGTTGCTTTTTTTTTTTTTTTTTTTTTTTCTTGTACTTAATCTGGAAAAATTTGCCTACAAATTTAAAGAGAGGTTATAATATACACAAAGTTGGCACAAAAAAAAAAAAAAAAAATATATATACATATAATGTATATATATGGGACGGTTATATTTTTTTTTTTGCTATTCTTAACCTTTTAACTTTTAGCAGTATTTTTAAATATATTTCAGTCCCAAAAGTAATGTATTTTCCCGTTGTATGGATGAACGGATGAATATGCACCGAATAGTTTGCGCTCATGAGTTGAAGGAAGCAAAGTAAGAAAACAAAGTGATAAAGGTTACTTATTATACAGAATGGATAAAAAACAGGAAAAGAAAATAAAACGGAAAAAGGAAAAGGAAAAGGAAAAGGAAAAGGAAACGAGTTATTTCTCTGAAACTGTTACGGTAAAAAAAAAAAAAATGATACAAAATTATGCGAAATTATGCAAAACTATACAAAACTGCGCAAAATTTAACTAAAAAAAGCTTGAGTTGAAAAACTCGAGCCTTGTTCGATGGGGAAAAGAGAAAAAAGTTTATTCCTTTTATCCTTTTACATAAAGAAAACATAAAATTAGTTGCTCATGGGATTAGTTTATATCGTCTTTCCTTCCCCTATCCTTCATTCCCATGTTCCATTTTTACATATTTCGTTTTTCCTCACCATTCCACATGACCACTCTTTATATTCCCTTGACAGTTTTGCGGCACGATAGTTCGGGACTCAATGGTGAACGTAGCAGAGACAATACAAAATAATTACTATCCGATCAAGGAATCTATATTAAACATATACGACAGTTATTTTTGTGAAAATACACAGCAAAGTAACAGTAGGGTGAATGGAGGTGTACCTTTTTTTACTGTAAATCAAGAGAATTCAAAAAAAAAATAAACGCCTTTTTTTTTTTTTTTTTTTTATATATATATATATATATAGAGTGTACATGGGTTTGTTTGCATATATATATATACATATTTATGCATTACACATTTACGCATGTATGCTTTTTTTTTTTGTAACATACGAATGGGAGAAGAATGTAATACTTGGTGCAGGACACCATTCTGTTGGCTTTCCAAATGAACCAGATTGTTAAGTCGTTTAATTCAAAAAAAAAAAAAAAAAAAAAAAAAAAAAAAAAAAAAAAAAAAAAAAAAAAAAAAAAAAAAAAAAAAAAAAAAAAAAAAAAAAAAAAAAAAAAAGAAAAAAAGAAAAAAAGCACCAAAATTATTAAGTTTACACTTGTATTATGCTTATATTTAAAGGAAAGAATTATTTACACTCTGACCCTTTTAACAAAAAATAAAGAAAAAAAAAAAAAAAGGTAAAACACGAAAATGAACATTTTAAAAGCGAAGGAAAAAAATAATTCCCACATGGTGCTCACTAAAAATATTTTAAAGGGATAAAGCAAAAAAAATGAGACAAAAATTAGGGCTTTTTTTTTTTTTTTCATTAGCAAGGTGGGTGGTGCAAAAAAAAAAAAAAAAAAAAAAAAAAAAAAAAAAAAAAAAAAAAAAAAAAAAAAAAAAAAAAAAAAAAAAAAAAAAAAAAAAAAAAAAAAAAAAAAAAAAAAAAAAAAAAAAAAAAAAATAAGGGTTTTTTTTTTTTTTTAATTAGAAAGGTGGGTGGTGAAAAAAAAAAAAAAAAAAAAAAAAAAAACTCTAAATAGTAAATAGTTAATGGTAAATAGTACACACTAAATGGCAAACACTAAATAGCAAACACTAAATAGCAAACACTAAATAGCAAACACTAAATAGCAAACACTAAATAGCAAACACTAAAGAATATATGGTAAATAATAAAAAGGAGCTAATAACTTATGACATTCAGATATGGTGAAAAATAACAAATAATTAGGCTTCTCTGATGACAACCGATTTGTGAGGTTTTTTTTTTTTTTTTCCTTTTGTTAAACAATAGGAAAATTAATATTAACGAAATATATATGCTTCTAACTGGTATTACACTACTATCGTTTCAACCACTCATTATTCTTGATGATTTCCCTGTTACGTTCTCCATAATCAATTAACAATTCTTCTCCTTCTTTTATATTCCTTGCGGCAACAAAGAAAAGTCTGGGAAGACTGCAAACGGTTAGAACTTTAGGGATGAGGTTGGCGTTTTTCTTTGAATGATTGACTAATCTAGCGAAGGATCGAAGGAAATATTTTTTGTCTTTATTATTTATAGCAGCATCAATGTTTTCTTCCGTTCCATCTATACAATACCTTTTATTTTCATGCTTAAAATAAAACATATAGCACCCTTTTTTTTTATTTTTATTATATTTTCTCTCTCTTTCCATTGCCTCGTTATGTGTTAGTAATTCTCCAACGTATTCAAAAATAAAATCAAATTTGTTCAAATCGCTAGCTGCGTAGATACATCTACCTTTAATATCATCAAATATTATTTTGATGCATGCAAACATGTTCATTTTTATATTTTCTTCATATATAATATTCCTACCTTTTTCTTTTAAAAATGAAAGTGGAAGAGTGTTCATTTCAATTTTTTTATCTATGAACAGATTGATAAGCTCCTGTTTATTTAATCGGTTAATTGTTCTGTCAAATTCATACTTTTTGTAGTACTCTGTTTGCATCTTTTTTAATTTTTTTAACTTGGCATCATTTACATTTTGAAGGAATTTGTCCAAAAACGAGACATTATCTTTCAACTTCATGATTTCCATTTCTTTGAGGTTTTCTTTCCTGGCTTTCTTTGCGCTCTTTATGCATCTTGCATTTTTTACAAATGAATCGCTATCAGATTCGGCTTCAAAATGGGGTTCTAAATTGGGTTCAAGTTCGCGTTCCAAATTGGGTTCAAGTTTTCGTTCCAAATTGGGTTCTAGTTCGCATTCCAAATTGGGTTTAAATTTGCCTTCAAATCTGTGCTGAAATTTTTGTTCAAATTCTGGTTCATAATCCCGTTTTGATACCCCCTTGGGCTGAATGTTCAACTTCAACTGACATTCGGCTCTGGGTTCTCCATCTAAAGAAATAATCTCATAACGTTTACAAAAATGAGAATACATCTTGTCTAAATTTAATTCCATATCGTGCGTATTTTTTTTGAAATGTAAAGATAGGTTCCATAGCAAATCCGGTGAATATGTAGAAATGTTGGATAGTTTCAAACATTCTTGATTTTGCATTAGATAAATAAGTATTTGAAGAACATTTTCTTTTTTTAATACTCTTATTTTATCATAATCATCATATGAATAGTTAAACTTTATATATAAATAATCTCCTTCTTTTAATCTTTTTACACAACTTGGACTCTTTTTATTTACTGCATGAAATATTATTTCGTTTTCGGATGCCTTCAGATTTGTTGCATGTATTTGTGTCCCTACTACTGCTGCTGCTGCTTCTCCTCCTTGCAGTGCAATCTCTGTATCTTCCTTCCCTCCTTTTGGAACTGGAACAATTTTTGTTGAATAATTTGTAGCATTATGGATATTCATATATTCAATTTTTTTCTCTGATAAACTGGATGCCTCCTCGATAACATCATTGCCAAGGTTGCTGTTTGAACCTTCATGTGCGTGTTCTTTCTTCTCTGTGCAGTTGGCATCATCTGCTTCATTTTTGGAATTACATTTTTCAGTTCCTCTTGGATTACATAAATTTATGTCTTTTTTTGTTTGATAGTTTTGCTGATTCTTTCCCGTTTTATACATTCGCAAATAAGCCTTAAACTGATCAAATATGTTAAGGTCATTACCAAATTCATCATTTGTAGGTAAAGAAGATAAGACATATAAATTTTGATCATTTTTAAAACAGTTTCGTTTAGCATTTAAATCATCTTTATTTTGAATAAGGAATATTTTATAATTTTGTTTATAAAATCCTTGAATTCTTTCAAAATTTTTTGATAACGAATTTAAATGAGATTTCTGTTTGTTAATAATATTGTTTAAAATTTTATTTATGTACAAATTTTGTGCCTCATTGTTATGATTTCTTCGTTTCATACTTTTTAGTTTATCATCTTTTTTATCACATTCTTCAGATACAATGCTTCTAAACTCTGTATTGCATTCTTCTATTTCTTTTGGATATAATTTGGTGTTCCCAATTAGACAGTTATTGTTATCTCTTTCATTATTTTTTTCTTCATTCATAATAGTTTGACTTTTTTCCGTTTCACAAATTCTTTCTGGGATATCCTCCTTTCCTGTTATTGGTACGTTTTCCAACACATGTGCTTCGATTTCCTCTTCAATATCGAAGCTGTGGAACTGAGTGCTAGAATCACCTGCGTTAACCATTCGCACATATGTTCTATTTTCTGAACATACGTTCAAATTGGTTAATGTGTCCTTCAGCTCTTCTGTGATTACATGATCGTAACTAATGGATGGTTCAGGATTACAACTTTTTAGTACCTCTTTTTTTTCAGAATTGCCTCCCTGCCGATTCGGGCTATTTTTTGCGCTTCCACAATTGTTCACGGCTCCGAGCACACTAAAAATATTTTTCCACTGTCCCCTCAAATGGTCATTTGTGGGGTCATTCTTGTGGTCATCCATTTGGTCATTCTCGTTTGCATTCCCATCACCATTCCCATGTGCATCCCTTTTTTTTTTCCTTTTATTTTCCGCGTATCCACATCCTCGATCAGGCACACAAACAAAATTCCTCCCAGAGATTGTCTTATCATCATCATCATATAGACAAGGGTTCGTTTCGTTGCTACTGCTTTCATAATAGAACCAGTTTTTTCTTTTCCTCCTTTTTCCATTATGATTACTGATGCTAACTAAACTTTCTCCCTTGTTTGAATTGAAGATGGATTCATTGCTCCTTCTATTTGAAGTTGGTTGTAATAGTTCATCATTTGATGTGTCTAATATATTTTTGTCATTTCCCTGGTTTAAGGCACAAAAAGATTCCTTTTGCATTTTTATTAAATTGCTAATATTTTTCCTCGTAGCATCATTGTCTATGAGTGATAAATGACTTATTTTATTCATGATATTTGCATTAAAGGAATGATCATATGTTTCTTTTTTTGGATTTATGAAATTATTACATGTTCTCTTTTCAGAGAAGAAATTTTTATTACTATTATAATAAAAGTTAATATTTTTATTACTACTACTGTTATTGTAAATGTTAAAATTCTTATAATGGAGCCTATTAATCGTACTGTTTTTATTTTTATTCATGTTTTGTTTGTAGTTTTTGTTTTTTTTCTTTTTTTCAACACTTTCAATTTTTATCTTTAAGCGGTACCATTTTATTTCGTTGTTCGAATATACATTTTGTTCAAAAAGGGAATCTCCATTTGGTGTTATTTTAGGATCATTTTCTCCACTTTGCTCGTTTGATCCATTTTTTCCCATGGCATTATTTTTGAGATCATTAAGGTACAAATATTTTATATAGTCTTTATTATATATAGTCAATTCTTTATTCACCTCCTTGTGATTATCTGTGGCTAACTCAGAATAATTGTTAATGCTTCCATTTTTCTCATCATCGTTTCTATTGTATGCGCAATTATAAATAGATGTGTACATATACACATCGTCATCATACATGTTATATTTGTTGATTCCACACCTCCAATTGAAATCTGAACATATATTTAATTTCTGTCTTTTTATTTTCGATTTTTCAAATAAAAAATGAAGACTCCAGAAGTAATACCGTTCATAAATGAGAAGTGGAATTTTGTTATTGTTAGATTCGCACAAGGGCTGTTAAAAATGAGAGAGGAGGGAGAAGGAAGAAAAAAAAAAAAAAAAAAAAAAAAAATGTGATAGTTTATATGGGGCTACTTTATAATATATCTTTTCTTACTAAAAAATCAAAAATTTTTCACAAAATTTGTAAAGATATTAAAAAAAAAAAAAAAAAAGCAAGTGTCTATCCAATGCATATATAAAATATTTCTATAAAAAAATTGATATAAATTCATAGGATTTTATTAACAAAAGGGATAGATTGTTGCTGGAACATTATTAGGTTTATGTGGGGGTGGTAGTGATATAAATATATGTTTTCTTTTTTTTTTTTTTGGCACTAAATACTTCCTGTTTTGCATTCGAAATAAGTTTATATTTAGCATGTTTGGATGACAGTTAAGCATAAGCAGGTGTTAGCACCACTCAAAAATATAAACAAATCTTCACACACAACAAAAACGTAATTGCAACAGAAACGTAATCACAGAAGACATATACTATCAATAAACATTTATCATCTCGTTTTTCCTTTTTGTTAGATTCATACCGATATATCAACAGCAATATTGCAACTGTTATCATCAAAGAGAAGGAAAATCTTGGACAAAATATCTTCTTTCTTTTTTTGCTTTACTGGGTGTCTGCTCAAATCGGAGACATATTTTGACAAGTTAGAGTATAGAGGAATGTGAATAATAGAATCTAATTTTTCTTTTTCGATCCATATTACAGATGCTGAATTCGTAAAAACATTTTTAGAATTGCTACACTTGTTACTACTTGCGTTTGCATTTACATTCTCATACGCGTTTGAAGTTTTCATTTTCTTGGATTCTGTGCGACAGTCTAAGTATTCCCCCAACGTGGCTGGAATATATGTATATATGTATGTACATATATGTATGTACATAAATGTATATGCAAATATACATATGCACATTTACATGCATGTGTACATATGTGCATACATATTTATTAATTTTATTCTCCTTCCTTTTCTCGTCATGAACTGGGAAAATGGTAAAATGGTAAATTGGTAAAATGCATATCTTTTCTGCATTGAGTGAAATTCAAAAGCTGTAACTAATACAAGTTAACAAAAAGAAAAAGAATGAGGTTATATTCTGGTTTGTGCCAAAATGGTGGCGAAGTGAGCAATGTTTGTTTGTTTAGAACTTGGAAATAAATAAAAATGCTAAATAAAAAAGGCAGAAAAAGTGGGCGGAAATAAAAAAATAAAAATGGAAAAACGTGCGCAAAGAGTAGCTGAAAAATGTACAATATTAGGATGCTATGAAAGGATGGAAAAAAAAAAAAAAAAAAGTGCGAACTATGGACACTAGTATAGTATACATAAAATGAGAGATCATTTAATAATATGCATCACAAAGGGAGATTAACATAAAAATATTTCCAAGAAATTTAAGTACACATTTCATCATTTCTCAAAGATCATAAATGAGAAGTCAAAAGGAACGGACAAAAAAAAAAAAAAAAAAATGTGGTAACCCCCAAAGGAAATGGTATAGTATAACAATGTAAAAATGAAATAACAAAATAGAAGAAGAAGAAGAAGAAATAAAATATTGATATATTCCCATATTAAAATGTTGAAGCATTGAAATAATGGAATATTGAAATTTGGAAATGTTGGAACATGGAAATAAGAAAATCCTGACGAATATGCTTATTTTTCAAAAATAAAAAAGCGGAACTTCTCTGTATATGCAACTTTTTACACTTTTTTTTTTCATCAAAACATAGAGTGATCAAAAAATTTGTTTCAAGTTTGACCATTCACAAAAATGTATGTACATAAAAACATGTATTAGTGTATGATGTATTTTTGATCATACCTAATTTGTGAACACAATAAGATGGAATATATTTCGAAGAGGAGGGAAAGCTTAGAAAAATCATCTAAAAGAAATATCAAATTTTTTCAGTTTATAGGTTATTTTTCTCTTTTCCATATTTGCACAATGCGAAATTAAAATGCCTATCTATATGAGCTCAATTTTAGATTAAAAAAAAAAAAAAAAAAATATACCAAAATAAAACAAAATAAAATAAATACTCACCGGGGGCACTTATTCAGCATATTGGTCACATATGGTTATGGGGAGAAGCGTTTTGAAATTGTCTTTCAAAGGGGGGTAAATTTATTTCTGGAATCAGGTATCATTTGTCTTTATTTAACTTATTGTATAGCTTATCTTTTTTCCGTTTAAAATTTTGCATGTTCACTAGTGAAATGTATGGAAATTAGCAACTGCACAAGGAGTTAACATTTTCTTTTGCATTTATTTTGGAAAAGGGTTTCCAAAAAAGGGGGGGAGGAGGAATAAAGAATGACGAAACATATTTCATTATGTCCTTGGTTTTATGGATCTCGAATCATCAGTATAGATGCCATTAAAAATGTCGTCAAAAATATGTTTTAAAGAAAAACAAAACTTTTACGAGATGCTAACAAAGACGATTGTCTAACTGATGCACTTGTTACCACGTTTGTGGGGCTCATTCAGAGCATCACCAAATAAGTTGGTACAGTTCTCAAGCAAAGGATATAATGAAAAAAATATATTGCACAAATGCAAGATTTAAGGCAATTTTTTTATTTTTATACCCACTTTTAAAGTGCTTGAAGAAGTTGAGTTGTGGGAACAAATAGAAGAAATACATAATTTTTTTTTTTTTTTTTTTATTGTTCTGATAGTTAGGACATACTAATATAATATTATCTTTTTTTTTAGTTCTTTTTTTTTGGAATCTTATACCTGTGCCCAACTTCCCTCCCTTTTGGAAAATATAATAAGTGAAATATTTATTTGGTGTACAAATATAAAAAAGAAAAAAAAAAAAAAAAAAAAAAAAAAAAAAAAAGAAGGTATAACTCCCTATCTTTTGCAACCATGGTAGTTTGTTTTTATCTATTTTAAAAAGAAGAATTCATGATATTTGTAATTGTGAATATATGTTTTATAATTGTAAATTTTTAGAAAGATGTTCCCATTGTGTGCCAATTTGCCAGTTATTTATGTACTAGTCAGTGTAACAACTATTTTTTGTTTAATCTTTTGACTGTTGTTCTTAGCTGGATGTAGGAAGACAGAACACAATAATACTTCTTTCCGTTTAGAAAAATGCCTTGTTACACTCACACTGATATAAATACATAAACATATATTCATGTTAATATTCAAATGACAATTGTTATACTTCACACACAGAGGAGGATTGTCTATGTAATATGAAAAGTGTGTTATATCTTTTGGAATACGGTTTTTGATTATTTGGAAAATACATAAAAGTAGAAAAACTTCATAGTTTAGAAAGAAAGTGTCATAACAAGCATTTAAAAAAGGGACACTACTCACACGGTGTGGGGGTGGGGTATCATATTTCGATCAATTTTTAATGGATCCTTTAAAAAAAATAATATATTTTTTATTTAATTTTTATAACGATAGATCAGTAATATACCTATGTATTTACTTATTTGTTTTTTTTAAAACATCTTTTCCGTCATAATGGTTTTATTTTACATAGGATCGAGAAAATATGTTTTTCTATTTGACCGGGAAAAAAAGTACAACAATAAATATCCTTAAAAATAGTAAGTACAAAAAAAAAAGGGGGAAATGGAGGTGCACGTAATATTGGTGGAGTTTCCTTTTTATACTTGTAAAGAATATTTTATTGGTCAGGCTATCAGGTTTCTCCTCTATTGACCCATATAAAATGTGTTACATAGGATTTAGTTGTCGCATTATTATATATATCACCATTATCATTACCATCACCATCATACACATTCTATAAGAAGCCTGTGTATAAATGTAACAAATTTATTTATAATCATTACCCATTCATATTTTGTTTCTATAGTATGATTATTCTGAAAATTAGCTAAATATTATGTAAACATGAATAGTCAAAATCGTGGTGTTCATTCCAGCTTGATTTCCCAGAATATATTTACACATATATATCACAAATATTTTTGAATAGTGGTAGTGTGTGTATTTTTTTTAATCTTGTTCACAGAAATTAAAAAAAAAAAATAAAATAAATATAAAGAAAAAAAATGTGTTCTTGTTTTTTTTTATTCACTGACTTTTCATAAAAAAAAAAAAAAAAAATATATAAAAATAAAAAAAAAAAAAAAAAAAAAAACCATAAAATTACATGTTTGTTTAGCATGTACGAAATTTTTTATTTATTACTCATTATTTTATGTTGTAGGTATAACATAAATTTTTTTTTTTTTTTTTATAATTTTTAAAAAATTTTGAATTATACATTTAAATTTTATTTACAAAATTGTTATTTTTTTTTTTTTTTTTTTTTTTTTTTTTTTTTTTTTTTTTTTTGTTCATGTTGATTTAGGCTAATTTTTAACATTTTCGTAAAAAATCCATTGATTTGCTTAAAGGGATAGAAAAAAAAAAAAAAAATAAATTAACGCTAAAACAGTGGAAGAAAGGGAAGTAAAAGAATTTTAAAATTAAAAAATAGCTTATTAGAGATTTGCCCTTTTTTTATTATGATTATATTAGCCCACTATCCCTATATATATTTTTCAAGTACATTATAAGTGCATATATTTTTATATATAGATTTATTTTGTGCCCATACCAATGTGGTCCATACACTGCTGTTTTTTATTATATTATATAATATGTATGTATATAGGAAGGGTACGTTAAATATATAAGCATACCCCAATGTGAAAATTGTAATATATATATAAATTTATAAATACACTACATGTGGTACATACATTTTTCACGTACGTTTTTTTTTTTTTTTTTTAATATATTTAAAAACATTTATTGGAGAAACAAATCCGCTGTCATTATTTTGCGGGATTTATTATGCATATTTTATTGGCTGACAATTTTACTTCTTTTTTTGAGTTCATTTTATTGTGCCATATGTTTAAATCTTACAGAGAATTTTTTTTTTTTTTCAACTTTTCGTTAGCGTGCTTTTTTTGGCCCTGCAGCTGGAATATGCTAAATAGAAAAAAATTAAAATCTTTGCGTACGTCCTGCGATTCGTAATATAAACATATATACGAACATATGCCATATACATACAATAATATATGTATATATATTTATGCTTGTGTTTACGCGTGTAACTTTCTTAACTCTTTTAATTATACTTGTGCATCATCAACAAATTTTCCCCTCTTCATATGTATAATTAAAGTATATCCCATTGAAATATAAGCGTTCTTATATATATTACTCTTAATTCAGAATGGGAATATATATATATATAAACATGTAGAGATGAATTGTAAAATTTGCAAGTTCTCCCCTTACATAATTTTTTTAGTACAATTTGGAAATTCTTTTTTTTTTTTTTTTTTATATAAATCACAATGTAATTAAAATGATAAAATTAAATAACTATTTGAAGAATCATATTTGTACTAGTTTCTAATGAGAAAGTATATTTGAACAAAAATGTTTCTTTGCATAAAATGCAAATTTGAATTTGTTTTTTAAGAGTTTCAAACCTGTACTTTTATTACGAGCACAGCACATACGTTTGCGTCTGCTTATATGCATATATATATAATATACATATGTATATATATTTGTACATAAATAAGTTTTTGTAACTTTTTGTAACATTTATAAGTTATAAATTTTTTGTTATAGAGTATTCCTCCCCCGCATTATTCATTCCACTAGTCCTACGCATATTAGGAAATTAGTGAAAATTACATGCCTCTACGAGTACTTCGAAATTAAAGAGGGCAGACAGCATGTACTTTACACATATGTGTAGACGTATATCTGACTAATCACAGTCATGCATAAAAGATATTTTCAATCCCGAATTTATAGTTTAATAGTACACTTCTTGTTGCTAATGACATATGTAAGTATACATATACTACTCTAGAACAGAATCATTTTTTCACCTTGAAGTGGTGTGAACAGGTGTTTAAACCTTCTTTATGAACGGTCAAGTAGACATTTGAACATAAATAACCGTGCGTAGCATTGTCACATGTATATACGTAGCTGTGTTGCTACATGTTCATCCGTATACTACAATATATATATATATATATATATACATAGGTATGAATTTTACTCGAATAAACTCCTTTGGATAATCCACTTTTGTAGTTTGCGAGGAAAATAACACGCATTTGCTTTTTGTCCGTGTACATATTTGAGTTTTTAAATGTGTACATTCCAAACATTTTGCAACAATGAATCAAAATTGTAAGTAATAATTTACATTACTAAATGTGTACAGTGGTAATTCCAGATCCCCGTAGTATTTAGTTGCATAATGTCTAGTGTGCGTGTATACATATATATATATATATATATATATATACATATATTATATAGCACGTACTTTTTCTAATATTTTAATTTTTTAGATATTTTTTGTTCATTTATTTTGTTTAATTCACTTTCCCCCATTTGACATAACCTCTTTGTTACATTTTTGCATATACATTTATTGTTTTATTTGTATATATTAACACGAAACAAGAAAAAGCCAAATTTTTTGTGTAAATGCGTTGTGTGTATAAAATATATGTTTAGGTAAGAGTGTGTTAATATTGATACCTAAACGTTGCCGCCGATGTGTTTTCACGTGTAATTATTACGAATTTATATTTTATTCAAAAAATAGAATCCGCGCATTATGCTTATTTATTTTTATTTATTTGTTATCTTTTACGCATTGTCCATTGTTTGTTATCTATTATTTATTATCCATTTTTTATTATATATTCCTTTTTTATCTGTTATTTTTTTTTTTTTTTTTTTTATCCACGGTTCACTATGTATTATTTATTATCTGCTGTTTATGCTTATTCTCCTTTTTTTTAACAAATTTTGTAAACAAAGAAGGCGAGGAAAAGATATCAACAACGAACTCATTTCAGAGCACAAGAATCTGTCACACACATTATAGAATATGATGTGCCATTATTTAGATGCATTCACATTATCGACATGTGGTATTTTTGAGAATGTATAATATTGTCATGCATGTGAATATATACACAACTTGCCTTGTATCACAGTTATACTTCTGAACGTGAACAATTATTCATAGGTTTACGTGTGTGTATACTGACTCCTCGTGGTGAATAGTTATTAATGTAAATTGAAAGACGAACCTGAAATATTCTGTGCATGTTTATTATTTGTATATATGTATGTACAATATATATGTTACAACACGTTGTTGTGCATCCCGATTAAATTTTGTTTAAAATAAATCTTTTTTGTTTTAGACCTTTTTTAATTAAATATTCCTTCGTATGTAAAAAGTAGTACAGGGAACGTGACTTTTATTTTACAACGGTTTTGTATATTTATTTATTTATTTTTTTTTTTTTTTTTTCCAAATTTTCATTGAAGTTTTCCATTACAGATAAGTAAATATATGCGTACATAAATTTTTAGTATTTTTTGTAATGTATAATTATCTGCACATTTTTAACGTTTATCTGAAAAACACACAGTTAAATGGATAAATGAAAAATCCGTTTTTGTAGTATATTGTATACATGAATATATTATTTATGAATTATAAAAATTTAAAAGATATACCTAAACTGTCATTGTTTTTTTATTTCATTTAATTTTTTTTTTTTTATTTATTTTTTTTTTTATTTATTTTTATATATATTATTTTTTTTGACCATTTGAACATTATACATTATTTCCGAGAACATTATTTTACATAATTGACATGACGATTGTTAATCACGTTTTGAATACATGTGTGTAACATTGGTATAAACAGTGTGTATGTGTTCTAATTTATGTATGTTTTACACGTATGTATATGTGAATAGGTACATAAGTATACATGCACATATATATATATATTTATATATACGTATGTGCGTATGTGTGTGTAGAGTTTTGTAAATCTTCTTTTTGGTAACCAAAATAAAGCGAGTCGGAGTGGTAGCAGCGTTAATAGCAATAGTTAAAAAGGAACTGTTGTAATTTTAGTGGTAAGGAAGTGTGTGTACATCATGGGGAACATGTTAAATGGCTTAATATTCAGGCCGCATCGCCCAGGTTACTCTAAGAATAGAAAGGATTTACATTTTATTAAAACGAGGCATGGGAGTACGATATGTGGAATATTCATTAACAACAATGCAGACACAACTATTTTATTTAGTCATGGGAATGCTGAAGATTTAGGAGATTTTATTCCTCATTTTGAATATAAATTGAAACGTTTAGGGTTGAATATGTTTGCTTATGATTATAGTGGTTATGGTCAAAGTACAGGATATCCAACAGAAACACATGTGTATAATGATATAGAAGCAGCATATAGTTATTTAGTAAATGAATTACGTGTTCCAAAGAATAGTATAATAGCATACGGTAGAAGTTTAGGTTCAGCTGCATCTGTGCATATAGGAACGAAGAAAGATTTATTAGGTTTAATTTTACATGCTCCATTGGCATCCATTAATCGAGTTAAATTAAGACTAAAATTTACATTGCCATATGATTTATTTTGTAATATTGATAAAATACACCTAATTAAATGTCCAATTCTTTTTATTCACGGAACGAAAGATAAGCTATTGTCTTATCACGGGACAGAAGAAATGATTCGGAAGACAAATGTGAATACATATTACATGTTTATAGAAGGTGGTGGTCATAACAATTTAGATAGTTCCTATGGTCACTTAGTAAATTCAGCGATAGTAACTTTTTTGTATGTGTTAAAATATAATATACGAGAAAATGTGAATAGTGTGTATGACATATCTAATGTTAACACACAGAAAATGAGAAATATGTTTATTATGAATAATGTTAAATTGATGAGAGAAAAACTAAGGGAGAGAAACAAAGCAGAGAAAGAATCAGGGGTAGTGAAAGAAGCAGAAAATAAAGATGAATACCTCGATGAGAAACTTGGACATATGTCCAAAAAAGACAAGTTAAATTTATCTTCTAGTGATTTGGAAAAACGACATAATGATAAAATTGTGGTTGGGGTTAATACTAACAAGTCAGGTTATGATTCACCACTAAGTGTGAGTACTGTATTTGGATCTGTAGAATCCATTATGAGATACATCCCAGATAACACATTTTACGAGAGTGATGCGAGTGGCAGCTTGGAGGACTTGTGGAAGTATACATGCTCGAAAAATAATTACAGAAAATTGTATGACGGAAGAGGTGGTGGCTCCTCTGGTGTTGTGATAACGGAAATCACTGATAATGGAGATATTAAAAGTAGGAGCAGTGAACACTGTTCAAGCGAAGAAGGTAAGGAAAGGAAAGAAATTAAAGAAGTGAAGGAAGTGAAGGAAGTGAAAGAAGTAAATGAAATGAAAGAAGTGAAGGAAATTAAAGAAGTGAAAGCATGTAGCAGCAAGACAAACAGAAAAAGCTGCTCCAGTTACGTATACATCTCAGTAAAGAGTGAAAACCAAGATCTCGATCAGAAAATAAACTACAAGAATATTAACGTGCGTTATGAAAAGGGTATGATGCAACTGCAGAATGGAAATAATATGGAAAGTACATCACAAAAAGTAAACATTAGAATACAGCGAGAGAAGAGAAATGTATATAATGTGGATAAAGTTCCAAGGGTTTCTCAAGACATGAAAAATATACCTGTAGATGAAAGGATAAACAGTTGGTATAGTAAGATATGCTATGAGAGCAGTAATGTAAACGGTGGTAAAGTTAATAGTCAGCAGTTAATTGTGGTTCATAGAAATGAAAATAATATTTCGGATAAGTCAAGTAATACTTCCGTTGAAATGGATAAAAATAACGTTAATTCACTAACGTTTCATGATTCTGTTAGTAACTGTGTGAACAATAAGGGTAACAACGCTAGCAGTGTGCGTGAAGTAGGAAGTGGGATTACCTTAAATTGTGAAAATAGGGTAAATAGTGAGAGTAGTGTGAATAGTGTGATTAGCGCAGACAGCAGGATCAGTGCAAACAGCGGGATCAGTGCAAACAGCGGGATAAGTGCAAACAGCGGGATAAGTGCAAACAGCAGGATCAGTGGCAAAGGTGAGAGTAGAATGGAAAAAATTGTTAAGGCCATAAGGGGGGGGAATAAAGTAAAGAGTGAGAGTAAAACATTGAATGGGGGTAGAATTCTCAGTGAAAGTAAGATAATGAACGGGATTAGAGTGAACAGTGAAAGTAAGATAATGAACGGCAGTAGAGTGCTTAGTGGAAGTAAGATAATGAATGGAGTTAGAGTAAACAGCGAGAGTAATATAATGAATGGAGTTAGAGTAAACAGCGAGAGTAATATAATGAACGGAAGTAGAGTAAACAGTGGGAGTAAGATAATGAACGGGGTTAGAGTAAACAGCGAGAGTAAGATAATGAACGGCAGTAGAGTGCTTAGTGGAAGTAAGATAATGAACGGGGTTAGAGTGAACAGTGAAAGTAAGATAATGAACGGGGTTAGAGTAAACAGCGAGAGTAAGATAATGAACGGAAGTAGAGTAAACAGCGAGAGTAAGATAATGAACGGAAGTAGAGTAAACAGCGAGAGTAAGATAATGAACGGAAGTAGAGTAAACAGCGAGAGTAAGATAATGAACGGAAGTAGAGTAAACAGCGAGAGTAAGATAATGAACGGAAGTAGAGTGCTTAGTGGGAGTAAGATAATGAACGGGGTTAGAGTAAACAGCGAGAGTAAGATATTGAGTGGGGATAAGTTGGTTAGTGGGAGTAGCGTTATGAGTAGAAATAAGATGACCCATGGGAATAGAGTAAACAGTGAAAACATTTTGTATTGTGAGAGTAAAGGGATCAACGGATTCAAAACAAACAGCGAGTGTATCTTAAGCTATGGTGCTAATAAGGTGGTCAATGGGTGCAACGCGACCAAGCAGATATGCGCAAAGCCATTTTTTATAAAAAGAGGAAATAATATACGCAATGAAATGAACAAAAAAATGGTCAATGCTAGTAATACAAATTTTAACTGTTACAACGATTTTATATATGGAAATCAAGATGCTAGAATAGATGAGCTGCCTAACAATGTTGTGGAACCATTAAATACAGAAGAATTTTCTTCACCAAGCAGTAGCACCTTAAATAATCTCAGTACGCTGTTTGCGTATCAATCCATTTCGAATGAAAAGTGTGCATGAGGGGGGTAGGGCTATCTGTGGACATGGACAGCTCATGAGTAGAGAAGGAAATGAATTATAGATGTGTATAGGTTGAAATGAAATAGTGTTAAAAATATGGGCAAGCGGGGGAGCTATTTGTTTTATTTAATTATAAATATATATATTTACATATTTGTTTTTCGTTTTTTTTTTTTTTGTTTCGTGAGAATTTTAAAAATGTGCATAATTTTTTTGCTGAAAGAGATCGAGAATTATGTCAGCCGGAATCATTCTGCTCCTTTGTAGGAGGGACAATATTTACGTAATTATTTTTATGTCAAAATGGTCACTCTTTGCGGATTTATATTAAAATTTGGGCTAAATGATCAGAAGCATTATAAGCTGTAGAATCAGTGGTAGTACTAATACTACTGGTGGTGTGTAATGGCATCCCGGTGGAATAATGCAATAATTGAGGGAGTGTAAATTGGTAGGGTTGGCAATAGAGGAAACTTCACGCCTGCACATTTAGAGATTTAGACATTTGCATAATATGCTATATGTCCATTTGTTAACAAATTGAATATTGCAACGTTGGGAAATTTTTCTTTAGGGCAAGAAGGAGTGTAAGAACATTGGTCTCTGCCCACGTCTTTTTTTTTTTTTATTTTTAGTAACATATAACTTTCAGAGACTTACAGCATGTGTACATTAGTACATATATATATATATATATAGTTATATAGATATATAGGCTGAGATGGGCACATAGGGACATATTTACGAGTATGCTCTTTTTGAATATTTCTCACTTTGTTGGCTTATGGAGGAGAAGGATATTAGTTAGTTCATTATGGGAAAATGAATGTAAAGCTGAAAGTGAATGAATAAATATTAATTACATATAACCTATGTTTCCACAGGAGAGAGTGTTGTTAATTTGTAGAATTATAAGGAATGAACCTTGAGCAGAATAATAAATGGAAAAATGGAAATGGGTGTGTGATTTCTGAATTCTTGGATTGTATATTACTCATATTTTTGATACGAAGAAAAGAACGTGAGACAAGGAACAATTTGCAACTTCAAAGTGGAAATTAATTTTTTTTTTTTTTTTTTTTTAGCAAAGAGAGAATACATGTTTACTTAGGAAGATAGAATCAAGCCATTAACTGTGTTGTGATTTTTTTTTTTTTTTTTTTTTTTTAAATTGGATATGATGTGATGGGAAGAGCTTGAAACAAATGAAAGAAGAGGAGGGAGAGGGGGTTAGGGATAAGAATAGAGAGAAAGTATGGAAATTGAAGAAAATCAGATGAGTAAAAAAAAAATATATATAATTAAATGAGATCAATGTATTTGATATCTCTATATGTTTAAGTAATGAGAAAAAAAAAAAAAAAAAAAAAAAGAACGATACATTAATAATGTGTTAGGAAGTTAATAAAACGAGAAAACATGTATAACATAAATTGAGTCGTTTATTATTCCATCTTTTTTTTTTTATAGAATAATATTAAACACATAGCTTTTATAATTTCGTGGCATGTGAATTTCTTTATTCCGTCATTAATAATTCATACCTTTTTTGTTTATTTTAAAGCATTTTATGAGATCATACACTATTTGTCAGTTCAGTCCCTTCCATGTTATATACCACGTTAACACACAAGTTATTGATTTTATATAACTTCATTTGACGTGACTTCATTTGACGTGACTTCATTTGACGTGACTTCATTTGACGTGACTTCATTTGACGTGACTTCATTTGACGTGACTTCATTTGACGCGATTTCATTTGACGCGATTTCATTTGACGCGATTTCATTTGATGTGATTTCATTTTATATGACCTGATTTTATTTTATTTTTTGATCGTGCGAACATTTTTTGCACATGTGACATATATTACTTTGCTATTTGCCCCACTTGTGTATTCACCGAATACATACCTATTTATGATGACTTCTTTGATTTATTACCTCATTCCGTACTGTTATTTAATTGGACCCAATTCAGAACAATGTGGCTAAACTTAATTTGACTTAGTGTGCCATAACCTCATTTGACTTAACTTGGTTCGACTTAGTTTGACGTTAACTTTTTTTTTAATTTTTTTTTTTGACAAAATAATTTTTTTAAGTGACAAAAAGTATCAGCTAGTTAACAATCTTCTTTTTCCCTTTTTTATCTGTTATGTCTCCCTACCACTCCAAAAAAAAAAAAAAAGGAAAAAAAAGAGTACAACTCCACAAATATGGTTAATTGCACATCTGCGCCTTTGATTCAGACATTTTGATTCCGTCTAATCATAAAGTTGTTTATTTATGTGTAGCAACATTATGGACATACCTGTATTTTTACCTACACTTGCGCATCTGTTTTTTTTTTTTTTTTTTTTATATTTTTTTTTTTTCTGAACCAATCTTCGTGAAAACAAAATTTTAAAGAGTAAAGGTACTTTTAAGCAGCTTTGTAACTTATTAGATCATCTCATCGTGTATACTTTTTTTTTTTTTTTTATTGTCAAAATAAAGATGTATCAATTTGGAAATTTTCTTTGAACAGAATAAGGGTACACAAATGTTAGTGATTTTCTTTTTCATATTATATCCCATTCACAAAGGATATGCGGACTCAAATGGCTCTTTTGAATTGTTGTTATATTTTTCTCATCATCTTAAGTATATTTTTTTTTTTTTTTTTTTTTTTTTTTGTAGTTGTATACATAACAATGTCTGCTAGGTATAGAAATTGGAGAAAATGTGTGATCTACATATATATATGTTAAGCGCTCACGGGAGGCGTGGTTAGTATACTTCCGTTTGTTGTGGGAATTCGCGCTGGTAAATTAGCCGGAATGGGATGATATAAGTATGTTATATGTGTGCATATATACATAAGCAGATACATAATATGCGTATATATCCCATTGTGGTTAATTTACCAGCATTGGCAATTTTTTAGAATTTTCTTTCAGCGGAAGAAGAAATCCATGTGAAGGGACGAAATGAGAGAGTAAACCCTCAGCAGCAACGTTGAAAATTTGACAATAGGTAAGGTTTGCAATAAAATTAATGAGTAATCCTGAAATTGGAATTTTTGAATTGGGATTTTTTTTTTTTTTTTTTTTTTGAAGGATATTCTATTTTTGCGTGTATTTCAAATTCACAGTTTTATCATGAATTGAGGGATGGGATAAGCCATTTGTTTTTTTTTTTTAGCCTATATTGGGAAATTTTCAAAATAGCAATTTTTTGCTTTTCTGTTTTTATTTTTTTCTGGAACAATAATTTTGGCAATTTAGAAAAAGAGGTTAATAAAGAAGAATCCCTGGACTGTGGGGGAAATTTAGAAAGATGGGGGAAAAAAAATGAGAAATTTACCAGATGGGAAAAAAAAAGAGAGAAATTTACCAGATGGGAAAAAAAAAGAGAGAAATTTACCAGATGGGCAAAATTCATAAGAAATAGATAGAAAAGATATATAGGAATTTTTTTTATCTTTTTTGTGAAGGATATTTCTATTTCTCCTTTCTTCTCTCCTCCATGTATGACTGTTTGAACTTTCCCATTTTAGGAAGTAGGAAAAATTTTGATGTTTTTACTTTTTTTTTTTTTTATTTATTTTCTCTCTTTTTTTCTTGAAACTGCGTTGTTTTGATAAGGTCCTGCCATGTATAACCATCTATTAATGGACTTGATCAAGTGAAAAAACTGATCTAGTGGAACCCACCTGTACCATTCCATGATGGAATTATTTTCATGAATTTTCCCAAATTTTCTCACATTTTGCCTTATCCTCTTCGAAGTTATTACTAATCCTCATGATTGTTATCCCACTTCCTCCTGTCCCCGTGTAAACTGTAAAAAAAAGGAACAACATGAATGTTAACAGTAGAAAGTTGCAGGTATGTGAAAAACACTAGAGGGAGAAAAAATCAAACTGGAAGAACCAAATAAATGATTGGGGAAAAAAGATGTTTTATAAATGTGTGTCATCAAAGATGATTCTTTTTTTTTTTTTTTGAATCTTTTTTCCTTGTACATTTTATGTTTTATCTAATTTTTCATTTTTTTTATGCGTTCCTTGTTTATTTGTATTTTTTTATATTAGAATAATATTTTATTTTCCCATTTTTGTACACAAATTCAACAGGTAAAGAACAAGAGTGCTGCAGAAGTGCAGATAACAGCAGAACAGCTGATAAATGAGGCATTAGATTTGGAAGAAGTTGAGAAAAAAGTGAATTACAATTTAATTGACGAAAGTGAACTGAATGAATATAAAATAAGCAAGAGAAAGGAATATGAAGATAAGATAAGGAAAAGAAGGTACTTAATTAGTACTTATATAAAATATGCTCTTTGGGAAGTAAAACAGAAAGACATAAAGAGAGCAAGGTCTATATTTGAAAGGGCGTTAAATATAGAATACACAAATATAAATTTATGGCTGAAATATATAGATGTAGAATTAATGAATAAAAATATTAATAGTGCTAGGAACTTATTCGAAAGGGCTGTTTTGTTATTACCTATGGAAAATATATTTTGGAAGAAATATGCACATTTAGAAGAAATATTAAATAATTTTGTAAATTGCAGAAATATTTATGAAAGGTGGATAAAGTGGAAAATTGATGAAACATCTTTTTTAAGCTACATAAATTTTGAAGAAAGATGCAAAGAAATAGGAAAATGCCGAAATATTTTTGAAAGACTTATTGTGAGCATACCCAAAATAGAATGTTTTTATAAACTTATTAAATTTGAAAGGAAGTATAAAAATGTTGATAGAGCTAGAGCATGTTTTGAAAAATGCATTGAATTATTACCACCATCTTTTTTAGACGAACATTTTTACATACACTTTTGCAATTTTGAGGAAGAAAATAATGAATATGAAAGATGTCGAAAAATTTATATTGAAGCTTTGAAAATTTTACCGAAAAATAAAAGTGAATTTTTGTATAAAAGTTTTCTACAGTTTCAGAAAAAGTATGCAAATAAAGATGAATTAGATGAGACCCTCATGATTAAGGAAAGAATTACGTATGAAGAGGAAATAAAAAAGAATCCATCTGACTATGATACATGGTTTATTTATATAAAATTAGAAGAATCAAATATGAATTCAATAAATAAAGAAAAATGTATTATTCGTATAAGGGAGTTATATGAAAGGGCTATTAGCGTTATACCCCTTGTATCAAATAAAAAGTTCTGGAAAAGATACATATACTTGTGGATTAATTATGCTATCTTTGAAGAATTATATGCAGAAAATGCACAAAGGGCTAGAGAGGTGTACAAAAATATTTTAAAAATTATGAAAAAACAAAATTTTACTTTCAAAAAAGTTTATATTCTTTATGCCAGTTTTGAAGTTCGCCAAATGGATATTCCCAAAGTTCGATCTATTTACAATAAAGCAATTGAAATTGTCAAAAAGGAGGAAATTTTTGAGGAATACTGTGAGATGGAACTACGTCTCGGTAATATCAAGGAATGCAGAGATATATATGCCAAGTATGTCGAAACATTTCCCTTCAACTCTAAGGTAAGTGCGTGTGTACTGTATTATTCAACCAGAAAGAAGGAAAAAAAAAAAAAAAAAAAAAAAAAAAAATTTCAATATGTGTGTAAGAACGTTATGCCCAATGGCAGGATGTGCCTAATTTCAGAACATGAATAATTGCAAAAATATATGTATATAGTTTGTAAGAAGCTGGTAACTACTTTCCATGAAAATCCTTCATCTTCAACATTTTCTTACCTTAACAGGGCTGGATTTCAATGATGAATTTCGAGTTATCTCTGGACGAGGTTGATAGAGCCCGTCAAATTGCAGAAATCGCCATAAGCTTAGATGATATGAAACTGCCAGAGCTGGTACGAAAAATTTTCTGTCTATATTTTGTGTTCACTCTCTGTTTCCTCGATTTTGTTGACCATTTTCATCATTATGCATTACTTTATCTATAGAACACATTTTTCTTACATATTTTTATTACATCTACATATCTCCCACCACCCCTTAGATATGGAAGAACTATATCGATTTGGAAATAAATCTGCAGGAGTATGAGAAGGCGAAGAAGTTATATGAGAGACTACTGAACATAACTCAGCATTATAAGGTAATATTTTCATGTTAGAATTGATTAATGCTTGTATATTATACTTTTTTTAAATGTGCTATTTTTATAATGAATAGTCTGACACAGAGAGATTTCACATTTTACTTTTTTTTTTTTTTCTTTTTCCATATTTTGTGAGAAATAGTTTATATATCTGAACATATATTAATCCGTATATTGTTATAGGTATTCAAAAGCTATGCAGAGTTTCAGTACATCTACTTTGACGATATCGCCAAATGTAGAGAAATTTTAGAAAATGGAATTGAATTTTGCAAAAAAAGTGAACTTATCAATGAGAGATGTATACTACTCAACTTCTTATATGAAATTGAAAAAGATTACGGAGATAAGGAAGTTATAGAAAAGGTTCAGAAGAGACTTCCGAAAAAAGTTAAGAAAAGAAAAATAATCAAAAAAGACGAAGATGAAATTATGGAGGAGTTTACCACTTACGTTTTCCCTGACGATGGAAACCAATCACAGGTAAAAAAAATTTTTTTAATTTTTATACGCATAAATGGGTTTACTTTGTGGATCTCTTTGCTGATTAAATTTAGGGATAAAATGTATGATTAATTTTTTTTTTTTTTTTTGGTTGCAGAACATGAAAATATTTCAGAAGGCTCTCGAATGGAAGAAGAAAATGGAGCAAGAGCGGCTGGAGAGTGAGGCGAAAAAGAAGGAAGTGGTTGATGAAGACAAAGAAGTGGAAGATGCAGTAGAAGATGCAGTGGAGGAATGACAAAGAAGGAATTATACAAATGATGAAACATATTACCTGAGGCCATTCTCATAAAATCATGTTATGATAAATAGAGAGCAAACAAAAATGGCCAATATCACCTTTAGGGAGTCTTGGACAAGTACATATGAAAATAAAGGAGTGAAGGTGAAACCCACGGAAAAAATCCCGATCCGCCATCATCCATTTCATATTTTTTGACGAATATGATATTATTTGTTATTTCTTTTTTTTTTTTTTTTTTTTTTTTTTTTAGTTTTAAGAAACAACGCATTATTATTTGTGTCTCATTCGTTTGACAGTTTTCTTTTAAAGGGCGTAACCGCTAATAAGAAAAATGAAAACGTGTTTCAACTACTTGAGGCTCATAAAGTACCCTTGGCGGGATAAATTAAGCTCATATATATGTTCATGTATATGTTTGTTTTTCTTCCTTTTTTTTCTTTGCACCACCTGTACGATCATATCTTTTTTGTGATAAGTTGGATGTGATACCATCCGCGCCCTTCATCAACATCAGAACGAATGAGATAAGAATCTTAAGCGAATATTTGCTTTTGACAAATTAAAAAATTGTTAATACACAACAGTGATATGTTACAACAACTTAGGAATTCGACCTTGCTTCATTTTTACAGTAAAGAAAAGAAAAAAAAAAAACTAATCAATTAGTGTCATTGTAATAATTTATTTTTTTTTTTAATTTTTCATATAAATTCGAAAAAAATGTTGTCTTTTAAGGAAGCACCTCTTTCTTCCTTAGCATATGAAAAATTTTATTTTAAGAATAAAAAAAAAAAAAAATGGTGCAAACAGAATGTCCCTTGTTGGTACTTATGCAAATAAGAGCATGTATTTGTATACGTGTTCTATTCAGTGGTGCAATTATGTCTTTTCAAAATTATTAATTTATCGATAAGACATAACCCTTCGATTGCTTTAAAAGTGTGTACATGCGCGTAAAAGGAATTAAAATTGTTTCTAGTCGTTTTGAAATGTATAACCATGCAAAGTGACGAATACGTTTGTGTGCTTTTTTTGTACATGTGCAGAAGTCGTTATACATCATGATACCTTTTAGTTGATATATCCCTTATAAAAGGTGCATTCTCAGTTTTGCTATTTTGACAATTTTGACAATTTTTACCATTACTACCACCTTCTCATTGACTTCGACAAAATAAGGTAAAAAAAAAAAAAAAAAAAAAAATCTTTTATGAATGTATTAAGCAAGGCCATTCAAATATGTAGTAAAAATTTCCGCTGAATAACTGTTTTTAAAATTTTGGGACATAAAAAAAAAAAAAAAAAAAAATGGAAGTATATGACACAATACATTGGATTCATGTTCTGTCCCAGCTCCACTGTGAAGAGTTGAAGAGGTGAAGAGGTGAAGAGGTGAAGAGGTGAAGAGGTGAAGGGCGTTATTGTGTTAACGTTAAAATGTTTACGTATGCATAATATTGAATGGCTAAAATGGAATTTTTTTTTTTTTTTTGGGGAATTGCACATTCATATGTGCATAAAATTAGTACATAAAGATATTCTTATGTATATCCTCCAAATATAATATATTTGAATTCATATCCCTCCATACCTTCCCTCTCTTGAGACAAACATACGCCATAAGCTATTCCCCTTCACGAAGAAATATTAGTTCAATTTTAAGACAATTTTTTATAATCTATTGGTGTTTTGTTAATATGACGAAAAATGGGGTTATATGTGCATATTACTTTTTATTGTGATTAGTTTATTTTTTATTTTATTTTTTCTATTTTAATACATGTTGAGTTGGTATGAGAAAAATAGGTTTTCCAAATTTTTTTTCATCTATTTTTTGGATGTAATTCATAGAAAAATAGGAAATATTTTTGCACAAATGTGAATGTGTTTAAGAATAAATATGTGTGTTTACTTATGAACAGTGGTGTAAAATATGTAAGAAATGACTATTCATCAATGTGATTGGAATTGTGTTAGTTAAGAATTGTACGTGAATTTAAAACAAACATAACAATTATGAGATAATTTAATGTCATAACTTTTCTTAACATAATTTCAGATTTTTTTTTTTTTTTTTTTATATGTGTTAATTATTTAACTTGCCAATGGTACATATAAGGGGAATGTGCACGAATGTGATGTAAAGAATTGGAGTAAAAGGGGGGGGGGTAGGAAAAGAGAATATTCTCAAAAATATGTTTTCAAACAAGTGTATGCAAAAAAGGATATTTTAGAAAAAAAATTTGAAAGGCTCAAGTGGCATATATATGTACATACACATACAGGTACATGTGTACTGCATGTGTAAAGAAAGAATACCTACTTTATAATGAAATAAAGAACTTCCCTCGGTGCCTGACACGAAATATGATCGAACTTACACAAAGACTAGTAGAAGAAAATGATGATTATATTATTATTTACACTTCATTTTGTAAGTATATTGATCAATGTTTTTTTAAAGAACATGTTATTATTTGAAAAAAAAAAATAATAATAAAATTTTGCGCTCAAAAAAAATATACATGAATATTATACGCTTTATTAGTGACGCGCTAACACAAACGATGAACGCGCGGATGCATACACACCTGCGACATGGACACTTATCTGGGTAAAGAAGGCAAGATTAACACAATTTGAAAAAATAAAAAAGATACAAAGAATATGTACATATTTGCTCAAGCTCAAAAGTGAGTAGCACACATAGTGTAGAGATATGACGAATCGATTTAGAAAAAAAATCATGAAAATCTACGGGCGAACGGGATGTGCATATGGGACCAGAGCGCATGCTGTGAGTTAATTTAAATTCATGTATTTATATATAAACATACACATATATATATACATGTGTATATTTTAGATCGAACGTGAAAAAAAAAGAAAGAAAGACTAATGACTGCATAGATTAACGGGTGAACATTTTTATGAAAAGGGGAACGGCTAGCATTTTCAACAAAATTATGAAAAAAAATGTTATTTTTCAGTGAACATTTTATTTTGACATTTTTTTTTTTTTTTTTTTTTTTTTTTTTTTGACAATCTTCATGTTCTTTATATATTTCCCACTTGTTCATGTTATTCATTTCCTATCTTTTCGTTTTTTTTTTTTTTTTTTTTTTTTTTTCACACCATCTCTTAAAATTTTGCTTTTTTTTCCATGTCATCTATTACATTTTTGTTTTTTTTATGTTTTCTTTTTCACTATCCTAAGATGACTCTCACACATAGCTAAAAGTGAAATACGGTCCAATTCGTGAATACACGAATCGTGCGCAAACACATTAGCATTAAGTTTATCTTTACGTTCCTTTTGCCTTTCGAACACATATCATTGTATACTCTAACCGTTTATTAGTTGAATTGCCTTACATTTGTTTTCATAATAATGTGTGTCAATTTCTAAGGTGAAAAATGCGATAAATAAAAATGTCTAGATAGATGTACATACAAGAGCGTCACGTTTCATTTTTTTTATTCAGTACTTGTTATTTCATATTTCATATTTCAATTTCACAATTTTTTTTTTTTTTTTTTTCTTATAGTATACCCCCAGCTCTCTCTCCATACCTTTTTTTGAATTTCCATTTTGTGTAATGTAAATTATATTTTTTAAAATATTTGTATGTGCATTAAAATTTTCATTAGAATGTTAAATATTAAGCAATATATTTTTATATGCGTGTTTTTTTTTTTTTTTTTTTTCCAAAAAATTACAACACATAAATTCATAAATTGACACTTATATGTGCTCATTTACCACGTTTATATAACTTCACAAGTTTTTAAAAAATATATATATAGTGGTAAACATAAATATACGTAAGTACATCATATGAATGAATATTCATATGTACACACACGAATTTTTTTTATTTTTTTTATTTTTTTTATTTTATTTTATTTTTTTTTTTTGTGCTATTTATTAGGGAACGCTTAGCATGCTATAATTGTTATGTCTAATCCCTTTTTTAGCCTTACGTAGATGCATAAGAAATATATATATGTATTTTTTTTCCGTTTCAAAGCAGTTTTAACATAGTTACGTGCATACATAAAGGCATGTGCCCGTCTGCACGCATGATTAACCTATCCACGCTTTTTTTTTTTTTTTTTTTGAGAAATTCTTCTTCTACTTCTAACCAAACATACATGTTTATAAACATATCCCTGACTACAGATTTTTTACATTCGAATTCGTGCAATTAAGTAGACCCTTTTCTTTCCTTTTCCTTCTTTTTTTTTTTTTTTTTTTTTCTGTAAATGAATTACATACAACACTTAAAAAAAAACACTTATAAGTTGTAATATAAGAACGAATCAAGTGTTTATTTTTGTTTAAATTTAAAAAAAAAATGAAAAAAAAACTACATTGTAGTAGACTAATTTATTTTTTATTTATTTTATTTTTTTTTTTTTCTATTGAATAGTTTTTCCTGACTAACATAAATTTATGAGTACACATAAATATACACATTCACACATGGGTTTGTATGTATGTAAGTATATATACATATCTTTGTGTTAACACACTGGTGACATTTACTTATCAGTGCAAAGCATACATGTATAACATATGTAGCGCATTACGTATGGTCACTCATTGGGAATACATTTCATTATTTTTTTACTTTTTATTCATAAAGAAAAGGAAGAAATTTTTGGTGCCTTTTTTTTTTTTTTTTTAATTTTTTCTTTTTTTCCCCTGAGCTATATAGAAAGTTTATTTCACATCATAAGTATATGTGCATGCCTACATATGCATACATACGCACTCCCACATATGTATACATGTGCATGCATTCATTTTGAACATTTCTACATAAACATTTCGTAAGCTGGTGAAAGCACGCCCTGGCTTATATGCATATCCGAGTTGATATAAATGCACTGCTATCTTTTAAACCTCAATTTTTGCACTGGATGATGAGTTCATAATTTATCGAATTCCATAGAATATTGATGTATCTATGTTTTTTTTCCAAAAAATTTATTTAACTATTCAGTTACTGAGTTTGTAAGTATTTTCTCGCACAAATACAGTACATAGTTTTTTTCGTGTGTGTGCATGTATACTCGCGCATATAGAATACTATACATGAACAGGCATATATGCCTCCCGTTACATATACTATTATGACCAAAATATCTATGCATTCATATGAACTAATTATGAGCTTCAGTTCTCTTCTCAATTATATGCAATACTTGAAACATGAGTCTACACATAATTAGGGGAACATTAAATTGAATTTTCTTTAGGCCACATTCAACAGTGTTGTAGTTCATGCTTGATGATGAAATAAAAGAAAAAGAAAAGCAAAATAATTTATTTCATTTTTTTTTTTTTTTTATATTATATTTTTTTTTTTTTTTGGGGTGTGTGTGTGCATAACGACGAAATGTAAAACGTTACTGCTATTGTGCCTTGAGCGTGTATGCTTATTTATTCTAAGTCATTTGTACTTGTGTATATTATAAATATTGTCCTTTGCTGTTTTTGCACTTTTCCCATTGTGATTGTTCATTGTTCGTTGTCCACAGCCCATTGCTAGTTACTCCTTACACTTTCTGTGTGTGCATATTTTATATATGCTTCGACCGTATGCACACGTTGGTATTTTGTATATATATGTGTACAAATTGTGAATCATCATGACAACTTTGCATTTCGCATTATTTACCACTTCTCCTACGCCTTAACCTTCAGTTGTTCCTCACACCTTTTATAAAAATTATTATATATATATATATATATATCTGTCAACATGCTTATTTATGTACATATATGAACACATATGTATATACATATGCATACACATTTTGTGTATATGTACACTTGTGTGATCACTTTTTTTTTTTTTTTTTTTTTTTTTTGTTAATGTTACATAAGCATATAAATAAGGAGAAAAGTAAGCTTAGAATAAACAATTACCATTAGACAAGAATTTTTTGCTGACCGTTCAGGTGAACATATGTCTGATTGTTTGTCCCTCGCTCACAATCTTTTTTTTTTATTAACCCTTTTAGATTTTTCAAGTATACAATTTTTACTGCATTATTCTTTATTTTGTTTCTTGTCTACCACGATTTATTAGATTATTTGTAACATTTTTGTTGCTTATTACACACGATTTTGATTCACATTTGGTGCTTTTATCTGAACTTTGCGTTTTTTCCATGCTTCCCATTTGTTGCTCATAATTTGCTGCTTTTTTTTTTGGTCTCTATATATTTGCATACACTTATATACTGTTAGAAACCACAGTCCCACCAGCACACTCCTTTTCAAGTATTAGTAATAAAAAAAAAAAAAAAAAAATATATATACATACATATATTAACACTGTTTGTGCATACATGAATGTGTTTTTCTATAAGTGGACGTAAAAAAACTTGTCACAAAAAATAAGGTTGCAACTTTATGACGTTGTAATGTTGTAGCATTGTGCATCGCCACACTGTGATGCTAATGATACAATCTCTCAATCACAAGGGATATATGAATAATGTCCATGTTCATATATTTATGTGTCCATAGAACCGAGGGTTATTTTATGTTATTTTATTTTTTTTTTATCTTCGTGATGATTCACATTTGATTGATCACCTGTACTACTTTTACAAAAGGTTCCCGCAAATGTGTACACTGATGACTATAATATAGAGGTACACGATTATCTGTTATGTAATGAAAGTATTTATAGTTGGAAATTTTCTTTATATCTTCCAGTTTAAAGTGATTCTGAACAATATGCTTTGAGCATTTATGTTTTTCATTGAAAGACAGGCTATTATGTATTACTTCTTTTTTCTTTTTTTTTTTCTTTTTTTTTTTTTGATGTTGCATAAGTGCAAAGAGTAATTGAGTATTCCTATTTCGTTTTACATTTATATTTTCTTGTCATTATTTGCAAACTTTTTGTCATTCATTTGTTATTACTTCTTATGCACACATTTTTTATCCCATTTGACTTTTTCATTTATTGTTAAATGAACGATATCGTTTTTTTCAAATTTCTATAAGCACCAATTTTAGCATCAATTTTATATATTTTTAAGTTGTTTGACGGTACAATTTCATCTATTACACACAATTTCGCTTCACTGTATTGTGTCCATTTTCCGAATCCCCTTCCTCTCTGCTTTTTTTTTTTTTTTTTTTTTTTTTTTTAACATGTTTGCACAAGAGGAGGGAAAAAAACGTTTTACAAATTTTATACGAAATAGCTCAATGTGCTGTGACTTTCCCCCGGGGGATTCTTTGGGAGCTAATTACATGAATAATCTGAAAAACAAATTATTTAATTTTGGTAACATAGATTTGAATGAATTGACTGAAGGAGGAAGAACTGAAGGTCGAAACAATACAGAGAAAGCATTGAGTGCTCCAAGGATAGATGGAAATAGAAACACAAATGGTAGCGATAGTGGATGTGTAAATATGAGCAGACATAACAGTATGGAGGTCACTGGAGTCTCTAGTGGAGAGTTAAGTGGAAAGGTAAATATAGAATCGAAAGTTGAACAGAACGGAAATAAAGTGACTGAAAAAGTAGACAACATAAGTTATGTGAACGCTGAATCTTATTATAAGAAGGAAAAATTAAACCATGGTAATAGTAATCCCCCATTGAAAGGTAATTACCTGAATGTGCTTTTTAATAAAGGTGTCACATGAGCATGCGAATACTTTGCTATTTTGTTTTTCTCTACCTTGTGTGGTTGTAATTTTTGTGCATATGCTGGTTTGGGTATAGATACTAGTACGTGGGGTCATGTTGACGTATTTATTTTGTATATTTTGTATATTCTGTTCTATTTTGTATATTCTGTTCTATGTTGTATATTTTGTTTTATTTTATATATTTTGTTTATTCTGTTTTATTTTTATTTTATTTATTTATTTATTTTTATTTTTATTTATTTTTTTTTTTTTTTGTGTGTTTCTTGTTCTAAACATATCATCTTTCGTAGAGAAGAGGGAACGAAGTCCAAGTGATTATCTAAACATGAAGAAAAGTAAACTAATTAACAACTTAAATTTTTTCATGCGTGTGTGCTGCAACAAGAATTCGTACATAAAATTCATTAACCACTACTTTAACATAATATATAGTAACAACATTAGCATATTATTTAAATATGAAGGAATTTTGCAAAAGTTTGATGAAAAAAATGAGATGAATTTAACAGAACATGACTATTATAATGGGTATATGAAACTGAACCAGGTGCCAATTGTTATATATGCGAATAGCAGAAGCAGTGGAAAAGAGAACATTGAAGACATTAGCAATAACTTGTTAAACGAGATGAAAATAGACATAGAAACAAACCAAGAATGTTTGAGAAATAATACTAACCTTGAATATAGTGTTTTAAATTTCATCAACATATATGACAATTTAACAGTAAAGTTTTTCAATCACATTTTTACAAAAATTAGTAACAGTGAAATGAATATACATAATGCAAACATCGATAGTATAATTCATAATTTTCTATATAAAAAACATTTGTTAAAAGAAAACGTTTTCAATTTACTATTAAATATAAGCAAAGCCTATGAAATAAAACATGCCAGTGTTCTTGTGGATATAAAAAATGACGAACATGTGAAGGAAAAAAATGAAAAAATAATTTTTGAAATGCTCAAGGACAAGGTCGAGGGAAGACGTATGCATTCAAAGCAGAGGGATAACACATCTTCTGCGAATATTTCTGTGTATGGAAAGGGGAGAAACATAGTGAATAGTGTAGAGAAGAGCATGCAGAACGGTGTAGAGAAGAGCATGCAGAACAGTGTAGAGAAGAGCATGCAGAACAGTGCAGAGAAGAGCATGCAGAACAGTGTAGAGAACAGTGTGGATAACAGAGGCGATAATAGAGATCATCATAAGACCCTTAAAAGCACTGAGTGTAATATGCATGATCGTGCTTTGCATGGTTCCTATGAAAATCGGAGTGGATACAATTATGAACATGTTCAGGAGGAATATGGAAAAAAGGGAATGGAAAATGATGATCATGATAATATAGATAAGTGGAGTAAATCAGAAATGAATATGTCGACACGTGATGAAATAAACGAATTGTCTAGTAAAGGGAAAGAGATTGAAGAATCAGCTGATATGTTTTGTGAAATAAAAGATGCGAATATTAACAATAGCAATTTTAATAACATGATTAGCAATAACACAGATGTGACTACGACAACAATCGGGAGTGGTATGTCTACATCTACTGGAATTACCATTGAGAACACTCCTAATTTTCAAGCCGATTTGACTATAGAGGATAGAAAAACAAATGTGAAAAAGGAAATGACATCCATGAGTTTGATTAGCTCAATCGGAGAAAAGGGGGCTCAATGTGATGGGGAAAATAGCCGTGGTATTTGCGTCGATTGTGTTGGTTGTGGAAGCCATAGTAATTGTAGTTACATGTTCAGAATGCAGAATGGAGAAAACTGTCTTTTAGAAGACATCAAAGAAATGCTAAACAAGGAAATAGACTCATATGACAACTATTACAGTAAAAACATGGAGGATGAAGAAGAAGAAGAAAAAGAAAAGAATATGAATCTTATAGAGAATATATATACCTTTTTGAAAAATAATGTATTCATCCCAAGTAACAATATTTATACGGATTTTATTGAAAATGGGAATGATATATTTTTAAGTAAAGTAAAAAAAAACGACAAAGCTACATATTTTAAATTAATAGAAAGATTTGATCGGATGTATAATCTAATAAATGAATTCAAGAGTAATCACACGATAAATGAAGTAAATGAAGAAAATGTTAGCCAAGACATGAGCGAACAATTTCCCAAACTTAGAAAGAGAAGATGTAGTAATGATGAATACGAACTTAGAAGTTCTAGTCACACGAGAAGATCTTTGCGAAATTGTAATAGCAAGAAGAATCAACCGATTAAGAGAAGCAAAAGAATTATCAAAAAAGCTCAGATGTCCAAAATTAAAAAAATGAAGTAGCGTGTGAAGTAAAAAAGATGATCTAAATTTTTACTAATGGGAGAAGGGGTCTCCTGCGGCACGAATTTTTCAACCCATGCACTGTGACCACAAAATATGGGAAAACAGTGAGGAAATGAAAATGACAAGGAGGAGGAGAAGGAAAAGGATAAATAAAAATATAAGGAAAATGATATATAAGAGTGCAAAGAAAAGGATAAATAAAAATACAAGGAAAAGGATATAAAAGAGTGGAAGGAAAAGGATATAAAAGAGTGGAAGGAAAAGGATATAAAAGAGTGGAAGGAAAAGGATATAAAAGAGTGGAAGGAAAAGAATAAATAAAAATACAAGGAAAACAGAGTAAGGAAAACCACTAAGGGCATTCGTTTCTACTGTTTTTTGTTTTATTTATTTATTTTTTTTTTTTTTTTTGTAATTTTTAAGTATAAAGCTAAGGGAAGATTTTTTTTTTTTTTTTTTTTTTTTCTGTCTAAAATTTTGCATATATACTTATTCGCAATACATTTTAGTGTCATTTGCATAACAATGAATGACACACTTTCACATGGATATATTCATGTGTATGTAAAAACGGAAAAGAACATGATATAGCGACAACTGCTATTATGCATGTATAAGTTTTCACCAACACATCTCTTCCCCATTCCTTAAATATAAGGATTATGCTATTGGAGGAATTACAAAATAAACATAATCATATATTATGAAGAGTAAATTTTATTTTCTCTTCAACCATGGAAATATTATTTGATTCCATTTTACATGTACAATACGTGTTCATGTGATAAAGTGTAAACATAATGATCTGTATGAACACTTGTGCCAAATATGTACATTGAAAATGGGGAAAAAAAAAAAAAAAAAAAAAAAAATTGAAAACCGGATGGGAAAAGATAACATTTTTTTTTTTTTTTTTTTCTTTTATATAATAATATTTTTAAACATGGAATAAAATATAGACATGTAAAACTTTTTATTTTTTTGCATGCAAAAATATTTTATTAATTTTTTCTTTTTTGCAAAATGGGCGAATCCATTTTTAATAAATTTTTTTCCATTTTTTCATTTTCTCTGTTTCCTGATAAGGAATTGTGATAATGTAAAAAAGGTGCATACACATAGACAACTTTACAAAATTGTGCATACACAGTTTTCATGGGAATCGGAGGTAACATGCTAGATCGAAATTGTTCACGTCGAGAAATTAAGGATACATGTATAATGATAATGAGTGGATAGATAGGTAGACAGGAAGAGAGGTGGAAAAATAAAATAAGAAAAAATAAGAAAATATAAGAAAAATAAGAAAAAATAAGAAAAAATAAGAAAAATAAGAAAAAAATGAGAAAAGACAAAATTGGAAGACTATTTTTATGACATTGTAGTAAAATACTTTCCATAAGACTTCAAATGAAGCTATATATATCAGCTGCTTCAGATGGAATGGACAAGGAAGGAAAAATGAAAAAAGAATAGCACGAGGGGAGACCGCATCATGGTGTACACGTAGACAAAGGGACATTTGTCAATATGAAGGAATAAAAGAAAATGAAGCAAAAATGTACAAAACTAAAAGTGTTACGTGAAATTTTTTTTCTTTTTTTTTTTTTTATAACAGCGTTGAGTATATTTTTACGCATAAATGAGCATTTTATTGGAAATCTTCAAATAATTCTGCCATGCATCGTGTAAACAAGTGGTGTGTAACAACTAGATAATGGAGACATCGAAAATAGGGGAGTTTATTTTGTTCAAGCGGGTGTGGACAAATAGGTGTCAAGTGTATGCACATGGGTTGTTGTTGTTGCAAGCAGGATGCATAAATGTGAAGACAAGCACATTTGCACGTACAAACATGTACATATATATATATATATACAGCTGCGATTAATTATGCATAAATGACGACACCGCGAGGTAATCATGTGTTTAAAGTGACAATTCCTCTTTTAAAACATGGAGTGTTATTTTTCTGATCAAGCTAGTCATTTCCAAAGAGAATGAATATATATACATAAGAAAATGATATTTACAATTCCCTACTTTTTCCAGCATTTAATGTGTCATTTATTAGTACGTAAATTGGGGCCCAATAAATTTCTCATTTTTGTAAGAATAAATTTTATGGCCTTTTTTTTTCATCATATTATTATATGAAATATGAGACGAGAATCCGGGTTGTTCGTCAATGAGTGAGGTATTTTTTTCTTTCTATCCTTTCATTTTCTCCTGTCCTCTCCTTGCTTTTTTTTTTTTTTTTTTTTTTTCACGAATCGGCTATGTTACCCATTCGGTTGCACATGCCGTATGAACAGATTAACAAAAGGGTAATTTCTCGCAGTTAAAATCCTTCACTAAAATGGAAAAAGAAAAAAAGAAGCATGCTTGTCTATCTTGTAAATAATAAACTATAGTAAGAGAGTCTTTTTCAATACACATGACGATATTGGTATTAAGACAATGTGTCTTCTTCATATAAAAGTTCTAGAGGGTGAGAATGTTCCGAGGAAAAGGGCACATTTATTCTGTGAAAGGAGAGATGGAAAGAGAATCATAATTTATTTTTAACGTTTCCCAAATAGTTATCAATTTCTCTGATTAAATAATTTTGCTCAACCATATTTTGTTCATTTTTATTTGGAAGTACTTTGCACAACTGATTATGTATTAATCTTTCATAATTATAAAAAAGTGATGCATTTGTGGTTATATGTCCAGTATATCTCATTCGTATTGTTTTTCTCATAGCAGAGTATAGCATATTATTTATGATCTGATTTTCTGATTTAAAAAATGCACCTTTTATAATATTTTTTGTAGGACTCGCTACATTTTTATATTTTGAAAAATTTAAAGAATTGATAATATCTTTAAATAGATTCATAAATTTATTTTTCATTGTTTGATTTTCTTTTACTAAATGAATGTACGACTTTTGAAAGAATAAAAATGTTACAGAATTATAAATGGAGTAAAGAAATCCAAAAGTAGAAACATCAAATTGGAGTTTGTATATCAACCCATTGTAAACAAAAAGAGTTATGAGAAAATTTTTCTCATGTATATTTTTTATGTAATATATATAATCGTATATCATTTCTATATTTTTATTTTGAAGATCTTCAACATGCAGGTGTTGAATGAACGGATGATAGATGACATTAATTTTGAAATTTAGGATTGATCTAAACAAGTTTTGTATTTGACAATATATGATTTTTTTTTCATGTAATTCTTTAAAGTAGTAATAACTTTTTTCAATATAAAAATAATTATGCTTTAATAGTAAAGCCCATTTATCTTTTTTTTTCATTTTTATCAAAGCCTTGAAAGTGAGTAGCTCAGACATTGATATGGTTTGTAGCGCGTATGTATCTCTTTCAGCTTCTCCTGCAGAAGTTGTCATTTCTAAACTGTTTAAAATTTGGTTTAATTTGACTAGAGTAGAGAAAATTATATATTTCACGAACATATTATTTCGAGTGTTAAGTATCATTTTTTCTAATTCTCCATGCACTTTTCGCATATCCAGTTTATCATTTTCCAAAAAAAGTTGATTCATTTTAGATTCGAAAAAAATGGTTGCTTTCTTTTTCGTTATACCCTTATCATAAGGATAGCTAAAGATCCAGTATCTTCTCAAATTTTCCGTAATCAGCATTGCAAATTTGTCTCCATTTTTCTTGAAGAACTTTCTCTTTATTTTGTTTATTTTTTTAATTGCCTTGAATTTGGCAATAGTGTGTGGATTCATCGTACTATGATTCATGTTATCCTCAGGTTTGTGTGTATCATTGGGATATTTTTTCTCAAAAATTTTTTCAAGTTTCTTCAACTTGTGTAAAATTTTTTTAAATTTTTTATGAACTTTTTCTATAACTTCACTTATGAGAAGGAGGAATGGGTAAAATGCGTCGAGATAATCTAGAATAGAGATTATGCATTTCTTATAAGTCAACATAATATCTTGTATCTCATTCGAAGTAAAAGGTAAAGAATTATGATTGATATACATATGGTCTACAAAGTAATGATATCTGTTTAAGACAAAGATGATGAAGTGTACCTCATTGGAGTGATAAAGAAAAGAAGAATTTATAAACCCGTTTAAGTATAATGAAAAACGAAAATATGTTAAAAAGAAGATAATGAAAAATTCTAATTCATAGTAATCCATTTTTAATTTTATGTCATATTTGTTTTTATTTAATTTGTTGAAAAAATACGTAATTAACAATTCATCATTGGGAAATTTCCTATCTGTATGTTTATCACTACAACATGCTGCACATTCTCGAATTTTACAGAATACATTGTAACATTGAGATATTAAATTCTCTTCATCTCTTTCATCTTTAATCTTGTTTATCTGGGTGTGTTCACAAATGGATTCTATAAAAATGCGTTTTCTGTAAAATGGAAGGATTATTTGCATTTTTTTGAATAGCTTATTTTGCATGATCATTTTTTCTTCCTCCATTGCTGCTTTGATAAATGTGTCATCTTGAGTTATGTGATTCGAAGAGTGTCTGCATTTATTCGTAAGATCGAAGGTGGAAAGGTTAACAATCCTTTGAGCATTAGAACTGGTGGATTCATCACATCTGTTTGAGTTATTAGATTCGATTGTGGAGTGTGAACTGACTACATTTCTTCGTTTGTTCAAACTTAGATCATTTTCTAAAACATTGTAAATATGATGCGTTTCCAAAACATCACAATTTCTGTTTAAGTGATAGTTTTCATTTGTATATGGATTTCCTGTATATTCGATGCGTTCAATTACTTGAATTAGACTATCATGTGTGTTGTGATTTTCTTCTTTATTTAGACTCATATCACTTAATGTACTGTTAGTTGTTGTGGTATTTACTTCAAATTCGTTTGTACTTTGAAATATCTGTGATTCAGTAGATTCATAAATTTTTCCAATTTGAGAAGAGTCACTTTCCTGTGATGAGCTATTATGTATAAATATATATGTCTCTTTATTTCTACTCGGTTTTATAATTTTTTCCTTTTCTTTTTTTCGTTTATTTCTGCACATTTTACATTTTTTCTTATAGCATGTGAAATTATGACTATTTTGATTTCCCTCGTCTTTTTGAAAAATTCTGTTTAAGCTTCTTTCTTCATCGTGGATCTCATCTGGGGATGGTGAATTTTGTTCTGTCTTTCTCTTACCATTATGCATTGGCTTATTTCTATTTCTTAATTTTTTTTTTATGTCTCTTCTATCACATGGTTGTTGAAATTGACACTTTCTCTTTTTCATTTTTGAGGTGTTAATTTTTTTTTTTTTTTTTTATTCAATCCGTTTATTTTGGATGCATTTATAAGTAGCTATTTTCACTGATTCACTCCACCCCTGGTTAGTTATTCTTTTTGCACCATTAGTGGTTGTAATTCTTTTTAGAGAAATTGCACAGTTTCGAAGAGTTATTACATCTATTTTCACGTCTTTACACAAGGGAGCATACGAATGAATGTATTCAGATAGATGCGTTTCTTAATCCACTGATGCAAATGTGTAAGAACGTTTATAATATGGTCGATTTGATCGTTTTTTTTTTTTTTTTTCCTTTTTTTGAATGTTTATTAAACGTTTTTCTATTTTTAAAAATTTCGAAATTAGTTTGTGGTGAACCTTAGGAATTCATTAATGCAACTCTCATCCTCTTGTTTGGATGTAGAACTGTGGTCACTAATTTTTAGATGAATATTAGAAGGTAAAATTAGGAATATGAAATTTGGAAAAATTTGGAAAATGGGAATTAGGGTGTACTGTGGAACATCCATTTTGTTCCTCTACAGTACACTGTAGTTAAGTTGAGAGAAAAAAGTAGTGTATTCTTCGAAAGACAGTTTTGTTAAAAAAAATTGCTACATTCTTGTGTGCATGGGAATGTGCCCAGTAATGGTTACTATTTTTATTCTATTCCCTTTTTTTTTTTTTTTTTTTTTCTTATTTTGACAATCTTTAAGTAAAGAGAGAGGAAAAAAAAAAAAAAAAACGCATAGACTTTTAGAATCGTAGGAAAATTTGAAAATCTCTATAAAATTCACTCAATTTGCAAGGAAAGAAAATATAAATTATAATAAAAATAATAAATAGACTTGTGAATACAGCATTGTGTAGAAGTGTAGATGTTACATACAGAAAAGAAAGAGAAAGAGGAAGAAAAAAAAAATGTTATTTATTAATTTTATAAATCTTTAAAGTTATTTTTTAAAAAAAAAAAAAAAAAAAAAATAGATGGAGAAAAATAAAATGCATGTGGATAAGTTTTGATGAATAAGTATAAAAATGGGGAGATAACCAAAAGGGTGTGTTCAAGGGTGGAGGGTAGTGGACATGTGATGACATAAATTTTTCTTAATTCTTCGACATTAAAATATGCACACGTGTGTCTGTAGGAAATTAGGTTCCTATATGCATTTTTGTTTATAACACATCCTCTCATTGGTACTATTATCAGGTATATTCCTTTTTTTTTTTTTTTTTCTCCGTTTTTTACACATTAAGGGGGAAGGGAAATTTTCCAAGTTTAAGAGATTTAGATATGTAGGTCTTTTCTCCTTTTTTTTTTTTTTTTTATTTTTAATACTCTCTTGACTAATCCAACATTGTGCGAAAAATGTGGAATAGAAAAGAATTAATGTTCCTTCTATTTAGACATAATTTTAAGTACATGTATACACACTTTTGGAATCATGTGAAATGAACGAATTGTACCTTGTATTGAAAGCTTATCTTGTAGTGTCGTTTGATTAATGGACCAAAAATAAAATTTGCAAAAAATGGGGAAATCCGTTGATGAATTATCAAATCGTCTATTCAACTTTGTTTCTGATTCGGCTTTATAGGAAATGACATTCCACTTCCCACTTCCACATTTTTTGTCTAATTGCTAGTCCATTTTGCACCAGTTCGAGAGCTCATTTCGGATAGTGTTTTGACGTAGGGTTTGACAAAAATAGCATCGAATTATTTTTAAGTTTACCCATTTTTATCCCTTTTGATTGAAAGGGAAAAGGAGAGGTGCTAAGCTGCTAATTTTTTCTTATTTCATTTTCAGGTAGCTAAAAGGTAAGTTTTGAAAAAGAAATATTTTATATATTCTATTATTTTGTTTTTTCTACCTGTTGGATGAATAGTGCACACAGCATGACACCTTTTTTAGAATGCTTGGTTTCAGAGTTGTGTGTACACGTTTCATATATCTTTATTTTATTATTATTTTTTTATTTTATACACAATTAAAGAGTGTTAACAGTTAAATACAGTTTTGTATGATTAAGAGGGAAGGGCTGGCTGTGTGTGTGTAGAGGGATATGAGCACACAGACATATAGGTACGAAAACAATGAAGTAAATAGAGAGAAAAAAAAAAAAAAAAAAAAAAAAAAAACATAACAACAAACGAAAGGGATAAACAAATAAACATTAGGGAAAAACATTGCTGTGAATTATTTCTTCGAAGAATAGAAGCCCTTTTTTTTTTATTTTCCACTTTTTTGCACAAAATAAAGGGATACATGTTTTCATAGCACTCTGAAAAAAAAAAAAAAAATTCAAAAATCCCCCAAATTGTGCTATATTTGAAAAAGGGAGGTGGGGCCTACTTTAACACTTGCAATTTTTTTTTTTTTTCCCTCATTACAGATGCATATACAAATATTGAAAATGATATTTACAAAATGTGCATCTCCTAATTGATTTTAAAAATAAGGATCTATCAAAAATGGAATGTAACATGGATATTAACAAACGGATGAATGGAAGCACAAAACACTGGATGGCCGTGTAAAAGGTGTTCTCATCAGTTGTGCGCATACCTACATATACACATACATACATATATATATATATATATATATGTACGTATGTATGTATATATGTATGCATGTGAAGGCATGTAGATATGTGCAGGTGAGGAGTGACATTATGTGTTGTTTCCATATTTCCGAAATATTTAATTTTTTTTTTTTTTTTTTTTTTTTGTTCAAATTTAATTAAATGGAAAAAACATGTCTGAGTTGCTGTCGTTCCCTATACACACACATCATCAAATGGGGTGTGTTGTCCGTGGGGTGAATAAAAAAAAAAAAGGAATGCTTGATATCTGGATTGTACTTAATAACTTGGGTAATGAGACAGATTATTCTTGCTATTAGGTTAATCTCTCATTTTTTCAATAAAGGGAATATATTTTGTTGTTTATTAAAATGTGTTGTGTGGAAGATTTATTGTTGTGAGATTGGAGGGAGATGTGGTTAAAGATATAAAAGATCCTATTGTTCTCATTTCATTCATAAGAACGGTGTTATAAAATTATGAAAGATTTTACACAAGTGTTATGTTTTTGTTTGCTTTTTATTTTATTTTATTTTTTTTTTTTTTATCATGTAAAATCGTGAGATATCTTGGTTTTACACACAAGTGTAGTTTATTATTTGCTGGGTTCTCATTTTAGGAAACTCTCCTAAGTAGCAATAAGTAAATGTCACTAATATTTTCTGGGTTAAAAGGATTGTTCAATTTTTTAATTTTATCATCGTTACATTTGTAAAAACCATCTCTGTATTTAACAATAGCTGTATAGTGACCATTGTAACTGTTTCCACTATGACAGATAATACTTTCGATGAGATATTTAGAATTGGCTAAGGATTCGTGATTGGACATGTGTGCAAAGGATGTAAAATCAATTAATCCATCACATGGTAATAGCACAGTTGTATCTATTTTTTTGACTCTACTTTTAAAATAATTGGTACACTCATAACTCCATTTAAACCGTTTGATATAAATAATCATATATAAATTGGGCATTCTATATAGGCCTTTTCTTATACAGCTGTTATTTTTAGACTTGCAAATAGTACAATATAAAGAACAGAAATCATCATTTTTGTTAATATTATTTTTTAGTAAATCTATTAGTAATGTACTTTTCATATGTTCGCTTTCAAATTCTAATCCTAGATCTATACAGAATTCAAAACTGTATCTTGTGTGTCCACAATTAGTACATGTTATACTTGATATATTTTGGAAGCCTAACAAATCTGTTATTATACTATTATCTTTAAATAGATATTTTACCCAGTATTTTTCTGCTGCTTTTTCTTTACTATCTTTATCATCTAGTATGATTTCAAAATTTTCAGGAAAATTTAAATTTCGATTACATTCAACATTTATATAGTTAAGTAACATTAATAAAAATTCATGTGCATCATTTTGTGCATTTATCACTATACTGTTATTATATTTCCTCATTTTCTTTAAAAGATTAATATGTTTTTCTATGCATATATATGTCTTCTCAACTTTATATGTTTCTTGAATTACATCAAATAATGCTTTTAAAATGTCTCCTTTATATTTTGACTTGGTTTTCTCATATATTTTATCGAATTTGCTTAAAAGATAAATGCATAATGGTTTGATAGATAGGATCAATTGTAAGGATGCATTGCAATAACATACATTTCCATTGTTCTGGAATGATGCATATCTTCTTTCAATATTTCCGTAGTTATCATATTTTTCATAGTACTTGTAATTCTTCGAATACAGCAAATCGCACAGTTTGTTTTCTGTTAAGTTCATCTTGTCTCATTTTGGGGGTTCTCAGGGTATTGGCAGGAATTACTTTTTCGAAAGATGGTTAGTGTTACCTGGGTGATCTTCTAGGTAATCAAAGATTGAGATATTTTGAGGATGTGGTATACTTTGTAAGATATATACTATATATTTGTCTAGATTACTCAATTTGCACTTTTACGTGGTTTTCTTAGAATGGAAATCAGGGGATTGTTATAATATCCTCAAATAATTTTTTTTTTTTTTTTTTTTTTTTTTTTTTTTCTTGCAATATGTATAACGGGAAGGAAGTTCACTTGTGTGTAAATTTTGTGCATCAACTAAAGAACGTTACATTGTTTTTATATGAGGATCGATTCTGTTAGATTTTAATTTGTCTCTAATGGATGTCGGGGTTTGTTCTTCCCCCCAGGTTTCATACTAAAACTTTGGTTCTACAGGTTGTGTTAAGTTGTCTTATGCATATTGAAATGTACATCCACTATGTTGCAATGAGCCTTTTTATTTGACAGCGTATAATTTCAGTTGTAGTGTCGCAAGCGGTTCTTCATCCCTTTGGTTTGTCTGTTCCAAATTCGGTGATTGCACAAGTCATTTAATTTGGGAGACGTGGGAAGAGGTGGGGAAAAGTGGAAGACGGGAAAGAAAATGAAATAAAGGAAAGGGATATTCTACCTTTTTCTACTCCAGTTTATCTTTTTCTTTTTCTTTTTTTTTTTTTTTTTTCTACATGCAAATAATTCCTATTTTTCTGTCAATGTGATTTAAAAAAAAAAAAAAAAAAAAAAAATGAAAAAAAAAAAAAAAAAAAAAAAAAAAAAAAAAAAAAAAGAAAAAAAAAAAAAAAAAAAAAAAAAAAAAAAAAAAGTAGGAAGAGAAATTGATAAATGTATATATAATATATCATAGTCCAATCGAGCGTGAAACATGCTGTCATGTGTGAAAGAGGTAAATGGGAATTCACTTTAATCATGTGTATGTAAACACGTCTACGTGTGTGTTATATGCATGTGTGTTGTGGTATTGATTTATAAGTATTTGCTCTTTTATGCATGCATACACATCCTCATTTATGTTCGTTTCGGTATATGTGTAATGTATATTTTTTACCAATGTATGCTGAGGAACACGTTAAAAAAAAAAAAAAAATCAAAACCAACAAAACGAGCGATTAGAGAAAAAAAAAAATGAGCGAAAAATGAATGGAAAATGATCGAAAAATGATCGAAAAATGAACGAAGAATGAACGAAGAATGAACGAAGAATGAACGAAGAATGAACGAAGAATGAACGAAGAATGAACGAAGAATGAACGAAGAATGAACGAAGAATGAACGAAGAATGAACGAAGAATGAACGAAGAATGAACGAAGAATGAACGAAGAATGAACGAAGAATGACGTAAAAAATGAAGTAAAAAATAACGGTGTGGAAAAAAAGAAACGCCCGAGGTTAACATAACATATATACACATACTCCCACGTCTTTAACGTCATAAAAATGAGTACTAATGTACATTTTAAAAATTAAAATGTGGTGTTCTTATTTTTTCTTTCTTTCTTTCATTCATTCGTTTTTTTTTTTTTTTTTTTTTGGTGTCAAAAAAATGGTTCAGCTTAATATTTTTAAATTCACAAAAAATTAAATGTGCATATTGTTAGGGTTTATCAAAAAGGGGGATTTGGAGGTGCTGTTTTTGTGGGGAAAAAAAAAAAAAAAACATACGATAACAAGAAAAAAAAGAAAAGGAAGAAACATGAAAAGCAAATGAAAAAGACGAAAAAGAATAAAAAAAAGTATTTGGTTAGAGGGATGGGAAGAGTGTGAAGTAAACGATTGTGTATTTTTACCCCTTTTCACATATTCAATCAGTTTATGAAATATTTCCCAGTTTGTGCAAATGAATGGGAATGGGTGTGGGGAAGAAACAAAAATGTTAACAACATAATATCAAACTAAGCGTGGATGAAAATGCAACTGCTGCAAACTTTGAAACAAATTTATTTTATGAAAAATAAACAAAAGGAGGGATATAATGGAGTTTCTATATGTATCCACGTATTTCAGTGTGTATGTATTTGTGTGTAATTGTTCATCACCAGAAAATTATATAGAGGACACATTAAAGAAAAAAATATGAAAAAAAATAATTTAGTACATAAATTAAAAACACAAGTATATGTATATTTATAAAATAAAGCAAAAATACAAAGAGACGGAATGGAAAGAATTACGAACAAGTCCCTTGCCACAATGAACATCATACTTCTCGGACCCCTTTTATATTATCCCCATAACGTACCGTTGTATTTTTCAAAAATGAGAGCCTCATCAGAAACATAATAAAGTTTTACCTTTTTGTGCATCATTTTCTCCAGAAACGCATCATAACTCGAAAAACCAAAACCATCGTCTCTGTATTTTTTAGAAGTTGTACGGGTGCACTTCGTGGTATTCAGAATTTTATGTGAATCCAAATTCATCTGTGCCTGATGCTGCTTCTGCGGCTGATTATTTTTTTTATATTTTCCATTGTTTTCCTCCTTCTGGTTCGTTCCATTTTTTGCACAAATTTTTACTTTATTCAAAATATCATCATCAGTTGAAAAACCCTCAGATGAGCTTGTGCTGTTATCAAATATATAGCAAATTCTTTTTTTGGGAAATGGGGATAAGATGTTTTTTTTTTTTTTTTTTAATTTTTCATTTTCTACTAAGTTATTGAAGTAGTTAACAATCTTGTAATTTCTGTTTAGTTTATACATTTCACTTCTTTCTGATACGTACATCAATTTGAAGGAAATGAAATTGTCTTGACACATACCTCTTAGTAAGAAGCTCAGGTCACAAAAGTTCAGTATTTCTACACTCTTGTATATCTGTAAAGGGGGAGGGGTAATCGTGAAGGGAAAGAATTATAAGTAATGAATTATGGACGTATGCACAAACGTGTTATGTATTAATTAATGAGCAGCTATAGATGAGTACATACAAAAAAGTAGCACAGTTAATCAGTTTTTTTTTTTTTTTTTTTTTTCCCCTGTGTGTGATATGACTTTTGGTGGTGTTGCAATTTTTCACTTAACACGTCACAGCAATGAGACGAATGCAGCAAGGGCAGAACTAACAGGACGGGGAGGAAATGGGCAGAAAAAAAAAGAAGCCAATAAATAGGAATAAAAAAAAAAAAAAGTGATAAAATTATTAGTTTTTTTTTTTTTTTTTTTTTTTTTTTTTTTTTATCCCTATTTATTGTCTTCTTTTTTTTCTGCCCATTTCCTCCCCGTCCTGTTAATTCATCGTTTCACTCCTTTCTTACGTCAAAGATGGAAGAATACGGATTGGCCTTGAGATAGAAGAAAATTTTTAAAATATAAAAAAAAATAAATTTCACGTTAACACTACCATTCACATAAATAAAGCTATTTACATTTACAAAATTATCATTAAAGTAGTAAAGGGTAATCTTATTGCAAAAGGAAGAATCCATTTTGTGTTTATATAAGTATAGCCTATTTTCAAAATATCTACAAGCTTTACTAATAATTCTTTTTATATATCTAATAACACGAGGGTATGTTTCATTTTCAATGAGGCATAGCAATTTGTCTCCCAATGAGCTACGATATACGGCATTTTCCTTAAATCCGTCTTTCAATTCTTCGCTTATGGAATTTTGCATTTTACAAAAATATTCCAGTAGGTATAAAAAAAAGTAATCGTGAATGATAATGCAGCATGGCAGATTAAACAGAAGAATTGTTGTCGGGATAAAATTCGGTTTCCTTAGTGTCTTATTATTTATGTAATTTATATATATGTAATCTGCGTAGCTTAGGTTTTTCCCTTTGTATGTAATTTTTTTTCCTGTGTATTTTTCATTCGTCGTGTTCCTATCGTTTGTCTCGTTCCTTAAAATATTTTGATTGTCTCGTGTATTTTCCATCCCATTTAGTCGTACCTCATTGTGCTGTGGTCCTGTGGGGGTCTCTCCAACTTGCTGGATGAACTTTTTAAACACCGTGATGTCACTGTCTTTACGCATTTTGTGTGTCAATTTGAAATTCATCAAATGGCAGTTTATCATATTCAAAAAAGGATATTTCAAATTGTGTTCATAAAGGAGGTTTTTTCTTTTATAAGCATTATTCTCGCTATGGTACTGTGATAGGAATATTTTGTGTGTATTCATGAAGGGAAATATATTTATAAGATTTAATTTGTGTAAGAAAAAAAGAATAAAATCATATTCTTTTTTTACTTGTATATATTTTCTATAGCTTGTTTTTTTCAAAAATTCATATAAATACATTTTTTTTAAATTATCCATAAAAAGTCCTTTTTTTTTTTTTTTCTCAAGATGTAAAAAGATGAATATCATTTTATGCATTATTTTCTCGATTATAGTACTACTTTTTTTAGAATTCAATACATCTACATTTGGGTTGTTTGTCAGGACTTTCTCGTTCTGTGCTTGGTTATGATTTTTCGTTTTTTCGATGTTATACCATTTTGCCATTTTTATGTCTTTTAGCTGGTTCAAATTACAATTGTTTTCGTTACAATTCTGTTTTTCATCTTCTGATTGTCCCTTTTGAAGGTTGTATGTAAGATTATTCGACATAGGATCTGATAAGCATTCCTCCTCGTGTGCATCTTCATTTAATTCTTCATAATTTATACAACCTTCTCTCACCTCATTAACTGTATTTTCGCTTTCCTCTCTTGAACTATGTGCACAATAGGTATACCCACTGCAAGCATTTTTTCTTGTTTTAACTGTATCATTGTTTTGTTCGTTTAGTTGGTGGTACTCTTCGCTTATTTTTTTTTTCTTTGTTTTTTTTTCAGATATATCATTTTGATAATTTCCATAATCATCGTACATGTTTAGAATATCCGTGAAGTTGAAAACGTGATATAATATTTGCGTAACAAAAATAAATGATTCTTTTAAATTGTTCATGTTTTTTGTTTTGATTTTTTTAACCTTCACTTTTTTTACAAAATTGTTTTTCTGTGTGTTATTTTTGTACCCTTCGGACTTTTTATTTCGCTGCATCGATTTGTAATGTGTTTCTTTTCTTTGTTCAATATGTTTATCCATTTGTGAAATTTCTGTTCCTTTCTCCTTGTGTATTGGGTTACAAGGGATGACTTTATTTCTTTGCATTTGAGCAGAATGTATTTCCCTTTTTTTCCTCCCTCTTTTTATGTTTTCTATTTCTAGCCAATAAACGCTGTTCTTCAAATTTGAAACTTGCGTATCTAACATAGAGTCTATTTCTCTAGACGCATTTGAAACATAGGCAATGTTGTACAAATGTATATTTTGTGGGTACCAATCAAAATCGATAAAAGTTTTATTGCTAAGGTTATAAATTAATATTTTGTTCTTTTGGTATATTTTTGTATTTGTGAAGTTATTTTTCTGAACATACGTGTCGAATATATTAATGAAATTATAATTATACGTGCTGTTTATGTTTAGAAGGAAGTAATTTTTAAACCGTTTATTGTGGAAAATAGATCTACCATCATTAATGTGTTGTATATGAAGACAATATTTTTTGAAATAGGTAAAGAGGGTATTATTATTGTAATTTGTATTGTAATATAACAGTCGAAGGGAATTGTTCAATTTGGAATAACTTTTATTTGTACCATTTGAAAAAATTTGTGATAATTTTTTTTCGATTTTTTTTTTTTGGAAATTGTTTAAGATGTAGTAATTAGGAAAATATTCACTAACGTGTTTAGTTAAACATCTTATATGTTTCCCTATTCCTCCCAACGGTTTTTTATTTTCGAAATTTGTATTTTCTAAAAGTTTGATAATTTCAAAATCATCTGAAAGGTTATCAAATATGTCTGAATCGTCAGCACTCGATGAGTTGTAGTTCACAGTTTTATCTTCTTTCATATATTTATTATTCGCAGTTTTCCCATTATTTAATCGGTTTCCTTTGTTCCTTTTAAAATTTTTGTGTGTGATGGAATTGTCGATTGTTTTTCTTCTTCTACTTTTTGATGATGCTTCTCTGTAGTTTTTCTTTCTCCCTGTTTTTTTATTTTTTTGCGAAAGGCTTTTTTCCTCCCCCTTGTCTTCTCGCTCTTCTTCGTTATCCTCATTTTCTGTTTCAGTTAATTCTTCACCATGAAGGGAATTGGTTCCATTTTTGGAATATAAATCGTTGTCGAAATGGCCACTTTCATATTCTTCACAATTGTAAGGGTTATCATCTTTCTCGTAATGGTCATACTGATAATGGCCATTCTCATAGTGCCCTTCTGGGTAATGGCCATTTTCATCCGCTATTATGTAGTTATTAGAAGCGTACAGGATTATATTTCCTTTTATAAAATTATGAATATAGTAATTTAAATCGAAAATGGTTAAACTCTTTTGGAAGTAATGCTTCTGACATTCTGCATTTGAACTTGTGCAATCACTTTTTTCGATAGCATTGTTAGTATCGAAGCCCGCTATAGTATAATCACAGTGTTCATAAATACTTGTATTTGTACCACATGGAATAAGGAAGTTATTTGATTCAACATCCAAGTTTATGTTTTTATGATAATCTTGTGTTACACTGCTTTTTTGTGTGAGTATATGGTTATGGTGCACAGCAGAAATAGTGGAACAACTATTTGCAATTTTGTCATTATTTGGAATAATGTTCTGGAAATTTAATATATCTTTAGGATTATTTTCATTATTATATACATTGTCTATGTGGGTCATCAAGTCCTTCAATTGATAATTCAGTATGTTTGCTTTTCTATGGTGAGAATTTTCATGGGTAGATTCCAAAAATTTCATAGAGTGATATACGCCATAGAGGTACATAATATCCATCACAGTGTTGTCGAGAAAACTCTTTTTCATAGATAGAGTTAATTTTTTTTTATAAAAAATGGATTTATATATGAGATAGGAATAGACATTATCGCAAACAAGATCATTGTCAACATAATTTGATAGGACGTAAGATGTATCAACAATATAATTTTTTTTTTTAATATATTTCAAAGCATTTCTTATATCTTGTATTTTTTGAAAATATAATGGTTTTATAATTTCTTTATATAGTGAATAGTGGTCTCCATAATTTATTATAAAAACATTTAATAAATTAACAAGGGATATGAATTTAAAATTGTAGATGTTTTTTATATATTTATCATAATAGTAATTGATATTAGTGTATGTACAATTGTATATATGTGTTGCAAAATAATTTAGAATACATCTAGCCAAACTTTCATTAGATAATATGAAAAAATAATGAACAATATTTTTTTTGAAATATAGAAACAATTTTTTCTGAATGTACATACAAATATTGTATTGGAATTTTCCGATCATCATATTGTTTGCTTTAACCCATATCTTTTTTCTATATGGTATGGTATTTGTTCTGTTTTTCAGATGGTATATCACATGGAATTTCCTCAACTGGATAGATGCAAAATCATTCCGATTTTCTGATATGTCCACATGGGAAACTTCTACTACTTTGTTACGACATTTTTGTTTTTTTTTCTTATGATAACACTTTGAGTGTGTACTATTAAAGAAATTATAAGATCCGCTTTTCTTTTTTTCCTTCATCAGTTTTTTCTTAATATGACACCTCTTTTTATCATTCATGGTGTGTGCATTAGTTATTTCAGTGCTCTTGAATTCTTCCTGCATCGTGTTAATAGTGGTTTTAAAATCTTCATCAGGAAAGGATTTTTTCTCTAGAGAGGGAAAAATTTCGCAATTTTTACTTGGTTTGTCCATAGGTAGGAGTTCACTTTGACTCTGGTTTGGATTTTTTTCCTGATTTTGGATTTTCTTTTTTTTCATTTTTTCCAAATATTTCTGCGACATAGCCAGTTTAACAATCACCGTGACAAAGTAAATATAAACAATTCTTAGGGAATATTTTACCTTTACCTTTTCTATGAAATTCGTTAACTGTTTATGGTTCAAATTTTTGTTTCTCAAATGGGTGTTCTTTTCATTATGTGTGTTCTTCGTCTTAGTTTGCATGGAGCTCGTCTCATTTTGTTTGTCAATTATTTGTGTGCTTTCCCTTGTACAGTAATTGGATTCTTCACTTGGGAAATGTGTCGCTTTGGAAGGAATGATTTGACATTTTGTGTTTTTCATTTGTAAGACTTTTTCAACTTGATTTTGAAATCCACTGTTGAATGGATTATGTGAATTTCCCATTTCAGGAGTTGGATCATCATTATTATGAGTCGGATGATATGGTTCGATGTTAAATGTATGTTTTTTTCCTATACTTGCGATATCCTGGTTAATATTATTCACATGGTTGTTAAAATTATGTACCGGAAAAAATACGTTTAAGTTTCCTTTTGCTCTATCTTTAATCTTGAGAAAATCACTTAATTTTCTATGTATCGTTTGTTTCGAATTCGAAAAGAAGGATATGAGTTGTGAAAACTTTTTGTTTACATTATGCACATTGGATATATGGCTTAACAAATCATTTTTAAAAAAATACATGTTTCTGCAGAAAGGACAGGAAAAGGTTAGGTCTTTTTCTGACATGGTTGAGTATCCATTTTTTTCTTTATTATACCAATCGTAAAAAATTGCAAAATATTTTTCAATATTAGTTTTTGAAACATTATAGAGCTCTCTAAGTGTGTTATATTCTCTGTATGTTGTTAAATTTTCCGATAAATTTGAATTTCCTATGTTTCTTTTTCTCACTTTTTTTACTAATTTTAAGAATATATTTCTCAGTTTTCTTGTCATAAATAATTGATTTGCATAAGAATTGTGCAGCAAAAGAAATTTCAGGCCTTTGTTTTTAATTTTCGAGCTTTTTAGGATATCTTGCAAGGTTAGTTTTTCATTCACGTTTTTTTTTGGACGTGCTTCAACAAGGAATTTCTTAAACCGTTCCACGGCTAGCTGCAGGGATAAATGTGCAGAATCACGTGTGTAGAAGCAAATGTCAGTGTAGTATTATCAGTGTGCAGTGAATCACACAAATTAGGATTCACACATCGTAACATTACAACAGTGGAACATTGCAACAGTGGAACATTGCAACTGTGGAACATCTTTGGGGGAGGGTATACAAAATGGAATATTTAATTGTGGACAAAAAAATAGATGAACTGAAATTAGCTCAAATAAATTATGGAGACATGAAATGACAAGCGAAAAAAAAGGAAAGAAAAAAAAAAAAAAAAAAGTATTCAATAATTACTAAAAATATACGTACATATATGTTATAGTAGTACTCCTCAAAGTGGTTGTAGCGCAGCATGTTGTACATCTGTAATTTCTTTTTAGTTTTTTTGGATCTGAATAAATTCGTGTGGACATTTTTCTTAATAAGAATTCGTAAATTTTTTTTTTTTAAATCTAGAAATGATAAATTAGGTTCCTTACTTTTTGAATTTATAACTGTATTAACATTACGTTTATGTGTAAAATTTTTATTCATGTCATAAAATTTTAGTTTTATTAAATTCATGTTGCATAAAAATTTTAACTTCCTGTAGAAGAAAAAGAATACACATATTTTGTCACTACTTTTTATTATGTTAATATCGTGCTGACATAAATCATTTTTTTTTTTTTTTTTTTTTTTTTCATATGAGTCATAATTTGTTCTTGATTTTTTGAGTTTTCCTTGGTTCGTCGAGGCAACATGCGTAGATCTTGCATCCATTGTTAAAGTAGAAACAGATTCGATTGATGAATTGAAGTTTATTTCTGTATTTCTAACTAATTTAGTGGAATTAGAATTAGGATAAAGAGACAAATGATATTGCTCATAGGTTCTAAGTTGATCCAACTTGAGATGCTTATTGTTGCTTAGGATAAAATTTTCAATCATGTTTTGTTTGGTACAATTTAGCATAGAATAAGACGTTAAAAATTCAAATAGTATTGTGGGTAAATCTTTCAATCTTTTTTTTTGTTTTTCATGTAAGAGATAATTTCCGATGTAATTGAGTTTGCACCCTATACTGATAATTCTTAAATATTCATCAAGATATAGATTTTTCAAAATGTCTTTCACACTTAATACGTTGCTATTTCTTTTTTTGACGTTTTTTTTTTTTTTTTTTTTAATTTCTTCTATATATGATAATTTCCTTTTTTTTGGGTTCTCTGGGCTTGACACGATTACAGTTTGAGGGGAATTTTTTTTTTTTTTTTTTTTTTCTGTATTACGTCTTTTATTTTTCTTCCTACGTTTCTTTCTTTTTAATATTCGAATTAAACATTTGTGAAAATATTTATATCTAGCCATTTTTGAAAAAATATATCCATTAAAGTAATTTATGCTATAGGAGAATTCTTGGGATGTTTTAAAATTTTGAAAAGCATTGTTTTTTTTCTTCTTTTTGCTAATAATTCGATTTTCTTTACATTTAAAAGCTGATTCGTTTAGTATGTCAATATAAAGTACGTTTCCATCTTTTTCATTTTTATTTAAATTTTTTACATCGTTATTGACATGCTTTGGATTTCCTGTTGGTGAATCTGATTTGAAATTTTCATTTTTATCATTTAGTTTGTATTTTCCATCTGTTTCATTGAACTTGTGCATAGTTTCTTCCACATATTCACCTGTTGGAAGCTTAATTATATTTTCACTAATTTGCTTTAGTTGCTCAGTTTTGATTCTTTTATTAAACATTTGAACTGTGGGTTCTATTATTTTTCTTTTGCTGCTTCGAATAGCTATTTCTTCTGGAAATAAGTTGCACATTATGTTGTTATTCAAAATGGAGGCTGATGTGTTAGAATCCCTTGGGTTGCATCTATCATTTGTTGAATATATGTCGTTATTGGGTATAATTATATTCGTTTCTCTCTCGTCGCAAAATGTCTGGAACGACGTGTGGTGTTTGTCTTCATAATTGTTTGAGAAATGGTTGGATGTAGTTTCTATTGGTTGACTATTTTCTGGATATTCTGTCAAATCGATAAAATAATTTTCGTGTGTATTTTTAAAGTTTGAGGAAAAATGTGCAGTATGATCTTGGTTAATAATTTGAAAATGCATGTTGGGTTCATGTTTTAATGCATTGGATAATGCTTCATCTGCAGAATCGGTGCCATTTTTGACATTTTCATTAGAAATGTTTATTGTATGTTTATACTTGTTATTAATTATATTACCAGTGTTAATGTTATAGTATTCTGTTTTCTCTTTATTTGTTTTGTCATTCGAATTTGTATACTTGTAAGAGGAAATTGCATAATCATGTTGAAATTTTGTATACAAATCATTTGACTGTTTTTCAGATAAAACATTTGAATCATAGAAGTAGTACTTAACCGTTTTGCTGTTAAGAAGTGTGTATTTTTTAAAAAGATTATTAACTTTTATGGAATAATTAAAAAGACGTTGAACAGATTTTCTATCAATCATTCTTCCATTGTTTTCTATTGTGAAGAATAAATCTTGGAGATATCGAAATGTAGTTACCTTTGAACTTAGCAGAAAATGACAAAAAATGAAGAGTCTTTTAATAAACAAGTTACTTTTTAATTTTGTTGTATCTTCCATAAAATATTTTATAAAATTAATGTTTTTTTCAGATGAGTCTACATTTTTTATGGAAATATCAATTTCGTTCACTTCACAATTTGTCCCATCATGCGGAAGATGCTTCTTACTTTTTTGCTTTTCGTCGGTGTTAAATTTTGTAACGGAATTGTTGTTATGCTGTTTTAGAACAAACTTTAGGTAGTAAAAGAGATGAAAACTGCATGTATATAAATCATATTTATCTTCAAAATTTTTAAAGTTCTTCACATAATTGTCAATGAAATCTTTGTAGTTATTGAAACTATCAACAGAATCTTTGTGTTTCGGTATGACATAGGTTAACACGTCAATATCTATTTCGTTTACAGTATTGGTATAATTCAACACATTTAAAGATTCATTTAATTTGTTAAATTGTATAAGACTAAAATTTTTATCGTTGAAATTTTTATCTTGGAAATCTTTATCTTTGCAAATTTCATCACTTAGTTTTTCTTCAGATTGAAATAAGTTTGTGTCATTATCACCTATTGGGGAAGTATTACTCTCGCATAGTCCTCGTGTATGATTTATTTTTTTATTATTTTCAAAACAATATTTGCTTTTTCCTATGGGCTCATCTTGTGTTACTCCATTCTCTTCTGTAAAATTTTCTCCTTTTGTGTCCATTGATGTCAATTCTACTTCTACCCTGTGAGGCTGTATCTCAATAAATTTCACATCATTTTGTTGTTCCTTAGATTTTCTGGAAATAGCTTGAGGTTTTTTCTGTACATACTGATAAATGTAATTATCAATAAACCTGTACATAAAGCTTTTGTCTTTCCGTTCAGGTATTTTTACAATATCTTTATTTCGAAGTAACTTGCTAAGAAATGTGTTCGTTTTTTTAATTGAAAGAAAAAGTATGTGTGAAATTTCCTTTGTTGTGATTCCTCTTATTCCTTTACTCATAATTAGGTACTTAATTTTGTTATACATAGAAAGATCGTTCAAGTATATATTTCCATTTTTATTGGAAGGCTTGATGTAGGCGTTATTATCGGAATCGCTACTTGAAGACGTAGATGCAGTGGTTGGTTGGACAGTGGTTGGTTGGATAGTGGATGGTTGTGCAGTGGATGGTTGTGCAGTGGTTGGTTGGACAGGGGAGGATTCTTTATTCCCTTCTTCATTGTGTTCACTATGGTCCTCATTTTTTTTATGTACATCCTCAATTACATTATTTCCATAGAGAAAGTAGAAATCTGAATCGCTTGATTCTTCTTTTCCATTTTGTGAGCTTGAGTAATAACCGGCATTATCTAATCTATTATGTACTTGGGAATCCATGAAAATTTTAAACTCATTTATTAGCAAATTACAATTTTTTTCATTTACTACTATATTTTTTTCTTCCCCATGTTTATTTACATTATTTTGTGATACATCAAAATTGTTTTCATTTTTGTACAAGTACAAAGATTGACAATTGATCATGGATGGATCTCTATTTTTTGCATTTTGATTAGATGCGTCATATGCAACTTGATTTTTGAACTGATCGGATATACTGTTGAAATCATTTCTTTCGATATTATGTAGCCGATGATTGAAAGTGTGTCCATTTTTTAGATGCGTACCCATTTGATTCCATGTACTAGCTGTTGTAATATTGCTTCTGACAAATTCATTTTCGAACTCAATTTCTTTAACATAATCTTCACACATCAAGTAACATGATTTGTTTATAAATTTGATGAGGTAATCATAGTTGTAGTAAAATAGAATAAGGAAATTAATTATATTTTCGTAATTTATTTTGTCTTTATTTTCATAGTTTAAGTAACAATTTTCATAAGATGAATGAATTTTAATTTTACACATTATTATTTTCTTTGTATTAGTTAAGTTTGATAAAATTGAGTTAAAAATTTTTAACGCCTTTTTTATTTGTATAAAATAGTAGGGGTTATACACAATTAGTAATTTGAAAAATATTAAAGACAGTGTTTTTTGTGGTATTATAACAAATTTATTAAGAAGGTACAAAATAATTTTATTGATTGATAAAACGTTCTGTGCATATAGAACATTTTTAATAAATATGGGTAACAAATTATATATAAAGTATATGTTAAAGTATAAAATATATGAGGGGTTCAATTTTATTGTGCTTCTATTGCCACTATGACTATTATTGTTGTTACAATCTATATTTTGTTCCAAATTTCTTATATTCATGCTTATTTTTTTTATTATCAAATACTGAAACAGTACTTTTAAGTGATAATGCACCATCTTTACATCCAAGTTGAGATACTTAGACAAGGAACTTTGAATTAGTCCGTTGTACTTTCCAGAAATTATATATAATAGGATAAAAATTTTTTCTTTACATTCTTTTATTCTTTCGTAATAAAATAAATTGTGCTTGTTGTATATGTATATGTTATTTATATAAAGATTAAACTGGCTAGCTGCGTTTAGAATTAAATTCAAATTTTTTTCTTCCTCTGGATGCAAATCGATATGGTTGTTATAGTGATCCAGGTGGTCGTTATAATAATACAGCTCATCACTTCTATGTTCAGTGACTTGGGGAACCTGCTTTCCTTGTTGTGATATACTTACATCTTTGGAATAGTACAAGATTTGTAATACTTCTCTTTTCATGTATATGTCCATATGCATATTTTTGTTTCTCTCTAGATTTTCAAATAACTCCTGCAACGTTATGCTGTAGTTAACTTGACTTTGGATGTTACTATCATTGTCCTCTTTTTTTCTGTTATAAGAATTTACTTCCTTTTTATTAAAACTCGTACATAGTTCATCGAAAATGTATTTCAGCATCACTTTATCCATTGTAAAAAATGGTTATATAGAGCTTAAAGGGGATGTTTTAACAAAACATTGTATCGGTATAATTTGTCTATTCACAAAATTTCCATTTGATAGACAAACAAAATAATGACACATATTATATTATACTATACGTATTAATTAGGTACATAAATATGTTTTAAACGAAAGGTGTGGATTGTAACAAATTTTGACGAACGGGTGGGGTTATAACAAAAACAAAAAAAAAAAAAAAAATATATATATATATATATATATAGTGGGAATTATTCTACGTGAACAAAACTTAAAAAAAACTAAATGGAATGTACTGCCGTTGCATTTCCAAGGGTTGTATTCTTTAATTAACTAATTGAATGAATTGTAAAAAAAAGAAGAGGTGAGTAGGAAATAGCAAAAATGTACATTTCCATACAAATGAATTTTGCCAAACTGGTTGAACCAATTTATGGTTATGAAAAAAAAAAAAAAAAAATGTACATAAGTTTCAAAAGGCTTTTTCTTACGAAAAATGGAACTTGAAAAAAATGTAAGAAAAAAAAAAAAAAAAAAAAAAAAAACACATCTACAAACTATTAGAAAGTTCATGAATTTATTATATGGTTCACTTTCTTAAATTATGTTTTTATAAGGAAAAAAGTTCATCTAGGAAAAGAATAATTGTGAGGAGATGTTCTACCTTTTTGCAAATACAAGTGGAAACTTTGAAAATAGCGGTATGAGTGGGGGTTACATAAAATGATGGCATACAATGGTATGTTAAAAATAGGAGACAAATTGGGAGATATGAACTGTGCATATTAAGAGGGAACATATAATAAAAAGGAAATGGATTACGCAAGTTGATGTAAAACATTCCCATCTATTTTATCATACATTCATGTATTTTTATTTCTTAGTTTAATTTTTATTTATATAATTATTCTGAGATCACTAAAAAAAAAAACAGAACAAAACAAAAAGGACTCCCTTTTTTTTAAAATTATATTATTATGCGTGACAGGAATGAACTTTTACATATATATATGTTCTTATGAGTATGTATAAATTTTGTGGATATATGAATGCATTCATATATGAACCATTTTATAAATATTTATGTAAGCATCTTTTGGAAGAGCTTTTTTTTTTTTTTGGCGATGGGGGAATAAAGCATGTAGCTTTTTTTTTTTTTTCCCTAAATATTTTTTAATTGACTTTCACGTTGCACCATGATCTTTTATGGAATCAGTTTATTTATTTCCTTAGCTGCGGCATCATGTTAATGTTTAAGAAATATGGTCCATGTGTTGAAAATACTTTTGAGAGAGCATTTTTTTTTTTTTTTTTTTTTTTTTTTTTTTGCCATCTCGTTTAAGAATTTCAAAAATGATTTAGGAAATAATAACTCCATGATTTATCCTGTATGATATAATACTTCCATGTCCCCTTTTATATTACACAACTTTTTGTCAGTCACTTTGCTTTGATGACCGTGAAAAGTTTTATGGTATGGCAGATCATTCCTTTTTTTGTATGTACGTTGTTTCAAGTTACATATAAATATATACAAATATATGAATGCTGAAATTATTTAGTAGTTGTATATTCCTGAGTAATTGCATTACAATTATTTTGTAACCAGTTTTCATAGTACCAAATAAAGGCAAAAAAAAAAAAAAAAAAGGCAGTTACCGGTTATATATATATACATATATATATGCAACGTACATATATGCATACTAAGGATAGCAACTAATATGACCGTGTCAATGCATGTGAAATAAAACTTATTCTCCAAAAAGGGAAGGAGATGAGGGTTTTACATTTCCATTTCACACAACTAAGAATTTTCAAAAGATGAAATCTCATAAAATAATCAAAATGATTTAACGGTGCGCGTAAACAAAGCAATGAAAAACTTCCAAACAGTTGTTATGTAATAAAGACCTTTTATTATTATTATTATTTTTTTTTTTTTTTTCATTTTAGCCCATTTTGTTGTGAAATATGGAATTAAGACACGTTACATTATTGTTTTTCATATTTTCCATTTGCAATATTGAGAGCTATGTTCTAAAAAAAAAATCCATATTTAAATCAAGTTGTAACTTGGCACCCAGGAGCAAGGGGAAGCAGTTAAGGCTTAAAATAAATGACATCATTAATTTTAAAAGTAAAAAAAAAAAATTTTTAAATTTAAAAAATGTGAATATTTGTGATAAGTATAGGACCTCATACATTTATATATATACAGTTGTGTGTGCTAACAATATAACACATATATATATGTTTTACACTTGAATGTGCTACATAATAAAATTGACATTTTTATTAATAAAAACAGACAAAGAGGAATTGAAAAGGGAAATCATAAGGCATTCAAAGAGTATATCATTAGACTTAAATGACAAGCAAGTAAAAAAAAAAAAAAAAAAAAAAAAAAAGAAAAAGAGTTTACAACTTTGCAAAATGAATAATCTCGATATGTTTTTCTAATTCTTTACACTTCATTTTTGCAGATAAATAACATAGGAAATAATTTACATGAGTTTTTTTCTTATGTGAAGTTAAAGGATATACGAATAGTAAAAAAAAAAAAAAAAAAAAAAAAAAAAAAAAAAATGAGGAAACTATAAAAAAAAGAGTGTACATATAACAAACACCAACATTGACATGTATACACATATGTATGTGTAATATGTGTATATATAGTTATGCACATAAGCACACGTATATTTACATGGATTGGGAAATTTTTCATTTCCGGACAATTATATTTTTCCTCCCTTTTGAAAGGGTGTTCAGAAGATAAGAAACAAACGAAATACTAAAGCTTTGCCACTATGCATTAAGGATAACAAATATGAAGAAGTAGGCATGAATAATTCCATCTACATTTAATGCTTTATACATAAAACAAATTGAACATGCAGTATATATGTGTACATATAAGCACGTTCAGTTGTAACGATTGAATAATTTCTAACTTGACATTATTTTATTTTTTTTTTTTTAAAGTTCCATACATTAAATATGAAAAAAGAAGGGGAGTATTTCGTCCAGGATTCGAACAGTTATTCGAGTTGAGTAATGCAATTTTTTTTTTTTGTGAAATAAAAATATAAAATTTGAAAAAACATACGTATTATTTGGAAGAATTGCAATAATATACTAAAGAAGTATCTTAAGATCTCATTTTTCACGTTGTACACAAAAAATTTGAAGTTGTCTCATATCTTGTATTATCAATATTAATGAATTAATTTATGAATAAATTTTTATTTTGAAATAGTTTGATATAGACGTGTCCTTTAATATATATAGGTCTGTATATGGTAAATTTGGACCAGATTGTTTATAAATATACTATCTATAATTTATAAATTTTTCTTCAAATTTTATTACTTTTGCGTTTTCTTGTTTTTATTATACCCTTTTTCCACATGGAATATTTCTATATACACACATTTTCCCCTCCCTTTTCATTCCCTAATTTGTGCCTTAATATTTCATTTTAATATATACCAAAAAAAAAAAAAAAAACATGACATTGCGCAGTATTTTACCTATAAAATTGATTTCATTTATACATATATGCTTGAATATATGAATTCTAGAGTTAGTGCTCTCTTGTTCGTCTTTTTCTTTCACGTTCCATGTCACTTTGCGTGTCACTGTGTAGGTCTATTTGTTTTTTTCCCGCCCTTTGCCTCTTCTTTTCCCATTGCATTCTCCAATTTCTTTCTTTTTTCCCATTTTGATCTCTGCTATTATAATTGGAGATGTCCCTTCTACGAAAACTTCTGTGAACAGAGCTATGTCTAGAGCTACTCTTGCTTTCTCTTTTTCTCTTCGACGTTGCAATTAAGGGACGATGGTAATTTTGTCTATTTTCGCTTTCAGTGCTTTCTCCTCGTATTCTTTTACTATGGGTAAGTCTATCCCTAACTTTTTCTTTTAACAATTCATTACTACTGCTATGATTATTTTTTCTCACCTTTTTCATTTCCTTTTTCTTTTCTATTTCGGATTCTGTGTCTGAGCTGACTTCCCTTTCTTTCCTATCCTTTATATGTTTCCTTTTTTCTTTTCGTCTCTTTTCCCTTTTTCTTTCCTTTTTTTCATTATATTTTTTTTCTAGTTTTATCTTCTCTCGTTTTTTTTCCTTCTTTATTTTCTCCATCCTTTTTTTCTCTTTCTTTCTTTTCTTCCTTTCTTTCTCCTTATCTTTCGCTTTCACTCCTTCACCATCTGACGAGTTGTCACTTGATTTGCAACTTTGTCTATTTAAGACATTACCATATGGCATTTCCCTAGAACGGTGTAGTTCCATAAACCTCATCTGATTATCCAACATTTTCTTCCTTTGAATTTCCATTTGTTTAATAATAGTTAATGGATCCTCTCTGATTTTATTCAAATGGTCTATATTATTTTTTTGTTTTATGATTTCCTTTTTGGCTTCTTCCTCTTCTTCCATTAATTTTTGCATATCAATTTTTTTTCCTAATAAAAATTCTTCCTGCTCTTTTGCCTCTTTCTCTTCCTTTGTTTCATACATCCATAATATATCTTCATCTAGTACGTCATTAATATTGTTCGATTGTTTTTCTCTTTTTTGTTTTTTCTCGGAATACAGCTGGCATATTTTTCCATATTCTTCCATATCATTGTAAAGGTTCTCCATTGTACAGAGCACTTAGATGGTAGGCGGTAAGTGTATATAATATGTGAGAGGAATCAAAATGGATATGCTCTCCTCGTTATTAATTAGTGTTATCATCAAATAGTGACTCAATCAGTTTATATGTTCAGGATTGATTCCCTCTTCGTGTCCACTAATTCAATATATCAACTTTGCTCATTCATATTTTAGTTGAACTGAAAACCACATTATTATTTTTTTTTTTTTTTTTTGCCTTTCTAGCATTTTCCCTTGTTTACATGAAAAAAAAATTTGTAATGTTTTAGTGTTACTATTATAAGAGGTTTGAAAATATAGATGAAAAATTAAAAAAAAAAAAAAAAGGACGATAAAGTTGTTAGGAAAAAGTTAGTGGGTAAAAGGATAAGAAATAGTTTGGTAGTACATTTGGGGAAAAATTAAAACTTTGTTAGCTTGGCATTGAACCTTTAGCTTAGTATTACAATGATGAAGGCTCCTCTATCTGTAGAAATGTGGTATTTGCACGTGCTTACTTTTGTATTTTCTGCCTTCTTTGCTTTTTTATGAAGTTCTTATGGATATTTGTGAAAAATTTGCCTTTTTTTTTTTTTTTTCTTTAGCCGATCACGCCCTTATATCTGTGCATAATTTACAATTAAAAATAGCATAGCAGTAGAGTAAACTGAGACTCTAAAAAATAATGAGAGAGAAAATTTTCTTTTAAAAAAAAATTATATATAGAATATTAAAAGGAGGATTTAAAATATACACAGTGGTAATATGTAACTTTACTATTACTGTGGAACAACTTTTATCGGAACATAAAATGGCCTAAAATGCAAAAAAGGGGTGAAAGCAAATTTATTTTTTTCTTCCTCTTATTATTTTTTATGAGAATAAACAGTTTTAATTTAACAGTGTAGATACAAATTTTTATAAGCTATAAGCTATGATGTAGGTTTTTGTTTCCATTTTTTATACCAAATTTTTGTGTGCAGTTATATGGCATGGTTCTTATATGGGCATTTTTTCTCCACAGTAACCAAAACAGGAGATTGGTATATAATGTGATTATTTTATTTGCTATCCTCATTTTTTCCAAGAAGAATATGTACAATTTGTAAAAAATTATCAGTTTTGGAATGTTGCAAGAGTTGAAAATAGTATGAAATAGCAAGAACAAAAAAAAAAGAATAGGAATAAGAATAAGAACAAGAAGCAGAAGAAGCAGAAAAGAAAGTGCACCTGTACATAAATCTGTAAGAATGCTTGAAAAGCTTAGCCAAATATATAAAATAACACGTCTACGCTATTGCAATCTGGCAGATTCGAAAAATGGTAGTCCCTTTTTCTAGATATTTGGCAATTGCGTTGAACAGTTACTACTGTATGAGAAAAAAGAAGAATATTACTTATTGTGAAAATGGGAAGGTAGAAGAAAGAGTATACTTTTTTGGAGATAGAAAGTCGTTAATTAAAGACACAATGCAAAATGGGGAGGTACCTTTTTTTTCAAAAAATAATATAAAAGTAAAAAAAATATCCTTTGGCAATTGTATAGGCAGTTGCATAGCCGAAAATGATGATATTTACATATGGGGATCATATGAAGATGATGAAAAGAAAGATCTCATTTATGTAAATCCAATAAAATTAAACACAGATGAAGGGATTTGTGACATACAGTTTTCAAATAACGACATATACCTAATGAATAAAAAAGGAGAACTAAAAATTATTAAAAGTTATAAAAACTGTTTAAAAAGGAATGAATTTGTAATTGAAGATTTTTATAAATGTAAAAATAGTTTTTTTTTTCAAAATGAAAAAATAATTAAGTTAAGTGTGAATAAATTTCACCTTGCTTTTGTCACAAATAAGGGAAATGTTTACTGTTCAGGAAATAATTTTTATGGACAGTGTGCAAAGGAGCCATCGTTTAGAAATAACTTCAACTTAAATTACAATTTTGAATTTGCCAATAAATTAAATACATCGTTACGTATGATTAGCAAGAACAGTTTAGGAGAAATTGTTCAAAATGGAGAAAACAACCCAAGTGAACATATTCAAACGGAGTATTATTCCCCCAATAGTTACTCCTTGACGGTGAAGGGTGAAGAAAATTCTGTTAAATCCAAAAGAATCGATATGGATGATGGAATAATTGTTTCTAATGTAAAGGATGAAAAAAATGAAAGAGTGAATATATCTCCATACAACACAACTGATGTGGGTCATTTTACTAAACCAGGGTTAAACGATAGTAGCAATTTTTTATCTCAAACGAATATACATAGTGAGAGAGGGGGAAAACAAGAAGAGGAAGGGGAAAACATGAATTATTTGATTGTAAATAATGAATCGTACAATTATGATGAAAATAATTATGTTGACATTAATAAAGTATCATTTGAAGAAAAAACAAAAATTGTTGATGTGTCATGTGGTCTACATCATACATTATGTCTGGATGATGAAAACAATATTTACAGTTTTGGAGATGATAGTAAAATTCAATTAGGGTTGGGAGAAAGTAGAACAAATAAAAATTCTCTTTCAGGAACTCAATGGAAAGATCAGTTAAAACTTGGCTACTCAACAATAACAAAAAATTTGGCGAATTATTCTTTTTATGATAGACACATACAGAGTAGTCCACAAAAAGTTTTAAAAAAAATGAATGATAATGAAATTGTTGATGAGATTTATAAAATTAATGCTGGATCAGATTTCTCTATGATACATTCAAATGATAAATTTGGAAAACAATTATTCTGTTTCGGAGATAATATGTATTTTCAATGTGGTCGACATTTAGGTAAACATCAGCAGACATTATCTACTGTAAAACTTCCAAATAACAAAATAAAAGACTTTTCATGTGGTGATAAACATTGTTTATTAATTTTGAATGATAAACTCTATGGGTGGGGGTACAACAACAAGCATCAAATATCTCCATATAAAAATAAAGGTATAATTAACAATCCTATATATATATTTTCTGAAAAGTACTATCCTGACAATTTCCATATTAAATATATGAATGCCAATTACAACAATTCAGCTGTTGTCATTACGCATAGTAAATCAGGTTAGGTGGAGGAACATACGTTTATACAATGTGGACTTTTAATATGAATATAAACCACGTGTTTTAACTTCTTTGTTTCGCATTTGTTCCTTTTTTTTTTTTTTTTTTTTTTTTTTTTGAATTTCCTTTGTTTTTATTTGCCACGTAAAATTCTTTCACTCTTTTGAGCTATATTTCTTTAAATATTCTTTAATTTGACGAAACTTTCCTTAATTATGAGATTCATTTTGATGTGGAAAATTCTCCAAAGTTTTTTTTTTTTTTTTCCGCCGCATAATTTTCGCTTAAATAACGAAAAGTTTATATTGCAGACATGTCATCACAGAATTTATACTTTACACAAAGGAGGGGAAAAAAAAAAAAAAAAAGTAATAATAATAAAAACATTTTTTAACGTTTACATTTTCAATTCTAACATAAAAAAAGAAAAAAATAATAAAAAAAATAGTCCAAATTAGCGCTATGTTTGTACGTAAGAAAAGCTAGGAATTTTAATTCAGTATGTTCGGTAAAGCGTTCAATTTACTGGATATTTAGTAAAATGCATATGTGGAATCCCTAGGAATGGTAAAAATGGCAAAAGTGCGTAAAATATTTTTATATTGGGAAGTCGCACCTATTACAATTTGCACGGTTTATATAAAAAAAAAAAATGTTTAAAAAAAATTTAAAAAAAATTAATAAAAGATATATTCGGTACCGGCTGGGATCGAACCAACGACCTTGCGGTTAACAGCCGCACGCTCTAACCAACTGAGCTACGGAACCTTGAAAAATGTAACATATTTAGTATTCAACTTCATAATTCTTCGAAATGCACTTATAAAAATATATTTTCATTATGATAGATTTATGCATGCATTTACATATACATATTACTTGGATTAATTTAAAAAATTTGGATTGTGCAATAATGAACAGTCTGTTAAGTATTGCCTAAATATTATCATTTTTAAAATGCTTATTTTTATGTGTGATGATAATGCCGAAAAGTGAGCACTAATTTCAGAAGTTCAGTCTGTGGATTTAAAAAGAAAAAAAAAAAAAAAAATGTGAAAAAAATGAAAAACGACACAATCATTATTTTTATATACATATATATAATACACTATGTACTATATACAAGCAAAAATAGTTCTATTTTCCCATACTTTGCAAAATTTGCGGCAGGAGTTTGAAGCAGTTTTTGCGCTAAGGAAAAAAAATGTCCACTAACTCCTTTTTCACATGTGAATTTATAATTTTTAGCAAGTTCACTTAAAATGAAGGAAAACAAAAATTAAGGATAAATAGAAAAGACATACGAATAAATCCCCTTATTGCATTTTTAATTCATATGGATTGAATTATCACTTTAAAAATAAGAAACTTGTGCATGTTAAGAATTTTTAAATTGCCAATAAATCATATGTAATAAAATGAACAATGTTTTGCCTTTAAATATTTAATATTTAAGCTGTAACACGTGAGTAAATGCGCGTTTTTCAATTTTGTCTGAACAGTCATTATATAAGAAAAAATATATATATATGTGTAAATGTTATGCATAAACCAATGAGATTGTACAACGCAAACGAAAAAATAACAAAACGGACTTATTTAAAATTGCGCTTTTTTTCATTTTCAAAAACGCTGAGTTTTTATTGCTTGAGAGTCGCATCTTTTCTGAAGGTAATTTTATTTTTCACCATTATCATTTTTAAAGCTTGTCCTCAAGTAATATAGTCCTTTTTTTTCGACATCTTTGAATGGCTTCATTAGATGACTTAATATTTTTTTTCTATACATTTTGTGAACGTCGAATTGTCATTAGATTTTTTCTTTTAAATAAGTAAACAAATCCATATGAATGAAATGGTCGTTATTCATTAGTTCACGAAGGAGTTCATTATTACATTGTCACCGGCAGTTACATCTCTGATGATCGTATATTCCTTGTTTTTCTGCTAATTCCGTGAATTGCCTCCACAGGTGTTCTATCATGTTGTTATAGTTTTTTCTTTGTAAATCTTGTATATAGTTAAACACTATGTACACATTTTCATTAGATATAGATTCCCCGTAAAATTTAAGGAATTGCATGATTTCGTCTTGAGTTAATTGTTGAGAAGGTTTAGAAGTGTCCAAATTGAAATGCAATTTTGGAACCCTTTCTTACATACCCTGTGAAGACTCTTCAGATTTATGGTTACTAGAGCGTAAAGCAAAAGGTTCAAGATTAATTGACATTTCTGCTATTGAACACGTTCATTTGTGCAATTATGTAGTTTATGTTCTATGATTCCATGGTCACTGACTATTGACTTCGTCTACAATGGTATGGAAAAGGTTTCATACGAGTGCACTTAGGTGTACATTTATGTGTGTATATATAGATATACATAACATATGTAAATATATATATGTATTGATATATATGCTTACATATACAGATATCCGTACATCTAAGGGGATATATTATAAATAGTATAAATTAATCTTTACGAAGAAATACAACGGTTCAAGCGAATTTTTTTGCGCACAAGTATAATTCCAAAAGATGCGACAAAAGGGATGACCGTTAAAAAAATCGTCCAAAGGAACTTTCTTTAATTCAGTTCGTTGTACAATTCCATTACATTCGAAAAGGCATATGCCAAACTATGGAACCTCCTGAAATTCATTTTTGGAAATTTTTGTTACACTATTTTAAGTGTACATATATATATATGCAAATGTGGAGTATAAATATTTTTTTTTATATTTTAAAAAAGAAATAAAATTTTCAAAATAAATTAAGATATTTTCTCAAAAACAAAACTAAAACAAGTTTATCTAGAAAAAAGACAAAACAAATTGTTCTATTTAAAAAAGTTACCAATTGAAGTTGTTCTTAATAAGATGAAACAAAAATTTCGTAATGAGAAAAAAAAAAAAAAAAAGTTGTATAAATGATAAAGAGAAAACCAAAAAAAGTAAAACAAATAGTCGTAATAAAAATTAAAAAGATTTATTAGAAAATACTTTCACTCATATATTAACTTTTAGACAAGTGATTTTAACCTATGAACTTTTCTGTTTTTTCTTTCTTTAAATCGAAATTGAGATATGTATATTAGACAACAAAAAAGAAAAAAACGAAAAATAAATTTACTAAAATTAGATAATAATAAAATATGGGATTAATCAAAAAAGCCTTATATAAATATATATATCCATACTGCCTAAAAGATAGTACTGCAAAAGAATTAACCCAAAAGAATAGGAAATTCATTATACAAGAATTATTACATAAGAATTGAGCTATGAAAAAAGAATGACAATTTTACAATTTAAGCTGCATTACCACTAAAAGTGCAGTATCGTAGTAATTATTTGAACACAGATGAACAATAAAATAGACATGGATAAATGTGAAAAATGATGTTATAAAATACAGGAAAATTGGTTGATGAAAACAATATAAAGATAAATATTAAAAAGAAAGCTCCATTAGGCTAATCGAATATGTGTATGTTTTTTGGATGATTCATGCCTTTTTTTTTTCCTCTTTTATTTTTCGAGTTTCTGCTTATTCATATTGTAATGCACATGTAAAAAAAAGGATTTTCTTAATAAATAGAAAGACATTATTTTTTTTTGTATGTTTTTTCTAAATGCATATATAGTGTATTTTGCCTATAATATTGTTATGTGTAATATGTAAAGATAATTCTTTTGGGGTTTCAAAAGTTTATGCCTTTAAAAAATATAATTCTTCAAACAGTTTTCCTAAACATTTAAATGTTCTTTGTTAAATAATATAATAGAATCATCACGGAAGAATTTGTCTCTTAGAGTTTATTTTATACTTTCACAGAATAAAGCATCTTGAGTTTGTGTATGCTTAGGACTCAGGTGAAGAATCCTTGAGGTATAAAATTATTAGCATGGAGAATTTTTCTACAAAAGAATATTCTAATTGTAAAAACATTTTAAGCTGAAAAAAGGAATGAAATGTTACTGCATATTCGTAAAGGCGTATGAAATGAAAAGAAAATTATTATAATTTTTTATGATAATATTTACAAAGAAAAAATTTGTTAAATGAACTTGCTAATTGTGACACTGCCTTAAGCCATTGCAGCATTTATGGAACATCCTTCTGACGTTTCCCTTAAATATATTTTCTAAATTATATTGAATAAATAAAAAACAATAGGATATCTATATTAAAAAGTTTATTTTCCCTTATATTTTGGCATAAAGAAACAATTTTTTTTTTTCTTTCTTTTTTTTTTTTTTTTATGTGAAAAAAAATGGAAGAAGCAAAGGGATAATAACTTTATAAACATTTATTCAATTTGAATAGCAGAAACATAAATGTCTTTTTTGGATAGCTCTTATTTCATCATCATATTACGTGTGAATAAAATTAATGTTTTCCCATTGATAAATTTTGACACAAAGTAAATTTTAGTTATTTACAAATTCGAATAACTTCTATAGAACAATTTTTTTTTTTTTTTTTTTTTATTTTAAATAAATTAATATATTTTGAACACATGAAAGTATTATTAACACGTGTAATTAAAATAAATTTATGTATAGTATGAAAAACATTTTTTTTCAATGATAATTTTTAGAAAAATATTTTCTATGAAACAATTATCCTAATATATAAATAATAATTAATCATAAAATTTATTATTTTAATGTACAGTATTACGTAATTCACAATACAAGGTGAGGAATAACTAAAAGGATATTTTTTTTTATTACAGTGACAAAATGTTGTTTTTTTTTTTTTTTTATCTACATGAAATATTCATTAATCCATTTTGAAACATAACATTTATTCTTTTGGGGAATAACTAACATTAGCTTAAAAGAATGTGTAATGTAGACAAATTTATTCAACTTTGGTAAATATATTATAATGTTAGTTCTTTCTCTGCATGTAAGCATGCAAAATAACAAATTTAACAATTTATGTGAATTAATTAATTTTGTAAAGAATATAAATATACAAAGCTATAATGACACTCTTGAAGAGTATAAACTATAATGTTTTAGAATATATTTATATATGGAATGTGCTTTAAAATTATTTCTAATCAACAGAACTGGTAAAGATAGATCTGTTTGTCGTATTTATTTTAATAAGTTAAATAAAAAATATACGTCAAAAAATTTATATTTATTATTTTCCATAACATACCAGATTTAGAATTTTTTTCATTTAAATTAAAACAAACTCAAATTTTTTTTTTTTTTTGCTTGAATTACATATAATGAATTATAATAAAACAAATTAAAACAATAAAATTAGTCACTAATTATTAAAAAAGGTTAAAAACACATACAAAAAAAAAAAAAAAAGTATTTCAATTGAATTAACTAGTAGTTTATATAACACATTGAATCAATAGAATAACAAATAATTGACATACGCATTTAATTAATTAAATATGTGTATTAGAAGCTCATGGGCTTCATAATTATTTACATATAAAAATATATGCTACGTTAACAGTTTCTATGAAACGTGTTATGTTTGTAATAACATATTTAACAAATCATATTAAAAGAACAGAAAAAAAAAAAAAACAAATAAAGATATAATAGCATGCAATACTTTTCTATTACATGCATATATATATGTGGATTCTTTTGAAGGTTTTTTGCAAAAATTTTCATACCTATAATATAAATTTTTTTGAAAAAATTTCGTGTAAAATTTTAAGATCTCTATATATGCTTGTTTACAAAAATTAGGTCTTCATTGAAATGCTATTACATATGCTATATCATGTAAAAAATATAACAAGGCTAAGATTACATAATTAACTTTTTGGCAGCCTTAGTATAATCTTTAAATTTCGGTTTTTCGGTCCCTTCTTTTAAAATATCTCTTTTCATGAGTTTTATGAATATATACAAAAGCATTAATAGGCACACTACAGAAGTAGCTATTAAGAAATTATTTGAAAATGTATTTGTTTGAATTTTATAAATAACAAATGCTGTTCCATATAATATTAGAGGTACAGAAAATATATAAAAAATGTTTTTGAATAATGCCTTCAAATAAATTCTTTGATTAATAATCTTTTCTTCTTTCATTTTTTCTAAATTATCAATTCTATAAAATATTCGGCTTTCGCAATAAGCGTCTATTTTTTTACACTTAATTAAAATTTTTGTTTTAATATAATCCAATAATTCCTTAGGCGGCATTTTCTTCATTTTAAGTAATTCGGTTGTGATGGCATTTTGTTTACCCTTTATATAATCCATTATATCCTTTGGTGTTAGATTCCTCAATTTAGTTAAATTCTCTTTGTTCTTATTTATTTTATCAATTGTAAAATTTATTAATTCCATTATTATATTTCTTAGAATTTGAACTATACACATGGCCATTTCCTTTAATGAGACCAATATAAGTTGTAACAATTCCTGTGGAGGCATTTCCTTCAATTTCATTATTTGTGAGATTGTTTCCTGTATTTCCGTTATTATAAATTCTTTTATATCAATTGCTTTTTTCTGTGCTACTTTTACGACATGACCTTTTGGTTGATTCTTTGCATTGGGAGGATTCAATTCTTTCTTTTTTGAATCAGCTCCTTTTGGTTGATTCTTTGCATTGGGAGGATTCAATTCTTTCTTTTTTGAATCAGCTCCTTTTGGTTGATTCTTTGCATTGGGAGGATTCAATTCTTTCTTTTTTGAATCAGCTCCTTTTGGTTGATTTTTTGCATTGGGTGGATTCAATTCTTTCTTTTTCGAATCAGCTCCTTTTGGTTGATTTTTTGTGATGGGTGGTTTCACTTCTTTCTTTTTCGAATCAGCCCCTTTTGGTTGATTTTTTGTGATGGGTGGTTTCACTTCTTTTTTTTTTAAATCAGCCCCTTTTGGAGGAGTTTTTAAGTTCGTCTTATTTGATTGAGACAATGGATCAAGCCTTGCTAACAATCGTATTGTTTTTGATCTTGATGACTTATTCAACTTTTGCACATTTACGATTGATTTATTTAGACACCCCTAAAAAATGAAAATAACAATAATATTTTTTTCATTATAAAGACACACACTATTATACCAGCTAGTTACATTAAAAAAAAAAAAAAAAAAAAATCGTTAAACACGGATATATGATTGAAATTTTATATTCTTACGTCATCTTTGCAATAATCGTACACATAAACAGAAAATAAAATTACAAGAGTTTTAGTAAAATGGGAAAACAAATGTCTCCCTGTCATAGTATTTTTCTGTAGTTCTAACATGTATTAAGTTGTTAAAAGATTATCTAAACATATGCATTTGTATCATTAAAAGACAACGATCCATTTATAATTATAGCATCATCATTAATTTTTCATATGTTGTATTAATATATTATTGAAATGGAAGTATGATATCTTTCATAATGTATAGAAATAGTGGTAAAATTTTAAAAACAATTTGGTAAATTCATACTTTGAATTTATAAACATATACAGGAAAGTTATAATTAAATTTAATTGTATTAATACACAAAAGTTCTAAATACACAAATTAGGAAACGGGTTATTGTGTAATTTTTTTTTAGGTAAAATATAGGGTTACAAAAAAAAAAAAAAAAAAGTTATAATTTACCTTTTCATGTAACATGGAAATTATATAAAATTAATAAAAAAAATAATATTACATACTATTAAAATAATAATTAGGAATTGATATAAATTTTATTACAATGAATTATAATTATATATATTACAACCTGAAAACAATAGGGAGCGTTTACTGCACAAAAAGTATTATTATCAATTGTTCTATATATAAAAAATGATACTCATGCAAAATTTTTATTATTTATTTTATGTGTAATATAAAATTGGTTAAAGGTAAATGCATTCAATAATTTTTTTATAAATTATAAAATATTGAAATTACAGTATTTTTATCTTTCTTTAAGCAGTATCATTCTTTTAATGCATGAAATCATTCAATAGATTTAATACTTGTAATATTATTAAAATAATTTTTTAACATTAATAAAAAATCTGTATTAAAGCACAAATGTACTATTTTTCATAAAATTAACATATTTTATTATACAGCAAAATTAATAAAAAAAAAAAAAAAAAAAAAAAAAAGTAACTTAGAATAAATTTAGTAAAAAAAATAATTTTAAAAATTTGTTATTTGGAAAATATATTCAAAAAGTATTTATAAATATATGAAAATATGGAAATAAATATGGCGTAAATATAAGTGAATTATTATTCATGAAAATCTACTAGTAAATAATTTTTTTTTTCTTTTTTTTTTTACATTTAAAAAATATAAAATTAAAGTTATTATTTATAAGGTTTTGTTAAAAAAAAAAAACATTTTTAGGAAAATATAGAATCAACATAAATGATATGGGTAGTAATATTTGGAAATTAATTATGAATAGCACCTTAATAAAGTATAAATTTTACATAACCCATCCCGAGAATGGAAATAATACGCTTAATAACCAATGTTACGGGCAGGTAATGATAAAATGGGCATCTCATATTATTTCAAAATAGCATTACTGTTTTTTAGATTTACAAATAACAAAGCATATTTTAATGGGAAAATAATTGTAAATGGGTAACAAAAAATCATTAATTTTATAATTCTATTATTAATATTGCCAAAGAGTGACACAAAAATTTACATATCTGCTATTTTCACTATTTTTATATATTTAGTTATGTCTTCATTAAGAAAAAATATTATTATTATTTTTTCGTTCGTTAATCACAAATTGTTTCACCCATTATTGGAACATAACTAGGCATAGAGGGATGCTTATTTAATATTTTTTAAAATGAAACAATAGGTGTTGCGGTATGAAATATAAAATAAAATGCAAAACTGTATTAATAAGGGTTAAATAAAATTTTAATAATATAATAATAGTGAACACGAATGCGCATTTAAGTGTACCTTATTATCTTAAATTTTTATTTTGTAAATTTATTTGTCAAATGTCTTTCTGCATATTTATTTAATTTGTTTATATTTTTATGTTCATTTTAACACAATTCACTTTAATTATATAAAAAAAGGATTCTTTTAAATTTACATTATTTACCAAGGGAGAAATATTTTACCTTAGTAAAATAACATAATGCACGTGTTTTTTTATTTCCAATAAAGTTTTGGAGTAATAATTTCAAAGAAATTTGATAGTTGATTGCTTATTAATTTTTTTTTTCCTTTTTTCTGATAAAGCAATTAGACAAAGGATGCTAAACTTTTTTTTAAAAATATTAAACACTGTGAAAATTTTTTTATTGCATATTACTCCATAGATTAAATTTTAAGCATAAAAAACGAAAGCAGCTTTTTATAATTATAAAAAAGTAGAAAATAAGTTGTCTTTAATTAAATTCAAATAAATTAAATGATATTGTTTTGTTATAATTATGTGTAATGAAAAAAAAAAGAAAAAAAAAAAAGACAAATTAAACAAATTAAACAAATTAAAATTATCACTATTAATTAACATATGCATAAGCGAGAAAACTTTGTTTCAACATTATTTTCTTAGTTGTATACCATGTTATCATATGAACAGAATGACAAATAATTATCACATATGATTAAGTAATTAATAACATATATTTGAAAGCTCATGGGTTTCAAAATTATTGGGAATATACGTACATACACATTAATTATAATGATGTGTACAAAATGTGATATACATGTAAAAATACATTTAACGAATTATATTTAATGAGTTATGTTTAATAAACAATAGGACATAGAATTAAAAACTGATTGCAAACAATTTTTTTTTTTTAAAGATATATATATTCATAAAAATTGTTTGTGCACAAAGTCAGGATTGTGTATATTGTTTTACAAAAGTTGTTCCTGAATTAAAATATGATTAGATAAGCGATATAACATAAATAAACTATAACAGGGATAGATATTATTAAAATGACTCCTTAAAAGCCTTAATATAATCCTTTAAATTAGGTTTAAAATTCCCTTCTACTAACATATTATGTTTTGCAATTTTTATGCAGATATATACAAGCATGATTATGCTTAACATAGAAGAGACAATTATACTATTAAGATATTGCGGACTACTAGGATAGCCAAACACAAATAAATATCCTGAGGCATATACAGCCACAGGTAAACTAAATATGTATATAAGATTTTTAAATTCTGTTCTCCGATATTTTTTCCGATCCGTATTCTTGTAACTTTGCATGTTATCAACTTCATTAAATTTTTGAAACAATTTTTTTTCAAAATAGGAATCAATACATTCCCAAATGTTTTTTTTTTTTGGGGGTATATGACCTATGGATCCATTTGCTTTTGTTGCGCACATTTCATTTTCTTTCAAGTAGACATCATTTTCTTTATTGTTTACATTAATTACATTCATTTCTTTTAATTCACTTGTTTTTATGTTATCAACTTTTAGTTGATTTTTTACGTTGATTCCTTTCAACTTACTCATATTAGTTTTCTTTATGTCACCCGCAATTGCCATGTATTTTGTGGCGGTCGCCTTCATTTGATCCATATTATTTTTTTTTAATTCTTCAGCAATTGTCATGTATTTTGTGGCGGTCGCTTTCATTTGGTTTACATTAGTTTTTTTTATGTCACCTGCAATTGTCATACATTTTGCAGCGGTCACTTTCATTTGGTTTATATTAGTTTTTGTCATGTCATCAGCAATTGCCATGTATTTTGTGGCAGTTGCTTTCATTTGACTTATATTAGCTTTTTTTAAGTCATCAGCAATTGCCATGTATTTTGTTGCTGTTGCTTTCATTTGGTTTATATTAGTTTTTGTCATGTCATCAGCAATTGTCATGTATTTTGTGGCTGTTGCTTTCATTTGGTTTATATTAGCTTTTTTTATGTCACCAGCAATTGTCATACATTTTGCAGCGGTCGCTTTCATTTGATCCATATTAGCCTTTTTTAAGTCATCAGCAATTGCCATGTATTTTGTGGCTGTTGCTTTCATTTGGCTTATATTAGCTTTTTTTATGTCATCAGCAATGGCCATGTATTTTGTGGCAGTTGCTTTCATCTGGTTTATATTAGTTTTTGTCATGTATTTTGTGGCGGTTGTCTTCATTTGCCTTATATTAGTTTTTGTTATATCATCAGCAATTGTCATGTATTTTGTGGCGGTTGTTTTCATTTGATTCATGCTATTTTTCATGTCATCAGGAATTGGTATATTTTTTAAGACAGTTGTCCTCATTTGACTTACACTATTTTTTACGTCATCGGGAATTGTTATATTTTTTAAGACAGTTGTTTTCACTTGACTCATACTATTTTTCACATCATCTGGAATTGTTAGATTTTTTAAGACCGTTGTCTTCGTTCGCTTTGTTGTTGTTCCATTTAGATGATCGTGTTTTGATTTATTTATTTCATCATCCTTAGATAATAATCGAATTGTTCTTGAGCTTAATGGTTTATCTACCTTTTCTTCAATATCAGTTAGCTTAATAAAAGAGCTCTAAAAATATAAAAAAAAAAAAAGCAACATTTATTTATTATAAAAATGTTATATCATTACATTAAGAAGTTAGGTTTAAAAAAGGAAAAAATAATTAAATAAGAAAAGATATTTGAAATATTGTAATATTACATCATCTTTGTTATATTGGCATATACAAAACAAAAATAAAATTGTAGGAATTTTAATGAACAAGAGAAGCTTAAGATACCCTTCCATGATGCTTCTTTGCTCATTGTATATTCATTTAGGAAACGTTTACATACATATATATATATATGTAAAATGTTAGAAGACAATTAGTTTGATACTTATTACAATATTATCATTAATCTTTTAAATGATTTATTAAGAACTTATTAAAATAAATTTTGAGTAATATATCATAATTAATAGAAATAGTGATGAAAATTTAAAAATATCTTGGAAAATTCATGTTTTCAATTTATATATACGTATAGGAGAATTACAATTAAATTTAATTGATGTATTAAAGTTCTGAATAAATGAAATTATTATTAGGGAATAAATTAGAGAATTGTTACATTATATTTGTTTTAATTTTATAAAGAAAAAAGATAATTAAAAAAAAAAAAAAAAAAACTTTATTTATCTTTTTCACATGACATGGAAATTGTGTAAAATTTAGATCAAAAGCAAGAGCTCATAAAGTTAAAATTATAATAATTAATTATTACAAGAATTTTCTTACAATGAATATATGCTAATACTGTACATATCTTGCCCCGAAGGCAAAAGGAAATTTACATAATTGTTGTAAGAATTACGAGATATAAAACAGAAATAATAAAACATTTACACTATTATGCATATTTTGAAGAATTCATAAGTGTAACAAAATAAGGTTATAATTTTTCTATAAATTAAAAAATAATCATAAGCATATTATTTATAAATTTGCATGTATAAGATAATTAATTAAATATATTAAATGATAGAATTAACTTAATATTTGTATTAAATAAATAATTTTATTATATAAAAAACGTTGAATCTAACGGATAAATTTATGATACTGTATTTTCTATTTTTTATAAAATTTACATATTTTATATATATTAAAAAAAAAAAGAAAAAAAAAAAAAACAGAATTAGTAAAGCAATTCTTTTTTTTAACAATATATATGTTCAATGATCCATGTAAAATATTTTGCCATAATGAATAAAGATATACATTAATTATTTTATATGTAGAACATGTTTTAGCACATGCAACATAATATGGTAATTTACAACATCAATGTCCACACAACATCATTTTAAAGATAATATATATAAATCATAAAAACTAAATGTATTATTATTTTCTAAGAAAAGTACAATATTTTAAAATTTTTATGGAAATATAAAACAATATAAATAATAACAGTAAAGGAAAGAAAATAATGTAAAAAAAATGCTTATAGCATTCTTCTTGTCCTCATAAACAAGGCAGTACAATGAAAAAATCAAAGCTAGAAAAAAAATTAAAAAAAGAATTTTCTTAAATTCATTGAATACGTCATTATCATTTTTTTGCCACATTTTACTTTTTCTACATAATTGCGTACTTTCATTAATTTTTTTTAAAATGAATGTCTAGTTTTTTAAAAATGTTAATATTTGCTGAATTATATAACATATGTAGATTTTACTTCATTTTTTAATTCATCTACTTTGATACTTGCTTACACTAATTTTCTACGTGTTAACCCAAGTATTAAAAAAATTCACTATTTATGAAATACTTGTTCTCTTTATTATATATTTATTATATTATTTTTGAGCTTCTTCCTTAAGTTTCTTATTTGCTTTACATTTAATGAGTAATTAGCTATTCCTTAAGAAAAAAAATTAGAATTATTTTTTACTTTCTCTTGTTGTGTATTAATGGTATTATAAAAATATGTAAATGCATTGTTATATATAAGTGTCTTTATATAAATATGAAGCAAATCTGATTTATAAAAATAAAAATTAAAAAAAAAAAAAATACAACTGTGAATAAATAATGGATATATGGAAATGTTGTAATATATTAGCATACACAAATTAATAAAGAAGCTATTATGAGAATGGTAGAAGTTTTGAAATTATAGTTCCTTCTTATAGTATTTTGAGTTGTATAAAATTTTCACGAAATAAAAAATGGTTTTATTCTTTTTACACCTTTGTCAATCTGATCATATTTTTGCGACACCATCTTTTTGTTTGTTACTAATTATAATTTTTCTTTGCTATCACATCAATTATGCATGTATATATATAAGTGATACATGTTGATTTGATGAAAAATGTTTTTAACTTTAAATATAAACCAAAGAAAAATTACAGCAAAATTATAAAAATAACAAAAAAGATTTAATTCAATTTTAAATTTAATTAAATTAAAGATGAAGTATTTTAAAAGACTAAATTAAATACTTCATTGTAGACACAGTAAAAAAAAAAAAAAAAACAAAAGTATTTTACGAATTATTTTACAATGTCGTTAAAAAAAAAGGATAAACTAATTATAGAAATTATCTTTTTATGTAATATGAGAATTTTATAAAATATGAATAAACCATTTTAAACTATATGCATATAAAATAATTATATTTCATAACTTATTATAAATTACAATTTTACATAACTGAATTTTTAAAAGAAATAATTTAGTTCAATATTATTATTTATAATATATTGTGTAAAATAAATTTTTTGTAATTTCTTTTTTATTGTGCAAACTACAATGTACATAGGGGTAACGAAATAATGTAATAATTTTTTTCACAAATTATAAAATATTAAATGTATAAAATTTTGCAAACTCATTTAAATGGGAGTGAATCCTTTTACACTTAAATAGGGTAATAAATATTGTAAACAGTTTAATGTATTAATTTTAGAAAATAAAAATATGTTGCATCCAAGTTTAATAAAATGACATTATTACAAAAGAGTACACTGAAAAATAAATTAATTCACTTTTTAACTTAATTAGTAATAAAGAAGATACTTAAATGCTAAAATTATGTTTAGTGAAGTGTGTTCATGTAAGAGCTCTAATCTTAAAAACATTTTAAATAAAAATTTAAATATATATAAACTATAAAATAATATGCTACTAATGCAAATAATGCAGAAGCATAAAATTTTAAAAATATGCTTTATTCATTTTACTTTTACCTCACTCCGGAGAAAAATTATATTTAATTTTTTTTCTTTTAATCATATGCTCCAGACACAATCTTGAACATTGCTATTTCAATAACTCCCATGAACTATTTGAACGAAGAAAACATACAATCGAAAAGTCCATATAATAATGTAAAATATAGTTCACAACATTTTACTTTAATTTTACACCCACTGCTACACATGGATTCACAATTTAAAGACGTTACTTGTGCTGTAACAATTTTTGCATCACTTAAAGAATATAATTTTAATTTTATGTTTTGTGCATGTTACATAAAAATTAAAAAAAAAAAAAACCATTACATTTTTAGTATTAATTTCTATTTCTGAAAATTATCAAGCGAAAGGCAGGAAAATTGTCTTGGATTGTTTTATATTTATGGAATTATTTATATATATATTTATAAATATCAGTTTTGTTTTACCTTCGTAGATTTTCATTTTACAATGAAGAGGACATTTTTATATGAGTTTATATAATATTTTTTGAAATAAAAATTTAGGCATTTTCTTATGAATCATAAAAATATATTATAAATTGGTGTAAGGCAAAGTGGGAAAGATTTCATAGCTTCGAAAGTTTAAAACGTACACGTTTGATAGGGTATAATTATCCTAAAAATACCTGTTAACCATCTATTTTTTTATCATTTAAATTTATTCATTTTTACTTTGTTCATTTTTATATAAAAGGAAAGAAATACAAATTTATAATTCTGCCATGAGCAAAAGAAATCAATTGATCCTATAACAAACTAAGTAGAAAGATAACAAATGAAATATATATTATGCATACATTTATATTTCAATAAAATTTCATTTGTTTTTTTATTCACACTAGTTTTTTTTTTTTTTTTTTTTAATAATTCTTTTATCTATATTTATTATCATAATTACATGTCATTTTTTTTTTTTTTTTTATAATTCTTATCGACTATATTATAATAATTGCACAACATGAATAGTTATTTCTATGAGTACTTGGCTAACATGGTAATGAAAGAGTATTGTACTACGTATATAAAAATATGGGAGTTTTATAAAATAAATAGTTTGAACTTTTGTAATATTCTCGTACACATTCTTTAGTGTGTTACATGTGTGAACTCGTTAATGGGGTAATAAATACGTCAATATAAAGTCATATATTTTAAAAAATACATCCATGGAAGGATATTACCAAGAAGACATTAGAATCAAACGTATGTAATCATATAAAACCCTTTAAAGATATAAACAAATTGATCTATATATATTTACACTATTCATGAGAAATTGTATTTGTTTTTTTAAACTCAGTTTTTTTGTTTTTGTTCATATTTATTTAACATTTATAACTGCAGAATGTTTTATTATTCAGTAGCATTTATTTAAGACAAGTGTACATTGCACTTGTTACACTAGACGAAATAACGCCATTCGACATTCAATTTAATAATGCATGTTTTTAATATTGATAAAAATAAGAAATGTTCCGAGCACTTATGCAAGAATATGCTTATTATATTTAAATGAGTAATATATAACAAATGAATTATTTCCCGATTTCCTTATCGTTTCTAATGAATTCAACCAATTTTGAGAAGTTATAATTTCAAAGAAACAGAATAATTCTTTTTTTTTTTTAACAAAGATTCATTCAATTTAGTTAAAAAAAAAAAAAAAGGATTATTTTAATATATATTTTTACGTTTATATCTAAATAAGACAATACTTACATAACTGCACTGAACACTGTTAAGGTAAAATATACTATACATAACACAAAGCTTGTTATAAAATTTATCTTTTAGCTATATTGATATTTTTATTTTTGTATATAAGGGTCATAATTAAATACTTATTTACATTTAAAACAAAAAGAACCTAAATATGAAATTAATTAGACCTTTAAATTATTATATGGTATAAATATATTAGATAGGAAAGAAATATTTATGTAGATGAAAGTTTTATATTAGTTAAATCACTCAAAAAAATGTTATTGCACTTTTTTTTCAGATGTTAATTTTAAGACACATATGATTATTTCCAAACAAATTAATCTATTTTGCACATATTGACTGTGTTTAAAGGAAATAATTCATTACAAAAATTTAGTTTGATTTTAGTACTTTTTTAATGAATAAACATAATCTGTGTACTTAGGTTGGTTCATTAAAATATTGTGAATCAATGGTACATTATGAAAAAAAAAAAAAAAATAAAAATAAAAATAATAAAGTGGACATTAAATGTAATTTCTATATACTACATTTTAATTTTAACGTATTATGAGAAAATACTAAGGCGCATATATATAGTTTCATAATAACATTACAAGAAATTAAAATTATAGCTATAACGATTTTGAGGTAATAATACGAAGAACAAACATTTTGTGAATTTCTCATAAGTACAATTATTCGATTAGAAAAAGAAAAAAATAATAGGATAGTTGCACCATCTAAGCTATATAAATAAAAACAAATTTCATAATTAATAATTTTTTATTAAATAAAAGTGCACTTTTTCGGGGTTTCATTGTGCATTGCTCATGGTGATAAATCACAGTCCTTACTTTTTTTAAAAGAAAAAATGCGCGAAAAATTGTATGTAAAAAATTTTTCTTTTTAGTACTTGTGTGCATATAAGTATTACATAAAAAGGTTAATTTTTGAAGTAGAAAACATTTTTGTATAAAACTTTAATTTAGAATAAAAAAAAAAAAAATATATAAAACAATAATAAAATAGCACAAGTTTAATTTGGTGTAGTAAAATGTAAAACAATTAAAATATGTACATATATATATATATCTCATATTTTAACTTTATGAATAAAAAACAATAAAGCACAATGAAATTAGAAGTTAATGAATTAGATAAGAAAATTTGAACTGTTGAATAATGTAGAAGAAAAGGTTTCAATAAAATAATAAGGTATAATATTTAATTATTTTTAAGTAGATAATTTTTTTTTAAAATGGAATATTTTTGTAAGACATTATTCACTAAAAAAAACTCTATTAAATTTTTTTTTTTCTTACTGCGAAAAAATTTATAACACTAAAAAAAAAAAAAAAAAAAAATATATAAAATACGATATATTCTTATCTTTAACCTTTTAATTATACGTGATACAAAGTGTTAAAGATTACAATGCATATAATGCCAATGCCGCTGCACCAGTGGCAACTAAAAACTTCAGTGATGCCAAGCGCATGAAAAAAGCTGTTAATAATAAACTCAAAGGTGTAAATATAAGAATGTAATTATATAATGATTCACTATTCCACGTAAACTGATTAATATATGGCAAAATTTTATTCTTAAAATCTAAATATTTCCTTTTAAACATACTCATTTCTTCAAAGATTTCATCAAGTAGTGATAGATTATTATCATCATCTATGTCTATACCGAAATCATGGTATTCATCTGCATAAAATGAATGTTCAAAAACCCCAGTTTCTACCAAAGATCCCAATTCGTCCAAATCATCCTCATCATCATCAAGGTTGTCTGAATCTTCATACTCAAATGTTCTTTCAACTACTGATCTAATTTGTGGCACAATATCCTTTCCACTATCTACACTATTTCTTCTTCTAACTATTTCTGGGCTTTTTAGTTTAATAATTTTGTCTTTGGTGTTGTGTTCAGGATAATAATTTAAAAATACATTATAGTATGAAATGAGTTCTCTTATCCTTTCTTCTCTTTCCTCATCTTCCATATCTTCTAAAGAATACATATATAACTGATTTGGGTTATCATAACTGTCATACTGTGTCAACAATCTACTGCTTTTTGAGCATAAAATATCTAACGTTTTGTGCTTTTCAGCACATGGGTTATTAAACGAGGTCTATAAATTTCGAAAAAACACATAAAAATATGTAGCATATATAAAATGTTAATAGAATTATTTTCATTACATAAATAAAAGAATAACATAACAGAAAAAAAAAAAAAAAAAAAAAAAAAAAAAAAAACTATCTTATTATTTTCTATATGGATCACTTTAATATTACATTATTATTGAAGTTGGAAGAATTCCAGAAAACATATGTAAAAATTAACAATTTAACATAAAAAAGGAACCCACTTGTTCCGTTTATTTGTGGGAATTTATTTTGAACTCCCATACTTTTGGTAAATAAACTGTTTTTTAACATTCTTATGTATATTTTTTTGCTTTTGCAATAACATAACATATATATAGTAGTTGCAGGTATATGTAATTTTATGCTTTTTTATTGACTCTCTCTATATGTTTTCAATTTAGAGCAATATCGCATAACCCCTCTTTTACTTTAAAATTTTTTTAACATGATTAAAAACAAAAAATTAATGATTGAACAAAAAATAACTAGCGAGTATAATTTCATACAAAATAATAAGCCTAAAAATAGTTAGAAAATTCTTAATTTTTTTTAATTAAAAGAAGAACAAAATTGCTACATGTATTTATATATATATATATATATATACATACATACATATTCATAAGCAGAATTTTTAAATCCAAACTATTTAAAAAGAAATGTTGTCTCCCCTCAAAAAAAATTTAGCAAAATCAAATAGCACGGTCGAAATAATTCCTTATTAGTAAGAAGGGTAAGAAAATAAATTTTTACGCTTCAATAAGAGTCAAAACCAAGAGGAAAATATACTCATTATAATTAAGTAACATAAATATATTTCTTTTAATACAAAAATTACATATATTTTTTTTTTTCTTATTGTAATATAGAATCCAAAACACCTTTATTCAGATTTATAAAATTTCACATATGTATTATTAGCATTGAAAATAAACATTTTTACTAACATGATGAAGCGCACGAAAATTATAGGCAATTTATTTTAATATAATTAGCCCCCCTCCTCTCTAATAAACATTTTTACGAAAAAATATTCTACCTTAAGTGGGGTAAAAATTATTTGCTTACATATATAATAAATTTAGTTAATAGAAAATTAATTAATCCTAATCCCCTTATTATGGAATTGTACTAATATATTTATACGTTCCTAACTAAATCTACGAGACAAAATATCGGAGTGAAAAAAATCCTGCATTTTTTTTATGATATATAAATTATCACTTTCTTGTGTTGTTGTATGATATGTGAGAGATAAAATACTGTATTATTAAGAAAATATATATAAAAAGTATGAAAATAAAATAAAGAAAATTGTTATTATAATTCTCCTTATGTCTTAAATGATTGGAAAGAGAAAAAAAAAATAAAATAAAAATAATATTCTATATTTATATATAGAATGATGTTGATGTAAGACAGTACAAAATTAATTGTCTTAATAAGCTTCATTTAAATTGTGCATGGAGTGTAGATTTTTTGAGAACTAAAAAATTGAAAAAAAATGCAATATACTAACATTGCATAAAAAGGTTTCACGTATATATAATATTATGAAATTGAAGTATGGCAATTAAAGAAATAGTAATATTGTGTAACAGAAAAGCGTTCTGCTGTTCTGAAAAAAAAAAAAAAAAATATTATTGAAGAAACAATAACCCTAAATGTGTTATTTCATTATAACATCATAATTTGTTGTGAAAATGAAAAAAAATTTATGTGTAATATTATAGAACTTAATTAATAGCTGTTGAAATGGTTAAAAATTGCAATATACATATATATACAAATATATATATTTATTAAGATGGAGAAAATGTACAATTTTTATATTTCCACTTAATATACATTAGTTAGAAGTTAATATAATTCAATTAAAAAAATTATAACAAAAGTTAATCGCTGGTCCATGTGTGAAAGGAAAACGATAGGGAAAAATCTTTTTAAACGACGAATGCTGAATTTAACATAGGTTTATTGAATTAGTTTTTCGAAAATGATTTATATAAACAAATATAAAAATATTGCATAAAGATATATGTAAGAATGCAATGAGAGGAAAAATCAAATATGAAACCGTTTCTTTTTTAAAAAGTGCTTTTTATTAAACCTCCAAAATGAAATTAACATCATAATAAATGTAGTAAAACATAAATAACATATTTTTACAAAGGAATGAAATAATATACTAGAGTGTATAAAATCACATTTTAAACCTTGCATTTTTACAAATGTTAACATTTCATACATAACACGTATTGTTTTACATTTTGTCTATGTAATTTTACATTTGAAATAAAAAATTTATATGCAGAAATTAACACACTCATGCGTTCAACTTGTAGATGATTTCTGTAGAATTTCTCTAATACGTTTTGTTTAAATATACCTCTAGGTGTCCGATTTTTTTTTTTAACAAACAGTTGCATTTCTTGTATTTGAAATATATTGTGTTTGATTAACATATTAATAGAGAAAAAGGAACACATATGTAAATAGATTTATAAGAGGTAATTGTACAACAGAATTTAATAAAACTATCAAAATCAAAATATAAAAAGTTCTGACAGTTGGAGAAAAAACTGCAGCTAACTTAATTATTTTTTTGTACTAATTTAGCATTAATGCCACCTAGGGAACCTTTAGCGTTTTTATGTAAGAGAATATCCATCACAAAAAATATACAACTTTCAAATACTTTGTTCTCTTTTTTTATAAATTTTAATTGTCCTTGAGAGTATGTAATTATTTCTTGTTCTATTCTTCCTCATTACAACATGTATTTTTTGTTCAGATGGTTTAAATTGTTGTGTTTTATTGTAGCTATTACAACGTGAACAATAAAATCTTTCATTTTGATCATATATATCACTATGTTTAATTTCACCAGATGATTGTTCATAATCATGAGAACTTTCGTATGAATCATATGCTTCTTCATGCTTATCAAAAATCTCAGATGTATCCCGTGGCATCTGAGAATATTCATTATGCTAGAATGAACCAGCATTTTCTTTAAATTGGCCATTTTTATTTAATGATTTTGATATATTTTCAATTATGCCATCGTCCTCACCTTCCACTATTCTCATTATATGATCTACCAAATGAATGAACCCCCTTCTTGGATATCTACATTTGTACTTAATAATGTTCTAGTTCTGGAATTTATTGATATATTCAAATTAAATATTTCGCCCTATGATTCACAGAAATATGTTATTTCTCCATAAAAATTAGCGTAAATATTTAAATATGCTGAAAATTTGATTTATTTAAATTTTAATAAATTGTGCGTCAAAAAAAACGGGAACATAATAGAGTGCTTTAAAAAAAATATAAAATTATCCAGAAATAGTTATAAAATATATAGTTCTTTAGGTTATTTATATAATGATCTTAAAATGTCAAACGTAAGCAATTTAAAGAAAAACATGTCTACAGTGTTGTTATTTTTCATGTTCTATGTGCTTAAAGTAACTAAAACATTCGTGTAATTGGAAAAATTATACCTATATAAGAATTTCTCTTTTGATAATGTTCAGAAATTTTTTTTATGTTTTATTTTATGGATTTCTGTTTTCTTAAAAATTTTGCATTTTCTCTAAATAATACATGATTATAGAATAAATTAATTTTAAAAAAGAAAAACATAATACAAAAAGAAGAAAAAAAGAAAAAGAAAGATATTTTTATAAATGCACTATATAAAAGAAACTGTAATAGTATAAGATTAATTAAACCCGTATTTATTTAAATACGGATTTCATTCGTATTAAAAAGATATCACTCTATAATAAAGGTTTTAAAACGACGTTGTGAATTAGTCAAAGATGAAAAATAAATAAATAAAACATTAATATAATATATTTAGTTTATGATATAAACAAGACGGCAATAATTTAATTGTGGATACAATTTAAATAAAATATATTTTGCTTTTATTTACAAATCACAATTGGTTATAAATATAATTTCTATTGTTAACATAAAAATTGAACTTTCAGAATTACGCATTAGTATTTTATTATACAATGCGTATAAAGATTATTTATAATTGGAGGAGCATAAGTTGGCAAAACGAAAAATTTACATAATAATGTTACTAATTTTAGATTTAGTTCTATGCTTGAAAAATATATATAATATAGTATGACCACATTGAAGAGCTATAAAATACACACACATATATATATCTTTATATGTATTCATAAATAATTTTCATTTTCGTTTCTAGGAATGAAATAAACTTATATATCGAAACATCATATTTACATTTTTTTTTAGATTATATCTAGAGAATGTTTAAATAAAGCGATAAACCTAATTGAAGCACATGGGATAAGGAATGAACGATTATTGGAAAAGCATAATTTAGATAAACTAACAAAGCATGTAGGAATCGTTGAAAAAAATTCTGATCATATAAGGGGAAAAAAACTAAAAAATGAATGTACGTCTGATTCAGTATCCAATAAATTAAAGCAAAATAAACATAGCAGGTTTGATGATAATAAAAAAATCTTCAGAATATAAATATTCTTCAAAATCATTATTAAAAGAATTAGATACATAATGGGAAAGTATAGTTTTCTCTGAACTTCATCACATAAATTTTCTGAAGCTGCAGAAGAATAATAAGTAACAAATAAAAAAGCATTTTGAAAAATAAATTATTATTATTACTTCATCCTTTTCTGTTATTTTGATTGGATTTATAGTTTTCATATTAGTTTTAACAAAAGTAATTTCTAAAATACAATATGATTATTCAGTATATATACTCAATGGAGTTATTTCTGTAATAGTTGTGACATTTGTATTAGAACTTATTTATTTTTGATGAAAATTTTAAAATAAGAAAGAATAAATGAAGAGTAATAAAATATATACACCAAGTAGTGTTTTTATTTCTGTATGGATATCATTTTCATATAATTTTTGTTTAATTATTTTATTAAGTATAATATATAAGCTTGGAAAAAGCATTAATCACTTCTTAAGATAATTAGACGTATTTAGATATAGATTTCCTTTTTTAACATTACAATGAAGTGAAGAATTTTTAGTAATTATGTGAGTATACTTTCTTTAATACCTTTTCGAATGTAAATTAGTATATATATTTTTTTTTTTTGTCACTAATAAATGTAAATTCTGATATACTTATAACAATGTCTTATTCTTAGAATTATGAAAAAAGGTATATTCATTATAAATAAGAATAAATATTCATTAACATTTTTATTGTATTTATGTGCAAATTATTTATGTGAGAATTAAAATAGGTA